GCCATCCATATATGGTGTCACAGACCATAAATCGCCTGTCACATCTGCCTCGTGAGGGCGAGCAGCATCCAGTTTCCACTTGTGCTGCGCTGCGCTCAAGCCGGAAAGTACGTAGCATGTATGATAGGCGTCCGAGTACCTGATGATTGTTGAATTGGAGTTAGCGTTCATAGAAACTTTTTGGGTGCAGGGCCACAGAGTAACATACTTGCTCGGCTTGTCCCTCAGACCACCTCGCTTAGACTGATCCTGACAGCAACATAGAATGTAGCGGATTAGGCCATCACGGCTGAAGAGGCTGTCCTTGGCCGCAGGGAGCGGGTGGCCGCCATAACTGGCCTCCTCCCCTCCAGACCCGGGCCCGGGTCCGTTGAGGGCAGCCTCGATGAGGGGCCAGCACCCTCCGACCCAGTGACTGTAGCAACCGTCGACTAGCTTGTTGGTACGACCCGAGAAACCACCCTCGGGGGCGTACTGGCGAGATGATAGCCAAGAGATAAGCAGTGGAACATTGAGATGGCTACATAACCCGGGCGATCAGGACAAGGTTAGCATGCACCGCTTCCATGTCACGACTTGAGTGGATAACAAGAAACATACCGCGGGATGGCTCGATGTGGAGAGTCAAGAATGGAGAGGCATCCGAGAGCGCAAAAGGCATATGCACCATGCGCTTCGATGCCCGGCTTGGCCGACACGCCTCCCTCGTGCGTTTGGCCTAGGAGGTGGAGAGTCAGAAAATGGGGGGAGCACGTCTTTAGGGCTTCGTGCATCACTTACATCGGTGTACGTAGTCTGCAAGTCCCGTGAACAGGCCAGCGTGGCCAGCAGATCGTGCAGGAGAATCCTGTGATAGCTCAAGAGGGAGATTGAGCAGCGAGATGATGACGGCCGCGCAGTATGCCCCCCTGCAAAATTGTCAGTCTGAGAGGTATACGAAGGATCTTGGATGTGTTTTCATGGTTCACGACATGAAAGCGAGAGCGATCGGGGGTGAAGGGGGGGAACTGCGGGCCTTGATCGCCGGTATTGCAGAACTGACCACAGCAACACAAAGGCAAAGGCAAAGGCAAAGGCAAAGGGAAATGCAAACGCGGCATGGTGTAGTTGTACAGCATGCATGTACATACCTGACGTCTTCCTCGCCGCCAAGGGCCATCTGGAACCCTCCATCGGGCTGCTTGAGTGAGCACAGCCATCTCCACATGGCTCGACGGTCGATAACCTCGTAGGCGTCCTCACCGCCGACTAGGGCCAGCGACAGGACGGTTGCATAGGAGGTGGCGAGATGTGAGGTATGGCCGAAGCCGCCAGCGAAGCCTCCATCGGTGTTCTGCATCGGCCGAACGGTGTCGACAAGTCTCTGGCGGTACATCTCGACGTCCTCTCCGAGGAGAGCGAGGGCGGAGAGACACCAGTAGAAGAACCAGGGACGGCTGGGATCAGCAGAGGTGAAGGCGGGAGGCAGCTTGCCCAACTGCTTATGCAGAAAGCTAACATGAAGACGACGATCCAGATGGGGCAGTCCGTGAGAGTTGCAGTAGTCGTGTTCCTCGGCCTTGAGGTAGGGCAAGACTTCCTTTACCGTCTCATCCTGGACGTACGATGACTCGGTGGGCAGGCTATCGTGGATAGGAGGTTCAGTGGTGAAGAGCTGGGGAATAGAGTGTTCGCCCCTTGGCTGTGGCGCTGTTGCTGCTGAAGCCATGCTCGTGTTTGTTCTGATATTGCTTTTGCTGTTGCTGATGCTATTGTTGCTTCGTGGAAACAAGACGCGAGGACGAGGACGTGTTAGACGAGAACGAGCTCTCATAACGCAGCTGATTTCCCAGGGAATAAAGCCCTTTTTGATTTTATCTTATCAGTGTTGTATCGCCAACATTAACAATGAGATTCCTGGTTGATATTGTTCTCCAAGCCATCACATCTCGCATCCGCCATCTCACCCCCACTATATCGATTCAAGTGGACGTTTTTGTTTGCGCGCCCAATGAGGGAGGATATGCGTTTGGCGGGGTATTTCTCTTTGTTGGTTACCCTAGCACAAACGACATATCATGGCAAAGAATTGTTTGCTTTATTTCTGCTCATGAGTCGTGATTCAGGTGATTACTTTGTGAGAAGTTTTGATCTGACGATGGTTTATTCAGCGTGGCCTCGTCAGTTGAAAACAGGTTCTCGTGAGTTCTACTACTTATCATAACTCGGATGTATTGATAGAGCCCAGTTGCTGTCCACACAGGCCAACTGAATTTACACATGAAATCTGACAAAATGGCTTGTGTGATCTGAATAATATTCTGATTGAGTGTGTGGTAATTCATTATTGAAAAGTCCACACTACTATGTGGAAGAAGTTTCCATAAAAATGTCAACATAACGATGTAAACCGTGGACAGTTGGCTTCCAACGTCCTCCAACATAGCAATGATAGCGATTATCATGAAGCACAAGAGCTAGGATTACTGGCGTCTCTCATCTCATTTCAATAATCATTTAATTATCTTCGGGTTTGAGGGTTTTGCTTAGTATATTCACTGGCTTACAACATGTCACAGCCAAACAGCTTACCCTGTACCTTTCGACTGGTCTCACTGAAATAAGACACAATAAGCCGAGTCCCCAGAATATCAGGTCCTGAACTTATTGTAGTTGGTGGCTTATCCTGTATATAGTTATAGTTTATTCTGAGCAAGATTAAACTTCCAATCAGTACAGTCATTCATATGAATCTGAAGTGGAATGCTAATATGACATATATATTCACCGCATATCCTTGAGGAGTTGCTCATGATATACAACAGGTGGCATATGAACAACACACTGAATCTTACCCAATATGCTCTGCATGAAATAAGTCTGTGCTTTTTACCTCTGCATCTCTGTTTTCCGGTGTGATTGATGTCCATGGTTACATACTACAGGTGGCTCCTCAAGTAGGATTAGATGCTCACTCATTCACATGTGAGAAACTCACTCGAATGGGCATATTACTCATCGAGCTCATGGAGAACCAACTCTTTATTGCATGTTATTGCTCTCGTGAATGATGAGTCTGGTTACGTTGATAGACTTGAAGGGTTGTATCGGTGTTGTAAGTGGTAGTGACACAATTTCACCAAAGGTGTGTAACGAAGCCTCTTTTTCGTAAAGTTCATAAACGTACCTGGAGAAACACAAATGGCACCTACTTAAGTCAACGTGAGAGTATGGGATATAGTGAATGAGAAGCTTGTGTAAGTCTCATATCTTAAGTTTTGGTGAACATGAGGGTCTTGAGGCACAAGCCAACGTGACAAACCTGGCACGACCGGATGAATCGAAGAATATTAACACAACATTCATGTGCCGAAAGGCTTCTAGTAAATTGATAGGTTAATTATTTTGCCACAGGCCATTGTCAGACCATTACACACATCAATATCGGACCATCGGACCGAAAACCCAGCAGAAAATTCTCGTTAGCATCCAATATTTTCCTTCCAGAAGCCAGCTCTAATTCGCAATCTCAAGTACCGAAGCCAAGGTTTTGCACTGCGGAGATAAGTATCCGACTTGGATGTCAGTGGAACCAGCAGAACTCCCATCTAAACGAATATTGCGCTAACTGACTAGTCGTACATCAAAGCTTCGGTTTCACACGGCTCAGTTTCACCACTATTTATCGTTGCTGCATGAGAATATGGTCATTTGTGCATTTACGAGTGCTTTAAAACATTATTTTAACCTATCAAAGTGAGGCGAGACAAAGACAGGAAGGACGCAGACCACAAGAGTTGTCTATTGAACAAAAAGAGGGAATGTCCGACGCTATTCGCGGAAGTAGATTTAAAGACATCGAAAATCCGAGATCTCGACCGAGCTTTGAGTCCGAACCGACGACACCCCAACACGGCCCATTTACGGTGGGGGGGGGGGGGGGAGCTAGGGAGGGATCAACAGATGGAGATGATTGTTTAGTCTGTTTCGTGGTGTTGAATGTTTGTGTAATATATTTAGTGGTATACATGATTACGGTCGATATACACAGGGCTAAGTGAAGTGTTGGCATTATGGCTTTTTTGATATGAAAATGTCTAAGACAGCTGCAGCTGTAACATCCGACTCTAATGCCATGTCACCCCAAAAACACACACAAAGGGCCGACCCGTTGAGACGAGAAATTGACATGATTCCGTGACATTTCACATGGACCAGTAACATCCATGAGAGTGTGGCATCCCGCGGGAGTAAAAACACCACGAATATATAAACGCTCATTGCATATTTCAACACTCAAGTCAGAGTCAGGTCAGTTTGGACATTTCCGGTGGGGGCCCGGAAGTCAAAGACCGGGCTTGTCAAACCGGTCCGGGGGGCATATGCACGATATCATCCATGACCATGACCATGATACTTACATAGCCGAGACAGGGTATGACATTCGAGATCAAGACAACATGTCTTTCGATGGTGATAACCATGAATTGACCAAGATATGAACATGAAAGATGATAAACTGTAGATCAAACATCAACACACATGTACTAGATATCAAATATAGAAACATCAACATCAATATCAACACCCTCTCTCTCCAATCTATATCCCCCGTTCAAAACATCAAAGCCTCCTCATTTGACCCCGCGCTTAAACCAATGTCCAACCCATGCAAGGAAAACCCACCAGCTGTCTTCCGTGTCTCTAGTTAGACTCCAAGTTTGCTTTTCCTCTCTCATGTCTTGAATCCTTGAATCTAAGCGGTTCATCCTGCTGAGTAAGTACACGGCCTACAACCTCGGCCTTTCTTATTTTATTTTTCAAGCTGTTTAATTAGCTGTGAGTTACTCGTGCAAGTGTTTTTACCGCTTTCTCTTGCTACTCAAGCTATAAGTTTAGTGTCATCCATCCGTCTACTAGTGTCCCTCTATGATTTTTCTCTCTTCCTCTCTGTGTTGTGCCAATACTTCAAACAAAACTGCAATCTTTATCATATACTCTTACTCTCATACACACAAGCCATGGATACACCCTGCAACCTTCTCCAGCACCTCGTCCGTACCGAAGAATCAGAGTTCAAGGGCATGATTCGTCATGTACCCAACCAGAACCAAACTCTCCCATCCATTACGTCCATCTCCAACCAGCCACGAGATCTGCCTTCGTCTCTAGGCCAATTGGATCTTCTCCCGGCAGAACTTCTTCTCTCTGTCCTTGAGCTTCTCGATTTCCAGTCTCTGTCCCGCCTGTCGCGGGTTTCTCTTCTGGGAAAGGATGTCATCGAGGATTTGCCCGTCTATAGGGAAATGGTTCAGCATGCTCCAGAGACGCTGGTCGCTTTGGGACAGACACATCTGCTGAGCTACCATCCAGCTACTTTGCTTCACTCCACTCTGCGGAAGAACACATGTGTTTCGTGCTTTGCTTTTGGCGCGTTTCTCTTCCTGCCAACATGTGAGAGAGTTTGCTTTGAGTGCCTATATGAGAACCAGGCTCTCCGGATGACGTCTCCAGCTATGGCGAAGCAGTGCTTTGGCCTTACAGACCACGATCTAGAGCGCATTCCTGTTATGCACAGTGTCCCTGGGACATTCGGTTTGAGGTTCCAGTTCACGCACAAGCAAGTTGAGCGCCTGGTGAGTATCAAGCAGGCAAAGCAGCTCGCCCTGGAGATACACGGCTCAGCCAAGAAGCTAGCCCAGTTGAGACCAACATATTGCCCTGGCAGAACTTCAATGAAGGACGCTGCCGTATTCAGACATTTCCACGAAGCGTCCCTGGATCCCCCAGGCTGTGACCTATCAAGACTGCCGAGAAAGGCCGAGGTAGTGGAAGATGACTTTGGCGGAATGGCCTCCATTCGATTTCCATATCTATCAGCTACTGGAGCTGAGAAGGGCGTTCTGTGTCAGGGATGTCTTGTTACGTATAGCCACTACATGCAAGGCATGCTCCCCCAGAGTACGCTTATGGAGCTTGTACCAGCAGATGTTGGACCCTACCGCCCATTCCTTGCACTGTTGACTCGTCTATGGTCTATGGAAGGGTTTCTCGAGCACGCACAGCAGTGTTACGGCGTGCGTCGCATTGTGGGACAATGAGTATCAAGACTAGAGCACAATCTAGGATACAACTTGGCGGACCTCATTTGAGGTTTGTTAAACCTAATGAGATTGGGGTTTACTTATCCCTTTTTCTATTTTGGCTGATGCTCGCAGAACACTGGAATCCTGCTAGTATATTCTGTTCCTCTTTGGAACTGTCTCTTGTATCATCCTGTCAATCAGCTGCTTGGTCTCCAAGTTGATGTGATGCTTTTCTTGAAAGTATCATGAGCATTGCAATTAGCCAGCAAGTTATCTGTTTTCTATCCGGTTGCGTTTTATATACCCCTGCTAGCTGTCAATATTAAATGAGTTGTTTACATATATGTGTGTCTTGCTCCTCAGTCTCAGAAGAAGATCATATTTCGTGACCAATAATGTCTCTTGGCTTTGCGGTCGAAACCACAGACAATTCTCGAAGCTATTGGTGTTATCAGCCTGCAACTACTTAGGCTACTGGCCAAGGGCCTTTTCTTGATGCGATTGAGTTGTTATCTGGTTCCACAAAACTTGATCCTATTTGTGTATTGTATTCACTATGCCCGAGTGTTTAGGAAGTCTGAATTGACGAGGACCTCATATCAGGTCCCAATGATAATGCAAATACACCCACAGTGTTCCAAAGTTATAACTTTCCAGCCTTTCCAAATGACATTGAGGTGATAGCTCCAAAAGGGCATCATGCCTTTTCAAAATGTTTATATCAAAGTGCCTGCCTTCAGATCATCGTTGCATCAGATTGCTGGCCTTTTCGCCGAGTTTTCATTGTACTGCAATGCATCAATGGAACATGGTTCACTGTGATTGCCTATATATCAAAATTTTGGAATTGAGCTATCTGGCTGTGTCTTCATATCCAAGTCTACGTATGTGCTCTGTGAAGGTAGTATCAGAGTGAATAGAAGTCAATACACCATTGAAACTGACTACGATTCAGTTATCACAAAGCTCGGGTCGCCATATACTTTTACTCTTGGTTATGATAGTATCTCTCGCCAAAGCAAGCCTGAGATGAGAACCACAATGATAGTATATTAAATAACAGTGTTTATCACGCGATCATACAATGATATGCCGTACAGCAGCATTCGAGGTTCTGGTAGACAATCGCACTTCAGTTGCTCAGGATACACGAACCACGATATCAAACTACCATGAGTCACAGCCTCGACGACATCGGCATATCACCCAACCAAACTGCTTTGTCAACTCAAGCAACATAGAAACTTCTGGATTACCTCGCATTGAACAACACCGACTTGCATAAACCTTCGACGAACCATTAATTGTAACATGCTTTGCCTCAAGATCATATGCATGCGTTGGACCGGATCATGCGAGGAGCCTGCAGTGCTGCCCAAAGGCAAAGCTAAAGTGGGAGCCGAGATGTTTGGGATTGCATACATGCAGACTACCTATGTATGACACGACTTTTTAAATTGAAAGCCGAGGCTATGCTATTATATGTTGATGGCAAAGATGAAACATTGGGAGGGGATTTGAAGGAGTAGTAGAACGGGAATATCAAGGTGGAACAGTAGGCGAGTTGTAGATTAGCAACAGCAGATATTCTTCAAGATGCTTTTGGCCAAGCACGTTAACTGGGACTAACAAATCTTGATATCCTGAAGTCACAAGATGAATACGATTTCTCGTTCATGAATGTTCAGGCATGCAAGAGGCGCGAACCTTTTACTCAAAGCCCACGAGAGAGGCCTCGGTTGAACGATAGCCTCAGGAATGAAGAAATACCCTGATTCAATAGTCTATACTCCCAATCCTAATTGCAATTCCATATTTAATAACCTGACGATCATACTACAGCCGCTAGCACGTTATCTACCGCATTGATCCTTAGCTAGAGCGGGTGAGGTGAACACAAGCTCAACGCCCACGCCGCCCCTCGCAGCTTCGGAATCAGATCGAGAGCAATTTTATTAACAAGAGTGATCGACGTGGCCACGACATTTCGATAGATAGTACGAGTACATGCGCACACGCACACGCACGCACGCACTCACAATGGGACAGTACGCGTGACGGTCCGTGGAAATGAGGAAGCCCGCGTTTTCCTTGCGTCCCCACGGCGGGGGATTGATCGTCTCGGAGCTGTTGTGGAGAGGTGAGGCGGAGGGACAATACGATACGATATTTTGTATCCAAATGGAGATCAGGATCAAGCCAAGCCAGCAGGAATAAGGGAGCGAGCAGCCTAGGACACCTAAGCGACATATGCTACATATCTTGGAGGCGATTGAAACCTCCTTAATTAGGATCTTTGGTTGACAATTGGACTCGTTCTGCGAAGTCTCTCTTCACCGCCAGTGGCCGTCCCTGAAAATCTAGGTCTAAGAGTTTTGAAGCGTCAAATACCCCTGCGTTGGAATGGTCTGATGGCGACAGAGTTGCCAATAGCTGCCGCAACGAGATCCATCGGCCAGTGGAGCAAGACGCGATGCGGCTTACCTAGTACTCCGTACCTAGGATCCATGTACGGATACGTACTATACTTCCGGCACTGCTAGGTAGACTATGCCGGGCTTGAGAGCAACCGCCGTTGGATTTGTCTCGCCTTGACAATTGGCCTTGGCTACCTAGGCCTTGGCCATCCAGACCATTCAGATCATCCAATGCATGGCAGCCACTGTTTGTAGAGTACGTAGCCCAATACGAAGCACCTCCAAGAGGCCAAGCCCACTTTGACATGCCATGTTTGCCTTGATAACTCGCATGTTTGTAGAAACAATTCTTGGTAATTAGACGGGCTACCTGTTGGCGCGCGCGTCGTCTATTCCGACATGACTCAGGCTAACGAAAAAGCTCTTTCTGTTGAGGAGAGACTAGTTTTTCCGCATGAATCTCTAGATGCGCTGTCCCCGTAGCTCGCATCATCGATTCTCCGTAACCAAGGCCGCAGATCTTTCTTGGGGGGCCTAGAGCGAGAACCGAAGGGGGCGCTACCACTAAGTGAGACGTGCTCACGGAGAATAGCCAGGATGTTGCGGGAGAACCCTGGCTGTATGGATATTAGCATCAGATGCGGTCAAGATATTTGCTAAGGGGGAGGAACTTGGAGATTAACATGGAACATAGCAGCTGAGTAAGGGGGCAGCTAGACCGTCTGGGCCGTCAAGAAGTGTTTGTGAACTTCCAGAGACTCGATAGTCTAGTGTTAGATATTGTCTCATCCTACTCTCTGTAGGGAGCTCAAGCTGACACTGACATCACTCCTCGAGTCCTCGTGTTGCAGCATGAACGTGCGGTCCCGCAGCAGGGCCACAGAGAAGACTGTGCGCCATGTCTTCAAGCCTCGTGCTACAACCTACAGGTCTTGAGAAACATCACACGCAGACACCAGGTGGCCTTTGCTTCTTTACTCCGGGGAGGCTGGCCAGCTGATTTGCGTAGCTTACAAGACACAGCAGCAGGCTGTGTACTGCCCTGATACACTCTTGCAACACCGGCAATTCCTTGTCTCTTTCTTGATCCTCCATCGTCAATCAACCTTATGCACGCCTGACGCGGGAGATTTTTCATATGCCAGATCGAGATAGCCTGAAAGTGGGTGTCTGTGGCCAATGCTCGTACGCCTGAACACACTTGCTGTGCGACACATGCCTAGTTCAAAGACTAAATAAGAACCAAGGTAATGATTTCGTCTGGTTTTTAATGCAATTGATCCCTCGATCGATGATGGTATCATTCACTTACCGGATTCTTTGCTTTCGGCGGGTGCTATGCCCTTGAATGCAAGGCTGGGTAGCCTGGTCAATGGATGAGGCAAGTATGGTATGCATCAACAACTATCGAAAGTCCCGAACGATATATCGAGATAAGAGATAGGTGCGTCGGCTCACAATGATACACAGTCGTTTCAATTGCAACCAATTGATTCGCGCAACACCCATTGCATGTTGGCATTGAAGCGCTGGAAGGCAATGTTTGCTGTGGATGTTCTTGATCGTGATCAATCGCCTCGGTTATACGCCGTAAAAGACGGCCCATGAGCCTGCAGAGGACTAAGCTGAGAACGATTTGTCGCATCAACTCCAGTGCGCGTACATATCGTGCATTTTCCGGACAGGATTTGAAGACCAGAATCTGCTAAATTACGGTTGTCAATTGGCTGCGATGCCTTGAATGGGGATATTTTGGCACTGATCCTTGATGTGTTCGCTGGCAATCACGAGCATCAGTCTCCAGTTTCGTCAGACAAGACAGGCAAAGTCGAGCGGGATCGACGGCCTAACAAACTGAGCTGGCCCTTGCGAGACCCTTGAGGTGGAGTCTGAGCTTAGTGCTTCGGCGAAGCTGGCTAGCTGGTCGTTGGTCTCTTGTAAGTGAGGCCATGACAAGGGTTGCAAAGCACTGGCCGCTGACAGTCCCTTACTGAGTTTGATGGTTGGCGGGATGGCTGAAGATGATCCATTTAGAGGATTTTTACCGCTCAAGCAGCGAAACAAACAGCCGAGATTTCGGTTTCCAAGGAACTGAGTCGATCGAGAAGATGATAGTGCTCTTTCTTACTCCGTAGATAGTACAGTATCCGTAATAGTACCGTAGAGTTCGCTCTGATAACTCGAACCAGAAGGGGTTGCAGGCCCGAGGCCTTTGGACGATGCAATGCATAACATGGCTCAACTTCCACCTCATAGGTACCGGGGTACAAGCTAAGTCAAACTCTCGCACGTGCAGCTTCACGGTGCAGCATTCCAAGCGTCAAGACATTTGGGCAGAGAGTCTAGAGTCTGGAGAACAAGCCTCTCATGATTGTGCTGCCATCAGCATGTGGCTTACCGCTGTGCACACAAGTTGAGAATGACATGCGTAACCGACTGGAGCTTGTCTCGGTGATGATGAACGTGGGAGATCTCGGGGTGGGCGAGTTGTGTTGTCTAGGCTGTCACAGAACTGCACCACATAAAGGCAGATGGTGGAGTTGTTTCTGATGCACGACGTGCAGACGGGAAGCTCGAGACCAAGACAGGCGATAGTATAGTATGCAGTGTATAAGAGGCGAAGGTATCCGTATTGGTTAGATGGTTGATTCGTGATATAAGATTGCTATCTCGAGGTTGCCACCAAAAAGTCCCATTTGCTTGCAGCGTGGTAGTGTAATGCAACCACCAACGGTCCCTGTGCTGTAACGATGTTTTGCTGCATGGTGAGCTGGTGGAAGGCATGTCAGTGGTTGACAGATTATGGACATCCGGACAGTCTGAGAGCACACTGTGTCGCTGTTTTACAGGCAGAAAAGCGGTTCACAGAGGCATAGTATGCACTGTACGATATCCGGCCCGTCCTCTCTGACACTTGGACTGGGCCAAGAAGGTGGGGGGGGCCTCAATTCTGGTTTGGACTAGAGAAATAAGATGGCGCAAGTCAAACAGATCCGAATCTTTATCACGACATTGAAGAACAGCATCATCTTTGGATAACACTAGTACGGATACTCGCACTCACATTCAGTGACAGAGTAGAATAGAATCTCACTCTCACTCCATCAGCGGGAACCATAACGACACCCTCAGGAACACTGCAAATGGGTACCTGGATTTCATGCACGATATATGGCCACAATGGATCTGTTGGCACAACGCCCCGCAACATATCGTGATTCTCCAACAGGAAGCCAAGTGGGAAATAATTAGCATAGCATAGAAAAGGGACGGACTATGGCCTACAGGACGGTGCAGTCCAGTACTATTTTGGTGGATGGAGATGGAGATGGCTGGTTTATGGGCCCTCGACTAGGGCCTTCATCGCTGGTGATAGGCCGAATTGCTTGATTCATGGGAAAGTCTATCGGGACTCGACTGGATCGGGGTACTGTCAAGAGCTTCGGATTAATGGCGCCGCCCGCGGCTACGAGGTGGTTGGCTGGTCCTTGGGTAGATCTGTTTGTGTTTGTATGGCGCTCGCAGGTGTTTTCTTAACAGGTTAGCCAGCTTCAGTCATGCCATCGATCCCTCTTCAGCAATTGGTCAATACTGGACCCCCCAGGAGAGGCGCAGGAAGGTTGCAGCAGTAAGGGTTCCGGGGGGGTGCAGGCGGGTCGTGACCGTCGTGTGAACTGCACTGGAGCGGACGCCGCCAGCGGATAGGCTTAAGTAGCGGCTACTCTAGTGGGTGGGCGCCTCCATCCCAGGTGGCTTGGCCATTGGCTGCGTCTCCCGACGGCTTCACCGCTTCTTCCCCCATCGACAAACCGCCCACAGCAGCGAGACTAACCCATGATCTACCCGTTGAGCCTTCTCCAGCAGTCCCTCTCCTTCTCCAGCTGCTCCAAAACCTTCTCCCTTCACTTCAACAGGGACTTCACGAAAGAGCGGTGTCGTCCGCTGAGTTCCTACAACATTATCGATCATCCGTGTCTATTACTCCGCTTCCCTTCTGTTTTTGCCCAGAATGACTTACGACTTCAACAACGGCGGGGGTGATGCCTATCTCGACTTGACGACCTTTGACACTCGAAATCGCGTTGCTTACCAAACGTACTCGACAGCCACGGCCCATTCGAGTCCTTCGGCCGCTTCAAACATCATGTCCCAGGACGCCCGCCACTGGGCCGGTTCCCTCGATATGTCTTCAAACCACTCTCACGGATATGCCTCAATGAGCCCGGAGGAGCACCACTCCTCTCCTCCATCGCAGTCCGCCAGCCCTCACAGCCAGCATTCGCCGTTACAACAATCGCCTTTCCAGCAGACCGTGAATCCCCTGACAGATTGGGCCCTTCAGCAACAGCAGCAGCAACAACAGCATCAGCAGCATCTCGCTGCTGCTGACATGACCCAGTTCATCCACGATGCTGCGCTCATGAGCTACAATGCTTTCCCTACCAACTTCCAGCCGACAAATCCCCTTGACTACCTTCCTGCGACCACCCAGGCTGCTCTCCAGGCGAACCTTTTGGAATCGACCTTCAACGCCATGCCCACCATGGACGACCACAGCCAAACGGTTCAATGGCCCAGCACCGGAATGGAGAATTGGCAGGAGTTCCAGAACACTCTGCAGATGGATGGATTGCCTCGTCTCGATAGCGTTGGCAGCAACTCGCCCACCGGTACTTATCTCGAGGTCCTGTCTCTTCCTTCGTCATCAGGTGAGGGCTGGGCCATGGTGGACTGGAATCAGCCCAACTTCGACCAGTTCCAGCAGGCCCACGCTCAAGGTGCTGCCATCTTCAACCCATCTCAGACTCTTCACTTGAGGACCAACTCCGATTCATCCGATGGCGCCAATTCAATGGAGTTTGGAAGCTTCGAGGAAATCCCACCTTTCCCTTACTCTCCTTTCTCCCCCGAGTCTGACGGTTACGTCGATGCTGGCGCCCACCGCAACTGCTTCACCAACGACGGCCACAACCACAACCACAACCACAACCACGCCCATCACCACAGCCCTCAGCCCGTCGCCGTTACCACTGTGGCCACTGTCCCCATCAAGTCGGAGCCCTCTTCAAGCCGCCACAGTCCCGGAAGTGGTGCTGGATCCGTATCCCCCTCATCCTCCAGCACTAACCGCAGGAACTCGGGCCCCCGCAAGAGCCCCATCGCCAAGAGCACTACTAAGAATGTTGTTCGACGCATTTCCAATGGCAAGAAGGATGGTACTGTTGAGAAGAAGGTTGGCCGCAGAAAGGGACCTCTCCTGCCTGAGCAGAGAAAGCAAGCCAGTGAGATCAGAAAACTCAGAGCTTGCCTGCGATGCAAGTTCCTCAAGAAGACCTGTGATAAGGGAGAGCCCTGTGCTGGTTGCCAGCCTTCTCATGCTCGTCTCTGGCAGGTTCCTTGCACACGTATCGACATTAAGGATATTGGTTACTTCATGAAGGACTGGAAGGCCGATTATGAGCGACACATGGATCGCGGTGTCTCAGTCTACAACGTCAAGGGCTTCGCCCAGAAGGAGACTCTCATGTGGATCACCCACGGATATGGTTTTGCCCTCCCCGTCATGGTCCGCGAGGTCTTTGTCGCCGATGACAGCTGCTTCTCCGTTGACTGGGTTGAGTCCACACTAACTGACCAGGAGCCCATCGACTTCGAGACTCGCACTGAGAAGCTCGATGTCGGTGCTGAGGGCATCCGCCTTGATGCTCTGTCCGAGTACCTTGACAAGCACATCGACGGACCTTTCGAGGATTTCATTGACGACCATTTCGAGGGTACTCCCTTTATCACCGAGATTCTCAAGACCGCTCACCGCTTCTACGTCAAGGAGAAGATGCCTGTCATCCGAAAGTCACTCAAGCTTGTCCTCGCCTACAACCTTACCATGCACATTACCATGGTCGAGAACCAAGGATCAGAGGTTGATCTTGATGGCCAGATCGATGACGAGGACTCCAAGTACTACGGCCGCACTGTCGCCCCTGTCATGATCAACTTCCAGATCAAGTGTGCCCTTGCCGATATGTGGCGTGAGCTTCAGAAGGATATCCTCGAGGAGCTCTCTGCTCTGTACTCTGGTGTCTACAGTGGTGAGAAGATGAAGAACTGGCCTACCATCTTCATGATTGCCTCCATCCTCCTGGCCGTCTGGGAGGAGATGCAGTTCGACTGCCACTACCGTGTCCCCGACCCTATCGCTGTCAACAAGTTCTGTACCGACATGGAGACAACACCTGTTGGTGTTATTGTGGGTCTCTTCCACGCCATCTCCCAGAAGCTCCCCTCCTTCACCGACTGGGACACCCGCAAGCACGGTCACCTCCTTCACAACAACACCTCGGTTTGCGAGGCTATGACTGAAGTACGACAGCATGTTATCAAGCACGGTATGTTCCCTCTCCAATGCCATCTCAATGTAACCCCCACTAACAACTTTCACAGAGGCTTATCTTCGTACCCGCAAGGAGTCCAAGTTCGACCGTTACGACTTTGACTCTCTGTCTAACAAGTTCCTCTCCAAGCTTGTTATCCGGGCCAACTAAGACAACTATATCCAAGCAAGCGATGCTACGACACTGTCAAAAAATATGATGGCGCTCTTTAGGCGCCAACCTTTTCCTTTGTTACATATTTGTTTTTATCACAGCGACAGCGTTGGCAAGGCCTCTTCAATCTTGGTCAACAGCGACCCCAGAATTGTCCTTTTGAGCATACGAACATGAATATTACATTCTATCACGGCTGGTCACCGCCCGACAACACGAAGCAACCTGACACGGGAAAATGTGTTATGACCTTCTTATGACTTTCTTCTATGAATGTATGACTTGAACAAGACAGAGCGATTTAGTTCTTTTTATCATATTTTTTTGTTTTGAAATCTTGGAGACAGGATCACGTACCATACAGACGAAAGCGAACCTCACCCATTTTGTGGTGTTATTATGGGATCATGTTTGATGATGTGGCATTTGAGGAATGATTGATTTTGCATGGCTGAAGAGCCTACATGGAGGTGTGAGTGATTTATCTTATCGAGGGCGTTGATGAGCTCAAGTGGGCTGGGCTCGCGACAAGCAGTGGTCGATAGAGCAGAGCAGAGCAAGGCAGAGCGAACTATGATTTTTTAAGCAATTTGACAAAGGGAAGGATGTTGGAATAGTTACAAAAAAGGCTAAATGCTAGGCAAGTGCTATAGTACTGCCACGAGTATATTGAAATGATTTTTAAAATACCTGAAGACCCGAACATGAATACCAAGTGATGTACAAAGTAGCACCTAGCCACTTCCTCGGCCACGATCAGATAAGAGTCAGAAGCCTACAGCACTATACGCGACTTCATTCCTCTGATCTTTAGCGTGAATCACCTGGTGTTCGAGCGTCCGAGACAATGTCTCACCTCACCCAGGAGCTTTCCAGTTGCGGCAAACTTGTGAGTCCTGCATCTTAATGGAAAAGGTTAGACCACGGCCAGCAGTGGTATCAACTAAGACATCAAAACGAACGAAGCCAGCCAACCCTATAGTCTGTCTAATCCTGTTTGCTTCCTCAGCCAGCTGAAGAAGCTTGTTGGATAACCCCCTTGACACGGCCCGATGTGACAGTAAACAGACTGGGGTCGGGAAGCAGCACTGTTGGTACGGGATGACAGCAGTATTCCTTACACAGGGTAGCTAAGAATGTTCTGAAGACAGAATATGGTATCTATCATCTCTGCAACTCGGCAAGAAGATTGGATGGCCGTCGTGCTGGCGTTTCAGCGTGATAAGCACTATGTTATCTTTTTGTGAAGGGGAACGGAACAGACATGTTCAAGCATTACCGAGCTATCTTGGCGTCGGAACCGTCAAGGTCAAGACTGAAGAGGGTGCCAACACCACGAAAGGCGGGGTCGTGATAAGACGCAATGGCTGCGCAATCGTCCGCAATGTCGAGTCATTATCAGCTTTGATAGCATCTTTCAATGATCCGCAAAGATAGATCTGGGTATCTGCCACATCTGGAGACAACCATGGCTGGGAAATCAGCTTACTCCGTCGGGCATTGTCGTTTACAAAAGTTCGAAACGGACCAGCCTCGCAGTGTTGCATCCAACAACTCAACGTGTTGATGCGAACAGGGTGGTCTTTGAGAGACAGGGTCCTCACGGGCCAGAATCGTGAGCTGATGACGTCGCAGGCCTGGCGGGACCGGATTCAGCGCAGACAGCAGAAGTCGGTGACCCCCCCGCACCACTTGAACTTGAAGAGATGGAAGTTAAGCTATCGTCGCTGTGACAAATTCGGCGTAGCAGGCTGCAACTGAGAATTGGAATCAAAGACTCCAAATACATGTCCGTCCAGGTGCATGTCCGTGAAGGGACCCTCCCGTCTTTGTAAGTGGTGCTGGTCCACTTTGAGTTTAATCTCGGTATGGATGTTGATCGTGAGCGCTGGCAACGTGGTGCCTGAGCGAAAGGCCTGGATGTGGCCAGTTTGGAGTAAAGATCAACTATGATCTGCCGTAGGATGCTTGATAAATTGGCCACTCTTTGAAATATTTTCCACATTGTTTAAATGCTGTTTGTAAGACCTGTTCAGTCAAACATTGCTTTTTGACCTTTTCCCGGGGTAAAGTGGCGACATGCCGCTGCCCAGGCCCCGCCACTCCGCTCCGGTGCATTCTAGCGCTTTGGCCGTGGGTATCTGCTGATGGCCCGATGGTGAATCACGGCGGTGACGGGCAAAGCTGCAAGTGAATGCGACGTCCATGACGGGCAGAGTCGCAAACTGATAAAGCAGGCGCTTGCGGACGGGTTGAGTCTTGGATTTGAGGCTGCGATATATGCCGTATGTTCTCGGGGTGTCTCTCATTTATAATCAACTTCTAGACTCTGCTCGAAAACACCAGAGCATGAACGAGCGAACGAGCAAACGAGCACGTTGATGGCCGCAGTCTGACTTTCAACCTTTGGACCCACTTTCGCATGATAAGTGACAATGCATGTTTCGGATACTTCAATGTCACCTTGTGAAAGGCAGAAGCCTGAAGTACTCCCGACTTACTGTGGCGCTTGGCAGCCTGGCCAGATTCTGGAGCCTTCTCTAGTCGTCGCCGTCATTGGCTCTCATGAATCATCCGCCCCCGGAAGGTGCGCTCCTTGTCTGCAACGCCTGCCTTGTTGCTACTGTTCGTCACTAGCAGGCCGCAGGCGTAATCCAGTCACTGCGCCCCCTCGCACCTACCACTTGCGCGCCGGCTGCCCGCTTGATTATCAAACAAGCAGTGCCTACCCCTCAGCACCTACTTAAACCTCCTCCCAACTCCTTCCGACTTCATCCTCTTTTCTTTCTACAACATCTCCCTCACACACACATTTACTCTCGCTCAAGACTAGCGATAAGATCATCTACCTTCTCTCATCCGAAACACAACAGAACATTCGCATCGTAACACCGCCATCATGCAAATCTTCGTCAAGACCTTGACCGGCAAGACCATCACCCTCGAGGTTGAGTCTTCCGACACTATCGACAATGTCAAGTCCAAGATTCAGGACAAGGAGGGAATTCCTCCTGACCAGCAGCGATTGATTTTCGCTGGCAAGCAGCTTGAGGATGGCCGAACCCTCTCTGATTACAACATCCAGAAGGAGTCCACCCTCCATCTCGTCCTCCGCCTCCGTGGTGGTATGCAGATTTGTAAGTAACACAGACATCATCGCCACCAGGTTCGCCACTAACATCTTTCTTCAGTCGTCAAGACCCTCACTGGCAAGACCATCACTCTTGAGGTCGAGTCCTCCGATACCATCGACAACGTCAAGTCGAAGATCCAGGACAAGGAGGGAATTCCTCCTGACCAGCAGCGATTGATTTTCGCTGGCAAGCAGCTTGAGGATGGCCGAACCCTCGCCGACTACAACATCCAGAAGGAGTCTACCCTTCATCTCGTCCTCCGCCTTCGTGGTGGTATGCAAATCTTCGTCAAGACTCTTACCGGAAAAACTATCACATTGGAAGTCGAGTCATCTGACACCATCGACAATGTGAAGAGCAAGATCCAGGACAAGGAGGGAATTCCTCCCGACCAACAGCGACTTATCTTCGCTGGCAAGCAACTGGAGGACGGACGAACCCTTTCTGACTACAACATTCAGAAGGAGTCAACTCTGCACTTGGTTCTTCGTCTGCGTGGTGGTATGCAGATTTTCGTCAAGACTCTCACTGGAAAGACTATCACCCTCGAGGTCGAATCAAGTGACACTATTGACAACGTGAAGAGCAAGATTCAAGACAAGGAGGGTATCCCCCCTGACCAGCAGCGTCTTATCTTCGCTGGTAAGCAGCTGGAGGACGGTCGCACTTTGAGCGACTACAACATCCAGAAGGAGTCTACCCTTCACCTTGTTCTCCGACTTCGTGGCGGTCAGTAAGCGACCTCACAAATGGCGATGGATTTACGACGGCGTTTGGGACTTCGGCATGTGATTTTAAATCAGGCATCTACCAGGCCTGATATGACTAGCATATCCAGCTATTAAGTAGCTTTTTCGCACATGCAACAACATTGCAAATTGCCAATAGACTTGATTAAGGTCTAAGAGACTGTTCTATGACTTGAGTGATGTTTGTTTCTTGTAATTTTTCTTTCCCCAGACTTAAACGATGTATGTAAGTTGGTATTGCGCTGAGTGGGGTGCCCCTCATGCCCAAAGCCCCACAGCCCAGGTCATGATGGGTGGGGCTGAAATAATGCTCATGAGCTTTAAGCCACCAACTTAATCTTTCCTCTTTAAAAACTTGTCTCTCTGTCCCATCGTGCTTTTTTTGCCGTCCCACGCTGGCATATGATGATTCACAAACACTTACTTAAACACCATCTCTTTTTGCCCCCATAGTAATCGATAACATCTTTCTTTTACCACTTCCTCCAGTCCGAGCTCGCGACCAGGCCGCGCATCTTGCCAACAAGCGATCCAGCGGCGGCTTGATACGTTAGGCTATGCCGTCTTACTTCTACCATCTAAAATTCGAGCTTTATCCGACTCCTAATCCGATCGCCGAAGCCTCAGAGTCGGATCGCGAGGCTACCTGGCTTCCACCTCCAGAAGCTGGTGTCTTTGATGACTTCCCATTTCACCCACGACCAGACCGACAAACGACATACCAAGTGCCGACCTCCGATTACTCTAGACCAGGCTCTACGAACCATACACACCCATATACGCTTGCGGGACAGAATTCGTCGTCGTCAAGCTTAGGAATAATAGACTGTGGCGCAGCCGCGAGAGCGCCGGCTAAGGAATCCGATCGAAAGATTGAGATCGTATCAGAAAGGCAGTGGCTCGAGCGGGCAAACAGCTTCCCACCTCCGAACTCAAGTGTTGCAATACACCCACAAGCCGCAGTTAGAGACTGGCGGTTCGGCCGTGTAAGCCTCGAAACGGTCGATCTACGAACTGCTCACGCAATGGCTGGCGAGGCTAGTCGAACCGGCCCGTCCGCGGCTCCTTTACTAGGACCGACATTCGGAGGCGCTGGAACTGCGACCAAGGCCAAGTTCCTCCCCCTCGAGACGAAAAACACTGAGCTTGGATGGGGTGTTGTACATTTCTACCGAGAAGGAGACGAGACACCCGGACTGGTTGAGGTGGATCATCATGAAAGCGAGACTGCCAATTTGAAGGATGATGACTGCACAACTCTCTGTATCCCAGCAGTCCCTGCCTACATGTCCCCGGGCGACCTAATGGGATTTGTAGGTGAGAAGTGGACGGGTGATATCAGTCACTGCCGCATGGTCATGACTTCGCGGATGAACAGATACCTCGTTTTGCTCAAATTTCGAGATAACTTTCGAGCAAAACAATGGAGGCGGGAGTTTGATGGCAGGGTGTTTAACACTATGGAAGTGAGTGATATCATGGGAGCTGACAGGACATTTGCTAACATACGGCAGCCTCAAATATGTCATGTAGTATTTGTCAAGAGTATAACATTCGAAACGCCGACGCGCAGAAAGTCCAGCACTGCTCTCTCGCCCTTATCCTCGTCAGCCGGTATGTCGAGTAGTCTCAGACCGTTTCCTCCTCCTACGCCGAATTTGGTGGAACTGCCCACCTGCCCCGTATGCTTGGAGCGCATGGACGAAACGAACGGATTGATGACAATTCCATGCTCTCACGTTTTTCATTGCACCTGTCTCCAAAACTGGAAAGGTGCAGGCTGTCCGGTGTGTCGATTCACCAACACTTCACCTGGCGCTGAGTCGGATCCAACAAATCCTCATACACAGCCATTTGGCTCTGGGGCTTCAAATCTTTGTAGCGTCTGCGATTGTACAGATGATCTATGGATCTGTTTAATCTGTGGATACGTTGGCTGCGGTCGGTATAAAGGTGGTCATGCGAAGGACCATTGGAAAGAGACCGCACACTGTTTTGCCCTGGAGCTAGAAACACAACATGTCTGGGACTATGCTGGAGATATGTGGGTGCACCGACTCATCAGAGATAAGGGCGATGGAAAAGTGGTGGAGCTGCCATCGAGAAATAGATCAGTTGGTCACCTGGAAGAAGAAGATGTTGTGCCCCGGGCGAAGCTCGACAGCATTGGCCTGGAGTATACGCATCTAGTCACAAGCCAACTCGAGTCCCAACGCGCATACTACGAAGAGCTGATTAGCAAGACAGTCGACAAGGCCTCGAAAGCATCCGCTACTGCTGAAGAGGCTGCTGCTCAGGCTTCAAAAGCCATGGAGAGACTTACACTGCTGGATGCTAAGTACACAGCGCTCAGTCAAGATACCATTCCAGAGCTAGAGAAGCAACTTGCCCGAGAGCGCAACAAGGCGAACAAGAGTGAAACTCTGGCCCGTAACCTTAGTAAATCCCTCCAAGAGGAGAAGCGCTTGAACGAGGGGTTGATGGAACGCATTGAGCATCTCAACCGCGACCATCAAGCAATGATCAAGGAGGTTGAGAAGCTCAAAGAGGACAATGCTGAGCTTCAAGAGACAAACCGAGATCTGAGCATGTTCATATCTGGACAGGAAAAGTTGAAAGAGCTGGAAAACGAGGGCAAGATTGAGGAGGGAGAGCTCGAAGGTGGCAGTGCAAGTGTGCCAGAGAAGAAGAGCCGACGACGAGGAAAGCGTTGATTGGGCTTTACAATTAAACAAGGATAATTACTATGCCATGTTACAGATAGATGTTAGCGACTTAATGCAGCGTTTGTTCTCATTCAGACGTTTCGTTCCTTCTCGAAAACTATAATTCTTGAGGCGTGATTGATGCATGATAACGACTATCGTCGGCTATAGCTAACAGCAGCATAATGCATAGCACGCAGGGCTTATATGCATGCAGAAGCAGGGGATTTGCCAAGGTAAGGCGTGCGCCGTGCAACACATCTCTACAAACCCAACCCAGCGTCTGTGAAGGTGTGAAGATCCTTTCGACCTCGGGATACCTCGACAGACGACCAAATGGGTCATGTATACTGTTACTGGTAGTTGGAGTGCACACCCTCCTGACATCTGATGGCGCATTAGACTCTCAACCACCCACACCCAATACGATTTGAGGTGATGTTTTTGTTGAGGTTTGGCTACTGTCGACAATACACTTTTAAAGCATTGCCAGCTTCTGCATTTTGGCTTGGCTCTTGGTAACTCAACGAAGCACATAAAAAACTGCAATAATGGAGACTCACACATGCATGATGTAGCTGAGAAGCTTTACAATTTGACATGTGAAGATTCGGGTGCACGGATGTGTTTTGTGTACCTTGTTTCTCGGAAATTCGTAAAAATGGAATTCGGAAAAGGACCATATGAATATCGGGACTATGTTCTGTGATGGATCGGTTGGTGCCGGGGTTGAATAGACTATGAGTACCTAGCTGACGATAGTGGTGTGAAATAACTTGTGATTCATTGACTACTACCTTGTGGTGCAAGGTGTCTGTCTGTCTGGGCAAAGGAGGAGCATGCATGCGGTGATACTTGGAAGTTCCAATTGCTTCAATTTAGACAGCTCAATACTATCTGTTGTAAACTGCGCCGCTATTCTATGTCTTATATCTGGCATGTTCTGGTACATCAATGTCTCTTATCTCATGGATTGCGTTGGTGATGATGACCTATCCGGCTGGGCTGCACAGTTAGTACCGTGCCGTACCGGATCTCCGATGTAAGTGGGGTGACATACAGTTCGCAGGGGGGAAACACCGAGAGCGAGTACGGACGGGTCTGCGCCGCAGTACGGAGTAGGTCTTGGAAGGTTCTATTGCTTGAGGAGTAAAGTGGGCGATTCAGTGGTTCAAAAGGAAACTCATAGACGAGGATATCATCCGAATAAAAGAGAAAGGCCTTCAAGAGTCTTCAATTCATGAGAAAGCGCTTTGACATTTAACTTATCCACTAGAACTGCAGCTCTCAGCTCGAAAATCCGCCTTTCCTCACTGGGCAGGCACCTTAGGTATTCTCTTGCCTTCCCCTCTAGACTAGGTCCCCAACCCCAGTCCCAACTACTTCTCCATCTCCATCTGCATCTCCATCCTGTCTCCATCTCATTTTGTCGCTCGCCAGGAATGTAAAGGGTTCAAATATAACTTATCGGCAAGACCCCGTCTTCAACCCGCTATATAACTTATCTCGCCCTACTCTTACTCCTACTCCCTACCTCCCGCCCGACCATCTTCCGTCTGCTCCGTACAGAGGCCCGCCGCCCCTCATATCGAATACACCTCGCTTGTCTAGCTCTGCTAAGATTTTTACCATATCGACATCCACAGCCCGACATCAAAATACAGTGTTCATCCTCTGTTCCAAGAGCGCTGGTCTCTTCCTCGTTCGCCCAACATGTCTAAACATGCTGGGACCAAGGACGCGGCAGCGCCGCAGGCCGCGACAAATTCGACCCCGCAGAAGGAGTTATATCCCATGGTGAACTGGAAGTACGACATGTTTCTCTACACTGTCGGTAACATTGTCGATATGTTCTTCCGAGAAGTTGTACCTCGAGGTGCCTGGCGCGTTCCTCAAACTGGTCCTGTGCTGTTCGTTGCTGCGCCGCATGCCAATCAGGTGAGTTATGCTCTTGACCTTGGTCCTGTGATTGCAACATATCTTCGGGCCAATGACACAAAACAGTGCTTTTAGGCTTTGTGGTAATTCCTAGGTTATTAACACCAACTATAGTTCGTCGATGCTATTATCCTCCAGCGCACCCTCCGTAATGAAGCTAAACGACGAGCGTCTCTTCTCATCGCCCAAAAATCGGTCCACGGCTTTATTGGATGGGGTTCACGACAGGTCGGTTCGGTTCCTGTTGGCCGCGCTCAAGATGCCGCGAAACCAGCGACCGGGACCATCTACCTCCCCGATCCCATCAACGACCCGACTCTAGTACGTGGTATTGGCACCAGATTCGGAGAGGGTGAGGGCGAGGTTCAGGGCATGCTTTTCCTTCCGTCTACCAAGAACCAAAGCGGCGCCAGCGTCGATATTTCTCAGATTCTCGGTCCCGAGGAGATCCGTGTCAAGCGACCTTTTAAGGGTAAGATCGCTTTGCAACAGCTCACGGGCCGTGACGACATCGATAAAGACGGCAACTTTACCAATAAGGATGTGAAGGGGCCTGCTCAGGACTACCAGGGCACCAAGTTCAAGTTGGCACCTCATATCGACCAGACCAAGGTCTACGAGGCCGTCTTCTCCCGCCTGTGCAACGGTGGCTGTGTCGGTATCTTCCCTGAGGGTGGTAGCCACGATCGCACAGAGCTCCTACCTCTCAAGGCTGGTGTCGCAATCATGGCTCTGGGAACTCTGGCCCAGGACCCTGACTGTGGGCTCAAGATCGTCCCAGTCGGCATGAACTACTTCCATGCCCACAAGTTCCGCTCACGCGCCGTTGTCGAGTTTGGTGCTCCTTTCGAAATTCCTCGCCATCTTGTTGAGCTTTACTGCAACAACCAGCGTCGTGAGGCCATTGGACAGGTCCTCGACACAGTTTACCAGGCCCTCAACTCTGTCACCGTGTCCGCGCCCAATTTCGATACGCTCATGGTGGTCCAGGCTGCCCGTCGACTCTACAACCCTACAGGCAAAAAGCTCCCACTGCCGGTGGTGATCGAGCTGAACCGCAGGTTATGTATGGGTTATGAGAGATACAAGAACGACGAGCGCATTACATCTCTGTCCGCCGCGGTCAAGGAGTACAACTCACAAATACGATACCTCAACTTGAAGGATCATCAGGTACAGTATGCCAAGATGAACATGATTAAGGTCATTTTCCTCTTCATCTACCGATCGATCAAACTACTCTTCCTCTTCATATGCGCACTCCCGGGCTTGATTCTCTTCGCGCCTGTCTTTGTGGCGACCAGGATTATCAGTCGAAAGAAGGCCAAAACAGCACTGGCAGGTTCAACTGTCAAGATCCGTGGCCGCGATGTCATGGCAACGTGGAAGATTCTTGTAGCAATTGGCCTCGCGCCTACGCTCTACCACATCTACTCGTCAATCATCACGTTCAAGGTTTGGCAAGACCGTCTTTGGGGTTATGTTCCCGAGGGTGTGCCACTGTGGGTGGTCTATTTCGCCTTGTGGCCGTTCATGGTTGGTATCACGTTTGCCTCCTTACGCTTTGGTGAGGTTGGCATAGATATCTTTAAGTCTCTCCGACCACTGCTCCTGTGCCTGACACCATCCTCAAACTACAACATTCACAAGTTGCGACTGAGACGAGCCGAGCTGAGCGCCCAAGTGACAGATGTTATCAACACGCTTGGACCTGAAATGTTTGACGACTTCGAAAAGGCACGACTCGTGCCTGATCTGTACAAGGCCGAGGGCGGTTCTGCCACCTCTCCCAAGTCACACAGACGGCAAGATAGCGATCAGTCCAGTACTGGATATGAGCCCGAGACACCACCTGCTCTTTCGCGCCGAAGCACGACGCAGTCAAGCCGAGCCCTCCCGCGCAACGATTCTTTCAGCAACATTGGACATGTGGGCATCTTCTCTACACGACCACCGTCTCGAGCCCGCAGTAGGTCGCGCTCGAGCAGCAGTGGAGGCGGTTTTGGATCTGGCGGGTTCCCGCTTAGTGGATTCACCACCCTGGATTCGTCGGGTGGATTTGATGAAGCGAGTCGCAAGATCCGAGAAGCTATGAAGAACAGACGGCACAAAACAGAACAGGAGAGGACGGAGGGAGACGAGGAAGATGAGGATAGTGAAGAGGAGGGTTACGATGAGGCGAGGAAGAAGAACGCATGAGCGAGAATGACTGATTGGTGGGAGAGGGAATGATGACAAGCGGCGCGCGGCTATAGCTTAGCAACTGGTAGTATTTGGATGGGCTACAGTATATCCTATCTGTTATAATAATTCCGTATGAAATGGATTTTTTTTTCAGCAATCAAATATCATATTGTTGATAAGGAAATGGAACGGTTTGAAGCGCAACATTGGTCAAGGTTGATGATCAGACTACTGCGATATTTCGGCACTTGGTGAGAACCTCAATGACCTTTAGGTAAACAACACGAATAAAAACCTGGGGCTGCGCACTAACATTGGTCTAAGACTCTAAGTAAGTGGCTTGTCTCAGGGCAATGCCGGGGTTAATGACAGCTGAGATTGGAGAACTGGGGTTTGACGAGCCCTGACCAGTCCCAACAGAAGAAAATACGACATGACAGGATCTGATAACTCTTTTTTTTTTTTTTTGGTGGGAGCCGATCCAATGGGCAATGACGTGCCGATGTTATGCTATCAGGGCTCGGGGATCGGATTTAGACGGGACTGGCAATAGAGCGAAGTAATTGAGCGAGATGTTGAGGAGTGAAAGAGTATTTGAAGCAGTGCAGCGGTCGTTCGATGGTGTAAGAGAAATATTTGGTCATTTTTGTACGATTTACCCATTTGAACACCTTGCGATAATAGACTTTTAATCTGATCTGATCTGATTGATTATTTGATTATCAATCAGTAGCTGTCTCACCATTACCAATTAATTAGCCTATCAAGTGGATCGGCATCAGTATCATAGTCACTCTGTCAATTCCGAGCCGAACGGCATCTGGAGTAGAACGGCCCTAAAAATCCAACCGAAGGTCTCTTCTCTTACACCATGACTTTATCCTCCACACCTAAACATCCCCATTCTCAAAACTCACCTCCTTCAACCTCAAAAACAGCCGCTACACCTTCTTGGCTCCCGCGCGCACCACCAAAGCAAAGAATGGCCCTCTCGTTCAAAAACCTCGTGAGCTCCGTGCTAGGCAGCGGAGCCGCCAAGGACGACGACAAGCCGCCCTCTGCTTCGGAGCTTTTTGTCAAGACGGATCCTAAAGTGGACGGCGAGGAGTGTCTGCACGACTGCGAGAACTGCTCTGCGCGGTATCCCAGGGGCTTCAAGATCGAGGAGGAGGATGTGCTGTATGGGCATGTTGAGGCCTGGAGTACGCATCTTCTGGTGGGGACCGGAAAGACGGATTGGGTGAGGGATGTGGCAGATGAGGAGGGCAGTGTGATGGAGGCATTTTCTAAGGCGAGCGAGCCTACGAATGGGGTGAGTTTCTTGTCTTGAATCTGTGAATGAGATAAGACTGTGTCTATCTCACTCAAGCCAATTCAGTCACATCAAATTTTCATTAACAGCTGCTAACAACTCACAGAAACTCAAACTCTCGGCATCTAATATGCCCACTCCTCATGACACAGACGACTACTCTGAGCCCACAACCCTTCTTCTCTTACCAGCTTTCAAACTCCTTCACAACGTCCACCCGCTCAGTGTGCCCCAGATCGTCACCGAGGTCATCAACCGAGCACCCACCAGCGTCTCTCCCCTCAACCCCACGCCCCTCCCCGCTTCCCTCCCATCTCCAGACCCAGCCGCCGGCATCCCTGACGTCTCTCTGGCCGACTGCCCTCACAGCGCCGTGATCCTCATGTGCAGCCATCGAACGCGTGACGTCCGTTGTGCGCAGAGTGCGCCTGTTCTGAGGAAGGAGTTTGAGCGCCAGCTTAGGCCGTTGGGTCTGTATCGGGATTTGCACGATGAGAGGCCCGGTGGTGTTGGTATATACTACATCAGCCACGTAGGAGGACACAAGTACTCTGCCAATGTTATGATCTACCGGCGACCGAATGCTTTTGGTCTGGATGATCCGGTTGCCGAGAAGCAGAATGGGGTAAGCGGTGCTGAGAAGAACGGCAATGGCGTTAATGGTGTAGAAGAGCAGAGTCCTGGAGCATCTCAGGGTATCTGGCTCGCTCGTGTCATGCCCGAAGACTGCGAGAATCTCATCCGTTATACAGTCCTGAGGGGTAAGGTTGTCAAGCCGGAACGTCAGCTACGAGGCGGTTTTGACCGTAGCAGAGGAGTCATGAGCTGGTGATGTACATGGTGATAAGAGAAGGAAGACTATGCTGGACAGAAGAGGAAGATCGAAGGAAGAGGATGATACCCATGGTCCTGCATAGTGGAGGGACTCCTACAGGAGCGAATGGATCTTCTTTTGTTTAAGAACTGGGCAGCATATGGCTGATGCATGAGCTATAGAGTATTATTAGATGGAGGGATATAGAGTATGAGTCTGGCTATGACATAGAACGCAAAAGGCAACAGGATTCTTCCACGATTAGAGAGTTATTGCGGATACAAGATGTAACCATGCCGATCATATGTTTCGTTCAGAGTGTTATCAGTGTATTCTCGCAACACGTCACGTCAACATTTACATTTACAGGCACAGACAAAGCCTTGATTAGAGTATGTACGAGTCCACAATTTTGTCTTAGACTTTATATGACGAACCCACTGGATCGCATCCTCTCAACCCCAGCCTCACTCTTCCTTCTGATCGTCGTCGTCACCTCCTTTGATAACGGGCGGACATATCAATATCCGTACAGTTACAAAATAAGAAGGTCCTCCCCCTTGGCGATCTGCAAAAAATCAAAAATACCTACCGGAAACACGTTTTCCGTACCTTGCAGCATCATGAAACTGCAGAACCTAAAAAACGAGAGCTTCAATTTGGGCAAGATTAGACGTTTTTTTTGAGTGATTGGTTGGTGGAGAAACAAAAAAGAAGCATCAAAAGTCGTTCCCGTAAACTTGAAACGGCTCCTGTCGAGGAACTGTTGGTGGGGCTTTTGTTTGGCTGGAGCTGAATGTTCTGTTCTGTTCTGTTTCTTTGCGTTACGCGTCGTTTGTTTGGAAATATGTGGGTTTGAATCCCTTTTTTATGGAGACTGTGATAATTCTTGGTTTCTGGGGGGTTGGAATGGCATATGACGATAGGTTGAGATTATCTAAAGCGAATATTCAAGAGAAGAGAAGAAATAAGTCGAGTTTTACTATTATATTAGAATAAATGATTAAATTAAGAATTTAAGGTTATTCATTGTAAAGCCATAATATACGCGGTCTTGGAATAGGTGCGGTAAGCTCGTCCTCCCATAGATTATCACCATCTTCCATATCATCCAAGCTTTTCCCATAGCCAAACAACACAAGCTTTTTGGGGGCCTTCCCCGTAAAGTACGAGTAAGCTTCTCATCAAGACGATACTCTAGCGGCCCGCTCTTTTATCTGCCGGTTGTCTACGGGGATTTACGCCATCGGCCCTACTGATTCGCTCACAGCAAAAGCAGACATCACTACATCCTGGCTTCTTGTTTTACCCTTATTGAATATGTACTAATTATCCATTCCCAATTGTGGTACCAGGGCTGATCACTCAAGGGTCCTAACGGACAATTCTTCCGTCGTGGGAAAGATTTGCAGACTATCAGGGGGGCTCAGTGGATGTCCTGCTATGGCAACAGGTATATAGCATAGCATCATCTCGCTGCTTGAACAGAAAAGATAGAGACAAAAACAGGTTCTTACATTCAATCCCCATTCTTTTCTCTTCCAGCTCTATTCTTAACAACATCTTCAACACTTCCTTGTCGTTGCCTTGGTCTGTGACCCAATATCTGTCTCTTATCCTTGTTTGTCTGAGCTGGTCTCGTTCGTTATAAAGACTCGAAGTCATCACCACATTCTCTGTCTCTTCAGAACAACTACATCCATTCCACCACTCTATCTCTTTAACAACATTTCCAAAAAAAAACCCATCAAGATGAAGACCGGTTTCGTTGCCTTTATCCTCGCCGCTGCGGCTCCCCTTGCCCTGGCTGCTCCTTTCCACCGTGAGTAAAGCTCTTGACGAGATTCTGTGGATGTATACTGATATTTCTCTTAGCTCCTGGCTTTGGAGGCTTCTTCCCTCCCCCCACCAACGGCACTCAGCCTGGTAACGGTCAAGTCCCTGGTGCCCCCGGAGCATCTGGAGCACCAGCACCTCCAGCACCCGGAATGCCTGGTGCATCTGGAGCCCCTGGTGGACCTGGTGGTTGGTTGCCTGTCCCTCCTCCTTCTGGCGGTCAGCCTGGCGGACCTGGCGGTGGTAAGTGATACTTCAACCTCACTCAGTCGAACTATTTATACTAACACTACTTCTAGCTACCCCTACTCCTCTACCTGTCATCCCTACTCCTCCTCCCTCTGCCCCCATCTTCACTCCTCCTGCTGTCCCTGGGGTTCCCTCTCCTGCTCCCACCGAGCCTGTTGTGGCCCCCACTCCCACCCCTTTTGCTCGCAAGTAAAAGACGGCAAAAGTCTTTGAACGAGCTTCTTTCTGGTTGTAAATATGGAATAGCACATACTGCGAGTAGCTAGACGGGTTAGATTTTTGGATCCTTGTTATATATATTGATAGAGTGCTGCGAGTCGGCAAATGAACACAGACTCGATTTGAGTTGTACCTTGACTTATTATTCCAAACGGCGTGTGTCAGAAGTGGCTTTAGTTACTGGAGTTGTCCAATTTGTGTTCCGACATTGGCTTAATACCATTATTATGGAGGAGTCATCGTCAAGAGTAAAGTGTAGCCTGAGATAAGTCTGATGGGCTTAAATGATGAGTATGCTTGCTATAGAAGATAATCCAGTTAATCTTTGTTGCGTATACAAGTCTCCGGCGCTGAAGTTGCCTCTTTGAGCCAACAATAACAGCTTTGGGCCAATGAGAAGCGAGGTGCTCCTCAGGGTAAGCTTATGGATCTCAGAACTTCACTTCGATAGCAAAGAATAAATAATACCAGGAATTGTTATACGCCTAGATAACTGTATCACTTTACTTGGTCTCTCTATGCCTAGATAATAAAAACATCCATATCCATAGCGGCGGCTTGTATAGTACCTTTGCTTATTTCCCAAGTCACTTGGTCGTCCTGAAAAGATTGAAAAGATACCCTGCGCCTTCACGCGATACTCGAACACTCACTTAAGAAGGCTGATAGATATCTAGTATGTGTTTCTCTTTATTAACTTCTATGAAGTTCAATACGCCTCATTGACTATCTATGCCCACGCAAGTTAACTTCTGACCTAACCTCTAATGTCCTTATAAAACACATCATGCTTGACATCTCTCCAACCAGTGTGTAATTCCTAATCGTCGATTATATTGGATTCGTAACACCTCGAACAATGGCTCTTGCTCAGACTTTGACTATGGATTGACTCTTCATCAACGTGGTCATCGAGGCTCTTGGCCCAGTCATTGCGCATGCGAATAAACGAATCTGATCCCCTCAGCCGAGCATACTCACGTTGTCCAGCTGCGATTAGGCTCTCAATCAAGCCCAGCTCAGTCTTCAACACTTGAAGATCATATCGGGACGAAAGTTCGCTTTTTGGACTGACACAGTAGTGGAAATCGATGGGGGCAAATCCAGTGATGTTTAGGTTCTCGAGATCGTTGCGTGGCTCGCAGGGGTTGAGGATGAAGACGTTCCAGTCCTCTTGCTCACACGCTTCCTTCGAGGTGATGAACTCGGCCTTGAGTGTTTGGTACTTGATGTTTAGCTTGTAGTGGGAGTAGTCAAGGGCGGCGAGAAGCTTTCTGACGCGCCTGCGGTACTCGGGGCTTCTCTTGTCAATAGGATCGCGTTTGGACTCATCGGGGTCGAAACGAGCATAGGGGTGCCTTTGATAGCGTGAAATGTTACCTGGATCACTGCGACTTCTCCCGAGAGTGCGACTGGAGGTGTCAGATGCGAGACTGAGCTTGGAGGCCCGAGAGGTGAGACTGGCTACTTTTCCCATTACGATGGTTGTAAGAAGAGTTTGAAACTGTAAGATGTATCGTTGTATTGCTAGTATAGTGCGCGAGATTGGTTGATGAGAATGGTTGGGAGAGGAGTTGGTAGTGTCATGCAGCATTTATATGCACATCCAGGCCTGTCTCGTCACCGACATGTTGTCCTGATTCCTCTGAATAGCTGCCAAAAAGGTTTGGTAGATTTGTTTGATAATAGTTCACAGGCTGGAAAGGTGCGGCTGTTGACTTGGCTCTTGAGTCCAACATATGATTGAATAACGCATTGCAGGTAACGTTATGTTATATTCTCATTTAGCCATATTAGGCATCCTAAATCGTAAAAGCAGTCTATCTATCTGTTGTCCTACTTGCATTGCCTATGTGTAGCCCAGCAGGTCGTAAGCCATATACCCAGAAACAAGTGACCCATTCAATGTCGCCATGATATTGCGCCGTAACCCAAACGTGAGTGATTCATTCAATCAATCATTCAACCACCCAACCCAGACATTACTAACCCGTACATTCCACCATGATTTTCAATGTGTATCAACAACAAACAAGAAATCGTGACTAAAAATAGCCACCAATAAAAACAGACGCTGTGCCCAGATAATAAGAGACAAGAAAACGCAGAAGCGCTTCAAAAGGGGGTATCGAAGAAAATACTCAAGAAGCCTTAAGAGGTTTGAATCAGTCGGCAATGTCACGGCTGGAGTGGCTGCTTGATGTGCCGCTGCCGTTCACACTCATATGGTTCTTGGCCATGGCGACGAGCTTCCAGATACCGAATGACACTCCGGCGAGGATGATGAAGAGAATGATGATGATGATGGCGATGACGTCGTTCTTCTTCATGTTGGCGGTTGAAGAGTGAGGGGTCTGTAAGTGATAAGGTGTTGTTCGGTGAGACTTGAGTCAGGTAGTCTCTGATGGACAATGGTTTGTTTTGAGAAAGATAGTCTCAGGGCTGAGACACGGTTAGTTAAGAGTTCAGAAGTAAGACTCTCGTTGAAGAGTAAGAGTTGACATACTCAATAGAGAGTATTGTACTGTTTGTAGAGAAGTAGTCGTTGGAGAGAGTCAAAGATGTGGTGTGGTGTGCAACTCAAGTCAACCAATTAGACAAGTCGTGATACAAGTTTTCGTGTCGTTAATCGTAATGTAAATTCTCCAAAAGATAGTCGAGGTTGGTTTCTTAAGAAGAAATGTAAACAAGAGCAGGAATTGGAATGGAATGCGCAGTCTCACTCCCAAACACACGGTCAGTTGCTCAGTTATAAGTCGTTGCCCCGCCACCGTCTTTTTACTCAATGCCCAAGGATGTTTGGTAAATGGCAAAGGCTGGGCTGGGTTAAAGTGCAAAAAGTCGCTGCAAGGGTCCCGCTGTGGAGACATTTACAGGGGTTGTGACACGCTGGGCAACGTTGGTTTTCTCCCAGCCTCGCATAAAACGTCACCTTTTGGCCCTTTAAGGACTACCTCGACGCGTCTGGGCGCGTCAAATTCAGGCCAAGGAAGAAAGATAGGAACAAGAAAGACCCTGGCGTGCCGTATTTCCATCAATTCAATCTAACATCACTGCCCCGGCCCGTGGAATATGCAAGGTACAAGTCTCGAGCTTATCGTCACATGTCTTATCATGTCACGCACTTCATCAACTACTCCGTACTGCACACTCAATTTGAAGATTCGTGTCTTTTCCAGCCAATACAGCCTTCATACATAGGTATGCTACGCCTCAGGCCATCTTGTGATATGATATACACTGCTCGGTGAAATTGTCAATATTCCATATCCGTTCCACATGTCCGCGTGGTAATATCAACATAAAAGCAGGAGAACAACCCCATTCGCAGTTCAATGACAATGACCCCAAAAAACGCCGTTCCTTAAATGCACACACGCCCTCACGAGCGCCGACGGTTCAAGAGTACACGTAACGCCATGCTATGACTTCGATTTGCATGATACCCGTGCCCGTGTTCCTAATTTTCGGCCCCGTCTGCAAGAGCCTTGTTCTCCTCTCTAATGATCTTGACATGGCGCTCGTAGAAGCGAAGCATCTGTGGCGGTTCCAGTTAGCACTTCCCCAAGACAACTTCAGTAGGTCACTTACCCTCTGGGGGCACTTTTTGTAGATGATTTGGACGTCGTGCTTGGTCTTGTGGCCGTTCTTCCAAATAAGATACACGATCAACTTGCCGCTGCCTTCATCCTCACACGCATCGATGGTTTCAATCTCATCTTCCCACGAACCCGCAGGCGGGCTCCATTTCTTCGCTGTGGTAGGAGGTGTAGAGTCGGCCGGGTGCGCCTCGGTGCGTCGAGATCGCTTGGTGGTGGTTGAAGTAGTGCTAGGTGTGCCGTTTGTGGCTCGACGACGCTTCTTTGTCTTCGCAGCAGTCTCGGTCTGTTCAAAAAGCTGTTCGCGTCCTCCACACTTCTTAAGGTATTGATCGAGGATTTCCTGAGCAGATTCCCTGTAGAAACTAGGTCAGAAAAGATATCGTAAAACATGAAAGGGAAATTGCCCATTCACCTGAGGTTCTCCTCAGGTTCCCAAGTGAGATCTTTCTTGGCTTCGTAACCTTCCCACTTCACCTGGAACTTGAGACTTCCCTAAAACTACGGTTAGCGTGTGAAATTGAATTGGGTCGGACTTTGCTTGCATCATCGTCGATCAGGTGCTTCTTGATAACTTCAACAACAAACCTGTAATGCGTGAGTTTTGTCCTTCCGGTCGGCACGCTGATATCTTACACGTCCTCGTCGAGGTCCTCATCATCCTCGTCATCCTCATCGCCCTCGGACCCGCCGTCCGACTTTACATCATCCTGAATTTGTTCAGGCGCTGCAACAGCCGAGGTCGACTTCGTGCGGCTCGTACGCGGGGGCGTAGTGAATTCACCGACGTCGGAAGACTCCTCATCACTAAGAGCTGCGTATTAATCAGCAGCTGTCAAAAACTAGTTGCGACCAAATAAAATCAAGTTTCATGAAATTGTGCTTGACGCGCTCGCGATGCGCTCGTCGTCTTCGCATGTGACAAGCGTTGTGAAGATGGAAGATATTGGAAACTTCAAAGGAACATACCAGGCGGCATTTTCAGTCACTTGAATAAAATTTTGTTATCTCGTCGTGAAATAATTTGAAGCTGGTATTGATGTTGAATTCAGTGTGGTAGTGGTAGGCAGGACCTCAATTCCGTGAGGAAACAACGATAAGTGGAGATGAGGCAGTCGCGTCGCAAGAGGAAACAGAGCTGTTGTCCGCTTTTGGAGGGGCCAGGCCTGTGGCTCGAACTGAAATTGTGGCGCACCGCACGTGACCTATATCTTTCACCATGGAAGCTGCGAGCTAGGTACCTAGAGGTAGATCTACAAAACGTTATGAATTGAAGTCACGGAACCCTTCTCCTTAAATGACAGCCCAAAAGAGCTTTGGCAGCAGAAGTTGCGTGCTAAATATACCGTATAATTCTAGTTGTGAGCTCTCGTACTCCTGCTGGCGCTGCTTGTCTGTCCCGTCTAGCTCCCGCCTGTACCTCTTATTAGTCATTGCACCCGCCGTTTATTACCGTGCCGTGGCCCATTGAGTGGAGGACGGACAGAAAACGAGAGGAGGAAACATGTCTGGATGCTAATAAGGCCCTCAATAAAGTAAAACCGGACAGAATCTCTATGTGGCACTTTATTAAGGGGGGTCTGCCAAGCAGTCTCATTGCAAACTGTCTTGAAGCCTTGTGCTAACAAGCTTTATAATAAGCTTGATCCTTACAGAATGCTGCAAGTTGAAGCGAAGTGGAGAGCGGCTCGCCGGCTAGCAAAGGAAATAACTATGTTTTCCTACCGGCGACTATTGCATGTAGTGAAGTCCTTGCGTTAGCTGCTAGTTACAGCACATATTCTGGCTACTATAAGACCTAGGATACTGCGGCTCAACTCAGGGGTAATTGAATAGGCCTATGAGGGCAATATGTTAATTAAGGTTCTTTGCCAATGCCCTGCAGGAATTGGACCTTTGTTCCTGGTGTTTCTAAACTGCTCAATTGGGAACAGAAATCCGACCACTTATCAAGCGGACTAATGGCGGTTTGAGAACGGGCATGAAAGCAAGGGACGGGAGCTCGGATGTGTTTGCCGCCAACTGCGATGCAAACCTAAGTCTAGAGAAGCAAGTCAGGTTGGGCTGCGTTTGCTAGAGTCAGAAGCTGCAGAGTGTAATCAAGCAAATGAGGTGTTGAGTGGCTCTCTGCTCTTTGAGAGATAGTGCTGCTGCGGGTGGTTAAGGGGCATGCAGAAGCTCACCGTCTGCTGGTGTGTCGTGTCTCGGACCAGGATCCAACGCCTACGTTATGAGCAACCCCATGGTCGGTGCCACCCATGTTTGCCCTTGAGAGCCAATCTTTGTACGGTCCCGGCGTCTAGCGCTGTAAGACTGCCGATGCCAGCGTCCAGTACGGTTGAGTTCCGTTTCCCCAGGTCAATTGCTTCTTTGTTGGAGGATTGAAGACGACATTCTGTTGGCTGTTGGCTTTTGGCTGATGTGGCAAATGTTTGCAACTGAGGCTGCCGTTCAAGCCGTTCCATGCTTCGAGAATTGCCCTGCCGCAGGTAATCTGGCTTACATAAAGGGGCTTGCGCTTGTGAGTCCACTCAATTACAATATGCAGGACTGAGGCGTTATCAAAGACTGTTAAATGTCCAGTCAATAAATGTGGCTGGAACTGGAAACAAAGGGCGCGCTCATCTATCCGTGGGCTAGCAGACGTTGCTAAACCTTCAATTGCGAGAACCAACCAGTAGCAGTCTTGATATCTCTTGTGTATTCAACGGGTATGGTTTTCGCGTTTGGATGAATGGAGCTCGTATTTACGGAATTCAACACCCGCGCGTACTCGGATGGGATTAGCTACTGATTTTTAGCTGCAAATATTCATAATACAGATGAAATTAAAGTCGAGTATATGTTAGTTGACCGCAACTTAATCATGTGAGAAGCGAATGGAATACGGATTGACAGAATTTTACGTAGCTAATACAGGATGGATATCCATAATTTTAGGATGAGTTGTATTTATAGCTCCATATCCTCCTCCCCTTTTAGTGACCCTAAGCTCATCAACCCCAAATGCCGATGTCCGAATATGGATAGTTTTAGGACCTTTGTTTAAGAGGCATGCTTCTCGAGTAGAGGCGGCCTTTTATCAACAAACCTTTGTCTTTTTGAATAATGCTCGATTGCTTAAGCTACAGTTAGCCACAATCCTTCAAAAACTAACCCCATGGAGGCCATAATAAAGATCAAACCGCCCTGCCCTACCAAGATCCCAGTCCAGTCCAGGAGCATTAACGACAGCTTCAGCTCCCGGCGGCACTAAACCGGACCTCTTAGAGCAGCGCGATCAGCGCTAAGCGAGCAGCGGGAGAGACATCAAGATGGGCGGGAAGGCCACTAGGCTTCAGGGGTTCCGTTGGTGCTAGAGGCGCCAATCTGGGGGTCCAATGGTCTGGTTGGATCCGCCCCTGAATGGAGGAGGAGACTTTATTTTAAAATCGAGTGGAGAGGGGGGAAAAAACCAAAGAACAATTAAACCCAGCGATGCTAAGAGACCTGGCTTCCCCTTTAGTCTCCCATCGCCTCTAAACTTGACATTTTCGAGCATTTCTTTTTCTCTCCTTCTCGCCCTCGATCACTCTCTCCATCCGCTCTTTACCTTTCAACAAATCTCGTCTCCTTTTCTTTTCAGTCTCATGCTCCAAGACTTGTAACAACGCCCATTGAACTCTTCTTCAGCCCGGAGGTTTCGGCCCCAATACGCTCGTTCTTTTGCTCTTCCATCTTTCGCTCGTTCCTTATGATTAACGTCTGCACTGCTCCCCAATTGGAGCCGCAGTCACTTTTTACACTATTGTAGTTATCGAGGCACCCATTTCCACACCCGACGCTCTATTCGCGAATCTTATCAATTCCCTTAATTTTCACCATAACCAAAATTGGTTCCTTTTTATACCCTTCAAAATGCCCGAATCAACGCCTCAAACCACCGACTCGGGAACTCCCAAGGCTGGCGCCCCCAAAGACAAGAACTGCCCCTTTTGTGGCCAGGCTTTCACCTCATCCTCGCTTGGTCGTCATCTCGATCTGTACATCAAGGAGAAAAACCCGAAGCCCGCAGATGGCATTCACGATGTGGACGCTATCAAAAAACTTCGTGGTGGTATCACACGACGACAGCCACGAGGCTCCCTTGGCGGAAGACGTGAATCCTCAACCCCTGTAGGAACACCAAAAGCATCCGCCATGAAGGATACGCCGCTTCCCGATAACGAAGATTTTCGATCACCGGCGATTTCCAAGGGCAACCAGCTTGTAGTTGATACCACCATGAAATATGCGTCTTCTTTCCAACCAACATGGGAAGCGACCGGTGTCATAAACGACATCCCAAAGAGAGGTAGCTGGGACAGTGACGTCGCACCTGAACCACAGAAACGCCCTGGTATGCAACGTACTGTAAGCAAACAAGCTATTCAGAAGGCCAACTTCGACGTCAAGCAGAAGCTTTCAGATGCCATGGACACAGCCCGTGCTGCAGAGCTCGCATTGAGGGAGCTTCTGAGCTCCTGGAGGGCAGCCAAGTATGTATATTGACTTCGTGGCGGCTTCCCAAATGCTAACTTGATCATAGGGTACAACTTGACAATAACTCGATGCCATTCGAATTCGATCCTTTGTCTCTCGATTTCCCTGCCTTGACGCTCCAGTGTCTACAACCCCCACCAACCCTGTTCTCGTCTACGCAGCATCCCACATCGACATCCTGGTCTGTCCAATCACCAGGAAGCCGGGAGTTCGAGGCCCTCCGGACTTACTTCACAAAAGAGTTCAAGGCGTGGAAAGTAACATGTGCTTCTGCAACCACCGCCGCAATGGACGAGTTCACATATCCTCCCTCTGTGAACAACTTCCGAAATCCTCGAGAGTCGGTTCGTAAGGCTGAGAAGATGGCGGAACAATTGGAGGCGCAGGTTGTTGAGCACCTCCAATCAGCATATACAGTATGGGAGTCGTTGCCAGTTCAACGACGGCAAGAGCTCTGGATTTTGGAACTGGCTCGTGGAGTAGGACGAAAGCATAAGGAGGCTGAGAAGATGAAGGAGCAGCAGCACAGACTCAAACAAGAGAACGCCAACCTCAAGTCCCAAATTGAACAACTAAACAAGCTTCAGCAACCGAAAGAGTTCAGGATTGCACCACCTGTCACAATCCCAATTGAAAGAGAGCTTCTTGCTCTTTCTTACGAGCAGGCGGTCAAGGGTGGAAGGGGCGTAGGTTTCACTCTCGAAGATGCACAAGTTGATCTCAGCTCTCTTGTTTCAAGATCCATTGAACGTTGGAAGGGTGTGATTGCTTCCACGAGAGCCAATGCTACCGGGATGAATGCTCAGAGATCTCTTGACCAAGCTAGTCAAGCCTCAGGAGCCGCCGTCAACGGCACTCAACCCACGCCACAAATTCAAACGCCTTCGCAGCCACAATTTCAAGTTCAACAGCAGCCACAATCACAACAACCACAACGCCCACAGCTTGCCAAGCGTCAATCGACAACGAGCATTAATGGTGCCCCAAGTGAGCATGCCACCACTTCTACTTCCACGACTGGCCCTCCATCAATTGCCGAGACCAGTGATCAAGACGCCGATGCGGAGATGGAAGACGACGATAGTTTTGCTATGGTGAACGCCTCTCCGATCAAGACCCAGCCACCTCAGATCCAACAGCAAGCAACGCTAGAAGTACCACGCACGCGGCCTGTTCAGCAACAGCAACGCAACCCACAATTTATGATGCCTAACGGGGCAGGAAGTCCTGTCAACCGAGCGGCCATTAACATGAGTCGCTCCATGCCCAACATGAATATGGCAATGCAGAATGGAACGATGCACGGCGACCTGATGGCGATGCAAGTAGTTCGTGGTGATCCCATGTTCATGGAGTAGTACAAGTACAGCCAGCCAATGGTTGCAACATTTGAGCTTTATGGCACATTGCATTGCCTTGGATAGACAGGCTTGCCAAGGAACACATATATAATGATGAAAGATAGAGCGAGATTCGTCTTGCTCCATGATGCAGTAATACGACCAATATTGATAGCTACCTATTTACGGATCTTGTTTCTTACTCGTATTATCTAGTCTGCTCGTGGTCTTTTTGCCAGAAATGGACCTTTCTACCAATCAATTCCAATGTGGCTGAACCAATCCGTTCTGCAAATGAAAATTTACCCCGCGATTGTGGCGCCCCGAACCATTTCTTTGCCCCTCCAATGCCCTGACTGTCCACTGACTCACAACATCAAAGCTTGACTCATTTTGTCGGCAGCAAGAGATTTATATCAGGACTAAACGCCTGATCTGGAGATCCTGCCATCCCAATCCCCCCCACCGCGAAACGAGACGCAATCATGGCTGACGCTGCTGCCCCTCCGACCGAGCAGGTCGCTAACCTGCACCTCGATGAGGTAACTGGTGAGAAGGTTTCCAAGACCGAGTTGAAGAAGCGCCAGAAGGCCCGCCAGAAGGAGGAGGAAAAGAAGAAGAAGGCTGCCGAGCGTGGACCGGCTCCCGCTCCCAAGAAGGCTGCCGCTGGTGGTGCTGAGGCCGCTGAGAAGGACCTTACCCCCAACCAGTACTTCGAGATCCGATCCAGGAACATCAACAAGCTCCGTGAGACCAAGAGCCCCAACCCATACCCCCACAAGTTCAATGTCACATACGACCTGCGAAAGTTTGTGGAGGATTATGGTCACCTCAAGTCCGGCGAACACGCCAAGGACAAGATCATCCAGATCGGTGCCCGTGTCCACGGAAAGCGAGCATCCGGTTCCAAGCTCCTTTTCTACGATGTCCGAACTGAGGGCGTCAAGGTCCAGATCATGTGCCAGGCTCAAGAGGTGCAAGAGGGTGCTCCCACTTTTGATGCTCAGCACGAGCACCTTCGTCGAGGTGATATCATCGGTGTTATTGGATACCCTGGCCGGTAAATTGACTTCCAATTATCTAATCAAGAATTACCAGTACTAATATCAGCTTAGAACTGCTCCCAAGACCAAGCTTGAGAAGGGTGAGGAGGGTGAGTTGTCCATCTTTGCGACTGAGGTCATCCTCCTGACTCCTTGTCTCCACGCCCTTCCCGATGACCACTACGGCTTCAAGGATCTCGAGCAGCGATACCGCAAGCGATACCTCGATCTCATCTGCAACGAGAAGGCCCGCAACGTCTTCATCACTCGATCCAAGATGATAACCTGGATCCGCCGATACTTCGACGAGCGGGACTTCGTTGAGGTTGAAACTCCTATGATGAACCAGATTGCCGGTGGTGCTACTGCCAAGCCCTTCACCACTCACCACAACGAGTACGACATGGAGATGTTCATGCGCGTTGCTCCCGAGCTTTACCTTAAGATGCTCGTGGTTGGCGGTCTTAACCGTGTTTACGAAATTGGACGCCAGTTCCGTAACGAGGGTGCCGATCTTACCCACAACCCTGAATTCACAACCATTGAGTTCTACGAGGCCTACGCTGATGTCAACGACCTCATGGAGACCACCGAGGACATGATTTCTGGCCTTGTCAAGTACCTCACTGGTGGCTACAAGACCAAGTTCCACACCCAGAGTGGTGAGGAATACGAGGTCAACTGGGAGAAGCCCTGGCCTCGTTACGAGATGATCCCAACCCTCGAGGAGGCTACTGGCGAGAAGTTCCCTCCTGGTGATCAGCTCCACACTCAAGAGACCAACGACTTCCTCAAGGGAGTTCTCAAGAAGATGAACCTGGAGTGCACACCTCCTCTGACCAACGCCCGCATTATTGACAAGCTGGTCGGTGAGTTCATCGAGGAGAAGTGTGTCAACCCCTCCTTCATCACTGGCCACCCTCAAGTCATGAGCCCTCTGGCCAAGTACCACCGTGAGATCCCCGGTCTGTGCGAGCGTTTCGAGGCTTTCGTGTGCAAGAAGGAGATCGCCAACGCTTACACCGAGTTGAACGACCCCTTCGACCAGCGCCTGCGCTTCGAGGAGCAGGCCCGCCAGAAGGACCAGGGTGACGACGAGGCCCAGCTCGTCGATGAGAACTTCTGTACCTCGCTCGAGTATGGTCTGCCCCCTACCGGTGGATGGGGTATGGGTGTTGACCGAATGGTTATGTTCTTGACCGACAACTACACCATTCGTGAGGTTCTTACTTTCCCCTTCATGAAGGACGATAAGCTTGAGCAGCAGAAGAAGCTGGCCGCCGAGGTGGTTGGCATTGAGCCTGTCCCTGAGGAGGGCATTGGTGAGTTAACAGAACCCACTAATCACTGAGCAACTGCTAATCCACCGTAACAGCTCACAAGTAGAATGGAAAACGGGATGTACCACATGTATGTGATGTGTTTGGAAGGATGATTTAACGCTTAAGACAATGACACAAGGATGGACAAAGATTCACTTTGATGGAAATAGAATGAAAGAGAAAGAGAAAGAAGAAGAAAAGTGCCATTAAGGCTTGTTAACATTTACTTTCCAGAGTCGAGTTTTTCCAAAACGATCATGATATGCGTAGCCGGATTAGCTCGAACCAGCTTTCTCCTTCGTTGATCTATTGATGCTATTGGTTTGGTACCATATTGTACAATTGTAATTTACATGATCTTTCTGGATCTTACAACATCGCGAAATCGTCTATTTAGCAGCAGCCTGCTTCAATCGCTTCTCAAGCAGACGAAGAGTGGGCTTGGGGATATGCAACCTGTGAGCCAGCACGATACCCATGGTCAACACACCCAACGCACCGGCCTGATGGGCTGCGGCGAGTGAAATAGGAACCATGTAGATGAGAGTGCTGATGCCCAGGGCAACCTGTAATGACACAACGTGGAACAGACCGTCGGCACCCTTCTTGATGTTGGCTGGGATAAGAGCCTTGACACGTCTGGTGCGGACGTAGATGAATAGTGTAAGAATAGAGGTGAAGGTGGTCACAGCGAGGATTCGGTGGTTCATCTGGACAGTGCTGGGGTTCTCAAGTATGTTGCGCCACCAAAGATCAGACTGATCCTCCTTGCGCGAGTAGAACTTGTCCCAGAGCTCCTGCTTGGGAGGGAACAGGCCCAGACCCATCTTGGGGAACTCGTTGTAGATCAAACCAGCATCGAGGCCTGCGACAAGGCCGCCGGACATGGCAGTAATGAAGGTCAGAGTGGCGAGAGCAAAGGCAGCACGGCGTAGTGTGCGAAGACCAGGCTGGCTCATGGCGCCAATCTGCTTTATAGCAGCTTCGGGGTTCATAAGCCAGCGGCGAGTTCGCAAAACAGTGAGACCAGAGAGAAGCATCCAGGAGTAGCAGATAAAGGCGGTACCAAGGTGAGTGGTGAGACGGTACTGAGAAACTCGAGGGTGAGAACCGGGAGCAAACAGATCATCTTTGAGACCAGACTTGACCATCCACCAGCCGATAGCTCCCTGGAAACCGATCAATGCCGAAATTCCAAACAGGTTCAAGGCCATCTTGGGTGTAACTTTGCGACGAGCGACGAGGTAAACAGTAGGGATGACAAAAGTCATGCCAATGAAGCGACCCCAGACTCGGTGAAACCATTCCATAAAGTAGATCTTCTTGAATTCTTCGAGGTTCATGTGAGGGTTGAGAAGCTTAAACTCGGGCGAGGCACGGTACTTTTCGAATTCGGACTCCCAGTCCTCCTTGGACATGGGGGGAAGCGAACCGGTAACGGGTTTCCATTCAGTGATACTCAGGCTATTCTGATGTTAGCCAATTGTCGCAGTTGTCCCGGGAGATCACAAGAAACATACCCAGACTCGGTCAAACGTGTCAGGCCACCAAAGACGACAATACCAAAAACACTAACAGCGCTACCAAGAAGCCAGTAGCCGACGCCCTTGGGATTGGACTCAGGCCATGCCTTCTTGGCCGCCTGAGCGACGGACGGAGCTAGAGGGACAGCAGTTTGCTGCGCGATTGTTCCAATTGACTTGTTAACAGCGGCATCGGCGTAAGATCGTGAGCGGACAGCGTTGAGAACGCGCGAGGACATGCTCCGAGGAGCACTTCGAAGACATTGGTTGCACACGAAGAACTTTGAAGGTCCTGAGGCTGCCGAGGCCTGCAGGAGTAACCTCCGGAACCCGGGGGCGAAGGAGGACGCCATGATTAAAACCAATGTTCTGAAGGTGAACAGAGGAGAATGAGTAGAACTGAATTGGAAAGATATGGAGCAAGTGGCTCACTTATAGATCATACGATCTGAATGGATGGCAATGGCGATCAAAATCGACATCCGATGTGACTCGGTATTCGGGACAGAACATGGCCGCTTTGATGAAGAGACAGAAATACTCAGACAGTTGAACGGAAATATTAGCAAGAAGCTGATCTTCTTATTCTATACCCTGGGATCTTTAGTGGACAGACCCCTGTAACGCGCAGTGGGAGGGGACCCCACTGGAATCAGCAATTTACAACGTCCGTGATAGGCTTATCCCACACGCCATTCAAACTCCATTACCCGCATGAATGCCCCGCCAAGGGTCGACTCACCGCCAAACTTTTTTACGCGGCAGAAAAGTTCGAAAAAAGTGTTACTTTGGAAGCTGGTATAGGACGCCGCCCGACCATCTCACGCCGCAGCTCGATCATCGAATCGTCTTTATTCTCGAAATTTTGGACGCCAATCTTCAAGAGTAATCATGGGCGGACGACAGGCCCACGGAAGGTCCCTTCTGGCAGCTCCCAAGGCCAAGGCTGGCAACAATAAAAAGTCAAAAGCGAGATCGCAGAAGAATGCGCTCGACGCATTCGGTATTGCACAGGAAAACTTCGCGCCGAAGGAAAAGCGAACGCCTCGAGCGAGAGAACTAGATGCCGAGATTGAGCGAAAACATGGCCGAGACGACGAGGACGAAGACGAGGAAGAGGAGGAGGAGGAGCCACAAAGAAAGAAGGTCAAGAGGCCTAACCGATCTGCAGACGATGCCGCCGACTATGGAAGCGACAGTGAGGGAAACGAATGGCAATTGGGAGGTCTAAGAGAGGATGACGATGACTCTGAGATTGAGAGTGACGATGCGTTTGGCGACAGTGACGAGGACAAGTTCGAAGGATACACATTCCGAGGCAGCAAATCAACAAAGCCCGATGTAGGTTCATTTGATACCGTTGAAACTGATTCTAAGTCTAACATGGAAAAGGACGACTCAGAGGACGATTCTCAAGACGATGAGGGCGAAACCCTTGGCGCAGACGCAATCGACCTAGCAACTGCTCTCGACCAATTCGAGGAGTCTGATGACGAACCCCAGCAAAATGAACAGTCCGGATCTTCAGACTCCGACGATGATGCATCCGACGAGTCGGAGGAAGACGACGACGATGACGACAGCGATGAGGATGACGAGGATGTGAGCCCAGAAAAGCTAGAAGCTCTTCAGGGTCTCATCAAGGGATATGGAGGCCAGAAGGACGACGGAGACGACAAGCCCAAGTCAAAACCTAAGATCAGCCTGAGTGATCTCGGATTGACGGGTATCAACGACGCAAACGTGAAGAAGTCTATGAAGCTCATGAGCAAGGAAGAGAAGGATAAGCGCCCTGGTGTTTCTAAGAAGCTAGACGTGCCTCTGGGCAGAAGACAACAGGATCGCCTGGATCGAAGTGCGGCTTACGAAAAGACCAACGAGACCTTGGATCGATGGAACGATACAGTCAAGCATAACCGAAGAGCTGAGCATCTCATGTTCCCTCTACCTCAGAACTCAGCGACTGCCGGCCTCGACACCACTGAGCTCCAACCTCTTACGACCTCTAACCCAAGCAACGAGCTCGAGTCTGCCATCATGTCCATCATGGAGCAGAGTGGTCTGACTATGGACCAACCTAAAAAGCTTAAGGAGAAGGATTACGACGAAGAAGGCAACGAGCTTACTCGTAAAGAGGCTCTGGCCCGCAAGCGCATGGAGCGTGAACTAAACTCCCGAGAGGCTAAGCGAGCCAAGCGCATCAAGAAGATCAAGAGTAAGGCGTACCATCGTGTGCACAGAAAGCAGCGTGAGCGCGATGAGATGGCTACTAAGGAGGCTATGGATGAGGCTGGCGAGATTGACTCCGAAGAAGAGCGCGAAGCTCAGGATCGTCGACGTGCATTGGAACGTGTTGGACAGCGACACAAGGACAGCAAGTGGGCCAAGATCGGCAACAAGACAAAGCGAGCTGTATGGGACGATGAGTTCCGCTCAGGTCTAACCGAGATGGCACGTAAGGATGAGGAACTTCGAAGGAGAAAGGAGGGTCGTGCCGGTGGCTCTGACGAGTCATCCGATTCTGACAGCGACTCTGATGCTGGCGATGCGACTTTACGCCGACAGCTGGCGGCCCTTGAGGAGGAGGAAGATACGCCTCAAAAGGGTTTGATGGGCATGAAGTTCATGCAGAAGGCTGAGGCTGCTAAGAAGGAGGCAAATGATGCTCTTATCAAGCAGATCCGACGAGACCTCGATGGTGAAGAGTTTGACGCTTCCGCAGATGAGCTAGAGGAGGTTGGTCGACGACAATACGGTGCTGCTGATGGCAAGCCTTTCAAGCCAGCCTTTGAGACATCAACCAAGGCATCTAAGAAGCGCAAGTCTAAGGACGAGGAGGAGGAAGATGATGATGATGTGATAATAACCACTAACGGTGCTGGCAGCAACCCTGCTATCCCCAACATCACATCCCGCTCCGAGCCCGCCGCCGCAACAACCGCAGGCGCATGGTCTCGCGGCGAGACTCGCCGCAAGAAGAAGGGTCAGTCCAGCGCGAACCTCGGCGATCTCGACCTCACATCCAACGTCATCGTCGCCTCGCGCCCCAAATCAAAGTCCAAATCAAAAACTCAGACTGCCGACGAGGGCTCAGACGCCGAGTCTGAGACAGACCAGCATCTTCCCATGGCGATCCGCGATCAAGAGATGGTCGCCCGTGCTTTCGCAGGCGAGGACGTGGTGGGCGAGTTCGAGGCCGAGAAGGCTGCTGTCGCAGAGGATGAGGATGACAAGATAGTTGACAACACACTACCCGGTTGGGGCTCATGGGTTGGCGACGGCGTCAGCGCAAAGGAGAAGAAGCGCCACCAGGGCCGATTCCTTACAAAGGTCGACGGTATCAAGAAAAACAATCGCAAGGATGCCAAGCTGGAAAAGGTCATGATCAACGAGAAGCGCATCAAAAAGGTAAGCTCTACCAAACCCCCACTACCCATACATCTTGTGCTAACACATTCGCAGAACGATCGCTACCTCGCAAACCAGCTCCCTCACCCCTTCGAGTCCCGGCAGCAATACGAGCGCTCGCTGCGTCTGCCTGTCGGACCAGAGTGGCAGACAAAGGAGACGTTCCAGGACACCACCAAGCCTCGTGTACTCATGAAGCAAGGCATTATCACGCCCATGTCGAAGCCTACTATCTAGAAACCTGTGCATATATATTCTGCTACATTCATACATTTGGGCGTTTTGAGAATCAAAAGTATGGCTTACTAATGTCTCGTTTTTGATGGGTGTCAGTGTTTAAGGGAAACTTGTGTAATAAGACGTTGCATAGCTCGAAGCCAGCTTCTTTGAGACATAAAATGACATTGCTTCTTCTGTTCACTTGAAAATATGTGGTTCACACAGTGACATGTCGTTTGGGCTTCCATCTCTGAGTATTAGCTTTGTCACCCGTTGACCACTCTTACACATCGTACACAAACAAGTTCGGCAAGATGTTCGAAAATATCGATTTACTAAACAATCAACCTTCTCGAACCCATGTTTCCTTCTCCGACCTCACAGTCCAATAATATAAGAAATCCGTAATAAGCAAGCGTAAGTATCCAGACAATGCTGGTGGGTGAGACCTGTTTCTGTCCCTCATTTCTTTTGACACAATGAAAATTGCGAATGCGACTGATACCCCCCATTCCTGGCCCCAAATTTGTTCCAGAGTTTGCTGAAGTTTTTTACCCTCAGACAGTCCTACCCAGAGGACTGCATCTCCTTAGTAATACAGATATGAAAAGTTGATATGATTATTCGATTGTAGTTTAACGTATCGTTAATGGTCCTATTTGTAGACAACACATCTTGTTATCTAATTCAGTGTCTCGGTAAGTCTTAATAGGAACATGTTTTAGAGCATGACACCTTATTGGAAGTATTTTAATAGAGACCAATAGACTTGCACTTATTTGCCGGGGTCCATAACATCGGAAGGAGTGGCATAGAAAGCCAAGGCGATGATAATGTAAAGACCCATAAGCATAGCACCCTCAAGGTAGTTGGACTTGCCATCCTGGACGGTATAAGTAACGACGAGGACGGACACGGCAAAGGCAACAGTTTGGACTATGGATATGTAAGCGTGCGTCATAGTCAAAGTGGGAATTGTTCGACTTACAAGTTTCGAAGTGAAGAGTCATCTCGGAGCCAATGATCCAGCCAACAATGACAAGGAAAGGAGTAACCAGGAGAGCAATCTGGATAGAAGAACCGATAGCAACACCCATGGCGAGATCCATCTTGTCACGGACAGCAACAACAACAGCGGTGACGTGCTCTGCGGCGTTGCCAACAATGGGGATCAAGATCAAACCGATAAACGCCCTGCTGATTCCGGAGGTTGTTACGAGGTCGTCGATGCTGTCAACGAGGTAATCGGCGCAGATAGTGACAAGCACAGTAGTCACAACCAAGACGGCCATGGCAGCGACGGGGCCAATGGTGGGCTCTTCAGGCTCAACTTCCTCATCGCCTTCGTTCTGGTTCTCGGCATCGAAGAGGTTGCTGTGGGTTCGGAGCTGGAAAACGAGGTAGAGGACGTAAAGTCCGAGAAGAATGATAGCGGTACCGCGAGAGAGTGTAAGAATGCTCTGGGCCTTCTCCTTGGAGCCACTCTGATCGAGAACAGCATAGAGCTAGAAAAATTAGTTAAGTTTTCCAATGGGGGCATCTCAACATACAGCAGCGGGGATGACGAGCGAGGCAGAAGACAAGGTCATGAGAGAGCAAGTCGTCTGGGCTGTAGCAGAAGAAAAGACCTGCTCGCGTCCGTTGCCAGACTCGCCTCGGTGAATGATACCGCCGAACAAGAAGCACATTCCCATCACCAAGAGGAGGTTAGAAAGAATGCTGCCAAGCATTGAGGCCTGGACAAGTTCGATTTCGTTTCGCTGGAGCGCAACAATGCTGACCTATAAGCGCGATTAGTCGCATTATTCATAGAGAAGACATTTGAGCATCGTACAATCAATTCGACGGCGTTGCCGAAAGTAGCATTCAGAAGGCCACCGAGTGTGTCACCGAGCTTCATGGAGATCTCTTCGGTCGCAAACGACAGGACAGCAGCGAGCGGGATGATAGCGAAGAAGTTGATGGTGAAGACAGCGGTGGAGCCCCAGCCCATCTTACCAGCGATGATGCCGAGGGGTACCATGACCAAGAGGAAGTTGACATAGTCTGTCAAACAGAGTCAGTTATATGCGTGACAGGAACTGGAGGAGCGCAGACGTACTGCTTAGAAGGGTGACCTTGGCGATGTGCCAGGAGTAAGCCAGACTCCTGATGGCGATGTTGTGGTTGTCGATACCGGGAGTGTGCTTCGAGTCGAAGAGAAAGGTCATTGTGCTCGAGTCTCTGCTGAGGCTAATGTGGCCGTTGCCATTGCCATTGCCGCTTGTGTCACGGCGAGTCGACGAGGTACCGCCATTGATGAGCGGGCTGTTCTCGTCGACTGTGTGGTTTGAAGGTTTGGTCGACATTGATCGTCTGATTTGAAGGGTAAAAGATGGAAGAGCTGTTGGTCGGTCAAAACATGGGCACGGTCAGCAATTGAATCTTTATTATAGTGTATGAGTCGTGGTGAAGCTTCAAAAGGCGGAGTAGAAGGCAGTCAAGTAATAAGCAAAGCAATCCAGAACAACAAAAGCTCCTCGATAAGGCAAGTAATATGAAGTTGGGGGAAGGCTGCATGGTAGGCTGATTACTACTGCGACTGGGCCCTGGCCTGCTAGGCCTAGATTTCTTGGCTCGATCGCCATGGGTGACATGCTTTGAGCTTGTTTGTTCCGGGCAAGAAGGGACCCTGCTGCGCCATCCTTGATGCGAAGAAATGCGAAGATCATATCTGAAGATGGCGCGTAGAACAAAGAATCACATGGGTGAGGCAGTGACAGCGCTTGCCAAGGGAAGAACGATGGAGATGGAGGATGGGGAGGGGGTTGAGTGAGAGACTGTACAGGAATGGACTCGAGGTGCGTCGAGTTGAGCTGATGGAAGGGTAATGGAAGGATATGTCAGGATTTGTCGCGTCGCCAATAGACTCACAAGGTTGAACGACCAGATCTGCTTGGTATATGTATCAAGCAATCAGGTAAGTATCCTCGTTTCCGTTCCCGTGTCCGTAGGATATAGGAATATGAATGGGGATAGCAGGAGGAGATGAGATGAGGTTGAAAGAAAGACAAAACGATGTGGGCACTGGCTAAAGGGCCAGCAACAGTAGAGCAGAGACAGAGTGACAGACAGACAAACACGCAGGGTACATGCGATATCGTGAGTGGCGCTTCACCCCGTGTGGAAGAAGCTAATCTTGCACTTTGTCTTGTTCTGGCTGGTGTGTACCACTTTGTGCCCAGTGCAGGGATGGATGGTGACGGCGATGGAGTTGGGAGATGGAGAAAGAAAGTTGGATCAAGGGACAGGAAAAGAACTATGACGATCTTTTTCTTCTTTGATGCCAGGGGTACGGAGTACTGATTGTATTTACTTGTCTATGTTGAACTTGACGTCGTTTTGAAGGGTACAAAGAAAGAGAGGGAAGCAAAAGGGAAAGCCTAAATGCGTAGAGGCAGACAATTACTTACAAACCATGGTTGAGCTTACTGAACAGGCGATAATAGCCTGTGCCTTAAGCTAAAGAAAAGTACTGTGGTATTGACTCGGTCTGGAATGAGAGACAAGACGGAGAGATAGACGAGATACAAAGCGTATGACGATCTAATCCAAAGACGAGTTTAGAGCAGAGGCAGTGTCTCTTGTCGCGCTTGCTACACCCCGCTCAACGGAAGTGACAGTCAATTGCAGAATACAGTAGGACCTGCGGATAAAGAAGATGCGGGATTGCGGGCGCGTCTAAAGCTACACAGCCCTCAATGAAATCTCGACGATGATGCTGATGGTTGATGAAAAGTGTGGTTGTGTTGCAGGAACGGAAAAATAGCCAGTCCTTTCCTTCCTTTCCCTTTCCAGGAGGCCTCCTCTAAAAGCTTGGCTTTAGGAAAGAACCTAGGCACGTTGACGTAGGACATGGGTCTCCAAGATCGACAACCCACATCACTCAGCTTGTCCAGCCAATGATATACAGCCACTGACAAAAGTCGGGCCAGCAACCGCTGAGTCTACCCACTGAAAGCAGGGAAGCTCTCCACTTTTATCTGAGAGCTCCAAGCTCTTCCTGTCACTGATGCTCATTAATTCGGCGCGCGCCTGCTTAAGCTTCATTAAGAAAGCGCCGATTCCAGCGGCAGATGCAGCAAAGCAGGCCCTGTGGTGGCTGAGTATAGAGGAGAAAAGCTTAAAACTTTGATTTCGCAAGCGCCTTTTCAACTAGTATTCTACAGATAATTACAGAGTACAGCAGTCAATTCCCAATTACAATATCACAATGCCAAGCAAACAAAAAAAAACATTCAATATCCTTTCCATCAATATCGGCCCCCCTTTTTTGCGGGTAGATAGTCCGTTTCATTATCATCAGACGTCAGGTACGGAGTATCAGCTTACCAAATTCGTAGTGGACTCCGTCGGTTCCGTATTTACATCCAATGCTTTTTTCGCCTTGCACAGCCAAAGTGTCCGACGTTGCCGGGGAGCTGGGAACAACGCTGCAGCAACGCTGTGGCAGCGATTAAATAGCTTGCCGCTTCAAACCCCGTTTCATAGGTGGCCGTCATACGTGATACAAGCAAGGCCTTGCTGCCATGTTACACTGACTCTTGCCTGTTACTGTATCAAGTCTCGTACTTTATTCCTTATTCAGACAACATAAATAAAATGGTCTACCGTACTCTCAGACAGCAGTCAAGTTAGTTCCTTTCTTTTTCTGTTTCAATATTCGAGACGCGCACAGACACCGCATGTCAATCCGTTCCCACTCTGCCGAGCTTCAGTTTGTCACCCTGCTTATCTTCTTGGACAGCCTCGAGGCAGTGTAAACAACTTAAGTTCTTGGCACTCATCCAATAGCGCAAATCGTTTCTCAGGGTCGTCATCCTGCGCCCCAATCAAATCAAATCAGAGAGTCACCTACACGTGGTTGTTCCTTTGGTTTAATTGATTCCACGTCTGCCGACGATATACTGCGTAAATGCGAAGTTAAAAAAAATCAGCCACTCCATCGTGAATGCATACTCTTATCTCACTTCCAAGCTTCGATAACGTTCAAAGGTAACGAATGAAATTGTAAGCGCCCTGTCTAGGGTCTAGCAACTGCCTCCCATCTAGTCTCGGTGAGGTCAGGAATCTAACTGTCTGCCTGTCTGGCGTCTCCTAAAGCCTGCCAAATGCGGCTGTTGGTCTGCGTTTCCAATGTACAAAATAAATCTTCCCGTCAGGGTATCGTCCTGTCTATGCCCAATGTTTATACAAGGTGCTCATTCCGCACCAGTGCCGGTGTCTGTTGCAACGCAGCACTCTATTACTTATTGATATTTCCATCAAATACCACCCAGAGCTGAAAGGTAATTGTTAGCTATTGATACAAGTGCGACTTGAAGGTTTCGAAACTCACCTGCGGCATATGCCATATACCACGTCCTTGAGGCTCCACCGTCAATCCAGATAGGATCAAACTTGGACTGGGTCAAGAAAGTCCATGTAGTCTTAGGCTGGACCGTTGCGTAGTTGCCATAGATAACGCCCTTCCAGAGGTTGTTGAACTTGTCAACGCGGCCCTTGTTGAAATAAGTTTCCCACTCTTGCTGAACGAACGTCCCGGTTCGTGCGAGGTTCGACACAGGGAGGATGGGGATCATGTGGATACCCTGGATTGCCTCAATGGAAGCATCAAACCACGTCGTGTGGTGAACCTTGTTTTCAAAAAGAATACCTGCGACCTTGTTGCCGATGAAGTTCTTAGGCTGAGCCGTGTTGGTCGTGGTATAGTAATAATACTGTTGCATGGCTCGTGACATGACTGCAAGCTGAAGGTTGGCTCTGTATCCGTTGTCAGTTTTCATCGTTCAAACAGCACACTCAACCGACTTACCTCGCGACCAAGTTGGTGTCCTTAATCACCGTACCCCACATCTTCAGAGCGTAAACGGACATCATGTCTTCGGAACTCGACTCTTGGTCCTTGCCATCCCACATGGGAGTCAAGCCGTGAGCCCAGCTGTGGCCGTGGTACCAATCAAAGCTTCGCCACTGGGGGAAGTACTTGTCGTTGGTGCTAGGGTTTGCGTAATCACGAACAAGAGAGTTGACATACGCCTTGTTGGCCGCCAGCCACCTGCTGTCCATTGATCCAATATAGGCAGCAGCAAGGACGTGATAACCATAGTGGAAATGGTGATCGTTGTAGTACGTGTTACCAAAATCCGATCCAGCCTGTCCTGTCTTATAGGATGCGGACGAAACAACTCCACCCCAGACAGCTAGTCAACTCCATTAGCCGGGTATTACTAAAGATGGTATCCAGGAAGGCTTACAATCATAGACGAGCGGATAGTTTTGCTTGTTCGTGCCAAAACGTGTGAATGCAGTTTTGAGCTTCTGTAAACCAGCCTGTCCCAGAGCCGTGTCTCCTAGCATGTTATTGATTACGTAGATGATAGAACCGAACTTGGCCAGAGCCTGTATCCTGTTAGATCATGGTCTGCGGAGTCATTGAGAGTAACACTTACCTTGCCAGAAAAGTACATCGAATCTGTGTTAGCCTGTTCGTCCATGTCTTGCGAAACCTCGGAGTTGGCGATAGGTGCAATGATCTTCTTTGCATTGGCAGAAAGACCGCGGCTTCCCTTGGAAGGATCCCAAGGAGCAAAACCCATATCAACAGGCAAAGCTGGCTCGACCATGGTCCACGAGTTTCCTCCGACTGCCGTAGCCAAACCCTTGGTCGTTGTTTGCAGAGTGTATGTCCTCATCTCCTTCTTGGTCGTAGCATCGAACGAAGCCACATGGTGAGGAAGGGCAAAGATCCAAAGCTTTCCAGTCGCGTGGCCACCTCTGGACCAGTTAAAAGAATAAGTGCCAGTTTTTCCAACGTTGCTGCCACTGATTGACATGCCAGTTGCATAGATGCCGCAGCCATTGTCAAGAACCGCCTCAGACTGACCAACCTTGGGGTCCTTTGCAATCTGGATATGTCCGTAGAAAGGCTTTGCCGAGGCAGCAAGACCGTTGTTGGTAATCTTGAGGGTAAGAGGGTCACCCTTGGTCTTGTAGGCATAGAGACGCCAAGTGGTTCCATCTTCAAGGACGAAGTTGAACTTACGCACATCAGATTTAGGATCCTTTGTCACTTGAGTCATACTCCGGAAGTAGACGCCGGTCTGGATCCAAGGTGTGCCACCATTGAAGTAAGCAGATGTGAAAACGCTGCCTTGGTAAAGAGGGAAGCTGATTGTGGCAGCAGACTTGCTATCTTTTCTCAGATAAGCTTTGGCATAGTGAGGGGTGATGGAGTCCATAGTCAAGACAGTGTTCTTGCCGAGTTCCTTGGCAGAAATGATCATAGACTGGATACCGACAGGGTTGATGTAATATTCCACGGCGCCATTAGATTGAACCGGGCCATATGTACGTTTGTCCGCGTCGATGTGAGAGATGGCCATGCCCCAGCTTGCTGCTGGGCCTGTTCCAGCTGCCCATGTCAGTGAGTAGGGGAAAGTGTAGACGGGTTGTTGCTGGTTTCCGAGGTAAAAGTTAGAGTAGAACTTGTTGGTTCCAATGGGGCTTGTCTGAGAGATGATGCCTGTTTTCGAAACCGGATGATCAGCCCGTCGTTCAAACATCGACGGAGGAGCAGCCGTATCGATGGGGCTAGCGAAAATATCGGCAGCAGCAGCCATTTTGGATAGACCAGAGGGTTCCGCGTTCTTGGTTGTGGTTTTAAGAGGTTTGAGCAGACTCGTTGGGCTGGGAATTGAAGTGCTTAGGACAGCAGCCTTGGTAAGTAGAGGGTTGTCGAGTTCCGTTACAATGAAACCGTCGGTATGAGGCTCAATGTCGTCTGAGAGAGAAGGGAGAACAAGAGCTGTTGCTGTAGTTCCCGCCTTGCTGGTGCTGACTTTGACGGTTTCGGTCACAGGAATAATATCCTCCTTATCGTATGTTGTTAGATACTCAAAAGCAGATGTCTCGATATCTCGCTTGAAGTCTTCGTTTGAGTCTTCCAGGGAATCGGCTGGGTTCTCTTGAGCTTGAGGCAGGGCTAAAACTTGTCCCTGTGTTAGCCAAAGAAGCCATATAGGCAGAATCGTGTGAGATCTCATGATGAGCAAGTGGGATGTGTGATTCCGCCTTGTTCAAGAAGATTGCTGCCTTTACAAGACTGAAGAGGATCGTATGAAGCTGGTGTGAATAGTGAAGGGTAGGGGGTTCCATTGCTCTTATAATATCCCCTGCCCGGGGGTCTTCTCCTAGCCTTGAAGCCATCGAATGCGAAAAAAGCACTAGCTTGGTGGCGCCGTGACTGATGAAGCTAGCCAGGCACTCACATCGGAGAATGAAATGAAGCGGAATGTGTCTTTGGGGCACAGATAGCGAAAAACGCATGTGGCTTACCTGAAGACTAGACCAGAGCTAGAACTGGCCGCCAAAAGAAATGTTGCACTAAGGGTTCAAGTCGACAACAGGGGTATCAGATGCTGGCGCGTACTCCGTAAACGATGCGGCGTAAAGGCGATTCAAGGAATTGGATTCTTTAGGATGGCGTTGGATGCGGGTTTGCTGGAATTCGAGGATTGCGTTGACAGTTGAGCGAGGTGGAGGGGAAATGGCTGGATGTGAATTCCATCTTTAATGGATCTTTTTATCTTAGGTCCAAGATCGAGGAAGCTTGGCCATGTGCTCGAGGCCTTGGCTCCTTCTTCACATCTTGGGTATGATTGAAGATCAGGAAAGAACATCGTGAGCATCGTGAGCATCGTGAACATACAGCAGGATACGTTCCATCAACGAGCAAACCCATTTGCGCATCACAGATCAAGTGTTTGCAGCGCATGTCCCCGGTCTCAGTCCGAAAGGCAGGGGTGATGATGGTGGGTTGCGAGCTTGTGATCGATATATGCAGCTCAAAGGGGAAGTCCCTTCGCTGCTCGATGCTCGTCTGTGGCGCCCGCGTGTGCCTGCAGTAGACAGCTCTAGTGCTTACCTTGCCTAGCCTGCGCCGCTCTGGGTAAAACTGCCCCTAGCTTCAGGAACTATCGATTCGCGATGGATCAGCCCCACGCAAACTCCCCTCGCTTGTGTTTGCCACATCTTAATTGGCAGCAGACTAACGATCAAATTTGCTTGAACTTCCAGCTTCCGAAAGCTTCACCCGCTGTAGATGGACGCCACTTGTCTCCTTCAATTATCCCCATGGCGTTCATCTTCGAATCAAGTCTCAGCCATGCCCGTTGAGTACTCAGAGGCTTGTTGACTAACGTTGCTTTATTGTTTCGCATATATACTACGAAGTCCACGCATAACGTCGTTGCATTTGTCTCTACGGTTTTATTCTTGATCTCACGATGACCACGGCTGATGAATTCCAAGTCATCAAGTCATTTGCCCTATATCTTGTGTCCTATCCGTTCGTCTACCACCTGTCTTTACTCCAACCTCTTCGATGACCTAATGTAACATTCATGAAAATGGTTATCCGATGTCAGACTGAGACAGTCACTTGACTCGTCATGATCTAAGGTTAAAGAGATGGTTGAGACAACACTCGACTCAAGGGTCCTATCAACCCAAGCACCAGGCATAAAAAGCCCGCTTGTTAGAAACTAAGACACCATCAAGCCAGTGACCCAGCGGTTCCGGCGTGTCTCAAGGGTCCCAAGGCCATGGTCATTTTTAGCACTCAAGGTCAACCACGCTTAATGCAAACAAAATCGCATTCCAGACCAGGGCACAATGTGCTTGACCATACCGATCACTACTTGGCAATATTGCTTTATTGCGCGTTCTTGTCCAAACCTTAGCATAAACGCCCGCTAAAATACCTTAGTGAATACGCCAGAATATCTCCACTAACAGTTCACAACCCCAACGCATCGTATTTGCCTCTTCCCCCTTGCTCGATGATCTGCCGGAGATCTAGACGTGTTTCCTTGCTTGGCTGCCGCTCCTTGATGCTGGGTTTATTCTGGTCCACCAGCTTTGGCACCTGCTTGGCCGTTCGAGACTCGACAATCCCTTTGATCCGTTTCCGTTTCCTCTCGGCTTCCTGTTCACTCCGCTCGGCTTCGTGACGGCATCTGCGAATTTCACTTTTTCGCAACACCCACGGTTTAGAGAGAACATCAGACTGGAATCTGACCCTCTTTTCCCAGAGCGTAACCTCCTGCGCGGTACTTTGTAGAACAACCATCTTTTCAATAGTGAGCTGTCGCTCGTCTCTGAAAGTGGAAAGGCCTCCCTTGACGTCTACAACAGATCCGACGTCGACATCTGGGAAGGGGTTGGAAGTTAAGGGCGAGTCCATACCCGCCTTCTTTGAAGTATCTCCTGCTGTCGTTGCGTTGCTGTTCCCTCCCGCGAGAATTGGCATTGCAACAATGCACTCAATATTTGCACCACTGCTATCATCCACGGTGTATATACGCCTGCCCGGGAACTCGTCAATGGCGACGACTAACCCGACTATGCGCACCCATTTGATGGGAAGGTTCTCATAGAAGTAGAACTTTTCACCTTGATATCGTTAGTCATAAGCTCATGGACTCATAGAATCCAATTATTTACCTTCAAAACCTCCATGTTGGTCAAGGTCATGTATATCGGTTACACGAAACAAGCACCATTGGTTCACGGTCGGCGCGAGGTGAAAACAGTAGCGAGGGTAAAATGGGGGCTTGCCTTTCTCACTCATAGCATCATAATAGCAGAATATCTTCAGCTGACTATAATACCACTCCCAAGCATTGTCAATGAGGCGTCACACTTTCGTAGGTGATTTGCAATGATGTGACGCGATGTATAGAATGGAAGACAAATGGCGAACACTGGACGATATTCACGGTCGCTCAGGTGGGTCCCATGAGTAGCTGACAAAAATACTGACTGGTCAAGTCATTTTAAGGCGTACCCAACTGCATGAACCGTGAACCTTTCATAATATTTTTGTCACCTCTCATATCCATCCCATATAGGGTGAACAGGACTCTTGGGAATGTAAGAGATATCATTACGGTCAGAAAACACATAGATTGGAGAAAAAGGAGGTTCGACCTCAATGACGGGTGTACAAATATGGCTTGGTCACTTTAGATTCACGGTTTACTGATGTTAAATATCAAAGAATATTTTAATACCATTATATGCATACCAGTAGTGCGCATACCTGGTCTAGCAAGACGCCCAAACACCTTAACCTAGACTTCCAATATCCCTATTGCATCAACTCCAGCGCAGCACGATTTCTATACATTCCTTAGCGTTTTGACCTCTTAGAGCCCTTCAGACGAGAAGCAGCTGCTTGAAACGCCTCCTCCGACGGCTCATCCTCAACGGGTCGCTTCTTTCCCTTCTTCGCTTTACTCTCTTTAGCACCATACTTCTCAGCGAGATGATCCAGAAAACCCTCTGAGCGATCCTGTTGTCGTTTCTGGATCAGTGCTGCGAGATCGTCCTCCGAGCTTCCCTTGCCTTTGGCCTTCTTCTTACCCTTCTTCTCGCCGAACAGCTTGTCGTGTACACCGAGCTCCTTGGCATAGTCCTCGGCTTCTGTAGCTTCCGCCCGAGCCTTCTTGGTGCGTGTCTCTCGCTTCTTCTTGGTCTCTTTTGTGTAAGCGGGGAAGCTAGGCACCTTCTTGCTCTTGATGGCCTTGTCGATGATCTCGCGGAAGCGCTCGTCATCCTCCAGCACGTCACTTAGCATGACCCTCTCGTACAGCGCATCCATATCACCCTCACAGTCTTCATAGATATCGAGTACATCTCCCTTTTCTTCGTCGGAGCCCTTGTACTTCTTGGCAAACTTTTCGATGGCGTCGCTCGAAATAGACTCCTTGAATTGCTCTCGGTAGTAGTCGCTCCAGTTGAACCCTTCTGAGTCTACGATCGATTCTGAGGTGGAGCCGGTCTCGTCGTAGCGTTTGCGCCGGGCGGCATCTGAGAGGATGGCATTTGCGAATGCGATGGCCTGGAATTTCTCGTGCGCGGCATCTTTCTGATATTGAGGGACCTTGTCTAAAAACGCAGGGTTAGAGATTGAAGTCTTAGCTATAGCGCAGAGTTGACAAACCTGGGTGATGCTTAAGGGCAGCCTTTCGATATGCTTGCTTGACCTCGTCGGCCGTTGCAGATCTTTCAAGACCCAAGACCTCATAAGGGTCGATGGTCGGAGGCTCGCTCTCTAGCAATTCTTCGTGATCGGACATGGTCGATTTTCGATGTTATGACGATTAGCCAAGGATTAAAGTGAAGCTCAAGTTGTAATGGAGCGGAAGACGCGTCGCAACGCGCTCGCACGGGGAATGTGGGGCTAGAGTTAAAGTGTTTTCGGTCGTCGGAGCTTATGCCCGCCGACCGTTTAAATGGGCCAAGATAACTCCCACATCCGGATGTCTCAATTAGACAGCCCCAACCATTTATATCAAGATGACTACAATAGAGCCCGGAAACCACAAGGCCGCTATGCAACGGGCCTTGGGCCTGGCCAACAATTCTCCTCCTAAGCCAACCAATTTCCGCGTGGGGGCTCTAATTGTGCGTCTTAGCGACAACGCCATTATCGCCGAAGGATACACTCTTGAATTGCCTGGAAACACGCATGCGGAAGAAACATGCCTCATGAAGTTGGCTGAGCAGCACGGGACAACAGAGGAGAAACTCTCAGAAGTGTTTGACAGCCCTCATGCTCTTTACACCACCGTTGAGCCATGTTTCAAGCGCCTGAGTGGCAAGCTACCCTGTGTCGAGAGAGTACTGCGCCAAAAATCATGGATCACCCAGGTCTACGTTGGCGTTCAGGAGCCCGAGACTTTCGTGGGGGAGAATACGGGTCGCAAGACGCTGGAGGATGCAGGTATTGAGATCCATCACGTCTCAGGTTTGGAGGAGGAGATTCTTAAGGTCGCGACCGCGGGGCATGTAAAAGAATGATTGTTGGATATTGGAATAAGGAGGAGGCTTTTTGTTTATATTGAGTCGAGGTTCAGGTTTAATGGTATATGGCCGGCGCTATCAAATGGTGGGATAGATGACAATTCCAACACACACAAACACTTCATCTTTTGCAAGCTTCCATGTTTCTGCTGTGAGATTGCGTGCAGCAGCACACGGCTCCTCTGGATGAGGTAATCATAATTACATTTCCCTGAATGATCATGTGCTGTTTTATATATACAGAATCTGCTATGGCGTAGTGCAGGGCATCTGTGTTACATGTTTGATACAACTGTTTAATGGAAACGCAATGCGGCTCAATTTGTTCGGTAGGATTGGAAGGGTTGTTTACTTACATCTCTCACCAAGGCAAATCTCAATAGTGAGACAGACAATAATCCATGACGAATGCAAGTGTTGATATAATTAATCTCATTACTAAACACTAACAAAACTTCCTGACTCCATCAAATCTCACCTGTGACAACGTTCTTCACATATGTCACAAAACTCGTCCTCCAGTTTGTCTTCATATACCCATTGAGTGCATGGAGGGATAAAACCATGACGACGACTTCTACTTGCGTAGTTTCTGCAAGGCTCAATATTGATGAGCTCGATTCTGACATGGCCGGGATCTTTTTCTTCCCAGTGGTTCTTGGCTGGACACCCGGCACGATCGCAGGGGCAGATCCAACGAATGACTCGTCCGTGGCACATCGTAACAACTATATTTGAAGTTTAGGAGACTGTATATTTACCATATAGTACTTAGAACATATCATAATTGAAGGAGTAAGAAGCCTTCCACTACGGCGAAGGAATGTGTATTTATATTGAGTCTTGTCACTGATTAATTACCTTTGACGGTATATGATCAGATTTTTTATTGATGATGCGGAATAATTGTATCATCCTCCCTGTACATTTGGACAAAATCTATACAAATTATTACTTCTTGGAGCCTTTGGCTTCAGATTCCCCTGTTGTCTTCGTATCACCGCTTCCACTTTCCTCCAGAATTTCCACACATGTTATTTGACACTCGGGACAAAGTTCCGCTCGAATTATGAGAGTATGCCAGACGAAGTATTGACAACTCGGTTTGAGATATCGGTTGAGGACTTGTTCTGGTGGCCCATTCGCGATCCACCATTCGCAAATTTCCCATGCAATTGTGTCGACTTCGATTTTGCAGACATGTCCTTGGGTAACAAGTCTGTGAGGAACAATGCCCTTTTTAGGACATTGTGGTTTGATGCAAGGGCAGACGTAGAAGCCGCGTTGACCGGTGCACATGATAGTTCCTGGTTCCGTTGATTCTGTTGTCTCTTTTGTGACGTTCGAGGTCTGGTCTAACTGGCTTGTTGTCTCTGGTCTGTCCCTCCTTATCACAAGATAGAGACCCAATCTGATTAACAAAAGTAGCCCTCTGGCAGTCCATTTGTCTTGGTTGCCTGTACGTTTGGACCGCGGTGGTTCTCTATATTGTTGATAATTGTTACTGATGAATCAATGAGTGACGGATTGGCGAATGTTTACAGTTGTCTGATTGTAGCTGGGGTTCTGAATCATGATAACAACCTTCCAGTATTGCAGTCTTGGAGCAGTAAGAGATGATGGACATGGCTTGAGCTGTGATGAGCGTGCGGCATCGGGTATATAGTCAACTAGCACAATATTTCTCACCGAACATGGTAACGTTGCCATATTCCAATGATCCCGAGATCTTGGACAGTGATCGAGAGATTCATCTCGGTTCTGGGTTTCATAACATGACCCAAGTCACACAAACCATAGTTATAAGTGACTGGGCTCAATCTCAGCATGAGTTCAGACATTGGACAAACAACAGGCAGTGGGGCGAATTGAAGGGGAGATGCCCTTGTGCAAGGCTACATCTGCGGCTGCGGCTGCTCAAAGTAAAACGTTTGTCATGTGTCGTCTGTTTGGATATCCGAACCTGCAGGGCTGGTCTCGTATATTGGAAATCAAGTGGACGGATGGCGGATTGCATACGTACTAAGATTCAGCTTGAGTCATGCAAACTTGAGCCATGTGGGTTTTTACCAACGGCCAAGCACGAAAAGGTTAGCTGGATCTTGTCTAACAACGGTTGTGATATGATTTCAGAGTGTGCAGGGGGTAGGTTTGCTGTCGTGATATGAACTGAATCGTTGCGGCTGACGGGCCAGGCCGCTTCCTTCAGGATCCGTGGCTGAGGCATGTTTCTTCTAGAAACAAGTACGTACTGACTAGACTGGCTGACTGGTCATGTAATCAGACAAGTACTGGCAGTTTTGTACGGACTTTGCTTTTGTTAGCAAGCGGTCAGTGCTGAGTTGGACATGATGGCCATTGGCCCACGAGGAAAAAGCAAGCATGCGTGTCTCTGGAAATGGTGAAGTGACGAGCGAAGAGCTTACGTTCCGCTCATTTGGACAAAACCATAAAAGCAAAGCCAAAAAGTGTAGTACATACAAGTGACTCCTATTGATAAAACAATTAAACCAAAACTGGTATAATTGAGTTCTCTAGAGTAAACTGTTACTGTTGTCGTTGACCATTAAGGTTGATCATTGCCGGAAATGGAGCCTTGTTAGCCCAGGCAGACTGACAATGGTTGGGACGTCATGGGCTTGGAGGCCGACCATGCTAAGGGTTACGCAATAAAGAGTGGTACGTTAGTACATAAAAAGAAAGAAAAGGAAGAAGGACAAGGAATGTGGTAGTGTTCTCTTTCTTCACATCACACAGAATTTATCTTTTGATTTCCATGTTAATACTTTGAATTGAACTGAACTGAACTGAACTGAACCCTTAAACGTTCACAGACGTTGTTGCCCCGCACACTTAACGTTAGCTCACTTGGCTTGCTCCACCAAAAACGGAGGAGCTCCCGCCCGCTACTAATTCCCTGGACCCAACTCAACTCTAGGTAGCTTTCACCAGCTTCAGCTTTCTTTGTCAAGTGGAAATAGTGTTTGTGTGTACCGCTCTTACTCTTGCTCTCAGTCACCAGTCACTTTTGGGGCCCAAATAATGCTAGAGAGAGCGGCCAACGGCTACTTCCTTGCTTGTTCAGTGATTCACCGTCACGCCAGTATCTTCTACCGACATTGCTAGGCTCACATAAAGCTATTCAACTTCCTCCCTCCCAACCTCTTCTCAACTCCCTCTAAACAACAACTCAAGACAGACAATTACCCCGGATATTTCCTATTGAACAGTCTTTTAGGCATTGGAGCTATATCCATTCTTGAATCTTACAATTCACACTCAGGCATCTTTTTTGCATCGTACCTTACACATCAACATCATTCTTTGTCACCATGGCTGACCGTGGGGATCGAGGCGGCCGTGGAGGTCGTGGAGGTCGTGGGGGACGCGGCGGTGGCCCTCCTGAAGGAAGGGGAGGAGGACGTGGTGGTGGCCCTCCTGACAGTAGGGGAGGTGGACGCGGTGGTGGTTATCAAGATAACCGAGGTGGTGGGCGTGGTGGTGCCCCTACTGATGGGAGAGGAGGTGGGCGAGGACGAGGAGACGGCGGTTTCCGTGGCAGAGGTCGTGGTGATGGCACTCGAGGCGACTTTCGGGGAGGTCATGGCGGTGACTTTCGTGGCGGCTTCAGCGGTCCTAGAGGTGGCCGTGGAGGTTTCGACCGCGGAGGAGGAGGAGGATATCGAGGAGGTCGAGGTGGAGGACCACCTTCTAACGAGCCACGCATATTCTCGTAAGTCCTCTTCAACCTGTGTTCGTCATGTTTTTTTCATACTAATTCTTGCAGCGTTGGACCTGTTCCCCAGCCTGACAACGCCATCACGAAGCTCGAGAATGAGGTGGTGAAATATCAAAACTCTTCCATCGACCAGCTCACATCCCAGATGGGTAAGTTGGGCGTAGAGGATCAGCAAAAAGCCGGCATGTTTCCCCCACGACCTGCTTTCGGAAGCGAAGGACGTCCGGTCATTTTGTTTGCAAACTACTTTCAAATTCACACTAAGATGCCTGTAATCTACAAATATACCATGACGGTCAAGGAGATCGTCACTGAGACGGAGGAGACGAAAGAGCGCGCTGCCAAACCTAAGGGGAAGGGCAAGCCCGGAAAGCCTCAGAAGTCTGGTCCTCGCGAAGTCAAAGGCCGCAAGCTTTTCTTCGTCATTCAGGAGACTCTAAAGGAGCTCACCAAGAATGACAAGACATTACTTCTGGCTACTGAGTTCAAGTCGCAATTGATCTCCCTACGAAAGCTCAATCTGGCCAACGACAATACCCTCCGAGTGAGCATGGTGTCTTCAGCAAACCCTGAAAAGACCGACCTCTTCGAAGTTGCTTTGCATGGTCCTGCCGAAGCTCGGGTTGATGATATGCTTAAGTATGTTAACTCAAACACCGGAGTTGCGAAAGATGCGAGCAGCAACTCCGACGACGACGCGGCTAAGGCCATGGCCTTTCCTAAGTTCCCCGACGTTGTTGATGCTCTGAACATCATCTTCGGCTTTGGTCCGCGTTCCAAAATTGACGAAATCAGTGCCATAGGCAGCTCGCGATTCTTCTCATTCAAGAATGGCGGGATCACTACAGACATGTCTATGAGGGGCAGACCCCTAATTGCTGCGCGAGGGTACTTCCAGTCAGTACGCCTAGGCACTGGTCGTCTTCTTCTGAACACAAACGTCACTTGCGGTGTCTTCAAACTCGATGGCAAGTGTGATCAGATCTTCAAGGGCTTGGGGCTACATGCAGCACCCAAGAAAGATCGCTCGAATATGCCCAAACGGCTGAAGTTGATCAACAAATTCCTCCCCAAGACTCGTGTATGGGTAAGGATGAAGTTTGGGAACGGTAAGGAAGTTCGCAAACTCAAGGCGATCTATGGCCTAGCCTTTGCACCGGAAATCCTACGAGCATGTCAAGGTACAAAGAACCCACCCCAGTTTCAGCCTGATTGGGAATATCCTGGTCCAGAGAACGTGAAGTTCTACCGGGAAGAGGACGGCAAAGGTCAATATGTTACTGTTTCGGCCCATTATAAAGAGAGTAAGTTCGGGTTTCTCGCTCTTGCATAAGTATCTAACGTGTTTCAGAGTATGGTGTCGACCTTCAGAACTTTCCTGTCCTGAACCTTGGCACTCCTGCAAGGCCCATGTTCGCCCCGGCAGAGTTCGTTGAGATTCAAGCAGGACAGTCGATAAAGGCAAAGCTGAACAGCCAAGAGTCAACCGCGATGGTTCAATTTGCTTGCCGATCGCCATATGCGAACCTCTTTTCTATCTCCAACGACGCTCGCGAGACCCTGGGCCTCGACGATGAGACAATGGTATGTGTTGCTATGATCCAACCTCATATGATAGAAGCTGACATATCCAGGGCCAATTCGGCATCCAAGTTGACAAGCAACCCCTAACCGTTCAGGGGCGCGTTCTCGTTGCGCCCGGAGTTGCTTACTACGACTTGAAGAAGAAGCTTATCCAGATTGTCCCACGTGACGCATCTTGGAACATGCGAAATATTAAGGTATATAAGCCTGGCAAGCCTATCACACGCTGGACTTACATCAACGTAATCCCGGGGAGGTTTGGAAATGTTCCACCCAAAGTTGTTAACGACTTCGCCAACTTTATGAAGGGGATGGACATCAAGATTGGTGCCCCGGTGAACCCTCCCTCGGACACCATCACCTACAACCAATTCATGCAGGGAGATGCAGACAGATTTTTCAAGTGGGCCAAGGAGAATCAGATGGAGTTTGTACTTGTGATGCTTGGCACGTCGGAGTCAGAGGTGTATGGGAAGATCAAGACCTTGGGTGACTGTACGTATGGCATTCATACATGCTGTGTCCAGGCCGACAAGTTCTCCAAAGGACAACCCGGGTATTTCGCCAACGATGCTCTCAAATGGAACTTGAAAGCAGGCGGCGTCAACCACAAACTCCACAACGAGTTTGGCATTATCAAGGATGGCAAGACCATGGTTGTTGGGTACGATGTTACACACCCAACCAACATGCCTTCAGACAAGAGCGACGCTGCCCCCAGTCTTGTTGGTTTGGTGGCAACCATCGATCGGGATATGGGACAGTGGCCTGCTTCCTCTTGGGAGCAATCATCCAAGCAGGAGATGCTCGACGAGACTTTGACTGAAGCGTTCAAGTCCCGTCTTGAGCTATGGAAGAAACACAACAAGGGACAGTTGCCCGAAAACATTGTCATCTTCCGTGATGGTGTATCAGAAGGTCAATTTGCCCAGGTCCTCCAGAAAGAGCTGCCACGTATTCGCATAGCTTGCAATGCAACCTATCCGAAGAACAAAGCGCCCAAGATCGCGATCATCGTCTCCGTCAAGCGACACCAGACGCGTTTCTATCCTACTACCGAAGACAACCTACCATCCAACAACAATATCCAGGGCGGTACCGTTGTGGACCGAGGAGTGACGCAGGCCAGGTACTGGGACTTCTACCTTACTGCGCATGCAAGCATCAAGGGCACGGCTCGTCCTGCTCATTACACTGTCTTGCTGGACGAGATCTTCCGGGCCAAGTTTGGAAAAGAGGCCACCAACCAGCTCGAGAAGTTCACTCATGAGCTTTGCTATCTGTTCGGACGCGCTACCAAGGCTGTGAGTATCTGCCCTCCGGCGTACTATGCAGACATCGTGTGCACAAGAGCCCGATGCTACCGCCCTGAGTTTTTCGACATCAGCGACACGGAGAGCATCGCTACTGCTGGACCAGGCTCGAGTACTGGTGGTAGCAACCAAGTCCACCCAGCGCTCGCTGATTCGATGTACTACATCTAAGTACATAAAGCTCTAAAGGTCGTATTTCTTAGGAGCGTTACAGAGGTGGGGCCTCAGTGAGATATTTGGGTTATGCAATTCTGTTTTCCCTCGTATACCAAGCGGTGGGATATTCCTTGCGGTTTTATGATTTTATTGTGTTGTTACTTTGATGGTGGACAATAGCGAAAAATAGCCTCTAGATTGTTCTCTGTGTATAAGAATACAGCGGGAGTTATAATTTGACCCGGGGCAAAACAATGTCTCTATGAAGGATCCAAAGCATGTGTGATTGTCCTGCTGAAGCCAGTTCTATTTAATTATATCTTTGCCTTTGTAACGTTCTTGGGTCTACGAGGCGCAGGTTTGCCGATACGCTTTTGAAATTCTTCCGACACAGTACTCTTCTCCTCCTTGGACTTGTTCGTCCACTCGACATATTTACGCTCATCGGTCCACCACCGTTCAAGTTCAGCCTTGATCCAATCGGCTGCAGCACTTGCGCAGAGGCGCGGATCCTCCATGGGGATTAAGTGACCGTTCTTCTCGCCGACTACCTTCTTCACGCGGCCCTTCGATTGGCCACCACTGCCGCCTACACCAGTTCCCGTAAGAGCCATTTTCTCATCCTGAAGCTCTTGTGGAGAGACGTCGCTCTTGCCGCCAAAGACATAGAGGACACTGGGGCGGACTTCGGGGAGCCGAACGACGGTGTTGGGGCCTTCGGGGCGGTAGACGGGATATGTTGCCCAGCGTCGGTTTAGACTTGGGTCCAGATCTGGTGTGTGTTCGGGGTGGATCACATCTTTACCCTCAGCGTCGTATGCCTGCCAACTGGGGCGCAGGAAAGTAAAAATCTCTTGGTATTTTGTCGTGGTCAGAGTAACGGTTTCTCCTCCTGGTACGTCCCTAATACCATAGTCTAGCCAGCGTTGCAACACACGAGGATCCCATGACTTGTAGAAGGGACTGCGATTAAAGGACGCTGATGCTTCGGCGCGGGATGGCCAGACTTCGCGACGATTCATGCTCGCCGCTGCAGGACCAGCGCTTCGGGCGCCGGGCGTGGAGGCGAAGTGGGAGATGACGGGATCCAGAAGAACAAGGGATGTGAAGACACGGGGATGAAGCAGGGCAACGTTTGTGAGAGCGTTTGCACCAAAGGAATGGCCTATTGCCATTATTGGCGGGGGAGGGCGGAATGTGTTGACCATGTGGAGGATATCACGCGCATAGTCGAGCCAGCTTGCTGAGAAGAGGTCAGTAATAAGAAATTTGAGTGACATGGTGAGTATTACGGTCATTGCCAAGGGCGTCTTGGTTGATAATACCGCTCCGGCCTTGCCACGCTGTATCCACTATCCAGATACTCCGAATGCGAATATCGCGGCGTTTAGCCTCATGGTAGAACTCCTCCCAGAGAGGTTCATATAGTTCCTGCGAAATGATTAACACAAGCTTTGGCGAATATGGAGTTGAACTTACCTTGGGGAAGCCATTGGCGTGGCCACCAATGATGGTCACGTCACCTTTCTGAGGATTGGGGTTATCTTTAGGAGTGTACTGCTTTATATGTAGGTAAAGCTTTTCATCTTGTGAGTGGGATGTTGCGCGGGCGTATTCTCGTATATGTGAAGCTTCGATTGTATGCTCTGTGACGGCGAAGGGGAAAGAGGACATGGTGGAGATGCAGCTACACTTGAGCTGATACAAATCGCTACTAGGTTTTGTATAGATGAGGATAGATGTACTCGTACTTTGGTGTTAAAGAGAGAGTCTAAGAGCTGAATTATATGAGGTTGAACGAAACGAGGTTGAATAGAGACACGGCCTCGGCAACGTTTGTGGAGCTCTTTCCCGGTAGGGGAGTGGGGGGTGGTGGAGGCTACCTCGGTACCTGCGGCCGGGAAGTGGCTGCCGATCCTCTCACTTGTCAGCTTTAGCCTGCATAATTAACGAACACCATGAATCCTGGTCCACCTTCTATCTACTAACCTTACCTTAACAACAACAACAACACTTCACCTCCACTCAGCTACTACCACAACGTCTTGGCCACATCATGCGATGCTTCAAATAGAGCCTTTCCCGGATTGCACAGGCGGCCGCACGTCATCGTCATGACTCCTCGACTGCTCCTCTTCGCAGGAGCACCGCCGGCTTCAGCGCTGACCGCCCACTCGTGCACCATAACACAAATCGACGATGCCTTTGCGGATTTTTTAGGGCTCGTTCCTCGCGGATCAAGTCCCACGGGGTCTTCAAGTCTTGTGCCGTGGCGCTCTCTGCCGCTGGATAGAAAACCTTTGCATACGGGGTTTAGCCAGAGGCATGACATCAGCATCAACCTGGCCAACCAGTCCGACTTCTTCACCACGGCTGACGTCTCGTTTAAAGAACAGTCGCAGTCATTTGAAAGTGTTGATGCGGAGACGGTGCTGTCTCATTTTTACGACCACTCTTTGGCAGTGCATAATTCAATTCCCTCGTCGCAACTGGATAGCTTCGAGGAGACGACGTTTGAAGAGACATCGTTCATGACGACTTCTTTTGCGGGACGGATTGAAGCGGAAGAGTCTATGCCTTCTCATCTATCTGACTTGGAAGATATACCGCCTGCGCCGAAGATCCTGGCTCTTAATCCCCAGACTGTTACACTTAATATCATTGCCGGTATTATATCCATTGCCCAGCCCCGAACCGTAACCACGCGCTGGGGCCGCACGCTGTCACTAGTTGAGATCCTCCTTGGCGATGATACAAAGACGGGCTTTGCTGTTACCTTTTGGCTTGAGCAAGAAAACGCCGCGGCCGCTGAGATTAGCGCCCTTCGACGGCAGGATGTAGTCCTCATGCAGAATGTCGCGCTTCATGTGTTCAAGGGCAAAGTATACGGCCAGAGTCTTCGCAGGGGTATGACCAAGGTGAGCTTGTTATGGAGAAGAGATGGATCCGGGTTGTACTCGACGAGGGAGCTCTCGAAGCGTGGCCAAATGTCTCCGCAACTACAAAAGGCGAAACAGGTGAAAGACTGGGTGCTCAAATTCGTGGGAGCCGACGTTGGGGTAAAGACAAGATCTAGAAATGCACGGGTTTCATGGGACAGACCACCGGATGATACACAATAAGAAAAGGTTTCAAATTCCATCAGACTTTTTAATTAACCATTCTATGATATTAGACACTTATTATTTCGCGCGCCAAATGCAACTGAGAGCAGAGAGATGTCTGTGGGTATCTATGCCAAACGCCAACTATCGAACAACAATCGATTTCACAATTTGCTTAGACAGGCACGGCAGGCTCGGGCTTCCTGTCCTCGCCATTGGGGCCCTTCTTGACAGACCTCCACTGGAAACACAAACAAGCAATAAGAGCACAAGCAGCGCAAGCCAGGGAAATGTAGAAGGTATCACGGAGACCCTTCATGTACGCCTCCAGGACAGTGTCGAGGGCATCCAGGCGGCCCATTTTCTTCAGGGTGTCCTCAATCTCCGAGGCTCCGATGTTGATGAAAATGGTAGGATCAATGCCAATGTCGTCAGCCTTGAGTGTGTCGATGAGGCCGTTCTGGAACACAGTTTGAGCAACAGCGATGAACAAAGCTCCACCAAAAGCTTGGAAGAACTGCACACAAGCGGTACCGACGGGAACCCAGTCCTGGGGCAGTACAGTCTGAATAATGAGAACACCGATCTGGAAGCCCGCTCCGATACCCAGGCCAGCGATGACCTGGTAACCGAACCACTCCTTGAGGGGAGAGTCGACATCAAGGGTTGTGAGCATGCCGCAGCCGACAGTGTAAAGGATCATGCAAGGGATGACGACATAGTTGTAGTAACCAATGGCGGTAATCAGGCCTCCTGTAACGATAGAGCAAAGAACGGTAGCAAGGAGGAGAGGGAGAATCTTAATTCCAGCTTGGACGGCACTAACACCCTGGATAGCCTGGAAGTAGAGAGCTTCAAGATATTAGCTAAACGAAGCAGGAGTTGGATGCAGGAGGTACTTACAGAGATAGTAGATAAGAGGGAAGAAACCAGCACCGAAGAACATGGAGAACATCATGGCGGCCAGGGTGTTGCGGTTCTTGAACAGACGAGGAGGAAGAGTTCCTCGATCACCTTGTCGGAACTGGATAACGATGAAGATGGCAATCATGGCACCGAAACCGCAGAAGAGGCCAATAATGCGAGAGTTGTTCCAAGGATAGTCGGCACCACCCCACTGCAGAGCAAGGAGAAGGCAGACAATGGCAGGGATGAAGATAGCGGCACCAGCAAGATCGAGCTTGCGGACACGGGCCATGAGGGAGAGGTGGTCGTCGTCGGTGGAGTTGCGCTTGACATGGACGAAGAAGAAGACGATGACCATGGCGATTCCACCAATGGGCAGGTTGATGTAGAAACACCAACGCCAAGTAGCATGCTCTGTGAAAGCGCCTCCGAGAAGAGGGCCAGCTACGGAAGCAATACCCCACATGCCACCAATGAGACCGAAAGCAAGAGGACGCTTTTCAAGAGGCACTGAAAGAGGGTTAGTGAGAGTGATAAAGGGTGGTGTTAGGGGAGAGACGTACTGATGAGAGAGAGGATGACGATAGAGCCAGAGAAGAGACCAGCCGTTCCAATCTAAGGAAAGGTTAGTAAGATATCATGGATTGGGTTGTGGGCAGTTTGGCATACTCCAGCAATGGCACGGCCAACAATAAAGGCAACAGAAGAGGGCGCAACAGCCGAGATCAAGCTACCAATCTCAAAGATAAAGACAGCAACAAGGTAGGCAATCTTGACATTGAAGTACTTGTAGATGGTTCCGTACATGGGCTGCAGAGCCGTCGTGGTGAGGAGATAGGCAGAGCCATACCATCCAATGTCCTTGACGCTCTGGAACTTTGCAGTAATGGCACCAAGCGCAGGGGCAATAATGGTCTGGTCGAGAGCAACAAGGAAGATGGCGAGGCAGAGAGACGAGATGATAAGCGTGAGCTTTGCAGCGCCGGGATATTGGGGCTCTTCGCCGGCGACATTGTTGTTGCTGATTGAGCCTGCCTGTTGCTCTTTGTTGTCGGCTGAAGTATCGATGATGTTGTTGGAGCCGACTTCAGTCTTCTCATCGGACGAGAGACGAGTTTCGTCAAGCATGGCGTTGGTAGGCGCCGTGGCAGGAGTAGTTGTGGCCATTGGGTGAATACTTTGCTTCTTCCTTTCTGCTGATGGAGAGTAAAGAATACAGAAGGACAAAAGAGCTAAAGGTGTGAGAGAAACTGTTGTATTATGTACAATCAATCTAGCGTGCAGCGTAGATGTAGCGTGAACGGGCCTGGGGCAACCAAAATGGTGATTGTCTCGGGAAGGAAAGGGAGACTTGATGCAAGCTTCCAATGCTTGCTTCTCTCCGTCAAGCAAAAGAGGGATGAATGAGTGAAGAAAGGAGATAAACGGCTTTTGGGCTTGAAGATGGATCAATATTAATATTAAAAACTAATGCGTCAGTGTCAGTCACGGATGGGCTCAACACCTTAAGGCTTAAGGACCTAGCCGTCTTACGGATACTTTGACAGCAAAAAAGGTACCACCCGTAAGCACGCTATTCCCCTTAGCCATCCCTTGCCCTGTAAGGACAAACTCGAAACATCGAAAAGCCCGAGATAATACGCTGTACCAAGCGTGAACTTGCAGCAAAGCAAAGGCGCGGCAAGGCAATTCGTCCGTATGCCGGACGGCGCAAGAGACAGCCACTCACAAGCCAGAGACATGCACGACCAGCGGCTTTTCTCTCCCCTGTCATCCCTTGTTGGTTGATTAATTACATGTCTCCAATGTAATCGGGCTGATTTTATGGAGTGTCTTTTGGGGGTTGCTCTGATACGATAGGCGAAAAGGCTCGTGGCCCTCGCGTGGGTCGGACATTGCACCAAGGCCGATGTCCGAAGGGTGGGAATGAGGATGACATTTGGGCTGTTTTGAATTTGAAAGGGTCATAGATTTATTTGTCTTTCTTCTTTTGCAAGGAAGAGGACATCTGTTGATGTGCAGTGGTTTCCTTCTGTCTGTCTATCAACCCATAGATTAAGCATGTGCTTCTAATGATACCATCACCATCTTAACGCAGTCACCAGTTCATTCTAATATTCGTATAGACATGTCCCTAAAAACCACCCTAATTATCAGAAGAAAAAAAACCATTAAATGACATCCCCACAAGTAAACGCCCAAGCTCGATCTTCAGTCCCCTGACCAGCAGCTTAGATCCTGGTCCCGCATGCTTCCAAGTTCCAACCGTGGTCTCGACCGCTTTTCGTCCGTCTCTTGTCTTGTCAGGCATCTCAGCTCTCCACATGACAATCCGAGAATAAGCACGATTTCTAAGTTTTCTCTTACAATGAGCTAAGCAAGCAGAACTGCCGCTACGGCCCCACCTTACTCCGTCGGGGATAGGGTCATTTTCGGATTCAACAGCGAAATTCCGTATTTATCTCCGGCCACCAAAGGATCTAAGGATAGTTGAGTGCCGATGACCGGGCAGGGGCGGAGCTAATATCTGATATTTGATGATATTGAAACAAGAATCACACATATCTTTAATATCCATGTCACACAGTCGCACATAGTCACACTGGTAACGCTCTTACATTGCATGTCCAAGTTGTGACACCTTGTCATGTCCCTCAGGACCTACGCACAGCGTCTCGTCATACATAATTCTCGCGTGTTGTTGTAACGTGAAATTCATGAGTTATGCTAGTATCAATGTCTACTCATGATGGCTTCATTCGTAACCCCCATCTACCTATTTAATCTGTCCAGATAGCCCCTATCAATGCAAATATCCATCGCCTGTCTTGTCTAGTCCTATATGACGTTAACCTCAAAATCACTACTCCTCAGACTCCTCTTCCTCTTCGTCGTCTTCATCTTCATCTTCTTCTCCCTCCTTCTTAGTCTCTTCCCCTGGAACCCATACCAATAACCCCTCCTCGTCGATCTTCATCCCCTCCGTTGGTATTATACGCAGCACCTTCTGAAAGTACTTGTCTCGCACCGTCAATTTCGGCCGTATCCAAACTCCACTGACATGCGGGAATAGTCGATATGTTATTGTTCGTCTCGACTGAGGAAGCAAGTTCAGTGTCATTTGTTTTGCGCCAGAAAACGCAAAGTCCTCGCTTGGTTCCATGCTGAGACCAAATGTGAGGAAATGATTCGATGGATTCTCAACTGTCATGTCCATCTGCAACAGTCCTGGAATATCGTCTTCAGGTTTGGCAGCGTGGTACACAGACGCCAGCACTCGTGGCTCCGTACCCAGCACCAGATATTTACCAACCGGCATAGTCGTAGTGTTAACTGCTCCATCACTACGGCTCTGGCGCTGCCATCGAATAACAAACGCCAGTTCGAGTGTTACAGGGTGTCGATCTTCCAACGTAAGCTTCTGGGCAAGAAGATCGAACTGTGCCTCATGCATTGTCTTGGGCGTAACGACTACCCCTTCATGCGATACGTTCGCACCCTGAGTCACGTTGCATCGTGCACCGCCAACGCAAGACACTACGTTGAGGTCCATCCCAAGAACCTTCAGGTCCTCCTGGGCAAACGATGCGTAGTGGCATAGCAGGCACCACTTCTGCGCAAAGCCTCGAGCAACGCTCTCTTCCGTATCCCCAAGTCCTTCAGAGTCGAATAGACTTGGCCATGGTCCTGGGTGGAGTCGTGGAACCAAATCGTAGTTTGCCTCGAATGCATTCACAACATTTAGCTGAACCGTCAACATCTGCATAATCGGAGTTGCCACATCCGAGTCAAGATGGTACGACGTCCGCAGATGCAAATCCAATGTTGTGGGAGACGATGCAGGATCTATATGCAATACCAGCTTGACCGATGATGTGCTCTTGAGGGCACCTAACGCAAGCCCTGAAATCTTGGACTCTTCTGTCGATGCTTCGGCACTTCCTTCGTGGCCCTCTACCTCCACCCGCATTGCAGGGACTTCCTTTCCAAAAAGATGGATGTCCAGCTTGGCAGTGGCAGATTCGTCCTCAGCATTGATCAATTCAACCTGCAAATTGATTGCCTCGTTTGCATAGTATTGAGCTAGAGGTTCCAAAAGCTTGATCTCCATCTTTGGCGGCCGGGGTTGAATTTGTATGGTTCCTGCTTCTGGCCGACTACTCCTGGGCTTTGATGAGCCTTGGATATACCAGCCCACGACAGGGTCAGTGTCGCGAATCGTTAGTCTAAAGTCAAGGTCAAAGCTCTCGTTGCTGTGAAATAGGCTAACTGATGATGCTGTTGCGGTACCGGGTTCTCTCAAAGGTATCTTCATCTCGAATACTCGAGTCTGGCCAGGTTGGAGCGTCAAGTTTGAGTGTCCCTTCAACAGCGTCGGTAGTTCATCCTCCGACCCACCAGCATAATCTTCTTCCAATGACAGTGACAAAATGGAAGCTTCTGAAGTTGGCGATGGCTCGTCATCTGGAGCCTCATGCTCTAGTAGTATCGGTCTCAAACTCCCACTAAACTCGACCCTCAAAGATTCAAATGTGATAGGGGCAGCGTCAAGAAACGTATGCGAAGTGAGTGCAAGCTGTGCGCTGCAGGTCTCGCCGGCCTTTCCCTCTTTGTGCCGGAACACAAAAGACGCCGAAACAAAGGATCCTGTTTTCTCGTCACTTAGACTAATTGAGGGCTTTTCCTCTGCCGTGATGCCTTGAAGAGATTTGCTCATGTCGTAATGCCACTGCGGCTGCCGCACGAACTCTGATAAATTGTTAGTGATTTGGGCTGAGAAGAGGTTGTAAGTACTCACTGTTGCTCATTAGCTCCCAGTCTGTAGCTACCACCAAGTCTGCGCGGCGAGCTCCCACAGCAATTCTCCGCATAGTCAAACACAAGTCCTCGGAAATATTGGCCCAACCCTCTGATCGGAATGCAACATCCTCCCAAAACGGCAGTATCACCTCAATCGCACCGTCCCATTGCTTTAAGTTGGCGAGTTCTCTTGCGCACTCCAATGATATCTCAGTGGCCAAGCGTCCCTGCTTACGAGCTTGAAACTGTGAGCTCGCAGACTTTAGACAATCGATGATTAATTGTGAGTGGTTGACTCCTTTGCCTGATATGGGGTATTCTTGGTATGGCTCTGGGCACATGTACGTGTCGTATGCAAAGGCCTTGCTGGCTACCGCTGACGCAGGGGTCGTATCGGGTGAGTTCCTATCCTCTTCCGGTATCTGATGGGCCAGCTTCCGACGGGCTACGAGATGGCGTGCCGCAATGCGATACCAGTAGCCTGTATGATGTAGCAGCTCCCACGGCGATACTCTCTCGGCCGCAACAGACTTATCAGGCGGGACGAAGAGAGCCCCTGTCGCCGGCGCCAAAGCTGACAATCCCACCCTCTCGATCAAGTTTGCCATTACTGTAGCCCATCGAGCTTCCCAGGCTTGCCATCCATAGTTGTTAGTTCCTCGTCCGCGTCGATCGACAAAGTCTGCGATTCTTTCCCGGTGCAGATGCCACTTCCGAACAGCCAATGTCGTTTGCCCCATCCACAGGTGACATCTCAAACATCGTATTGCTACAATATCTGCCAGAAGTCGCGTCTCATTCCACCGAGGGCTCCAACTGGGGATAATATCCAGCACATCCTGTCCTAAGAGTATTTCGTAAGCCTGCTCAAAAAACCGCAGCGCTGCATCTGTTTCTTGGCGAAATTCTGCGAAAATTGCCGACTTAAAGTCGTATCTGAAATTCCAATCCGATAGTGAGAGTGTCTGTGATGTTCCGGTCGTAGGTGGCACTGTTGGCTGGGGGGCTATTCCACGGGATCGCTTCTTTCTCGCATGTCGTCCTAGATCTCGGTAGTATTCTACAGCCGATGTGTATAGCACACCCAGGATGTTATCGACCACCTGCTTCAGATCCTCCTTCGAATCCTGCGAAGGAATGTAGAAAATCGACTTGGGATCCAGGGCTGTCCCTCTCCGTATGTTTTCCAGTCTCTCTTGAATTCCTTCAGCCGACGAGAGAGGAGCGCCTTCGCCATCCGCAAGTAGAACAATCGCTAGTCGGGTTTTATATCCTGAGCGCAATAGAGCGCTCTTAAGATTGTTGATATCGGACTTTATATGGTTGTCTTGTAGTGTCATAGACGATGAGTCGCTTGTCAGGGGGTAGAAGCACAAGTATACGCTTGGGACAAGGTCCTGGTGTTTCTTAACCCATTGCGCATCAATGAGGCCATCCGGATATAGCGATGATATGGGACTTAGTGGGGAGAAGGGCGAGTGTAGTGTCGGGTGTTCGCTGAGCGGTTCGATACCTTCGGGAAGACGAGCTCGGCGCGGCGGTAATAGAAACGACTATCCCACATCATTAGAACAGCAGCTCAACAAATAGCAACCCCGCCAGACCTACCCTTCCTGCCGTCTTGATCTGAAATCTGTAGGGCTCGCTCTTCTCAAACGCGCTCCAAGACCTTGCGCTAGCATTAATATCCGCGAAGTACTGGGCCAAAACCTCGGCCTCTTTGCCCTCGATGGGCGCTATCTCTGATCTGAGGAGGATGCTCTGCTCCCTAAGCTCTGCGCTTAGCGGGAGCTCGTTCGTTTCGCTGTTGAGGCCGGCGGCCACTAGAAGGGGGACATTATGGTCCAAACTTCCCGTCGGATACCCATCCATGGTGGATAATTTGAGATGACGAAGGCATGGATTCGCTGTAGCGAATGTTGGGTGAGCTTAGAGCTGCTGTAGACAGGCGACGTTAGCCATAGCCATCCATGTACATCGCAAGTGCCCCTCGTTAGCGTAGCGCAGCCCACTTACAGAGCTCAAACGGCAGCAAGATGTTGCCCAATACCGGATATCTTGTGTTTTCTAAAGGAAATAGAATGAGTTGAACAGTTTCAGATTTTTATTACAGTTGTAAAGTCAAAACGACATCACCATTTGTTTGAAGAATGTCCCAGCAGCGATCAGATGAACGCTTGGCCGTTAACGGCACCCCTGCAATCCATCCACAGCTGATCCGGAACCGGAACAACAGGCTGCCGAATCCCCAAAACTTCAATATTCAACCTTGCGATAGCGACGTCGGCAGCAATCGACCACGGATATCCCCCAATCCGCCGCGCCTCCGACCTACGAAGTTTCCTCCATCGAGTCCGAACGTCTCAATCACAAATCGCCCATCATGAGACCTACGCAAGCCCTCTCCGTCGGTCGCTACCGCCATCTCAGACTCACCACCAAGGATGTTGGAAAGGGTTTCTACAAGGGTAACCGCACTGGTTCAATGGGTCGACACACAAAGTACGGAGGCTACGTTATCGAGTGGAACAAGGTCCGAACATATGCTGTGCCGCCTCTGAAGGATTTCAAGGTAAGGACGGAGCACTGCTTGCAATTGGGACTGGGAAGCTAATAGTGGTGATAGCTTACACCATTTGTGAGCCGAGAGATCAAGTCGCAATCGGGTGACTACAAGGGTCTCGATAAGGGTCCTCAGGATCCTTACTTCTACGTCGAACAGTGGAAGCGATACAACGGTGTGGATTAAGAGGACCAATTAGTTGAAATCCAATGAACGATAGAAGATGGCAAACCTGGTTGGGATCCATTAAGCGATAGAGGATCTCTAGGAACAAGGCGAATCTTGAGCAAAAACATGATCCGCCAGCCAGAGGCTTGGGAATCTCTGCGCGGCTGTATATACCCACCTACACTGTATCACCATGTACGATTATGTACTTAACTTGTCAAGAAGGATAAAAGTTAAATATTCCTATTTCATGTGGATTATTGACTATGGATATTGATTACAGACGCAAGAAAAATAATGATAACGATTGTGCTTTGGCACGGGATATCCTATTGTACCAAATAATACAATTGACTACATCCCACCTTGCGCCAAACTAAACTCCTTTCCATAGGTTTCCTTCTCTTACTTGGCCAGAGGAAGATTCTCTTGGGCCGTGACGAAAGTGTCTAGACCGGGTCGCTCTAGAGGTGTGGCAATCAAACCCGAGCTTTCTTCATCCACATGACTCTTCTCATTTGTTACTCCATTCTCTTGAAATTCCTCTGTCGGGTCCGACCGCTGAATGCTTGGGCTCATAGGTCGCGAGCCAGGCATGGCGGTGATGTTCGATAGCAGAGTCTTCATACTAGCTGTATCTGCTTCCTTCTTCAGGCTGAATGGAACTGCTGTGCCGTCAAGGAACGGTCGCTTTCCTGCAATCTCGATAGTTGGTGCGTCTTGCGAAGTGAGTTGCGTCGACTGCGAGGGCTGGGTAGAATCATCGTCCAGGAAGTTTGGACTCATAGGACGTGAGCCTGGAAATGGCGTAGCGTTAGATTGCAGCGTCATCATACTCGCGGTCTCGGCATCCTTGTTAAGGCTGAATGGCAATGCAATACCATCGAGGAACGGCCGTTTACCGGCTACACCAGTCTCTGGCGCAAAATCAGGACTAAGCAGGCTAGGCCTTGCCGCTTCTTGCTCTTTTCGCTGCTCTATAAGATGGGCAACTGGCATATCTTGGGTGAAGAATTGACTGCCCGTCTGGTTCTCGTCTGTGACCGTTCTCCTATGGGATCGGCTTCGTGATCGGTTGGAATTCAAGGGCGGTCTATCTTGTCTTTCGATATCAGCAAAGGAGCGTGCCCCTTCGCCATCAGCATTTGTGGCGACCCGAGTTTCTGGCTGTGAAGCCGCCTTCTTCTCTCGCTCAACTGTCATCTCGTCGTGCTTGGAACCCCAGAGAGACCACATTGCCAGACCCCAGCTCTTCTGTTGCTTCTTGCTTCCCTCTACCAGCTTAGAATCGACTCGTCGTCGACCAGCCAATGCAGTTGGTGGAGGGCATTCGCCTGGGCCATAGCTGTGATAGCCAACCGCCATATCGCTGACCATCTTCTTGTGGACCTTAGCCTTGGCTGACGCATATCGATGGTCCCAGTCGTTCTTCATAGCCAGCCATTTCTTGACTGTGCCCTCCTTCACGACGCCGACGCTAGCGGGTTCGACACAGCATGCTACCAACTCGGTCTCGGGGGCCAATGGCATAGTAGCACCATGACGGGTGACCCTTTGGCGAATCATGTGGTTCTTGAACGGTGGAAGAGGATCACCAGCCTTTCCAACATAACCAGGCTCCAATACAAGATCAGACTTGTCTGTTTCCGGAGTTTTAGGTGGTTTCTCTTTAGAATCGCTGTCAGATCCAGACTCAGAGATGACCGAAATATCGTCGTCGTCGAGAATCTCAATGCCACGCTTCTGAGCTCGCGCAAGTACCCACGCACCGAACTGGGCAACAGATCTGTACATGTACTTGGCAGGTCGAGTGAAACTCAGGGTCGGTGCCACATGGCAAAGGTCGTCCCATACTTGAAGTTGAACATCGGTGGGCTTATAACGTTCCAGCAAGGCTTTTCCTTCTGGTGTTAAGGCCTCCTCCGGCGGGGCATACTTCGCTGGGTTGGCACATTTGTGAGCCATGTAAATCTGCTCATCTCGTAGGATCTCGCCTCCTCCTACCATGATCAAAAGGGGAGGCAGACCACCCAGTGTAGGTTGCATAACTGGACTAACCAGGGGATGAGCAAGGAGCTCGTTGGTGGTATACATCTGCGAGGGTCAGCTTCCATTTTGGCATGTCGTCTACGAAACCTACCTGAATTTGGTCTTTCAGTTTAACAAGCTGGCCGTCTATGCTAACAGAGAGGAGCTTCTCGGGATTGATGGCAACCCCACCGTTAATCCACTCCGATCTTGATGAAGCATCTGACGCTTCCTTCTTCACAACTGGTGCTTGCTGTTTCTCCTTGAGTTCGTGTTTACCAGGGGATTTCTTCGTACTGCTCTTCTTCTTTTTCAAGGCTTCCTCTCGTAGCATTGCAATGTCGTCTTCGTTTGGTGGCGGCCATGCTTTGGAGGGCTTGTGGTGGAATCCAGCCTGTGGGATATAATCCAGGGGCGCTTCTCCGGCAACGCTGGGGAACGAATGTGTCAAGTCAACCCATGGACTGATGAGGATAGCACCGGCAGGCAGCGGGATCCCTTGATCTCGCAGAACACACAACAGAGACATGACCATGCCACCGCCAGCAGAATCACCCGCTAGGACTATAGTGGTAGGATCTTGTACAGTGAGCAGATACAGGTAGGTAGCAAGACAGTCGTGGAGGCCACAGGGAAAGGGGAATTGCGGAGAGAGTCGATATTTAGGCGCAAAAACGCGTGCTTTGAGCTTGCGAGCGTGTCGTTGCATTTGATAACGGTGCTCATCAACACTGCCAAAGTAGTATGCGCCTCCGTGGATATACATCATGACACGTCGCGAGTTGCCTCCTGTTTGCTTTCGCTCATAGGCATCCGAGCGCATCTCAATCCATTCCGCGTCAAGCGTACGATCAGGCTTCCGCCATTGCCACCACTTCTCTCCGCCCACCTGTTTGAGGCCGTCGGGGCCCAGCTGCTTGTGAAGCAATTCAGCGGCGCTTGTCAATTGAGCCTCGGCAATGGTAACATCCTCGACTTTGACCCATTGAGGGTGCGGCACCCATTGCGCGGTAAATGCCTGGAGTTCTTCGACTGTGTGGTGCGATGCATACTCGAGGAACGACCGGATCAGATGGAGACCTTCATCGTAGGAGAGATGCGCGGTCGGGCGTTGTCTCAAAGGTTTCCTGTTGAAGTACTAGAGCGTGTCGCTGTTAGTAGCTGAAAGAAAAAAGCAATCAACGTCCTTGGTGCGAATGCCAATGCAATGCCAATCGCTCGTTCCCCCACAATCGGGCGTGCAGATTGATTACACAAGATCGAATAGTATGGTTCTGGGACGTACATGAGAGAACAAAGTCGAGACGACAGTCGGCGTCACGGCGAAGCCAACGGACGTGGTGTTGAGCGTGTTCATGGCTGCCGCACTCTGTCAAATTTCTTGTACACACGACAATCAGTGGCTTGGAGAGCTATTAAAGACGCGCCAAACCACGAGGGAGCTTGTCGAGACACGGAAGAGTTCATCCTCGGGCTCGGGCAGCTGAACTCAAAGTCAAAACCTAATGCTAGTAGGGGTCTCATGATGTCATCCTTGGATGAGATGCGTCCAATTCCTACCCCTGACTCCACGGACAAGGGACGGGAAATCGAGTCCGCCTGCTGCATGCAGCGAGTGAGTCGCTGGAAACTGGGCTTTCATTAAAACATGGCCTGTGCTTCGGCTCTGGGGGGATCTCCGGCGAAGAAAGCAAGGCAATTGAACACAGGCACTATAGGTAGTACGATATAGCGTTTGAAATCTTGGAAAAGACGGGGAAATAACGGTGAGGCATGAAACCCTCAAACTAGAAGTTGCCCAGGATTCCGAGCTGGTAAATATCCTTGATGCACTCGATATATGTACATTCTCAATAAGAAGAAATAATGTACGTAGCACTAAAGAGCTGAAGGGACATGGGGCACTCTAAAATAATGTGGGCCATTCTCTTGGTCTACGGGCCAAAAGAGAATGGAGAAAAACACCAAAAATTTTATGTAGAGCCATCTTCCAAATTGCCCCTCCAACCCCGCCAAACCACCTATTGTCACAATCATGGCTTCCACAGAACCAGCACAGCTGCCCCCAGCGGGTGAGTTCAAGTGGCCGATTAATAATCTCAATATCAGCTAACCATAAATCTACAGCCGAGCGTCAATCCGAGTTTGAACAAGCCGTCGCATACGCTCTTCACCTTTGGCCTGCCCTGAGACTCTCCGTCCAAGAGGGCTGGGGTGGTCCCGACTCTGCCGACAAGCGTGATTGGTTTGCCGGCGCCGTTGTCGAGCTCTTCCCCGAATACACCGATACGCCCCCCAAGAATGGAAAGGCCCCTGAGGATCCCGATCTGGAGGAGGTAGAGACTGTCCTGCTACAGGTCATGATTGACGAGTTCGAGGTCAACGTCGACGATGATTCAGGCACTGAAGTAGCCAACAACATTCTCCGTGCTCGCGCGAGCTGCACCCTTGGTACTTTCGACGAGGTTAAGGCCCTGCGCACACGCTGGTCGAACCTCAGTGGAACAAAGGTTGATAAGATCTTCAAGAAGGCCGACGACGCCGACCAAGACACGGACTGGGAAAGCGACGACTCCGGCGATGATGGAGAGGGTGGTGCTGATGTTGAGATGGATGAGGCTCCCCCTCTGGTAGCAGCGCCCAAGGAGAAGCCCCAACCTCAAGTCGACGAGGATGGCTTTACTATGGTCACCAAGAAGAAATAAGTGCCACGGCGGCTAAAACTACAAAAATGGCTTTGATTGGAGGTTAAGGATGGATATCAGACACAAGTTCCTGGTATTAACACCTAATATCAAGTTACAAGCTCTGGTACTTTGAACATGCCATATCGTTTCACAATACCGAACGCCAAGCTGGACAAGCGACAATCCGATCATCCCAAACATACAGTAGACCAGCCTCAGGTTCTATTCCCAGTCCTCATCGCTATCTGAATCATCATCGCTGTCCTCCTCCTCGTCGCTGCTCTCTTCCTTCTTGGGGTTCTTGACGTCCTTCGAATCCTTGACGTCCTTTGTAATTTTGGGATCATTCAAGTCCTTAGGATCCTTGGATTCCTTGGGACTGTTAGGAGTCTGGGTCGTCTTGCCAGATGTTGCTCCAACAACGTCGTAGCTGGCCTCGCTGTCCGCCTGCGACTTCTCGTCGTTGGACTTGCGGGGCTCGGTTGGCTTCAGGAGGTTCTTTGCAGGAGATTGGGCAGTGGAGGAGGGGGTAGCAGATGCGACCACCTTGGGCTCGGTCGTGGGCTCGGTCGTGGGCTCAGCCTTAGATTCAGCTTGAGGTTCAGTCTTGAGTACGTTCTTGCCTTTAGCTGCGGGCGTGCTAGTGTCATCAGAGTCGTCAGAATCCTCGTCAGATTCATCATCACTCCAGGCAACATCGTCCTCGGCGGAGGCAGCTGTCAAATATGTTAGCGAGTTACTGGTAAATCTCATAATTGACATACCCTTAAGGAGATCCCTTCGCCTGGCCTCAGCTGTCTCAATACCGTGACGAAGGAAATAGTAGCGCTGCCAGAAATCAACGTAAGGAACCTGGTCGGGAACCAGCTTCTCCATAGTGGCTCGTAAATCGGGGAATTTCTGTAGATCATCATTGATTTCAGGGGTCTTCTTATCAGCATCAAAATCCTTTGACCAGGCCGCATAATCGGCACTGTTGGGGTCTTTTGTGAAGCTCTCAATTGATGTGTGGATAACGTGTAGTTGGGCCTCGAATCGCGAAGTATGAATCACACGCTTTCCTTGAGCGTCTTTACTCTCGAAAAGAACAGCGCCGCTTTGATCAGAATCCTGTGGAGGTGCAATGCTGATGGCATCGCGAAGGAAGTTTCGGACATTGCCACCAAACTTGATGAGGGCATCATCAGCGGCTTCCTCGGCTCGCTGCAGGTCTTTCAATCTCTTTGCAGCTTCCGCTCTCAGACGAGCAAGGGTATTCTCAGACTGTTTCGCTTCTGCTGAGCCATCTTGAGAAGCCCTTGGTGTGGCCGGATCATTCTCCCCAGACCTAGAGCTCTCGCCGGCAGTGATGGTATTGATTGAAAGATTCCTTGTGTGGCTCAGAATAGTTGAACGAAGACCTGTGAGTCCTTTTGATGCATCTTCGCCTACTTCCGCCAACTCCTTCGAGGCTTGTGTGTATACTGATTCGCCCTAGGCGTGTTAGAGAGGCTAGGCTTATGAGCTGACATCTCATACCTGCTTAACAACGTTGCCAAAGAACCCGCCAATCCTGGAGCCCCACGGACTGTTTGAGAAAGCCTTGTAGGCGTCCTGGAGGTCCTCATTCAGTGTTGACTGGGGTTGTTCAGTCTTTGGCTCTCCTGTCTCCTTAGCGTAGCCTTTCTCTGTGATGTGATCGTAAGCCAGATCCATAGCGGCGAGCTAAGGGGTATCGAACTAAGTCGATATACAAGACTATTTCTTAAAAGCCCAACTCCGGGTTCTCAACAGTCGTTCAATTCGTTCGAGGTCACTTTACTCGATATCTCTGGTTGTCTTGAAACTCCCTTGACCTGGTTCGAGCCTCCTGACCGCACCGTCCGCGGGGTCCAATAGCAATTGAGCACGGGCCCATCTAGCTCACGTGATGCCTCTTTGCCGCCATCATGCGAATCCATGGATGTCATGATGGCTGGTGTACATGCGAGAAATGATGTGAAGCTTAGAATGGTATGATGAGCTCTATAACCCGGTTATATCTTAGCAGTAGTTAATAACCATTGGAAGTATCGGAATAGACCTTTTTGTAGTCTAGACATACATTTATATCAAAGGTGAGGTTCTTTATCTTTGAGAGAATGGTTACCCTAGAGCCCTTCCACAATCTATACATGCTCAGTCATGATAATCCCATAAAATGTGTCTATACATCGGTATTGTATTTTTGGTGCTGAAACTTAAAGTGCCTTTATTTCAACAGACAAACAATGCTTTTTTCTTGTGAGTAGTCGAAATCTGTGGTGTTTCTAGGTGTTCAGAGGCAGTCGTATATCTGGCCCTTGCTGCAAGCAAACTCCGAATCTCGATGAAGTCCATGTTGGCACTAGTTAGATGACCGACTTTACCCTTTCTGGTTCGAGGAATATCAGGGATGCCGAACTTCGGCTTCACCATAACAGATTACATTTCTGAGCATAAACATGGTTGATGTTGTAAGAATCACGATCGCTAGACTTCCCTTTGGATAGTCGTATCGTGGCTTTCTGGCTGATATCTAACAAAAACAACGAAAAGAATGCTTCGGCTGGGCATAGAATTTACAGAAACATCATTGACTAATTACTAGGTCGGCAGTTACTTCATTCAAGCAAGTCCACAGAATTATGCCGTAGACTCGACTTCGCTCCCAAGCAACCACAATGCTTGCCACGTTGTTGACTACTCTGACAGTCTGACTACCCAGTAGACAGGCAGACAGGGTCATTGTGTGTGCCAAGTGAACCCTTGTTCCAAAGCCCAAACGCCCTGGACGAGAAGGTGGTGTTGATACCCTGAGTGAACATGGATGGACCCCTCATTCCGTGACATTTCCGAGCTCTCTCACGTGCTCAAATTCGGGATTCCATTCCACCCGAATTCATCGTTGGAATCGCGGCGTGCTTATCCATGGGTAACCGAAGCCGATTCCTTGTTTATCAACGTTCGAGTCAAGATTTCTCGATCGTCGGCTGCACACGGGCAGCATTTCTGTCTAAAAAGATCATTTGACCACGATCGCGATCAGAACAACGACCTAGACCGGGCCATAACAAACGCCAGCAATGCACCTGGACGTCTTGGGGTTGGTTCCGGCAAAAGGGGTATTGGCCTGGCGTTGAACTTGGATTCTCACCAGACGAGCTTGAAGAAGTGATGCTGTCATTGTGCATAAAGACAGGAAGCAACCGGCCAATCAGAAGCTTGTCCCTGAGCAGGGAAATCCACATGATAATCCCCCAGCTTGGAGCCGCAAGCTGCCCTGTGATGATCCTCAGGCTTCCCGTGCCTCGGATCAATTGATCGTCCAATCATAACTAGGCAATCACAAGTGCATTCAGAACAAAGCTCCCACTCCCCAGACGCACACAAGCAATAGTGGGTATGGAGGCGTTGCGCGACATCTTGGCTTCTTGTTCCAAAATGGAATTTCCCATGTCTGTGATGACGTAGTAGGCGAATAGCTCAAAGCCTCAGACACAATCCGCATCTGAACTGACGTCATACACGATCGCGATCTTCTAGGCAGGAGCAGTGCCCCTCCATGGAAAGGTGCATTTTGGTAGACCAAACACAGTGATTCACTGACGAAATCTAACAGGCAGTACCTGCCAGTGCCCCGCCTCTCAATACTCGTGCCTTACATTTTGAGAGACGATCACAGGCATCCCGCCCGCCTCCTCCTTCCTCTCTCTCCAGTACTTAAACCCCAACACCTCCCACCCTCCGAGCTTTCTTCTCCTCTCATCATCACACTTACACTACATCAACACAACACTTCAACCCAAACAAACCCCCAAACAACCAACCACCATCACAATGGAGTCCATCAAGCAAGCCGGCAACTACGTCGCTGAGACTGTTCAGTCTGTCACCTCCGGTGCTTCCAAGGAGGCCAACAAGGAGGTTGCCAAGGACGGCAACGTCCCCATCTCCACTCGGTAAGTCTACTGTCGTCGGCTCTTCCACAAGTCATCTATATCCTTTTGGGGATAGTACCGCAGCATCATCGCTTCCGTCGCACATTATTCTGACTCCTCATGCAGTGCCACTGCCGCCAAGGATGCCGTTGGTGACAAGATCAACGAGACCGGCCACGACAAGAAGGCTGATGTAAGTACTCTTGAACGATATTCATCCTCATCTTGCTTCAAAGCTAATATCTTTTCTCGTAGGTGCACAAGGAGGCAATTTGAGCTTTTTTCACAACAACACGATTCATAATGGCGTTGCAATGGAATAGCGTTGGAACCGCATAGGCTGTACATACCTACACCTAATACAAACAGTCAAACTACCAAAACAACCCGATTACTTGCATGTGAATAATGGATGAACTGAAGTGATTGGTTTCTTGATATCGACATCGAAACAAACATTGACTAAACAACGGGATGGAAACATTTCTGGTATGTTTTCCAACACGAAATAAAATCGTTGAAGTAAAATATTGCGGCAGTCGGGCCCACAATACATGAAGGAACATGTAGCTAATTGCAAGTCTGAGTAGTGCAGCGTGCGTACGCGGACCTCAGAGCTCATTGGCATATCCATGTTGTTGCACACACGAAACTTGGTTACATACACAAATTCTGCCCATGCATTGCTCCCGAGGGTAGTAGCACAACTTGCTGCATGTGAAGAGGTTTACCGATGTTCCGACAACAAGTCATCCTGCCCCTCAGAGCTACCAAGGGATACTACTGCCTGGTCAAGTGGTCTCGTCGTGGGTGTTTATGTATATTTAACACGAATTCAGAATACCCCAGCAAGAGAAACTATTGTTGAGAAGCTTGTTCCTATTACTCTCAATTACATTGCCATGTTCACCAGGCCCGTTCTCGTCACCGGTGACCCATTGATGCGTGGGTGCTTCAGGCCACGCAGTTGTTCGGACCACCACCAAACTCGTTCATACATCATCCTCGTATGGTGAATATTTCTTTACCAAAGGTTAGCTAAGGAATCATAACGAGGTTGAGATCCATGGATCCAAGAGCATGACTTACGAGGTAGAATACTGCCACGAAAGACGACATCTTGGCTAGTGGCAACGGTCAACCCTCATGACCCCTGAGCCGCTTGACTTCCTCAATTAGAGCTTTGTTGGATGCCTCGAGGTGCTTGTTGGTTGCCACGACTTTGTCAACAAGAACTAGGAGTTTGTTGATCTGATGCAGCATGTGATTGATGGAGTTGATCCCCTGCGGGTCGTAGTTTTGAAGTGGCATTGTAGCGGCAGTTGTTCCATGGGAATGTTAGTCTTGGGTGAAAAGAATACTGTTTGGGAGGTGATTATGCATACTGGCGAAATAGTTTTGGATATTCGGAAGAGTGTCTGAGAAAGTCGGAGGTATGGCGTCTGAAGCTGCGTCGCAGTTGTGTTTAGGCGTTGGCAGAATCGAGCTGGCTAAAGCACCCGTTTTGATATCGTCGTGCTTCTGCCTTTGTGTTGAATTAGGCATCTGCCTCGCAGTGTTGGCAGCCATGACCACTACGAGACTTCGCCAAGAGTCACCAAGATCGGATGTGAGAACGACAACATCAGAGCGTGGCATACATTATTTAACTACAGACCGGAAGCTCCTGAAATAGGAGGAAGATCTTATTCTACTTTGATATCTGCATTTTCTACTCTTACAAATTTGCCGTTGGCCCTGTCGTTATCCCATGGTATGGTGTCAGGTCACTGCAATCTGTGAAACTACTCTGACTGTTTGGCTCTGGAACATATGCGCGTTTAGTATTTCGACGTAGTGTCCGCAGTGTCGAACAAACATCAGCTACTTCATGTTGGCCCATGAATCTCTGATGAGACCAATGAAGGAGTTGGGCGTAGCTCAGTTACAAAATAGCCGATACATCTAAGAATACAAATATGTCTGTCTAGAAGATCAAACTAGGTTCTATTCAAAATAACGGCAGACTGAATATCATGGCCAAGTCCTTCGTCATCATATAGAGCCTCGGAAGATAGCCACCCAAACTACTATGATCTGGAAACAAGTTACATTATTAGTTTGGACTACGCAATGACATTTAAAGCCAACACATGTTTCTGGCTGACAGGAGCGATATGCTTGAGCGAGGATCGATTGCGTCTTTGGAAGCTATCTAAGTAAGAAGTATCTTGCCTACGCCACCATTCAGACCATGATGATTCTAATGCATAACTGAACTATTGTGCCGTATCTCTCCGCCATGTTGGCCTGCATCTAGTGAGAGCGTTGTTAGTAACCACGAACTGGAGAAGGGTGTGAGATGTCGGGATTTAGACGCAGTACTTACAAGATGGACGTCGTCCACCTTTGTGCCTAGTGTCGCTTTTGCTTCTGGGCCTCAAGTATGGCCCTATTCTCTTTCGTCTCGACCTTGAGCACCTCGATTGCGGCCTTATTCTCTTTCGCCTCGGTCTCGAGCACCTTGAGCCTGGTATTGAGCACCTTGGACTCGGCCTCGAGCACCTTGATCTTGTCCGTCAAAAGGGCGACCTTAGCGCACAGGTCGTTCAAGATCAACCATTCTTCGGCAGTGAGGCCGTTGACTCCCTGGATGGACATGGTCGACGGTACTGTAATCGAATATTAGCTCCAGTAACTGTGGACATTAAAGTAGAGTATCTAACATGATGAACGGAAAGAAGATAGCGTTTTGTTGTTTTGATTCTGGAAGTGCTGGAAACGAGGGATGGTGTTGTGAGTGACAATGTTGGTTGTGGTTCGTGGTGGTTTCTTACGAGGTGAAATAAGAAGATCTCATCTGCGAACTGGAACAAAGGTATTAAACCTAACATATGTATGATACAGCGAAGAGCTTAACAATGGGGAGATTACTTATGATAAACAGAAAGCGTGCTAGTACGGTAGGCAGAAGAGTTGCCATCTTGGCCTTAAACGTTCAAGGCACTGCCACGACACTTTCATGGCACTGTCAAGGCAAAAGACTACCAGCTTCTCTGGTAAAGCAACCGCGTATTATCACAGAACAATGGTTAGACCCACATCCCTTCTCCTCTCTCTTCACTCTCTTCCTTTTTATCTCTCTCCCTTTCACCTTCTCTTTGATTTCGCCCATAACAATTCTACGAAAGATTACAGCCATCGCATCCGGGATATGTGCTAATCGTTGAAGAAAAAGCGGTTTAACATTCACACGGCACTGAACTCGCATCTGACGGAGGTGCATAAACATCAAGTCGCAGCTCGGCGACGAGGAAACCTCAACTTCTCGGAGGATTAGAACGTGCATCGTAAGAGAAGACGCTCGAACGAAATGACTGGATAAACTAACTTTAATGCCTTCTAGACTGATATACTGAAATGGACGCCGGGAGAATGCCGTCATGGCCTCTTAGGCAGGGCGAGGAAGCGGTCCTGGATGAAAACAGTGCCCGAGATGACAGCGAGGCTTCCCACCCGGCCGATGCTGGGGACGTTCCTCAAGGTGCCAGTGAGCCTGAGGAAAGCCGACAGCAGTCCTCTGTAGGTGTAAGTCTTTCTGGACCAGTGGAGCAGGAACCTGAAATCAAGAGCGAATCAAGTTCTGAGGATGAATCTTCGAATCTCGAACCAGAACTCCCACTCAGGATGGTATGTAGTTGGTACATCCTAAGGTGATCATACACTAAACAGGCTGTTCTATTAGTGCCTTCCTTGGGACGCAAACGGGGACCCAGACCGACGAGAAATGCGTCGTCTATGCGATAAAGACGATACCTTTCGTTGTCATTATTGCTAGGAGAAGAACCGAGGTGTGTATAAGCTCTTCAATATATAATCGAAATTTCACTAATGTCTGCAAATAGAATGTCCTGGTGCTCGTTCGAACGACAGGTGTGGCATCTGGTCTCGGTTTATTCCCCCATGGGCGTACGCGCCGGCACCAGGGCGACGGCTGCACAACACGGAAGAAGAGGTCGACGAGGAGGACTTTACGCCCTTTATGATTTGATTCTTTCTAGCAATGAAAGGCTACAAGGGGACGAGAAATCATGGCTCATGTAATCCATGCCTCGGTGAGAGGTACTTTAGGTAGTGGAAAAGCAGATTGGAATCATTGCAGCTCTACCGATGTGCGTGACAAGGCAGGAAACGTATGGCCACTCAATCTAGACATGACATTTTCCATGGCTGTGAAACGCATAACTATAGAGGGTGAAGACTTGAGCGGCAATACAAAACAACAAATACTATATTTTCTATATTGTGGTATCTTTGTACAAAATTCAACCGTTCCAGTGACTTTTGTCCCAGTTTTTGTATACCCAAACTCCGTTAATTTGCCAAAAAAGTGCAAACCCTTTTCTTTTGTGTTGTGTGTCGCAACTCTGAGTCTCCAGCTCTGATATCAGACTCGAATCTCTCGAACACCAGTGATTAAATCCGTTAGATACTGTAATAAGCCTCGGTCATCACTGAGCTGCTCAAAGGGCAGCCTTCCAGTTGGGCAAGCCCAGAAGGGTGACCTTGGCCAAGAATAGCGAAACCACAGATCCCACATAAATGGCACCAGTCATGATAATAAGTCCCCAGTATTCGCCGCCGTTAGCTTGAACGATGCTGCCACCAATGGGAATACCAATCAAACAAGCAAAAGACACAATTGTGTAGGCCGTGGCATAGTATCGTCCGTACTCCTGTGTCTTGCACAGTCTTCCAATACACACAGGTGCAATCGCGATACTCGTTCCAGAGGAAAAGCCGAAGAGCACTGTGAAGACGATAACACCGGCCATGGTTCCGCCAAGGGGTAGCCATACGCAGAAGCAGGCCACGATACCCAGGATGACGGCAAGGATGCTGACATTGAATGGACCGATGACATCAGCGTAGTAGCCAGGGAGGAGTCGGCCGATGACCGAAGCGGCGTTGAGGATCGGGATCAGATTGTAGGAGAAGTCCCGGTCAAAGCCCTTGTGCAGCGCGTATGTCGAGATGTAGCCGAGGGGGATGAAGAGCGAGAACTCAAGTAAGAAGACGCCGATGGTAGTAAAGAGAAACGGTAGGCTCTTGAAGATGAGAAAGTTGGGGTGCGCAGTCGCATTCTTGGCGGGTGGGAGTCGAGATTTGAGGAGAAAGATACCAATCGTGCTGCAAATAAGACAGATAAGGGCGATGACACGAGTAGCCCATCCGTAGCCAACCTTTTCGATCAGTCTCGTCAATAGAAAAGGGTAGACGATACCACCTATACCACCCGCAGTAGATGCAACACCAGTCGCCAGGCCTCGTCGAGCTTTGAAGAAGTGGCCTACAGCAGCAATCGATGGCGTGAAGAGCAGCGAGGATCCAAAACCACAGAGAAGACCAAACGACACAACAAAGTGCCAGAGTTCTACAACAGTCAGCGCATTAACACAAAGCGGTTTCGACGTGGGACCTACCTGTAGCAAAACTCATAAAGATCATGCCACCAACGTTGAAGACAGCACCAGCAATGACAAGCCACCTAGGGCCGTACTTGTCAAAGACGGGCCCGATGTAGACACCGCAGAAGAAAGCGAGAAAAGTGTAGATAGAAAAGATCCAGCCAACAGTGCCCTCGCTATACTCTGATAATTGGTTTTCGAGAACATAGGCCTGGAACGTGCCGAGAGTGTTCATTAGTCCAAGCGAAGAGAATAGAGCGAACCACGAACCAGCAACAACAGACCACGCCTCAAAGCCGCCTTCGGGGTATGTTTCCTGGTACGAGGCTGTCGATGCTGCAGTTTGGTGTTTCTCGAGATCGGCGCCGGTCTTCACATTGTTTCCTCCGTCGACCTGGTTGACGTGATTGTTGATCTCATCATCCTCATAGAGGGCGCGAGAGGTAACTTGGTGACAATCCATTGTTGATCAAGTGTCGAGCAGTTTTATGAATTCCGTTTTACGTCCCCAATGATCGCTTTCCTTCCTTTCTTTCTTCACAGTTGCTGCAGCATATCAATCAATGGTGTGAGGTTTTCGCGAGGCGCAACGAAAAAGAAACGACATCAAATAACATGCTTAATATAAGAATGGTCGGATTTCGGCGCCGCCCCGGGGCCAAGGGGGCTAGGCTCGCCCTCGGAGTGCGGCATGATTAACCGTAGTGGAAGGATTTTTGTCATGGAGAAAAAGGTAATGAAAACTCGTCATTTGTTCGCCTACCCTTCCAAGCTCCACCAATTTCGCGAATATAGAAATGATGTCGCGAGCGAGGGTGACTCAATGGTGAAAGGTCTGTTGGGTCTAACCCAAAAGCATAGCTAGCTGACGCCTTCTGAAGACAATCGCCACTGTCTTTTCTCCTCGGGAACGTGTCGGCGAACATAGTCAACGCACATGAGCCTCCGCTTTCTTGAGTTGTGGGTGGTCAGATGGGGTCCTCTACTTTCCCCTATGCCGCTATGTTAGCCGGTTTCAACTCCCTCGGACTTGTTGCCAAGAGTCACAATTCGCTGTTCTAACTTCTGATAGGATTGGCATTCTCCAATTGGTCTCTCTGCCCAATCAGATTCTCTTCGGATAGGTTTGTTCTCGGGAATCATGCATTATTATCTGTCAGTTGCATCAATGACACAACAGCTGAACTAACCTCCGCTCCATCATCAAGCCTCTTCATCGTCTGCGTCCTCCATAGTCACATGCCGTGATGGTGGGCCACGATCGGGTTGCGCTTCCGCATTGCGATCCTTCGTTTTGAGATAGCCTTCTTGCTCAAGCCGGTCTGCCTCTTCTGGCTCCATCAACCCGCCTTGGCCTTGACCTTTGTTCATCTTCATCTTGACTGCAGTAGGCACAAATGCTGAAACAGCTTCTTTTCTGAGATCGCGAACCACAGGTTTTGCTTCGTACACAGTCTTCGCTTCGACGACAGGCGCGTCCTTCTTTTCATGTTTGTCTTGGTCTTGCCTTGTCGCGTTCTCTGCGGCTCTCTTCGCTCGTCGCTCTGAATACCATTTATCCATAACGTCTTTGGGAATTGGAGGCGGTGTATCTCGAGGCATGGGGATTCTCTTGATATCGTCGGGAACATCTTCGTCACTCGTGGTAGCATCGTGGGAGCCTCTGCGTCGTTTGCCCAGAACTCCAGATCCTGAGTCGTGATCTCTGTTCCATCCTCGACTAAAAGTGGGCGCCTTGTCGCCCAACGCTTCTCTCGCCTTCTGGACTGCTCGAATCTCTTTCTCAAGACCTTCTAATGTTTGCTCCTCATGGCGGGTAAGCTTGCCACCACTCGATGTAACTTTTTTGAGGTCGTCAATCTGTTTCTGTATGCGCTCGGGGTTCTTTCGTGATAGTTTCTCGTTCAATCGTTCTTGTCGTTCATGCTTGCCTGTGGCTGTTAGATAGGAAAACAGCATCAAAGGCAATTGTCTTACCTTTCTTGAGAGCCTTGGCTTTATCAGCTTTGCGCTGAGCCTGAACAGGATTGTAATTCTTCTCTTTCGGCATCGCAAAGATACTGTATTTCGGACTGTACAAATATTATGGTTTGGAGTATGCAATGATTTCCGATAATAGAGGTTCTAATGACGATCTCGGATCGGTAGAATGTAGCAAATGTCAAAATGTCGTGAGTGACTCGCGATTTGTTAAAGATCTCCAGGTCCGGTTGGAGCTTCCTTGTTGCGATCATAAAGGCTCCACTTGATGACTAAGATGTGCCATGATCAGAATCGCAACGGCTTTGGGCAATGACGCGCAGAAATGATGTAATGGTATGCTTGTTGCTTCACTCATTATTATTTTGTTTACTCCAGATTATGAAGATGATTATCGACTCGAATATCGTGTCGTGGCAAGCAAAAACAATTGAAATTGAGCATTTGATGTACATACTTGTTTGGTTAATGTTGTCCTGCAAAGATACAAATCATCCCAAATTTCTCATCGATTGGATTTCTTAATAATTGAACCAGAAACAAGTCATAATTATTCATAGAAGTGAGATTTCCATCCAAAGCAGAAATGCAAATAACAACCCAAAGAAATTTCGAAGCTTGAGATCTCAAGCTGATATTTGAAGGCACCATATATGAGCATGCCATAGATAATCCCCTTCACCTGTCCATGCATTCCAATTCCATCTCATGGAGATAATCATGCGCCGGAATCCCTGGGTTTTTCGATTCCATCCTTTCTGTTGTAAACGCCATAATCATTGTGTAGCTGCTTGCTGGGTATGCCGCCGGGGTTCATGTTGTACAGCCGGGTTTGTTTGTAGATTTGACCTCAAATCGATAGACCTAGATGTTGCTCTTGTTGAGGTTTATTGGCCTTTAGTTCCACGCCCAGCTTTTCAGCGACACAACTACTGGAGACGTCTTTGCCCATGTATTTTTGAAGAATGGTATCGAAGTCGGTCTCAGCGACTACGGGGCCTGTGCCGGAACACTTGGCCTTCTTGGTGAGTTCGGAGCAGAGACCGTCGAGATCAAACTCGCCGTTTTGTGCCTTGGGGCAAGACTGGAGTTTCTCCCTGACATAAGTGTTAGAATGGAAGTGTCGTTCAAACTTATATGACGATACATACCAAAGCTGGTTGCAGTTCATGTTCTGCTTCTTGAGAGGCTCATCGTCACAAGATTCCTTCTCGGCATCAATCTGATCAATAAGGTTCTTGGGATGGGCGTTGGTCTTTGTAAGGTCGCCTGTGGGAGGCATGTTGTAAGGTGTGAAGAAATCGCTTTCGATAGCGTCGTTGAAGAAGTCGTCAAATGGTGCATTTAACAACACATTTTCTTGAGGCTCACGGTAGTCACCGAAGAGCTGTGGGTCGAACTGACCACCATTCTGTTGTGAAAGCCAGTCGAAGTTGCTGTTGCTAAGATCGATGTTACCGAATTGGCTCGCATTATTCTGGTGAGTCTGTTCCTCGCCGATGGTGGTCATCGTGTCAACAGGCTTAGTACCCATAGGTGATTGAGTAAAAGGTTCAGGTGATGTTCCACAGGAAGAGCTGGGGCCAGTGTTTGAATGCGATGACGCAGAAGGTGAGCTTGAGGTGCCATTGACGCTGTAGTTTGCGGAGTCGACGCTCGCGCGCGAAGGGTTTGTGGCCGAGCTTGACATAGAAGGGCTGAAGACACCCGAGAACTTGGCCAAATCATCCTTGAACTGTTGTGTTGATTGTGCGCCGCTGTTGAGGCTACTGGTGGGGCTTGGGTATGTGGCCTTTTGCTGATCTGGGCTTGTGGGCGATGAACCAGATTGAGCTTTGTTGGCAGGCGGTCCTGGAAGCATGCCGAACTTGGGGAACTCAAACTGGAAATTGACATCGCCAAGGTTGTTGACTGCAGCGCTTCCGAAGGGAACCTTCTCCCTAGGAAGTGCTTTGGAACTTGACATGACAGTGACCTTTTGCTTGTACTGGTGAAGTTCAGCCGTCATACGCTCAACTTGTGCTCGCAGCATGCCATTCTCATGGTTGGCAGCTTGCGACGCCTTTTCCAACTCATCAACCTTGGTCTCAAGGTCCTTCAGGTGTCTTTCCTTTCGTTCTCTGAAAGCACGCTGAGCAGCTCGGTTCTGAGCCTTACGTTTCTGTTATGTGTATTAGTAAGTCAATCAGACACATTCACATTTCGATCAAGACAAACATACCGAACTAGGCTCGGATGTAAGAGGCTTACGGCCGGGTTTCTTAGGGACCTTGTCGGTACTCTCGCGGCGCTTGTGGTCCTGACCTGGGCTATCTTCGTCATCCTCATCATCGGGGTAGCTGCGCTTTTCCGGAGTGTCATTCTCTGGGGAGTCGGACAGAGCAACGGAGGCATCGTTGTTGGTGGAATCAGCAGCAGTAGGGATATCTCCAATCATTTGAGGTTGATCCTCGCTTGCAAAGGAAAAGTCAAAGCCAGAGTCGCCGAAGTCGTAATCGTAGTTATCAAGGAAAGGGCTCTCCTGGTAGCCTGTAGCGGTGACTGTCTTTTGCTGAGCAGCACCAGAGTTACGGATCGAAGAAGGCGAGATTGAAGCATCATTGTTTGCTGTAGAGCCCGAGAGCTGCTGCTTGTTGGAGTTGAGAGCAGCGAAAAGCAAGTTCTGCTGTTGCGGGGTCAGGAGGAAGTTGGGTGGCAAAGTGCCTCCAGTGCCGGTAGAAGCCATCGCGAGTGACGAAACGGGATGTCGAAAAGCGGCGCAAGTGATGAGGAATTATATGAAAGTCGTGGCAAGCGAAAGTGCCGGCACGGGTTGGATATAAATCCAAGCTCTCTGCCAGTCCAGGCTCTCGCAGGATGGAGGGGACAAAGAGCCTGAGCCTAAGCCTGAGCGTGCGTAGCGGCGACTTCGGGGGACGGACTTAGTCAAGCGGGGCTTTGAATGGGTTTATGGCTGTTGCATGTGTTTCGTCAACGTGCAGAAGAGGCAGAGATGAAGAGACAGACGAAGCAAAGACAAAGTATTTTTCGGATTCAAATCGTATGAAGAAACTAAGGTAAGGTAACAGTATGTAGGATGAATGATGAAATTGTTTGCGGGATGGAGTTTGGCCGCTGGTGTCTGGTCTGGCGGAGCCAAGAATGAGGAAGGAAGCAAGTGAGACGGCTGCAGGAGAGCGGGGGCAGCTGAGCGGGCGTTGTATCGCACTGTGCACACTGTGGCTGTGTACCTGACCTCGAAAGGGTCCAATGCAGAACATTCGACTACGGAAGACAAATTTTGCTGCCTGAGTCACAAATAATCATTCTAGCTGCTTCTTCTGCCAGCCAAACTCCGCCCGTAGGAGGCACCAAGCCGAGTGGGGGGGCCAAATGGAGTTCTCCTGCCATGCATGGAAGAGGCTGGCACAAGTACCCGGTATCGTTCTGCACAGTGTGAACAGGGTCTGAGTTGCATTTGTCAGCCGGGGCTACCGGTTGATGGGGATCCATGTATCAAAACCGCTGACTTACAAGAGAGAACACGAAACAAAAAGGCCATTCAGGCCATGCCAAAACGAGGTATGGGCTTGTTTACTGTTTCCCTCTTTTTCTGTTCTCTGACTCACAGGTTCACAAGAAACTATCCTTTTGTCCATTGGCCTATTGTGTGTCAAACCAGGCCAAGGCCTGTCTTATACCCGATCCGTCCCGGCAGATATAGTTGACATCTGCGCCCTTTGACCTTCATTTCATGTTGTGCACGATCTTTTCGAGTCAATGAAGGACTGCTTCCCCCTTCTTGGCATTGTCCAACCCTGGGCGCTTATCAATGGCAGCGTGGATCTCTGATTGACAAAATGCCGGGTGTTGCTTGCCTTGGATATGGCATCTTCACATATGTCCATTCTGTATTTAGAGACATTCTTTATTAACTGACAGCACCACTAACAACCGTCATAGTTAACCCTCACAAACCAGCAGTTTGCGGCCGTCATCCTTTTCTTATCCCCGATGCGCCGCCCACGCAATTCTCTCCCCGCCCCCGGATTTAGACAAGATTCGGAGTTTGCCACACCGTGCATAATCTCACAATCGACGAATCAAACTCCTCCATCCTTCCCAATGGGTCGGTCCCACTATCTCATAAATCAATACCGATGCCGTTTTCTGGATCGTAACGGTTATCAATCAGCCAATGTTTCGGCCGTTCAGCCATAATGACGATTGTATAATGTGTAATTAGTCCGTCTCACAGCCATTTTGCACGACAGACATCAAAAATCCCATGAGTATCAGCAGGTATGTATGCTCGGTACGCGGGATATACAGTATGCGTGGCGCAACGCCTTCGACATGCATGTTTTGGAATCATCCAGGCCAGGCGACCCCTGTTCAACTGAATCCTATTTCACGTGCTCGTCAACTCAACCCGACACTGCGGTTTATCATACCCTGTATCTGGTCATCTTCGGTGATGGACTGACGTCGTATGACTACTCCATACATGTTGATAAACCCTATTGATATCGATTTATCTTATGTACGTCCCATCAGGTAGGTCCCCGAGTTTCCCAAAACTAGCAGTACTTTGTATGCATACATCTACCGCATAGCTGTGATATATGTCGCCAACTCCCACCCAAATGGCAAATTTACCAGTAAGCATGGACCACCGGTCTTAGTTCGGCATCAAGATATGTTGCTGCTGTACGTGTTGCTCTTATATAAATCACCTTGCAAGTGCGTGAACAAAGCTAACGGCGCTGTTGGTTGGACTGAATTGTCCTATTCGAGTGTGGTCGTGATATAAGCTACGAAGGAATAAATATCTTTGAGGCCGGGGGACGGTGATTCGTTAGTAGTCTGAGCCTGAAATGTCATGTATCTTCCCTTGTGAAGCAGATAAGAAGTCTCCGGCTCTGTCGCTGACCTGAATTCTGTATTCATGAATCATGATGTTGATCTGTTAAGTGCTAAGAGGAGAATTGAAGCTCATCAATATCACTTTACTTGCCTGCGGTTACTTCCCTGAATATTTGACTTCATCTTTTAATTTGGCTCCCAGTATGTGTCACTGTTGTGAAAGGGGTTCAATGCTTAAAAGACATACAAACCTGCTCGACTCTCTTATTTGCCATGTTACCGTAAGTTGGTGGCTGATCATATTAATGATTCAGAACAGCCCATAAGTCGCAAAGTGTTGTGGATAGATACTATCTAAGTATATATAAGAGAGACCTATGTGCATGCCGAGAAGACTTGAGCCAAGTTTACTCATACAATCAACATCACCATCATATAGAAACAGAGACAGACACAATGTGTTGGAAGAAGGAATATACGCACAAGTGCAATAAGTGCTACAAGACGCTCATGACTCGGACGGCATTAGACCGAGAGTGTGAGGCGAAGAAGAAGAAAGAGGCATGCAATACCACCATCACTCCGGACATTGTCTGGGAGGACTCGGCCAACTGTAAGGTTTGCAAGGAGAAGAACAAGAATGACAAGAAATAAGCCACAAGATAAGACGGCGCGAGGCGTAAGAAGTGAAATATAAATTAATCGCCTTTAATGGAACCTTAGCCCGTAAATTATCAGTAGAAGGGGTCTTTGCTGTCTTTGATCTAAGCGCTGTACTGCGATTATGTAGGGTGCTTTATTAGAGAAACTGGCAATGTTTTGCCCGGAAGATATAAGGAAAACGAGGTCTCTTCAGCCTATTATTCTATAGGAAGGAAATTTTTTAAACTCTTATACACCTACTATACTAATACGCATCACTAACGGTGATCTCATATCATATTCCCTGACACCCAGAGGTCTTATCTGACTTATCAAACCGCACGGCGTATCGAATGATGATACATATTGTTTACTTCTGTGCCTTTATATGCTCACCATGAAGCTCCTGCACTGCGGGAATAATGAGAGATTCGATCTCAACGTCAGGATCCTGACTTGGCAACTCCTCTGCAACGAGCGGCCTCTTCTCGGCCTCTCCCCAGCCGCCCTCTCGCGGCACACGCACCCAGTGATCATCTCTCCCGGGGCTGACGAAGACGACTTCCCACTTTCGCGTAGATAGAAGGTTTCCAATGACCAAATGATGCTGGTATCGGTCAAGACTGTAGCGAGCTTTGCGAACAAGCAGGGGTGGATCTGTCTCTAGCTTGAAGGAGACAATCATGCCCTCGGGTGCCCACCCGTCGACCAGGTTCTTGAGGAACTTGGGAACAGGGTCGAGGTCAATGACAAGACGCTTGGAGCGTGGGACAGAAGGTGATGAGTCAAAGTTGTCAAATGTCTCCTCCTCCTCTGGCCGCTTCTGGTCGACGGCATTGGTAGACTGGATCTTATGCTCGGCCATCCTGTCGGGAGGAACAAAGAAATCTGAGACTGCAGCGGCGAGATAGAGAAGGCCAGATGGTCCTAGAGGACGCATGAGACGGGCGATTTCACGCAGCTCATGAAGATAGTCGACAATGGTAACAAAGGGTATCGTGAGGAGCATGTTGTCGTCTCTAGCCTTGCGATACTGTCTCAGCACCCCACGCATCTTATCCTGCACCTCGGCCCTCACACCAATCCTATCCTCCGAATCCTCACTCAAAAAGTCCAGGAAACAATCCGTGGCGTGAGAATAGTGCCGCGAGTACGGAAGCAGACTGAACTGGCGATGCAAGAAAATAACCGCATAGCCGGCTTGGAGGAAGTACTCGGCACTGGTGGCGCCACGGGTACCAGCACTGAAGTTGTCGATGTAACGCACTGTTTGCTTCTCCAGAGGAACGGTTGTTCCGCCCGAGGTAATAAGGACAACACGACGGCCCGCAGCGGCATGCGACGAGATGAAACTGGCTGCGAGAGCCGTGTGGGCGGCCAGGTTGCGCGGGGGGGGATTTTGAGAGAAATACGCATCCTCGGAAGCGCGGGCCTCTGCGGCGGTGTTTGCAGGCGTTGCCATCTTTGTAGCTTGTGTAGTGTAGCTTGAAACAACGGCGGCGAGTCACGGCCGGAGTATCCGTAGAAGCAGGTGAAATAAATGCGTGAGTGAGGGGTCCCCGGGCGCGGAGATGCGGAGGTCCGGGCGGGGTTGATTTATGACGTTCCCCGGATCCGGAGGGCGGAGGCTAGTAAGACGGAGGTGTCCAAGTACACCGAAGACCTTTGTTGGGGTGATTTTGTGATGAATTCACAGCGGGAAAAGTGAGAAAAGAAAGATGAGATTAGAGTAGAAAATTGAGGGTTATTTGTGCGCAGTTCTCTCGCTTCTTGTGTTAAAAAGTGCCCCATCGACTGTGACGGATACTACTTACGCATTTATCATCCCGCCGGGTTGTGAAGTTTTGAGGTTCTGCCGGACTGCGCACATGCATTAATCAGGTGATATTGGACGTTGGCTGTGCAGTACCATGTTCATTTCCCCCATTTCTATCATGATGCTATATTTTCATTATTTGCCCTGAATATTTAAACCTTACTGTGGTCTTCTCCGATAGCGGCGACTCAAGGTCTTGTTGCTGGGCTACAATTCAACGTTCGATCTTCTTCGCCTTGAACCACTAGTTTATCTGACCCTACAATTGGAGGATGGCAGGGAGGGGGCTTGAGATGACATCCAACCAAAGTGTTTGATGATGTTATCTTGGAAAGTTAGACCAACGCGATATGACCACGCTGCATTGTGATATTTGTCTAGTATCGTTTGCTCGTTTGCAAAATGAGGCATGTAAGAACTCCCTGGACGAGATAAATAACTTGTTCCAAAGATACCACCATTCGGGTTTGGCGGTGTTTATCTTTTTTCTTTGTCATGCTTGAGGAAACTGAGTGTTTGTAACAACAACTGTTAGTGAGTAGTCCCAGGTGAGAAGTATTGTAGATCAAGGGGCGAACATGCCTTTACCTCCGGGTATATATAGTAACTCTTCACCCGAGACGAAACTCTTCTTTCGTCACCGACTGTGTCTCCTTCTCTCAGGGACTTGGCGTTTACTTATACCTCTTCCTTGGCTATTTCAAGCCATCTAGCTTCTGAGTTGGACTACATACAGCTACTACTTGTCCCCTACTGCACTTTTGCATCTATCATCGACACAATATTTACTGCCATCATCTATTCAACATGATTCTTTCATGAAAACCTAATTCCTCTTCGTCATCCCACTGGTGCAGTTCAAGTAGCCCAAGACCGGTTCTCACCAATCGCCTCCTCATTGACCATGAGTAATATCCCAACGGCCTCACTGACGTCATGGTGTATTCGGTCGAGAGTACGAAATTCGCACTTGAGTAAGTGGTGTTTCTTCATGACCTGTCTTCGACTTCGAAATACTGATCTTGCGGTAGTGTGATTCTTTATGGCCTTCTAGTCGTCGCATGAATGGCCTAACTACACTTTGCCCTCCAACAACAACCCAGTTTGGTGATCTAGTAGCATTCTTGCTGTAGGCCAGAAGACAACACGCAGTGTTCCTACCTATATATATTTACGATAGAACCCGACCCCCGTAGTATCTTATGATGCTCTCACCTGGTATCACATCTTTCGTAACAAGTACGAGAGGGAGCTTCCTCTAGAAGCCTCTCAAAGATCGGGGCATGGGTTGCATCCAAGAGATTGGCTTAAGTTGTGTAATGAATGCTTTGTACAAACATAGGCTTGAAAAACATATTATTGCCACCCGTGTTAGGTTGTTGGAGGTCACGCCTTCATTGCCATGTTCGTACGGGGAGACGTAAAAGTTCGAAAACATGTATATTGCAAGACAAGCTTCATCCTGCCTTGAGCTTGTCACCAGCCAGCCTGTTCATCTTACAGCATTCTAAAGCACAAACTGGAACCAAACTCATTCCAGTATCTATTGCTCCGAGTCGATTCCCACTCAAAATAGAGGTTCGGTTTCCTCCTCAAACCTGACACCAAGCGCTGTGACCAGGTTGCGAAGGTCCATGTCTAGCTCGACAACCACCTCTCTTTACCGGGCTTCGCCATCGGGGCTGGATGGGGCGTTGCTCCCATCATCAGCCACGGTGCCAGAACCCTAGACGGAGTTCTTTTCGCTAGACGCAGACTAACCCTGCCGACAGTCATCGCCAGACAGAATCAGGTAGCCAAGTTCCGTGTGGCGAACGGGCAAGCTCATGGATCGAGGTCTGGTACTACTGGCGGGCTGAGCCACCCTCGGTGCGCCGATCAGAGGCCACTTGGGCATTCTGTTGCGTACGGTGTCGTAATACCATTCTAACAAAACATATATCAGTATAGCCTTTCACAGAAGGGACGACAGGATTCTTACGCGCAACATGCATGTTGTCTCGTCTCGTAAGAGACGCAGAGCCAGGGCGTTCACATCGCAGGTTGTGAGCATCTCTGTAGTGAGCCCTGAGATCTCTCTTATCTGTGAACTCGAGTTCCTGGTGTTTCTGGTCAGCATGTCTTCCGGTACACTTGGTGTCTGACTGAAGAGCAGAAGTCACACGTACGCAGATTTCATCGTGTGCGTCTCTCCAGCGGCAATAGATTTCGCCAGGCACAATCTTCACCTCTCCATCCTGACTCAGTTAGCAGCTTTTCTAGCAAGAGCTTATTATAGTAGTATCAAACCTCAGTGATGTTCAGCGGAGGAAGGTAGAAAAGGGGGATCTCGTTGTACCAGTACATGCCCCAACGGCCAGTGTACTGGAGGTACATCCCGTAGGACTCTCTCAGGGCATAAGGTTTGGTAGACATAGTTTACCAAATAGACTTCGAGGTGTCTGGAGTATTTGGTAATATTTGTCGGTTAGGAGAAATGCGGTATGGGATGAGATTCTGATAACCAAATGGTTGATGGTGGAAGGAGGTGAATTGAAGATGGCCAGATGGAGGATAATAATTATTCTTGTGGGTAGGTAGTAAGCGAAGAGAATACAAAGGAATAGAGAAGAATGCATGGAACAACAAGAAAGGTGGCACATTCAAGGCAGACCAATCTCAAGACTTGCAGTGGTCGACAGTGGTGGGTAGTTCCAACGGCCGTCAGAACTTCAGCATAACAACCAAATGAGTAAACAATGCAAAATTAGGCACCTCTAGGTTACCACTACTACCAACTCATCGAATACCTAAGCAGCTCAATAACCTTTCAGCCTTACCGGATGAGTTCTTTATATTTCACATCACAAACAGCATCATACAACACCACAAGCAGCATCACAAGCAGCATCACAAGACCAAGTCTCGCCTATCTGGCCAGAAATTCTGAAAACAGAAGAAGAAACGACCGCTTTCTTTCTGTGGGTGACGCCAGATAACTCTTATCTACTGTCACATATAGCTTACATCTAATCACAGTTCCGCAAATCATGTCAAACCAGAAACTCGAAGGGCAGCAGGCCCTCACCACCGAAGAGCGCCTGATCATGACTCTGAAGGCCAAGGTCGCCTTTTTGGAAGCCAAGATCAAAGAGCTCGAGACCACAATCGAGACCATGATCGAGGCCCAGGAGCAGGAGCGAGAGGATAGAGAGCTCCTTGGGGACATGTACAGCTACAAGAACTACAATGAATATTAGGACGAAGAGAAAGAATGTAGTTCAGAGGGAAAATGTTGAATACAGGAACTAGATACCCCGTTGGACCACGTCTTTCTTATAATTACTATGTCTCTATCGCGATAGTTTTGGTTTGTTTGTTTGCCATTACTGTTATTACCGGATCCTCTAATCTATACCGTCCGACCCTGCTTGAGATGGCCTCACCTTGGCTGGCTTCCCCCACAAAGTTCACCACTCGCCACAAAAGATGTCACTAACAAAGCATAAAGAGGTGAAGGTATAAAAAGGAGTAAGATAATATGTATATTTAATGCTATCTTACAAAGAAAACAAGAATACCTGTAACAAACTTCAGAAAGCACTTTGGAGTTCCGGTGGGGGTAGCCTAATAATGCATGACATCCCAATTGATGCTGTCATTGGATCATCGATATCATGCCCGACTGGAGGAGCTGCATTACTCCGGCGGGGAAGTTGAAGTCACTCGACAATTGGAGATGCAGTATTTATTGCAGAATCAAAGGAAACAGTAAATACAATAACACTTTCTTGCATGATACTGGAAGTTGATTGCTTTTCACCTCCTTCTATCACTGTTATATCAAATCCTACCATTTCTTCACTGTCCAAGAAGCAACATAGCCATGTTCTTCAACGACAAGAACCGCCTCCGCTTCAAATACGATGCAGAGGAACTATGGATTGAGCCATGGGGTCCCAATGCCTTTCGCGTGAGAGCCACCAAGTCCGCCGTGATGCCATCGCAAGATTGGGCCCTTCAGAAACCCACAGAAATAACTCCTCAAATCAACATCTCTGACGAATCTGCATCAATCGAGAATGGCAATATCAAGGCCAGTCTTTCACGCAACGGCAAGTTGATCATCGAGAAAGCAAACGGGGAACTCCTGCTGGAAGAATATTGTCGCAATAGACGTGATCTTATCGACCCCAAGTGCAGTGCTCTTGAAGTCGAGGCTCGAGAGTTCAAGGGCATCCTAGGCACGGATAACTATCACTTGACTATGAGACTTGAGAGTGTCAATCCAGATGAAAAGATCTTTGGAATGGGACAGTATCAGCAACCCTGGCTTGACCTCAAGGGACTTGACCTCGAGCTCGCACAGCGTAACTCTCAAGCTAGTGTCCCCCTTGCCGTATCCTCGCTTGGGTACGGACTCTTGTGGAACAATCCCGCCATCGGGAGAGCTGTGTTCGGCAAGAACATCATGACTTTCGAAGCCTTTTCAACACAAATACTCGACTATTGGATCGTTGCTGGTGATACACCGGCCGAGATCGTCGAGGCTTATGCAGATGCTACTGGAAAAGTACCCCTTATGCCCGAGTACGGACTGGGCTTTTGGCAGTGCAAGTTGCGATATCAGACGCAAGAGGAGCTTCTGCAAGTCGCCAGGGAGTACAAGCACCGCGAGATTCCAATCGATCTTATTGTGATTGATTTCTTCCACTGGCCGAAGCAGGGAGATTGGAAGTTTGACTTGGAATACTGGCCGGATCCTGGTGAGTTCCTATGAGATACGTATAAAGGTGATACTAACAAGGGCGCAGATGCTATGATAAAGGAGCTCAAAGATCTTGGCATCGAGCTCATGGTTTCTATCTGGCCTACTGTTGATAAAACATCGGACAATTACGAGCATATGGTGGAGAATGGTTATTTAATCCGCGTCGACCGAGGCGTCCGGATCGGACTCGACTTTCAGGGCCAAACAGTACACATTGATACCACAAACCCAGCCGCCAGGACTTACTTCTGGGATGTAGTCAAGAAGAACTATTACTCCAAAGGAATCAAGACCTTCTGGCTAGACGAGGCAGAACCTGAGTATGCAGCCTACGACTTTGAGAACTACCGGTACTGGTTGGGTTCGAATGGATCAATTGGAAATATCTACCCCGTGGAGTACGCCCGAGCCTTTTACGAAGGCCAACAGGCTGAGGGCCAGGAGAATATCGTTAATCTTCTCCGATGTGCTTGGGCGGGCAGCCAAAAGTACGGCGCCCTTGTTTGGAGCGGCGACATAGCATCTTCGTGGTCCAGCTTCCACAACCAGCTCTGCGCAGGCCTCAACATGGGTCTTTCCGGTATTCCCTGGTGGACAACAGACATCGGCGGTTTCCACGGCGGTGATCCCAATGACGAGGGATTTCGGGAGCTTTTTGTGCGGTGGTTCCAATGGGGCACGTTCTGCCCTGTGATGAGACTACACGGTGACCGAGAACCTCGTCAGCCGCAGCAAGGAACGACCGGCGGTGCAACTTGCTGCAGTGGAGCTGCCAATGAAGTTTGGTCTTATGGCCCTGAAGTTTATGAGATCTGTGTGAGATACATCAAGATGCGGGAAGAGCTTCGACCGTACACCCGAAAACTCATGAAGGAAGCGCACGAGAAGGGAACACCAGTTATGAGGCCGCTCTTCTACGAGTTCCCGCATGACAAGAAGTCCTGGGATGTATCAACTCAGTATCTGTACGGCGATAAGTACCTTGTCTGTCCCGTTCTTAAGCCAGGACAAACAAAGAGTGAGGTATATCTTCCACAACTGCCCCAAGGGAAGAAATGGGGTTCTTTTGCTGGCGATGAATCTTATGAGTCTGGTCAAACGGTTACTGTTGACTGCCCATTGACACAAATGCCGGTTTTTGTTCGAGGAGTATGATAGAATTTGATAGAGTAATTCTAGAATACACTGGTTCCCGTCACGCGCTCGCTTTCTGGTGCAGTGGTGGCATGCAGCAGACTTGTCAAGCTCTTGGTGAAAGATATTTCGATTCCCCATGACTTCTCTTTGGTGCGTGTTTGTGATAACAGCCTAATTCCCTCCTTTAAGACTTTTGCTGGAGCATCTTGGCTGCAGATGTTCCCAACTCTCTGCATGTAGCCATTCATCTTATGTCCAAGACGTATGTAGACCTGAACCATCTCATCGTCGCAAGGGCGGTCAAGATGAATGAATGTTGGTTCTGGTTCTTCTTCCTCATCCTGCTCTACCCCTGCTTCTGCATCAACAGAATCTTCACGGGCGTGACTTCCATCGACCAATGATGATCTTGTACCTTCGGCCTGATGAGGCTTGGATACTACCTTCCGTGTGGTAAAGACACTGTAGGCCCAGACACAAAGGGTAGCGAGATATATAGCATGAGGCTCAATAAAGCCATTGCTGCTGTATCGCCGAATATGCCACAGTAAAGCGCCAGCGTGAACTATAGATAGTCTGGCTTTGTACTGGTCGATGTTGGCCCAGCGATGGAGGTGGTTACATGCTTCTGAGTATTCGACGCTATTGTGGACTCTGCCGGCGTCTCTGGATAACGCTGCGGCGCCAGCAATTTTCTGTAGATACTTGGACGGGGTCAATATGTACAGACGAGCGAGATGAAGGTGTAGAATGGTTGGATGCTCCGAGCCACCAGCATTGGCAGCTTTCCCATTCGCTGTCCAGTGTAGGATGTCGAACGAATCGCATGCACCATTCCTCCACCTTGTGACTATCTGGAGGCTTGGTGGCCATGACTCGGTAACAAAAGTTGATTCTGTTTGCGGTTCAACGTGAGCAACTGGGGTCCATCTTGACAGCTCTGTTTCGTGTTGATATGTAGCTTCTTTAGTTCTCCGGCACACAGCATATATGAGGATAATGTTTCCGAATTCTGTCAAGTTCGGTGGCTGTCTTTTCTCCATGTACAGCAGATTAAGAGCCTCTAGTACTGTCACTATGAGTTTATCTTCAGATCAGTACTAATGTGGCTTTAAAGGGATGATTTCAAGACGCACCCTGATAAGTATTCCTGTTCTCAGTAGATATTTGCCCCATTGTTGGCTTGTTCCATATATCCTCTCGGCAGGGAAGTGTTGTCTTGATCTCATGTAGTTGTAATACGTGAGGGCAGTCAAACTCGTAGGCGACGATTGAGTCGAGAATCTATTTGATATAAGTACAGGCTGATCTATAAGGCAAAAGGAACGTACCCAAATCATCAGACCAGTTCTCAGCTCGGATTGAGCCTGGACCCATGCTGGGATAGTCGCATCAGAATTGTGAGTTAACCCTGCATCAACGCTGGCCAGAACATGTGAAAGTAAGCCCATCCTCCTGCACTCCTCAATAAGAACAAGTCTTTGGCTCAGGGCACCCTCTATCATGTCTTTTTGCCCACTATGGAGTCTGTATATCGAATTAAGAATGGCCGCTTGGATTGTGGCAAGGTCCAGTCGATTTTGTGGTTGGAATCCACCCGGTACCCAAGTGTCGTCACCGTCCTCGTGGTTTGAGTTGAGTCTATGGCTTAGGATCCTCTCCAGTAGCCTAGACATAAACGAAGGCCAGGGGTCTCCGAGATACTTGGCACCAATGATTGAGACAGCAAGTAAAAGGATCCAACTACTCGGGTTTTTCCAAATTGAGAGGCTGTTTCGCAAGAAAGGAAACGTAGGATGGAAGTTTTCGTAGTACAGCCGCACAAAGCATCTGATGTGTCCCAAGGAAGGGACCAAGGTAGTTTCAGAACCAAAACCGTGCATTTCGGCCTCTCGACGAAGGTTCATTGCCATTTCAGAGTAGAGGGTGTCTGATACATAATTTGAGCAGGAATCTCGTGGCTCTATCTCTTCTGGCGAGTTCGAAGCTTCGTGAGTCAACTCGGGCGAGACAGCTCCTACTACAGATGCACCACTTTGACGCAGTTGGCCACGGAATGGTGCTCTTGCTACCGAACCTTCAACGTAGAGCGCCCCATCGGTCGATCTTGACGTGCTGGAGCCGTGTAAACTGTCCATTCTTTTGTCGCCAGGACTCTGTACAGCCACTGAGCTGGATCTGTATACAGGGTTGAGAGCGAGTCGTTCGGTATTTGCAATGGCCATATTAGTTGGTTGATTCAGTAACCAGGTTGAATCGAGATTTGGCTCAACAAACTCGGAAGAGAATGTGAATGCCATCGACCCAAGCCCATCGGGCACTATGGATAGTTGGGTGTCCCAGATTGCATTGCATTGGCTATTGGAAAGCCAGTTGATGTTGGGGACACTTGTAGCGGACTCAGTGATATCCTTGTTCATAGTAAAGTTACCCAGATCATCAATCTGAAATAATGGACCATTGTCTTGCGCTGTGCCAGTGGTTGACTCATCAGCCGAGGGCCACTGTCTACCCGCTGAAGAGACCGCAAAGGCGCCTGGCTCGTTAATGGTCCAGGCTATACCGCTACCCTCGTCGAGTTCGCTGTGGGTGACATCCATGGTTGCCTCTACTTCCGCTGATACTGGAGCTTCGGTGCCGTCCCTAACCTCCACATCTTCATCCGGACTTCCTGTATGAGATGACTTGGGAGATTCATGACCTGGTCCTCCCATCTGAGTCATCGAGCGAGTCTTGCGTCTCCTAGTACTAGGGTAAACGCATTCCAAATCCCGCTCCTGGCATCGCCCACACGGCAATTCTCTCGAACAACGAATGCGCACAGCCGCACATTCTTTGCATGCCCTGCTTGACACGGTCCTGCGTGAGCTTGAGCCCAAAGTATGTGTTGCTTCATGTCTCTGCAGAACATCTTGGCGGGAGAAGGATTTACTACATTGCCGACAGCCATACGGCTTCTCTAGCGTATGGGCCCTGGTATGTCGTGTCAAGTGCTCTTGTCGTCCGAAGGCTTTTGGACAGAAGCGACATCGGAATTGGGCTTGCTCGTCACCAGCAGGCATGTTTTTGACACAGCATCGAGAGTTTCTGGTACAGTGATATGAGTATCATATCATCCGCTGGGTTAATATCTGCCATGAGGCTAAGTTGCTACAGTGCGGAGTTGGTCGAATTTGGTCACGGGGTGGAATTTTCTTGTTCCGTGAAGATATTCATTGTTCAATACGGCAAGAACAGGGCAGGCTTCGGTTTTTGGCTCGACCTCCTAAGTGCTCGACTACTGGACTACCCGACCACTACCTAGTAGGTAGGTACCTAGGTATGCTCAAATGCCAATTTAGCGATAGTCATTAATTATGTACATGAAATTGAGCGTCCAAGACACATCATACGGTACCTAATTCAAGCTGCATTAACCACGGTGGTTATAATACTGGTTCCGTGTCTTACATCAGGCCTGGAGTAACAAGATCCCCACCGGAAATAGCAACCTGTGCTACTTGGTTCATCCTCCGGTGGGGGAGGGGACACGAAGTCTCCCCACACAAACCCCAGATTCTTCAGGTTCAATATCGACCAGGATCAAGCTTTAGGTGTAGCCTTGGCATGATTCCCCAGACTCTTCCCCGCAAACCCCGGGTGATCATGTTAGAGTTGGATCCTTGAATCTTCAGCACGGGATGGATGCTCTGCAGTACATCAGGCCTTCAAGGATCCTGGCAACCTTCGGGACTGCTATATATACAGCCTCTGCCGCTGACCTTGGCTCGCGAAACTCCATAGCCAAGTAATGCTGCCTCACTCTAAATATACCTAATCTGTTTACTTCATCTGACTTTCTTGATGTCTCCTCTGTCAGACGACAAGGTCGCCAGAATCAGCGAAGATGACCATCCTCCAAACCCTGACATCGTCAAAGATGCATCCTTTGCAAAGCAAGCCGCAGACGAGGAGCACAGTCTCACATTGCTCCAAGCCATCCGAAAGTATCCAAAGGCTGTTATGTGGTCAGCTCTACTCTCCACATCAATCATCATGGAGGGCTACGACATCGTCTTGATCTCGTCCTTCTTCGCTCAGCCGTCCTTCAGAGAGCATTATGGAAGCTATCAGCCAGAGACAGATACCTGGCAGATCACAGCATCTTGGCAGAATGCTCTCAGCAACGCTGTCAGCGTGGGAACTATCATCGGCGCGTTCGCCAATGGCTACTTCACGTACAAATTTGGCTATCGAAAAGTGCTTCTCGCTTCGTTGGTTGCCATCTGTGGCTGTATCTTCATCTCATTCTTCTCCCCCAGTCTTCCCGTTCTTCTTGTTGGGCAATTTCTTTGTGGCATCCCTTGGGGAGTGTTCGCTACTATGGCTCCTGCGTATGCCTCCGAGGTCTGTCCCATGGCCTTGAGAGGCTACTTGACCGTCTATGTTAACCTCTGCTGGGCCATCGGGCAACTCATTTCCGCTGGTGTGCAGGCAGGTTTCTCGAACAAGACTGGGCCATGGTCTTACCGCATCCCGTTCGCGATACAATGGGCATGGCCTGTTCCTCTATTCGTCATTCTGTTCTTCGCTCCTGAATCGCCATGGTACTTTGTTCGTATTGGGGATTATCAAGAAGCTGAGAAGTCCGTCACCCGTCTCAGTTCATCAACACAACCTGGCCATGCAAAGCAGGCCGTTGCTATGATGATACATACCAACGAGATCGAGAAATCGATTGATCAAGGAACTTCCTACCTAGACTGCTTTCGCGGGATCGATCGACGCAGGACTGAGATTGCTTGCATGGCCTTTGCTGCTCAACCCTTTTGCGGATCTTCAATGGGAGGAACACCAACATTCTTCTTTGTCCAAGCAGGACTCCCTGAGACAATCTCGTTCAGGATGTCTGTTGGCGGTCTAGGTATTGCCTCCGTTGGTACAATCATGTCTTGGTGGCTACTTGCCCCTTTCGGTCGACGTACACTGTATCTCTGGGGCCTCGGATTGCTCACAGGGGTGTTGATGATTGTCGGAATCATCAGTGCTAGTGCCGGAGATTCCCAAGGCGCAAACTATGCCCAGGCCGCTTTCATGCTTCTCTGGCTTGGTATTTACTACATGACTGTGGGGCCTGTTTGCTATGCAATCATTTCTGAGGTATGCTGCATTAACTCAAACATACTCCATTTCAAGTGTCTAGCCAAACTGATAACTGCACAGGTATCTTCCACACGTTTACGCAACAAGAGTATTTGCGTTAGTCGAATTGCATACTACATCGCCCAAATCATCTGCAACGTGGTCAACCCTTATATGTTGAACCCGACTGCTGGTAACTGGCGCGGCAAGACTGGCTTCTTCTGGGGAGGGTGCTGCTTGGTCTTCTTTATCTGGACGTTCTTCAGACTTCCCGAGACTAAGAACAAGACTTTTGAAGAGCTCGATATCCTCTTTGCTAACAATGTGAAAACTCGTGAGTTTGCCAAGTACAAGGTGGATGCATATGCGGAGGACGAGAATGCTTTAACCATTAAAGATGGTACTGCGTCATGAACAGCAATTGATGGACTAAGGGGACTGATATATTGTTGTCAACTTGAGAAAAATGCTTTTCACAGTCTGTTACAAACTTTAGACCGATATTGAATTCTGATTCCTGCTGTCAACGTAGTTCGCTGTAAAGGATTTGCCTGGCTTGCTCGTAGGTTGGTGTTTTGCTAGTAACACGCATACAGCTGGAACCTGCATCATATACGACCCAAATTAGGTATGTATGAATGTTCTCAGTGCAACAAACCTACTACCAAAATCTTTGGATTGCGAATGGTACCTGCAAACAAACACAGTGAGTTTTCTATAGCTATCACATTCCCAAATGTGCGGCAGACCCTGCCAATCACTTGTACAACCATCAGCTATCAACCTTTACCTGGTTAGCTCATCTCCAGATATCCTTCCACCTTCACGAGACATATAAATACCCCTTTCTCTCCTCTTTATCTCCTATTTTCCCTCGCACATCACGCCCTAACATTCTATCAATCCTTCCATACTGTTTTCTTATGCACTCCTCTTCTCACCTACGTAAGAACTTCACAATACCGGCGGTTGCCATATCTGACCTGACTGTCGTAAGCAGTTTGGTAGAAAAGATCATCTAGATCGACATAGACAAAACCACCCTCGACCGCCTCGGCCGCGTTCGATCATCTGTATGTTCTCCCTATGATACCATGACTTTGTGTCGCTAACAGATATCTTAGAAAGAAATAGAAGACATCGCCGTTATGCTCCGATCCGCAAGCTTTCGTAACCTTCCCTGCACTCGGGGTAGCTTCACCAACCGTACAGTCTGGTTACCGCCGTCTCAATCTTCCCATAACCTCGGGTCATCATAATACTCATCATCATCCTCATCTCGGCAATAGTCCATGTCGTAGAATCCGTCATTGGCAGCAGAAGAGCTGGCTTCGACCTGATCGCGAAAACTTTTGTCTCCCAGTTCTACAGCTCCGACCTGATCGTGAAGCTTTTTATTGTCTAGCTTTAGCTTTTCAATCTCGAGCTTTAGCTTTTCGATGTCTAAATCTCGCTTTTCGTTCGCGAGCTTTAGCTTTTCGGTGTCGAGCTCTTGCTTGGCGAACCTTTCCTCGTGTATCAATACAATTGAGCTGATCTGAGTTACAAACTCTCGCGCATGAAGTCCCGCGTTAAGGAGTCCGTTCCTGTAGGCGAGATTGGTACTAAGATCATACCCGTATCTGCGTTGGAGAGCCTTCATGATACTGTTACCGCCAGTACTTTCAGACAGCTTCTTCTGGTCATAGACGCCGGAGAGAATGAACCAGTTCTCATAGGTGATATGGATCCAGTTTGGTGCCCTGGCCTCCGAGTCCCACATCTTCTGGCACAGTTGGTGCTTGGAGGGTCGGATCTTGGATGCGGCTGTGTGGTGGAAGATGCCGTCCTTCAGCATCTTGATGATTTTATCGCGGACTGATCGGGGCATGCTTTCCCTGTGTTCGTTCAGTAGTTCGCAGATTCTAGTCGCAGACTGTCGATCCTCTTCATCATGTTCGCCGAGGGGCAGGTGATCGGCAGTCAGGGAGTTATTGACAACGACGAGACCCTCGTCATCACTCGAACTGATGACCATGGGTTCTCCTTCTTCTTTTCCTGAGGACATCTTTGGATACTGCTAGGGCTTCCACAACATTAGAGTTGAACGCAGTAAGGCCAAAAGGGCTGCGGCAATGAACTCACCAAATAAACCGAGATTTCGGACGAGTGTTTAGTGAGGAGGATGTCAGGGTGAAGTTGACTGAGATGCGTTTGAGAGAAACTGACGGCGTGATCAAGTTGCGTGACGAAGGCAAACAGATGGACTTCCAAGGAAACATCATTGCCGAGAAAACATCTACGGTGGAAGGGGAAGAGCTGGGCCGAATTCTATGGGGTCCAGTTCTAGCATAATTGGTATCCAGCAGCGTTTACAACACGGCAATGCCAGTGACAGTGCTATTCAGTGCCAATACCAACCATACCTAGGCAGTGATCATCAATGGCTTCGTTGCCAGGCGGACATTTTTCTCTTTATTTACATTATCAAAACTTTCAAAATCTACACCTGTTGCACTTTCTTTATATCAGATCTTCTTCGATCCTCCTCCCCTTTCGCAAGCTCGCACATACACACATACAAACCGACACACAGACATAAATAACCAATAAATATAAACAAACACATAAATATAAACAAACACACACACAACCCACATGACCAACCAAGTTGGCATTTTCTTTTACCAAATTCACGATCATACCCATCACCAACATAGCACCACCAGTTGGCAAGCGTAAGAGAGCCCGCGCGGCTCTTGAGGAGCCAGAAGACCCTGATGCGCCGGCTTTCGTTGAGGGACTCCCTTATGTACAGTGCTAGAAGCAAGTGCTCAACCAGACCTAGACCGCTATCAAGTTAGGGCGAGATGAGGAAGCCCACCTTCGAGAAAGCCTTCCTGAGATCAAATGCTTCTTCCCTTCACTTGATAGCCAGAAATGTGGCAACTACCTTGTCAACAAGACGAGTGGTTGTTCCGGGTATGTATCCTCATTGCTTTCAAACGTACTTTGTGCTGATACGTCCTACTAGCCCCTCTACCATGATCGCAGGCAACTACGCGGACCTCATCATGACCATGGACTTGTTCAATGACGTCCTGGGACATCTAAAGGGTGACCAGCCGGATATGGTGGAATCTCGTCGGGGAATTGTGAGGGCTGTATGCCGGCTGGGGCATTTCTTTTGGAGCGCCATCAACCAGCACCGATCTCGCTATGGACTTCATCATCCTGTATTCCGGCCAGGTTGCCATACTAAGATATACTCAAGGCCCAACGCTCGCACTACCAGACGCTAGTCGCCACGAGCAAAGCCTTTGCGGTAAGAAAACTTCATTATAGCACAGGTTCAAAACATGTACTAACAGCATACACAGGCTGGAGAAGACAAACTCCTGAGGATCGGGCTCGAAGATCCTGTAATCTCACAGCTCAACGATGCTTGCGGCGAGTTCATCACGACATTCACCAAATATCTGAAGAAGGCTGGGGTAGAGGACGCTGAGGTACAGCGTGTGGTTGACCTCGTACCGGTCAAGCCACTTGGTCGTCGCAAGGTTTCCGTCAGTCTGTCCCTTGGTGGTCAGAACTAGTATTGAGAGGGTAGAGCAGTTGAAGGAAGACCAAAACATAAGATACATGCTTCGCCTTAGGATGCCAAGCTTCGCTTTCATACACCAAGCGACGATAATCTTATATAAACTAAGAAGAGTTTATATAACTTATCATAATTTTACATAAGCTCATCTTAGCTTATCCAAATTTATATAAACTCTTCTCAGTTTATATAGTTTTACATAATCTTACTATAAATAGACAAAAAGTCCCCCAGCAGGGGTTTTTATGCCATTGAGAAATAGAGTTGTGGCTGATATGGTGGGCAACCTTATTGGATTTGAGACACTGTTGCTTTTCGATCTGTGTAGAGACCTCTATTGTTGATATTTTTGTGGATTTGATTGGGACAGCTGGATCTCTTTTTTAAAGGTGCTACCAGGCTTAACATAAATAGACAAAAGGTCTACTAAGTATAGTATAGACTAAAGAAATCTTATTATCCTAGAGAAGCGTATGACATATCGCGATCGATACGTAGTACTAATAAGAAAGACGTGGTCCAGCTGGGTATCCAATTCCAAGGTGAGGCTATCTCAAGCGAGGTCGGACGATATAGATCAGAGGATCTAGCAACAACAGTACTGGCAAATAAATAAATTAAAGCTGTTTAATTTATCAAAGAAATCAAGCCAAGTCTACTATCTAAGTATATTAGAACCCCTAGAACCTAGGACATGAAAGACTATATCTCGTTCCCAACTTCCACTCTATCGTCTCCGCCCCAAAGCCTCTTGCAAATTCGTCCCAGAAATCTGCATTGGCGTAAGTCCATTCGTCCGAAACGGACATCCCTGACCATGCGCATTCGGGTTATGCTGAGTCGGACTTGGTGATATACGGCTCCAATCCGCCAAGCACTCCCAGCAAAACTCAAAGTGGCAGCTCGAACCTATTCTCCGTATTCAGCATTACAGCCACCCTATCAGAGGATATTGGGAACTCACAGGTCATGTGGAAGCAGTACTCGCCCTTCTGGATATTCTCCTTGCAGTTTGGACATGGCTTCGTGTTGTTGGTGATCCAATCTTGCGTCTGCTGGAATTCTGGATCGCCGTGCTCCCTCACGCTGTTGAATTGCTCACAGGTCTGGCCCTCGTGCCATGGAATAGAATGATTATAGCACATCTCGAAGCCACATTCTTCGCATCGAATACGAGGGTCCATTACTCCTTCGTCGTCATAGAGCTGTCCATTGGAACAGTCTGGGCCTAGACACCATCTGAAACTAGGGAGGCGACTTAACGTATTCAAGCTCAAGTACCGGTCATATCTGTGAGCCGTTAGCTTCTGTATAGTATCTAGCAGAAACCACTTACTCCGCGAATGTTTCATCCTCTGCGTACAGGCGGATCTCCTCATAAGACAACCGACGAGCACAACCATCCGAAGGACACGCCAGCTGATCACATCTGTTCCGCCCATGTTGTTGCAGCTGTGTCTTAAGATGCTGCTGTAAACAAACAGTACAAAAGTCGATCTCGTGACCACACTCAGAGCCCAGCTTGACAGGAAACAAGAGGATCTTCCACATCCACTCGCCGTGGAAGCCCGCACACAGATCAATCCACTCTTCCACCGAATTATAGCAAATATCGAAGAACTCGTCAGTACAGACAGCGCATTCCTTCGGCGTTCGTTGGCGTTTGATGAAGCGCATGAATAGCGGTGCTGTGATGCTCGACACTCCGTGGTCGACCTTGATCATCTGGATCCTGCCTGGTTTGAAGGGCTGGATTCGACCAGCGTCGTCTGGTTCTCTGTTGGCGTGCACCGGGTCAAACAACGAGTACATTCGTCCGACTGTTGCAAGCTGTGTATGTAAATCGGCTGCAACCTGCAATGCTTCGTCACTTGGTCGAGGTTCTAATCGACGGAGTGAGGAGCGGAAACTCAGAATGCGCTCATACCTTCACACTGTTAGGAACTCTTCTTATCGTGGAGTTAGTAACTCACATCACCATCTTGTTTTCTGTGTCCATATCCCCCAGCTGCCGGAGAAGATTTTCGAGAGCTCCTCGATGAGTAAGAGGCAAAGCATGCTGACAACTCGGCATTGGACACCTCAACCAACTCCTGGACCCCAAGTTGTGCCACCAGCCAGATTCCAGAGCGTTCGTCAATGACTTCAAGTAACATGCTTTGCATATCGATTTGGAGCAACAACTTGTCGGCTGCGTAGATCTCAAGAACTCGTTGACGCGGACTCTGGTCTGGGTATCGCCTTTTAGCGAAAACCTCGGGAATTGGCATACATCGCAGACGAAAAGGGCCAGAGGGTTGTTAGATGCGTTTTCTGCAAACTTCCGAGCTTGCTGCGAGCTGAGGTGAAGGTCGAGGAGAGTCTCAGTTAGTGTAGCCATGGAACAAGATTGCAGGAACTGGGTAGCCTGAGCAGTCTGCACAGTAGTCGAAGCTTCTGGGAACACTTGAGAGAGAAGATCATTGATCAAAATCATTCTCGGCGTGGGACTACTCCACGGATTATGCAGTGCTTCTTGTATCTCCCTATCGTGTGTTTGTTGCTGCAGCTCAAGTTGCCGCTGGTACTGTTCAACCACAGTTTTCGCATGCTCAATCTCCTGTACCACGATGGCCATTCTATCTGTCAGCTCCTTGTTTTCCTCTTCTATCCCACTCTTTTGCTGGTGCAGTTCAACCAGAGCCATGTCCTGTTTCTCGTACTCGGCCTGTTTGTCTGCCATTCCTTTCTCAAGAACTCTCACCCTCCTCTTCAGGGTAATTTTCTCTTGCCGCACTCTTTCAATTGGAGAATTGTTCGTCTCCAAGAGGTCGCGGTTCTCTTCTTGTAGTTGAGCTTGAGTTTCAGACATCTTGACAACGTATACCTGGTACTCCTTGAGGTTCTGCTTTAGTTCCGTCGTCTGTCGCGAAAGTTGTAAGCGCTCTCGCTTTATCGTTTGGTTCTCATTCTCGAGCCTCTGGATTGTAGCCTCAGATTGTTGTGTCCTGGATCTATCGACCTCCAAGTGGTTCAGACGTAGCTTCAACCGTTCAATGTCATCGGCTTTCACACGCATTTGCTGCTCTAGGTGTAGAGCTTTCGAGGTTTGTCTGTTCTTTTCCTGTTCGAGAGTCGCGTTCCTGTCTCGAAGAGACTCCATGACTGCTTCTTGCAGTTGATGCTCCTCTTGGACAAAAGGGCCCATGGCGGCAATCGTATCTTCATCTTCCAAATCTCGTGCGACATACCGGTCATAATTGAGCGAGGGGACTGGTGGGAGGTTTTCTATTCGTGATGAAGAGGTCTTCTTGTGTCGGAACACATCAGAGATGCTCCGTCTCAGTTTCGACATTGCAACTTGGCGAAAGAGTCAGAAAGATGTGGTTTTAAAGCAATGCCACGGTGTTTCGGTCGCTCACACGACAATAAGAAGCACGTAGAAACCCTGGAGCAATGAAGAAAGCGACTGCTCAACATTTTGACCAGCGATAAAATCAGGCTGTGAAAATGCCGGCCGTCTCAATCCCGTGGGCGGCAAAGCGTCTCCTTGAGTGGCCGCCATAGTCGATAGCGGCATATGGTGCAGCTGAAAGTAGCCTATGGCTGAATGCCAAGTCTTGTTCAGCTCAAACTGATGCCGAAGGTCAAGGAAGGCCGAAATGGAAACCGTTTTCAAGCCATGTTGGTGATGGTGGGATAAAGTGCAGATGACTATGTTGGCGTCAAGGTGTTAGCGCTCTAAAGTGTGACACAAAGCACTCGTGACGAGTAATGAGAAACAACAGTAATTCATTCGAATAACAATCTGACACAGAGCGCATTTCGCCCTACCTCAATGAGTAATATCTTATTAAGACCATCTACAAGTATATTGTTCTACTATTCCGCGGGTATCAACAATGCAGCGCGGGCCTCCCATCTACTACTCATACATGTAACCATTCCCACATATTATCCCTCCTCTTTATTCATCGCTTGTTCTCGTCTCCAGGCGTGAGTCTCCAAGCACGCAGCGGCAGACTCTGGAGATGGAGCACCTTTGGCTTGATGTACCAGAAGAACGTCGCGGCGCCGAACAAAACGCACAGAATGTTGACTGTGTAGTATCCATCATGGATCATCTGGCAAGTTCCGCCACCAGCTTCACATCTCTCCTTCTCTGCCTGCAGTGAGCAAGAGAATGCCTCTGTGATAAGGGTGCCCTTCAGGGATGAGGCGTCTGACTTGCCGGGTTGGCATGTGGCTACGGTGAAGCTGTCGACAAGCTGAAGCACGAAATATCTGGGGAATGTACCACCCAAATTGCAGACACTAGAAATTGTTAGCTTCATTACACTGGTACGAGATCTGTGCTACTTACGTTGCAAGGAGTGTCATGTAGGTACCGCCAATAACCGGGTCCGATACTCGAGCATGGAAAGCCGAGACGGCAACAAACATGATGGTGTTTGTGAATGTGGAGAAAAGGTGCTCGCCGATAACCACCAACAGATACCAAGATGTAACTCCTTCATCTGGGAAAATGGCGACAACGAATTGACCGAACAAAGCAGCGACAAGTCTGCCGGCAAAGCCCCAGCACCAGAGACGCATGGGTGTGTACTTTTGCGACCACATTCCCGCGTAGTAGCCCAGGCCAATTTCGAAAGGGAAATCGATCAGAACTGTCAGAGCCATGTTGTCCTTGCCAAAGCCCTTATCCAAGAGCTTCAAGTTGGTGACACCGTCGTTAGCCTGGAAGCCAATCTTGGCGATGAGATGCACAATGATGATAGTCTGGACGTTCTTAAGTTTGAGGATGCCCCACATGATACGATAGACATCCCAAACACCATCTTCGTTCTGCGACTTGTCCTCCTTCTTCAAAAAACCAAGTCCAATCGTCACAATGATGTATGACCAACCCCAGAACTTGAGGTATCCTCCGAGTGAAAGAAGACCATCATCTGAAGGAACTGCTCGGAACCATTTGTTGGCGAAATCAGCAGCGTTGAAGGCGAGGAAAACGGTGTATGACATGAAGTGGCCAGCTGTAAGACCAACGGTCTGCGCGGTCGAAGCATACGATACGTTGCCAGGTGATAGGAGGGTGAGTGCCCAGCCATCCACGGCGATATCTTGAGTGGCGCACATAAGGACCAGGAAAAACCACCAAAGCATGAAAGAAAACGCCGTCATGCCGCCCGGCTTACCAGCGGTGTCCATCATTTGCTCGACGTGCGATCCCAGGTATAACATACCAAAACCGGAGAGAAACTGGATAGGGACGATCCACGTCTTGCGTCGACCAATCTTGGGGCTCCAAACTGCGTCCACAAAAGGACTCCAGAAAAGCTTCAGAGAGTAAGGATACGAGGCCAAACTAAAGACACCAATCTCGCTGTATGACATGTGGTTTTTCAGCAAGAAAGGTACAGAGCCAGTCGCTAAACCCATAGGGATTCCCTGTAAGAAGTATAGAAGAACCAGAAGAAGAAAGTTCTTCTGGTCTTGTCGAGGAAGGTCCATAAAGCCATGGTTGTTCAGAACGGGAGTTTTTGGAATAGGATCGTCGAGAGAGAAGGACTCGCTTTTGATGAAATTCGCAGCGACATTATCGGCGTCTAGATTAGCAGCCTTACGGCGCATCTCAACTCCGCTACTCATTTTGCCGTTGCCGTTGCCGTTTAGATGGCCGTTTCCATTCGCATCCTCCGATTCTGTCTTGATCGTCAGGGGCGGGCGGCCGGGATTTTTTTGAGGTCGTCGAGCTCTGGCGGTCATAGGTGCCGAGAGAAAGGGAAATTCGGAGCCGAGGCGCGTAGAAAGAAATAGTGGTCGTAGATGTAAAGGGGGGTTGAACAAATGCGACAAGGAGGCGTTGAAAGCGTCAAAGTCAGATGCGGGTGGAATATGTGTCGTCGTAGTGATGTATGTATATGTGGATCAAAATAAGGATTGAGGAGCATTCAAAGACAAGATACAGAAGAAGAGAAGCAAGTGATAAATAGTCAAGAGTGGGAGAGACAGTGAGAATGGAGTTGAAGGAATGAAGAAGAAAGGCTTGAATTTGTCAGGTTCCTCAAGTACGGATAAGTAAATCTTGAGCGGGCCTCAGATACAGACCTAAGGTCACTGCCTGCGTTTCGAATGATGGATACGGGTTGGCGTAGAAAAAAGGTACCTAGCAGGCTCCCGCTACCGTGGCCTCTTAGACGAACCGTGAGATGTGATTGGGTTGTTTTCTTGAGATGGACATGGGGTCTTGAATGGGGATAGTGACAGCTTAGCTGTCCTTTCTAAGGTCTTTAGTGGCGACAAGACGTCAAGTTGTGGGTAATTTACTCTGTATGCGTAGTAGGATGAGTGATGCTGAAGTTGAGAGGAGACGTAATAGTCTTGACCGTTGGAGAATATATCATTCCCCAAGATTCATCAATGATGTCCAACAGGGTATCAAAGGCCCACGAACCACAGGGAGAACCTAGCAATTACAACCCGCAAAAGCCAAGGACTCTTCAGAGTCGCGTCTTGTCCCAAACAGGAAGCGCGTCAGGGGTTGATGTTCCGGGGGTTGGAGAGTGCTTCAGCCAATGGGAGCATTCGCTGTCTGTCACTAGGTGACAAATGAAGAAACAAGACATCACTGATCACTGACAAAAGACAGGATGAACTAACTCATGACGATAACACACGATACAAGATGATTTGCAATATGATGTCTAAAAAGATTCCATATTGAAATCACCGCATGTGATCGACGTCTGTTCACTCCATGTTAGAAGAACCTGGTAGCTGTACGGATAACGATAACTCTTATCTTATCAGTGACCTGCAATAGCCTCCACCAATTGCAACCAAGAACCAACCCTTGTTTGTAAACAGACCATATCAAAACAACATCGTCATCAACCTCACTTCTCATCCCCTCATCGCAACATACAGCGCCATCATGTCGTCCGAAGCAGATGCTCCAACCGAGAGCGAACTAATTGATCAGGAAATCGCTGCACTCAAGGAGCAAGGTTAGTCATCATACGCAATGGCGCATCAATCCACCACCTAATACCATGCAACAGCTGCCGCATTGCGCAAGTCTCTCAAGATTGAAACCTCTACCATCTTCGCTGCGCCCTCAACACAGGCATTTCTCAAGCCGTCCAGAAGCTTCCTTTCATCTCGAAATACGCCCTCCCGCGCAAAACTCATCAGCGAATCCGATAAGCAGAAGGCTTTCGTTCAGCAATGTCGTTATCGTACCTGTAGCTCTATCACAGCGTTCAAAGTTCATGACCCCGATCCTAACGCAGTCGACGGCGGCCATGTTCTTGGCTTGCGTTTCGAAATAATGTCCAAGGGCCAATTCTTGCCACCCTACTACGTTATGCTCAACCGACCATACTTCAACTCCAAGCACATCCGCATCCACCGACACACCCTCCCTCCTGCGATTCCTCTCTCTGGCTTGGCAGCCCGCCATCTCCCAGCGCCACGACCTGAGAGCGACAGCCCAACTCAACAGAACCTGGACCGATTTGTCAGGACACTTCGACGCGAAATAGTGCGATACCACAACCGTCTCGGTGTTTCTGCCGACTTGAGACGAAGCCTCGGATTGCACGACAGGATGGATGATATTGTCCTACCTGATGATATTGTTGAGGTCGGAATAGCTGATATCGAAGCCAAGCAGATTAGGTTCTCTTGGGCTGATGACCGGAGCGGCAGAGTTGTTATGGACAATGACGGCAAGGTTGTCAAACTTATGATGTTTGGCAGAGAAGGTCGTGATTGGGAGACAACAAAGGAGCTGTACGGCAAGTATGAGCGTATCGAGGATGTGGCCAGAACGCTACAGGAATATGTCAATGGATGAGTCCAGGTCAGCAACCGCATTACTTTGCATAACCCATTGGTGGGCACACAAAGTATGTGTATCAAGACTTGAGAACGCAAGACAAATTCTACGGGTTGGATATTGGATCTTTGAAGCGTCCTTTTCAGGACAAGAGCATCAAACCTGACTACGCCTCGACAATCGACAGAACTATCACAGATGGCAACAAGCGCGCAAGATAGCCGTTTGTGTTCAACAAAATATCAGACCACCTCGTGGAGACTCAACCCTAGAGGTAGATCAGTTGGGGGGTTTGGCAATAAAGGTGGCGGCAGCAAAAGTCCCAACAACGCGCTGCCAGCTGGCGTCAGCCCTAATGAAGGCCACATCCTGGATGAAATTTCCAGTGTCCTACAAAGTATGGATGTTATACATGGAGCACATATAGTTGAGACAGTAGTTGGGCTGTTCAACTGTCGGTGTGTCAATAGAGGTGGCGAGTGGCAACAGCAACGGACAACACAGAATTGGAACAATCAGCATTGGCCATTTAGCTCGTCCTACTAATGGGCCTGGACAGGGGCATATTTGAATGTTGGGTTCCTTAGGTGCGAGGGTCTTTCTGAGACGATCGTTTTGGGCAGACCGTTGTAGCGATTTTACTGCTATTCGACGACGAGAAGTTTGTCTGATCGCACCGCGGTTTTCACACTCCCATCAGTGGGCTCAGCAACTCTCAAATTGCCAAAGCAATCCCGTCTGTAAGAGGAATAATATAGTAAGGTAGTTGTGTTCATGTAGAAATACACTACCTCAGTCGGCTCAGCTCGAATACACCCTCTATCCCGTTTTCAACGGATGTCTAGCATATAGATCATTGTCCGTAATAACGCTATGTGACGAAGTCAGAGACTGTTTTAGACTGGTCCGGCAATAAGATGCGAGGGTTAAGCGATATCTCAAAAACACCGCCGCTCTCCTCGAGATTCATCCTCAATGAAACCCGCATAGTAGTCCAACGTACAGATGCTCTTGGCAAGTCCACTTATGTAGATATGATGGCGAGCCCAGTTCCCTACGATATCCTGTTCTGCCAAACGTTAGCAAGTGAATCTCAGCCAGACAAACGACATACCTCAATCTATCCCAACCACCCTTATACATCCACTCGATTGTCGTTGTTCTTCCCATCAGCACAACCTCACCAATCCAACGGCTTCTTCGCCGCCGGCGCAGCCCCGGAACCAAGCGTCTCATCCATAACACTCTCCAGCCTCACCCCCGTCTCATCATTCAGCAATCTCCTGTCAATCTTCCACAGCGCAACCTGCTCCTCCACGACCGCCGTCCACTTCTTCACCAGAGGGTGCGCATCCGCCACATCCGCAAAGAGAACCTCCTCCGTGCCCGCAGCCGCCTTGACTTCGTACTTCCAGTTTCCATCCTCGGCCCAGTACTCTGCTGTGAAGATGCCCTGCGTACTGAGTTCCTCCTGCGCTTGTTTCGTGAGCTTTGCAACTTGTGAAGAGTCTGCGTCGTCGCGGCTGCGGACAGCTTCGCTAATAGCTTCCAGCATGCCGAGGATCTGGCCTGCTCTTAGGCCTACGCTTGCGCCGAGACTGAAGCCTTCGTCGAAACCAGCTTGGACACTGCTTTCTTTGGAGATAGTCACACCCTCACGGTATCCCGCTGTTGTATGTTCCGTTTGTAGCCGACGAATGTCGGAAGGATGAGTTGCAGTTGACTCATCGCGCTCTGTAGGCGATGAGGGGCCCGAGCCAAAAACGTCATCTAGGACATCATTTGCTCCCGAATCCACTTGAGGCTCATCCTGAGGACGGGCGGTATATGCTTCATCGACCATTTCTTCGACGGGTTGAAAATGCATAGTTAATGATGTGAGTCGTCGAGGTTTAGGGTACGAGATGAAGTTTTAAGGTTTGATGTTGTGTGTGGGACTTTTATTTTTGGTGGCGCCAAGGCAAAATCCTTGTACATACAGCTAAATCTCATGGATAATCACCTCGAATCTTTAGAGTTTGTCCCCATGCGGCCAAGCTGTCATGCAAGACATCTGTTTCGAATTACAGCCTGACTCGATCTGTTTCAGGAGACATTCCTATATATATCTTGAGTCAGATGCAGTTCTACTCGAGTCAGCCAAGTTACACAAGCAGTTATTCATCATGCCATGAAGACTAGCAGTGCCCTTGAATAATAATATTGAAACAGCATCCAATACACCGGCTAAATACCCAAATATTTTATTAAGCAAATCGTGTCATCAAGACGCAACTGTCTGCTCTCCAGTATGTGCAGCTATCCCTGCCTCTGTATTCAACGGTTGCAACATGTGATATTTCTCACGTAGATATTCCTTTTGGTTCTCTCTCATCAAGCCCAACTCCAACAAAAAGTTAACGACGTAAAGGAAATCCTTCACATGAGACCGAAGTCCGTCCTCTGCTTGATTATGCCCCGCGGGGAGAGCAAGCACGTCGGCGATCGTGCTGGCAATCTCGAAGAGCTTTTGTATGATGCCGCTGCCCTGTGTCGCTATACTAACAATGCTATCAAGCCTATCAACCAGACTGCGGAGCTGTATTGATAACCGTGATGCTGGAAATTGCAACGATAGACCTTCATGTGTCGTATCTGAGGCTCCTGAGCGGAGGAGTCCCTGTGAAAGTGCCAGTTGCCACAGGAGCGTACGCAACCAGAGTCTGGTGATGAAAAGATCGGCACGCTGTAGTTCTGTAAAGCCAACATGTCCGGCAGTGCTCATCCTCTCCTCAACTGCTGCAGCGTTCATCTCGGCTTGGTCAAGTTGGACTTGCTTATTCTCAACCCACTGCACTGTTAACCCGCTGATCGCACCCCGTTGAGACTGCCAACATGCGAGGAATGTTTCGTCAAGGATTAGGAAGAGCTCTATTAAGCAGTTGAACCCGACTCGTATATGCTCTGGCGTTGAAGTGTCCGTGGCCGAAAGGTTTGTATGAAGAGGAGGCATGATGCTGGGGTAGCCATCTGCGATGGTGAGAAACCTCTCGTGGATATATGCCTCCCAGTAAACCTGCTGAAACTGTGCCATAGGATATGGCGTCCGTGTTGGATCCGGTAATGTCCGTTGTTGGAGCTCCATAACTTGAATTAGTGATATGGCCTCTCTGATAAAGCTAAAGCTTCTATCGAGCCGGCTCAGTCCCATAGTCGAGATCTCCAGATAGATGCATGTGACAATGCGCTTGATACTGTGAGGCAGCACCTCGTCTATACGCCCGGGACCATGGTTACCGATACCAGCTCGGTTATGGGCCTCGAGACTATGGTGCACCAGGTTGTTTATTTGTGCCGCTACACTGCCATGTGAGTTGTCTGCCGTTTGTGACAGAAACGTGGTAACAGCTGCATAGGCGTACACCAAAGCGGCGTCCTCGAAGTTATGATGCATCATAGATATTGAGGCAATGATATCATCAGGAGTGACCGAAGGGCTAAAAGGATAAACAACCTTCTCAAACTCCGGGAGCAGCGACTGAAAGAAACCTGCCGTGAAGGCCTCGGAGTTTGGCGAGAAGGGACCTGATGCCGAGCCAGGGCTACTCCCTGGCGGCCATTCATTACCAGCATGAGGCGTTGAATGAACTGCCGAGGGAGACACAGAAGCGCTTGGTGAGAGAGCCGTCTGCTGCTGAATGGTGCCCTCTCTGGCCTGAGCTACAAGACGACCGCGCTTGGGGTTCTGACGTTTCCTGGGAGCAGTGGATCTGATGCATTGCACGTCAAACTGGCGACACGGCGAACAAGGGTTCCCATCATCGCACTTGACCTTGCGTACTCGGCAGCCATGACAGGCAGGCATTGCAAGAGGGAGAGGGCGAGGGCGACGGAGATTATGTGAGCGAGTATATGTCAGGTAGGGTAGGGTAGTATAAGGTAAGCAAGCAAGCAGCAGAAGTGGAGGTCAACATGAAGCTGGAGATAGAACGCGTTTACGTTTAGCACGATGGGGTTCGGCGCCTGAGCGCTAAACGCATGTGGAAGGCAGGCATTATTGGTCACGTGAAGGCCGAATCCCCATCACCGTGAGATATCTAGAGCTCTAGAGCTTGGGTGACTTGGAAAGCATTTGGAATCATGGTTTTTTGAGAAACTGTGTTCTTATGTTTGAACTGTGAAGATTTGTAGGGGATTTGATACCAATAGTTCAGTGGTGTAAGTGGTGGAGTTGTCGGACTAGGTGCTATAAGTAGCTGGGCTGTAGTTTGAGCCTTTGACTCGCGTTTAGTGTTGGATGGATGTAGACCTGGCAACACGTCCCCTGATAAGGTACTCGTTAAAGTTCTACGTAGTAATTATGCTTTCATCACACCGTCTTTCGAGCTAAGATTGTACAGTACATAGCTTTGTGGCGAGTCATCAAATTGTTAATGCGAGTGCCGAAGCCTCGGAACATGGTAGCCAAGAAACTTTGCTTTTTGCTGTAGATCAACATGGCGAATGCATGCAGGCAGCATAAGCCTCACGATAAGACGATATAGGTATAAGTGCTCCTTTAAGCCGGACGATTGTCATGCATGAATCATGTTTGCTGTGCCGTTGAATCTGGCTATTGGGATGTTTGTATATCCCTTTTGGGACAGAATTGTCCTTGCTTACGACAAATACCGAGTCCCTTGACGCAAATCATGCAATATCTCGATATACATTCTTGCTGATGTGAAATATCACATTTCACACTCCGTACCTGTCTCATGAGTCGATTGTCCCTCACAGGGCTGCTTCTACCCGAGAACGACGACCCAAAGCTGTCCTGTTATCTGGCAGTTGATATTGAGACACCATCTGCTTATAACACAAGAACGACTCAGTCTCGACCCGTTTCATCTCGCACGGCATATAGCTGAGATAACACTCCTATTCGTGTATCCTTAGCCGCTCACAATACAATACCCTAGGTATCACAACCTCTGTTGCAGGGTTGACTTGTTGGGAAATATTCTAGAACTACAACGCAACACTAGAAAAAACAGAAGAATCCACCCATAACCATGTCACCTTCTCGAACCTCGTTGTCCAAAGCGGATCTCCTTAAAACTTGACATCTCGGCCGGTATAGCGGTCAGGTAGTTTAGTAGTCAAACGAAATGTCGGGGTGGCTCTTCTTGTCATTCTCCATCACGGGTTTCCAAACCCTATTCGAAATTATAAGCCAGCAACAGCCAGCGCACGCCGAAATTTCAGAGAAAAAGAGACACCCCCCTCTAGCCCCCCCCCCTCCCCAGCCTTGCTGTCATCGATGGCGCTTACAGGTGGACGTGTTTTGATCCTGAAACCCTGCAAAATTCCCCCGGCAGCTAGAGCACCAGAGCCACGGTTCGCGGTTCTGAGCGGTCCGGGGGCTACGGGGAATACGACCCCTGCGTCCGGACAACGCGCTTGGGTTGGGCGCAAGTCGTGCTAGACAGCGTGTACAGGACGTTGGACTTTTTGCAAGTAGAACTCACAAGCGGTCGGAATAGGGAGTGTTGTGTGTGTGTGTGTGTGGTAAGTGTGTGAGAGCGTGTGTGTGAGAGAGTCAAAGTCAAGATGGCATTTCTTCACACCCCCATCACTCTCTTGATGGTGATGTTGATGCGGCACTTGCACGGCATCTAAACCACCCCCATATCCCAACATCCAGAGCAGAGGAGCTTCTCATCGCATGGCAAGCAGGGATATTTCCAACGGGCCAGCATATCCCATCCAGTCGTGACCGCCGCCCCGGGTGATCTGACTCTTTCGGTTCAATGTACCGTGGGTTTTAGTCTTTTGGAGAGCCCGCAACAGGAACAGGGAAAGGCGAGGAAGAAGGACAAAAAAAAAGGAGGATACCTTTTAGTATTCGGAATTCTAACGAGACTAAGACAGGACCGTTCTCGTGGAACGGGCTCCGATTGGCGATGTCATACCCTCAGACCCTTCTTCATCAAAGAACACCGCCAGACCGTTTACTCCGTAGAAGGAGGAAAAAGAGCCTTTCGTATTTTGTTTAATCCTTGTCCTTGTATTTCTTGTGTCAAATTGCTGTTCATCATTGCCGGTGACATCTTCTCTACGGGCCTGGGATGAATGTTTCCAGTGGACGGTCTTTGTTCCACCGCATAGCAATCAATCAACGTGAAGCGCATGAACCGTCTCAAAGTGATATGTGTTGTTGATATGCGGCTCGTGTGTAAAACGATCTGATCGCTCCCCAGAATCTCTCAGCCTCGACGTGTGTAGCATTAATATTCGCCCCCCTAAACGTCAAACACCAAACCTCAAACCTGTCAAAATGTCGGAGGAATAATTATTACCTCACCTTTCCGTACTCGGCAAACTCTCCCTTTCCCTTGCCACCTGGGTAAATCCTAATTTCTAAAAATCCCCGGAACTTTGGAAGCGGTATCCGAACGATCGGCAGAGGGCACCGGACCGTGGACTTGGGAAAGGTAACTGTAACAACGGCCCCCGTCGAGACGAGACGGTGTCGGTAAACCTTCCGCTATCCTATCGCACCAGCGAGCGGTGGACACTCCAGACCGGCGCCGTTAGTTTAATGGCAGGGCTGTGACAGGCGAGCTGGGGCCTGGGAAATTGAAAGAAAAACGAAATGGGAATGGAACTGGGCTCGTGCGAAGGAAGATTCTTTTTTGACTGGGAGATGGTACAGGGGAGAAAGGGGTCCTGAGCTGTTACACCCAGCATGGCACGGCAATAGCGTCGGATAGCACGTAAACTACCTGTACTACAGCAAGCCAAGCCAAGCCTGCAACATGAACAGGAACATTGAATATGAAGCATGAGCATGAGCATGAGCAATGGCCGACCCTCTCGTCCTTGTCCTGACCCTTTGACAGACCAGGCCAGGTCATCAGCTAAAAAAGAACAGTCCAGGGCCCCCCCAACCAACCCGAAGCGGTGGACAGACGTCACCCAACTTGCTGCAACAACTTACAAGGCTGCACCCACGATGTACTGTGTAAGTGCCTTAATGCAGTACGGCCTGAACAGCCGGGGAGACGTGTACTTGACACTCTTGTCCCAAGCAGCCAGCTGTCGGTCGGTGTGGTATGGTATGACATGGGATGACGAGACGGTAGCGAATACGCTGTTTGTGTTTCTGATTCCGTTTGCAATAGAGAATGCACAATTTGGACGTACATTGATTGTATGTACTGTTTTCTGCTTTGGTTGTGTTTTTTTGCTTTTTGCCTTGAATCAATGTTTTTGCCATCTTAAAAAATCAGCAATTAAAAAAAAAAGAACCCTTTCTTTCTCTCTTTGTTGTCTCCCTGTTTTGTGAAATCTTGTCTCAGCGCCGAATGATGTGTCGCTTGATGGAGCGATAGCGACTTGTCACAATCCTACACCCTACACCGAGAATGTCATCATAGCTGAGTCGCTCACTCACCGTCCCTTTTTATTATTTGTTTTTTTTTTGGTCAGGTCTACGGAGTATGCTTTCCGTCTTCCCCTTGCGCCAGCGTATAGTGACTTTTGAGCCCAAATACCCATCGTGGCGTCTCTTCTAGAATTCTATCTGGAATAACAAGTGCCCCCAGCAAGCAAGCCATATCCTTGTCCTTGTCTCCAAAAAGCCGTCTCTTTTAGTATTCCCCACAAGCCCTCCTGGGTTTTGGTTTGGTGGTCCACTTCTGCCACTGCCATCCCTTCAAGTTTGACGACCCCCTGGTCCATATCAAACGCCCTTGATCTGGTTCATCTCGCTCGCCCTGCGTTGGTCAATTCCGTAGACAGAGAGAGATGAGAGAGAGAGAAGAAGAGAGGTTGGCGGGAGAGTTATCTCCGTCTTAGTCTTCCTTTACTTGCAAAAACAAAAACGCCACAATCTTACAGATCCTGATACAGAACTCAGAGCAAACAATTGCCACATTTGGACAACCCTAGACGCCTCAGGGCCGGCAACTTGAGTTGACTTCCCGCCAGTGCTAACAGAAGGCTCACGGCCCCTGCCGATCCTAGCACCGTACGTAGTGTAGTGTTGTAGAGGCAGATGTAGAGGTAGTAAACACAGGTACAGGGGGTGTCCTTTTCTAGAGAGCTAGGAAGACCGGACATCAGGGGTGTTGTGCGCTGACCGCCAGTAATGACCAGACTGAAAGTATCGGTGCGTTGAAGCCACGCGAGCCTCCTAATTCACGGGGGTAGTTTCGACAAATTTAAGACAAAATGGTCCCCGACATAATTATAATTTTCATTCTTTCGTGATCAGATTCATTCGGTTTTCCAAGAATATTCATTGTGTGCGTTCCCTGGATTTTCTATCAGCTCAGCTCTGCTCTTTGATCTATCTATCTGCCTTTTCATTGCTGCTTTGCTTCAACTCGCACATTCACCAACTACACTCGTCTCAACAAACATCTTATTTGGATTTCGGGGACAAAACAAACCTGTGGCTTTGCTTCAACGACCCAAAAACTCACCTTCAACAAACCAAACCAACTCCCCCAAAAACAACCATCATAATGGCTCGCGGACCTTACGACACCACCGGCGTGATAAAGCCCAATGCGCCCAAGCCTCCGAAGGGAAAGCGTTCAATGCTCGCTTGCCAGCAATAAGACGATGCAAGTTATGCGATTATACCCTCTGTTATGAGCCAGCGTACCTCATGTTAGTTTTCCTTCGCCCCCCAAAATTCTCTCGTCCATGTCACTAACCCTGTCCAAAAGTTATGCTGTAAAAAAACAGGCAAACATGCTTGAACGAACTGCGCACTGCTTTAGCGATGATGATATCGACTGCCGATCGAAATAAAAGGGATTCATGGGATGACGGAGTTGTGGGTTTTTTTTTTGCTTTCTTGTTTGGGAACGGTTCGGAAAAGTACTATTAGACGGAATACTCAGGTCTCGGATTATAACCCATGGGATATAAGAGGAGGAAAATGGTAACATGGCTATAGATTTGAAACGTACATACGGGTGCGTTTGGTCGCAGGACCAACTTAATATCGATACCTATTGGAATATGACTTAGAATAACAATCCGTTTGGCGACCGTTGTGCTGCATGACCGTTTTTGGTGATTTCGTCTAAGTGATTTAGTTCAATAGTGCACCCGTTTTGTGGAATTTGGGCTGACGATAGAAACGCTGCTGCATAATTTTGCACCCTTAGAGTTTTGGCTATCGTGATCTCGAACCGGTTCGTTGGGTTGGTGGAGATGAAGTGGGATCTTGTGGAACCGAGGACAATGTTAGAGGAGGCTAACTGCATTTTACCCCCCAGGGACATCCTAGATGAGGAATCTCAAGTTCCGTCCCGTCTTCTGCAAAATTCCCTCCCACTCGAGAGGTAATCCGTGCCAACAGGATCAGCAGGGGTTTTCCTCTGGCATCACAGCCGGAGCAGAGCCATTAGAGGGAGGTGGCAACAGCATTGATCGACGATGGAATGTAAATTACGAGGAGCTGACGAGGGAGAAGAAGGTTTAACGACGGACGATCCGAGGAATCTGAAACCAATTCAGCCGTTGTGCCGTTAGGATCTGAAGAAAGGAATGAGCAACGCTTTCCCCTCTTTTCAACGTTCATCAGTTGCCTCAATTAAAGCTAAAAGGGCGTGTAAGACTGACGGCACTGTCTAATGGTGGAAAAGGTTGAGCCGAGATGGTCGAAGGGTGCGACTATCTGGAGGTCCGTCCCGCAGTTGTGGCTACTGACGTTGAATGTGATGCGATTTAGCGTGTGAAGTCGTCCACGATGCGGCACGGGGGCAAGGACCTTTTTAAGCACCTCCAAAGACGACGTCACAGGCAAAGCACACACTTTAACAATGGAGGGGCACGTCTCTTATCTGCCTCAGCACTTTAACTTAACCCAGCCTGACATGACAGTTCCAGGTACATAATCTTTCATATCTGGAACTAACTAATAATAACTGGAGGCGATTTACCCCGGATTCAACGTGTGGGGGTGGAGTAGTAAACGCGGGATGTCGACCGTTCAACCCCATATATATGCCCTCACTACGATCCGGTTTACCTCCACTACTGCACTGCATCTCTGGCTGATGCATGGGATGAGATGCAGCGCCCGCATTAGGAAGATAACGAGGTGTCTGCTGAAAGATGGTTCTTGATATGGGTGATGTGGTCGTGTATCTATCATGGTGCACGGTTGGTGAAGAACTAGGAGTAAGATTTCGATGTCGGTCGTTGATGGCTTCAGTCTTTGCTTATACCTAGGAAGCATGTTGAACAACAGACTCTCAGTATGCTCAATCTCAACTTGCATGTATATCTCTTCTCTATCGTCTTGATAACAGGACACTGCGACCTTCTAGTAAGTGTCTAGTACGCAGGGCAGGGCGAGAGTCTAGACTATGGACCGGCCCGGCCTGCAATTGTTTCTACTGTCAGCGTTACTTTGCTGATCAAAATGAGGCTATATGTTGCCATTTCTGTTGTGATTGAATCCTAGTCTGGTGGTTTTCGGGGGTACAAAAGTGGACAGTGAGTGTTTCTATGGCAGCCTTGAGTAGTGCGGTGTGTGCCAGCTGCGAATGGCTTCAGTATGGTCTGACCCAACCGGCAACCTCGTACCAGGCAAGTATCACAACAGGGGTGAAATCTGCCGGATTACATGAAACAGTCGACATTCTAATTATTTTAGAACTATCTTGCTTTTAATATTGATTATCTCCAAGTTGTCAATTGTAACATATCTGACCGAATTGAAGATGGGTTGGTATAGGGTGGCTCGAGTGAGGTATATCCAATGCGAGCGGTCAGCAACAAGAAGATGAACATTTTCGGACAACGAAATCTGATATTCCACATGAATAGTCGTCACATGATCAGTAGACCTACTCTTCTTGTGGATAATCCACCTGTCTGATACTATTATATGTTGCAATTGCCAGCTGCTGCAAGTGATGATTCGCTGCAGCACAGATATCTGCCGTGAGAATATTCCGCATCTGGTCCGTGAGCACCCTTCTGCAGTGTTGTCAGTGTCCTCGATCATCTCATCTCCCACTTTTTGTTTCTGACAGTCTGCATAGACTAATAGAGTATCGAAGTTAGCTCGGATGTAACCGATCAGAGACACCATTTTCGCCCATCATCACACCAATTGGCCGATGCAACCCAACCTCCCTCAGAACCCTACCTTTACAACCACCAACCTCTTGCTCTCGACACACACTCAGAACACTTTTGCCAAAATTAAAAAAAGACAACAGACTTGAACCCCTGGATAAACCCAACCTCTAGCTAAAATCGTTCCTGATTCTCCCTCCCAACTCCCAAACGTCTTAGCGACCCAATGGTTCATCCCACTAACGCCCAAGCGTTGACGATGCTTGGAAGCTCCCCCGGCTTCCGGATGCACCACCTATTGGCTCGTCCCTGCTGGAAAGAGGCGCGTGTTTTGAATCAGCCAACGACGTCTACTGCACTTGCGGTGACAGCTGGCCCATCCCCTGTCTTGGAATCCCCAATTGTCGTTCACCGCCATGAGCCATCCCCACGCGGCCCGCTCGCGCACCCGGGAGAGGGCTCCCCGTTTCCCAGCCTATCCCGCTCCCGGCGATCGAGAGTCCATGCGGTGAAGGTCAAGACGGGTTCATGCTTGAAATACAAAAATGCAGCACCCTCTCTCGTGCTTTTGTCTACAGATACCCCAAAGGCTTCTGCTCTGCAGCCTGGAGAGCCCATGGCCACTCCGGTTTTTCACTTATAAACCTTACTTCCTTCAATGACAATACCGTCCTATAGGGCGAGTCGCTCATGAATGGCTTCCAACACCATCATGGCGGTCCAAGAGACCATTGCTGCCCTTACCTGGCAGCAGACCGGATACTTGCTTGCAGGTATCTGGCTCATCTACGTCGTCCAGCTTGTGATTTGGAGACTATGGTTAAGCCCTCTGGCTCATATCCCTGGTCCCAAGCTGGCGGCCCTGACTCAATACTATGAGTTCTACTACGACTTTGTCCTCGGTGGACAATACACTTACAAGATCATCGACATGCACGAGCGATATGGCCCCATTGTGCGCATCAACCCCTGGGAGGTCCATGTTGGAGACCCTGATTTCTTCTCGGAGCTTTACACTGGACCCAGCCGACGTCGGGATAAGTGGACTTTCTACACCCAACAGGTAAGCACATGATACATGATATACCTTCTCGAGGCAATCACTAACATCGTTATAGTCCGGCGCTGCTCGTACCCAAGTCCCTCACCCAACCGCTATCGCTGGGCCCAAGACAGCGACAGAAGGCTCTCTTGCTGCCATCGACCACAGCCTCCACAAGAAGTTGCGTCGAAGTGCGCTGAACCCTTTCTACTCAACTCAGACTGTGCGCGAATTGCAGCCGGTTATTGAAGAGAGAGTGGAAGCCCTTCTGGATGCGTTCCTGAACTACGCCGAAGTGTCCCACGGCCAACCTCTTGATGTCATGTATCCCTACTCAGCTTTTACCAATGGTGAGTCTATCCTGTCTTCTCTATAGTGTTACAACGCTAACGTACTCTAGATGTCATCAACGAATATGCTTTTGCTCGAAGCGACCACTTGGTTGAGAAGCCGGATTTCGGTGCTGAAGTCACCAACGACCTTCTTATCGGCACCCACATGGGGCCTTGCGTACAGCAGCTCGACTGGGTGCTTACGCTTGTCAACGCTCTCCCAGAGTCCATCTCAAACCGATGCATGCCAGGATGGGGTGGGTTCTTAAAGATGAAGAACGACATCCTCGAGCAGATCCATAGCATCGATCCCCCTCAAAGCACCGGCAAGTGGATGATGGATGGAGGCCACCCTACCATGCTCTCCACCAAGTCTCGCTCCGTACGTGAGAAGACTGTGTCCCGCCAGAAGCAAGAAAGCCAAATCACTGTCCAAGGCGGTACTCTTACAACATCGTGGGCCATGTCCCTCGCAACATTCCATCTCCTCAACCGCCCTGAGACCCTTCGCAAGCTGCGCGACGAGCTCTTCGCTGCTATTCCCGATGCCTACGAGAGCACCCCGCTCTCGCTGCTGGAGAAGCTCCCCTACCTTCGGGGAGTCGTCAAGGAAGCTCTGCGTCTCGGCATTGGAACCAGCAGCCGTCTCGCACGTGTTGCCCCAGACGAGGCTCTCGTCTACCACGATCGCGAGAATGACGAGGAATGGAACCTACCCCCCGGATCCATCGTCGGCATGAGTCCCTACAAGACTGTCATGGACGAGAGCATCTTCTACGACGCACGCGGTTTCCACCCTGAGCGCTGGGTGGAAGATGGAGAGCGACTCGACAAGTATCTCGACATCTTCTGCTCCGGCTCCCGCATCTGTCTCGGCATGGCTTTATCCCACGCCGAGCTCTACCTCACGCTGGCCAAGCTCTTCCGCAGATGGGGAAGTGGCGGTGTTGTGTTTGGCAGCGATGATGGCGATCAACGCGACGGAGATGTTGGCTACCTCAGCATTTTCGAAACAAGAGTGCGAGACTGCGAGATCGATGCCGACTACTTCATGCCTATCCCATATAAGGGATCGGAGGGTTTCCGCTTCGTATTCGAAGCCTACTAAGTGGAGTCAACGCTTCACTATTATCAAAAAGGTACAGGTATCTCTGCTTTTGCCGTCTCTTTGGCTTCTTGCTTCGCGATACCCAATACCTTTTCTGTCTTTTCAGCACCACGAACCTTTGAATGAGTTTGTATGACCTACGAAAGAAATATGCTATCATGTCATGAGAAAATTACGAGTTTCATGTTTTGACGTTTATACGATACGGCACATACGTGCCTTTTTCTATGTCTTTTGCTTTCTGTTTTGCTTTACACCTTTGTTTTTGGAAGGTCTTTTTAGATCTTCTTTGTTATCGTGTTCCTGGAGAAGCGGATTGTTTACTGAAAGGGTTTCGTGACATCTATGTTGAGCATGGATGAGCTGCAAGGAACCTGTTCATGGGACGCCAAATCTTCAATCGCCTACTGAGGCGCGCGGTTAAGAGGTTGATCTTCTTTGTCATGAAAAACACGATGAACTGATTTACGAACACTGATCCGGAAGGATCATGAGATACAGTATTGTGCCTCTCTTGAAGGCCATGGTACTGGTTGAGGAGAGTCGGAGGAGCAGTATCATATAAAATATCCAGACACGGGTATCTATGAAAAACAGCAAATTCGAGATAGAATCACAAAAAAAACACCATATATCATTTCAACATCCAATTTCCAATATCGTTTAAATGTGACTCTGTAATATATAAGCCTGGTCCAATGTCGATCCTGCCCGCCATTGAAACATTCACGGCAGTTCCCTCGCTACCTCAAGGACTATCCCCAGTGGGGCCTACCTATTCCGTCAAGAGGTTGCAGTGGCTCCCATGCCTAAATTACAGGGGGAGGGCCACACGCCTCAGACCTGAGACCCTCCACTTTCCATTTCCAGGTAGTGATGCAGGTAATTCTAACCAACCAAACCAAGCCGCCACCAAAACCACCACGTTTTCTATTCCGAGATCGAATGCCGTCAGACGAGCAAGTTTCCACCGTCTCCTGAAGACCGTTCGCGCCGGTCTTTTTTATTTTGTTCTACTCTCCTTTCTCTTGTCGTATATATCTGCACTTCTACTCTCTCCGTATCTACCACCACCACCTGTATCAATACTCGTCTGTTATTTTGGAAAATCTGTCCTTATATAGATAGCTCTCATGGCTGCGTTTGATCCTGCTGCGAGGAAGCGAGTCCTTCGGGTCATTGCCATCTCGCTACTCCTCGATTTGGTACGCGACAGATATCACCAGATTATCGTTTAATGCATCATTTACTGACTACTTTAAACTAGATTTCATTCACCTTCATCCTCCCCTTGTTCCCCAAACTCCTTGAGTTCTACCGCGATCACGAAGGTCAAGCGCCCCCTGACCATGACGGACCTCGAACCCTCCTCCAGATCATCCTATCTGGTCTCCATCGATACAAGGCTTCCTTTTCTCGTCCCATCGAGTCACGACACGACATTGTGCTTCTCGGAGGAGCTCTGGGTTCCCTATTCTCGTGCGTCACTGTTCACATACCTGGATTACGTCAAGGCGCAAACTGACCTCCCTACTCTAGACTTCTCCAGGCTATTGCCTCTCCTCTTATCGGCGCCCTCTCCGATCGATATGGCCGACGTAAAGCCCTTTTAGCTTCCATGTGCGGTAACATTGTTTCGGTGCTGCTCTGGGTTGCCGCTGTCGATTTCCGAACTTTCATCGCTAGCCGTGTCGTGGGAGGACTTTCAGAGGGCAACGTTCAGCTTGCAACCGCGATGGCGAGCGATATCTCGGACGATTCATCCCGTGGCTCAACAATGGCTTTGATCGGCGCGTGCTTCTCCATCGCCTTCACCTTCGGTCCCGGACTCGGCGCGTGGCTCAGCACATTCTCGGTTTTCACTGCGAACCCCTTTGCTGCGGCTGCAGGCTTCAGTCTGGCGCTGATTGTCACAGAGACGGTGTATCTGTACTTCAGTCTCCCTGAGACACTACCCTCTCTGCGCGGTGCTCAGACTAAGGTTGGTGAGAAGAAGGCTGCGCCCAAGAAGATTGAGAGGACCAACTCTCACTTCCTTCTCAACGCCATCCACTTTGTCTTTCTGCTGTTCTTCTCCGGTATGGAAAGCTCATTGTCTTTCATGACGTACGAGCTCTTTTCCTTTACCTCGGGCAAGAACGGTCGGCTGCTGGGATACGTTGGTCTGGTAGCATCTATCCTCCAGGGTGGCGTAACACGACGCCTGCCGCCCCTGATGTCTGTCCGCATTGGTACAATCGCGTGCCTTGCGTCCTTCATCCTCCTGGGACAAGTCAACACTGTTGGTGGTTTGTATCTCGCCGCGACATGCCTGGCAGTTACATCTGCCACGGTTGTCACTGGTCTGAACGCACTGAGCAGCTTTGAGGCTCACGAGGACGAGCGCGGCAACAAGCTTGGTATGCTACGAAGCTGGGGCCAGCTCGGTCGAGGTCTAGGCCCCATCTTGTTCACGAGTGTCTACTGGTGGGCCGGCCGTGAGGTGGCATACACCATGGGTGCTACAGGAATTGCTGTTGTGGCTGCGGCTGTCTTTGGAGGTCTGAAGACACCCAAGGGGATGATCGCCAAAGCCAAGAAGGTAGAGTTCAAGGCCCAGTGAAGGGCTTGGTAGATACAGGTTGTATGAAGTTATGTGGGAGTTGTGTACATTATAGGTGCTGTGGTTGAGCTGGACTTGGCCAATTGTATATCGTATACAAGTTTATAGACAAATGAACATTATCATACGACTGTTGCCAGATTTGCAGTGTCGTTTTACTTTTCAGTCACTGCCTTTACTACACCAGACCACGACGCAGTCACACCGTCAATGTCACTGCAAGATAGGTTACTCTAAAAGAGCAACCGGACGAGGTTCGAACGGCCTCTCTTGCCGAAGCAAGCCCTTGTACCTACCTACCAGCCTTTTTCTAGGCAAAAGATAAAACAAAAATAGGAAGCCTCATCGAAAAAAACCCAAAAAATACCACCCGCACCCGGATTTGCACCAGGATCCTTGGCTATCACCTATACTGATATAGGAGTCCAACGAGTTGCTATTACTCTATACGGGCTTTTTGTTTTACTTTAACCGTTCGGCCACGAGGCGTGTTTGGTTGTCAGTTTGTTGGAAAGGGGATTTGTTGTTACAGTCTATAGCTTGTTGGCAGAGGTCGGCCGGTGTTGGGCAGCTGGCGGGATGCTGCAGTCAGGAACGGGAGAGTGCAGGGCCATGCGCGGTGGTTGGCCTTGTGAAATGGGCGGCAGTTTTCCTATATTCGGTGCTGTAATTACTACGGCTCGTCTGGAATGGGTTCTTGTCGTAAGTGATTTGCAAGTTGGTGTATATGTCGTCGTAGTTGTCGATATCGTCGTTTCGAAAGCTAGAGCCGAGTTCGTTGTGTTCGTCAAGCAAATTATCCATTACTAGGATCTGCAACATCAATCGAAACATTCCATGTTGTCGGCTCGATCAGTCTGTCGTAATTAATGATACAGGGTCAACAACAACAACCCGTGGCCTTCCACCTAGTGTAGCACAACCCAGGGGGGCGTCTCGACTTTATATAAATTGTGGCATGGCTCCGCTCAGCCGCCAGAATAGGACAAGCTCAGCTGGGACATGATAAAGACCCTCAATTTCACAATTATTGGTCATAAAGATGGACAGACTTTTTTGATGCTCCTCCCCTGGATTGGCAAGCTGAAAAAGTACTAAATCTTGGCTTGTGCAAGGTGGTGTATCAAGGTTAAAGTTGGTGTAAGTTGCAGGATTCTACTGCTACCCTAAACTTGCAGCGTAAATCGAGATCGATCAAACTTCTTCGATTGTTTTCCAACAGTAGCGGTCTAGGAAGATGCAAACAGAGCAATAAAAAAATTCTCATCTATGAATCATGGGACGTATCACGGATGCTGCGCCCTCCACTTGAGTCTCACGATATTTTCCGAAACGTGAGAGGTTATCTCGAAGCGACGGCGGAGCCGATGCATGCGCGAAACTATAACCTATCCACTGTGGACAAACCGCTCGCAGAAAGGTTCCCCATAATGGCAACGTGACAGCAATGAAACAACTACATGGAGGGGAAAGAGGAGAACAGGCGCTGTTGAGACTGCTTCTATGTGACCCTTTGGATGGGAGAAGACCACGGAATGGAGGTGAAATTAGGTGCTATCTCAACACCACAACAAGCACAAATCTAAGCTCAAACTTTTCTTGTTTTATATTTAAGGATAAATAATAAGCTTTGTTAAAGATCATTTCATACTTCCAAAATCCTTGTTGTTGTTGCAACCTCTAGAGGTGCTTGGAGATAGATGTGATAGCACAGCCTACCATTACGTTGACTCTACGGAAGGTTCCAACCCGACTGCCACGACTCAAACCCAACTCCTGCGGATAAAGTGCAAATTTCTCACATATGTTTGACAATCTGGCAATTTCTCAATGGCTCGTATCAAAGTGGCCAGATTATCATATCCACAAGAGAACTGACGCTGCATGAAATCGCAAAACCCTCATCTAGACCTCCACTGAGAAGGCGACCAGCCGACGATAGATAAAAAAGTGAGCTGCAGCCGCTTCGTGTGGGCTCCGCAGTGGCTGGACATGAGTTTTTTTGCCCCTCCTTTGTTGCGCTTTTCTCAGGCGCGCGCTCTGTGTCTGGTTAGAAGGGCAGACTGATCCTGGCAACCTTTGCTTGGACTGAACTCTTATGGAGGGGCTTGTTGACAAGGAGGGGGAGGGGCACAACACGAGTAAACAGCAGTTGCATGAGACATGAAGCGCAAGACCAAGACGAAGAAATGTAACGATAAGCGGAAATTGTTGTGTAGAGCTGATGTGATGAGTGGGATATGGCATCACGTACTGTATTCACATTTGCATCCGAAATAATTAGATAGAGAGCACAAGTGAGTATATTCGTGATGTCATGAGAACTATTCAAGAGTGTTTGCCCAAAATTTACCCCTCCAGCTTGAAGAAAAAATTTGATATGCGACAATCAACTTCCTGTTTGACCACCTCACAGCGACAGGACACCCTGGCCAAGCCCAGATCTTCCGTGCACTGGTCGCTCAGCGGCGGTGGCAACCCATAGGCGCTAAGAGAATCAGTGGAGCATGACGTTGATTCGTGCAGGGCATTTGAGACAGAAACAGCGCGCCAGAGGCTGCATGGAGGGGCAATCAAGCTCGATGATCGATGGTGGGAAAAAAGCGACCTCACCTACGGAGGCATAATTGTATTGTTTTGGCCTGAGGAAAACTGCAAAGTCTACATGACACACTCGCCGAATACATAGAATAACAACAACAATAACAAGATTACCAGTAGTGACTCACGCCGCGGTTGCGTTGGGCTGACAGAAGTGAGGGGCAAGAAGAAAAAAAGTCCTGAGATACAATGCTGGGTTGGGCATGAGAGAGTCCCACGGGCAATTGTGGTTGTAGCAGGCCCCGAGAAAGGGCCCCAGACAACCCTGGGACGCGCCCGGCATCCACCACACGTAAGGTAACCCACAAAGCCTCGACCGCCAGCATGATTGAATTTTTTTCTTTGCTTTAGGCCGTAGTGAGAATTTTTCTTTCCATGTCTTGGGCGGCGATGGATGCGCACAAAGAGGAATCGCAAAAAGTTGTGCCCCGCATGTACCTGCTAACAGTTTCTATGTACCCCCACCAGAGACTGGCGATGACTGCTTTGGTGGGAGACAGATATCAGAAAAGAGATAGAGATGGGAATACAGATTATTGTAGTGGTGATGGGGCAGTTAGAGGCGCTATCGCACGGCGGAAGTGATGGATTACTGCACTATGGAATAGCTATGTTCATCTGCATGCCTTTTGTGAATGCGATAATGAGTTCTATTGATGTCGTAGCGTTGTTTGTTGCGATGTGTTGCTTCAGCTCGCTGCTGGACAGCAAGCTTGAGAACCACCACCAGCACTGAAACAGCATCTTGAACGCACAGCCAGACGTAAAGCACACCTCAGTAATAGCTACAGTAGATACACTCTCTTTGATGACTTGTTCTTCACGATAATCTTCTGATATCCCGTCTTCATCAAGCTCTTTCGGCCCCTCCTCGTACCATTTCTCAGGCCTTTACTCACTCGCCGTCATTCGGCTTCGGAGCTCAGTCATTGGCCGGCCTGACTCCACTCGCCGACCAGAAAAAAACCTCTGTGCTGTTAGGGTTACCCAAGCTCGTTGCCCCGCGCCGCAGCAGTTGCCTTGCACCCCACCCCACCCCTCCTTCCCTCTGCTCGCCTTTTAAATCTCCTTCTCCCACCTCTTCCCTTGAATTTTTCCTTCTCTTCCCTCCTCGTCTCGCATACCCGGTTCAAGCATCCGATCTGCGATTTTGTACGTGCCCTTCCTTGACAGGCCTCGAAGAAGTTCATTGTTCAAGATCCTTTGCCTCTGTTGCAAGTCTCTTTCGCGATAGTCTTCATCGTCGTCTCGATCTCATCTCATCGACGCTTCAGCCGGCTGACCATTTCACAGCAAGTACACCACAAACCTTCAAACAAAAAAATCCACATCCGTCAAAATGGGTAAGGAGGAGAAGACTCACCTTAACGTCGTCGTCATCGGCCACGTCGACTCTGGCAAGTCGACCACTGTAAGTACAACCATCGAGTCGCTTATCTGCACTCGGAACCCGCAAACCTGGCGGGGTATCACCACAACATCTTGCTAACTCTTGACAGACCGGTCACTTGATCTACCAGTGCGGTGGTATCGACAAGCGAACCATCGAGAAGTTCGAGAAGGTTAGTTAATATCCCTTCGATTACGCGCGCTCCCATCGATTCCCACGACTCGCTCCCTCATTCGAAACGCATTCACTACCCCGCTCGAGCCCGAAAATTTTGCGGTGCGACCGTGATTTTTTTGGTGGGGTATCTTACCCCGCCACTCGAGTGACGGATGCGCTTGCCCTGTTCCCACAAAACCTTACCACACTGTCGCGCACTATGTCTTGCAGACACTAACCACTGGACAATAGGAAGCCGCCGAGCTCGGAAAGGGTTCCTTCAAGTACGCCTGGGTTCTTGACAAGCTCAAAGCCGAGCGTGAGCGTGGTATCACCATTGATATCGCTCTCTGGAAGTTCGAGACTCCTCGCTACTATGTCACCGTCATTGGTATGTTGTTACTGTCTCACACCATGCCTTCATCATGCTAACATCCCTCTCAGATGCCCCCGGTCATCGTGATTTCATCAAGAACATGATTACTGGTACTTCCCAGGCTGATTGTGCCATTCTCATCATTGCCGCCGGTACTGGTGAGTTCGAGGCTGGTATCTCCAAGGATGGCCAGACCCGTGAGCACGCTCTTCTTGCCTACACCCTTGGTGTCAAGAACCTCATCGTCGCCATCAACAAGATGGACACCACCAAGTGGTCTGAGGCCCGTTACCAGGAGATCATCAAGGAGACCTCCTCTTTCATCAAGAAGGTCGGCTACAACCCCAAGGCTGTCGCTTTCGTCCCCATCTCCGGTTTCAACGGTGACAACATGCTTGCTGCCTCCACCAACTGCCCCTGGTACAAGGGATGGGAGCGTGAGATCAAGTCTGGCAAGCTCTCCGGAAAGACCCTCCTTGAGGCCATCGACTCCATCGAGCCCCCCAAGCGCCCCAACGACAAGCCCCTCCGACTTCCCCTCCAGGATGTCTACAAGATTGGTGGTATTGGAACGGTTCCTGTCGGCCGTATCGAGACTGGTATCATCAAGCCCGGTATGGTCGTCACCTTCGCCCCTGCTGGCGTTACCACTGAAGTCAAGTCCGTTGAGATGCACCACGAGCAGCTCACCCAGGGCATGCCCGGTGACAACGTTGGTTTCAACGTGAAGAACGTTTCCGTCAAGGACATCCGACGTGGTAACGTCGCTGGTGACTCCAAGAACGACCCCCCTCAGGGTGCCGCTTCTTTCACCGCCCAGGTCATTGTCCTCAACCACCCTGGTCAGGTCGGTGCCGGTTACGCTCCCGTCCTCGATTGCCACACTGCCCACATTGCCTGCAAGTTCGCCGAGATCCTCGAGAAGATCGATCGCCGTACCGGTAAGGCTACTGAGTCCGCCCCCAAGTTCATCAAGTCTGGTGACTCTGCCATCGTCAAGATGGTTCCCTCCAAGCCCATGTGTGTTGAGGCTTTCACCGACTACCCTCCTCTGGGTCGTTTCGCCGTCCGTGACATGCGACAGACCGTTGCCGTCGGTGTCATCAAGGCCGTCGAGAAGCAGGCTGCTGGTGCCGGTAAGGTCACCAAGTCCGCTGCCAAGGCTGCCAAGAAGTAAGCAACTTATTTCTGAACCGACAACCTTCTGCGGGATCTTACGACTTCGATCACGCGCCCAAGGGCTGATGTACTCGCTTCTACGACGAAATGATCATGTTGGCATGAGCACTCGGCTTTTGTCTGGAGGCACATAATGAGAGGCAGGAAAAGGCCTAGGAACTCAGTTTAGTGCAAATCAAAAAAAGAATAGAGAGTCTAGAAGTGATTCGTGCAATCTTCTTGTTTCCCATGATGCTTTGAACGTGAATATTGTGATGTGATTGTGCTTTAAGAAGTTGATGCCGCCACGATGCTGTTCCTTGGTATTGTACGAAATTGAGTTCGAAGTGTCCGAGTTGACCATGTCGGTCAGTTGTCTCGAACACTTGTTACTCCTTGCAGAAGAGGTTCACATGAAGATCCCATAGGCCGATGCTTGTGTGTTCTTGATATCGCGCAGAGCTTCTTTTCTCTTGATGTCTGTCGTAATATGTCATAATAATACATGATCATCTCTTCTATTGTCTAATGGTGATTGTTACATATAATACAATTCATGATACCTAGTATACAACATTATCTTTCCTTCTTTTTAGTTCATCAAAGACCGTCGTTGGCCTTTACGTGACGCTCAGTCGTGATGCCACACGCTGAAGGCCGGTTCAGTCCCCCTGGCATGACCCATGACAATGTCAGGCCCAGACATCTATTTTGCCTTTGACGCCTTGTGCTTTTGGTATCCTCCTCTTCCTCTTTGAGACGCCTTCTTGTGAGGGCCCTTCTTCTTCTTTTCTTCCGGAAGAGTATCAAAGAAGCCAACCACAGCGTTCGGATCGCGAGCCTTGCTTTCTCCTGTTGCTCGAGCGGCGAATTGAGCGACAAACGCATCCTCGTTTGACTTGGCGACGGCTGGACTTTCCAGATCTCGAAGAGTGAACTTCCTCGACTGCTTTGTGGTCTTGCTGGGCGTCTTGTTCGACTTAGCAGGCATCTTATTCGGCTTGCTGGGCGTCTTGTCGGGCTTGGCGGGAGTTTCGACAGTGGAAAATATGGTGTTTGGCTCGGGAGTCGGGGGTTGGAATTTAGAAGATTCGACCATTGTGGGAAAGTCGGAGAAAAACTCGTTCAATACATTGGTACGAGATTCTTCATGGATGCGAGACGTGATGGTGGCAGGTTCATCGGATGTGTGCTTTTCCAGCTGTGAGTGCTTCTTGTCGGCAATCGCAGTACCGTCGAACTTGTTGTTGCCTTCATCGTTGAATTTCCTCGGCCGTGAGTGTTTCTTATCAGCAGCTGCGGTACCGTAGACCTTGTTGTTGTTGTTGTTGTTGTTGTCTCTATCGGTGAATCTCTTCGGCCGTGAGTGGTTTCTGGTGGCAGCTGTATTGCCATAGACCTTGTTGTTGCCTTCATGGGTGAATTTTCTCGGTTGTGTGTGTTTCTTGTCGTCAGTTGCGATACCGTAGACCTTGTTGTTGTCGTTGTTGTCTTTATCACCCAAGACCCTGGGGGTGGCGTACATATCAAGGAGGTCGAGCAACTGTTGTGTATCTCCAACCTTGGTTGTAGGAGGTTCTTCGTCCTTAAGCATCTCATCAATATGGTCAAAGGATTCCGGTTTGCTTGGCTGATCTGCCTTTTCTTCGTATATATTGAAGTTCAGACGGCCACGCGAGTCGAACTTGTCATTTTCCACGATGATATCCTCAGTGAGCTCCTCCTCGGGTAGGTTGTAGCTGTAGTCCTCCAGCTGACGGCTCTTGATGGCTTTGTAGCCTTCCGTCCACGAGAAGCATTTGCCGGTGGCAATTTCATCCACCAGCTGCAAGAAAGCCTCCGTTCTCTCGCTGTGGGAACCGGTGTCAATCGTGTCTTCATTGCCGGTCTGAAGGGTGACTTCTTGACGTTGGCCACCGTGCTGTCCAGCTTCAATGCTAGAGTAGCGGAGTGTATGACCACGCCAGGGCATTTCGACGGTCTGGTGGATCTCTGTGCCACGGAAGTCGTAGAGGACGTCTTCCGACTCGGTGCTGGCGTTGCCACTGCGGGGACCATTCACCCAGGACCCCGGCACGGTGAGTGTGGCCTGGCTAGGGGTTCGAAGCTGTCCCTTAAGAAGGTTGAACTGTGACGTCTCGAGGAACCTCTGCAAACCGGGTTGATCAATCTTCAAGGGACAGAAACGTTCCTGCTGGAAGCGGACATCGACATCGTAGCTAGGGAGAAGCACGTCGTGGATTTGCCAGGGAACAAAACACTCAGCAACCATATCGCTTGGGATCGTGAAGTTGCTAAGGTCGGCGTCGGCGTTGACGGGGATCTTGATACGGACAGCAGGGTCCTCGGGCGATTTTACAATATCGCTTTTGCGGTCCACTCGAGGCACCAGGTGCATAACAATGGTCGTGGACTCTTTCAACGGCTTATCGTTGTCGGGCTTCAGAGCGGAGAAGGCGGCTGGATGGGGGATGAAAGGAGATAGGATGCGACGACTGCGGGAGAGTGATTTTGCCGAAGTTTCAGCTTTCGAATGAAGGACATGACCAAATGTTGCAGTGGTGGCACTCTTGCTCGGGCCCTGGTAAACTCTTGTTTGCTGTAGTGACACTGAACCCGCCAGTTTCAAAGGCCGAGTGTGGTCGCCTGTCTTGTCGACAGGAGCAACAACTCGTGACCACTTGGTAAACTTATCTCTCCAGGACATGGTCCTGGCCTGTCTTTGAACTTGCACTAATTGACCACTGACGTGTTCTTCCTTACGTAAAGGAATACACTGTAAGGTGTTCTTGGAGCCAGGAAGTGGGCGACCGACGACCAGGCGGAATACTGTATCGGCAAGGTCTTCAATCTCACTTGGGACCTCCCCTGGTTCAGGTATCCAAGAAACTCGAAGCTTCTATGAGCTTGTTAGCTTGATTCTGTTCATGTAGTTGACAGGCTGTGTCGTACGTCTCTCTTGCCTTGCTTAGAACGCTTGATCGAAGTCTTAGTGAGTCGACCAAGCTCCCGAAGCTCGGGGGTTGGAGGTATGCTTCCACCAATTGGAAGATACTGGGAAACATCGATGGTCCGGGTTTTCATTTGCTGGACAACCTGGTCGATATAGGCGAGAACACCATATGTAGTTGACTTTCTCGCGAAGATGTTGATGCGAGACTTGTCGGTGCTCAAAGTCAACTTCTCTTCTTCGCCTACTAGGAAGTCCCTCCGCAGTTCCCAAAGCAGGCGTCCTATATTATTTGGACCATCTGTAACACCGATCAGTAGCTATTTCGTTATACGAGCATTGGGGTGACAAACATGTGAGGAATGGGAAAACATCAGGATCCATTGTAATAAACGCCTTCCCGAGATTATCAACGTGTTCCTGGACCTCAACCTTCCAGTTTTCGAACACAATTCTCTGAGCGATCGATTCTTTACTAGTGCCACGAATTTGAACGGTATTCACTGATGTCCAAGGAGCAATCTCTTGGATCCAGGCATAGTCCACGCTATCGGGGTCTTTGTGCTGAAACTGGCGGTCGCGCTGGTAGTCCCTTAACTGACTGAGTGTGAAACCACCGCAAAGAGCCTGAACCAACTTTCCGATATCTGCCATCCGTAATATGCGAGTATCAGGGCGATGTTCGTCAATATTGGCGTATATTTCCTCCACCTCTGGCTCAACTGTCTCAGTCGGAGCCAATGCCTTCCAATCCAGATCCTTGGTCTCGATTTCTTGCTCCTCTAACACAGTCGGTGCTTTCCTCTGGGGGCGAATGTTGTTCGGGTTGTTGATGATGATGGCGTCAGCCGGAAGTCCAAGGGTAGAAACACCGAGTGCCTCTCCATGCAGAAGACTATCATGGAATTGCTTCTTTGGCACGGGAGTGAACGCATTCTCTCCCGCTTGCATTTCATCTTCGAGCTCAGGTAAATTGGATATACCATCCCCGGCCTTCTTTCCTGTCAATAGTCCATCCAGAAGATTGTCCAGCTCTGACTGTCCGGGAGACGATTCGAGGAGGTCGGGGAGATCAGATATTCCAAAGTCTGGCTCGCCCGGCGTTGACGAGGCCTCAGCTAAAAGATCGTCGAGAGATGCTTGTGCGGGATCGAGTGGCTTGTCGAGAGGCGATTCGGTAGTATGTGTAGAAGTAGCGGTATGAGAAGAACCGTCATTTTGGATAGACTGAGCTTCTGAGTCTATATCTAGTTGAGGTTCTTCAGATAGTTGGCTTGGCTCGAGATTGGCCTCGGTGGATGAGGGGTTGTTCGTTGGTGTTGTCGCATCTTTAGACTCTGTCGTTGTCTCTATCGTCTCCTCCACCACCAATTCTTCCGTCTTCGTCTCTGATCCATCACGCTCCGTAATAAAAGGCTCGACCTTGCCATTTCCTTCTTTTCCTATATCGGATGTATAAAATCGTCTCGCCAGGCCTTCACGAACGGGGCTGAGGCGAAAGCCTATCCCAGCGCTGCGCTGCGTTATTAGACCGAACCTGCATGCCACGCAAATTCGCGGCACTCGAGCCGCTCTAGAAATCATCGAAAAGGAAAGAATAAAAAACAAATTCCCATCAAGGGAGCGAATTGCGACAGTGCGACCTGAACTGTTCAAGATTAACGATCAAAACTTCTGGAAAATTTACCCGATAAGCGATTAAGCGATAAACGATAACTGATAAAGTCCCGACGCGTCTAATCGCATCGACCGCGTATAGCTTTCCTTTCAGGCCCCTCCATGTTCAAGCTTCAGTCGCATGTCATCAACTTTATAAAATTGACTTCTCACTGTACTGTGTGCGAGTAGTTATATAAACTTTGTATTGAGTCAAAAATATCTTGTTTCACGCTATGTCTACGCAAAGGCGCCGCCGTCCGGTATGTTCTTTGTGATTCACTGTGGAGGGCGAAGCTAACTCCCCCAGGTCGAGGAGGAAGAATCAGAGGAGGATACTCGACCTCGTCAAAGAAATAGAGTTGATTCAGAAGACGACGAAAACGAACAAGAATCTAGCGATGCCGAAATGGATGGCGATCAGCACCATATGCAGAGCGCCGACGAGCAGCTAGCTAAGAAGCTGGTCCGCTATGCGATATCCTGCGAATTCTCCAGAACCGTGATCCGACGAGATGGAATTAAAGAGCGAGGTAATAATGGTTATCATAAATTGGTACTTCAATGCTAACAAAGTCTAGTACTCGGGGCTCAAGGCAGATCGTTTCGGCGCATCTTTGACTTAGCACAAAGGCAGCTGAGAGAGGTCTGGGGCATGGAAATGCGAGAGTTGCCGGTCCGGGAGAAGATGTCACTTCAGGAAAAGCGTCAAGGTACATCTATCATTCATCGTGCTGTCTAATCTACCTACTAACAAAGCATAGCCATGAAGAACAATTCACAGCCTAAGATAGGATCCGGGTCATATATCCTCACGTCGACATTGCCAGAAGCGTACCGCAACGCAGCGATCCTCGCCCCCTCCAAGACACCAAGCGCAGACGACGAAGCCACGTATGCGGCCTTTTACACACTGACCATTGCGGTTATTTGGCTCAATGGTGGAGAGTTGAGTGAACAGAAGCTGAAGCGATATCTCCTTCGACTCAACGCAGACCAAAATGTGTCGATGGACAAGACAGAAATCATTCTTAAAAGAATGGAGAGACAAGGATACGTTATCAAGAGAGTTGAGCGACCGCCTGTGGGACAGGAAGGCGAGCACACCATCACATGGCATGTCGGCCCCCGTGGAAAAGAAGAAGTCGGCTTGGATGGTGTCTTGGGCATGGCGCAGGAAGTCTATGGCGATGACTGGGACGAGGATACGGCGAAGAAGGCGCGGTCGAGCCTGAACATTAGAGATCTGCCTCAACGGAATGGTGATGCCGATGAAGAGCCTGAGGAAGCTAGTCGAATGCAGGAGTAGAACAAGAGGCTGAGTAGTTGAGTAGATGTTATGATACCCTAGCGCAAGCTAAACAATTTCACATGCCGAATGTCGGTACAGTAGGGTGAATTGCCGTATGTTGTACCTAAAGCTCCCTTCCATAGGGGTATCGATCCTTGACGCCATTCTTGATATCCAAGCTAAATCAAATCTAGTCCTTTATAACTGCGTATATGCGCTCAAGCTGTATATATTCTAATCCTCACGCGACGGAGGCGGACCGCAAGGCTGTACCATTTTCTAGCGTGATAGTTAGTCGTCCATTTCTTCACCGAGTCGCACAGTTGGACATACCCGGATCATTTGAGCGCGGACCTTGGCGATAGGCTCATTCTCAGCAAGTGCGATATAAGACAGGAGAGGTCGGTGACCGGCGATGGAGGAGTATGTGTCGCGCTGGATGTTGGTGCGCCATTCCCAGCTGGTCGTGTCTGGGTGGCCTGTACCGATGTACTTTGCCTGGAGGCGCTCGAGTTCTTGTTGGGTGCGGAGTTTATCGGCCTGGGTGAGAGTTAGAAAGAGATTTGAAGCGCAGGAGGAAGTTGAACTGTACCATTTTGTCTGAGTGTGTAGAGTAGAGCTTTGATGGTTGGTACTTGGGATTGAATGCGCCGAGATCGCGAAATGATGAAACTTGTTGATGCGACTGATAAGATAGTAAGCCTCGGTATGTGCATAACGTCGAGTTAGCCATGTGTTTCAGGATGATGAATGTCACCCATGTTTGAAGCAAATAATAATGAGAGTAGATAATCCATGAATTTTGATATGTGATTTATTCGATGCTAATAATTAGATATTCATTAATTATAAATGTTCTGGTTTTCAACTTGAATAACGCCAGGCCATGGTGCAAGTTGGAATGTAAGTTGTGCTTCTACAAACCAGGCATGTTGTACTCCGTAGGCACAGGCACACTTTAGAAAGGCTACTCGACCATTCGCGGCCTCTAAATATGAAGACTACTACAATGATCCCATCTGCATGTTTCCTATATCGTTATTTTGTTTATCGCCGAATATCGAGGTTTTAACAGGTGAAAGTCATCAGGTGCTGGGAGACCGCTTAAATCTCGGCATATCCAGCTTCCTCTAGCATCCTGAGGTTGTCACCCCTGCTCCTCCCTCATCTCATCAACAATAGACGAACAACAATGAATCAACGACTGACAAACAAACGTCATTATTTAATAAAGTCTTAATTAACTCGGATCTCCATTAATTCACTCCTTGCATTTACATTCACACAAACTCACCTTACTCAGCTACCAATATTGACTTATATAACGACTACTCGAAGACAAAACCCAGCTATTGACTGAGTTGTATCAAACACCAGAATTTGTTATTGGGGAGATGGGTTCAAATGGCAAGATTGCTCTACCAGAACACTGGACAGAGCTCAGTGCGGCAAGGATCCACAGACAACAATGCGCCGACGACGTGGACGCCATCAAGAAAACATGCTTAGAACAATGTGGCAAACAAAACGTGGTGGATTGTGAGAAATGCTTCCCCAAAGTGCTCGACAGGATGCGCGCCCGGTACTGCGACGCCGAGGGAAGGGAATGGTTCTCACAGCGAAGAGCGTTCTTAAATGAGCTGGACGTTCTGTTCACCGATGTTAAGGACCACAAGAAGATCGACCTCAAGTATATCGAGGATAGCATCGAGTCAGAAAAGGAAGCGTGGTACCGCTGGGTGCTTCGCATGTACCCACGCTTCCTTTCGACAGGAGACCGTGGTGCGGACCAAGATGAGCTAAGAGCAATGTTGGACGACCCGGTTAAGAGACGGGAAGAACTCATTGAGAGGATATGGGAAGGTGTTGGAAAACCGACCAACTGGGATGCCGATGTGGATTCGCTCACGGAGAAGATTGCGGCGGCGAGGAATAACGCAGCGGCTTTGAAGCAGCTTTACATCACATTTTTCTTCAAAGATTCGGAAACGGGAGAGGTGTTGGACAGCGCGCATCAATATCTGGAAGCATACGAAGCGAGCGATACAATGACTATCGAACAAGTCATCGACCGCATCGCACAGGACCACAAGGCAAGCCTTACGGCGGCGCCACAGCGGGACAGTCACAGGAGTCGTCTGGATGAGTTGCGCAGAGCAAAGATGGCATTTGAGCAAAACAGGCTGCAGAATAAGAGTCGAGCCCAAGCAAATCAAGCGCCAGCCGTTCACGAAGATCTGTACAGCCTGCCGCCATGTGCAATTTGCGCAAAGGCAGTGGATACAAAGAACGTTATCTCATGCCCGATTTGCCAGGCGTTTAGCCAGCCAGGCGGTGGAAAGAAGTTGACGCTATACTGCTCGGATGAGTGTCATAGCAAGGGCTATGTGAGTATCTACGAACACCTGCAAATGGAGCAAAACTAACCACCACAGGACGATCATCTTGAGAAGGAGCATAGTTGCGAAGCTGGAGACAAATGTGTACAATGCGACGATATGGATATGGACATGAACAGCGGACAAATATCCGCGGTTATGTGCAAACTATGCGTCGAGCAAAAGCAGGCCACTATATACTGCTCGGTCGGGTGCGGAGTGGCCAACCTGTGGAAGCACAGAAAAGAAAAACACGGAGTCAATACAAATGGCTACGAGACCAAGCAGTTCTTGTTACCACTGGAGAAGACGGTGGAAAAGATACTGAAGGAAGGGAGTCCTGGGCTGAAGATGTCGACTGTTGGGTGAGGAGTGTGTATATATGTTTGCTTGCTTTGAGATGGTTGGGACATTGTCACTGGAAATAAGCAGCATAGGTTTATGGGCCGGCGCATGAGAGTTAGACGTGAGCTTAGAGCATCAATTGAGGCCAGTATATTCGTATGAGTGAGGTTCTCAACTGAGTGAAATTGAGTCTTTGGTCTTCATGTTGTTTATATTCGTAGTATGTGCTTATTCAGAAGTGAGCATGTTATATGCTGCAGGTGGGTCATAAGACCCGAGAGTCGTCGGCGAGTAAGCGCCAACTCGGCTCTTGATTACACCGGCAACTTTGCGACACTCACCTCGTCACAATTGTCGCAAAGTAATTCTCCCCTCTCATCTAAATCTCAATATTATCTACTATCTACATGGGTCAATTGACTCCCCGAAGCCTCAAATAAACACCGGCAACCTCAACTCCACAAATGGCGAGCGAATCTCCCCCAATTGAGACATGTCCCGCGCGCAAGAGGATCTCAACAGCCTGCGAGGCATGCCGTGCGACAAAGATTAAATGCCAGCCCAGTGAGCAACCGGGAGTCTGTCGCAAGTAAGACCTCTTCTTTCGTCGGGAATATGCATCGTGGTTTGGATCTGACGGTTTCCGGTTGGCGAAAAGATGTCTAGAATCAAAGAAGGAGTGTATATCGCGGACTGGACCAAAGACGAGAAGACGACGAACGAAATAGTAAGATATCATCTTTCGCATTGGTAGAAGTTGAATTGGTAGAAATAAAACTGACCTGGCAAAGTGCGATCGAAACTCATCAACCTCTGCCTACACCTCCCCCAGCGCCGTCAAAGACTTTCACTATCGACTTTGAAGTTCCCACGCAATCAGACGTCGACGAGAACTTTGACGCTCTGCGCGACTCACATGCGCAGTTCATAGAGTCCATCTTCCCCGCTGACTTAGGCGGCGATATCAGCAGCTTTGAAGACTCGCCCACAACAGGCTTCCCCACGCCGTCTTCATCCCAGACGCACTCGATACAATCTCTCCATGCCAAGCCCCAATTCAACCTTGACTCGGCAGAGTCGTTGCTGGTTTCCTTCCGGGGGATGCTAGTTCACTATCCGTGTATCGTGCTGAGGCCTGAAGAGACGGTGGCGAGTCTTGCGGCTACGAGGCCGTTTGTGTTGCTCGCGATCTTGGCTGCTGCGTCGGGGTCGCGGACGTTGCAGGGCCATACGCTTTATGATGAGGAGTTTCGAAAGGTGCTGGGTTTGAAGTTTGTTGCAGGGGGGGAGAGAAGTCTGGAATTGCTGCAAGGTATCTTGATATACTGCGCATGGTAAGTTGTCTTATACAGTCTCAATTGCGTATGTTGACGGTTATAGGTATCCTTTCCACCTGCGACCTAAGAACAAACAAGTCTTTCAATATTATCGCATGGCCGGTGATCTCTCAACTGATCTTGAACTGGATCAGGAACTGCCCATTCTCAACAGCACGATGCCAGGCGAGATGAACAGCATGCAGCTTGATCGACTGAGGGCATATCTGGCATATCATTACGCCGTATCAAAGTACGCCTTCTCGTCAATCCCTTACCCAAACAAAGCTTACTCACAATCTCACTAGCTTCGTCTACGCATGGAGCAAGATGGATTACCTCGTCCCACCATGGACGTCATGGACTGCGAACTGCTGTGAGCTCCTCCAGCGCCATGCAGAAGTCGACGGCGACGTATCCCTGAGTTACCTCGTCCGACTTGCCAACATGACGAGCACGGCACATGTTTCCATACAGAACAATGATCCCCAGGCGGATCAGCAGGTGCAGCTCATGCTATTGGGGCTGGAGACTCAGCATAAGGAGATGAAGGAGAGTATGGTGCCGCATCTTGCTCGCTCAGGTAAGACAGCCCTATTACATACGACTCGCAGGTTCTAATTATATATAGCGCCTGTGAAACTGGCCCATCTTTTCTTCGACGTCTTTCTCCAAGGCGGCGCCATATTCTACCTCACACGCATCAACACAAAACGACCTCGTTTCGTGAACCCATCTACAGCCCGCCTTATACGCTGCGTAACCAACCTTCGCCTCCTATTAGACCATCTCATCAACCTCGACAATTTCACCCACTTCACCAGTGTAGACTGGACCAAATTCATTCTCTCCGTGGCCCTCGCCGTGCGCCTCTCATTCCCCATCACCGACGTTCCCGACTGGGACCACTCCTGGGCAAGTTCAATCTTACGTTTCGAAGAATTCCTCAATGTCATGTGCGACGGGTCCGAAGAGCTCACGCCGGCGAGTAAACGCGTAGACGTTCTATCGGCCAGCCGGGTGATTATGCGTATAGTGAAAGCCAAGTACGAGCGACGGACTGCTATGCTCGCGGCGAGTACCAGGATTGTGGCACAGGGATGTCCTATGTTTGATAGAGCGATGGATCCGTATATATCTGCATGGGACGCAAATTATGATATGGCTTCTGTGATGGCTACGCCGAGTGCGGATATGGAAGGACAGCAGGCCGTGTATCATGACTTGTGGGCTACCATGACAATGGGTTGGGCGAATGATGGATTGATGAATGGAGATGAAACATGAGAAGGTTCCATCTCGTGTGTATATTGTACTAACAAGTGTGATGTTTCTCAACCACAACTCCAAGCCATTATTGTTAGTCTGGAGATGGCCTCAGGGCCTCAGGGCCTCTTTCGTGGTTCCTGATTGCATGTCATGAGCCTCGTTATGGACCCATACAACAGTTTATTGTGAGCAGAGCTTAATTATTGGAGATCACTAGGCTCGCCCAATATTACTTCATCACTATAGCTACCATGAACCAAGTCTATCATGCCTGCATGAGCATCCTCCTATACACAAGGAGTAGTTATCTGATCTGTAACCTACGCAACACCCACTTACACCCTGTATAGAACTATACCCATCACGCAACCCATCGGATCGTCTCCCCGTACAGAACCGCCCAATAGCCTCAAACCACACCAATTCCTTTCTCCTTCTGCACTCACCTCAACCGAGAAACTCCCCATTTCGTACCCCCTGTCAACCCTCTCGTCCTGCACCACCCACACAATCGCACCCTTGCTACCAGCTATTCCCACATGACAAACCTCGAGTACTACCCCCACCTGCTTCTTTACCCCATCTTGCCCATCCCGTCCGCCCGTTGGAAGGGCTCGGCCCGTGAACCTGGGATACGCTTAGCTTGTTTCGTGGTTGTATCCGTAATCTTGCATGTAACCCGCCATCAGCGTCTGAAAGAGCCAGATGCATAGTACCTTAAGGAGAAGACACAGATGCATGAAAGCCAACCCTCACCGGTTCTCCAAGATGGTGCGTGACACAACAGTGAACAACTACAGGGAACAAGCGCCCAAACCTTGCGAAGCGCCGGCGAGAATGCATCCTCCATCTCCTGTGTGCACTACGTATATATCACAACTTTAACTTGCATTAACAAGGCATCGAGCCGCATGAAAATACTACCCTACCCTGTCAGCAAACGGGATCAGTCCTCCTACGTGGATAGGCTCAGAGCCATTGCGCAAATAGCCGGGCTCTCCATCGAGGGATAAGCTTCACCGGTGATGATAATTTGACGTTCGTATGATCGTGGCCTGTAGGACTTTGCGCGCATGACAACTTGTGTTTTATTTTTCTGCTGATAAGAAAACGAGGATATTATCGGCTCTGATTTGAATGCATGTTTGGTTCTACAGGGTGGTAGTTACAACGCCAAGCTGACTGGGTAGACCTTAAGGTGCAGAAGAAACCGGGAATCAGTATCCCAAGTTCCACGGACAAGGCTTTTATGAATATACTAATTGCGCTTAGAAAGGGATATGAGCCTAAAGTGAATGTGTTTCAGACATCAGGCTATGGCATATCGGATGAGAATTATACTATCGCCGTTGCTTATGCATGCCATACCTACCGCTAGGAGTTGATACAGCAGTAGTTAGCACATTTGTGTAAGCTTTCAGTTCATACCCCAGCTTCGCTCTAAACAATCTGATCCGATACGCGGTTAAGAAAACGGTTGCAATACTTTTATCCATCCATACAACTAAAGCATACCACTTTTGATGGGGGAGGAAATAACACGGACGCAGGTATACGTTCATCAGCCAACTTTGACATACCTAGGTAGGTAAAATATGCAAAATCCTTCACCGAGATGATTCATAAGCCTGAGCCTGACAACCCATGATCCAGTTGCCGCTGGTGGTATCCGGCCCAAAACCTCCGTCGATAGAAACCATGTGAATACGGAGACATGATGGCTGATTGACAACAATGTTGAACCATTATGACAGCATAGAATAGCACTTATGGTGTCTATCTAGCAAGGTTCGTTGAGGTATGATTGATGTTAATGTCGATATGATCTGGCTTTGTCAAGACAGAGTAAAAAGTGATGGAGTCATGTCACTTAACAAATGAATGATTCAGTTACAACAAACAACTATGCATATACTTGTACTCTATCAATCGCTAGCATACTCAAGCCAGTCAAGGATTGACAAAACAATCCTCTGCCAGGCTAAAATTCATAACCCCCTAAAACCAACGCTTTTCACCCTCCTTCATGGAGAAGTGAGTCCTCTAAAACGAGCCTCTTTGTGTAGTCGTAGGCACCAATTTCCAGCCAGCTTCGCTATAACCATGCATACCCCGAAAAGAAAGAGATATACAAGAAACGCCTACCCCTTTGCACATGATGTGCAATGCCCATGGGTATATCGCTTCGAGTCCTTTCCCGTCCAAAATGTCCCAGTCCAAATCAATGCAGTCCATTTCCATTCAAATGCGACAATGCCAAGCCTAATCAAATAGGAAACATACAAGATTCCTACGTCGTAGCTGAACCCTCAACCAATGTTCCCAGGAAGTAGAGATGATATCAAACGCCGGGTTCTGTTGTGATGCGTCGAATAAGCAACTCCCATCCAAGTCATAATATGTGGGAAATACCCAAAGAATGATAACTTGGTATGCGTGCGCATGGTGAGTCTTTGTTCCCGTGAGTACCTGTCCAATCCCATGCTCCAGTCCATCTGAATGCAAATGTGTCGCGGCACGACCACAACGGTTTCTTCATGCTCCCGCAGTACCAATCCATCCCATGTGAACTCACAGCGTTGACGGCGTGAACCAAATGAATACGAATAATAAAACACGCTTCCCCGACACCCCGTTCTTTCATGCAAAAAGGAGTTGTACTTGGCGTCACGCCGCGACGTGTCTCCTGACAGTATCTGACGACCAACCCCCTTTTTACGGCAGGTTACTTCGCCTTTTTCTTTTCTCTTCTTTTCTCGTCTTTTAACAAACAAAGGCAATGTTGAAAATCTCCATTTTGGTAATTGTGAATGTCGGTGCAGAACATTCGACTACGTCGATGATTCGAGCTATTTGCGGTACCAAAGCTAATTTGGCTTTGTCTCAAATCATCAAGTCCAGGCGAATAGTAAGGCATGTTCTACCAAACCATCATGTCGGTGTCAAAAGTTCTGCAAACAGGGAGCTCGGGTCAAAGTCTTGATCAAGTTGAGTGCACAGAGTGCTTTCGCCCATACTCTCACCTTGCTCGACGACTCACAATACAATGGTGGAAAGAATAAGGCCAAACCCCTGGCCACGAAACAAAAACGCCATATAAGAAAGATGCAAGTGAATCGAGTGCTCATCGAAAAAAGGGGGAATCATAGTACAAAAAGAGAAAACAGTCCAAAAACAAACGTATAAGGCCTTTAACCAAATGAAAGATTCTGCACTAGGCACAGAACGACGGCCACTCCCAACGGCGAGTAAGTCGGTCACTTCCCCATCATGTAGGGTGGGGGGAAACCCCCTGACGAACTGTAATTACCGTTGGTCGGAGTAGCAACATGGCCGTTGTATACTTGTCCATTCCAGCTGTTGTACTTTGTGGCACCACCGTAGCCCGCACCACCATAACCATTGTTCACAGGAGGCGCACCATGGTGATGAAGTCGACCACTTCCAAGTCCTGGAGGGGCAGAGAGCCCAGGAGGTGGCCTGTTTGCTGACGGGAAACCATTCGCAGAACCACCCATGCTTCCGTTCATTCCACCCATAATATTCGTGTTTGAGTGGGCTGGACCTTGACCACGGACACCGAGAGGGTTCTTGGAGAAGCTGAGCCGGATTCCGCCCTTAACACTGTTGTGCAAAAGGTGCCCATAGAGCGATTTCAAGGCTCTGGTAGCAAAAGTGACTTCTTCAAACTCGACAAAGCACATCGGCCCATTTCCCTTGGTTCGGAAGCATAGGCGTTTGTAGCCTCGCTGCTTGGCAAAGAGAGTCTTGAGCTCCTCTTCCGAAGCGTTGGGAGGCAGGTTGCCTACGTAAAGGGTATTGCAAGGTGGGTTCTGATCAGCCGGGTTGACTGGGGGATGGATTTGTCGTCCAAATGGCGAGTTGAAGGCCGTGTGACCACCAAAAGGAGCCTTGTCTAATGGAGACATGAGTGTAGACTGTGCCGACATGGGGTTGGAAAATTGAGGCAGGGATGAAGAAGGTGATGGCATGTTATTGGTGTTGAGTGAAAGGGCAGCCAATCCGTTGATAGGGAGTTGGGGAGCCGTTGCCCTGCGCTGGTTGCTTGCGCCGTTGATCTCAGCATAAGCAACGGGGTCTTTCAGCAGGTCGCTCGTTTCATCATCCTCGAAAGCATCGTTAGCAATGAGGGTTTTCCCTGATATTCTACCGTGCTCGGTCAAGTGATTGCCGATAGGAGATTGTGGCGAAAAGAGGTTCTGATAATGGGCGCTCGAATCTGGGTTAGGAAGTTCGTGCCCCGGGTAGGCGTTGTTTGTTTGGGGTGAAATGTTCTCAAGAGTCTGGAAAGTGCCATTGAATCTTGCAACTTGTCTCGGTCCAGTCATAGAAGTTGATGACGCATTTGAGGACGTTGAGCCCGAGGCATTACCCAATGTACTGTCATTAGGATATCGTCGCGCGCCAACGGAGCTGTTGGAGACTATGTCCACAATCATTTCGGCGCTACTGGAAATGTTTGCACGCCCGTCAAGCATCCTCTTCGCCTCTTCGGCACCAGCCATGGATCGGAATCGGAGGTAAGCTGAACAAAACCCATTATCTTCTGACAAGTTCACAGGAAGAAGCTCTACATCAACAAGCTCTTGCGACCAAACAAACATCAATCGCAGCGACTCCTCTGTCGTAGTCGGCGGCAAGTGTCGAATAAGAACGCAAGCCATGGGGGATGAAGAGTCTGTGATCGAAGAGAGTCCGTATCTGGGAGTCTCGCGCGAGCTCATATTGTATAGTGATGGCGATGCCATGGTGGGCCGAAAATTGTGGTTGTTGGGGAGAAAGCCAGACGCAGCCATGGCTGAAAGTATCGCAGCAGGTGCGACCGAACTGGTGGTGGATGAGTTGGCAGCCGCAGCGGATACAGTCGCGGAACCAGTGGAAGGTGGAAAGGGACTTGTGCGATCAGAATGTTTAGCGCTTAAGATTGCGATCTTTGCTGGGTGTGTTGATGCGCTCTGATCAATGTTCATCGCCCAAAGCCTAGATGCATTCGTTGGTAAGAGTCTCAATTCGCTGGGGAAATGCGACCTGGGGTCGAGCGGATGCGACGATCGTGGAGATCTGTAGTTGGAGATTGTCGAATCGGAGTTGCAGTCGTGGTCGCGGTTGTCGCAATCGCAAAGCGACCGATATATCGTGCCGTCAGAGGTTTAAATGCGGGAAGGTAAGCAGATAATGGTGAATGATTTTAAGGTCAAACGGCCACGCGCGGTGAGGATCCGATACAACCGTTGCGCGTTGACGCTAGGGAAGAGCGAGTTGATAATTAGACCGTTGGCAATTGAGCGCGTGAATCACTGTGATGTAGGTAGGAAGGAGAGCTCCCTACGAACGCGATGCGGTGTTAGTTGGATAAAACAAATAGGAGTCGCAGTAGAATGCGCTGCGAGAATGACGAAAAGTGCGACAGACTGTCGCAGTGAGCACTGGGCAGGTGTGGTGCAAGTTGCAATGTTGAGTGGATGGAAGGAGGGGACCGTTGCGTTAATGTAGGTAGGGTGCGCCAGAAACTCTCCATGGCATCCCGTACCCCAGTAGCAGGACGTCGCTAGGTAAGGTAGGGTAGAAACAGTAGCGGGTACGGTAGTGTCTGTAGCGAGGAAGATGGTGGGAGGGATTGGCAATGCTTGGTAGATTTGGAGCTGCGTAGTGGTGTCCCCCAAGGCAAGGTCAGGACGACTGGTATGTGACGGAGATGCGCTGAGGGGAAGGGAAGACGGGATTTGAGCTTGGTGCCTGAATCAAGCGAGGGAGCATTAAACACCTTGTGTAAGAGGAACGGCGGGAATGAAAGAACGGGCAAGACAGCAGGGCAAGAGTTTGTGGGTAGCAATAAATGTGACGGCACTGGCGGCATACCCCTAAGCCCAACGTGATACCATTAATTACTTCTTCTGGTTCCAAGAGCGAGTAAAGAAAGGCAACCCTGCGTGTGTATGCGAGAGAGCCTGTAAGTGTGTGTGTGTGGATATGGGGCCTCTGGTCTCTTCTCTTCTTTTTGAGATGGGTGGGGAGAGAGGGATAACGATAGGGAATGGAGAAGGGGAACGGGGAAATGAAACGAAATGAGATGGACGAGGAAAGGGAAAGGGAGAGAGTGAGCGTTTGTGTAATGGATAGTTTAGTCACTTTACCTTTTGAAGATTTAGATGTGTGAGGTGAGAACTTAGAGGGTGACAGCGAGGGGAACAACGGCGACGATAATAATCACCAGTGCGGCGCGGGCGTAAGAGAAGGACTGTCAAGGTTGCACTCTCAGCTCTCTTTTGCACGGCGCTTGGTCCAGGTCCAGGTTCTGGTCGAGGTGAGGTCTAGTCTAGGCTCTAGGCTCCGAGGATCGACTTGTATCAGATGGAGATGAAAAGTCGGGTAGCTTCCAAGTTCCTGGGATCGCTGGAGTAAATTGGGTCCTTCCTTATGGTTCCTAGTTCTGTGCGTGTACTGGGCCTAAAGATGGATGCTTGGTGCTTGATGCTTGATGCTAGATGATGGATGATGAAAGCCCGTGTTTGGCCTGTGTTTTGGTGGGCGTGACTTTGCTAGCGAAGAATAATACCGGTACCGTCCCCGGGGATCAGGACCGGGGATCAAGGGGCTCAGGAGAGCTTGTACAAAAGGGGAAAGGCTGGATGTTCTGGGGACGAGACTAACAAATAGAGTGGCTTTTCAAGGACCCCCGTTAGGCCTCGAGGATGCTATTGTTAAATGCTTTTTTTAATTCCAAGAATAAGAAACTCTTTGGCAGCAAGATAATGATAGCAAGATGTTAGTAGGAGGTGATTGTGTTGATGGTGAAGTTGAAGGTTGGAGATCCGAGGTCGAATGAAGCGGAAAGCAGAAATGGGGTCTGAGTCGGGGGAATTGTTAGAGCTGTCTTGAGGAAGGAAGGACTCGAGGTGGCAGCCCAAACCAACACACATAATCTGCCGCAACGATGTGATGACCAATGTGTTTGTTTCAGCCTTGATTGAGACTGGTTGTGCCTGAGAGAGGAGAGGGTTCAAGTGTCAATTTAGCGACAGCATCCGTGGGGTCCAAGCGTAATTGATGATACTGCACCAGAAGAAAGAGGTATTCAGTTGAGGGAACAACCTAGATAACACGGGCGAGCGCTATCTATTGGGGGAAGCCAGTACGCCGCGGCACACCCATAACCTCTTGAATAACTTAGATGATAATAATACCTCCGAGCAGGAGAAGAAGGTTTGTACATAGTAAAGCAAATAAAGAGGGGGAGCTCACCAGGCAGCCGCAGGGCTGTTCGGAATAACAAGTCAACGTCACGCTTGCAATCTAGTGCTGGTTTGAACAATATTCTCTAGCATATAATTTGCAATATCCGTACAGACTACCTAAATAACGAGTTGGAAAGATTGCGGGCAACGAAATGCAGGGCATCACAGGCAGACTGACAGACTGACAGTGGAGAACAGCTTATACCTTATGGTGGAGTGGAAACATGGTTTTAGTGCACGAGTGGGGTGTGGGCGCAATTTTGGCGTCAAGGTCGTCTATTCGGCTTAGGTTATCGGGCCAATCGGAGCTCGATCGCATGGAGTGGTGCAAAAGTCAAAACAAAAGAAAGTCCGTCTTTGCTCACTTTTAGCGTTGAGTTTGCGGGCTTCTGTTCTTGTCTGACGAAAGAAATTAATCGAAAGTGGTTGGGCGCTAGAGAGGACTGACGCTAAACACTTTCACACCAGCAGCTTCGAAGTTCAAAGAAGCAACCAGGCAAGACGCCAGCTACAGCTAGACATGGGGTTGGAAAGGTGGAGAGGGGCCAGCGCCAGAGACGAGGGGCAGGTGATGTAATAATGCAAATTGACAGACTTACCGTCCGTTGCCTGAGTGCTTGGTAAACAAAGCAAAATGCAGATTATCGGAGCAGGCTGGTGAGGATAGAATAGTGTGGTGAAGTCAAGTGTGGGCAGTACAGCACATCACAGCAAGACAGCGTAGGAGGACGTCTCCCCTTAATCCTATTGGTGCAGATGACTCTACAGTACCAAGACTGTCACAACTGCTAAATTGGGGCGGCAGACTTGATGCTGAGCCTGTAAGTCAAGCATGGAATTGGACTGGACGATCTGAGATCAAATAAGGTCGATGAGATCGGGGTTTGTTATAGAACCAGACCTGACCAAGCACTCCCTTTCCGCTGACCTCCATCCATCATCCATCCATCCATCCATTCAAACAAAGAAGTATCCGTAGCGGGGTAAAGACCTTTATTTAGCCAAGGCCTCATTCATACATGCAAAATTAATTACCACGCTGCACCTTTCCTCGGTTAATACAAGCATCGGAGCAAGGGTATACATGACAGATCCCACTATCACGGTCAGTTTGGTAGGGGAAATGTTCAACAAATTGTATCCTCTTTTGTGATACAAGTACTCCCTCCTCCCTCCTGACAACTCCCATAGCAACCATGAGCCTCACTAAAATTGGACAAACTACCAGTATGATATAAATTGTTTAAAGTTAGGTGTATTGTATGCATTGCCAGTTTAGTTTTGTCTCTCGGCTGCATTATTCTACGTAGTCATCCCAAGTTTACGTCGTGCTCCAGATCTGCTTGGCTCACTCTCAGTCCCATCTGTTCCTTCCCCTTCCATTGCGACGAGCTCTAAGTGCAGCCTGAAACCTAAGTCCAGGAGCGACCCTACGTAGCAGACTTTCCTTCCACCATAAGCAAAGTCCATCTTTTAAATATTGATTTCGACCTTAATACTAACGATGACTCTTGTTTATTCATCACCGTCGTCACATAATCTCAAGCCCAAGCTCAATCTCGTACTTTGTTTACTTCGGTCACATTCGAGATCCACATCAAAAGCAGCCACGGTAACACTGCCTGTGGGCGTGACTGGATATGGTTTAAGTTGATCTGCACCTCAAATGGGCTGTAACCATACTGCAAACTGATTCTTGTCCGAAAGGCCAGACGACTTCGACACGCATCTCATGATGTGAAACCCCAACAACTCTGACCGAAGCCTTCAAAACCCGACAATGTCGGCCCGCCGAGCTACAAGCACGCAAACAAAATATCCCCCAAAGTGCGCCCTCTATGTGCCCAACCCTCGGGGGCGTGTTGCCCCGACAGGAGCCACGTCTACCCCCCATATTCTCCAAGTGCCCGCCCTCCCAGCGTCGAGAACACTGCGTTTCTCCAGCGTGTCCTGTCAAGCTCTCACCTTCGCTGTGAGTCTGTGGTAGACCACCCGGGGCTGTGGCCGCGGGCGGGAGGGGTGCACAGCCGGTGAGCCAGCCATGCAGCTCTTGTCGACAGGGGTAACCATGCCCCCTCCCTATCCATATTCCCCTGGCCCTGTCAATCATACCCACAGCCCTGCCGCTCGGTGCCTTTTTCCTGCTCGGTTTTGTGGACGAGCGTGCTTCGAATTAAGAGGGGTTGTATTCAGTGCGTAGCTTGCCATTATGGTGGTATCGCTCGATACCCCAAAGGCAAACTTCAGATGCGGACCAACATGATTATCAAGACAAAGTAATGACACGACAGTGCCTCGGGTTCTTGTCCTCCCGGAATTCGGGGGTCTATCGATGTGGTTGCGCAGGATGGAGGTACTGAGTCTGGTGTGACTCGGTCAATCTGGCTGATGCTCGAGTTGAGCAACGTTCTTGTTTCTGATACACCACCCAGACAAGCATACCTTGTCAGTGGTATTTTATCAGCCGAGATCGTAACAAAAACGACGCTTGGGCAGGACACCTCGTTGACAAAGTTGTCCGCATACACAAAGACCCGGGACTACCTTACTTTCCAGACCATTGGGCTTTGGATCGATCGCACGGCCCGCCTGCATCCACGGACAGGCTCAAGTCATCGGCCGGCCCACAGCGGCGGGCACAGGCTGGGGAATTAGGCCTGAAATGTGCGCTAGTTGAGGCCATTGTCGATTGATCAAAACTGCAATAACTGAACAGCTTTACGTATCACAGAACTTCTCTGAATTACCGAAGCAGATCTGTGCCACTCCAGCGTGGGCTCGGTATCTTACGGGTAGGCTATGACTGGATGTTATATCGCGCTTCTGCTTCAAGGAACTGTCTGGCCTCTATATCCTTGATGTCCCAATCGTGTTTCATCTCCCTTTCAAGTTGTACTGGCATAGCCACAGGTAGCCGTCAGTGAACCACGAGACATTCGTTAAGCACTCACTCACCAATACTCTTGGTAGCTCTTTGACAAACGGTAGCACAGGGAAGTTTCCTAGTTGCTTCTAGCTCCCAGTCGAATCACATCATCAGGTTTCATAGCCCACTGGCCATGTAACTACGAGCTTCAACTGAACAGTTGGATACCGATAAGGAGTTAGTACGAAATACACACGGATAGTCAGGGATATACTGTCCCTCTCCCTTGAGAACACGCATGCTATCTTCTCCATCTCACTCTCCCAACCGATGTGGGTCGGTCCCTACACACTCTCTTGACAGCGAGCCTTGTTTACAAACATTATGGGGATGATATGATGGGGGAAATCGAGTTCTGACGTTATATAGAGATCCTTCGATACTCAATATCATCCTCTCCGACAACTGCTGCCTATGACGCATTCATGTTCATATGCGCTTACACCCACCATGAACTTTTAGCACAGCCAATAAGAGTGTGTTCAACGAGAACAACAGTGACTTAGCAGTCTTACTTATCTTCTTTGCACAGAAGGGAGGTGACAAGTGTACAAGTCATCTCTACAGCCGCCGACCTTTTGCCTACCCTGTGTAGATATTGGGTTTTGTTTGCAATTTTTGTTCCTTAGTCCAAACAGGTTACTGAGCAAACAGGTCAAAGTTGCCCAAAGACCAAGACTATGCCCTTGTTCATGTAGTGTTTCTCACTACGTACAGCTTGGTTTGGCGTTCCGTACTGCCGGACAACGACCCTGGTTTCCGTTGACCTTGGACCCGATTTAGGCCATTAATGTCCGATCCCGATTGGTTCCGATCGGACATGGCCAACCCAAACTTCAGAAAGTTTGGACACCTACGATTGGTACACCATTGGTAGGGCGAGGAGTGTGTGATTAGACCTTGCGTGGCATTGTACATGGACCGAAGATATCAATTTCCACAAGCGCTTTGTTGGAAAAGCAAAACGTTCCAACTTCTTATCTCACGGACGAATGGTGAAATGGACGTTGGGGATTTTATACTCTTGCATGACTTTGCTGCAGCCACCTCTCATGGGCTGTCGGGTCTGCACTACGGACACATACGCTGATCTCTCCGCAAACCGTTGCTTTCGCTTGTCTAAGGCGCCATCACATCTCAGTTAGGCACAATCGCGTAAGTTTGGGCGATCTACTTTGAACGACTTGCCGATTACTGTCTATGTGAGAGACTAATACATGGTCTAACGGCACCACGTGAATGGCGAATTGCGACGGGGCGCAACGTTCATTATCAGGTACACAACCAGGGTCTCGACGCATAAGATCAGAACTCCTTTTCTCAGCCTTCTCACTGGTTCAAATACTCGTTTCTGACAGGGCTTAGTGATTTCGAATTCGCGTCCGTCCGTCTCACAGCCCGGGTATTGTTGCAGCACAGGCAATACAGTTAAACCTGCTTCTTCTCGTCGAGTTCCAGTTCCCAATTGATTGACGTTGATCGTCCTGGAGGGGCTTACCGACCCCTGCCGTGCTCAACGTCGCAGGGATTCCCTAGCGTGACATTTGACGCCAACGGTCCAATTCAGTGTGGGCTTGACGCCGTCGCCTACGAGTGAGGTCACAGAGCACAGACATGAACAGGAAAGTCAGGGGTCAGTGCAAACGAGCCCGGCATCCCAGCCTGTTGGACGTTGGAAGCTGTGCATCTACGGATAGAGCCCGTCACATCCCGGATCATCTGGGCCAGATGCTACAAGACCCTAATGACTGGAGTTTGTCACTTGCTCAACAATTGCATCATCTCCAATGTTGAAGAACAGCAACTTGCTTTGACCTCGCGGCAGACAAAGTTGCATTGAGGTTCAGTTCAGCACCAGGAGTGCGGGGGTACTAAGCAATCTTAGCGGGAACTGCTCCCTCGAATCCAATGAGACAACTTGGGCCTCCGAATTCTAGCCGAAATGATCGACAGTGTCTCTCAACCTTTTTTTCCTCATGTGACACATACAAGACATCTCCCTTCCTTCACTTCGCAGCCACTGTCTGGGCTGTTAGATGAGAGTGGCTGGTTGGCATTGCCCGCACTAGAGTCCGACCCTTGCCTGGATTTGAGGCACTGAGACAACTGTCCTCAACGGCAGGAGAGGGACCTGAGTGCACATTTATCTGAAACTTTCCTGGGCAAGGGAGATTTGGCCTGAATTAACTCATTCCACGCCCCCTTAGAATGGGTTTGATCTTCAATTTGGTCAGTTTCAACTGGGGCCAATATGCATACCAGATTGAGGTTCCTGGGCTAAGCGATGACAACCACACCCTCCCACTTCCAACATCTATATTAAGGAACCATGATGGTGATCTGTTTCCAACGTCTGTGGGATTTATTACATGACAATGATAGACTGGACATGTCTTGTATCAGATCGTCGGTCGCCTGACATACAAAGATTATTCTGCCTATTTGCTGTTCTACACCAGATGCTTGGATGGGTGAATGGCATGAGAAGCGGCTGTTTTTCTGCATAGGAGACAATGACAAATTTCCCTCCGATTAACTACACTCTGGTGCAGTTTTCGGGTAGATGTGATATGGACTGACGAGTTGGGAGGCAAACTGAAGTCTTGAGTGTAAGGATGGGTTTGATACACGAGATTTGAGCCCGAGTAAAGACCTCATAGCTGGACTTGTCGAACATACTTATATCCATCCTACGGTGACCAAGTTACTTGAATCCTCCTTGTCGCTTATAAATTGACAGCACGGGCTTGAGCTGCGGTCTGGCCCCGTACTATTCAATGTTGCTTGCAGTTGTTTGTGGAAGATGCATCATTCGCATAACCTCCACGACTCCAAACACTTAACAAACAACACATGCACCACTGAAAAGTGCCTTCTCCTGGAAAATCACCAGCAGGCTTATGTTCTACTACTACCTACCCAAAAGGACTCTGTTTGACCTCCCTCCGCGCAGTGCCATGCCGGTCACAGTCACTATCGCCAAGACTGATATTGCAACAGTGAATGGGGGCCGAGATTCACTGTCCACGACCAACAGCAGACATGTTCACTCAACAGGTTTTCATTGTTATCTCCCTCTTTCCTGTGCCGCAATTCCCAGCTTAAATATCCTCTGCTCTTCATCTTTGCTCTCGCAGCCCATTTACTTTAGCATCATCATCATCAACATCGTCAGCGGGCATCCTGCTGAAGTGGATACCGGCATCTCAAGCCTCAAGACCCGCCCAAAGTCAATTTACTGGGACGTTTCAATACGACAGAAGGTGAGATTTCGGGACCTGGGTTAGACCCTGCAAATAAAGGGCTCAGACTCCATATTTATCGCATCAACGGTACTTTACTTGAGAGCTGGGAGCTAACGTTTTGCGCTCTTGATAGGCCAGCAAATCGGGTTTGACCATCATTCCGCTGAGTTTGTTTCGACGATACATAAATAGTATCATCACGTCTATTCTTGGCACGGCAGTTTTACCAAGAGAGACTTTAGATCAGATTACACACACCCCGTCTCATCAGATATATAACCATTCTTGGGTATATCACGGCAGTCAGCAATAATGCAACCCGCCAACGACATTAAGGGCCTCATCCGCCAGTCACCGCCCGTCGACGTGAGCAAGCCCTACGATGCTTCCACGCTCAATGGCAAGACCATCCTCATCACAGGCGGTGCCAACGGCCTTGGGTCTTTCATGGTTCGTGAGTGGGCTTCGCACGGCGCAAATATAGTCATCGGCGATGTCGCTGATGCTGCGGGTGAGGAGCTCGTGGCGGAGCTCACGAAGCAGTATCCTGACTCGGCTTTTGCGTTTCAGCACTGCGATGTGACGGATTGGGAGGAACAAGTCAGCCTGTTTGAGACGGCTGTGCATGTCAGTCCCCATGGAGGAATAGATATTGTCGTCCCCAACGCAGGCATCATCCTCCCTGATGCCTCTTTTCAGTTCGAGGAACCTGCTCTCAAGAACGGGAAACTTCCCAAGCCCAACACGAAGCAGTTCGACGTCAATATCACGGGTGCCACTTACACCACCCACCTCGCCCTGTACTGGCTTCCCCAGAATGGTTCCTCGCCGCGAGACCGTTGCCTGCTCCTCGTCGGCTCGCTAGCATCTTTGTGCCCCTTCCCTACGCAGACCATGTACACCATGAGCAAGCATGCCATCCTCGGTCTCTTCCGCACTCTCCGCGCGACATCCTTCCGCAGCGGCGTGCGCGTGAACATGATAACGCCGTACTACGTCTCCAAGTCCAACATGCTCAAGCTGCCCGTGGAAGCAGCCTTCCTCTCCGGCACGGCGGGCGGAGCCGCCATCGAGGATGTGATCGACGCAGCGACGCGCCTCATCTCGGACGAGGACATTGCGGGTCGAGCGCTCTGCGTGGGACCCAAGCTCAAGTCTGCCGGTGTCGAAGGCGTGGAGGATGAGGATGCGCTCATGGCGGTGCAGGAGCATGAGAATGACGGGCGCGGACGGGCGGTATGGGAGTGCTATGGCGAGGATTTTGATAACGCGGATGCGTTTGTCAAGAGATTTATCTTGCTGCTGAATGCAGCTGAGAGGGTGAAGGGGTGGTTTGGTGTGTTTACTGATATCTGGAGCATGCTGCGACGCAAGTAGAGGAGCGAGGAGCTTGGAATTTGATTACTTGAGATCACTTTGGTGAGAGCTTGGCCCAGTTGGATTGGGATAGCAATTTGGGAATGAGGCCATGTATTCTTGACCAAATTGTCAGGATTGGGAGAGATGGGGATGCTTTGTATGTTTGGCAGGGCCCAGGATATAGGACCATAAATAACGACTTGATGATATCGGTTATGAGTAACGTGTTTCTACATGCAGGATTGACTTGTTGACACTGGTGTACATCCGGGTTGAATGTTCAAAGACCTGCTGGTAACATCATGAGAATGTGTGAACAAGAATGTCACAGCATGTCGTGATATGTTCGTATCATTACATCTACGATGGCAAGATAGGCCACGACATCAATTCTTCAATCCTCAAGACAATGGCAACATAGTCCGCACAGCTTTGAACGAGCATGACACCAATAACTTGTGTTTTTGAAACGAAATAGTCATCAACGTCGTGACGGGATAGAATCTGGTCAACCACGTGCATCTAGCATGCGTAGTATCACACCTCCCTGCTCGTTTCCAGCATTCGCTTCTTTTCTCTTTTCATACCTCTCAATTTCCATCTCTTTGCTCGAATCGATCAACCCAAAAGAAATATCCAATGTCATAAACCTGAAAAGAACAAAACAACAGTATGTAGTGTAGACCTTGTATTCCCAGGTCCGAATATCCAACGCCACCGACGCCGTTACACATGCAATAATTGAGCAGATATTGATTTCATTAACACATCATTGTGTTTCTTGTCTCAAGCACGCGATGGGGTCTCGGGGTTAAAAGTTGCGACTCGGGGTTTTGTTGTCGCGCCGTTTGGCTCTGTTCGAATATCGTTTCGTTTCGTATGAGACCGCGAGGTCCTTTATATGAATTCCTCCTCCTTAATGGCAATAGCCCGTGATATCTTTGGTTGATTTATTTTATATAAAAAATGGCCGTGATCCGCGTAATACATGCTGGGTGTGGATGTGCGTAAAAATGTGGTGAAATATGCCCGAAGCTCCTAAGGTTGGTGAAAGAAGTGTAGGCGAGAAGTTCAATGCGTGAAAATGCCATCCAGTGGTCAAGATTCTAGAAGAGAACAACAGTCGGTTTCGTTAGGGTTATTTATAGGATCACGCATCGTGGTGAATCCTTCTTTCGGCGACGTCGTTGGCGTTTGTGCGAGCTTCGACCGCGGTCATACTTGTAGTCGTCGTTGGGGCCGTCGTTTGCGTTTTGTTCGTCCTCCTTACGTAGCATTTGCCTGCAGAGATCAATAAAGACCTCTTCAACGTTTGCTAGATCGGTTTGTCAGTATGGATGCGACACTCCCCAAAAGTCGCCAGCCCTGCATTTGACAAAATACCCACGGGCGCGGAATGGAAAAGGAAAACTCACTCCTTGTCCTCGCACTAGCTTCGTAGTAGGGTGCGCCCCATCGCTGGGAGATGGAGAAGCCCTTGGCCCGGGGCACTGCGCGGTTCTCCTCTAAATCGGCTTTATTACCGACAATGACGAGTGGGACGTTTTCGTCGTCTTTTATGCGGATGATCTCTTCGCGCAGGCCGGCAAGTTCACTTAGTGAGGAGGAGGATGTGATGCTGAATACGAGAAGGAAGCCTTGGCCGGTTTTCATGTACAGATCCCTCATGGCGACTGTACCATCATCAGTACGAGGGTCATGGTGTGTGAGTTGTTGAGCCAAATAGGACCTACCGAATTGCTCGGTCCCCGCAGTATCGAGGCTAGAAGGGTTCTAGGTCAGTATGAACCGCCCTCTCTTTTCTCCAAGTCCCAAACAGGAAAGGATGATCCAAACTCACATTTCGAGAATAACTTGACGTCCCTTTTAGACGAAACGAGTCAGTCAGGTCGGAAGGGAGGGGTCCAAGAGCGGAAGCGAAGTCATTGCGCGTTTACTTACATCGACTTGGAGCTGTGTGCGATAAGAATCCTCAATGGTGGGATCATAGCTCTCGATCCACTCATTGTGGACGAACTGGGCTGTTCTCGCATAAGCTTCTGTGCTGCAAAGGGAAAAAGTGACAGGGAAGGGCATCCATGTGTTACATTGCGTATGCAGCGGTGGGACGCGAAAGCGCAGGCGCAGCAAGCAAATGTAGAACATGGGACGAGAGGGGGAGACAGAAGGGAACACACTTACCAGTTAAACAACTTTTACCCACGCCGCCTGTAAAAAGCGAGTCAGACAAAAGGGTGAAGATGGAAGGGAAAAGGAAGAGAAGATGAGACTGTGTTAGATCTGGGGGGGAGTTAACGCACCTGCTCCCAGTACTACCACGTGGAGTTCGCGACTGAGAACAAGTTAGTATCGGGTATCAATAAACGCGGGCTGATCGTACCTAGGCTGATAGTGATAATGTCGTGGCATGATGGTGGTTAGAAAGCTGAAATTCCGTGATGAGCGAGTGTATGCCGAAGCAAGGCGAGCAACAGCAGTAAAGAGGGTCCCTCAGTGACTTATGTCAACTTTCCAACTGTCGCGATAAGACCAAAGAAAGAACGAGTTTCCAATTGGCGGTTTGTGAAACCGCACGTCTATAATGCGTTGTCGGAGCGAAGGGGGAGAAGAAGAAACAAGGCACTGATACGTCCTAATATCGGTCGGTTGAGTCGGAAAAGCAACGAGTAGAGAGGAAACTGATTGTTGAGGTGGAGAAGAATGAAGAAGGCAGGGGAAAAAGCGGTTGCGGTTGGTTATGTATGTTTTTTTGTCGAGTTTATCACGTCTCTCGCGAAAGATTTCGATGGATGAACGGTCCAATCGTATGTTGCGACGCTGAGATGATAAAAAACAGCAGCAGTAAGTAGTAAGTAGTTGTGAGAGAAACAAAATGTTATGGCGAGGCGAGAAAGACGGAGAGAGCCGAGGCGAGATGATAAGTCGAGCAAAAAAAGAAAAGAGGGGTGTGAGCGATTGAGAGTGAAGAGGTTGAGTGAGATTGCTTTTGCAATTGAGGGACGAGGGATTAAAGATTGATGTGAGAGAGACAAGAGTAGACTAGAACCAAATAAACATTTGGCAAAAACGTCTAGGATCTTTTTTTCGGTGATGCGATGTGATGCGACGTCAATGCCAATGCCTGAAATTGAGTTTCCTCCTTCGGGGTCCCAGTACCAGGAGTTTGGGAAGCGCCCGTGGCGGCTAGCTCGAGCTTTCCCTTTGGAGTAAGCGGAGAGAAAGAGAGAGAGAGAGAAAGAGAGAAGGAGAATGGAAGCCAAGCCAAGTCAAGTCAAAGCTAAAGCCAAAGCAAGTGGCAGGAGGAGAAGATGGATCGTTTTTTGTGGGCGGTGGATGGATGTATTTGACGTTTCCACAGGGCCCAAAACAAAGGGTATGAGTACGAGATATGAGAGGCGAGGGAACGAGATAAAGTCCGGGGAAAGACGGTAATTGAGATGTTTAGGCACCCGTCAAGTTGTAGCCTGTGTAGCCTGTGTAGGCAGTAGGTAAGGATTTGTAGTGGTTGTCAAGCTTTGGTTTTTGGGTTTTTGGGCGTTCTAGAACTGGACTTGAACTCCCAAGGTCCGGGGCCAGGCTAGATCGGGGGCTGGACTGGCTGGAGCAACAGCAAAAAATAGTCTGGACTTTTTGGCTCGGTTGGGAAAAGTTTAGAGGTTGGGGAAAGAAGAGGGGGACCCTGGTTCGGCGATGATGGGCATGAGTCGCGAAATATCCTTGTGTTTATACGGAGTATACGGATATATATGTTTGTTTGTCTGCGTGATATTCGTCTGATATAAGGAAAGAATTTCTCAGAAAAAGAGGAAAAAAGAAACGTGTTATATCAGCCACCATATAACAAAATAGATGAGTGAGTGAGTTGCCTTCTCTCTTAAACCCGATTCGCAATCAAGAGGGGGGAGAAAACGCCAACAGAGGCCACTTATAACGCTGCGATGACAGGGGGTGTGTGTGTCCGTCCAACGCGGGTGAGACCTGGGGCAATTGGTTGAGAAAAGAGAAGGGTTGCAAAATTACCCGTAGTGACAATTTGAGAGGAATTCGGAGAAAGAGAGAACAAGTCAAAAGCAAAAAAATTGGATATATATATAAAAAAACAGATGCTGTAACGCAAACGCAGTCAGGGGTCTTTTACAAGAAAGAGACGTGTCAAGGTGGAGAGTGAGTAGGCGTCAAGGGGGAGACAAAAAAGAAGGTTATGGCGGATGATTGTAAATTGAATGTCGCTGAGAAGAAAAACAGGGATGAATTGGAGGCTTGTGAAGCACGAAACGACACAACATATGAGGTCTAGATAGAGCCGTAGTAGGGATACAGGGCTGGAGGGTAATTCATCAGTGCAAGGTCACGACACGACACGACAGCCAGTTATCATGCCTCAATGGCAGATGTCAACCTCCGATACGATAAAGTACGACCGGTCTAAAAATCTAATACGGAGAGGCTGCTCATTGACAAGCCTGATAGGTAGTTTGGTTGGTTGATAGAGCCTTACAGCCTCAAGGACGATATTTCACACAAGTGTCCTGGTCCCTGAAAATGCATGCACGTTATGTGTTTATTCGAGGCGATGGAGACGTGGGCAAGCAACCCGACAGGTCGAAGGGAGTGTAGGGTATAGCCTCAGCCTTTCGGGTTTGATTAGTTATTATCTGGTACTGCAGCTGATGCAGTGTCAACTGCCTAACGGAAACAGTTGAGGTCTGGTATAACGTCTTTCTAAACATCGTGGATCCAATGATCAACAAGGTTGATGTCAGAGAAACAACCTAAAATAACCTACAGCGGAGTCAAAAAGTTACGATTTGCCTTTTAGAAACTATCTATCTTTTTATCTTACCCTGTGCTTTTTCGCCTCGCTTCATCTATCTTGCCCATAGCTTTGGGAGGCCTTTCTCCCAGCACCAATTGAATCAAATCTATTGGTTCCCCTACGGCTGGAGCTGCTTCTTTAGGGGATGACCTAGCTAACCATGGCTGGCTTTCGTACAGCCCTGGATTTACGGATACACCTCCATACCTAGCTTTTCTGCTCTGTTCTGCAGCCAAGGGGGTGTCCAGGGGTAGAGAATGGACAGATGACAGCAGTGGGGGCCTCGGAACCGGGGATAGCTATCCCGGTGTACGCCGGTCAAAGTCTTAGCAAGGAGTTCAATTGTACGTGAAACTCATGAAGTGGCTGCTTTAGATTGTTGAGAAGTTGGAAGAGGGAGATAATAGAAGGGGCCAAGCCACATTCATCAAACGTCATTATCCTTCTACTTGAATCAGCAGCTTCCTACTCCGTCAAACCGTCGTGAACTAGCTACGGGAGAGGCTGGCTGGACCCATATCCTTGCTTGGGTCTGGCTTTGACTGCCGGTGCCCGGGGACCTTTAGACAATTTAGCGGATGAAACGCTTGGATTGCGCTGATGTCACCGGTAATTAGTTGACGTACATCATGAGTCGCAATCGGCATGGCAGATGAGAGAAGTGGACACATGTTTTTTATGCCTTACAGTAGCCTCTTGACCACCAATAGTCAACATCTCGGGCCTATTCCCATCCCACCATCTCCATGACGTCGGGTTTCCAAGATGCCGGGAATTTGGTGATCATCTCTCTAGTCATAGTAAAGCTCGACTCATGTGCGGGTATGCCTCTGATCTCCCGTCTCCCGTCTCACGTTCCCCCTGGATCTTGTTTATATCCGTTACATGCAACTCCACGTCACAGCCTCACCATGTAAGACTTTCCTCAGTCTTCTCCTTACCGTAGAAATGCACGTATCGTTCGAGAATGCAAACATTTAAAAAGCAAAATAACCAAGGACAACGTCCGCGTATCCATCCGCATTGCAACGGTTACTGCCCTTGCTTTACTCAATACAAAGGGGTCAGGAAATCTCTTCACGTCGTGCATTCATGTGCAGTCCGGAATTAGAATTCCACCTTTAGATTTGAGACATACATACACAGATCGGTGTCATCCGTACATAAGCCCAACGATTCTACAAGGAACACCCTTGAACCAGAACAAAACCGCTGTGTACCTGCACCGGCTAGCTGATGCGCTGTCCAGGTACTGCAGACCGAGGACCTGCAGAGCAACGTCAGTTTCTATATTCCGGTCCCTCATTCTGCTACGTATTAAAAAAAGCATCGGCGAGTCTTTTTTTTTGTTTCCTCTCTTCTCTTCTCGTCGAAAAACAGGGTCCCTTGGCTCAAAAATCACAATAAAAAACGCCCTGCGGATCTGATCGAGTGACGTTGCAAAAGTAGATAGCCACCAACAGCCTTTCTTCCCTTCCTCAGCCCTGTTTAGGTCTCCCCCTAATAATGCACGATCCAAGGCGCTTCGACACGTCAAAACTCACTTTGGTGGCGCATTTGGTGGTCCTGAGAAGCTCGGATGCGAAGTGATTGCCTCATTACGTGTCCCCATTTTGTCTCGTATCTTTTGCTGTCGCCCTTGACGAGGCGAGAAGAGGGAGATTGACCTTCGGTCAATTCGACAGACGAAAGCAGTCATGGATACAAATATGAATTGCTCGAGCTTAGAAGAATCATCGGCCAACTGCAGCGGTTGGTGGATTACAATCACATCAAGCTTTTCTGGCGCCCGTCTAGAATCATGCTCAAAATCTACATGAACTCAAACATTTGGGCATAGTCAGCAGTCTAGACAAACGGGTATAAGCTTGCGGCTGAAGGGGGTGCTGATCATAGTTGACAGAACTCAAAAGTCACACACAAGCAGACAAGTCACGATCCCCCCCCCAAGCCCAAGGTTCATCCTGGAAAGTAGAATGCCGATCACTTAAACTTTTGCTCAAATCGGATCGAGTTCCTTTCTATTGGGATTATCGGATCTACTTCCCGCTCCCACTCCCGCTTTCTTCATCACACGGAATGATTCCCAGCCAGTAGCGTTGGTCGTCATGCGTCGAATATCAGTAGCCGCACAATGTTGGCTCGTCATCTTTTGTAAAATGATGTTGTTTTGCTATCTAATTGGGCTGAGGAACTCGCCACTTTGCTCTTAGCTTTATCATTCCTGTCGAGGAGGTGGTGTCGGGTATCGCGGACGCCAAAATGAAGGGATAGAAACATGTGAGTAGTCATAGGGTAGGTTCTCTTGAAAGGATGATGAGTGGTGTCATCTCTAAAGGAATTGCTGTCACGTCGAGCGTATGTGTTGTTTTCGCCCTGTCAAGGGTATTGTTGGCATGATTTCAAGACAAGCGACACACCCTGAATGTTTATTCAAGGCGAAGGGTCAACTTTTTATTGAAATAGTCACGTAGAGACATAGACGGGATGCAGTGTATATACTACGTACGACTTGCAATTATTCAAGTGTAGACAAATGCTTTACTTCTGGCGTTGATAATCACAGCTTCAGATGCGGGTTATGCTCGAGAACGTGTCATTGATGGCTACAGGGTAATTCATAATCGACGACTGAGGTCGTAACGAGATATGCCGAGGATACCCAACTAATATGATCAATGGCTTACACGTGTGTTTTTACATAAAGCTCATAGGTATGTAAGTAGTTTAAGCATAATGAATTTATCGATGTGCCATCCGAGTAAGTGTACGAAAGGTGGTCTTCTCACGACCTTGACCAGCATCGTGTCACTTCAAATCACATAGAGCTCTATGAATGGTGACACGCTGCTGTATCGCGTCAAGATGTATTGTATATAATCTTTACCAAGTCCCCAACCAAAAAAGCAAACCCCCGTACGCCATGCAATCCATAGAAGAAAAAACCAGAATATTAACAAAGGGAATATAACGAAGCCACCAACCCCTCCCCAGTTTCGTGACCAGATCTCCAACTAAGACTATCTAGTCATCGTGATTGTCCCTCCACTGCACCTTAACAACACCCATCAAAATCCCCATAATCAACGAAAAGAAGAAGATAATCACCGCACACACCAGCAGCGCAAGAATCTGCATCTTGCGCCTCCGTCGCGCCTGCGCAGATGCGCCCATCTTATACGGCGCCCCGTGCACGCTGGATCCCGCGACGCTGCCCGGCCACGGCGTTGAGGGCGGGTACTGCGGCGGAGGCGACGATAGCGGAGGCGGCCCGAGTGGTGAGTATATCGCTGGCGGACGCGACGGGTCGTATGGTGGTGGTGGACTCTGCGGGACTGTGGGCGACCATGGTGAGGATGGTGCTGGAGGGTTGATGCTGGCGCCGAAGTGGGAGGGCGGTGAGTACTGAGGTGATGGCGATGTAGGAGTGTGATTCATAGTTTGTGGTGAGGCTCCGTCTGTTCGGTAGGGAGCGTCGTTGGGATATGCGGCGTCTGGGATTGAGTCTGATGGATGACCTCCGTGTCGTGCATTTGAGTTGTTCATGATGAGCAGAAGGTAATGTCGGAAATATCGCAGTCACAAAATAATAACAAATAGCCCCTAGGTTTCACTACCTCTTCATTCAAAATTTCCAGCAAACTCTCGTAGATTTCGCTATGACACAGAAAGAATATTTGTCAAAGCTTGTCGTCGATCCATATTCTTCCGAAATTCGTGGTTTCGTATATAGTAGCCCCCGTTTCGTCGGTCGAACTGGCACAAGAACAGATATCGATGACCTTCTTGTCCTTTGTGACAAATAAATCGAGGTTGAATGAAGAAGCAGTCGATATCATATATGCTGTGGGGATGGTTGCGAATAATAGCGTGATGCTCGTTCTCTTAGACAAGAAACCCAAAGCAACAAACAATCCTCAACCGATAACAGAAATGAGCGGAAATCGTAAATGAAATAAACAAAAGTAACGAAAGAACCGCACGATAGAGGCGAAGTATGTGGTGAGTGAGAACAAGAAAGGACAGAATGAGTAAACAGCAGATAATAGCACTGCCCCCTTCTCTCGGGACCGACGGTATATCAAGAAGGATGAAGAAAAAAGGAAGTGGATGAACTCAGAGAAGGCCTTCAATTGCGGGGGACTTTCACCATGTTATTCCTTCAATCCTCGGGGGAACCACTAGACTACTGGGAAATAAGACGAACTGCACTGCCTCACATCCATGGCGCCAAGACCACCCCGGACAGGGGCATGTTCAAGGATACGGGGGATGTGTTAGAGAAGTCCTGATGATGCCAAACTGAGGAAAGGTTAAATGTTGGGTATGTCATGAGGTTTAATGCTCAACTCGGTTGTCTGTTGTGACCGTATACCGTCTTGAAGTCTACCCACTGCCTCATGTGGTCAGTCTGAATGGCTTCGTTGCATAGCACGGTTGTACGAACGCTCACCTCCAGACACCGTGTCAGTTGCTAATCTGAAACCATAATCGACCCTTGTTACATCCCGACGGACAAATCCCCTTCAAACAGGGATCTTCATCGTGAGCTCGGTTATCCCATTTAGTTGCAGATCACTCCCACCAAGGTATTATTAAGAACATGATCTGATGAATTTCATTTCCATTTCCTCTCAAGAATCTCACAAATTACACTAGTATCGCTGTTCTACAAATCAAATCAACCATCGCTATCACCCTTCATCCCTTCTCCCCTTAACTCCTATTATATCAATATTCTCTAGATCGATACCCTAGTATGGAGGTCTCGTCACATTACCCAAACTTCCTTCACTCGGCCGACTGTCGATTCCTCGGAGGAGATCCTGCAGATCCATTGATTTCGTGTTCTGCGAGTGTACCGATCTAGGTCGACTTCCATCACTCCCTCTGGATTGGATAGGACTTTTCTTTCCTCCGTACAAGTTCACGTCCGGCAGAGGTGGCACAGGCGGCACCGACTCGTCGTCCTGGCCATTCTCGTCATGCAGGTTAGGTGCTCCCCCAAGGGGAGGGTGTGCGCTCAGAGGCCCACGTTTGGATGAGGTGCCAGGTCGTTTGACGCTTGTCGGGCTACTCGGCTGATCATTCTGCGTAGCCGGGTTAAAGCTGGTCTCGGAAGGACTGTAATCGTAGCTGACCATGCTGTCTCCACTGTCGTCATCCCCGATGAGAGCCGTCTTGGGTGGAGGGTTGCCTGATAGCACGAGCTTTAGCTGATCGACCGAGGCGACGGTACCCCGGTTGCCAGTTGAACCAGCTGGCGAGACAGCACTGCGCATGCTGCTCTTTCGATGCCTTGGGATTGTCCCTTCTCGACCCTTTTCACGATGAGCCGAGTCAGTCATCAGATTGTACTGGCTCCCATAAGGCGATATCGACCCATTGCCATTAACCCCGTTACCGTTCGCGCCCTCCGTCCTGACTGTTAGATGACCTCGCGTTCCCGCCGTTTCCGTTTTCGACCCTGTCATGGATTCCGACTTTCCAGCAGAGGCAAGGGCGGCTGCCGCTGCGTCTCTGGACCAGTCTGTCAGCATATGTTCGCGGAATATGACTGGCAGTTCTGAGTTGGGATCAGCCTGTGCTGTAGAGTTTATACTCGAGCCCAGGATTGGCCCCGGGGGTACCCTTCCTGGGGACGCGCCAGGGCTTCCGGGAGGTGCTTGAAGGCTGTCATGGTAGTGCGACACGATGCATTCGACAAGTGATTCTCTGTCATCAAATGGAAGCAACTCCTCTCTCTCAAGCGAAGCAGGATCCCATTCTGGCTGTACACGAGCCTCGCCAGGCATTCCCACACGATGAACTGGGGGAGGTGGCATGCTGATGCCTTGAATCCAGAATCCCTTTCTTTGGCGACGCGCCACCTCTTGCTCGATAGCTATACCGATAACAGAGTCCTTGAACTCAAATTTGTCGGTAAGTGCCCAGAAGTATCCATGGCAAAGCGCCGCAGTCCGCACCTTATACAGAGGCGTATCGATGTCTTGGATATCCTCCTGTAGGCGGTAGATCATAGGGAGGCCAAATCTAGCAGCATTTACACCCAGCTGCGAGACCAACTTCGTAAGAAGGATGTGGAGCATAATTAGATCGTTTTCGTACTCGACAAACTGTAGAGCATTATCGTATATGACTAGGTGCAGCAGAGCCAGGAACTGCGATTGGCGTGGCTTTGAACCTCGCTGTCTGTTGGAGGCACTTGAAACGGCTCGACGGTTGACGCCGTTCTCTTTACTAATCTTGATGGATGAACGAGAACGAGGGAGCTTCTCCTCGACCGCAATCTCGTTCGCAAAAGACGTCTCTCGGTCCAGCCATGTAATAAGAGCATCCATATATGCCCTGCGAACGTAGCCGTCAGGATCACGAAGAAGCCAATGGGTACCCTCCCAGATGTAAATCGGTACGGGGCTACGTGACAATGCCAGGTTGCCAGTCAGCTTCTTCTGGGGGTTCGCGACGAGGAGGATCTCCTTGATAGCACGGAGACCAGAAGCTCTCCCGGTGTTGAGGCAGAAATAGTGGTCAAGCTGTTGGCTGTCGCTCAATTCGATTGTTGAGGCGCCTGGTCCAGCTTCATTATTACCGTTCTTTTCGCCTCCAGGAGAGGAATTGATGCTATGAGAGCGAGTTGGCTTGAGTCGGAGGATAATGGCGGAAATCATATCGGAAATTTGATCGGCATAGTAAACATGTGTAGCCAAATCACCAATACACAGTTCAAGTCGGTCCACAAGATGCTTAGTCTTTTGGCGCACGACTGATTCCGATTCAGCGGCAGCATTGCCGTCGTCGCTCTGGCTGGTGGGGGTTCGTAGCCTAAACAGTTTCCTCATTTGCTTGATCAAACCAAGGAGTACATCCATTATACTCAACCCAATGAGGTTGACATCAGACCGCAGGAGGGAGCTCATGATTGTTACCAATGCGAGTTGTTCGTCGAGAGTGGAGTCTTGCACGGGAATTCGTAGTAGTGTTTCAAGGGCTGCGACGAGAATGGTGTATCGGTCTTGCACGGGTGCCCATCGCGAAATGATGTTGTAAATGCTGATTGCCCAGCCATTATCTCGCTCCCGGTCATCGTGAAGCTCAACTACAGAGTCTCCTTGTGCCACCTTTTCCTGGATGAACCTCAAGAGGGAGACGGTAGCACCGTGGATTTGAGCGCGAGTCGGGATGATAAAAATGCTCTTCAAACACTGCATGGCCAAGACTGCTACTTCCTCTTCGGCAAGTCTGTCAACATCGCCCGCAGTTCCGGAAAGGGCAACAGGATTGGGATCGTTTCCGCCATCGGTTCCAACTGTGGCAATGCTTGTCCTCCGCCTAATCTGCTTTTCGACATCGACCTTTTCTTCCGTTTCGAGTCGCTGATGTAGGGTTTCGAGAAATTCGGGAGTGCCTGACCACAAATTCTCAAGGATACGAGGCATGATGACATCCATTTGGCTACCTGTAATCGAGGAAAGTGCGTCGGCTGTGGAGACGCTGCGGATAGCCTCGAGGCCTGCACTTCTCCAGCGAACTTTAATAGGGGCAGTCATCGATTCCTTGCCTGGCGCAGGTTTTGTGGAAGCAAGTTCAGCATATAACCGGACAATCTCCTCGTACTGACGGAGATATGTCTGATCAGCTAGGAGAAAAGCCGCGTCGTGGTAATCGCAAAAGGCGGCGAACGTGGGGAGGGAGGACTCGATCATAGTGATATCGTTTGATCGGAGGACGGTGTCGAGGATCTTGAGGACAAAGGGAGCAATAAGGACCGAATCCTTGTGAAGCTTTTCCATCAAGGCTGACAGAATCTGCAACGTAACTTGGACATTTCTAAGAGGACAGGTCAGCAATCATGAAATTCACCCGATGACGAACAATCCGATGAAAGAAACCTCCACAGAAGAGACTTAAGTTCGCGGATCGACTCGTCGATGTTTCCAGTTGACGAAGATGCGACATACCCGATGCGCAGACGCCAAACGTCGCTAGCTGTCTTCTTCTCCAGGTAGGCACCAATCTTTTGTATCTTGGAGCGACGACTTGTAGCATAGTATAGAAGTGAGCTGAGTTCGCTGCTGTTGGGTTTGACATCAACAGCGCCTTTCACAGTCCGTGGATAGCATTTGCGGACGTTGACTTGGTGTGTTGGCCGACACCTTTTCTGAATGGCGTTCATCGCGCTCGCGTTCTGGGTGAGCTTGGCCCAGCTTTCGGTCGGAGAGAGATTCGGTGAGGGCGAGAGGGTGAAGAGAAGGGGAGATTAGTTTGAAGTAAGAAGAGGAGCGTGTGTTGAACGAAGTCGAGGTCGAGGTTGAGGTCGAGGTTGGAGGTTGGGAATGGAGACGCAGCCAAGGAAGGTTGCCATGAGTTGACGGTGTTAAAACAATCGGGGGAGGGAAGGGTAAAGTTTAGAACGGAAGGGACTAGGTTAGCTAGAGGTGGCTTGAGCGGGAGTTACGGGGAGGACAGGTACCTACAAGGTGCCCACTCCCAGCCCAGCCCAGCCCGTCAAGCTAAAAATTTCAGCCATCATCCTTGATGATCCCAGCGCAGTGGAATACTTACGGAAACCGGGAGAGGAGGAGGGCATGGCAAAGAAAATCAGCGACAAGGATCAAGATCTATTAAGAGACAGGGGGAAATTACTCAATCGTCTATCGCAATCTGTAACATTAGCAACATGATGCTTCACCATCGTCGCATGAATATTCACGTAAAAAAAAGTATAATGCTTGATCCTTCAGGCTTTGACCTTTTTCTTGTTTGGCTTGGGTACCTGTCCGCTTCTTTGCGCCCAAGTACACGTCGTTGTCTGTGCTGTGCCTCTTGTTCAGGGGTTCCTGTCGGGTTCAGCGGAAGGCTACGAGACTCCATGTCTTAGTCTTAGTTTGCGAGGTACCGTCAAAGTACACGATCTGAGCCCTTGATCATCTTCCCCTGTCCTCAAGATGGAAGCGATGGAAACTTTGATGCATGTCTTGGTTATTTTATTTGGATTGTTTTACTATTGTGACATGGTTTCTTGATGTCTAGGCACTGAGATTGTGCTTTAACCTAGGTGATTACTCGCTGTATTTTGGAGCAGTACATATAGCCCCGTTGAGCCCTGGAATATCCCAAGTCAGATTCGCTGGCATTTGTGACGCAATTGTTGCCTTCCACACACCATCACCAGAGGATCAGCATCGTCGTCATCACCATTCTTTACTGGGAAATGCTGCCACCAATTCCACTCATGCCGACTAGAACCGTTTCTGCCTCACACCGTGGACGATCGCTTACACTGGAATTGGACTGACAACGTGTCTTGTGGTGGCTTATTTACGCGTATAGTTTGTCAATGTATCGCTGACAGAGCCTTGTTGAGTTGCCAATTACCTTCAGTCGTCCAATGCATTGACTGGTGTTATTGACTCTGTAGCGAGTGCCCTGACAGCCGCATGCATCTGTGCTTCTATACCCTGTCAGCATCACTGCTTGGTCCAGGGACTACTGTAAGGTTCCAACCAAATGTTACAGTTCAGTCGTGCCTTGAAACGTCATGCCCATTGTTGTTTCTGTTTCTTCATTCCGGGACATTGACGTTACAGTATGAAACACAAAACAGCCTAAAATATTCGACACACGAAGACTCTATCCAACAATCGTTCTCAAATATAACGCAGGCATAATCGTGCCTACCTTACACTAGAATCCACTCCCCTGCGTTACTATTCATGCAAGTGACATTTCGTTCCTTTTGTTCACGTTCACCGCATTCCCTTTCTATGCCACGTTGTTTCTCTTACCCAACCGTTCCACGTTACTTAAATCCCATCGTCTTCCGATTATCCGCACCTTAACACTTGGGTTTGCATGTCTACCTCGGCTGTTCAAGCTTGGTGTGTTAGCTCCACCACAGACACTTCAACTCAAATGCATGACACCTGACAGGCGGATGATCCGCATTCAAGATCAAACTCACCCTTTACAGTAGCTCACCACCATACAGCGATCCGCCCGCATTTTGTCTTTATTAGTCCTAGGTTCCGAGATCATGGGCGACGCAACCGACGCTTCATGTCCAGTACTACCGAGTGTGTCCTATGACTCGCGAACGTGATTGAATCGTTCTCGTGACACGGTCAAATCAAGGATCGTAAATATTATCTGGCTTCCTCACATTGGACCAATTAAGTCACAAAAAAAGAATATATAGATGTCATCTACACTCTAGCTCTGATGCTCTAGTTTGGCAAGAACATCATCAACAACAGTCTGAATGTCGTAGTGATACATCCAGTCCGATTTCTTACCCTTTGTGCGCCTCACTCTTGCTGCAATTTCTTCATCCACCGATAATCCTTCTGCAGCAATCCTCTTAGTAACATCGCCGTACCAATTCAGAACATCATACAGATTGCTGTAATGGGGCGATCTGATTCCATCATACAACTCCAACGCAACCTTGATTCCCTGACCCCGAGCCCATGTCCACTCCAGAGCTTTGGTCAATGTATAGACATCCTCCAGAGCAAAGCCTGCGCCAGCACCAAAGGCTCCTGATAAAGGATGCGACGCATCTCCGATCAGAGCTATCGAATCCAGAGCCACAACACGCTCTAACCGTGGCCCAGAGAAAAGGGCAAATTCCTGTGTTTCGCCCTTGGCTGCCAATTGGATGACTTGTCGAACTGGTTCGCAAAAACCGTCGTACTCATGAGCGAGAGTGCTAAAGTCAAAGGGACGACCCCAACTACCGTGCTCCTGGCCCTCCGAAGGCCGTGAAATGCGTGCTGTCACTTCAAAGTCGTCTTCTCCGAGGGGACTAGTAAAGACATATTTGCCTCCCAGGTTTTGCCAGAACGTAGATGCTTGAGGGATAGTCCCCAAAGCGTTGACTTCCGACTTGCTTATGATAGTGCGGTAGGCAGACTGGCCGTTGTATTTGATTTTATGTGACGGAAATGTAAATGAACGGACGACCTGAGTACCATTAGTTCTTGAATCTTGCTCGAATTTTGAGAGTAGTATTTACAGATCTTATACCATCTGCACCAATTAGTAGATCGACTTCGTCTGAGTGTCCATCTTCAAAGCGGATGAGGACTCTCCCACTTGGTAGTTTCTCGATGTCGATAAGCTTCTTGGAGAGCTTGATCTTTGTCTGGTCCACTTCTGCGAGAAGAGCACGCTGTAACTTGAATCTTCTCTGTCGACCACTACGTCGATGGGCTGGTGTATCTTCATGATGATAGCTATGATCAATAATCTCACCAGTTCGTCCGTTGCTGATGAAGATTAGCTGGAGAAGTACACGAAAATGTCAAGATGCCACTGACCGTTGTTGCCCACTGACCCCATCAGATGATCTGAACAAATCTTCTGGCTTGATGTTTTTAGCTGCACCGTAGTATTCAAGCATTTTCCATGTGTGTGGTTGAAGACTGATACCACCGCCTGTCTCACTGATTTCGGGTTTCTTCTCATACAGAGTCCAGTCGACAAAGGGTAGTCTGGCTAGGGCAATGGCAGCTCCTAAGCCACCGGGTCCTCCACCGATGATGGCAGCTCTTATGGTACCATTACCGTTGATAGTGTTCTTGACTGTCATGGTGATAGAGATGTATACTGATGCTGGACTAGTGTTTGAGATATGCGCACAGATGATTGAAAGAAGGGACACGATCTGGCAAAACGTCTCGGAAAGAAGTTCACCTTTATACAACACGATAAGGAATGGTATCAGTGTAGACTGGTAAGCAGAGATAGGGATGAGGCCATTTCGGCAATTGCGCAATCGGATACTCATATTGGCAATGGCTTAGAACCGTAGTGGGAGGATCGTAAGTGGATCAACGGAATCGGCTCGAAACTGTTGATTGAATCGAACGGTAAACTAGATAGACTTGTAACTAAGTTATAGAAATTGAAGTGATACGAAGCCTTATGTAATTCAAAGTCCATTGGCACGGTGTACTGGCTGGGATTAACCACTTGTCGTGATGAAGCAGTAACACCAGTATTTGTGACCAAGAACTGGACTGTAGAACAACAACTAAGATTGAAACAGTTCTTTCATTTTGACCAAAGTTGCATACTTACTAGACCAATAATCGCTGTCTATCTCTGGGAACCGGCCTTCCGATGACCTCAGCCTTGCAGAAGGCCTTCGTTGAAAGTCGACGAGTGGATGACTGCCCCGGTTTTCTATTGATTTTATGTGACGAAATGTAGTCGCAAGACAAACATCAAGTGGATAGCAAGTGGCGTCTTTTATAAGACATCTACGAAGACAAGATAGCCTATGCGTGCGGACGGACAATGTATGGAGGAACAAATTTGGTATCAGGCTGGAGGATAATCGGGCACTGTTGTACGTACTTGTGACTTCAAGTGGCTATGCATGTCAATAAAACAATAACACACCACAAATATGCAATACAAGCCTCACTTCAAGTCTTGACCAAACAATCGTCGAAGCTGTACAGTAACGTAATAATACAACCGTAGTATCAGAGAGAGCGCAAATCTTGCACCAAACAGGCTTATCAGCACCGACCCCATTTGATGCCTTTTGAGCATGTCATGCCATCCAAAAGCCAGACAAGAGAAGATATCATTTGTGAGGAGTATTTGTGTAACCATGCAATCAAAACAGACAAATCACACCGCCCCATTTGCACATTCGTCTGCCTCGCCTAGGCAGAGCAGGCTCGTTTTGATCAAGTTTGCGAACCAGCTGACTGGGGGGTTTATATATATTGGGGGGCCAGGGCTCTTGCTCAGGCCACCTGGTTTCAAAAGAAACCTTGTCAACTGATCTACGTCTTTCTAAAGCAACCTCTTTCAAGCACAAATTTCAACAAGCATCTAAGCAAGAATTTCAACAAACGTCTAAGCACAGATTTCAACTAGCGTCTATCAATTTCAAGAAGTAACCATCTCAAAGTCTCAACATGTGTACGCAAACAGAAACGATAGAAGAGTGTGGTAGCTGTGGCTATGCATACTCTATCCAAGGCCCGATCGAGAGCTGCGGGCTCAGATCACAGCAGCCGTTCGACAGTCGAAGCAACAACTACTACGTCGGTCGGTGCTATGGTGTGGCCACGACTTCATATACCGAGAGTGTTGTATGCGCCGCCTGTGCCGCAGTGGAAGAGGTGGAACGCAGGAAGCAAGGCCGTAGAGGGGCTGAACATGTGGCTGCGCGGTAATTGGTATGCCTTGTATAGCGTTGGTAAAGGGTATACTTTTACTCAAATGGACTGAGAAGTTGCCTTGATGGATTGGTTGTAATGTATAGTATCTATAGTATGGGGAATTTGTTCGTTGCTGAGGGATTCGGACAGATGTTGAAAGGATCGAAGGAGTATCATGGTTATTTGACACTTGTCAACACAATACCGCCATTCGTTAGTACGTTACTACTGATCGATGGCCAAGCAATTTATGTTTTGTTTTCTCCCCACTGATGCTTCATCTGAGGCTATATGGCAGACGTGAGGAAACGGACGAGTGATGGAGAAGACGAATAATGTCGTAGATGTCTGGGGCTGGACGAATTCTTCTGGCCGAAAGTGCAAAACACCTTGAACGATGCAAAAGGCATTGAAAAGAAGCTATTGATAGCTGAATGCTGAAATTGGACGGCCATCTAGGGTACCTAATCACTGTCAGATATTAGTGGCAGCTTGAGGGTAAGGCTCACGCTGATAGATACGTGCAGGTGACACTATCATCGAACAAGTCTGCTGACACATGTAATTCGGGCTGCCTGGACTTACTCAATGATGTAGTTATGATCGTCTCAGCTGAAGTAAAATTGATCTCGTGCTTATTGCAGCATGGTAAAGAAGGGCGCAGTTGGTGATGATTTCTGTGCATGGTGTCCGCGATCTGTACCCGAGTGGCAAGGCAACTTGAGATGCCCAGCCTTGGCCATCGTCCATTTAGACGTAGGTAAGCCGATATCGAAGCGGCGACTTGAGGTGTAGTAATTTTTGCTGGTCAAGGTCTAAAGGGTTCCATCAGATAGAGTGATCTTCATTATCTAGAGCCCTATCAATCGGTTATCTACTATCTACGAAGGATCTGAGACTTGCTCGATCAGGTAAAGTGGATGGATGCCTGGCCACATCTCACTCAATTTACTCAAATCCACCTCATTTTCACTCAATTCAACTCACAACCACAACCACAACCTCCGCACCAGGCACCATAATAGCAATCCAATCACCAAAAAAACAATTAACCCGCAAAATGATTTCCATCTCTGAAAGCTCCGCTGTAGGTCCCGCCCCTCTCCCTCCCACAGATGCCCTTCTCAGCTTGCGAACAGGCAAAATCCGCCCCCTCGACGGCAGCAGCATTCGCTCCGCCATCAACAAGCGAGCCCGCCAGGGGAAATGGGAAGTAACCCTCCTTGGCCTCGTCGGTGACGAGCATCACTACGTCCACCACGGCGGCCCTGAAAAGGCGCTGCATCAGTACTGCGCCGCCCACTACGATGCGTGGAACGCTGAGCTGCCTGGCCGTGAGGATCTTTTCAAGATTGGTGGCTTTGGAGAGAACCTCTCCACGAGATATATGTCGGAGCAGAATGTCTGTATTGGTGACGTTTTTCGTGTGGGAAAGGATGTGCTTATCCAGGTCACTGGGCCGAGACAGCCATGTTATAAGCTCAATCATCGCTTCCAGCATAAGAAGGCTTCGGCTATGACGCAGTCGACTGGCCGTATGGGCTGGTATTACCGTGTTATCAAGACGGGCTTCATTGAGGATGGTGATGAGATGCAGCTGACTGAACGAATCAACCCTACATGGTCTCTTGCGCGAGTTCAGAAGTATCTGTACCATGAGAAGGATAACTACGAAGCGTTCAAAGAGCTGGCGACGTTGCCTGCGCTGTCTGAAGAAATGCTGGATATCTTCCAGAAACGTCTAAGCCACGGCGCTGAAGACATGAGCGGCCGACTCGAAGGCGATCGACTCCCTGTGGCCTGGCAGCCATACAAACTGGTCAGCAAGACAAGTCTAACCTCAAGGATCAAATCGTTTATCTTCGAGGTCGATAACGAGGATAAAGGTGAAGATTCACAGTTTGGTCAGTTTCCTTTTGTGCGGCTTCGGTTTGGCCCAGAAGGAACTATCTCACGAGCGTATTCAGTCGTATCTGGCAGCGCGAACCGTTTTGAATTGGGAATCGCCCGAGATGACAATTCGAGAGGTGGATCTGTCTACTTGCACGACCAACTTTGCGTTGGAGAGGTTATCAAAGTCGCTCCAGGACGCAGCACCACAGTACAACAGAGCCAAGATGCGGATGAACAGGTGTTCAAACATGTTTTCATCATTGGTGGTATTGGAGTCACAGCTTTCCTTGGAGAAATTGAGAGACTGGTTCGTGAATCGGCTGACGTTGAGGTTCACTACGCTGTACGAAGCCAGAAGGAAGCTGCCTACCTGGATCGTCTACCACTTGACAAGACGAGCATATACGCAAAAGATCAGGGCCAGCGTCTCAACCTTGATCAGGTCATACCCACACCACATCTAGAGGACGGAATCAAAGCCATAATCTACTGCTGCGGTCCCACATCCCTCATGAACGCCTGTCGCACTCTAACCACCACCCTCCACTACCCAAAAACGAGCGTCCATTTCGAAGAATTCGGCGACGCCACCACAGGAACCGGCAACCCCTTCGAAGCGGAGATCAAATCCACGGGAAAAATCCTCCAAGTGCCAGAGAAAAAGTCCCTTCTTCAAGTACTCTCCGATGCGGGATTTGAGATTGAGTCGTCGTGCTTGGTCGGGAACTGCGGGACGTGTATGGTGGACCATTGCAAGGGAGAGGTGGAGCACAAGGGTGTGGCTTTGGATGAGGAGCAGAAGAATGAGTCTATGTTGAGTTGTGTTAGCCGGGGGAGGGGAAGGATTGTTATTGATATTTGAGCGAAGTTGTATTTGCTGAATATGATGGAGAGAAACACTGGATGGATGAGAAGGTTAGGAGGCCAGAGGAGATAGGGGTGACACAGCTGTTATTCACAATTATATTCATTTCTCATACTTGAGCAAACTTTACAGCAAAACTATTGATATTTCTTTGAACCTATAACAAGGTAGGGCTATTAAACTTGGACTATTAGGGATAACCAGTACAACCTCACGCAATTTCTCATCATGTTTTCCTTATTCCGATTTCTTCTCAGCCTCAGTGTCAACCTTCTGCCCATTATCCTCAGCCTTCTTAGCCTCCCCCTGCGCCTCCTGTTCCACTGTATCCTTCTTGTCCTCAACAACCTTTTCACTTTCATTCTCATTCTTATCCTCCGTCTCCTTCTTATCACCCTCAGTCTCCTTGCTCTCCTGAGCACCAGTATCCTTCTTGGACCATATCCTCACGCTGGGTATAGAAACATTGCCCAGCGACGACACAGAGCTAGGGACCTTGGGCATGTTGGGCATACTCGGCATGCTGGGTATATTGGGCATCTGTGGGATCCCGCTTGGGAACCATCCTTTGGCATCGGTACCAGCTTGCTGAGCTACTCCGAAGAGATAGTTCATGTAGTTTCGTTTGTCCACGGTGTCAGCGCCCTCGATATTTGCGTCTCCGATGAGACCTTCGCCTTTGTCGTCAGGGAGGGGGACGAGTGAGGCCGCGGCGGCGATGTCCAGGGGTGACTCGTCTGGGAGTTCTCCATCGGTGGCCTTTTCATCTGTACCCTCGGCCTTGGCATCCTCTTCAGCTTGACCTGGATCCTTCTCGAGTATTTCTTTCGTGGTTTCAGTCTCTTCTGTTTCCTCGGGAGGAGTTTCGCGGAATTTAGGGTCGTCGACGACATTCTCCTCGCTTTGGAACCATTCCTTCACGAGTTCTGCCGACTTGTCTGTCATCTCTTCATAGCCTCTGTGTTTCTCCGGTTTGAACATGTTGAGATGTGCTTCGATCTCATTATCTGCCTTTGGCATGACACATCTGTCAAAGATAGGATAAGCAGAGTGATCTCCCTCGGGCACAGCACAGAATGTGCGCTCAGGAACGAAATAGCCTCCACTCCAGTAGCCGTTCTCACCAAGTGAGATGTAGAAATCATGCATGCCAATGCCCTTGAGTGATCCAATGCGCTCCAGCCGACGGTTGAGTTCTTTCTGTCTGAGAAGTGCTCCAACAAACGTGACGTGATCTGAGAGCCAGGCGAATGACTTTCCAACGTTTCCGCGATTGATGTATGCCAGACCCTGTCCGAGGGCATCCATGCTCTGGCGGTATCCCTCTGCGACGGACTCCTTGTTTATGTTCTTGACGCTCTTGACCCCTTCGAGGATAAGTTCTCTGTTCATGTAGGCAGCTACACCGCCGGCTGCAATAGCACCAACTGTGCCTGTCTTGACAGCCACCAGCTGCCATGTTTTCCACTGCGGACCTCTGGTGCTAGCCACAGCAGAAGTTGCAGCGCGGCGGGCACTCAGCCGTGCTAGACTCGCAGGGGCCGCAGCTGATATAGCCGTCATGACGTTGAAGACACTGTTCACTTTTTGATAATTCGAGAAAGCGCCATAAACAAACATAGATCTGGCAAGGCCATTGTAAGGGGTGTCGAAGGTGAGGATACCTTGGATCAGGGGGAACAAGAGATCTTTTTCATCGCCGTTGTTGGCTCTGTCGTTTATGGCGAGGAAGAGAGAGTCTGCTGCAACGAAGCCTCTACAAGTTGTTAGACGAGGGGTACACAATGATGATGACACTTACCCCATGGAATGAGCAACGAGAACAACGCCGACGTCTCTGTCGTGAGGAGGCCATGGCTTTTCTGATTTCTTCTTGCGGATGTCCATGACTCGTTCTTTGAGCCTTTTCTGGTTAATATGAATGTTTGATTTAGCTGTTACGGCGACTTACCATCCGAGAAAGGCTTCTGCAGCCTGGGCTAGTTCACCAGTCGTTTCATATCGGGGATAGACGACAGATTCGACCTTGTCATCTGGGAGTTGTTTGGCTACTGCTGCTTTGAGATCCTGGATGTGTTAGTGTATATCGGAGCTAGACGCACGGCTACTCACATAGGGGAATTCGTGAAAGGTATTGTCGGTACCCTGAAGATGTTAGTAATTATTGGTAGAATAGATATATGTACCAGACCTTGAATCCGTGGATGAAACACAGCAAAAGTGTACGAGGCATCTTGGCTGATAAGGAAGTGTTTGATTTTCCTCACTTGAGGCAAGGGGAAAGCGTAATAATACAATAGATAAATAAAGTTCCCAACGCCTCACAAAAGAATGACGTTGCAGTCTAGATCGTACAGTAGGACAAGGTGTGAGTTGGTTTTCCAGGTTTTCCAGCCACACAAACCACAGCAAATGGGTTGTCCATTACGCGTGGCGAGTGTGTCTGGTGTGGAAAGAACCAATCCAAGCCCGCAAATGGAGGCACGATAACGTCATTCTCTCCGACATGGTACAGGACTAGCACCGGGGGTTGACCACGTTTTGGCTGTTAGTGCCAATAGAAGATAATGCGCTTAAAGATGATAATATGCGCCCAAAAGCAAAAGCAAGGGAGCAAAAAGATTAAATCTGAAGCTAGTCTTTAAATTGCCGAGGGACCGTTGATTTGCTTCTGAAGATCACCCATCCTATTTAGCCTTGCCACCGCTCGCGGCCTTGATCATCTCCTCCCACTCGATATCTTCCTGGTCGTCAGCGTGAATGAATACACCGATATTTACTGCCTTTTTCAGATATTCCATCGTGCTGGCGTAAAGCATGCGGAGCTATTCAAACAAGGATTAATTAATAGTTAAACGTGCAGACTTGGGGCTGATTAATTACCTTGATAGGTGCAGTCTGTGGCACCCATGACACAAAAACAGATTTAGTCCTAAAACATCAGTTACAGTTCAAATCAAGCAATAGACACTCACCTCTTTCCGTCCTCTCCAAGGTCATAGTCCACATCGTAAACTGCATAGCGTGGTGCAGGCTTTCCAGACTTGTCAACACCCGAGAGAAGCTTCTGACGAAAGATGTCATAATCGGTATCAGAAGACGTCTCTTCAACTACAACCGCTTGTTCATCATCGGTTATCTTGAAGATGATGAACTTGATCTTGTTGGTGCCTTTCGAAAATCGAAGGGAGTTGGCTGCAGTGATGCACTCTTGGTCAATCGAGACACTGTAGATATAAGTATGCTTTCAGATATGGACGGAGACGAGCATACCCTGAAGCAGACTAAAGACACATAATTAGCTAATATTCCTTGTGAGTCCATAACAACATACCGCCATTTTAGCAGAATAGAAGGGGTTCTGTGGAAAGTGGAAGATTCAAGAAGGCTTGATGTAAATGTTAGCAGGCTAGATCCTTCTACCCTTTTGCGTGATAGATATTGACTAACATGCCTTTTGATATTGGCGAGAACGCCATGCTTTATACACACCATGATCATTGATTTTGGACCTGTTTCATAGCTAGGCATCTGTTTCTATCCCTTATTTTGCTATAAACGTCGCTGCCTGACTAGGCAGTGAAATTAAGAGATTTCGCCTCAAAGAAAGTATTGCTTACAAGTCAGTTCAAGAGTTCTACCGGCCATAAATACTGCGCCACGTCAAGATGTGGGAGACATTTACCCCTTTAGTAACATTAACAGGCTCGTACTTATCCAATATTGCTTTAATTAGAAAAACCCCCATGCAAACATTACCTGTTGGTCGAGAGTTGTTTCTTTCTTATCCATTTCTAATGAGACGATAAATATCAACTGAGAAAATTCATTGTCATGCTCTCTTGCTACCAAACCCTCAATCCATTTCGCCTCAGCAGGGCCGTAACTGCGCCAAATCTTTGGTTTCGCCTGTATTACACTGCGACCGCCAAGGTCACTACTATCAATCCAGAGGGCGAACAGGTTTCCTATGACACTGAAATTATGATTGGTAAACCCGATGAAAACTATGTATACATCAAGCCTGAAGTTGGAAGGTCTATTAGATCCGCGATTATTCCTCAACTTGGATCGGTTGAGTCAGCCGTTGCAGGCCATCCTGAAACGCTTGCCCTCCAGTTTCATCACGATTCTCGTCATTTCGCACACAGTAATTACCACTCACAATTGAATAGATTCGAACAGACTAACATTTTAAAGAACTTGTTTCACTTCCTCGTATAGAGATCTCCCAGAACATTGGTCAGTCTGAGGGTAATCTTAGTCCTACCACGCTCTGGCTTTCTGGCTGCTGGCATTATGTCACGATCAATGGAACATTCGATGGTGAGTACAATCAAGTACTCTTATGGGTAGCTCTAATGAACCGTCTTTGTGAATAGAAAGTTTGAACGACTGGCCAGAGAAACCTCCCTTGAAGTCGAGAGTGCATTGAAATTGTTAAAGGACAACTAGTTTTCGCACATGATGAAATGAGCTCAGAGATTAAAGAAGGGTTGGCCAGATGGAGGTGTGCAAATATGACTGGGGAAGAAACTTAAGTTCTAAGATCAATGACTGGAGGGAAGAGACAGTATCAGAAAAAATAAATGCTTCTATTGAAAAATTCCTTAGGTAGGACGGGTTTCATGGGCTACCAGGATCAAGAAGTTCACGGCATGCTCGCACGGGTCGACACCAGGCAGCAAGAAATACATCCAAGGTGGTCAGTATGACTTGTAGGCAGAAGGAGACACAAAGAGCACAAAGGATAAAGGGTGCTGAAATAAGACGCCCAGTCACTGATAGAGGGGAGCGACAAGATGCGTGTCTTTTCCGCAGCGGCCATGGCCTCCCGTCGTCCAAATACATACTATTGAATATGAATGCACAAGAAATAGAAGTCTCATTAGTCTAGGTATCATCAACTATTCTCCAAAATCCATTGCAAACATTTCCGTCGACGGAGGCTGTCCATTGATCCAATCCGCCAAAATCGACGTCATGTCATCATTCAAAAATCCAGTGAACCCATCCCCCTCCGCATTCCCCTCAGGCTGCGCAACAGACTCATGCCAACTAAGCGGCAGATTCTCCGAAACACCAACAACCTGCAGTGAATCCGTGTTCTGATCATACATCCCCACAGAGGTATTCCGCGACTCCACCATCCGCCGCGCCAGCCGCGCAAAGGTGTCGCAGATCTGGTACAGCTTCTCGGCGCCGCCATGGATCTCCCGCGCGCTGCGGAAGGTATTGACGATTTGTTCGAGGAGATGCACGTCCTCTAGACTAGCTGCGGCGATGGAGTGCAGGAATATGACTACGAAGGGTGTGAAGGATGCGTTGTGAAGGGCCCTGTTCTGTTAGCTGAGGTATTGTAAACTGCAATTGGGGAATGACATACCAGTCGATGTAGTCTGCTTTTGAAAACATCTTTTGACCCCCGTAACCTGAGAAAGCGCGGAGATGACTTTGTAAAGCGAGTCTGGCGGCTTGGAAGCACTGGGAAGTCATGTCGGTGCCAACGCCGGGCATTGCTGGTGCTCGTAGGAGGGTGGTTAATGTTGCGTAGTACATTATGTCCCAGTGCGTGAGTGACAGCTCATAGATCTTGGTAAAATACACTCCGCTTCCGTCAATCTGACAGGCATTAGCGGAGAACAAAAAGTACTGGAAACTTGTATGGTTGCTTACTCGATCCAAACCATCCCTCCATTGATGCATATCAATAATCAAAGCATCGATTTGTTGTCTACGCTCCATCGCTGGGGCCTTCAGCCCAGCCACAGAGTACAGCTTATCAAAGATCAAACCTTGAATCCTGCCTAACTTGATAGCCAGATTGAACAGTTCAATCCAAGGTTTCTCAGCCGGATCTTCAGGAAGGGTTGGATAATGCGCGTCGATTTCAAAGTCTTGCACTCTCGAGGCATTACCGAGATGGAGAGAGTTTGTCTTGTCATAGACGTAGAGTGTCCAGAAGAGTCGACGCTTGTTCTCGGCAAAACCGCTTTTGTCTTTCTGTAAGGTGATTTCTCTGTGGTAGCCTAGCATCTGGCAGTGGCAGAGCCCAGCGTTGATTAGAGCGCGAGAGAGAACGGGTTTGCTCTCGTTTTGGACTTTGAGGACCTAGGCGATTTAGTTCAGTGATACCGGGAACAAATATGAGTTACTGACTGCAGTTGTGATGACAATCACATTTTCAAAACTTGGTACCTGTTGAAACAAAAATTGTTAGCAACTTGGAGCTTCTTGGGTCTTATATCTCAACAGTACCGTTAGAATCTCAAAAGTTTCGAGGCCTAGATGAAAGTTCCGTTCGGCTTGAGCTTTGAGCTCTTTTAGGTCATACTCTTGTCCAATAGCGTCTTCAGTAACCATGAACTCTCTGAGTAGTAAGCGCATGATGCCATTTACGCTTGTAATGTGACCTAGAGTAACTGGTTCTGTTGGGAAGTAGACCTTCTGACAAAGATGTTCGATTAATCGTACATCGGTGATAGCCTGTCCTGGGAAGAATCTAGTGGGATTGGCTAGACATGATCAGTCATATGATATCGAAGGGGTGGGTAGATGAATACCTTTGATTCTCCGTATGATAGCGAGAACAACTGCAGCCGGAAGAGGCGAGATCTCCGGAACAGAGCGAGTAAGAGCAGCCACAGGCGGTTTCTTTTCCTCCTCCTCATGCAGTATAGAGTTCAACTGATTAAACGATTCGCTCAGAGTTTGTGCTGCCTCGGGGGTTTCTGCAACTGCTGACCGTTGAATCTCCTCACTGGCCTGCACGAATTGGTTGATGAAGGATGAGCTCCCCTCGTACAAGCGGCCAACTGGAGATGGGGCTACATTCACGCCTGTATCCGATGACCCAGCAGGTGAGAGGGATGGTGCGTGCTTTGAGGCCGGAGCATATGTGGGCGTGGATGTGGATGGTGCAGGCTGTTTGCCCAGATGGCTTTCAACTCTAGCCAACCTAGCTTCAAGAGAGTGCACATATTCCTCCCTTTTCGAAATCAGTGGCTTGAAAGAACCGCAAGGAGAGGACATACAATTGTGCTATCCGATTGTCTGGTCTGGGACGTACGTCTGACTGCACTCCGTGCGCTTGTTGACAGGTTATCCCAGCGGCTCTACAGTTTCCACACGGATGGGCTCTATCACAACGAATCTAACAGCGTCAAAATATGGACTATTGTGGAATGCATCTCAACTGTTTACCTTTCGAACCTTACATGCTTCACACTTTGCCATTTGTTAGTACAGATCCTGTATAGAGCTAAGAGTCCGAGCTTGCAACGTCCCAGAACGGGAGTATGGAGAGACTGGGGTACGTACCGCCCGTGGAACCTGTGACAGACGAGCCCGCCTGGCCAAAATCGTCTCCTCTCCCGACATTGTTTGCGGAGGATGCAAGATGAGGTAGTGTCTGAGAAAGGATAGGGAGGGGTTTGCGCCGTTGCGGGAGGACGGGAGGACGGACTCACGGGGCAAAGAGGGTGAGAGTCTGAGGGAGAGCTGTTGCTTATTCCTCGCTCCCACGGGCCCGCGGGGCCGAGAGTCTTGGAGATCCACTAATTTCCCTGGAGTCGATCATATTGATTGGCTATCCTGTCACCCGCGGTGCCGATTAGATAGGAGATCGAAGTACTCCAGGGATACGACGATGCTTTGATACGCTTCTTTGTCTCGGCAGGGAAATTATGGGAATGCAGTCGTGTGCTTGCGGTAGATCTTGCGTATGTAGGGTGGGATTTCTGTCACAGATTTGGTCATGCATTAGAGCTTAAGTATTCCATAGCGCCACCAGGTTCTAATTTAGCCCTTGATATTTCCCGACACTGCATTTGTAGGTGGAATCTTCAAAACTTCTTTAAGGCTTCTAGCCTGTCTTTTAATTCTACTCTCTCCTTAAATACCGTTTTCATAATGTCGTCTACAGCAACACCCACCATGGACGAAAAGAAGGCTCCTGCCGAGGATAATGCATCGACAACAACGCAAGAGGAAGGCGAGAAGCCGGTGGGACTTAACGATCTATGGGTATTTGACCTCCATGGGATAAAGGGAAGGCTCGACACTTACACATTATAGCGCGTCTTTCAATTTGCCGACCGTCTCGATTGGACCCTGAACATCATCTCGCTCATATGCTCTATCGGAAGCGGAGCATCGCTCCCATTAATGACCATCGTATTTGGACAGTTCACCGGAAAGTTCAGCAGCTTCGGAAGCGGCTCGATAGATCCTGATGAGTTTCAGAAAGAGGTAAACTCGTTCGTGCTATGGTTTATCTATCTGTTTGTCGGCAAGTTCGTCCTGAGTTATATCGCCACGACTACTATCACCATCTCCGGCATCCGAACAACGCGAGTCCTTCGACAACAATTCCTCGAGCGCCTTCTTCGAACAGAGATTTGGTACTTCGACACAGCCAAGATTGGATCCCCTGCGACTCAGATCACCACGAACGTGACCAAAATCAACCAAGCCATCGCGGAGAAGCTATCCCTTCTTATCCAAGGACTCGCCATGTTTGTCTCAGCCTTTGTCGTGGCCATCGCCGTACAGTGGAAGCTGGCCCTCATCACCCTAACTGTCGTACCACTCTTCTTCCTTATCATTGGAGTTGGCATGGCGATCGATGCACCCATTGAAGCAAGGATCACAGGCGTCTACTCTCAAGCCAATGTCTTTGCTCAAGAGGTCATGGCTTCTATCCGAACGGTTCATGCATTTTGGGCACAAGGAGGAATGACGAAGCAATATGACGGGTACCTCAATGAAGCTCATAAACAGGGAAAGAAGAAATCACTCGTTTTCGGCATCATGAGCGCTTCTACATACTTCTGCATGTATGGGGGCAATGCGCTCGCGTTCTGGATGGGGTTCCGCATGTATAAGGCAGGCGAAATTGACTCTGTCGGCACTGTTCTCACGTAAGAACATCCATACTTCAAGTGATACTGAGTTATACTAATCCATCCTGCAGTGTCGTTCTGTCAGTCCTACTGGCATCGTCGTCTATTGGTCTCCTCTACCCTCAAGTACCTGCCCTTACCAATGGCGCAGCAGCTGCCTCTGAGATGTTCAAGATCTTCGACAAGCCCTCATTGATGGATCCCCTATCAAGTGAGGGTAAGATCCCAGAGAGCTGCCACGGCCACCTCGAAGTTGAGAACGTCTCTTTCTCATACCCCTCTCGACCTGACGCCAAAGTGTTGAACAGCATGACTTTGAACATCCCTGCAGGCAAGACTACTGCATTCGTTGGTGCCAGTGGTTCTGGAAAGAGTACCATCATTGGATTGCTGGAGAGGTGGTATGTGCCAGCTTCTGGAAGATTTCTTCTCGATGGTGTGGATGTGTCTATGATCAATGTTAAATGGTTGCGATCCCAAATGGCTCTTGTTCAACAGGTGAGTAGATCTTTCTTGTCGCAGTTGCAGGAACTAACCTTGTCTAGGAACCTGTACTATTCAGAGGTACCGTCTTTGAGAATGTTGCAAGGGGCTTCACAGAAGCTCAGAAGGCTCTGAGCAATGAAGAGCAGAGAAGGTTGGTCCAGGAAGCATGCGAAGCTAGCTTCTCACACGAATTCATCTCAAAGCTAGAACAGGTATGTAATTCACACAGCATCGACAATCGCATCTAACATCTTCAGGGTTACGACACTTATCTCGGTGAACGAGGTGGCACACTAAGCGGTGGCCAGAAGCAGAGAGTGGCAATCGCTCGTAGTGTTGTTTCTAACCCCAAAATCCTGCTTCTGGACGAAGCTACCAGCGCCCTGGATCCCACAGCAGAGCGAATCGTTCAAAAAGCCCTCTCGCGCGTGTCTCAAGAACGAACTACTGTGGTCATCGCGCATCGACTCTCCACAATCAAAGACGCCGACAACATCGTCGTTATCTCTGCAGGTCAAGTCGTCGAACAGGGTACTCATGACGAGCTGCTAGAGCTGAATGCTCATTATGCCAGACTTATTCGCGCCCAGAATCTTGCTGTCACTGAACAGGATTCTCACAACGATACGAGCGCTAAGCAAGGTTCTGCTACAACTGATGATGATGATACAGTGGAACGTGTCATGACGGCACAGACCGAGAAGTCCTTGGTTCTCAAGGAGGTAGAGCCAAAGATCAAAGAAAGATCTGTCCTTGCGAACATCTTCTTCATCATCAAAGAACAAAAAGCTCTTATTCCTCACATCATCACCGCCTCACTCGCCTGTTGTATCGCCGCAGCAACATGGCCCGGCCAGGCCCTCCTCTACTCTCGAATTATCACTGTCTTCTCTTCCAGCGAGCCGTCTTCCTCAGACGCCAACTTCTACGCCCTCATGTTCTTCGTCATCGCTATTGGAAACCTGTTCGCCTACTTTACTATTGGATACATCGCCAACCACGTCTCACAGTCCATTTCTCACCAATACCGCCTTGAGCTGTTTCAGCGTCTGGTTGGTATGGATATCGACTTCTTTGACCGACCTGAGAACTCATCTGGCGCGCTGGCATCTACACTTTCCTCGGTACCTAGTAGTCTTCAGGAGCTCCTAGGTATTAACATCTTTGTTATCCTTGTCATGGTTGTCAACATCACAGCAAGTTCTATCCTGGCTATCGCATATGGCTGGAAGCTCGCTCTTGTCATGGTTTTCGCCGGATTGCCTCTTCTCATGGGCTCTGGGTACTTGAAGGTCCGTCTTGAATCTAAGCTCCACGAAAGCAACGAGGTTCGATTCCGAGAGAGTGCTAGTCTGGCTAGTGAAGCCGTGTCTGTTCTCCGTACTGTTGCTTCTTTGAATGCCGAGTCTGGCTTTATCGACGCCTACAAAGAGACCCTCTCCAGCATCGTCCTCCAATCGGTTCGATCAATCTTGGTCTCCATGATTGCCTACGCTTTCTCACAGTCTATTGAGTTTCTCGTGATGGCTCTCGGCTTTTGGTATGGCTCAAAGCTCATGTCCACAGGGGAGTACACAGCAGAGCAGTTTTTCCTCATCTTCATGGGCATTCTTTTTGCAGGTCAGGCCGGTGCACAGTTATTTGCCAACCTGGGCAGTCTTACCCGAGCCAAGGGTGCTGCTAACTATCTCTTCAATCTCCGTCAAGAAGAAGCAACCATTCGAGAGGATGACGACAACAAAGATCAAGCTCCTGATTTCGATCATCCGATTGCTGTTGAGGATGTCCACTTCAAGTACAAGAGCCGAAGCACAAAGGTTCTACATGGACTATCCATGAACATTAAACGTTCTCAGTTTGTCGCCTTCGTTGGTCCAAGTGGTTGTGGCAAGTCGACGTTGATTTCACTGCTCGAGCGATACTATGATCCAACCTCTGGAAGGATCTGCGTAGGCGAGAAAAATATCAAACGCGTTTCACCTCGCCTTCTACGTAACCAAATGTCTATGGTTCAGCAGGAACCCATCCTCTACGAAGGAACTGTCCGAGAGAACATTCTGATGGGCTTGGGAGATGACGCCAACGACGCGTCCGATGAGCGCCTAAACGAAGCCGCTCGCCAAGCCAACGTTCTCGACTTTGTTTCATCACTCCCAGAGGGCTTCAACACACCCTGCGGTTCACGAGGTGGTGCTTTCTCTGGTGGCCAACGACAGCGCATTGCCATTGCTCGCGCTCTCATCCGTAAGCCCAAGCTTCTCCTTCTTGACGAGGCGACTTCTGCACTGGACACGCAGTCTGAGAAGCTTGTCCAAGAAGCTATTGACCAAACGCGAAAGGAAAGCGGATGCAGCGTGATTGCAGTCGCGCATCGCCTGTCCACCATTCGTCAAGCGGACGTTATTTTCGTCATGGTTGGTGGAAGAGTTGCTGAGATGGGTACCCACGAGGATCTTCAGGCGATGGGAGGAGTGTATGCGGATATGTGCCTGGCTCAGTCTCTGGATAGAGAGGCTTGAAGATTGAGATTGTAGCGTTTTCTTTTGTGGTAGATATTTAGACGAAGCCAGTGGGCTTAGACAAAACTCCATCAGTTCGGTTCTTTCAGATTGGTATTCTCTTTTACATACATGTATAACATTAATTAAACTTCAATTCTGACCGACATTCTCGAATTTTGATCGACTTGTAGCCAAGACTGAACCATGTCTTTTGACGCCTGTCTGTACGGAGTACTACGTGGTAGTATGGATCCTTGTCACTGAATGGGGACTGGCCTTTAAAAAAAGCTTGGCTACTTTAAATCAAGGTGCAGACCAATGCAGAAAGTCTTACTGCAATACTCCATCCTCTCTTGATCCTCCACCAAAAGGTCATGTCTCTGGTTCTTCCAATTGAGGAGTCTGTAGACGCTTCGGTACAGTCCCAACAGGTCCCTTGTTCATTAGCTAGCGGATCATCCGGGTCGCACCGTCGGAGTCAGCAAGACAGGCTCCACGGAAAACCCTCTCACGATTCAATTGAGCCTATTCTGAAGCATCCTACGCTGACGCCCGCCAGACATATACAAGGGGAATGGACCACGATCACATTCCTATCAGGATTCTTGTGGCCATATAACTTAACCCCATATCCGCGTGCTCATCGGATAAGCCAGTTCCAGTCATAATAGGGCCTTTTGCACAGTTGCCGCTGATTTCTTATCCGTTCTGTCACGGAACCTGGCTGGAATTAGAAGGTCGGACTATACATCCCGAGGTGGAGACGGGGGGTTCCATCAGGGTTTATGCTGGGATTATCTTGCTCATGCCGGGATTATAGGTTTATGCTAGGATTGTCCAACCCTGTGACTGGTCGAAGGAACCTAATGCCGGTTCGGATTCCGTACTCGGGTCAAATAAAGTGTGGCTTAAGCAAGGTACACGTCTTGAGGGACATTCCGTATTGAGAGGGACGCTAGGCAGTTGTATATATGCCATCATTAGGCGCAAACATTAATAATGCTGGCCGGGCCGAATGGGATGAATGCTACGTAAACGGGAGTAAGATAGATAATCCATGCGGCTAATTATTTTGAGTTATCTAAACGAAGGAGTGGGTTCTTATTAGCCTGTTGGCTAAAAGGTGGATATCGTGAAGCATTAATCCATAAACACATAAATACATCCATATTCCTCCATCCTATCCCAACATTTCTCCCAAGCGCCGATCATTTTGTGATTAGTAGCTAAACTACACCCAAAAAAATATCACAGAGGCCTGAAGAGCTTTGTTGCAGTCATGGGCTCCTCACGCTCGCTCCGACGCCTTGCCGTCGCCCTCCTCACCTCCACAGCCCTCGCCCAAGACAAGGCCGAGGTCCTGTCCAAATGCCTCGACAAAGCTGGTGTCCGCAATATTATCGAGTCTGATAGCACGTGGAGCACAGAGGCGGTGCAGTTCCAGAAGAGGCTTACACCTTCACCTGCAGCCATCGCCTTCCCCGAGTCTCGCGATGAAGTCGCCTCCGCACTTCAGTGTGCGCGCGACGCCGGGGTCAAGCCCAATGCTCTTGGAGCTGGTCACTCTTTCACTGGCTTTAGCTTGTCGAATCCTGGTCACTTGGTCATCAACATGGCTGCGTTTGACGATCTCAGCTTCGATACCAAGACTAACATCTTGACCTTTGGGGGCGGCACTCATGTTGGACCAACTGCAAAGTACCTCTGGGATGAACACAAGCGTCACGTGCCCCACGTGAGAGGCGCGCACGTGGGAGTCACTGGATCAAGCATTGGAGGAGGTTTCGGTACTACGTCTCGTTACCTGGGCACCCCCATGGACAACCTGGTTGAGGTTGAGTACATGCTCTACAACGGAACCATCGTCAAGGCAGGCAAGGGCTCTGACCTTCTCTGGGCCGCTCAGGGTGCTGGAGCTTCTTTCGGTATCATCCTCAGCTCAAAGACCAAGACCTACAAGCCTGTTTACGACAAGGCCATCAACTTCACTTTGTCCATCGGAAGCGTCAGCCCCGAGAACGGTGCAAAGGCCCTCGTCGCTATTCAGGACTACGCTACCAGCAAGCAGTGTCCTGATGAGTTTGCTTTCCGATGGAACATGTTGGCTCCTCCCTATGATGGCACTGGATACTTCTACGGCAACCCAGACAAGTTCGACGACGTTGTGTCCCCTCTGGTGGCCAAGTTGAAGGCCATTGACGGCGCCAAATTCTCTCTCAATAAAACAGTCCTTCCCTGGTGGGATCTAGAGGTCCAAGTTGCCGGAGCAGGCATGAACTTGCCCAATGGCGGAGCCCTCGGCGGCAGAGCCTTCTATACCCAAAGTTTGACACTTAACAAGCCTCTCACCCTGAAGCAAGCCCAGATTCTCTTTGAGAATACAGCCCTGGCCTTCAATCGCACCGACTTGACTAGATTTGGTTACTTGGACTTGTGGGGAGGCAGCGTTTCGAACAAGATCTCCGATTCAGACACCGCCTATGCCCATGGCAAGAACCTATGGCTGATCCGCTGGGACGCCAACTCTCTCAACCCTCCCAGCTACCCTGCCGATGGTATCGCTTACATGAGAGGTCTGATGAAGCCTTTCGAAGATGCTCTGGTCAAGAGCGGTCAGAAGCTCCGTGGTTTTGTCAACTATGCTGATAGCGAGCTTACGGAGAAGGAATGGAGCTCTCGCCTTTATGGAGCCAACTATGAGCGTCTTAAGAAGATCAAGGCTCGTGTTGATCCTGAGGGTCTGTTCACTAACCACAAGCAGTCTATTCCTGCTCCCAAGTAGTCAATACAAGACAGAAACCCGATTTAAGGGCTGGCACATATTTGATCTTGCCTGACAAGTGACTGCATCGCCCTAGTGGTCGCTGACCGTTAAACCTTAAATGCGGTAGTAAACAAGCATAAATTACCCGGCCCCACCCCTGCCATTGACGTATCGGAGTTTAAGATTCCGTTCAGAGTAGCAGTAATGACGACAGTATACCATGTCGATTACGGGATCATTCGTAAGCGTGATTATGCGCGTATAGGTTTATAGAAAACCCCTCTTTGCTTTCTTTCATCTTCCATCATTGTTTGCTTCAATCGTTTGGACAAGATGAAGTTCTTTCAGCCTTTTGCCGTTTTTCTCTCTGCTCTCTCATCCATTGCCCCGAGCGGGGTGATGGCGGAGGGAGATGTAGACTACCAGCGTCTAAAGGGTACGGAGATTAAGTACCAAGGACGTTAGTATCTCATTCTTGTGGCACGTTTACATACAACTAATAGAATATTCTTGTAGTGACACTATACGTATCCAAGCCTCACCCATCGCTGGGCTACAAGAAGCCTGGAACTCGAACTGGCGTTCTTCTTCTGACCGATGTTTATGGCCTCAAGCTCAGAGAGAACCGCGAGTAAGACAATCCCAAACTATGTAACGGCACTCCTAACAATTCATAGGCTAGCCGACAACTTCGCCAAGCAAGGTTTTATCACAGTTGCACCAGACCTATTCAACGGGAACCCAGCTCCAAGTGTAGACACTCCTGGGTTCAACATCACCGAGTTCCTCGGCAAGTACCCTCCCAAGGTCACCGATCCCGTCGTAGCAAAGGCAATCAAGTACCTACGCAAGGAGCTTAAGGTTCAAAAAGTCGCTGCATCTGGTTACTGCTACGGTGGACGATACGTCTTCCGCTCGTTGGATAAGAATGGAGGTGTGGATGTCGGTTTCACGGCTCATCCCAGTCTGCTCGCTACTGATGAGATCAATGCCGTCACAAAGCCTGTGTCTATTGCCGGTGCCGGTAAGATTTCTCTGTAAAACATATTGAAATATCAAATGCTAATACTTTCAACAGCCCAGGATGAGATCTTTCCCCAGCCGCGCCAAGCTGAGACCGATGCTATTCTAACCAAGATCGGCAAGCCTTTCACTTCGGTCTTGTACAGCGGTACCAACCATGGATTTGCTGTTAGGGCGAATGCGTCGATCCCGCAGCAGGTATTTGCCAAGGAGGAGGCTTTCTACCAGGCCGTTCGATTCTTCACCGCATGGGACTAGTCCTGTGCATGTAAATTCGTATATATGTTGAATAGGCTATAATGTTACGGTGGTAGGAGATGCTGGTAGCCGATTTGGCAATTTAGTCGCAAATCAAATATACCTAGACAATACGGGAAGCTTCTCAAGTGAACACGTGATAGTAAGAAATTGTATCACGAATTAGTGGCAAACCGGTATTCGTGGGATAGGCGTACTTACACTCGTCCAAGAGTAACATAGAATACATCCCTATCTCCTCGTCTATCTGTGACACACCATCAGAGCAAAGCACAGGAGACTAGATTCCCATGAAATCCTCGCCGGGCATAACCCTTAGAATCCTGGCTAAACATATCCCGTAGCTGGGCTTTGCCTTGTTCCAAATAGTCCTTTGAAATGATTGCGTCTTCCACATTTTGTACTTGCCAGAGGGATGTCGAGGGAGCTACCTCAATGAATGGTTCACCTTTCAATTGATAATTGAGCTCGGTGATTGGCACAAATACCTATGCGTTATCATCCTGACGAAAATACTGTCGGAAGAAAGTAAAAACGTGGTACTCGGAGAGAAGGCGCGGAAGTCTAGGATGAGACACCAACCATATCAATCACGGACTGCTTCAAAGATCTCAGAAGGTGTAATTGAAAAAGTCGACTGTGGTCTGCTTCGTATTGACTCGCACCCATTCCTTCTGAAGTAGAAGAAGGAGATGACTAATAACACTACTGTGTTGTCAGATGGAATTGGATCGTTGAGTTGAGGTTTTCAAAAGCCATCCATGGAGATTTCCCCCGAAAGTAGAGTGTACATCTCCCTCTATGGGAGAATCATCATCAGAATCTAGATTGTCGATCCATTCATGCTCACGGATTGCTCGTTCTGCAACAGGAAATCCATCTTCCCCACGAAGCCAAGTAAACATGTTCCTCGTCACCATTTCGGAGGTTTCATCCTCCGAATCACAGTCATCGTAGTCGATCTCAAGCTCTTGAGAGTGGGTTGAGGTTGGCTCGCATTTCGGTCTGATTGTAATGACTGGAGTTTCGGGTTCCTGTCTGATTTTGGCCCCTTCGGTGCGAACCCAGGTAAAGTATGCATACTTGAGGCCATGGTCTTTTCCACAAATTGAATGTTCGCGAACTTCCAGATTAGCGTCGCTCATCGACGATGACCCGAACGGCGGGAAGGGGAAAAGCGGCGGAATAGTGTAGTTCACATCATGGCAAAGAAACAGCAGCCGGCATTCGTCAGCGCGAGAGATTGATTTTGTCCATGGTTCTAGTCGAGGGACTGGTGTTTGAATAAAGGACATCGTTGTGCCCGTCCAGGCAGCTGCTGCAAGATCAATAATCCACCATCCAGCTCTACCTTCGCGCAGTGACTTGTGGTAAGCTCCTGTGATGAAAGCACCGAACCAAAGGAAACCAAGATCTGAGTCGCGGTTTGTGAGAATACGTAGGAGGATATGGGGATCCTTGATGGAGCTTAGATAAGAGAACGAGCCGCGTAGCCATAAGCCGCACATGTTACATGGCACGTCAGGCTCGAAAAATACACTGGTGAGTAGTGACTTTACTCCTCTGGCGTTGCAGCTAAGGGTTAAGAGTCGGTCTAGCTGGAGAATATGTGGTATCGAGAACCTTGATGCTTTGGGAGGTCTATTCTCCTTCATGTTGTCATAAGTTATTTCTGGAGTGGGTAGAATGATTGGTCTGTTGTCATACTTGATTGTCGGAATCAGTATGGCTGCTGCTAAAGCTGCCAAGATCGTCTCATCGCTTATGCCAAAGGCACTGCAGTAATCCGCCATGTATTGACATGCGGCATTGAATGAGGGTGGCGTGCTGTGTGATGAGGAGATATCTGCCGCTATATTATATGACACCATTATAGGGCGTTCTGATTCCAAGACTGTTGACTAAGGTGATAGTAGAATATTGCCTTTCGCGTTACGAATCGTGGCATCCCAGCAGCCGTCAACTGACAAGATGGCGGTCCACCAATCCGCAGCGCTTTTGCTGACAGTACCAATGTTGATTGTGATGGGATCTCCAACACTCAGTTGCGGTAACTTGTTGAGGCCTTCTTTGGACTTTGGTGTGTCCTGGTGGCATATTTGTGCACCTGGGATCAGTTCGGCCCACCTTGCGGACAGGATATATGCCCAAGCCTGAATGAGAATTGGAATATGGCGACTGTTTGGTCCAAAGAATTCGGTGAGGGTTGTCGAGGAATATTGTGTATCCGTAGTCCAGATAATCTTGGTAGGTTTGGCCCAAGCAACGTGAAAGATGGCTTCCGTTTCGAAAGATGGTAGATGATCCTCTTCTGCTGGAAGCCATCTAGTCGTCCCATTAACAAGAGCAACATTTGTGATGGACTTATCGACGGCAAGGTCGGGTGGAAATATTGGATGATTCGGAAAGGCGGTGTATAGTCTTCGAAGGTAATATTCAGAAGAGAATGCTTGTTTGAAAGCAGCATCGTGGAGCGTGGACCATGTTTGGTACCCTTGGGCGTAAATATTTCGAGCAGCTTGTTCGCTCGGTCGAACGGCGTCATCCATGATCGAATACCAATGGCAACGGTTGGAAGATAAAATTAGAGCAGAAGAATGGAAGTCCAATGATGACTCTGTAATAACTATTATGTAAGCACGTACCAACCCATATTGCGGTTCGGAGATGTCTGAGAAAGCTTCGTGACATATATCATTGGTTAGAATCGACTAGTTATCTGAACTTTATGAGGCGACTATATCCATAATCTCAGCAGTGCCATCGAGAACAGTCCTGAATCACGCTAATAGCAATGCTAACAATACTGAAACCTGGATCTCAAAAAGTCATCCCCTTATGCAATATCCCTTCGCAAGAACACAGCATCAACCGGAGGCTCCTCGTCATCGACATAATGAGCTCTCTGCGTATGTATCAGCCTATATCCTCGACGCTCATACCAATCCTGGTTCGCAGTCTAGATAATGTCAGCCTAGTAACTCATCATCAATAACCGCTCACTTACACCGATTTCTTTCCCATTGGCTTCTCGGTAGAGCCTCTTCTGCATCTCCTTCTCGGCAGTATGAAGAGCCAGAGTCTTGGCACAGAGTGGATAGTCAATTGCCATGTGCTCAACCATGTCCATCGCGGCTCGTCCAATACCCTTACTGCGGAGTGCTTTGGAGACGTAGAAGGTGTTGATCCAATAGACGCCTTCTTTGGGGAGGTCGAGGGTCATGTGGGCTGATTTCTCGTCCCTGTCGTCCAGAGAGATGTGGCCGATGGGGTAAATCTTTGTGTTTGTTGGTGTACGGGGCTTTGCTCTGAGACTTTCGGCTGTGTCTATCAATGGGGTTTTGCCCTGGGAAGGTCAGATATTTGAACATGATGCGGTAGGATATCAGGCTATACCGCAGGGAACGAGTCAAAATGAAGCTGAAGCAATTCGCGAGTCTCGGGGTCTTCTGGCCGGAGTGTCTAGAAATGTTTAGTATTTGATTATTGAGGTTGATTTGATAAATTTACAATCCAAAAGATGGACTTGCTACCAGAGGCTTGATTCTTTCTCCATCCTTCAACTCGTTGCTTGTCCCATCCACATTGGACTCGTTGCTCGTAGAGGCGACTGACGTGCTCTGGAGAGTCTGGGTTCCAAGGTACCAAACTTAGAGAGACCTGAGGAGTTGCTGACGGCATTTTGCAAAGTGTGATTCAAAGCTTGGTGTTTCAGTTCAAGGTAAACAGTACCAATAAATTGGAACATTTGAAGGAGCAATAGTATCTCTTTATTTATCACAACACATGACTCATCAAAATCCGAGGTGGGTCCGTGTGACAATTGACAAGTGAAGCGCGCCCTACAGCCTACAGCTGCACACTTTCTCTTTCAGGCCACGTTTCAAGGGACCTTCTGAGTGACAGCTGTTGCACGAATGTCGCCATCAGCAATTCTGCTAGTTAGATAGTATCGTATAGATTACCCTTTTTAAACCAGGACTAATAAGAGTCCGAGCCTTCCCTAGCGCGCAGTGGTTGTCGTTACAGGCGTTACAAATCAAGTGAGGGGCTTTTATGCCAAGAATCTAGACTACAGTATATCCCGAATAGGCAAATTTATACGGCACGGTCGTTTGATTGTTCAATGTTTGGAGAACAGATCAACTATCTTTCTAGCTCCATTTCCCTACGACTCTTTGAATCGTATTTACTTGTTAAGTCCCTATGTTAGCGAAAAGTACTTGAACAGTAGTCGGCTATAACCTATTCCTAACCGCTTACAATCCTCGACATGCCTCATCACAAATCTCTCATCCATCAGATCATCCACAAATGCTCCCTTTGGTCTCCCGAAGCTGTGCAAGTTGTGCTATATTGTGTTCAGACAAGGACGCCCTTGAAACCAGGGCGTAAGTCCTCTCCTAGACTTGGTTCTTCTGAGCTTGGAGTTATGATGCCAAGGAGTGAACCTCCTTGCCTAGGAACCACTCGTGGAAGTCTCCGTGTTCAAAACCCAACTCTCTACCCGCGACGAAGGTTGGGCTGAGACAATGGATGTATTTTCATCATCTTCCATATCGTCGTCGGATTCAGACATATCAAACCACTCATGGTTCCATATATTCCGTTCGCCCTTCGCATAGCCGTCCAAACGCAACCAACCAAAGATGCTGCGTGTTGCGTTCTGCGAGATAGCTTCCCGATCCCGATCCAGTTCTTCGTAGTGTGAGACTCCATCGGACGTAATATTGGCCTGCCGTACCAAGGATTCGCCTGAAACGTTCCGACTGCCTTCATTTTGCGATGACTGGAATTCAAAGTTGCCATCCTCGCATTCCCAATCGATACCCTCATATTGAAGCCAATGATCTTCGCATTGGTGATGAACTCGGACCTCCGTGTCGACATCCTCGACCGGAGTTTTGCCAAATGGTTTCCATTGACAGACAGGGATCCGAACGTGGTCGTCTGACTGAGAAAGGAAAAGAAGTCGACACTCATCCGCGCGAGAGATACGCCCATCTGTTGTGAGAGGGTGGGACACACGTTGCTGAATAAAGGATTGAACCGTTCCCGACCATGCGGCGGAGTGGATGTCAACCGGAATCTGTCCAAAATGAACTCTCTGGAGAATCTTGTCCTGTAGGCCTAGTATGATGCAACCGAGCCATAAAAACGCCACTCGAGGCGAACGTTCCATGCACATACGCCCAACCACGTTCACGTTATCGCCAGCCACATGCTTGATTGCTGCCAAAGTTCCCTGAAGCCAAGGAGTGACAGCGTTACACTCAATACGAAGCTCGTAGAAAACACTTAGCAGAAGAGGTAGTATACCCCTAGTATTGTAACTAAGAGTTATGAAGGACTTATCTATGTGATGCCTCTGGTGAGTCCAATCGTGGTTGCGTTTCTGTACTCTTTCCATTGAAGAGGCCATCCGGCGCTTACCAACCGACGAGTTGAGTGAATTGTTTTTTCAAGCGCGCTGGCCCTGATTCACAGATCTCACGAGGGTCAGGGTCGGTGTCATCAGTCAAATAGGAAAGAGGAGAGGCGTTGCTTTGCCATTCCAGGGCCCCATTTAATCAGAACACGCTTTTTTGACTCCGCCATCTTGGCTTGTACCAATGGTTCCATTGCCGTTCGCTCCTCTTGACTCAAGAGATTGACCCTAATCTTCCATAGTTCTTCGCTAGGGATATCTTCTTCCCGTTCGCTGAAAAACGTCTCATCCAGGTACTTCCAGTAGATTGTGTCAAACGCCCAACTCCTTCTGGCGGCGTAGTTGAGCCAAAAGCGACCCGTTGTCCAACTCTCTCGAATGTATGCTGAAAGTAGGAAAGAACCCGAATTCATGTCAGACTCTGACTCTGCCTCTTCCATTGCTGTAATCCAGGTTTCTAGCCTAATTTCGTAGACCTTCTCCCAATCCTCAATGCCTGCATCCCACATCTCAGGCGCATCAAGTAGCAGCCACCAAGGTGAGTCTAAGACAAATTGTGTTGGCCCAACGTAGGCGAACTCCCAGTCGATAGCCCCAAGAACATGGTCACTATGATCAATAAGGACATTGGCCGGTCTAAAATCATCTGACCAGAGGCAAAAAGAGCCTGAACTATCCGGCGACGGCAACCTTGCTCCGGCGTTCTTGGAGTAGGCAGACCAATTATCTTCGGCGAACCCAAAATTGGACAATCTGCCTTGTTTGACCAATCTGCGAAACAGCTGTCGAGCGACGTATTTGGTTCTACAATCATTTTCTGACGATACCATGTCGTTGTGCTGGAAGATGAGAGTGGCTATCTGCGTGTCGGCCAATACCGTATACCACTCATCAGCGGTCTCATAGGTCACACTTTTAGAAGGAAATATCGACTTGAGGATGTTTGAGAGTTGGACCATGTTGTTCATATAAGGGTAACGGGCCGCCCCAGTACCCTATGAGAGCCCGGGGCTACCTCGACAAGAGTTCCAATGCGCGGAAATATTGGCTGTACCAACTGCAGCACACACCGCGCCATCTCGACGTATAAGCTCTTGAGCTTTTCTTGGGAGATATCAGATCGCAAGACGGCTGTATCATTAAGATCCTCACGGGGAGCTTCCAGGGCTTGGCCCATTCCTCGCCGGGTTACGAGGTCCTCAATAATCATGAAAGACCCAATGTCGGAATCGGTACCATGTTCAACGAGTTTAGGTACGGGCAGTTGAGTATGCTGGCTAATGTACGCGACTGTCGCGGCTTCTGCAAGAGTCTTTTCTATCGGAAACACAGCTTGGTCTGGGCAGGGCAGCCGTATAAGAACATTGCCAGAGGGACTCTCATTATGAATAGGATACAAGACGTTGAAACCGCCAATTATTATCGGAGTTACCAAAGTGGCGGATTCACCAAGCATTATCTTAGCAAAAGCTTCAATCTTGCGGCATGTTGAGGATAACCGGACTTGTTTCACCGCCTGTTCTCAGAGTTCATCACTCCGGTCCCAGGCAAGATTGTCAGACTCTTGTCGGGCTGTCATGTTGAGTATGAATAATTGTGAGGGAAAAGACCTTGAAAGACAAAATGGACAAGGCATCACTGGAAAGAATATAGGCAGACTGTGCACGAAGGAAGCAATGTACGTAAGTGACGATCTGTGGCCTGATTTAGCGGGGTTAGTGAGGCAGCCACCAACTTAGGATGCCATCTCCCGACGCGGTTGTGTGGATTTGACGGCGTTCTCAGTGATTTGATTATGTAGACTTGAAGAATTTCTCAGTGACTGTGGCAGTGTTTTGTAAGATACTGGTTCAAGCATACCACCGCGTTGGCGGTTGGCGATCCTAACAATTTGCGACCCATTGTAGTTGATAACGTGTTGGTATATGTCTTGTATAATGTTCTTGGCGTCTCAGTGTATATATGGTTGTTTTGTCTTCTACCATTTGAAAAGGTGCCATGGAGTAGGGCGTATATTTTCCAATATGATATTGTGGCGGTGCCGAGCCTCTAAAGAGTTACTAGCGATGAAACAACTATCATGTCGGATGTCGGGCACGTTCATCCGAGCTTATTCCTCTCGAACCTCTGAACTCTCACTTCTCCACATTTTATGTTTTTCTCTCATTCACATGCTAACAGCTTGACTGCGAATCAAGACATTCATATACAGTCAGCGAGATCATGAGCAACTACCAATGCTACTGTGCTATTTGCAGCTGTCCGCTTGCATCCAGCAGCGTCTATACCGGCCAGTCTTCTCTGTCTTCCTCTGGCTCTCAAACAGATAGCACGTCCGATAACAACACAGATTCGGATGTCGATGAAGCCGACAATTATGACCATTCTGTCCTCAGCAAGATCGAACCGAACTGGTTGAATGAATTTCGCTGCCTCGGATTTAACGAAGATGCAGCAGATGTTGGCGCGTAAGCAATGGCTGTCTTTCAGTCTGATCAAGAAATACTGAACAAACCCTAGGGCTTTCATATCCGGTCCTTCCAAATATTTGGATGATGTAAGAGCTGTCTAGTATAGACCTGTTGACTTGGACTCATCAAAATGTTTAGGAAATAGCCTTGGCTACTCGAGGTGTCGGTGAGAGCTTGTTTCTCCAACTGAAGATTATCTCCACTCAACTGTCTCTTAGATCCAATTGCACCCGAGGATACCGAATTTAGCTGGTAAGGACTTACTCGAGTCATGTTTCAATAAGCTAACCAGCCGCCTCAGCTATCGCGACGATTCGTTTCATGGCCTGGCCAGAGTTTTTCCGATTCACGATGCCTGCTTCAGTATACTAAACAGAGTTCTGACTGGCTCAACCGACAGTGCTTTGCTCAACAAGGATATCTTATACGAAGTAATGGAATGCTTAGTTTCTTCCAACTCTGCTCTCGATATCGATTATGGCGGCATTGTTGGGCCTGACCAATTCTGGGTCTCATCAAGAGGCGAGGAGGTTAGTGAAACAGTGACGGACTAAATCGTTGTAAACACATGAGTACTGATGAAAATGTTTTCAGTATGTTCTCGCGAACCCAATGGACAGAGTTACGATGCTTGAGGAAGCTATTCAAGGCCAAGTTACGCGGACCGGAGCCCTGGACCCCCACAACCATAGTACATCTGGCCAAAGGCCAGCTGTAACCACAAAGAGTCTGTTCCTACAGCTACCTCCTGAACTACTTATACGCATTGGATTATATCTACCAACTCACTCTATCGCTTCATTCGCATTACTCTCTCGATCTTGTGCTGAGATTGTCAGAACGAATTCATTCTGGAAGAAACATGTTTTGTGGCAAATGAATTGGGCTTGGGAAGCTGACAATGCCGTCAAAACGGCACTTGGAGATCTCACATCCTTACGAGCGGCATGCCTCTGGCTGCACCACATTTCTTCACCTCGGAACAATGCATCGGAGTTCTTAGGAGTTATTAATCGACGCAGGATCTGGAATACTTGTGAACAGATCGCGGGGCGTTACTTCACTTTACTCAATCAGACACAAATTCCGTCCCAGAGCCAAATTCGTCTGGACGATCTTGATGCCAAGGGAATAGCAATCGCGTACGCCCATCCTGAGCACAAGGTTAAAAAGTTAATCTGGGTTCAATGTTGGGATGAGCTAAGCGGCGGTCCAACAACAGCCGAGGCTGTATGGGATAGTGACGGAATTCTTGTCGGCCTTGGGATGATTCTTCAGCGTAGACGAATCTTTGCTGGCAAAACGGACGACAAGGTGATGGGTTCTGAGCGTGAAAGATGCCGCATTTCCGCTCGACCATGCATCGAGGGTCTGATCGCCCATATGGATCGGGCAGGAGCCGGTATCCGTGGGCTTACGGTTCGTTGTCATATTGTCTTTCAACATAACTCCTAATATTGGCTAATGTGTCGAAGTTCATGTCTCGCGGTTACTACTCTCACACTGAATTAGGGAATACCGATCCATCTTTACACCGTTTTGCACTCTTGCCCGAAAACGGGTGCGGCATAATTGGGCTTGCGCTTCTAATTGATGCAGTGAGTATTTAAACTGACAAAGTCCACAAGGGGTTTAAGTACTGACTTCGTAGGGTGGTAAAATCACGGGTCTCCGATTGATTGAGAGCCCAAAGTTTAAGGATGATGAAATCATGGGTCGAGAGAGTGACGAGCCGTCATCACATCGTCCACGTTTCTGGTCTTGTAGGGCTGGCAGACTAGAGATTTCGGACTCTGAGGTGGCTCCTAGACGCGCAGTCCCCAAAGACATTCAGTCCATGAGATTGATTCCTCTTACTGATAACTCGAATAGCGATGAAAAGCAGCTCGTAACAGATCTCCTACCCCATGAGATTCTGCTGTGGAATCAGGACCAAGCAGAGGGTGCAGCCCTACGCGGTGTTTCCATCTACGCCCCAAAGGCGGAGAGCAACGAACGCATTATTCGAGGGCTGCGGGCTAATTTTGCTCGAGGTCACTCCACCCGCAAAAGACTAGTTGGGGACTTTGAATTTGGACGATGGGGTGCTCCTTTGGACCTGTGGCCTCAAGGGGATCTGGTCACTTTGAAAATTAACGGTTCCGAAGGAGAGAGTGTCTCAGAGATCGCCATTTTTCCAGCCACAAATCCCATGGCACTCAAGGTAAGGGGGTTTGCTAGAATCTTGATATCGTACTAACTTTGCTAATTTAGATCACTACAAACTTGGGAAAGACAGTGACCGCTGGTAACTACCTTGGAGGTGATTGGAAAGTCTTCAATGTCACGACTGGCCAGGTACTTGCTGGTTTGTGCCTGGCTTTTGAGCCTGTGAGCCACCCGGTACGACAGGTAAGTCCATGATTCCGATCTTTTGCTGGGAGACCTACTTTTGACACTGGTACTAGGGTGCAATTTCCTCCTTGCTGGCTATCGTGAGGAGTGCATAGGCGCATAGAAGATGTTGTTCTCGATCCTTGGTAGCCGCCAAGACGTCGTGCCTCTCAAGATTCAAAGGCGACATTGAGCCAACGTAAAATGAAAATAGTTTTTTAGCTCCTGAAACACCAAAGCCAAGATGAACTGTTTGTACCTTTCCATTGGCAGTATAGAAATAGCCCGGTGAATAGATTTTTAACACAAGCAAAACTGTTCCACAAGTTAGTGGTACAAACAACATACAGTTCCGTGCAAAGATTCAAACAAACGAGCCAACTAGAGATACATAATAGAATGAATACATGAAAATCGTTGGAGCCAGAGGAGTTTATATAATATCAGGATAAGTATTTAGAATTATGTGAATTAAAATAATATTAAAATCACTTTACTTAACTAGAGAGCAATTTCATCTCAAGAATAAAATTACTTAAAGGGGCTTGATTGTAAAGTGAATTAATGATATTCACTTATCCCGTACATAGTATCAAGAACTAATATATATTTAAAGTTAGGAAAAGATAAACGGCATTTTAGTAATAGCTAAGCGATCGAGAGGCCTATTCAATGCCATCGTCGAAAGTAATAAAAACGACCCAATTCAGACTTCCTGTTTTTGGTCTTGTTGATGGATCAGCTGAGCATAGTAGGCCTCTAAGTCTTATAGCTAGAGAGAGAAGCGCATCCAGGTTGAAGTTGGCATAAGCATAGATTTTTGGGCGCGTGGCAGGAGACATGTCGTGTAATTGAGAGGTGGAGGTTTTAGTTCAGGATGATGTTTACCAGCACACTGAAATCCACAAACTGGCTTGATTACAGTGGAAGGGGACGTGACTTGCAAGGTCATCGGTTGATCCCACCCAATTTAAATACTGTCCTTTCCAAGTAGTAGGAATAACTACTAGAGATTCTTGAACTCAGAGAACGGATTTCATAAAGCTTGTGGCTTAACAGCAAATGGCCCTGTCCATAACTCGCCTCTGGTCGAATGCCCATGAACTTGGAATTTAGGGCCGGCGCAGTTCGTCCGTATCTAACCTGAGAAGACCGACCTAACTTAGTACATTGCCAATCGGAATAATGTTATATAGCTTCATCCCATATCAAGCATCGCTTGGTATGCTACATATTGTGAAGTACCTGCTCTAGCTCTTCAACGCCAATTGGCGGACGTTTCGACCATCTCTCATGAAGATTCATAGCCTCATTCTTTTGCACCCCCTGGTTGGCTAATGACGATATGGCGAATACGGATGTCCTCATCCATATCTCCTGACCAGTCTGTAGACCTGGTACTCCAGCAGAGGTTGTTGGTATAAGTGTTCTTTGACGGACGATATTGGTGTTCGAGTCGGGCTTTAGAGCAACACTCTCCAGTTCGAGTCTTTCGCGATCCAGAAGAGCATCCGTGACAATGCCACTACATCCGTCTTTCGATGAGATGATTGTCGAGTTGCCGTCTGAAAAGGTACCCTCGAATGTTCCAGGCGTGGCATTGTTGGGAACTTGGACTGTTGGTAGGTTCATACCATCAGCATTCCTGCGGCCATATATGGCAAATCCACCTTCAACGATATGTAGTGAAGGTATAGCAGCGTGACAGCGTATACGATGCATCCGCACATGCCAATCCGGCCATTCATCACTCGGCGTAATCAAGACAGTATCAACAGCCACAGCCCGATCTCCCCACGGATACCATCTCACACTTGCAACAGACACATTTATCTCATTACCCTTCTCCGCTTTGATCGCCAAAGTGCCAAATTTCACCTCATCGCATTTCCATTTGACCGCCCAAGTTTCACCACCGTCTCTACTCAGCGCCAACTGATTATCTGGCGCAATCTGTTGAATGAGAGGTCCTGTAGGAACAGAAAACCCAAACGCGGAGGAGTATGCGAATTTGCAGTACTTGGCTTGGTTGGCTTTCATAGGCCATGCGACGAATTGGCCGGGTGAGAGCATGAAGTGGTGATTTCCGAGCGGGTGGTTGCAGAGGATTTGCTGGGGAGCTCGGATGACTTGCGTAGGAGGATCGAAGGGTGGATATGGAAGGGTTTCTGAAGTCCAGAATTCATCATTGCTTGCTAGACCGACGGCGATGAGGGTCTTGAGGCACCAGTAAACGGATTGCGGGGAGTTGTAGTCTTCAGCCATGTACATATTTCTGCCTTGGTGTCAGTGATGCTTGCAAGATGGTGATACTTTGAGGTCTACGTACGGATACAGCCAACCGATGGTGAGGGTACCGTCGGTGGAAAAGATGTCACTCGAATTTTGTGCCCACCACTTCAGATGCCGTACAAGGAATCCTTTGATAGCTCCAGGTGAATCGAGTGGCTTTGGCATGTTTGGGATCTTGGCAAACGCCAGCGCACCAAAGAATCCTCCACAGGCAAAGCGGTATGTAAGTGACCGGCCAAACGGTATCGACGAGCCTAGTGTTTGTTAGCTTGAAAGAAAGCTCATGTGCTGCGATGCTAACCTTCAGAGTCAAAATATCTCCAAATCTGCGATCCAAAGTCTCGGGCACGCTGCTGATAGATCTCGCATCTCGTCTCATCCATATCAGCCGCAAATTTGGAATATAGAATCTGGCTGAACTGAATAGCAAAGCTTCCAGAGTAATAATCCGCCTGTCTTCCAACTCCAATTGCATCTCGACGTCCGGTCTTGCTTGCTAGCTCTTGTTCATGGTTTGCTTGCTCGGCTGTTTGCCACGGCCCGTCTGCTGACCATCCATCACCGATGTAGAAGCTGTCCAGTATTTCTAGGTCGGCATCCATCTCTTCCTGAACTTGGGATTGAGGTACGCCGCAGGTCTTGACCAGGGCGAGGTTGCAGAAGACACGGAACCAGCGCCAGTTGGTTGGAGGCATCTTTTTTCCATTGATTGAACTCAGCCATGACTGGATGTTCTTCTTCTGACTCTCAGTCAAAGGATCGTAGAATCTCTTTGGGGCAGCGAGAAGTGCGAATGCGATCATCTCTGCTTCCACCATACGTTGATCCATGTTATGCGTTGATCCCCAGTACTCCGGATGCTGAGGATCAGTCCCAGCAATGAATCCTTCGGCCCATGGCTGGACCAGTTTATCGACACGAGCTTTCAGGTCTTCGTTGGTGATGGAGTCGTACCCGTACAGCAATGGTGCGATTGCCCATAGTGGCCTTGCGAAGCCCTCCAGTTGTGCCGCTGACTCATCAAAATGTGCACCCGTTGCTACTGGGATGCGAACTCGTGACTTTTCTGGTGAGAAGTATTTGTTGAGTGGACTGATTAAAGCGATGATGGCTTCAATAAAATCATCCCTGCTTTCGAACGGATTGTCTGAGAATCCTGGTAGTGGCGGCATTTTGCTGTGGCGTTGAGAGAGATAGGCTATTAAAAATATGTCAACAGTCTCCTAAGACTTTCTCGTAGATAACTTACCACCAGATCTTTATTAATAAGTTTATCATAAGTTATTCACTGAGTTTCTCATAACTCTTTCAATTTCTCATAAATCAAACCATTCGACACCTGGCACAACCCCAACCTCGGGCATCGGGCCATCTGTTCCGAGACGATTATAGCCTGAACAAGATTCCCCACCATTGGCCCGCTTAGAAACCTTCCCCATGGGGAACTTGTTTATGGTCAATGATCGACACGCAAACTCCTCCTCTCTCCAATTTCGTTACATAAACTGTGCGTCTGCGGGCAGCGGGACAACTCAAAATCGACAATCACAGCAAAGAAAGGATGAACAATCAGCCAACGCAGTCGCCCAGAGCTGGAAATGAGAATGGGTCTGTGGCTGCAGACGCCGAAACTCCTTCGTGCCAAGGATGTCGAAGGCGGAAGCTCCGCTGTTCGAGGGATAAGCCCGTATGCAATCATTGTGAGAGGTTGGGTGAGTTAATGTCTTGAAACATGTAGGTTTGGTGCTGACGCGAATAGACTCACCGTGTGTGTATGATCTGAGAAAGAATAAGCCTGGTATCAAGACTGGCGTTATAGAGGGCTTAAATCGTCGCGTTGGTACGTGACGCGAAACATCTTGATTCTACTGCTTACTGTGATTAGAGGCTCTTGAGAGCACGGTTTACAACAATGTTCAGCCCCAAGACCCAGGGTCATCATCCGAGTCTTCACAAATCATCTCAGCATTCTCAGGCCTCATCCAGGAGTTGCGAGGTTTAGTTTCCAGTACTGCACGTACATTGCCACAGCAAGTGGCACAGTCAACACCATCTCAAGCTCAACACACACCAGGTGCTGTATCTCTCTCTTCTCCCAACGATGTTCAACAACAACCACGAAAGAGAAGGAGGGTAGACAGTTGCGGCAACCCAAACATCGAGCTTGCGAGTCAACTTGGTGAGCTTGGAAGCACATCCAGCCAACTTCCCCCTCCAGAGCTGCTCGAGGAGGCCATCAACGCCTACTTCATCGTGGTTCAGCCGTGGATACCCATTCTGCACGAGACTCGCTTCAGAAGTCGCTTTTACAACCACGAACAACTGCCTTGTTTAACCGTGCTTCTGCACGCGATCGTGGTTGCAGCTATACGCTTTGTGGAGCCTTCCGGTCAGAAGCTCTCCGAAAAGGACATTGAGACATGGACATCAAGATCGAGAAGTATAGTACTGCTATCAGCCATGGATGGCATGAGCGTCGAAAATTTGCAGGGACTAAGTATCATAGCCTTCACAGACGTACGTTGTTCCCACTTCATTCTTTTCTCACATCTAACTCTGTGCTCAGATGGGCAATGGAGACATGTCACGAGCTTGGCCCATCATAGGCTCACTTACAAGAACTGTTGAGTATCTCCAGCTAAGTGTTGAGATGGATGATCGGCAACAAGGACCGCTCCTTAAACCTCTGACATCGTTGCCGCCATCCAAGAACTGGACGCAAGATGAGGAGCGAAGAAGAGTGTTTTGGAGTATCTTCAACCTCGATAGGTATGACTTCTAGATCGTCTGGCCAATCACATGTGCTAACCTTTTATAGACTTTGCTCCGTTATGACTGGGTATGCCCGTCCACAATATCATTGTCCAGTCCCCTCACATTCTAACCAATACAGATGGAACACCAGCCTAACGTCAGACGACGTTCGCAGAAGACTTCCCGCCGATGGAGGTCTCTGGCATAAAGAAGAAACAGTCCTTACTCCCTACTTCGGCATCTGGGATCGATCGGCCGCCAAGATGGGAAACTCAATCGTCTTCCTCCCAGCGCACTATCCCAGCCCCGAACAAGCGACCGAGCCACCCCCTGAGACCCCTTCCACCAATACAACAGCACCAAAGGGGAATGATACAGTCGATATGACAACTGTGGGGGCGTTCGCTTATTGTATTGAAGCGACTGAGTCTTTGAGTCGGGTGACTACTTACTTTCTTCAGCAGAGGATTAACTTCAGAGATCGGCAGGAGGTTGGGAATTGGCTGACTAGGTTTAAGGAACTAGATTTACGCCTGGTTCAGTAAGTCATTCTCATTCGATATGGGATGAAGAACTAATCCGTTTCCTAGCTGGAAAATGTTCCTTCCTCAGAAATGGAAGGACTCCAACATTTCGCGAAGACCAACTATCATCAACATGGACCCGAATCTTACACTAGCCCACATCACGCATAATACCTCCATGATTCTACTACATCAACAGATAGCCTATCCAGCACCCCAATGGACGGGCATAGTTCGTATGCCAAGCGCGCACAGCGCAGAGACTTGTCAAATCGCAGCAGCAGAGACAGCAACAATTACCCATAAGTATCTCAAACATGCGCCAGAGAACAGTCCGGTGAATAGTCAATTTGCTTTCTGCGTATTTCTTAGCGCTCGAGCTTTGTTGGGTAAGTCATATCTCATCAAAGCTTTGGATTATTTTGACGAGTTTAGTGCATTGGAGATACTACAAGACTGAATTAGCTCCTGATTTTTGGGTCTTGGTTGACAGTCTGGATGCTTTCGCCAAACGATGGGCTGGACATTTTTCCAAGGCGAAAGTCCAGACATGTCTGGCTGGAAAGTATAGCGCTCAGCTTCGTGCTCTCCATGAAAGGTGTGAGGCGAATCCGGATTATTCCCCTGATGTCGTTGGATATTCGACAGATGGTTTCATCCCTACGAACTCCGAACAAAGTCCTCGCGACCAAGACTCCAGCCTACAGGCAGTGCGTCACAATGAGTCAGCGACAGACCTTTTACACGCTTCCTTCGAAACAGGATCACAAAACCACCAGTTTCCTCTCGATCAGGTACAGACTCACCTGCCCAGTCATCAACTCAACTTCCTACCACAGATATCTCCTACGAATCAGGGCCTAGAGCACAATTCTCCTGACGAGCTGTCGGCTATTTCAACGGTTCTCATGGATCAGGACTTTATGCAGATGGATCGAGTTATTAGTTTTGACGATATGATGTTTACAGCTCAAACCATCGATGATCAAGGAGGGCCTTTCTCAATGAACAATTGGACGTTAGGTTAACGACGTATCATACCGGGACATTTTCTTTACTTGTGGAAAGTATCTCTCATGTTAGATGTCGGAACTGAAATCCTATTCTATGGCTTTGAACCTAAGCTAGACCCATCTTCAACAGCCTATTTCCGAATTCTATCAAATAATAATCCGCATATACCAGCCCATGATCCCAATACCTCTTGTAATCCTTTGCGTTGTGGTTAGCCGTGGCATTTTTCAAAATTGCTTCGAAATGAGCGCTCGGGTCCAAATCTTGAACCGCAAAAGTTCCATCCTGATTGCTCACAATATTTGACTTCTCCTGAGCGAGTGAAAAGTCCAGTGTGTCCTTGACGATCCGGATTGCCATTGTTCGATATCTCTCACTAAGATCGTGTGATCCATTCGCAGCAAGGGCTTGTGAGAGGACAAGCATTCCGTTTGCCGCAATGATACCTGCCGAGGAGTCTCTCAACGGAGCAGATTCGTCGATGGGTGCATCGAAATCCCAAAGAGGTACGTAACGCCCCTTAGTGCGGTTCTCTCCTGGTACAGGAACTTCGACACAGTCTGGAGATTTGAGAAGTCTGAAGATGAAATACTCCGCCAATCCCATAGCCGCGTCTAGGAACTCTGGATCTTTGGTCCAGTTGTATGACTGCGAGTACCCGAGAATGCCCCAAGCTTGTCCACGAGCCCATGTCGAGTTTGCAGCGTAGCCCTGGCCCGTTCTCTTTTGCTTGATCGATCCGTCGTTGGGATTGAAGTTGACGACGTGGAATGTGCTGTACATAGTTCGGCCAACTGAATCATCCGTCTCAGGCCGTAAAAGAGCCTTGATCAACGCCTTGGCGTGGGTAGTCGCTGCCTCAGCCATCTCCGTCTGTCCGGTCTGCGCTGCGGCGTAGTAAAGTAGATCAAGATTACACATTGAATCGATGATAACCAAGAAATCCTCGGTCATACTCGATATATCAACACCATCTTGCGCCAGAACATCCCAAGAGCGGATAGCACCGACAGTGGAGTTATATCTTGTGTAAAGCGAGCGCGCGGCAGTAATCACAGACTCAAGAGCCGTAAAATCGTGCAACACCTCCCAGCGAACTCTCATCGAGGGCTGAATCATGAAGGCCATGTCGTGCGTATCTGTCCGCTTGGCATATTCGTGGAGCGGATCAGACCAAGCCTGTCCGACAGTGAGTAGCTGTTGCAGAAGTTGCTGTTTCTTTGCGTCTCCGGCTGAAGCTTGCGGAAACTTTATCAGACGCTCGATAAGTGAGTAAATTGAGCCCGGGAAGAAACCGCATGTCCAGAAGAGTTTCTCACGAAGGATGTATTTCCCTGAGTCTGTTCCTGTCTGAGGGACGTATTCTGGATATGCGAGCGGTGGGTTCTGTGTTCTGTAAGCAAAGTGCTTTTGGTGTCTTGAGTGAAACTCACGTTATTCTTTAAACCTGTTTCAGCAGCGTGGAGGATCTTTGCTGTGATGTTGTCGTCAAAGAGATCGGACAAACTTGATGATATTGACTCGACATGTTGTTTAGCTGACGCTTTGCCGTTCTTTGTAGGCGCACTGCCGTTTGTGTGGCCGTTGACTCCGTTGGAAACAGCCATGATTGTGAAGAATATTGAAAGTCTGCAATTTTGGTAAATGCTAACTTCTCAATCTGTTTACTATTTCTACTCTTAAATGTTCTTGTTTGCTGATCTGCACTAGATTTCGTGAGGTCTCGGGTCGAATAAGACTTGTCCCGGGGCCGAGAAGCCGGGACTTCACCCGACGCCCGCTGCGGCAAGGTGGGTCACGATCAAGCTGACCTTCGTATAGGGTATGCGTGTCTGAAAGCCATATGTTAGATTCAGATGGACTATGAAGGCCTGGGATGGTTTTGGTGAATGAAATATATTCTTCAAACTACTTTCTTACTCTCGCCAAATGGCACAATAAGTGTAAACATACAGGTCGTCGATCAATGACTGTACTTTGAGCCGAGTGCTACACACCCCGTCTCTTTCGCGTGAGGCGACGGGTTTTCGTGGAATACCTTCCACTGCGACCGACACCCAGAAGGGCATCAGCCTGTAGCCTCGGATCTCACTAAAATCTGCAGATTCAAATTACGAGAGCGGAAAGAGCTACAAGGGTTTCTTGGATATCGAGTTTGTAGGCGGGAGTTTGCAAGGCTTGAGGACGATGGGCCTCGACCTTCCAGACACTCCCATCCACTTCTTCGAAAGAAAATCGTTTGGTGAGATAAAGGGAAGATTGAAAGATGCCTAGATTGACAAATGACGTAATCTTCTGATTTCTTTTGACATTTAAGTATTTCATGATTGGCATTTCGTGTCAGTCACTCAAGATTCCTGTTGTTTCACCACTGCTCGCACCACTCAAGGTAGAGCATAACGCCAACATTTACACAAAATGTGATATTGAAATAAATTTAATAATAACCCGATGACTCGAGATAAGTGAAATGTAGTCTAACTATTAATTTGCGTGTTCTCACGCATCGCAATCTATGGTCTATGATAAAGGATCTATCGGTATCTAATTGGCTACCAAGTGATAGCGGGCCCACTGATATCGGCCCCGTCTTGGCCCGGCACGTTGAGCTTTTTAAGTGGAGCCCCCGCCGCCAAATCGGGCATGTGAGTGCTGAAATACAGAAATGGATGTAATCCTGGTGGCTATTGAGACCTATGTCTCAACAGTAGGAATCCTGCAAGCATATGGCAGTACTCGTGACTCCTTATTAAGTAAAGTGTGCGGCTCACTCGGACTTCTTGGATCTCTTCGTCCTCAACTTCATGAGAAGGTATACGAAGCCATAAGAACTGAAGACAAACACCGTTGTGATGCCAGCATTCCTCCAACCGTAACTGTACTCCTTAATGTTCAGAGTGCGCAGGTAGTCCTCGTCCATGGTGTACGAGCACACCTTGCACTCATCAGTAGCATCAGGGTTGAGAAGGTTGCTCGGGACATGTGTCAACCACTCGGAAAGGTAGCTGCCGCAGGTACTGCCGTTGGGAGGACTGAATCTTGCTAGTTCCTTGTCTTTGCAGACAACTTCAGATCCCCACAGATCAAAGGTCAACATGCTGCTCATCAAGTAGTTGAATGGGTTGATATAGTAGACCCAGTAGCGCCAGAAAGGCTGGATACCGCTGTAGGGAACCAAGACTCCGCAGAAACTGACGAGAATGGTAATGATGAGAGGGTTGACGAGGGTTGCGAAAACTTCGTTGGGGGCGTAGGCTGCGACGAATTGACCGATGGCAGTGTAAAGGAACTCGTACATGAGCATGACGAAGAAAGTACCACCAGCGCGGGATGAAGTGTCAGGGAAACCGACGGTGTAATACCAGCAGACAAAGTAGATCACCGCACAGATAACCAGGTACGGGAACTCTGACACGATAAGGCCAGTGGTAAAAGCCCACCAACTGTACATCTTGGACTTGGATTCTCGCTTCTCGAAGATATCTCGTCGGTTGATGAACAAAGGCTGGAGCTGGGCAATGGCACCAGGCATGACGAAGATGAAGTTGAAGATTGTAAAGAGCTTGAGCTGCAAGTCTGAGACTCCGCTACCGACTTGCCAGAATGTGAAACCGTTGAACAGAGCGGAGGTCAAATGCAGGACGAACTTGTTGTTGATATAGTCGACGTTGCGATACAAGCTGATGTTCATGCGCTGCGTGACAAGTTTGGTTTGTTCCCACATGGAAGTGGCAAACTCGTGCCCGTCGTCCGTTGTACCAGGGGGCTTCGATGCAGCGTCGGTGATGATGTGGTCGAGTTCCTTCACAACAGCTTCATACTCGGGAGAGGCTAGCCAGACCTCGTTCCAGTCCTTGCCCTGAGACAAAGTGCCAGATACGACATCGATCATGTGCTCAGCAGGGTTGGAATCTTGAGGACAAGGGGCACCGTGACGACCGAAGTAACCAGTGACTGTCTTGCCATGATCGCCAATGTCGCCGAAATACACAGTCTTTCCACCTTTAGCGAGAAGGAGCAGTGTGTCGAATTGGCTGAAAAGCTGGGCTGAGGGTTGATGAATTGTGACGAGGATGGCTTGACCGACGGAGGCAAGCTTGCGAAGGAATCGAACGGTGTTATACGCTGACTGTCCGTCCAATCCAGAGGTGGGTTCATCAAGGAAGATGAGAATACTGGGCTTGGAGACTAGCTCGACTCCAATAGTGACACGCTTTCGTTGCTCGACACTCAATCCAGAACCAATTCGCCCGATCAGTGTATCGGCAAGATCATGGAGCTCGAGAAGATCAATAATTGTATCAACATACTTCAGCTTCTCCTCGCGGGAAACGTCACGGCTTTGTCGAAGAAGGGCGGAAAACTCGAGGGCTTCGCGGACGGTGGCGTAAGGTTCATGGACATCGAGTTGTTCGCAGTAACCAGCAGATCGTTGGAATGAGATGGGAAGAGGGCGGCCATCAACCATGATGGAACCATGGATAGTACCTTCTGTCTTGCGCTGAGCCAGGACATCCAGAAGAGTCGTTTTTCCAGCACCTGAAGCGCCCATGAGAGCGCCCAGCATGCCTGGCTTGACCCAGCCTTGAACGTTGTCGAGAAGGGTACGTTCTCCGGAGGGTGTTTTGACGGTGTAAGTGAGTCCTCGCCAGGTGAAGACCGAGGTGTTGCGGACAAGGCCTTCGGTATTGGCGTTATCAGAGTCATCTTCGGAGACGACGCCGCCATCACGGCTACCTGAGAGCTTCTTCTCACCGTTGGTTTGACCTTCTTCATCGGATTGACGGAGGGCAGCGGTGATGTGAGCGTTCTCTCGAGGAATCAGCAGACTTGGGCCATCTTCGGAAGAAGCATGCCACTTCGTGGTGGAATATACGGTGATGACCACAAAGAGCAGCCACCAAGCCCAGATGATACCAAAGTTCCTCCACAGATGATCATGTCCGTAAGACATAGAAGCCAGGTAATCATCGCCAGTGACAAAGTTCTGACCAGGCTTTGCACCACCCACACCAGCACAAGCTTGATGATCGCCATCGGTGAAGCCAGCGCCACTAGGAACGAGGTTGTTGCCCACACAAGGGATGTGCTTGTTGTGGAACTCGTTCGATAACAGAGCGTCGAAGGCGTAGGCGAGGGGGTTGATCCAGAAGATCCAGACGAACCAATCGTGCATCTGGGGCTTTTGGATGAGGTAGCCTGAGTACATGATTGTTGCGGAAATGATGAGACCTGAAACCTTGGAGGCTGCGTCGAAGGTACCGAAAGCTGCACCGATTGATCGGAAGAGGGCAATCATACACTTTGAAATACGTTAGAGGAGACGGTCTATATGAACAAGGAGTGGACTTACAATGGTAATAGCAATCAGCAGGATCCAGAAGGTGAAGAAATGAGAAGCGGTATACGTCAACCCCGCCATGAAATACTCAATGAGTGAGAACGTCGTGACTTGTAAAAGAACAATCGGTATATCGGCTGCAACCTGGGCGATACAAAATGCTGCAGGGTGATACATGGCGAATGACTTGTGCTTGAGCAGAACAGGACGGCCGGTGAAGGAATCTGTGACCTCAGACATGGAGATGAGAGAATTCGCAAGGAGAGCAACAAAGATGGCACCGGACTTGATGAACAATCCGCTAGAGTCTGGAGAAGCGTTGTAGAAAAGTGAACCGGCAACGAGGCCCTGTAGAATCATGCTGAGCTGCTTCATGATCAGGGTGACTTTGTCGCCCCAGATGATCTGGTACTGACGGATCACACAAGCCTTGACCTGTTCGTAGAAGCCAACGGTCAGGGGACTCTTGTCAGAGAGTTTCTTATCCTTCTGCTGACGAACGCCCTCCTTAAAGAGTCGTGTCCTCTCCTTGGCAATCTCAGTGGTAGGGTAGTCATACTCAGATCGCATACGTTCATAGATGGGCGACTTCTCGTACTCAGCCCGAAGAGCATCGGCAGTTCGTGGGAATCGGTTCTGGTGGCTAGGATGGATCTGGCGTTCAGTGGGAACGGTGACACCAGTGAGGTAGTCGGCGACGTTGGCTCCGTGCTGGCAGATGAATCCCATGTTCTCCATGAAGGGCTTTGCTTCCTTGGCGGGGCCGTAGTAGAGTTGCTTTCCTTCGTCGAGAACGAGGACTTTGTCGCAGAGGTCGTAGATGCTGTTGGAGGCTTGGTAGAGAGTGAGGATTGAGGCGTGGCCGAGGACGTCGGTCATTGCTCGGACGGCTTTGGTGTACTCTAGAGCACTGCAACGATTGTTAGAAGGGCTAGGATTGCGATGGATAGGGGATACTTACGTGCTCGCATCTAGACCACGAGTTGAGTTGTCCCAGCAGTAGACTGAACCCTGCGTGGCTAGGGTCTCGATGATGGAGACTCTCTTTCGCTCACCACCAGAGACACCGCGGATGAAAGCATCACCAACCTTGGTATCGACAGTGTGCTCAATGCCCATCGACCTGAGTAGGAAGTCTCTGGTCTGCACCCTCATCTCCTCATGGGAGGTAACACCCTGGGGGAGAGTGAAGGGTACTTTGAGACGCGTAGCAAAATCCTGAGTCTGAGCAACAGTCAGGGCAGGGAAGAAGAGTTCTTCTTCTGTGTTCATGACGATCTGTCCTCGATACGTCTTGGCTTCCTCAGCTGTCATGGATCCATAGTGTACATCGCCCTCGATCTTGGCGTATCCTCGGCGTTTATTTGCGATCATGTTGAGAAGCGTGGTGCAGCCTGAACCAGGGCGACCGAGAACGAGGAGCATCTCACCAGGCTTAACGCAGCCATGGCTGTTGTCGAGGATGGTCTTGAGGGGTGCTTTCTGTCGAGACTCCTTGATGAGCTTGGGGATGTTGTATTGAGAAAGCACGTTCTCGTGGATAGCTGAGTCGGCGGCGATAACATCTACGTTGAGGTTGGTCCATGTTACGCCAAGCTCTCTATCTGGGAAACCAGAGGCCTTGTCTCTCTCCTTTTAGAATTGTTAGCTGAGAACATTAACCCAAGTCTGGAAGTGTACCTTGAATTCGACAACCTGCGACTTCATACCCCATTCCTTCTCCTCGTTTTGGGGCTTTTCCATCGGAGTTGGTTCGTAGACCGTTCTTGAGTCTGTATCGGACTCCATTGTTGGCGTTCTGTTGTGGTGGGCTTCAGTATATTCTTGGCTAGACATAGCCGTACTGGCTGAGCTTTGCACTTCGCTTTACACCTGAAGTCGATATTATAGATGGAGGATATTAAATGGTGTTGTTTGAAGTATGTTGGAAAGGGTGTTATAAACTGGCTATAAAAGACATGTTAATGTTGGTTGCCGATGGATCCAGTATTGAAGACTAAAGTTATGGCGGAGTTTCTCGGGGTCCGACGGCAAACTTGGGATTTCCAAATGTGCCCAATGGTTTTATTAGAATTTTCTTGATTACAACAAGCGTCATAGTAAAGCGGATATCTTCGATCCACATGGATCTGACACACAATACTAATCGTCAACTGCCGGAGCCGCTGAGTAATGATCTACTCGTCCATTTTACCGAGTACTCGGTTTGCACAAGTTATCACGAAACGAGTTGCCCTGCCAAGTTCTATGCAGGGTCAGAGCACGGCATGTGGAATTGATAGTGTCATTGAGCCGCGTCTAGATAAGGATTCACATGTGAAACACTCAGTATTGCAGGATTGACGCGTCATTGACGATCGAATTACAGCTGCTAATACTGGACAAACTTCAAATGCCGTGAATTCTGACAAATGCCCGGAGGATTAAGAAGAGCGAGAAGAGCGAGAAGACCGACCACGGACATATGGCCCGTGTTATTTATGGGGGCTCGCACTCGCTAAGTGCCCTGAAGATCGATCACTACTAACAAAAGGGGCCGGCAGACGGATATAAGTAACAGAAAACGGACAAAATATATCAACAGGCCGAAAGCATGTGGGAGATTTCAGGCAGCCAGCGCGGGATGTGCGGGATTGTTTAATAAACCGCTGGGAGAACATAGGAATATAAATCGTCACGACATCTTCAGGCTAAAAATGAAACAAAAATGGGCCGGAAGATGCTCAACCTCCGCTTAGCTAACTGTTCAAGGACCCCTGGCCTAATCCTTCGGTAGCACGCGCCGATCTACAGCGACCACGCTCTGTAAGGTTTGACACTTTCCCAAAGACGTTTAGCGCTGATATTTACTGATTATCTACAAGAATCAGCCGCTTAATAAGCGGCTTCTTTTCCAATCCGGTCGACTTAACTTCCGAGCCTTCCAGCGTCGGACACGCTCATTCTCCGCCTCCATCAGATCGTGTCATAGACCTCAGACCGAACTTGGACGAATTTTTATACGGTGGCAGCAACCTTTAGCTATCGACGGCCGCGACGTGACGGAAGAGCACAGTGATTGATTGCCAAGAGTCCAAGTACTGCCAGTGGCCGTTTGTCTTACTTGGCTTTCGGTTGTGGTGTTGTGGGACCTGGAAACTCACCAAACACATCCTCCGGCCGGACTAAGCGGCGAATTCCTCTTTAATCTGCTTGTCACCGCTGCATGAAATCTGGATCGCTCAGCCATGGTCCAGAAACGGGCCTGTGATGCCTGCCACAGGAGAAAGGTACGTACACGCACTCAAAGTGTGCCCCATCTCATCCCTTTCTTGGAGCCCTCGCATATCTTTTTCCGATCGATTCACTGCCTTAGATCCTCCTGGGTCCTCTAATCATCTCGGAGTATTCACAATACTCAGGGGCACCCCTGTCTTATCTACGTCACTAACACAACCATCCAGATCCAATGTGATTCTGGAAGCCCAAACGCCCCCTGCAACTGGTGCGAGCATCAAGGCCTAGATTGTACATTCGATCGTGTCAGGGGACGCAAAAAGCAGCCTAAATCCAGGTAAGTCCCATGTCAAGTAGGATTGACGTGCATTAATCAGATTCCAGATCGAAACAGACGACGGAGAGCCTATCCGAACGTCTAGCACGTGTTGAGAAAGCTCTCTCGCAGGCATTGTCCCATAACAATGGTGATGGAAAGGGTGCCGCCAAGAACTTGACTCCCAATTCACAGTCCACAGATTCACGCATGAGCTTGGACATTCCTCAACAGGATCAAGCCGGGTCAGCATTCACGTCTCAAAGACCATCCTCAGTTTTTCTCAACGAATCTTACACCGCCTCCAACTCTCCAAGTATATCCCATGATTCACCTTTCGCGTCTCATATCCCTTCTCCCGCCGGTGGTCTCACCAATACTGTCTCATACGGCCAGATCCACTATCTTGGCTGCCACTTTGGCCATATCAGCCAACACAATGGCATGCCTCTTCTGACACAAGAGGGAAGGCAATGGATCATGGAAAAGACAGGCCAGGATGTAATATTTGACGCAGGGACTCAACATTGGTCAAGTCCCGCTCCATCACCGGCACCGACTGACTTACTCGAGCTACCTGACAGAGCTATCACAGAGAAGATTTTTGATGTCTTCATCCGCTCTTCATTTAGCTTGGTGTTCCCTGTGGTTGACCGGGAGCTGTTCAAAACAACCATAGAGATTGCTTACCAACCCTGTATCAGTGAGATGTCATTGGAACAACTCAGCGCTAAAGCGTGTGTCCTTGCATTTGTATCCATCATATCCTTGTTTGAGGGGTCGTTGGCACTTGTACCATGCTTAGATGCTGATATATGTGCCCGGAAAGCACGCTATCTACTCACAGATATCCTTGAGGTAGCTAGTATTACAACACTTCAGGTGGCCTTCATGCTGGTAAGTCTTAGCCTGCACTCGACCTACCCACACTAACGCGATTAGAACATGCATGAAGTATTCTGCGGAAGGCTTCGATCCGGTGCAGTATTCCAGGCCATTGCCTGTCGTATGGTCTTCACCCTCGGTGGCCACACACACATACGTCTCAAACCATGGAAATCACCAATCACACGCACAGAACGCGAACGGCGACAACTAAGAATGCTATTCTGGCTATGCTACATATTCGACAAGGATGTCGCTCTTCGGACAGGCCAGCCACCTCTCATGTCTGACGACTACTGCGATCTTACACTCCCGGAGAATTACTTGTCTTGCTACTCATACCTTCCCAACCTGGACGCCAATCTGCCGCCTACATCGTTGGACGATGAAGGTCTTACACCCCATCTACCAAGTGACCCTCGCTTGAGTCACATCAAGGAACGGACCAGTCGTCTGCTATACTCAGCCCAAGCCGCCAAGAAGACGCCTTCACAGCTACTCCGGGATATTAGGGAACTTGACGAAGAGCTGGAGGCTTGGAGAATATCCATTCCCCCTGACTTTCGTCCGGCACTTTCTATCTACGATGAATCTCAGGTTGCTCTTGAGGGGATGCATTTACATCGCAGTATGCGTCACATCACTCTGCATCTAGATTACCATCACTTGATGACGGCAATTCATCGAGTTAGTGGAAGATGTATGGGGCCTGATTTTGAGGCACACTCTGACAACGCAGGCTGGGGTGCAGGTGTTGCTTCGAGTGTTGCTCTTTCTTTAGAGGCCAGTCGTTCCACACTGGTGTACCTGCGGGCTGCCATGGTTGGACTTACAGGTGAAGCATTCTGGTAACCCCCCCCCCCCCTCTTTTATACACCCAGGCCTAGCTAACTCTCATGCAGGATCGTAGTATTCTACCCCACAGCAGCAATGATCACCCTCTTCTTCAACATCCTCATGCATCCTCTCGACGAACGAGCCGAGAGAGACCTAGGACTCCTCAACGGAGCCGCCGAGCTAATCAGCAGTCTTCCAGTTCAACGGCTCACACCGCATGAGATCTCGCATATGAAGCTGGTTAGCGAATTTTCTGCTGAGCTGGTTCGGATGTGTAGGTGCGCAATAGAGAAGGCGAGCAGGGAGCAACAGGAAAGATTGGATATGCTAGGGATGAGGCTCCAGTAGGGGGGAGTTTCGGCCGATGTAATTATGATTTTCCCGACTTACGAGGTGCGTATGAGGGATGTTACTAGACTTTCTGACTTTTGTTCAAAGAGAAAGAGCCACAGGCTGGCAGAAACGGTATAACGTGGTTGAAGAGCGTCTGAAATATTAGGCACCATATTGCACACTAGTAGGGAGAGGTACGCCACTTTGCTTGCCTCTCAACATGTACAGGTTGGTTTCAAAGTCAATTTACCTTGAACTACCAGTTATGCTTTCCCTTGCACCGGAAGGTTCCTGGCCTTGAAATGGCCCTTACTTATCTTCAACGATCCTGTGGAATAAATCAAGGATTAGGCTACGGCGATAAGTTGTGTGATTTACTATCAGCCACTGTATCTAATATGCATGTAGAGGACTTAGAAAGCCGTTGATTTAGATTATCATTCCATCTCTATGAGGCCTTATTTGAACTCGTTAAATCCTGCTTTCCTACTTTTTTTCTAGGCCATTGCTACTGAAAGAACTAACAAGATGAGGATCGAGAGTGATGATCTTGTTAGCCAAGCCTACCCTCAGCTGCTCCATTCCACAGTCCAAAATTTGAATTTCTTCCCAGGGTGATTCACTGGTACCGTAACTGAAAACACCTTGGCGTACCTCACCAATTGATTTAGCATTCTCAACTGTACTGTTAAAGTTTCTCCTGTACGACCCCTGGATCTGGGAGATTTTCTCGGTGTTCTCCCAAAAGGCGAGGTCCACGAATGAAGGCCAATCACTGTAATCTAAATTATTTTAGTTACCGGATGTCCCGGAACCTAGTATCAAGGGGATGAGGTCTACATCCATGCTGAAAGATATCCCAGGGCCGAAGACCAATCGGATACATCAGTGACTTCTAAATTGCTCTACTCGGTCAGGATGTCGACGACGGTGAGTCAATGTAGGCAATTAATTACTCTTATCGTAGCTGAAGGGCGCCGGACCGATGTAAATGAGGCCGGATTGCATCAAATATGGCACAATGATGCATGGCTCCGGCGTTTCCACGTTGCCGACGAGTCTCTGTTGAATATCCTCTTGCTATTTTCTATCATATGGATGGTCAATAAACTAAAAAGCCGGATTGATAACGGAGCTTTAGAAACTGGGTGTGAATTAGAGAGATAGTAGCCCCCAAAGTTCCCCGTAAGAGATTGGCTCTGGTACATGTCTGCCATGGCTTACTCCCACTAAATAATAAAAGAGATTTTGTGCTGTCTTTTAAAGAAAACCGTGCCGGGATCAGAATGCAGTTTGCCTACGCCAAAGCGTGAAGCCGAAGCTTAGAAACAGAAAGACACATTTTAGGTGGGGTTATTACGTATACCCTGTAGTCGGTGTATTTGACACACGTTCCTCAACCTGGGGAAGGAGCAGCGAGAGAAAAGGCGCAGTTGCAACTCGTCGGAACGGCCAAAGGGCCTTTGGCACCCATTCTTCACGCAATACTTCCCAACAGAGTTGTTTTGTAGAGCCTAAATGCACATATTCCTTAACTGTCAAATCAACTTGGATGTTGTTACACTGGTTTATTACCCAGAATGCTCTCTGTTCCACAAATACGGATGCTGTTTGCCATACACCGTTGCAATACGCACTATGCACGATACCCTCACACAAATTTGACCCACCTTTCACGTCCCACGGAATGGTTGCTGGTAAGTTTTGTATCATATATGAGCCAGAGATGAATACATTAGCATAGCAACGGTGCGCATTTTGTTCGTGGCCAAGAGAACTAATAATTTCTTATTGGCCTCATCCTGCCCTCCAGACTCACAAACGCTAACATGGCTGGCAGATCAATGACAGGTCTCCGTTTTCGATGGCTCCTTTTCAGCGACATTCACTTCAGGCACCAAGATTTAGATCGAGTGCGGAAGACAGCAAGTTGGATTATCGAACAGGCAGAACGGCATCAGATCCAGCGCGTGGTGGTGTGCGGCGACCTTTTGACAAGCCGAACCAGGCAATCGACACATGTGCTATCTGAATGTTACCGTTTCATCAGCCGTCTCAGCGACGCTGTCCCGCGAATTCACATCCTGCTTGGCAACCACGATCTTGCCTATCGTCGCGAGTATCAAACCACGGCCCTCGATGCCCTCAATTTCAAGCGTCTGGCCCCATACGTCTCCTTACACAGCGAAGTTACACATCATGAATGGGACGGTCGGCGCGTCATACTGCTGCCATTTCGAGAAGAGCAGAACGAGCTGACTGAGGCGGTAGCTGCTCTGAGTTCCAACGACGCTTGTCAGACAGTTGCCTTTGCCCACCTTGCGATCAACAAGGCTATCACTCAGCGGTACGTCGTTAAAGCTAGTGTTGATAGCCATCACGTGGCGAACTCCATTACGTACCGTGGATTGACAGGTCCGGACTGGTTTGCGTCTCTAGCCCGGACCTTTACAGGGCATTTCCACAGTCACCAGACCATAACTCAAGAACGACTCGGCGAGACTGGTATCAATCTACAAGGCAGCGTGACTTACTTGGGCTCACCATTGCAACTGAACTGGGCCGATCTCTACGACGAACAAAGGGGCGTTGTCCTGTTCGATCCGGAGACCCTTGAGCATGAACTCCTCATAAATCCTTACGGCATAGGCTATGTAGCCACTGACCTACAGCAAGTTCTGGACGACCAGGTCGATACCGATACCGTAGCAGACAAGCACGTCATGCTCATCGGCAGCCTCACGCATCTCAAATATGTCACGGCTCGCGACAAGCTTCTCTCTCTTGGTGCGAGAAGTTTGCGCAACTGGACTCCTGCGGGCCTCTTCTCCAAATCTCTTCTACCACCATCAAGTGGCCTTGGGTTTTCGGTACCGGCGAGTGATGTCGCCACTCAGGTCTGCAAGAAACCTACTGAGAATGAAATATGTCCAGCCACGCCAACTGATGTACCTTTGACTTCTGACACAACTACCAATCCTCGTGTTGAGAAACTTGATCTCAACACAGAAGTCCACGACTATGTCGATTCGGTAGACCTAGACCAGTCTCTTCTCTCGCGGAAAGACGATTTGGTGCGAATCGGCCATAGAATCATAGAAGCCTCTCATGAGACAATGGATCATGAAGAGGTCACAGCTAATTATAAGGACTTTCTTCATAGAGTGACACAAGTCGATGGTACGAGAACGGCCACTGAGTTAGCAGGCCCCTCTACCCACGTCTTCGTCGCCATCCCGCGCACTCTTACTATTACCAACTTCCTCGGCATACAAAACATCATCATAATAGACTTCCGACAGGACATTCCACGTGGATTGACCTTTCTGATTGGTGAAAACGGCTCCGGCAAAAGCACTCTCATTGAGGCCATGACATGGTGCCAGTTCGGACAGTGCGTTCGAGGTGGGCTGACTGTCAACGACGTTGTGAACGATGTCGTTGGCAAGAACTGTGTTGTGAAGTTAGATTTCGCCAACGGGCACTCTATTACTCGGTACCGCAAGCACAATGTTCACAAAAATCGGGTTGTCGTCTCATTGCATGGCAAGCCGCAAACAAACCTTGAGCATTCAGATGCACGTACAACGCAAAAGGCCATCGATGAGTTACTCGGCACCGATTTCGAAACGTATACCAGAACGATCGTGTTGAGTCACGGTAGTGCAGCGAGCTTCCTCAGCTCGACACCAGCACAACGACGCGAACTTATCGAGGCATCCCTTGGGCTATCTGTATTAGATCAATGCGGGAAAACTTCAAGGTCGCTACTTAAGAGCATTGACATGGATATGAATATGCTGGAGGTCCAACTGGAAGGGGTCAACCGAACTAAAGAGTACAATGAGCGGCGACTAGAAGATCTGCAACAGACACAAAAGCGATTCGAAAAAGAAGTAGAAAAAGCCATTGCATATTTGAAGACGAGAATTCGCGACCGAACAAATGAGGAAGACCGGGCTTTGAACCCCAATATGGATTATCCTACAGATATCTCGACGATACAGGACCTCATCCAGACCGAGAAGGAAAGGTTACGACAACTGAAGAATGCTTATATGCTGATGCAGGAAATGAAACCCGTAGTAAAGACGTCGTGGGTAGGTCGACTACAGCAGCAACTAAGTGGAAAAGTTCAGGCTGTAGCTGAAGCCCAACCAACGGGACTACGGAAGCTTCTCCAAACAATGAGTTTGTCAATTCTTTTGTTCTTATCGATAATTATCAAAGGGCCTTTGAGCCTGCTAAAAGCTCCGCAGGATTACTCTCAAGACATAGACAGAACCCATGGCCACAGAGATGAGTTCATCAACAGCCTCAACCAAGAAATCAATGCAGTCACATCACACTTGTTGAGCCTAGAGAAGAAAAAAGATCTTGCTTTCAGCTATACCGCTAGGTTAAGTGAGCAATCTGAGCAGGCCATCCGGGACCGAAAGAAACGTGAAGTTTTACAGCAACAGCTGGCAATCAAGCAAAATAACGCAGCAACATGCAGACACTTAGTTGAAACCGAGCACTCGTCTCTGCACTCCTTACGCTTAGAACACGACGTGCTGTTTACCAAGCTTGAAGAGCTTGCTGTCAATCGCGAACTGTTTGTCTTCTGGTCCTCCGCCTTGTCCAAACGTAGCAGTCGCGCTTCATCCTCCTCACCAAGCTCTACGGAAAAGGTTAAGGCGAACTTTCGCGACCATGTCCTTGCAAAATCAATGTCAGAGCTCAACGGGCTCCTTATACAGGTCCTCACGGTGCTGTACGATGACACACGCCACGCGCATGTTGCAACCGGGATGCTGCGTTCGCTCTTTGGCTTCGACTCTGGCAATAATGCGAGTAATTCAAGTCCCTCGGGATACGTTCTAGACCATGCCCTTGCCGTTCACCCCTCGTTCGCCTACAGCAAGCGCTCAAGTGGCGAGCGCAAGCGCATCGACCTGGCTTTGTTCTTCGCACTCATGCAGTTAGTACGAGCTCGAAGTGCGCACCGTGCTTACTACTCGCTCGTAGACGAGGTGTTTGATAACTTAGACAATGCAGGTCAGGAGGCCGTAACCAGGTGGTGCGGTGTCATGTTGCAGACGGCGGTTGGCTGGGTCGTCGTAATTACACACAGTCAATTCTTGGTCGACCGAGATCCGGGGGTAGACACCTGCAAATTCTTGGTCGTGAATGCAAGGATGGGAAAGCTAGGTACAGAGTTGTTTATCAATGGCCGTAAAATCTGTGGAAATTGACATGTTTTGCATACCTGCAATGGCAGCATGGGAGGATAACTAACTCTGAGACTTCGATGCAACCATAAGGACCAGGACAGTGGTAGTACTAGTATTTCCCTTTGTCTTTCTCGGAACTTGATGAGAATCGAGAGGAGAAAATATCAACCGCCCAAATTGTAAGGGTCTAGAATGCAAGAAACCGAAAGAATCAAACAACCTTTCATTGTCTGTTACTGTAACTCCACCCAAACTTAGCAGCTCAACTTATTCACTAACAGTATCCTTATCTCTCCTCTAACGATGATAAAACCTATAGGTCGATCTAGTTATTCTAACTATATACTTCTGGAGTAGAGTAAGGACCTTGAAGATGGCGCAGCCAATATGAATCTGAAACTGTCATCTCACATTGGGAAAGCTTACTGAACTACACATTAACATCACAAGACACCAAGTACACATCCACATCGAGAGCCACATGTTTATCGCAGAGTTCCAATTGACTTGCAGCTAAATACATTAACCTAGTTTGACCCCTCCCCTATCAAACATAGTCATTTAGGCAATTATCCTCGAAATCCGTAAATCCGTAAATCCTTTTGTAGATATCAAAACGCCAGCATATGGTCAGCCCTATCGAGAAACATGGTTCTTATCCCCATGTTAAATGTGGCCAACTTAGCAGCCTTGTGGCAGCCCTTTGGTAACGTTCCTGATAATCATACTGGTTAGCGGGGTAGGAGGTGATTGGAAATGTTGTTACTTACTTGGCAGTCATCGTTGAAAGCATCTGACGATCTTTCTTGAGGTAAACCTCTGGTAACGTTCCTGCTAATCATGATGGGTCAGTAAGGTGCTTAATCATCGACGACTATGTTTACTTACTGGGTAACCATCTTTGAAAGCATCTTCCCGATGCATGAGTTCCTCTCTGGGGCTGACCTGTGGTAACATCCCTAGTAGGCATACCAGTCAGCAAGGTACTTCATGATCGACGACTGTGTTTACTTACTTGGTACCATATTTGAGAGCATCATGTTAATGCCCAACGTTGCCCTTCGGGAGTCAACTTAATTCCAAATCAAAATTGTTTTGGTGCTAAGTAGCAACCATGTCGAACTTAGGAGTCGGAGGTGTCCTTAGTTCTGCTGGATCAGGAGGACGGAACCACTGCTGCTGTCATCAATGACCTCTCCGGCAGCGGCGCGGCGAGCAGCCTCTTCGGCAGCACGTTCGTCATCCAGGGCCTTCATGCGAGCAGCGAAGGCAGTGGGACGAGCGACGAGGAGGAATCGATCAAGCGACTGACGCCAGACGGCAAGGGAGATGTCGTTGTACTTGATACCATCAGTAGCCTGGCGAGTGACGTCAACCCATCCTTCCTCGCCCTCGATGGACTTGGCAGGGGAAATGTCGAAGCGATCTCCGATCCAGCGGAGGCTGTTGGGCTTCCAGGAGTGGTCGCCGACGAAGCAGGTGAAGGCCATGAGGGCTTCTCCAAGACTGGCCTCACGGAAATTAAGGCCAACGCAGCCATCAGCACGGACAAACTGCTTGGTGTCAAGGTTACGAAGAATGGGAGGCTTCTGCTGGTAAGGCACGTCGAGAGGCTGCTGGAGCATGAGAAGAACACTGTCGAGAAGAGCGATGCTCTTGTGATCACGCTTCATGTTCATGATGGCCTTGGCATCGATGATGAACTCGCCAGGAATAGCGAAGATCTCAGGAGCAGTCGTGGGAAGACGGACTTTCTTGTCGATAGTAGGCTTGATCTCGGTGGTCTTGAGCTCAGCAAGAGAGGTGTAGCGGTTGGCCCACCATTCAGCCTCCTCCTCGGCAGTACCGATGTTCTCGGCGATGCCACGAGCGAGATCGCTGGCGAAGACGACGCGATCACCAGCCCACTTACCGGCATTGCCAGCGAGCATCTTCTGTAGGTCCCCACCAAGGAGACGAAAGAAGTAAGAGTTACTGAGTGCAAGGCAGATGACAGCAGCGCCGTTGCCCTCGTCGACGAGGTTCTTGCAGATCTGGTCAATCATCTCCTGAGGGAGACACATGAGCTTGCAGTTGTCACGGCTAGAGAATGAAGTCAGTACATGCGTAAACATAAAAGCAGAGCAAAGATTCTTACGTCTTTTCCTTGGAAAAATGCATGTTGGCAGGGTTGATCTTGAACTCAACCCACTCAGGCTTGCGAAGAAGAGAGACAAGGTTGTCAGCGGTGACGAAAACGTTCTTCATGTGCTGGGGATCTCCCTCCTGGGTATGCTCGCCCTTGTCGAGGTTGATGAACTTGAACTCCCAAGTCATCATGCGTCGCTGAAGGCGGTACATTCTAAACCAGATTTCTCCACGCAGTCGTCGATACTAGAGAGAGAACGGGAGACACATAGACTCGCGTGGAGATGAGAGCGAAGGGTAGCAGGGTTTGGAGTGTAGTAGGGCTTGGAATGCAGGAGTGTTTGGAGTAGAGGAGTGTTTGTGCGTGCAGAGCAGAGGGGAACGGAGTTTTGAGTGCAGGGGGGGATTTTGGTGAAGAGAGTGGGAGGGGGAATTCTTCTCTGTTCTGTGCGGGACTCGGTAACGTAGCAACGGAGTAGAAATGAATAGAAAGGGGTGGGGCTTTGGGACGTAACTTGATATAGGCAACAGGAGGGAAATGCTAGAGGGTTCTGTGCCCTGGGTTGGGACGACGGGATGGGTGACACTTCTCTATTACAGATGGACGTGCCACTGCCGGGTGCTATGATGACCACCAGGCACTTCTTACAGGCTGTTAGTAGCCCTGTGATATGTTTCAGGATGCTCAGTAGCTTTGGTTTTATCGATTCCTTTTTATATCAGGTCACTTGCGGAGGATCACTTCGTTTTTACATCAACTACATGCATCATCAATGGACAACACTCCTCATCAGTTCAGCTTACATGACTAGTAAGTTTCTATCTCAGTCTCTGTTCCTATCTCTCATGTTTTCGCTCCTATCATCTTCTTCCCCTGACTTAGTTGATAGTGTCGTCCTTGTTCGTCCCCCGTGAGATCACCCGATTTCCTTCTTTATCCATTCTTCGATCTACACTCCCGAATGTAAGACGTATGCACTTACATATAACTCTGATCACTATCATGGCACCTCGATACAGTGGGGGATATGACTACTCAAGGCGTGGAAACCCAAGGTCGGAGAAATCGAGTCGAGATAGCTAGCACGAGCGACCCAATCGTCAGGGGCTTTTACACATCAGATAGACTTTGGCAGCAACCCAACAGTCTGTGGTTCATCATATTGATCGATTGGGCCATCATTGTTGGTTCACGTAGGCTAGGAGCGTCAAGAAACCCGAGGTCAGCATCTCAGGGGTAAAGGAAACTAGAAGCTCTCGCTACTCAGAGACTAGCCTGTGGATCTCGAAACTCTTTGAAATGGACCAGAAGACAAGTAGACATCTTTCGTACAAGACTCGAAGCAATTGGAAGTCATTGAATCACTGAACCGCTCACAAACTCCTTGGAGTGCCTAGGGCCTGGTGGCAATCAGATCGCCAATTCGATCTTCCAGTTTCATATCATCACTATGACTTCTCTAGAGTAGCTTCCTATTCAGTTCTGAACTATCTAGTTTGGTGCGTTGGAATGCAATTCATGTTTGGTCTCCAAAGTGCGAGGGAGCATCGTGGGAGCATCGAGGTTTTGGAAGGGTTTTGGCACTGGACCAGCTATTGGTACTCGTTCGTAAACCTAGGCCAAGTTAACTTCACTCTTCAGTAGTCGAGTGCAGTAGTGGAGAGTTCAATGCAGTTCGTCGGTCGAATAAGGGGTACACGGTGCAGACGTCTTGTAAGTCAGAAGGCCCTGTACACGTAACTGTTAGCCTCAGATTCATCAAGACCTGAGAGGTCTTACTTACTTTGTAACAAGATGAGAGGATGAGGGATGGGTAATCGTTGGTACATTCACCCGTCTGATCGAAAGGGAGCGGCCGTTGTTTGTATTGATTGTTGAAGATACTCCTCCGGAAACAGTGTCTTCTCCTGTGAGTAGTTGGCCAAGTTTGCTGAAGCCAGTTCTTCCGATATCTGAGTCCCGAGAATTTTCGCGAAATGGTTCCCAAGTCTTTGCTCCAGGGCTTCAAGGTCCTCGCTATCCCGAGGTTGATGGGCGATCTGCAAGTCTTGGGGTTAGCCTTTGTCACTCGTATCTGGGAGGCTGTATTTCAAACATACAGTTATTCAAGGACTTTGATGCCGTCTGATGCAGTACATGATCCGAGATATGCTGGTTCGGTACGCTGAGGAAAGGAGATGGAAGAAAGCCACGCTTATTGTCTCGAGGTGGGACTTCGTGGTTGTGGTAGCGAGGCTGGCGACGAGGCTGTAAGCGACAAGTGGACTTTCCGCTAATGTGAGTGGTCAGTGGTAGTGAATGGGATCAAAAATATTATCAACAACCAATTTTACATAATGCACATCACAGACCGAATTAATCAAATAATCAGATGAGGTAGATTGCTTGTAGGTAAAACATTCCATTCATGGCGAAAAGGGACAAAGGAAATGATGCTGTGGAAGCCCTTGAGAGCGCAAACACTGCTTGCACCATGGTCAAAGTCCTGCAACAGGCACAAGTCAAACATCCAATTCCCCTGGCTGCATTTATAATTATCTTATCTCCAAGTGTCTAACACTTAGCCTTCAATCTGACGGCTAGGCACGTGTTTAAAATCAAAGATCCTAGAAAACCCCATTCTCGAAATCAACCACAACAGCCTTCTCCAACAGCTCCTTGATCTTGGCAATGAAGGCTTGATGAGCGGGATCCGTCTTGACGTAGTAATCTCTGTCTTCGGCCGAGTTGAAAGTAGCCACGAAGCCGTGCGTCAATCCATTCTAGATCAGTTAGTCCATGGAGACAGGAAGCTTTGTTTGTGCTCTTACCTGCATGCCCTCAGGGGAGTTGTCTTTGCCGCCTTGAAGTGTCTGTATATAAGGCTTGTTACTCGTGGGATGGACACATTGGGTCTTGAGAGTGATGAAGTGATCGCAGATCTATGAGTCCGACGTGTTAGCTGATTGTTACTGAGGCTTGTCTTTGCTGCACATGCCTCTTTTATGGCATCCTTAGTGACGCCTTCCTTGAATTGGAACAGAACGGTGTGTGTGATGGTCATGTTGAGTGATCTCGAGGTTGAAGCCTTTGTAAATATGTCTTTATCAAATTGGTGCGGAGTAAATCAAAAGATTGCCAGTCGAGGCGTCACAGAAATCACCAGTTTGCCATTGGAGGACGGATAAAAGAACTTGATTTCTGATTGGCTACAAGCACGGGAGTACCCACTGTGACTGTCGGGTTATGTAAGTCAGACCCCAACACATTACTTCTCTTCCAGCATCTGGTATAAATCCTCAAAGCCTTTTCTTTCATGAACTGGTGAGGGCTGAAGTTGTGAAAGCCTCTTCTCATCCGTCAGCCTTGGGAACGTGCCCCCATACCTCTCCATGTCTGCGGCCTAGTTGGCTTGACGCTTCAACCTGAAATGGCATGGACCTGAGCTCCAGTGTGAAGAAGAGGAAAAAGGATGATAAACGAAATAGAAAGTGGAAAAGTCGGTGCTGGATATTAACCAGGACCGATTAAAATATTAGAAACTGAGAGGTAAACAAGAAGTATTCCCCATGCTTTTAGGCTTCTTGAGTCTCGCGAAATCCACACTCCAGATGTGACCCACTTTATCTGTCCTTAGACTGGGCTGGGTGCGTAGAGGTTCCGACAACTTCCTCTCTTCTAAGATTTATGTAAATCATAATAAATTCTTTCATTTTCTATATTATTATATAATCTTAGGATGCTCATCCATGCAAAGTACTCTAAGTTTTATATATTTTCTCCACCTCTGTCATCTTCTATCCCTGTTGGGCTCGTTATGGAATTTCTACACAATTCTGAACAACACCTCCCACTATTATTTTCGGCCATTATTCAGTTATGCTTTCGATAGACCTAACCATGACTCAAGTTGACCAATCTGTTATCGAATCCTTGGGACATCTGTTTCCAGAACTTGGTTATCATTAGCAAGCATTGCTCAAGTTACCTGCCAGTTACACAATCTCGACAATCAAAGGATAGTTTCATCCTTGATTCTCCAGCAATGTTGTTTCTGGTGAGTGAGAGCATCGATGGCAAGAAAGTGCTCAGCTCATATTTCTCATAGTGAGACATTGCCACTTATCATGCATCAATATCACGCGACGACACGGAGCCGAACCACGCATTAGTAACCCCCACAACCGACACTCGAACTTACAAACCTCAAATCATGGATCATGACTCGAGAAAATGATAAGAAATACTATGCAAGTATCCCACTTGACCCGAGCGTGTTTTATCTCTTGCCCAAAGATAGGCGAACTGGACCAGTTATCGCCTTGCGATGCTGACGCTAGCGATCACGCAACATACACCTCCAAGCACATACAGACGTGGGCCTGCAATCCTGGTCAAAAAGCACACCCAACTCTCATTTTCAGCTACAAACCATCTGAAATCGCTCATGGCGCCACTAAATCTGGGCCACATCCCGTTGTAGTAGTATCACTGAGCGGATCCATTGCGACGTTGACGCGATCACTGGTCGCGATGGCTACATAACCCCCCAGAACAACGTTACTTACTTATAAAGCCCATTGGCTGCAGGTTCTCAGCGAAGATATGTTTGTTTCATAGCAGGCTTTTTGCATTCTACTATTGTCCAGGCTCAGTCAAGCTGATCGTCAGTATCGAGCGACAACCACATCAATGGCGAATCCCAAAAACCCAACCGCCGTCGCGGTGAACCACCACCCCTACGAACGAGACACCGACGCCTCTACCGAGATCGAAGAAAGTCAAGAACGCGGAAAATCATGGAAGAGCTATGTCTGGGATACGTGGGAGCTTCCCAAGGAGCAGCGGTGGCTTCTTTTCAAAGTCGACGCCTTCGTCTTGACATTTGCTTCAATTGGCTACTTCCTCAAGAACATTGATCAGACAAACGTCAACAATGCTTTCCTCAGTGGTATGAAGGAGGAGCTTGGCATGTATGGCAATGAGTTGGTTACAAGTATGTTAGCCTGTGGTTGCTCGTTAATAATCACTGACATTGAGATAGGCACTTCCATCTGGACTGTTGGGTATGTCATTGGACAGATCCCTTCTAACCTACTCCTCACTCGAATTTCCCCTCGCTGGGTCATCCCTTCTCTTGAGGTCGGTTGGGGCATTGCTACAATTTGCACCTCTTCTGTCAAGTCTTACAAAGCTCTCTACGCTCTGCGGTTCCTCGTTGGTCTTTTCGAGTAAGTCAACGCGCACAACAATCAAAAGGTTCGACCAATTGACTTACACTCTCAGGTCTGGCTTCTATCCCGGCATCCATTACATGCTTGGTTCTTGGTACACCCCTCGTGAAATTGGCAAGCGTGCCATGATTTTCTGGCTGGCTGGTAGTGTTGGAAATATGTTCAGTGGTTTTCTACAGGCTGCGGCTTACACAAACCTCAATGGTGTTCACGGCCATGCAGGATGTGAGTTGCATCATAGGTCTTCCACTGTACTTCACTAACAAAACGTCAGGGCGCTGGCTCTTCATCATTGACGGAATCATCACCCTCCCTCTCGCTGTGATGGGCTACGTATTCTTCCCCAATCTACCCCAAGATGGAATCAGGACTTGGTGGACTACAGAACGCGAGCATGAGATCTCCATTGAACGAATGAGAGCTATCGGACGAGCTGGCAAGGAGAAATGGTCAATGGCCAAGTTCAAGTCTATCTTGACCAGTTGGCACACTTACTTCCTTCGTATGATTAAACCTTCCATTCTGTTGACCAACTTTTACTAATGAAATCTAAGCTATGATCTACGTTCTTTGGAATAACGCCTACCCTCAACAAGCAATGGGATACTGGCTCAAGAGCTTCAACGCAGATCCTCCTCCAGTCCCCGGCACCTCATACTCGGTCTCCCAGATCAATAATCTGCCTCTACCGTCGACTGCCATTTTCATCGTTATGGCTTTGTTCTGGGGCTGGCTCTCTGATGGGCCTTTGAAAGGTCTACGCTGGCCTTTTATCTACGCCGGTGCCATCATTGCTGTAGGTCTTCCCGGTTAGATTCCATGGTATATAGTGTCTAACAGTTACCCAGATGGCTTTCGACATCGCCCTTCTCAAGATGCCGCTCTATGGCAACAATAGAGACCGAACTATAGTTTACTGGTTCGCCAATATTGGTGTAAGTTATTCAACTCAAACCCACTCACAACCTTTATAACTGACTTTTGATCCAGAACGGCGCCGGTCCCCTGATTCTAAGTTGGATCAACGAAATCTGCTCTGCGGATACGGAAAAGCGAGCTCTGCTGGTCGGAGCCGCCAATGACCTGGCCTATGTCGTGCAAGCTGTGGCACCTAATTTCGTTTGGAAAACGACCGATTTCCCTCGTGCAGAAAAGGGTTATACTTGGTCCATCATTCTCAATGCCTTGTTGAGTAAGTTGCACTTATCCTTTCTCACGAAGGTGTGTGGTTGCTAACTGAGTACTAGTTGTTTGGACTCTCATAGTGCAGTTACTCCTCTCATTTGACAGGAAAAAAGAAGCAAAGGCTCGTGCACATCTCTTGGACGATTCGGAAGCCAACACACATGACGGGGAGACGACGGATGATGCACCATCTGCGAGTGGTCCGAGGAAGGACATCGATCTGCCGTGAATATACTGAATTTAAAGCTAGCAACAGTCACGGCGAGTTTCGGCGTTTTCAAAGTTGGAGGTTTCTAGATCTGGGAATTGCCTCACAATTGGAGCTCTGATGAAAGTACTCCCACGGGGTGCACATAACCTGTCCATCAATGCAAAGAGGCCATTATATAGAGCAGAGCATCATATCCCACTCAATCAATCACGTCAACTTAGGGAAAATTGCATTGTTCTAGTGAATTCCTTTTATCCTTGTTCACCTTCCTAGCCATCAGTAAATTCCAACCCTAGTCGCCACTAAGCAAGCAAACCCCTTTTCAAGACACCCCCCAAAACGCTCCCAATTCGCCGTACCCCCTACTATCCGCTCACCTCGGAACGGATATCTTGTTGAACTTTTGCAATTCCCTCTTGAGCTCCATGTTCGCCTCAAGGAGCAAACTGATCAGATTCCTCTCTTCTAGTGGACGCTCCTGAATCTTCTTGACATCGTTCAGAATCACTTTCTCGGTTTCATTGGAGGCACGACGAAGCAAATAACGCTTCAGCCACTCCCCAGCAATGGCTTCCTGGTAAAAGTCTTTGTCGATGATGGCAAACATATCTGCAGAGGTCATGTCCCTCCCCTGGCGTTCAATCTCACTTTCCGAAAGGGCCACCAGTCCATCTAGTCCCATTTGATTCGCTTCCAGATAAACGTTGACGATCTCAGAGAACTTCTCTCGGCGGGTCTTTTCGACCGATTCTTCAACCATCGGTAAGGCTTGGTACTCCCCAGTGAAGACGAAATGGAGAATCACATGTCCGACCCTTCTGTTGACATCGGTGAAGTCGTATCCCTTCTTTCTCTCCAGACCCGAGAGGAAGGTAGCGAACTTTGGGTGGCTGGCGATGACATGCCTTGGTATCGATGCGGTCATTTTGCCTCCGAATCTGATCTTGATGACGGGTCTGTAATAAGGCCTTGCAGATTGTTAGGCAATGGCGGTATGTAAGGAGCTTGATGCTTACGACTGGCTCATTTTTGAACTGCTGGTGTTTGTCTCTGTGGCCTTTGTTTGCCTGTTGCTTTCTAACGTCTCTTGTTGTATGGTTGAGTATTGTAGACTGATTTCAATAATCTTCTGTTGAGCTTTGTCTCGTGATCTGTTGTCATTCCTACTCCTGGGCGACGTTTGGTGATGGAAGACAAGAAAGATGTTTCACCCGCCTTGCACTAGAAAGAGGACAAGGTGATTGGAGGGAATAGAAACGGAGAGGTGAGTTTGAAAGCGAGTTGGAATCAGAGACATTAATGTATACTTCGCGAGTTGCTAGTCTGTGATTCACTGCAATTCACCCGAGAGTTCTGTATCCATGGGAAAGGGAGAAGGACAGTTCAAACCATTGTCTACTTCGAGTTCTTCACGATGAACTCGGCTGGGTGGGTTACATGAAAGAAGATTGGCTCCAACTTCATCATATCGTCAGTCCTTTCCGTCAAAGGCTTAGAAAGAAGTTCCTCCTTGCTACCCTCCAACCATCTTTTGATAGTGTTCTCCTGGTCGATTCCGATTCTGTACGTGCTCCCTTCCTCGAGGTTCTCCGCATGCCGCCAATCCCAAATTCTTGGCCGCTTCTTGATTGCCGCCTTGATGGCTTCAGGACTGGTGTTCGGCCCACAATCGAAAGACATATACATACGATGCATCTTCCCCTCTATGATGTGCTTTTCTCCTGGGCGCAGGGAGGTGAAACTAGTTTCAATGGCCACCCGCAATGGTCCTTCAGGACCTGGGCCACAAAAGAAAATGGTATTTCGGGGAGTTTCGATACCGGTCGCGGTGTTAGTGAAAGTTAAGCCACCTTCGTTCATGACTCTGCCGTTGAAAAGAGGTATCTCGTTGGTTCGGAACGTGACGCCTGAGTGATGATGGAGGATGAGTTCAATGGTGATGGTGAAGGGGTCGTCAAGCTCCATGTCGAAGACGGGCGGTGAGTTGATACGTGCTTCGATTGACGGCATTGTAAGTAATACTTGTGAAATAAGATGTTTTGTTAGTTCAATGTGTTTTGACTGAGATGAGAATTGCCTGCTTACCTTGAGCATATATTGGATGCTTCGATAGGTGACGTAATCCTTTCGGCATCTGTTTGCGACTTGAATAACAAAACAGTGTGGCCTATCAAAGCCGCCTTGTCGCTTGGGTATTATAGTTTGTTGTTTCAGGCTGCAACCTAAAGAACAATCAACTGAAACTCAATGGCAGCACGCATGGCATTGGAGTGGGGGTATCTGCCACGCTGGCTGAGGCTTCCTGCGTCTCCTCGATCTCACTGGTGTTGGTTCATGCTTCTGGAGGATCACCCCCCTGTTTGGCCTTTCCATCACCGCCCTCGTTCAGATACTGTCGGAAGCTCGCCTTGTAAAAGGCATTGTAAGACAGGGTATTTTAGTAATTCTCCGGTGGTCCGGTTGAGGTACCAAGTGTATTGAAATCGGTGTCGATCGTACGTTGGCGACTTAGGAATAAGGGGTCTTGGTGTTCGCCTTTTTGATTGTTTGAATTCGATATGGGATCTAGATCATATCTAGAGGTCTAAATGTAAAGAACTGTTAGAATGAGAATCCATAGGAGGAGTTCTGTATTTTATTTCCAATCTCACCTGTGGTCCGGAAACCTAGGGCTAGTATCTGAAGAACCTGTAAGCTGGTCCTAGAAGTTTAGATATTAGCAACTCCTCATCCGCGCCTACAAACAACTTCGAGGTTCTGTCCCCTCCCATTTTATTGCCCAAATATCATGATACACCAGTCTAGGTGATGAAAGAGGTAGAAACCCCCTTTCTTGACTGACAGGCAGTTCATGGGACACCAAGCAGCTCATAAACTGAGAGCCCCTTTGAGATTCTAACTCCTTGAGCCAACGAGACACTCCTCCGTCTTTACCCAGTAATATCTGGCTGTTTGAACGCTTTCAACAGGACTGATTAGTGCACCAAGGTACTAAGGGCGCTACTCATCATTTCGCAGTTGGTCTTCCGTCAAGTCGATATGGTTTAGGGTTATTGTCTCATTTGCTTCGACATATGGTAAAGGAGCGCGTCTCCGAATCTTGATTCTGCTGGGATCGGGTAGTACTTTGAAAAGCTCGCATTGGGGTTTGTAATGGTCGGTCTAACAATCATGAGATATTCTAGGAAATTTCAGCACGGCCGATGTTAGCATTTTGAGAGTAGTACGTCCTTACTTGTCCAAGTCTTCATCCTTGTCGGCGTTGCCTGATCCCCATTGACATTGCTCTTTGGTCACTTCCTGACCTTCCCGGCAACTCACTTCAACCGTCCTTGGACAGTACTGTAGGCCACGTTCAGGGGCTCTGGCTCACGGAAACAGCTCCCTATGCCGGATCCAGGCTGTCTAGTACCCAGGGTTGATCTTGTGCTCGTCGTGATGAGCAAATGGTGCAACGACAAAAGACAAATCCACAGTTAGCACAGATCGACAAATGATGAAGGCAAGATACTGCACGCAGCAATCCGTTGTGAAACAGCTGCTCACTATGCACGATTGCTTTTGGTTATTTGCCTCCAGGACAACAGTGCAAGCAAGAAACGAGTCCGTCAAAGAAGAAAGGAGGAAATTTGGGATTCTCTGGTGTAATGATTTAAAAGGATGCGAGGGAAGGTGATTATTCACCCGGAAATATTTACCCCCAAGGTTACACTAATTTTACCAGGCTCAGCTAACCGGTCCCATTCGTCCTCCAAAACAAAGCCATATGACTTTCTGTAAGAAAAACAGTTCTTCCATCCAATCCACAACACATGGTAACAATCCTGCTTTTCTTTCCTGGCGGTATCCCATTTCTCTGTCTACGGGATCCGCTCAATCTTCTTTCTCTTTGACTTTATCCCGCACTTTTTGCTCAACTGGTTCGTCCTCGGCAAGGTGTTTATCTACACCAGACCTTTTTTATCAATCCAGGATTATGGCAAAGAAAGTCAGCTGAAATTCCAGTTAAGATGCACTCCGGTACTTGATTTGGCATTGAGCCAGGCTCATACAACGGATGCGGTATAATTCGACCAATAATGGCCGGTGGCTTGATCTCCGCACAATACCCTCAATGCACCATAGAACCAAGGAACTTATTTCCGTACTGACTCCCGGTAGATGTGTTCTCTTGTTTTGTGTTGACCCTGGATGCTTCAATGCTAACAAATGGGTGATAGTTTCTTCAGGTCCCATCTCATATCTTTTATCACTCACCTCATTGAGAGGGAACAACCTATCATGACGCCAGCCCACACGACTAACTAAGAAGCCCGTTATCAACAGAGGTCTCTATAAAGGTTATCTAGGACCTGCCTTCTGCGACGTTTGCCAGCTGAATACCAGCAAAGCGAGATATCAAAGAAAAGCTGTGGACATCCAGCTGTAGACAGCCGTATAAGAGGCCTGGAGGGGAGTATCGTCAAGTTGTGAGGTGTAGGCGGAGGATATGTTGAACACATCCTCGTCCAACCTCAGGTATTCTTGTTGAGATATCGGTCAAGTGTAGTGACGTTGTTCGGACTTGGTATACGCAATGTTGTTCCACGTCTGACATAGCTTTGCCCTGCAATCTCAATAAATATGTCAGCTTCTGTATAATACAAATGGCCCTCAGTCCACTCTCTGTAGTTACACTCCCACTTCACCTGACCATCCTCAAAGACCAAGCCTCCTTTAGACAAATGGTATCCTTGAGAAGCCCACATTCGCTGGCAATAGTTGAACTCGTTGATCTCTTGAGGCATCTCGCTGGGCTCTTGTGAGCTCTATGGTATCTAAGGCATTCTTGGTATGATGTTCAAGGATATGGGCAGACTGGAATGCCCCTTTCTCCTGAAGGTGTTCGAGGTTTGACTTCACAAGTCTAAAGGCATGAGGCGTGCCCCAGGTATAGGAGAGGCTGATGAACCTCGTGTTTCCTTCTCCGCATTCGGCAGTGCAGCCGTACACCTCGTTGATCAAACACTGAGGCCTAATAAACTACACTTTGCTAGCAGCCTTGTTACATTCGTCTCCATGGAGCTCGACGCATCGTGGCCTAGGGATTGTCCACCAGTCTGATCGTGCCATGGTGTTGAAATACATCGAATTGGTTTACGAGTTCGAAACTCATGCTTGTGTTAGATGCAATTGATGTTTTTGTTACATGCTGCTGGGAGCCACGGCGTTTGTGGATAATCGTCTGTAAGGAGAATCGGAATTGTTGGCGAGGTAAGCTTTATGCTCTTCATCGTAGGAAATTCTGGATAATCTCAGAACACAACATTGCAGTTAGTATTGGATGGGGTGGTTATGTGTAAGAGGCATATCGTCACTACTCACTGAAGCCCACAGTGATGGGATGGTTTGCCAATTCCATAATTGACGGTACATTCGAGTATGGGTGTAAGTAGGCAGTAAATTCAGGTTGTGCAAGTATACGACGATACTGAGCTTCCTGAATGTCGAGATCTGAGTGAGTTGATTGACAGTGGAGGAACTTGGCATGGCACATACGATGACTAGGTAGTTGTCTGGATGAGATATGATTATGTCAGCGTCTCCTCCTCCGAACCACAACCCCTTCCAAGGGCTTGATGTTACATCCTTTACTATCACCAGTGCCTTCGTAATTTTGAAAGTGGTTGGCATTAATATTAATGGAACATTGTCACATTCATTCTTGGGCACAAAGTTTGAGTCAACTGGTCATTTCATTGATGTCTGAAGTACAGGAATCTCCTCTAGGTCCTCATCTCATTTCGATCATATTGGTGCAGGACAAACACTGAATGTTGTCAAGGCCTCCATAAAGCCTATCCCCAATCTGATCCGGACCGATTCATACTTCATACCAGATGACTTCCATCTCCACAAGTAGTGTCAGGGTGTTTGGTGTTTGGTGCTTGGTAGCAGGCTTAGACAACCTCCAGCTGCAGAAGAACGCTGGCAATGGTGTGCTCCATACCGTAGCTCTCGCGAACCTGGAACACATGAGGGACTCGGAGAAATCCACTCTGTCCCATGGGGCAACGTCGAAGGGTGTACTCAACAATGCAAGTCTCTCCTCCCTCGCCGGCATAGGCGTAGTCAGAGAACATGATGAGAACATTCTTCACACCAATCTGGTCGCCAAGGTGGGAGAAGTGGGCGAGGGCGATGCGGGCAAGGTCCTGGAGGTCGTAACGCATGGCGACGCCGTAAAGGGAGATACACTCGATCATGAAGCACTTGCGCTTCTCTGCATCGTTCTGTCCATCCCGGGTCGGCATAAGTCGAAACTGACCGTAGTTGATCCAGTGGAGGAACATGTGAGCCTCACGCTTGTCAAGACCAGGGATGGGAATGATGCCGTCTTCCATGACCTCAGTAAGCTGGATAGGAATACCGAAACGCAGGGCCACCATGTTGCGTCTGGCGTACAGGAAGTGGTCTCCGTCGAAGACGAGGGGGACGTAGACACTGAAGGGGCTGTGTGATATGTCAGTGTTTGATCCTGACACTCAAAGACATGAAGTGTACTTACTTGTTCAGGCCAGGGTTGGGCATGCCGGGAGGGGCAGTGGGCACGTTGGTGTTGGTAGCTTGGCTAGACATGTTGAGGCTGTGAGGCAGATGTCTGGTGGTAGATGCTGGGCTGACTCTTGTCGGGATCTCTTCTCTAATGACTATCAGTGAGATGTCTTCCGATCATCAGTGAGTGCCAGACTGACCTTTGAAGGTTGAGAAGATGTTGGGGAGGAAAGAAAATTTCAAAATGGAAGAGGAGGAAGGGAGGTGCTTTATAGTAGTTGGGCACGTGAGATATTGCACTGTTTCTTTCCACTGGAACAAGGTACACTGGCACAACAATTCAGCTGGAGTAAACGAGCAGTGTCAAACAGAGGTCAGCGGACCGTCACGAACAAGTGCGGAGTCGATGGTCGGACGTCTACCTGATCTAGTGGGCCGGTGGTGGCTTGGACACCTGGACAGTCAACCGCCATTTCTACTTTTTGTGCACTGTAATTGATAAAAGATTACCTCACAGCAGTCATTTGGCACTGGCAACACAATTGACATTTTTATATAAATTTTGTGACGTTTGCAGTGCTCTCAAAACGGGAGTGTTCGAGTGGCCATGGCCCCCTTTATCAAATTGTGGATTTGGCAGTGACAGCTTCGCACGCCTACACCTCAACGAAATCACACTACAGAGTCACATTGCGAACGAAACAAAGATTATAAACTTTTGGCTGGCTTCATTTATACCTGGATGTGACTTTTTACTGCTAAAGATCCTCGTAAAGCCAACAATTGTTGAGTTACAGCGGATCCAATGTCGCGTGAAGCCACCTGCTTCAATCCTGATGTCCATCCTGTACTATGAGCTTAAGCCTGTACCAATCTCATTGGTAAATCAATCAAAAATCATTATCATTAATCCTTCCTGTGATGGAAAGTCTCTCATTGGTGCTTGTGCTGCTCGTTTCCTCATTCTCTGTTGTCAAAGGCGGCTTACTACTGGCGGTTCCAGGTTCGGGCTGAGATCAGGTAGACAGTTCTGTTCAGCACGTTAGTACGAATTGCAGTATGAGAAAGTCAGTTACCTACTGTAGACCAGTGAGTGCTTCCATGGCTAGTTCAGGTATTCGTTGACGATTCTGTAAGGCAGGATCGCATCTCCGACACCAGGAAGCAGTCCCTTGACCGCCACAAGGCCTTCCAAAATTCCGTCCATGACTGGGGAGCCGGTTCCAATCTTATTAGCATACCCCCCAAGATCAGTAGTAAGGGAGTAGGTATCAACGGCCCTAGCACGAAGAGACATGGCATACTTGATCCACTTGGCGTTGGCATCGCACCAGACAGGGAAACGCTTCAAGGCGTTGATGATGAAATGAATCGGGAGTTGGCCACACATCATATCTTCCATCGCCTTCTTAGCCTTCTCGACAAGACCGGGGAGAAGGAACTGGCTACCGGCGCGGTGGAGCTTGATGGCAGCCTCAAAGTCCTCCTCATACATCAGACGAGAGCTGTGGTAGTGGTTGGGCAAAGCCCAGTAGAGCTCGTTGATGAGGTAGGTAGCCATGTAGTTACCCTCACGCACGTTGAGACCAGGGATGGTCACCTCATTGTTCACAACAAGAGCAGCGAACCGTGGATGAACGTTCACACGCGACCTGGGCACCTAGGCCACGTCGTGTTCAAACCTGAGGGCCACGGGACGGTTGCTGAGATGAAATGTCAGCACGAAATGTGAGATTTGGAACTGAGATACTAACTTGTAGGGAACATAGATAGGGCGAGGAGCAAAGAGAGGTCCGGAGTAGAAGTCGCCGGTCTGCTCGGGAATGATCTCCTCTTGAACAGCCTGCTGCTGCGAAAGTACCTGCTGGATGAACTCCCAGCCAGTCTCGACATCTCCAGAGGATTCAAACTCATCGATGGGCAGAAGGGCTTCGTCCAAGTCGATCATCTGGAACTCCTCCTGAAGATCGGTGATGCCCTCGGCCGGGTTGGGACCAACCATGTTGACGCTGCCAAGGTCACTGATGGCGTCAGTCTGGTAAACGCTCTCGATGTCGCTGATGGTGTGAAGCAGGTCGAGGCCCTGAGCCCAGTTGACGCTCTTGGCCTGGTTCAAGGTCTTATACTGTTTGGCTACATCAGACTTGTTGATTTCCTCAGTCTGGATAGCGCCCTGGAAACTCTCGTAGAGCTTGACGCGCTTGGGGTCGGGGGGGAGACACCCGCTGTTCTTGCGAACGTGAGACATGATGTTTGTCAGATGGGGAATAGGTAGTAAGGGATAGGTAGGTAGAATGCTTTGTTAAGCTGAAGTGAAGATGAGTGTTTGCAGGGGGGAAGGGTAGAGGTAGAGGTAGAGGCAGATGCAAACAAATCTTGACTCTTTGTGAGGTGCAAACAGGAAGTTTTCTGGCTGGGATTTGGTTTGGTTTATGAATACCGGGCTTTGTGGGTCGCTTGGGTGTGACGCATGGGCTGTCTTCACTCCAACAGGGCTTGTTTCACTTTGATATCAGGGCTTCGAGCCCCCTATTCTGCTTTTTCGTTTCTCCAGTGCACTAGTAAGACGCCTATCGATCTGTATTTACCGGCCATGCCCTTGTAGATATCCATAAAGAACATGAAGCATTCAACCAGTTACTATGTACGTATAACACAACATTTCTTTCAACTTATCCTATTCCTTTTGTGTCACCCTCCTCGTCTGCATGCTGGTATGCTCATATCCCAAACCATCGACCTCCCTTTGCTTCTCAGCCCGAACGAAAGATCAGTGCAAGCTTCACTCATTGTCGAAAGCCATTACAACGATCATCAACTCATGTTGATTGTTGCTTAAGATGCAGGGAACTATTGTGCTCTCTCACTGACTTTCTCCTTGCAGGCCGAAGTAGCTGCTCACGATACCATCCTCGTTCCTACACTGTCACTCATCGTTCAAACGTTGTCTTTAAGCCTATTCGGACTCCTTTCAACCGATCCTACTTCCCAGCTCGATGCTCAACAGAGAATGCTTTCTCCTTGGTTTATTATCTCCCTCCTCGAAACTGGTCAGTATCTCATCCTCTCTGCACATCACACGTTAACTGACCATCCAGCCTTCTCAGTTTGGATCACAGGTCCAGTTACACCCTTCAAGGGAAGTCCCGCTCGAAACACGCAACAAAGGATTCTCAGCTTCAACAGTCCAGTCCTAGTAGCACCGAAGGTTATCTACTTGTTGCTACATCCTTGTCAAGGCCTGGAACGCGCTAGATCAGATGCAGTTCATCGAAAGTGCAGGGCAGAAAGACTCAACAAAACCACGGACGTAGCCTCTAGATCGTACATCCTAAGAAACGGCAAATATTCATTGAGCCTATGTAAAAATCTACCGCGTATCACCATCCTCTTGAGCTAATTGGGCTTCTTAGTTCAATTCCAACTTTCCTGCAGGGCCGTTTCTCTCTTCATGTTCTTCTCCCCTTTGTGAGATTGGTTACGACCAGGTTGTATTTGCATATGATGCTTTGACTGACTAACTGGCCCTACTAATTCAAAGGACAGGCTGAAGACAATCCTCCAGGCAAATCCCAACTCGAAGTATGCATCCAAGGGCCTTGAACTTTAACAGACAAGTTATCTCAACAGACGAGCTACTTCAGCAACTGCAAGAAATGTCTCCTCGAGCTCATCTTACCCAACCTCGTATGCTCCGTGGTAGCAGGTCCATTTAGCTGGAGTCACCAGACTAAAGATTGAACAGGAACATGAATCTTCCTTTGTAAGATTGGTTAGGGCCAATTCATCTTTCCATATCATACATTGACTGATCCAACCCTACTAATTCAAAGCACAGATGGAAGACGATTCTTCAGGTGAAGCACAACTCGAAACACACACCCAATAACCTTGAACCTCGACACACGAGTTGCTCCAACAGACAAGTTGCTTCAGCAATCGCGATGAGTGTCTCTTCGAATCAAACTTACCCGGCTTCGTGGGCTTCGTGGTAGCAGATTCAGTCAGCCGGAGTCACCAGACGAGAAGGATTGAACAGGAACATGAATATCCCTCAGTAACATTGATTAGGATCAAGTCATCTTTCTATATTATCCATTGGCTAACCTAACCCTACCATTCAAAGTACAGATTCAAGACGATTCTCCGAGCGAAGCCCAACTCGAAACATTCATTCCCAGGCCTTGAGCTTCAACAGACGAACTACACCAGCAACTATGAGCAATGCCTCGTCGAATCAATATCACCCAGCTTTGTGGTAGCAGGTCTAGGTAGCTTGATTCACCAGGCAGGGAACATCGAGCAGCAGCACGAACCCAGGCTATTGAATCTGCACCCATTGATCAATTGCAGACAGGCATTGAGCCTAGACAAACGAAATCTACCTGCTACTAGCATCAGTAAGTCAAGTTTACTTTAACAAACACCATGGCTCACTCGGCAATCTGACCTTGCTAGTACGACATATTCAAGCTCGTCACACTATCCGAAGTTCCTTGAGTGTTAGATGCGTCAATGAAGTCAGCAATACCAATTCATTATTTCTCAAACGGAGACGGTGTCCCAGGACCTCTTATACGTAGAATATCACATTTTCTTCCAACTCAATACCCCTTGATTCCTAAGAAGCACTCTTCCTCTAACAACTCAAATTCAGGACATGAGACTTCCAACTACGAAATACCAGGCCCTCAATAAATCAACCTCTAACTAAGCAAATTACTTTTCCTGCACACTACTAGAATGTTCTGGTATAGACACTGCACCAAGCTCCACCGGTTCTGAGATCTTATCCCCTAAATATCAAAGACACATTTACAAAGACTACAGGACTCAGGATCTTCTACACAGATAACGACTGTTCTATATGGGCCATTTGGAGCGTCAATGGGAGACATTTCGAGCGCCAATTCGAATTTGAAATGTCAAGTCACAGTCTGATTGGACATTAGATCAACCGACTTACACCGTTGCCCTGGAGGACTCGTCTAATTATACAATTGCGTTGAATTTCCGGTATTCAGTCTTGGCAGCCAATTGAAGTCTCCATTGGCTTCCAGTTGGAAGGACACTCCATCAAAGGGAAGTCCTTAAATTCAAGATCCTGAATTCATCTAATGATCGGTTTTGTTGGTCTTGGGCTTATACCTTTTCGAAAAACAGGATTTCACGTGGTAGGTATGTCTCACAGCATCTGGTGACTTCTTATTCAATATCGGTCAAGTCATAAAGGCCTAGATGCATCTCTTCCATTTCACTAATCACCGGGAATAGCACAACACGAACGATACACGAATCCAATACATATCCAGTACTTCTGGTTATCAAGTCTCTCTGTCTCATTCAAAGCAAATTGTACACCCAATAGGTTCGAAAGAGTACAAAGGATGCTTACTCTGTGGTGGGATACGATAGATGGCTATCCAGCAAAGCTCCTAAATTCACCGAACGAGCAATTGACGGCCACTCCGTGGCACCACTGAAGACTTCGAGCTTTCACGGGAGCATGGCCAAGTCTCTGATTATCTGCTGACATACCTGAAGCTCAAGCTTGAGCTGAATGGCAATCTTCAGGATGACATTTGCCGGGTTCGCGACGTCCTCGCCAGGCCAGTCCATTATGATTTGCGGTATCTCCTCAACAGGGATCTTGACACTCCACGCGTTGAGTCGTTGGACAAGAAGCATGAGAAGCGAGTCGTCTTTGTCGAAAGCACACCATTCCGGTCTCTTGACAATGTATCGTAGGATGTCAGCGAAGGGTACATCATTTGCGGCATGGGCAAGCTCCGTCTCAGCCGCCAATCTCAGATCCTTGGCCTTGATGCGGCCAGCATGTTCCCGGAACTTGAGGAGAGAGATGAAGTGCAGTAGACGTCTCTTCTGAGGGTCTCTTGCTTTCAGCTCTTTCAAGACATCTCTATAGAGGATGTGGCCTATGATGATCCTCTTGGTACTTTCGGGCCAGTGGTTGTGCTTGAAGCGGAGCTCCTCATCAAAATGGTCGACGAAATCGGGATTTCTGTCCTCAATGTCATGACGCGTGATTTCGCGGGTGTAGTTACCGATCTTCATCATGTAATGTGTCGCAGGCACCAAGCTACCAGATTCTGTGTTATTAAGGCTGATCAAATATGGTACGGAAACGTGGACTGACATTTGCTTCTCAGAGAGCGACAATTCCTCCACACCGCTGACGAAGTCCCATTCCTGATCATCTTCGACCAGATCTGTTGAGTGTGGCATCTCAAACAACTGTTAAACTTGTTGGACCGTGTAACTGATTTCAAGAACTTGTCTTGATCTCTTTGTATGAAAGTTGCTTGGACTTTCGCTGAATTGTTGGGCTGAGCTGCGTTGCCTGAGGACAGAGTATGGGATAGAAAAAGAGAAGAAACTTCAAAGTGTGGGAGGAGGACATGGTATTTATACGTTATTTAAGTTCAGAAATTCTTTTGAGTTCGGCATGTTATCCACAGCATTTATTGTTTTAAGATTCATTGCTGCAGTAACAAAAGTTTTTAAAGGCTTAAGGATAAAACACTGAAGACACATGTCTTACCGGTCACTTTGAGTTCTTTGCTCGGGGACCAACTGGAAGTGTGAAAGGTTCTAGTAAGTTTACAACGTAATGATATCAAGCAATGATAAATCTGACGCTTTGGATCTTGACGTCCAGTGGTCGAACACGCACGTGATACCCCTGAGCGTCAACATCTCCACCAAACATGTTAAGTTCAGGGCCTATAGAATCCCAGCTCCGCCCTTCAAACCAGGGATATCAAATACATCGCCCAAGGCTTCATATACTGTTCGTTCGCTGATCTGGGTAACATCATCAAGTCTTGCGATTTTAAAGAACGTGGCTTATAATTGTGACCAATGGTTCAGGAAGGTCACTGATACCAAACTCAAATTACAATGTGTTACAGCGAGTCCGACTGCCATTTTCATCTACATATTGTTCTCTTACTGGATACGAATATAATAAACTCCCGATACATCCCGAAAGGTCACATGCTATTGTAAGTTAACTCTGTTCAAATACCATTGGCCGCCACAACAGACATCCTGTCACATTATTCTCCACAATTATGAACTCACCAAAGGCAAAAAAAGACTTGTTTTCCAACATTACTATTCTTTACATTTATACTCTAAAGTACATTTTACGTCATTCTCAACACGTCCTTCGCCATCTGGCCTCAGTTACTTTGACTGGTTCTTATCCATCTCCAAATCGAAGATTCTCTCACACTGCAACTCTTATGAGGTCGACGGAAGAGGCTGAATAGATTCGACGAAGGGGAATGCAAGATCGTATAGTTTATAAAGGGAGTACAGGATAGTATAGGGGAAACAAAGGCTTACATAGCCCAATAGATAGAAGGCTAAACACCCAAGATAGTATGCAACTTCGATAACAGAGAGCCAGAATGATGTTCATGTTCTGCTACTTAGGTGGAAGGAAAAGGGAAATCATATCACATGATGCGACACGTGACACCCTTGAGCGCCAACTGACCCACGACGGAAGTCAAAGGCACAAGTCATACCTTCGACATAAAAGCTCGGTTAGCTTTACAACTATCTTCCCCATCAAACATGATCTTTCAAAATACACCAACTCTCAAGTATCTTACTTGATAATGAAAAGAATGCAGTGTTTGCTCTGCAGTCATGACTGGTAGCCAATCCCGAGTTATCAAAAAATACACCAAAGCGTAGGTTCTGTCTTATCCCGCGTCAGTCGGACTTGAACTAATTCCCGTCATCGAGTTCTAAGCGATGTCGATCTATGAAGGTCGACGAAACTATGCCGTACCAACGACGGTAGGGCACGAGTTGCTGCAACTTGACTTTCTCAAAGTTTGAAGTGTTGCCATCATGCTGGGAAAGGTGAGTTTTATTTCCCACTTCTTACAAGCCCATACGCGGGTCTCCTCTCTCACTATGTCCATAGCCTTTACTTCCTCCTTCCCATAAGGCCCATCCACGACGACATGCGCGCTAAGTACTGCTTGCCATGGTGCCTCTCATGTCACCCTGAATCTCAGCAGTTGGCTTTCCCGATAGAAACTGGCCCTCCTTGCTGGCTCGAAGGCACACGTCGTCATGAAGCTGACCAGTAATTGCCATGGCATCGAATAGCCCATTTAAGAGCGTCCTCACGATGTCGATGAAGGAGATACTATCACCATAGACTGCGATTCTTTCCCCAGGCATCTATCGGAGACCGGGGAGTCGATATTTGATGCAGGCGTTATTAGTATACACGACTGTGCTGAAGTCTACAAGGTTTCGCTCGGCCTCTGTAGGTCCATGAACCTTGAGGTTCTGGTACTCATCTGTGTACAGGTAGTGCATAAGGATATGGGAAACAGGTAAGGGATTTTCCATCATCAAAAGGATGTATCCCACTGCCCGTAGTATGTACAGAAATCCTTTGTCTTTTTCCTAAAATGGCCTCAGGGACAGATATCCATTGACCATCGTCGAACTGAATGGCTCGAGATCTACCAAGCCATAGACCGAGGCCTTAAGGTAAAATAAAACATCAGACACGGAACGAAAATTGAGACAACTTTATATTATAAAAAGAATATTCTATAAAAGAATATTTAAATAAAATTATTATATTTTAATATCAATATTAAAATAATTAAGAAATTCTAGTCTTATTTTTAATAACTTTTAAATTATCTCTTAAAGCTAATAATAGTAATTATAACACATAAAAGTCTATATCTACTTAATTTCTTACGTCTGAAGTCTTATTTCACCCCCTAGCGAGGGCAAATCAGTTAGAAGCCCTCTGGTAGGGTTAATGAGGCATCACTCTCGACTTGGCTGGTCTGTCTTCCTGGCGATCATTGCTCAAAACGGGGCGCCACTCTCTTGAAAGCTTGATGTCAAATATATTCTTTTTCGTCTGCCCTCTATGCTTTTGGATACGATGTCGTCGTTACAGGAGTCTACATCAACCCTCGAGTACACTCTTTTCCTTCTACACGATGATACAAGACATACCTCCTTTATATGAACTTTGTAAGAAGGAGTTTTTACTTTATCCGCGCTATCAAAATAACATTATATTCATGCAGAAACATCAGGTCCACAACCCGAGTCTTCTGAAATACACTCTGCACTTCTCCTCATGCTTAGGCCTGAGTTCTCAAGAATGTTGAACTCATTCCGCCTCTCAATGCGTCTTTCATTGACAGTTTGAACATGGCTTAATAGGTACTGGTGAAAGATCGTCCCTGCGCTCTGCAGGTGCGTGTTGCAAACGGTCTCCTCCAGAAAGAAATAAAAGATAGTGACAATGACAGTATCTGTAGTCCTTACGAGCGTCAACTGCCCCCTTATCAACAACCACTTTATCCTCGCCGTGTTGCACAAGACGAACCTAGCGACGGAGTCTAGATCCTGCCTTCGGCCTTTCGCCACTGAAATGTGACTGAGCATTAGACACGTCCGCCTTGGTGATGCGTTTCGATTCGCGGGTAGCCACCTGAGTAGCCAGAGATTCTTGACATCACTGACTTCAAATTCTCCACCTTTGACCGTTTGCCTGGCCAGGATGGCAAGATCAGATAGCATTCCCGATCCCTAATCCCTCATATGTCTGATATTCAATCCAACGATACTCCGTAGTCACAATCCAATACGCACATGTCTTTGTCTGCGTCTTCTTCGCTTTTTTTGGGCTTCAAAGAAGTTGCACTCTGCCTTCGGTCCGAACGGAGCAGAACCAACTCCAAACATCGCAAGCAAGTTTTCGAGTGATCCTATTCCCGTGGCCGCCGTGGCGGCACGATTGTTTGCTTTTCAGAGGTGGTCATTCTCGATTGAACAAACAGTCCCAGTAAAATTCTAGTCTGGAACTACAGCCAAACTCAAACTGGGGCGGAAGCCAGTATGGTCCTATAAGTTGACGCAAGAATCGCCCCGGAAAGCTAGGAAGTTGAGTGTCTCGGGATTCTTTGTCAAATCTCGAGTTCAACTGGCTTCAGCTGGCGTAGCAGCATATCCTGGTCTCCTCTGTCGGCTTGGGCTGACTTCTCTGACATAACAAGGCCCGTTTCTTCTCCTCGCTCGCCCCATCTTCCGCCGCCCGTCATGCGGCTTGATGTGTTTTTTGGGGAGGTCTTGGTTCAACAGAGCCCAGGCCAAACCAAAGTAGCCGCCTCTCGAACCTCAGGAGATAACGGGATCCATCCTGGGAAGAGCTTTTGAGTCGATGCGGCTGAGTATGTGTATGACTCTTCTGATAGTTCCCAATGTTGAGATGGAGATTGCCTTGCAGCGAACACAGGCAGTAGATGGCTGTCTCTTCCTCATCGCGACATTTAGAGGTCATCGCGACGACGTGGTAACGGCGAATGCACTGCGGGCAGGGCCATTCTGAGTTGATGTGTGCATTCACCTGCATCGACCAGTCGCGATTCTAATGAACACGGCCGTGAGGCCGTACTTGATGGGCTTGGGTTCAACTCGTTGGGTCAAGTGCTTCCAGACACCCTCTTTGTATTTACACACCCTTCCGCTTGGATACTGCCTTCTTTTGTCCGTAGATTGATGAAGATGGGAAAAGAAAGCCCATAAGTCTCTTGACGTGCAATGAATCCCAAGAATGGTTCCAGCAGTCAGGATTTTATGCTCTCCGGTTTTGTAAATTTCCATCTCGTAAACCTAACTGCTCAAGATAGGGCGCCAATAGCTGAAATTCATCGAGAAGATCAACTTGACGTGGTGTCTCTAGAGACGGAAATGGAAATCGAGGTTCCGGGCAAAGGTGAAAGCGAATTCGGGTCCGTGTTCGGGTTTGAAGGGTAAGATCTCTGAACAGGGAGCTTCTCAGGTTTTCCATCGATCTTGAAACCGGGAAGTTGCATGTTGTGGACTAGAATCTTGCAAATTGCACAATAGTACTTCTGAGTCTTCATAAGTCTGTTTGGGACGTTCTGTTATGTTATACCAGGCCAGGCGTATCTTTCCGTAAGCATGAAGAAATTGGTGTCGTTGTGAATTTGGGGAGTTTTGGATGAGGCCATCACGAAAGGTGGTGGATATTTGGCGTGTGTGATGTTGATGTTGTTTTGTACACGCTTTCTTTGCAGTGCAGGAGATTTTGGTCGGTTGCTGGTGTTGATTCTCTCATCAGTCAGTTGTTTGACAACTGATAGTGTTTTGAACTTCTGAGGCCAATCTGATTCTCGACTTATGTCCCATCAAAGATTTGGACGACTTTTGTAGCTCTACAGGTTTGGTCGGCATGGTTCGCGGATCTCTCTAGAGTTTCAAGTACGGACGGACTAGATCTCTCCTGTTTCTGTTCAATATCAACAACCGCTGTCTGAGAATGTCTTGATAACCCAGTCAAGGAAGTTCTTCGACGCCTGGTTGTGGTCGCGGTGGACTACGGCCATGTTCTCGCCATAGAACATGCTCTGTGCTCAATCAACAACTTTGACACGAGCGAATGACACATATGAAGGGGCTGGTAAAGATGTTGTTGGAATACTGATTGAGATGCTGCTAATGTTGAAGCTAGATGGTCCAAGTCGTTCTCTTTAGCTTCCTAAGCGGAAAAGGGGTCTTGCATCAATACAGCTGGGACCGATATGTCAAGCAGTGATGCGGCATGGTCATCATGCATCTCTTACTCTTCAGCAGCACCAGCCATTAGTGTGATGGTTCGGTGTGAAACTTAATTGCTTTGTCGTATATGCCTTTCTCTTGGAAGTAATCGTCCAATGAAGTAGCAACTTGTCGTTGAGCCGACATCTCTTCCTTTTCTGAGTTCTGTTCTCCCCAAACGTCGTTTTCCTGGCTGTGTTCATGCGATACTAGACCAGACACATCTTTCGGTCGGTAGATATGACGAAATCGATGTCTTCGTTGACTCGACACTAGAGACCGCCTTATGCCCTCTCGTGGATGTTGGTTGCTCTCATGTCTGCCCCTGCAACATCTGATGTGGTTTTCCGCATTTATCTTTTCTTCAAAGTCCCAGCATTGCGCTGCTCTGGCTGGAGTTAGTCTTTATGAGAGATAATGTCTCGATTCCTTCGTTAGGTGTCTTCACATAGCTGACGCAAGTCTTCTTGCCTACCCCCAGCCGTCATTTCTCTGGCTCTTGATAGTAGGAGTATCTCTTACTTTGCTTTGGGGACGAAAGCTTTGGTGTTCCTGGGATATGCGACGGAGTGCTTCATCCACGATGTCCAAGAACATGACAGATGATGAAACAACGAGGCATTTCTCATCTGGTGCCGTCTTTCGAATCATGGTTATCAAACTGGTGACAGTGTCCACTCGAGGAGAGAAGATGTCGGTCTTTGGTGCAGCCGGCAAGGTTTCGGTTAACCGGCTTGAACGAACACTCTTTTCGTCTTGTTTGAGAGAGATCTTTCTCGAACCACGAAACCCGGCACCAAATGCCGTCAAGATCCCAGCACGGTGTGCTCCGAAATCCATTATCCCTTCGCCATCTACTTCTTTCCAGTCGTCATTTCCATTCGTTGGTTAAGAGTAAGGAGCGTGCCGAAGTCTGGGCCTTTAAAGGTGCCGACTCCATAGGCAAGCAAGGTTCATAGACGTTGCCTGTCTGCTATGAACCTGGTGGCTCGGCTGCGAGGTACTTCAAGTACTTAACCTCACACACGCCTTGACCCAACCCTGAGACATGACCGAGGATTTCAATGTGTTCGCCGTGGTAGGCCACCTCGTTCTTCTACCATTCCCTCTCAACTATCCAAGCATAGCGGTTGAAGGGCTGATACCAGAGGGACTTAATGATTTCGCAGGCATATCTCCAGTAGCTCATAGGTTAGCCACTCCGGAGGACCACACTGCGTAGCAATCCACTTCTATGAAATGAGGCATCCAATGTTATCATGGTATGAGTTCTTGGTTCAGAAGAAACCAGTTCACAGCTGTGGTCTGGTTCAAACTTGCGTTTTCCGATTGGGGGGTATTCGAGACTTAGTCTCATATCAAGTAGCTTCTTGTTCTGTTACCAACCGACCAAAGAAAGCTGGACTCTGACAGGCGATCGGCCTGGTCCATTCCTTGGTACTGTACTTGTAGCAGATCTAGCGGTCATATGGTGCAGATCTCACGGGGGAATATGCAGGTGGGTGCATACCTGGAGGTGCTGGCCTGGGCTTGACGACGGGTATACTGGACGATGATATGGTATCGGTGATAGAGTAACCTTGATTTCCTTCTCATCTGTGTCTAGATCTTTCTCTCTTACAGTCCTAGAGCCTCCTAGGCGCCGCTTTATAAATAACCTTCCAGGAAATGTGCAGCAGAGAGATCCTTTTGCTCTAACCTATTGGCCATTATTCTGTTTCTTTTTCTTTTAGATAAGGGCGCTGGGCGGACGGCTGTCTCAGCTACTCTCGGGCCAGTCTGGAGTAGCAGGGCTTTTCCGTTTGGTGAACCTCCATTGCGTTTTCAGCTGATTGAGAGCGTCTCGTCGTTGAATGAAGCAACATCTGAGTCTTCTTTCATGAGACTATTGTAAGAAAAGATCTGATATGTCGATTGTTGGTTTCATCTGCTCACGCAGCCATTCAACTTAATTTTCTTCTGCTGTTGATCTCAAATTGGGTGGTGCGTAATTGGTGACTTGAACACTCCATGATCTACTTGATCATTGTGCTGTATCCGTGTATATATATAGCTCGAGAATGGTAAAGCTTACCACTCAGAGTCGACCCTTTTCGCCAGACTTCTCCCTGTCGACAGTGGTTTGGCAGAGTCGACTCGACAGCAGGCATCTGACACAGCGAGTACGCAACAGTGGGAGGAGAATCATTATTGCTGGCCTTCGAGGTGGATGGATAAGTGTAGGTGTGGTTGCGCATATGTCGGGACTTCATAAGCGATAGGCTCCTCGGGGTACACGTCGCCTAAGCCGATCATGCTCCAGGCGCTCGGAGGCTAATCGTTCAAGCTGTTGCTTTCCAGGCCATATCTGGAATGTATCAGGAGATGATGGTAGTATATCATGCATACTGGCTGCTGTTGAGTTCTCTCCATGTAAAGAGCGGAGAGCGTTAAGACGATTTCCGGTGACTGGAGGTTTGCGATATATAATGCTGTTCTTGTTGCCTTTGACGCACGATATGCGATACATGATATGGATTTCTTCCCATTGTGTTAAGGGGTACTGTTCCCAGCCGCTCCTGTCCATATTTAGCATTTACTCTAAGAGTACAACTCCGAAGTTGAGGTTCTTACATTGATCTCTCTTGTCTTAGGAGGAGATAGAAGTTGAGCGTCATTCCAAGCCATATCCTCTCGGGCGGCTGCATTTTCCATGCTTGGTGTCGCCCATGCAGAAGAGCAAGTGTCTCTATTCAAAGTCAGCTCATGTTTTCACAAGTATGATGTGTAGGACTTACTATGAGAAAACAGCAGAATGTCATAACAGATGTTGCAGGTGAATTCAATCGCGATGTATTCCTCGACGCAAGTCTCTCAACAGACCCAACGCATGATTGGGATTCGATTCAAGTGGTATATATAGCAGGGCAGGGCGACAAGGGACGTCAAGTTGTAGCTGGTACGGTTGCATTTGGCTGGGCTTCGTATGCTTTCTATGATGCTTCCCAGTCACGTATATATAGAAGAAGTTGTATAAGGAGTAAACGTGAAGAGCAGAGGTTGGAGGGTGGCGGACAGACTACTTATACTTGAGAAGGACACCGATACATGACAAGTAAGTTGACCAACTACTTCATTATTGTTGCTACGAAACAGATCAACACGCAGCAGTCTTGTCATCAGGTTGTCTTGGATTTGCCTACGGAGTAATGCATCAAGATTTCACATTTCCCCGTCCTTCTGCAAGTGTGTTGTTTGAAGAAACCACGCCAGCTTCTCTAACAACATCGCCATCAGACAGAACATCAATGTCACTACCCGACATCTCACCCCCAGTCATCAATGTTGATACCCGTCTGCGTGAGTCATAGACACAATCGAGACCGCATGAATGACGGGTCGCCGGCCGGGTACTACCCGGCTCTATCTTGCTTGACAAATACGAACAGTCAATCCCAAGCAGAAGCATCTTCCCATAGGCAATGCAATTGTCCTGGACGCAGTCTGCCATTGCCGTCAAACTTGGAAGTTGTTTCAACACACCCGCTCATCCGTTCGAGTACCACCTACAGCCATAACTTACAGTTCCGTGCAAAAGTTCCGACAACGAGCCAACAAAAGATGGTTAGAGTAAAATAGATTATACTAAATATATTAAATTTAGAAAACTGTATAGATAATCTTAGAACTATATAATATAAAATTAAATTAATTAAAAAGAGCTTTTGATAATTTATATAATCTTTATAAAATGTAGAATAGAGGGAATTGTCGGAGCTTTTGCATTTTGCACGCCCACTGTAACAATGGCCTGCAACCATCCCCGTCTACTCTACTCGCAAGCAACAGTTCCAATACAAATGAGCAACTCTACGTGTCCAATCTCGGAAACACTACGCAATTACACGTCCCGTCCACAAATCATACCACTTAGTGTCACCTACACACATCACATCACATCACATCACATCACATCCTATCATGTTGGACAAGGAAATTCCATCTTTTTGCAACAAATAACACGGTCCCAACAACCATGATCCAATAACATGCTCTTGTACCTTTCTTCGCTTCCCATCTACCCATCCAATGAATATTCATCCCCTCTCACTTTTTGCAAGCCATACCCACCACCCTCAAGTGACAATCGTGATTCTAGCATGACAAAAAGACGAATCGTAAATAATCACATTACTCGCCCCCCTCAGCAGGTGGTACGGTTGTGTCTAAACCCGAGAACAAAGCTTTCGATACATCATTATCCTTTCAACGCCGGCTTTGGCTTCTCCCCTCATCTTTAAGCGACTGAGGCGATGACTAGCGCAGCCACATTCTCCTCCTCGCTTCGCACCGTGATCTTCGTTGTGACACCTGTTTTTGATGAGAAAGCCATCCGCACGTTGGCAACCACCCGACCTCCACCGACTGTCTTGCCCAGAAGCTTGAGTGTGTGGGTGGTCTGGTTAACGGGAACATCGGTACCCTCCAGAGGCTGCAAGGATAGAGCCTTTGTAAGTTGCTCCGTAGCATCTGTAAATTTGTTAGTAATGAGTCTTCTGAGTCTGTGATGATAAACATACCTGCGATGCTCTCCATGCCGCTCAATTGGAGTGTCTCTGTGACCTCCTCACCAGAAGCACCGATCTGCTCCCAGATATGACTGAAGTTACCAGCAAATGTGGGGATCACGTAATCACTGCCAGAAAGGTCGAACTCTGCCACCTCGTACTCATCATCGTAGCCAGTATCCTCAGGCTCGCCCGTTGATGGGTCAATCTCCTTGCTGGTGAACTTGAGAACGTTGGTGAAGGTGGAGATGGGCAGAGAGCCCTCGCCGTTAATCTTCTTAAAGGCCACGTAGACCTTGCCAGGCTCATCAGTGGAAAGCTTCTCAGCCTGGATGATGAAGACCTCCTCGAGCTCCTCGTCATCGGCAGGGGTAGCGACAACGGAGACGTTCTCGAGAACAGTGTCGGGCAAGGTGTTCTTAACCTCATACTGGAAGACAATGTGCTCCTTGAAGATGTGCTTGACCAGAGTAACAACATACTCGGTCTCGGCCTCAGTAAGCTCGATAAGAGGCGAAGACTTGAGAACACTGCCAAACTCCTTCATCTCGGGGATCTCCAGCAGCTCCTGGGCGTATCGCTGAGCCGCAGCAGACGCAGAAGCAACAGCCTCGGCTCCGGTGGCCTTCGTAGGGCCAACCTTAGGAGCCTTGAGGGTAGGAGCAGTGGCAATCAGCTTCTTGGTTCGGTCCTCAGCATCGGCCTGTTCTCGAGTAACCACAGGAATCTTGGAGATATCGAAGGGGCTGTCGAAAGCTGACTTGTCATCAGAGGTGACGTACAGAACAAGCTGCTGCTCAAAGTATGGGAGGGAGAACATGTTCTCTGTAAGCGCATTAGTATTGATCGACTGTCAAGGATTAAATCTTACTTACCGTTCTTGACGAATCGAGTAGCCATCTCATCGTCCTCCTCGTTCATGAGGCTAAGGTTAAGGGCCGCACGGTCACGGACCTCGTCATCAACATCGTCCAAACAGCGGGTAAGAAGAACTCGGACACTGCTCTTAACCTCGGGATCTGACTGACCGACACCGAACTTGGCGAGAGCAGTGACAGCGGCAGCTCGCACGATAGCGTTCTCGAGAACCACTCGGTTGTAGATGTATCGGATGTACTTGGTAGGCTGAGCAGTCTTGGGACCCTCGAGACCAATAAGGTGGAGAATTCGGACAGCAAGCTTAGTGAACTCGCAATCCTCGATAAACTCGCACAGGTGGGCGAGCGCGTCCTCCTTAGAATCGGGAACAAATTTGATCAGATCGAACATGCTCTCAACGACAGCCCTCTTGAACTCGTAACCACCCTCATCGCGCAGAATACCGCTAAGGAAGGTAAGCATACCAGCCTGCTTGCTGGGGAACTTGAGGCACAGTGTTCGGATAGCCTCGACAATCGTGATCTTGAACTCGTCGGTGATCTCGGACATGAAGGTGGAAATCTGCTTCATCAATCTGTCGACACTGGCCTCGTTACCGGTCTTGAGTAGCGTGGTGATGGCGAAGGTAGCAATAGATCTGTTGCTGTTGGAGATGAGGAGCTCGATATCGGGGTTGCAGGCGTTGACGGCGGTGGGCTTGAAGCTGGCGAAGTTGTGGAGAATTCGGAGAGCGGCAAACTTGGTGACGGCGCGGGGAGAGGTGAGGAAGAGCTGGAGAACGTGGACAGCTTGCGCCACCTCGGCATCGGTAACATCACGCATGTCGCAGATGGCCTTGGCAGCCTCGAAGTTGACCATCTCGCTCTTATGTCGCAGCCATCCGTCAAGGAGCTGCATCATGGGCTTTCGCAATGAAGCATCCTCCTCGGCGAGCTGTGCAGCAAGTCGAACCAGCATGACGATAGCAGCGGGGCTCTTGAGGGCACCAGCAGCGCCGAATTGCTGAACCATCTTGACCAGGGCCATTCGATCGTGCGAGCGCATCTGATATAGAAGTCCGACGGCGTGGTATTGCGACATGGTCGAGTGGTTCATGGGGACCTGGCTGCTCGAGGTGGAGAATCCAAGGGAGAAGCCACCGGAGGACTTGTTAGAAGCAGCGGCCTCTTGGGTCTCGCTCTGCCATCGTCGGACGACATCCTTGGCGATTGGGAGGAGATGGTAGGAGGAAACCAGGGCGGCAGAAGACACGGAGGGGTTCTTGTCGACAATTGCGGTCTTCATCACTCGTTCGATCGATTGGACGGTCGTGGCCTTTATAATGTCAGCATCCAGGGGTGTCGGTGTACCTGCCAGTAAAGCGACCTACATCGATAATTCGGCAGAGAGCACGGATAGCGTTGGGTCGGTAGATGGCATCGGTGCTGCCTCCAGTATCCTTCATAATCGTGCTGGTAACCATAATAATATCCTCAGCCGAGTTGGCGAGCTCCTTGATGATAAGGTGGACCATCTGTCGGAGGCTGGCATCTTTGTTCTGGAAGAGCTTGGAGATGCCGAAGAAGAGGGTGGTGGCTTCGTTGGTAGGGAACTTCTCTCCTGTGTAGAGGAGGAGAGCGATCTTTGTGAGGAGAATGCGACATCGTCGAGGCTGGATAGGGGAGCTGTTGAAGAGTCGTGCTGTCGAACTATTTAGCTTGATTGTGGGGGGACGAAGAGGAACAAGGCGATTGCTTGAAACGGACCTTCCTGGAAGACTTGAGTTCTGTCCACCTTGACCAGCCCGAGGTCGGCGTCTTCGTCCTTTTTGCCGTAACTCATGCTGGGCAACTGGGTTGAGGTGAAGGGTTTGGTCGAGGGAGACTTGAGGTTGCGGTCGAGGCGCTCCTAACGTAGAATCACCACGTCGCAGTTACGCTTCAGGGATGAGTGGTGCCGTCACGTGACGTTATCAGCCCCTTATCGGACGGGGATTCGTGTCAACTTTGTAGCATTGAGATCACGAGTGAACGATCAATTGTTCAGTCTGCCAGTATCAATTTATAGGTCTCTTTCGAGTTTCTTCTTCCAGACGCTCTTTGTATCAATTCAAGTCAATTATGGGTTTGTCGAAAGAGACACCTTCCAAATGCCAGTCCATCAAGGGATCTGCTGGATGATGGGGTCCCGCAGCTGAGGTACCCGCAACATTTCACATGCTTAAAATAGCTACAAGCAAGGAGATGCTCACCAAGTTGATTACTCTATGCGAACAGATGGCAACACATAATAGTAGCCAGCTTGGGTATCTTCCAAAAACAGCTCTCGTAATCCTTTACTCGAGCTCTCGCCATTTAAAGTGACATCATGTCGACCCTGAACCTATTAACCCACTATAAGTAACTTCACGACTTGGATCTGAAATAAAACGGTCATTCTCAACGACCTCTAACGTACGATCTAAATCCAATTGTAAATTGGCTCCAAGCTTAAAGAAAAAGTAATTGAAGAAATTCTTAAGCACCTCTCAGTTTGATGATACTATTAGATCATGGATAAGTTCTATATATCGAATGAAAGCATTGAAATAGGGTAGTTTTGTCCCCAATTATTTTTGGACCCCATTGCTTCTCAAGCAGACCCAATTTTCCGGCTTCGCATCTTTAAAGTCTCCCTCCGGCTCCAAACATTCAACGCCAACCTCCAATCCATTCCTCGCCCAAAATGAAGCCTGTAACGCGGTTATCACTTCGCCTTGCGCCCCGGCTTGTCCAGCGCCCTGCCCTCGTCCGTCCGATTCACTCGACCGTCGTCAAGGCCGCCAATGTCGCTCCGGTGGTCGGCACTGGCCCGCCCCCCGAGCCGCCGATCCAACATGCCGATGTCCATCAGCGAGTCGCCAGGAGGAAGAGGCAGGCTGAGATGCTCAAGAATGCAAAGGAGCTGAGAAGTTCCTACGCCGGAAAGGGTGGCGGCTTGAAGAAGAGGTTCTGGAAGAACGTTACTGTTAAGGAAGTGGATGGTAAGAAAGATAATTCGGACCCCGCTATCGCTGCGTTTACTGACTACGAAGTAGGTGCTCTTCAAGTCTTTCTCGATACTAGACCCTTGAGACATCCTGTGTCAAAGGAGATCGTCCAAATCCCTATCACGAAACCCGACCTCGCTTCCGCCCTCGCTTTTGAATGGGATCTCATGACTTCGGCTCAGGATGCTACAAGACATCATTTGATCCCTCTTACAAGTCTCACCTGCCGAGCCCTCGATATCGCCGCAGATGATAAAGTCTCTAGAGGCGAGATTTCAGAGATCCGAGAAGCCATTGCCACTTCATTGCTACGATACCTCGACACCGATTCGATTCTTTGCTGGAACCCTCCCGCCGAAAAGCACGACCGCAGAAACGACGCTGGAGAGGGACTACGAGACGTCCAGAAGCGCGTCGCCGAGGAAATCGTGTCTTTCCTTACAACAAACGTCTGGCCAGGCATCACCATCAAGCCCGTCCTCGACGGCCACACTATCATGCCCCAGTCACAAGACCCCGGAGTCCGGGAGATCATCCAAGGGTGGATCAGTGGGCTCGATGCTTTCGAGATTGCAGGCCTAGAGCGCGCTGTGTTGGCGGGCAAGAGTCTCATCGCTGCGTCGCGGTTCATCGTGGAGTGGAGCGAGGGTTCAGCCGGCAAGGGCGAGCTCAACACTGGTAAGAGGTTTGGTGTCGAGGAGGCTGCTACTGCTACCAGTCTTGAGGTGGATTGGCAGACAGGGCAGTGGGGAGAGGTGGAGGATACTCATGATGTTAACAAGGAGGATGTGAGAAGACAGCTGGGCAGCGTTACTCTGCTTGTATCTGGAACAGGCAAGGCTTGAACAAGGTTGAATGTGAATTAGATAAATAGCCGTGATAACGGCTTGTAAAGTAAAATGATGTATAATAGACGGAGATCCTGAACGCCCAAATCGATCGTCTGTCAATGATCCAATGAAACAAGGTACTCGAGTTGATGTACTATATGAGTACGCAATGATGGCTATAAAGTTCTTGAATCATAAAATTCGTTAAATAGTCCGTAAATCTAATAGGTATTTAACACCAATTGCCATGAATATATCACGGTAGCATACTAATATTCTCAATTTGATCCAAGTCGTGTAATCCATATGTCTTACCCTACATCCGCTCAACAAACAATAGGGATTCCAATACAGGGCTGAAAGCCATCATCTCAGTTAAAGTGACACCCACACACCAGCCATGTCTAGGCCAGTGCACAAGACAGCTGAAATGACAATGAGAAAAGAGGTGGGAGGTAATTTAATTAGCGTTTGCTACTGAGATAGAGTTATCGTTATGGCGGTCTGTGGCAACTACATCGGGCTTCCGCGAGTTCAATTTCACAGCTGATAAAGCTTCATTTAGTAAACATCCAATCGTTTCACACGTGTGCATTCAACGTTGCTCTGCTGCTGCTACGCAGTAAGCATGCACATGCAGGATATCGCATTTTTCCCGCAAGCCTCTTCATTTTGTAAAAAAACGCCTTATGATTTATCGGATCTTGTGTCTATACCGCCGAGGTACGGGGAATCGCCACAGTTGCATTTCCTAACCCCAATTAAGGTATCAAAGACATCATCTGCGACAAGAAAAGGCCGCGCAAGCACTTGGTTAGGGTGATTTTTGTGATTTTTAAGCTGAATCGCAGGCTAAGACAATGCCGTGGCGGCGGGATAGAAATAAGACAGCGTATTGGCTGGGGATTGATAATTGATGCTTGGATGGGGCTAGCTTGGTTACTACTTGCTAGGACGAGAGGCGGAGTTTCTGAGGATGACCATGATTACATTTTCGTCACAGGCTACAGAGCACAGCGATTGTATATTGGATGGTCCCTATTCTTCAGCTGTTTCTCGAGGCATAAATCTGTTACTACCTATGCTCAGAGTTACACAGCAGAAGCCATACATACGGTCCTCCATGCGTACCTTAATTTAAACGCCCGACGCCCAACGCCCAGGCACCGACCTACTATTTAGTATCTACCTGCAGGTCTAGCAAAGCCCCTACGTCAAGACTTTTCAGCCGTACCGTATTTGTCCAACGTCCAAGCAAACGCCAAGCACTAAGTCCCTGCTACCCGGCCTCTGCCTTGGTGCGGCTGCACCCACCCTCCACTAGCTGAACACAGCCAGGGTTAGGATACGCCACTGAGAAAGCCCATATCGTACTTTAAAGATGAGCTGTATTCTCTTCCCCCTGGCAGGCCATTTTCTAGTAAAGTCTGTTTCTTTGTTTGGCTGTAAGGGTCGAATTTGTTTGTTTTTGGACTTTTCAACACCACAGAAGAACACATCATGAGGTGGACGACGATAAGTACCGTGGCCGCTGCGCTCGGATGTGTGGATGCCGTGAGCTTCCCCAGATCGAAGGCTGGGAAGGGCTATCTCTCCATGCACGTGGGGACTGTTGAGAGATCAGGGAAGAAGCAGCAGAAGCACAGCAAGCGTCAGGACGGTGATGGCGAGGCGATAGCTGTGCGACTTCAGAACAAGGACTTTTTCTACGCCACAGATCGTAGGTTATCACACTCACCGTATTCATCATTCGTACTCTCTCTAACAGCAACAGTTGAATTCGGTTCTCCTCCGCAGAAAGTCACCGTCCTTCTCGATACCGGCTCCAACGAACTCTGGGTCAACCCCGATTGCAACGAAGCTCAAACCGATCGACAATACGACCAGTGTCTCGACTTTGGCCAGTACAATCCCGACAAGTCAGACACGCCACCCATCGGACCCTTCGGCAGCGAGACGCTCAACTATGGCGACGCATCAGACTCGTCCACGCATACTTCTGCCACGATCGAATACTTCGCAGATTCCTTGACCTTTGGAGACTCGCAGTTGGAGAACCAGACGTTTGGTGTTTTGGTAGAGAGCAACGGTATCTCGCAGGGTATACTGGGCCTTGCGCCTGATCTGCGGGCTGGATTTGATGGCGAGGAGCCTTACAGCTTGTTGCTTACTTCCATGGCTGATCAGGGCCTCATCAACAGTCGTGTATTTGCGCTGGATCTGCGACACTCGGATGATACTGAGGGTGCGCTTATCTACGGTGGTGTCGACCGCAGCAAATTCATCGGCAAACTCGAGACTGTCCCGATTGTTCGTGGTGAGGGTGGCGAGTACCGTCTCGCTGTAAACCTAAAGAGTCTCGGCGTGACCGTCAACGGCAAAACCACGAATATCCGCGTCTCAAGTGACGACGAAAATGTCATGCTCGACTCTGGAACAACGCTGTCGCGTATGCACATGTCCGTCGCCGGCCCGATCCTGGATCAACTCGGCGCCAAGAATGACGGTGAGGGCTTTTACACGACCAGTTGCGATAACCGCGATGTCGACGCTACCGTTGATTTTGGCTTCGGCAACAAGGTCATCAAAGTCGCCCTCAGCGATTTCATTCTGGAGCTCGGTCCTGGCTCGTGTTATATCGGTCTCGTTCCTACCACCGACCAACAGATTCTTGGCGATTCTTTCCTCCGTGCTGGATACTTTGTCTTTGACTGGGATAACAAGGAGGTTCATCTCGCCCAGGCTGCCGACTGCGGAGATGAGGATATTGCCACTGTTGGATCTGGCTCCAACGCTGTGCCCAGTGACACGGGCAAGTGCAAGAATGCTGACATTACAGCCACTGGACGTGTAAGTCACAACAACCCGATGATCATGAGAGAAAATACTGACGAGTTTCTAGGCGGCTGCGACTCCCACAGGCGATTCATTCCCCAACTCGGCCTACACCACCACTTACACCATCACCTCGTGTCCAGACTTTGAGCGCGACTGCGCAACAGGCCTTGTGACGACCCAGACCTTCAGCGCACGCCCAACTGTTACGGTCACAGCGGGAGCGGGTGGTAATGACGGCGATGACGATGATAACGCTGCGTGGCAGCCTACGCCTCTGAGCTGGGTGTTTGCCGTGGTGGGTGGTTTCGCCATCGGCTTGAATATGCTGTAGAGCTCAAGGATATGATTGTATATATTGATGATCTCTGTTGGACATGATTGATAATCTAGACCGTGTTTGGGGTATGCATGGCCTTGAGGCATACGGCGGCGTTTGATCTTGACTTTGGGTCTTTACTCGTCTTTGTGAACGTGACAGAAATTGGGTGGTTAAAACCAATTGCATTTCCTGAGTAATTAAGTTATTCCAACATCTTTTTCTTGTTCATGGACGCCCTTGAACGAGCGTGGAGAGAAGACTGGTGAATTGAAGGGTGCCTCGAAGAGATCAAATTCAACGCAGCCTTCTCAAAGGCCCGCAACACGTTGATAAGCATACCCGAAGTCCGTAAAGACCGTTTCTATATGGACATTGGTTGTTTAATGTCCCTTTTATGTAATCGGGTTCCATCGCTGGCGCATGTCTGACATGTCAGCACGGGTAGTAACCGACGGATGAGCTTATTTGCAAGCTTAATTGAACTTTAGCCAGGGACGACAGGTTCATGTCAGACCTGCATTGCATATGCTCACTTATACGCTGGTTTCTCTATCAATATACAGTGCGTCAACTCGCGACTCATTTTGTCAAAGTCATGGCTATCCCCAACAAAGCGGAACCGCGATTCAGATCAACAGACCGAGTAGTGCGGAAACAGCGGAACTCATGGTTGAGCTATCGCCATCTACCGAGGTAGCAGATGTGGATTATGGTCCACTTTCTCCAACTGCTCAATGCCGAGGAACCACAGGAACCTTTTGATTAGAAGAGACATCTCATTGAGAAGTAAGTTTGTTTATACAGGGAAAGTCGTGGTAAATTAGTGAGAAATCTTGAGGAATCTACTACGTCAATACGTGATTGGCTTTACAAGAACCAAGGCCTTGGAAACTCCAAAGCGGAAAGGGATTGTGGTAATGCGGAGAAAGTGGGCCATCACAGGTTGCAGTACGGAGTAATTACTTACGGACCACTACGTATGCGTATCCGTACAGCAGCGCTAAATTGGTGTCGTCTTCCCCAGATTTGGAGGACACCCCGAGGTAGAGGTTGGAAGCGTACCTAGGTCAACCAACCGTTTACTACGTAGTCAGTCCAGGCTACTAATAATACCTATTTCAGCTTGCTCATGCCTCTTTCCTCTCCTCCATCTTCTTCCCTCAATCCTCTCGTCTCCAATTTCTGAATACCCTCACCCACCTCACGTCGCTCACCCAAAATGGTCTTCCATCCTCCTCCCGCAGCCAAACTTCCCTTTGGTAAAAACAACACACCGCCAGCTCTTCACCCCAGGATTTCTACTGACATTATTTAGATCCCCCGGACTCAGTAGCAATCCCCGATTTCTTCTACAGCGAGGACTACGCCCGCAAACCCTTCTCCCGCTCTAGAAACCCCTACACATGTGGTATCTCTGGCAAGACTTACTCCAACGATGAGGTCCTGAAGCGCCAGCATCTTCTTGCGCGCGCTCTAGGCAAGCGCCTTGGCTACAATGCTGCTGAGGGCACGGAATGGGATAGGGTCGTGGCGCTGTACTCAGTCAACACGGTTTGTTGAACTCACTCACTCAACTACACGGCGCATGACTAAATTAAAATGTAGATTGACTATATTACCATGACCCACGCCGTTCACCGTCTCAATGGTATAGTCACACCCGCCAGCGCCGCATACTCTGCGCCTGAACTCGAGCATCAGCTTCGCTCATCCAACGCCAACGCTTTATTCACATGTGTTCCTCTTCTCGAGACCGCCCTCACCGCCGCCAAAGCCGTCGGCATCCCCGAGGATCGCATCTTTCTACTCCCAGTTCCTGGCGCTGAAGCCAAGCCGCCGTTCAAGACAATTGATGACTTGATCGCGGAGGGTAACGATGCGCCTGAGCTTAAGCCGTTGAATTGGATCAAGGGTCAGGGTGAGAGGCAGGTCGCCTATCTATGTTATTCCAGTGGTACCTCTGGTCTACCTGTAAGTCAATCCGAGATCTCATCAATGAATATCGACTCACAATTTGTAGAAAGCCGTTCAGATCACCCATCGCAACGTCATCGCAAACGTTATGCAAATGGTAGTCCAAGACCACGAAGGCCGCAAGGCAGCAGGTGTAGATACCCAAGTCCAGCTTGGTCTCTTACCTCTCAGCCATATCTATGGTTTGGTTCCTGTCGCTCACTCCGGTATATCTCATCTCACCTCATATTCATTTCTTATTTGACTAACTCAATTGAAGGCATCTACAACGGCGACGAAACAGTCATTCTCCCCCGTTTCGAGCTTAAATCCCTCCTCTCAGCCGTTCAGCGCTTCAAGATCCAGCAAATGGCTCTCGTTCCTCCCATTTTCATCCAGATGTTGAGCAACCAGGCTGAATGCGCAAAATACGACCTCAGCACCGTCCGTTTCATATTTAGTGGTGCTGCACCGCTAGGTCAAGAGACAATCGCCCACTTGAACCAAGTCTGGCCCAGCTGGCGTATTTGCCAAGGTTACGGTATGTCTTCTTCTCCCCCTTCATGCAGGTCTCATGGCTAACTCCTCAGGTCTTACTGAAACATCTCCCGTGGTCACTTCAACAAGTGAACTCGACATTGATCCCGGTTCTTCGGGAACACTCCTTGCTGGTCTGAAAGCAAAACTCATCGACGTCGAAGGAAAGGAAGTCACCGAATACAGCACCCCTGGAGAGCTTTACGTCCAAGGTCCTACTGTTGTCCTCGGGTACCTTAACAATGTAAAGGCCACAGCAGAGACGTTCGTTCATCATAGTGACGGTCGCTGGATGCGAACAGGTGATGAGGTCATTGTTCGGAAATCACCCAAGGGCGTCGAGCACTTTGTCATTGTGGACCGAATCAAGGAACTTATCAAAGTCAAGGTAACACCCCAACCCTCATATCGCCACTCACCTACTTACACTATTTTCAGGGCCATCAAGTCGCTCCAGCAGAGCTTGAAGCTCATCTCCTTAGCCATCCCTTCGTTGACGACTGCGCCGTGATCCAAGTCCCCGATGCCCGCGCTGGCGAAGTCCCCAAGGCTTTTGTCGTCAAAGCACCCCAGGCAAAGGGCAAGTCTGATGATGAGGTGGCGCAGAGCATCAACAAGCATGTCGAGGAGCACAAGGCGCGGCACAAGTGGCTCAAGGGCGGCATTGAGTTTATCGATATCATCCCCAAGAGCCCTAGTGGTAAGATATTGAGACGTCTGTTGAGAGATCGTGAGAGGCAAGCCAGAAAGGAGAAGGGGGCTAAGTTGTAAGGATAATGTGTATAGTCCGTCACGGGGGAACTCCTGGGATCATTAGGGAGTATTTGTTGGGTGTAGTGTTGAACTGGATTGTATAGAGAAGTCTAGTGAAGATGAGGGAATACAACTTTTCGAAATACCAAGCAAGCCACAGTAAAATGTAGAGAAACAGTTGTCATGGATTCTGCAAGTTATCCATCCTTGACGGTGCAGGGGATGAGGCTATCGAGAGCAGGACTTCCGTCCCATGTTCAACCCCTTAAAGATATACAGGCTACCAAGCAGCGTTTCCAAGCATATATAGACCAAACATTCAGTTAGAGCCATCGATCACCATGATGGCTAGAGATAACAACTATACGAGTGACTAGTAACCAGACGTCACTATAGGCACTGCTAAACGGTTAAGATATGGAGAATCAGTTCAAGGCAGTCCTCAAGGCAATGAGAGTAAAGTAACAGAGGCACATATTACTACTAGAAATATAGAACAATCACATCGAATTTAGTACAAACTTCACAAGACAAGACGGACATCACAAGCAAGGTACAAAAGGCGAGCAGGATAATTGAATTCAAAACAAATAAGTCAATATTAACATTACAACCAGCCAGCGGGTATATATGCTTCGTATGCATCTCGGCTCGACTGGTAACTTCCCGTGCTCTTTTTATCTTTTTCTACTTAAATCTTTTTCTTCGACCTCCAGACTTCATGTCACAAGAGGATCTGGCAAGTACCAAGTCTCTACACCAATGCATAGTTCGTAAGGATCGTGATGAATGATACATAGTTTGATGAGCGCGCTTTTTGTTCTAACTTCCCTGGAAGCTCGAGCGGTCTCGGGATGCGGAAGTACACAACAGACATACAGGTCCCGCCTCAGGTACCAAGACCCAATCTATAAACAAGGAAAAACAGAAATGTTTGTGCAGAGCTCGTGACCCTTACAGGGCAATGGCGACAGCCAGGATGGCGGCGGCGATGCCCATGCCGTTGCGAGCGGCACCAGCAGTCACGGGAACACCAGGGGTGGCGGTAGGGACGGGAACACCACCGGTACCGACAACGGGCTTGCCAGTGATGAGGGTCTCACCAGCGGGAGGAGCGTAGCCGGGAGCGGCAGGGGCCTCAGTGCCGACAGCGGGAGCAGTGGCGGGGGTCTGGGCGGGGATAGGGCCGTTGCCAGCAGGGCCGGAAGTGAAGCCAACCTCGGGGACAACGATCTCGGTCTCAATGGTCTTGACGGTGGAAGATCCCTCAACAGTGGTGCCATCAGTGACACAAGGCTCAGTGATGGTGGTAGCAACAACAACAGTGGTGTAGTGAGCAGAGGTGATGATGGTGGTACCGGTGACGGTGATGTGCTCAGTGACGGAGTCGGCACCAGTGGCAATACCGGGGTTCTTGTTGACGTAAGGAGCGCAGATACCCTGGAAGAAGGAGACGGCCTCAGCGATGGTGTCGTCGTCCTTGGCGTGGGCGTAAAGGCACTGGAAGACGTTGTCGACGAAGTCCTTGGAAGGGCAGTAGCAGGCAGCGTCAGTGTTGTCCTCACAGTCATCCACGTACTCAAGGAAGGTGTTCAAGCAGCTGGGGACAACATCGGGAACGTTGTAACCATCCTCAGGAGCCTTAGGAGTCTCGGGCTTCTCATCAGAGCCAGTCTGGACGGGCTTGGGGGACTTGTGGGTGATGGTCTCAACGACGGGGTAGGCGGTGGTCTTAGCAACGGTCTCGGTGACAACAGCGGGAGTACCAGACTTGGCGGGGCAGTTGGTGACCTCAGGGCCGCAAGAGGTGATGGTCTTGACCTCAGTAGCGTAGACGGTAGAGATGCTGTCGTAGCTGGTGACGATGGTGGTCTCCTCCTCGACAGGAACCTCGGAGGTAGCGTGGGGAGAAGAACCCTCAGTGGTCTTGCCAGGCTTGTCACCAGCGGGCTTGGTGTAACCGGGCTTGTCACCACCCTCAACAGGCTTGGTCTGGCCGGGCTTGGAACCGGTAAGGGTCTCAGTGACGGGGCAGATGGTGGTAGAGATAGCAACAGTCTCGGTAACAACGACGGGGGTGCCGGCGGTGACAGGGCAGTTGGTAACCTCAGGGCCGCAAGAGGTGATGGTCTTAATGTCGGTGGTGTAGACGGTGGAGGTGCTGTCGTAGACAGTGGTGATGACGGAGGTCTCCTCAGGAGCAGGGACGGTCTCAGTGTTCTCACCGGCGGGGACGGTCTTGGTGTTGTCGCCAGCAGGGACGCTCTCGGTCTCACCAGCAGAAGGAGCAGAGGTAGTCTCACCGGAAGAAGGAGCGGTGGTCTCGCCAGCAGCGGGGACAGTCTTGGTCTCCTCACCGGCAGGGACAGTCTTGGTGTTCTCGCCAGCGGGGACGGTCTCGGTCTCACCAGCGGGAAGAGTCTCAGTGTTCTCACCGGCGGGAACGGTCTTGGTGTTCTCACCAGCAGGGAGAGTCTCGGTCTCACCGGCAGAGGGAGCTGAGGTGGTCTGGGCGGGAGAAGATCCGGAGGTGGTCTTGTCACCGGCGGGGACAGTCTCAGTCTCACCAGCGGGAAGAGTCTCAGTGTTGTCGCCGGCAGGGGCAGTCTCGGTGTTCTCGCCAGCGGGGACGCTCTCGGTCTCACCAGCAGAAGGAGCAGAGGTAGTCTCACCGGAAGAAGGAGCGGTGGTCTCGCCAGTAGCGGGGACAGTCTTGGTCTCCTCACCGGCAGGGACAGTCTTGGTGTTCTCGCCGTAAGGAACGGTCTCGGTGTTGTCACCAGCAGGGGCAGTCTCAGTGTTCTCACCGACGGGGAGAGTCTCAGTCTCGCCAGCAGAGGGAGCAGAGGTGGTCTCAGCAGGAGAAGATCCAGAGGTGGTCAGATCGCCAGCAGGGACAGTCTCAGTGTTCTCACCAGCGGGAACGGTCTCGGTGTTGTCACCGTAAGGGACAGACTCGGTCTCGCCAGCAGAGGGAGCAGAGGTAGTCTGCTCACCGGAGGGGACGGTGTAAGGGGGAGAAGACTTAGGAGGCTGGGGCTTGTCACAGTTGAAGTCAACCTCAGGAACCTCAATCTTACACTTGTCCTTGGGCTTGTTGGGCTGCTGAGGGTAGACGAAGTGAACCTTCTTGGCACCACCACACTGGGTGTTGTAGACATCGGTACCGTCCTTGGAACAGTCGGCCTGGTGCTTACAGGTGGAGCCGTCGGGCATATCGTAGTGGAACTCGAGACGGCAGTCAAACTCGGGCTTCACGTGGAACTTGTGGAGAGAGAATTGCTTCTCCTTGCTGCCAGCGCCGCATCCGAAAGAGGGAGCCTGCTCGCGGGTAGAGCCACACTCTCCGAAGATGGTCTTACCAAAGTGTCGGCCAGTGAGATCACGCTTCGACTTGTCGGTTCCACAGGTCCAGCCCTTGAAATCCCAGTCGTTGTACTTCTCGAACTGACCGACCTGGAGGTCGTCCCACTTCCAACCCTTCTTCTGGTGCTCCTCACACTTGTTGTCGATAGCCTGGGGAGGAGTGTACTTGGGAGCATCCTTCCAGTTACCCCAGTGAGCGGAGACCTCGCCAAGGCTGGCAGTAAGGGCCAGAAGGGCAAAGTTGGCCTTCATGGTGATAGATTTGGGTGGGTGGTAATAATAAGTAGTTGTATGTATGTAGCGAATGTGGTATATGCAAAACAGAAATTAAGAAATGGAGTCAAAGGAAACGAATGACTTTGACTGCCAAGAAATAGAACTTTGATGTAAAGAAAAAGGGAAAAGAGAAAGGTGAGTGATGATCCAAAAGAAAGAGTCGATAATGGGCGGATGTGCGAGGCATCTATATACCAAATCCACAACTCACTCCATATGGTCAAATGGGTGGGAAAGGAGACTGTCAGTTGTCGGTTTGCCTGTGGAGCGCAGAGAGCTCCCAGCTCGGCATCTGGTCCAAACATGGATGGTATCCTCAATGACCCATGGCTGGTGGGGATATCACCATCGATGGGAACCCCTGGACGACATCTGGGTCAGGTCGTGCTTCGGTTGAAGGCTCGAAAGGGTTCTTCCAGGAGTGTATCCGTGGAAGGTCCTCTATCGTCAAAGCTCTGCGGTGAGGTGGTGTCAGTCGTTGACAGTCTAAAGGCGGCTCAGGGACGATTACCAGGATGTGTATCCGTGCCAGGGTCCCCAGGCCTCATCTGTTACTCTGCTAACAAGGGTTCCCAACAGCGGTTCGGATTTGGACCCAATGATCTGTTGACTTGCTTAAAGTATCGACCAGGGTGTGTATCTCTCTCAGGCCTTGGGTCTGGATGGACTGATGGGCAACCTCACTGGCACCATGCCAACGGCAGAGTCCACGGTAGCCAATGCGCTGCTTGTGCCTGGCCATGGATGAGAGAATGGCCCTGTCACGCCTCGCCTTGCCGATGTGGTATTCTTAGAAAGGCTTGCCATAATTAAGTCTTTGTTTATGCTTGAACAGGGTTTGCTTCAGCTAGCCTATCGCCAGCTGTTGGGTCGGTCATTAGGAGGCCACAATTGAATTTTGAGGCTTCTGGCGCTTGGCTGGAGAATAGAGTAAGCAAGGACAGCCAATACGAGGCGTTAAACGGTTATGCATACTCAGAATAAAAACTCCGACGCACTAGCTACTGCATGCTGAGCATGACTAGCTGAGCGGCTCTGGCGAACATTTGGAAGATGGCGAAACAGAGTCTCAAGCCACGCCGCGGTGGGCGTTTAACCTGAGGGCCCTGAATGTTATTGTGGGTCATCGGCGACGGGATCAGTGATGCCCCGCTATGAGGTGCGCCTGCCTGTCGCGATAGCGGTTAGGTTATCGAAGACATGCCCGAGGTGAGCTGTTATCAATCACCAGCAACAGGAACAGCTTTAGTGGCGGTTGCGAGCTCAGGTTGCAGTTACAGTGCTAGACATCTACTATGAGTTCGTAGTCATAAGTCATAATATCTGTCATAACTCACGGTTACTAAAGGGGGTTTCTTTGCCCCTGTCCATAATGTTTCTTTCCTTTTGGTCCAAGGACAAACTCCTCCTTCCGCCGTTGCCGTCAACGGTCCAAGGTGGCATCCATCTCTAGGAACGGACAAGTGCACCTGAAGAATGAAACGCTTCGCCACCTTATTAGAGTACGTTAAGAATCAGGCCCTTTCCCCTGTTCTGGTGGAGACTGGAAAGCCCGTCCTGCAGGTACAGGCACAGGACTCTATCTCCGCCAATCGTGCTGCAGCGCTTCCTTAAATGCCCTGGCGGCTGCCCGGGTTGGCTGGCCTGGGCGTTTGGTGCGGGCCACTAACAGGAGGGAATGGCGACTTCCATGGCCTTTTGCTCCACTGGGGCTCCGGGCACTGATTGTTGTTGTTTTTTGCAGTGGATTTGCCCCTAGCGGGAGACCATCGACGGGCAAATACTGTTTCCCCAGAAAGCCACACAGGCCATGGTAAGCCACTGACGGTTTGTCGTGAGGGTGACAATGAACGTCACGCTTGTTGTCCGTCCGGTTGCTATTGGTATTAACGACCGTTGGAGATTCTTTTCTTTTTCTGTTTATTTTATCCGTTGCGAGCCGACCGTAGGGGAAGAAATCACAACGCTAGGGCGGTAATATCAACGGATGCTACCTTACGCCGACTTCAAAATATGTTTCTTCCCCAAAGCTAAAAATAACATCGCCATGTGATTAATCCTCCTCTTGGTCGATCTACAACAGGCCTCCGAGAAACGACGACTAGGTATTCAATGACGGGTTGCTACGTCAAAGGGAAATCGGAAATTGCATTCACCAAGGTAGACCTGGTTCCCCCTTTGCAGCATCTTGCCGAACGATAGGAGAACGGAGATGGATATACCGTCAGGCCCCATCCACATGTCCACCGTTTCCACCGCCGTTGACTGGGGATGCAGAAGAAAGCACGGAAACAAGCCAGATATAGTGGGACAAGGTTCATGAAAGACATGACCTTGGGATCTGGCTAACACGGCCGGAAAGACAGGCTTGGCATCTAGACTGACTGATGGGTGACATGGTGCTATGCTTTTGTCCTTGCCGTTGTCTGTAATAGATTCACAAGCAGACAAGTAATCGGTATTGGGCATGGTTCCCGGCGATCAGAGTCTAGGACCTTGCTTGCTCTCATTGTTCGGTTTTCACGCTGCCCGCGAAGTTGTCTGTGATTACAGATACTAGGCGCTCGTTAAACTCCAGCGCTTATGGGTGAATGGCATGGAAGTCTCTCCATAGTTACCTGGTGCCATCACAACGGTTGACGCCAGCGTGAGACAGCATTAGCTCTAAGTTATTCCACCTCCGTCACCAAAGCCAAAGATTCTTGGTTCCATTGTTCAGTCCATCTCTTAGTGGTGTTCATTTTTAGCACCTAGCGCCCACCACCCACCCAGTAACTGACGCGACAGGCCCTGGACAACTGTGTCTGGCGCCAAGGACGTCTCAGGCCGCCCTAGTCTGTTTCACCATCAGGACAGCCAATCACATCTCCTCGGTCTAAGAATCTGAGACGACATCCAAAGTCTCCAGCCCTATTATCCTACTGAACAAAATCCTTTTCGGGACTTTAGGTCGACCGGAAAGAGAGTTATTACGGCGAGGGTGATTGCCTTGGGTTAGTTCAGTCTGAATTTGTTCATTCGAGATGATTTCCATGTTGGGCAATGGGTGGCTGATCTTGGCACATGGAAAGTCCCGGGTAGGTTTGGATGATGGTGGTTTGCTTCAACAATTACCATCAACTGAAGTTGAAGTCAAACAATATTCTGATGCATTGTGCTATTTCAGAGTCAGGCTGTTATACCAAAGCTTCTTTGAGTATTCGATGCACAGCCTAAAGCCCACACTCGCCGCAACGTGCCGTGTGTTGCAGAGCTTTGAGCAGTGAAGACAAAGTGTAAAACCAACCTTGAAACTATGCGTAATGTTTTATCAACACACCATACGGTATGTTCTAATTTCTCAGTCACAATCATCCGGATAAGATCTGAATACTCGAGGACTATCACAACCAGTCGCAGCGAGTCAAATTGCCAGTGTCTGACTTGTACTGAACCTTGAAGTCGATTCAGGGTAGGATAATTTACGCAAACAGTTCAATTAGCGAACCGCGAAACCAACATCAATACGTTATTGAACTCAACCACGTGTTGCAATTGCTTGTTTTTCTCTATCTCATACATGGTAATACAAAAATCATCAATGCGAATAGATATGTCGTCCGCTTTTGCACAGACTTGCGAATGACAGCAGCACTATTGATCGGTGGCTTGGAATGGCACCCGTCAACAACAACTTCCGTGCGCCGTCAATCGACAGTTGATGCGGCCCCGTTATCGCCTATTGCTTAGCGCAGAAAAAGTAAAGTTTCTCCGCGATACTTCTGTAAATTGATGACATTCATTTATTTAGGACCGGTGCTTGAACTCGGGCCCGAATTGATAACTAAAAGCTTGAATTCTCTGCGCAATTACCATGGGAAAACTTATTCGATCCTCTAGATCCTTTGGGCAATTACCATGGAAAACTTACTCGATCCTATAGATCCTTAGAAACCTTACTCTTGAACATTCGCCGTTGGCGTTTCGTTTTGACTGCAGGGAATATCATTTCTAGTCCGCCTGCCTCGTTGGGATTAGACACGGAAGAAAAGGTCGAACCATTATCGATGGAATGTAACGATGCCCTGAAAGACCCCTGGCCGTAGAACGATGGAGCGTCACAACGCTCGGCTGTTCCTGGCCCGGTCAGGGAAGACCCCAGTCTGGAGTCTTGGACTGGAGTCGACCAGGGTAGGTATGCTTTAGCGGCCTTCTCTTTTTGTCCTTCCGTGTTTCGAGTTGCGGCCAGGGCGGTTTTAGGTGAAACTCCCATATGCCAGAATGAGCATTTGTGAGTTTATTCTTGCATGTAGAAATTATGCTTGTACTCGGGCTCTTTAACTTTTCAATTGTGGATGACGTAGCATTTTACCTTTGCTCAGTGGCAGTGCAAAATAGCTGCAGCAGATAACTACTGAACCAATTACCAATAATGAGATGCTTGATGATTAGGCCAGTAATTAAGCCTCTCGTACGTTTTAAAGATGGTAATTCCATAATATGTCGACCACCGCTAACGTAGTGGAATTACCTTTTACATTAGCTTTATGGTGGTGTGCTGATCTTTAGTCACCTCATCTACGATCGATTGTCAAAGCACTAAGACAGTGGATTATTCCTTCAGCTCGATCCCAGCTTTCCACAAACTCCACTGATCGTCATATGTCTGCGTCGCTCTCTGGCCTCTGCTGGGCTTTGGTTGTTTCACGATGAATACCTTGATCGCAGCTGACTCGCCTCACGGAAGCTGGCATATCCTTTTTCTTTTCTTTCTCGGGATTGCACCAGATTGGAGGAAATGTCACTTGGCAAACGGTAGGTGAGAAATCCGTCCCTTGTCTGCCTACCTACTGTTGCATTTCAGTTGGTTCAAGAGAGTCAGTTTTCACCTGCCTAGACCTGCATGGGTATCAAGATAGGTTTACGGCCTCTCAGGGGAGTCGGAAACGTTTCTCTATAGCGTCGAACTGTTAAGCCTGACTTTCACTCACAAGACCTAACAACTTGACAGGGTATGGAATGGTACCTGCATTTCAACTCCGATTTCCACCCGAGCATCGGAAGAGATGCTGCATCTGGCCGCAGACCTGAAGTAGACCGCGACTGTTGCCACTTTTGGTAACGCAGAGCTTGCGAGTTTCCATTTTTTTCTTCATGCCTGTGCTGAGCTGAGTGGTGGGATTCTTCCATGGCCTGTTCGTCCTGATTGTCCACAATAAAACAGCGGAACTTGATCACTCACAGAACGGTAGGCCTACCATGAGCCAAGCTAGCTGAGATATGATACCGAGCTCAATCCGCGTATTGCTTAGCAGAACCCTCGCTAGATGGGATTCAACTAACTGATTTAGTGTATTGCGATAATCCGATCGAAATACTTCGGGTCTTTCGTATTGTCTCCCTGTGGTCTCTCGAAAGACTAACCGGGGCCAGTTTCACTAACCGTGGTCACAGCTTGAGCACGAAAATCTTCCATCGCCTCCTTTTGACGATGAGCATTCGAAATGCGCATTGGCCTTTTGAGGCCTTTTTGAAGCCTGGAATGCGAAACTTCGTGGCTTAAGAGGCGAGGAATTGTCAAACAGCGGCTGAATTTGTTGATCAATTCGGAAGGTGTTGAACATTGATGGCTGGGAAGTCTGCACAAGTGTTAGCCAAAGCACAACTGAGGCGCTGGTGTCGTAGAATCCTGTTGAGGCGCTGAACAAGGTAATCTGCTATGTTCTCGATGCTGACCGATCCTTGGTTGCGATTTGCTCGTTCTTGTTTAGGCGTGGATACAGAACATCAGCATAAGGATCATGGTTCCATGATGATGCACATATTTTGTTCAGCAGACAGCTACTCATGAAAATTGAACTGCCGGCTTCTTTCTAGATAGTTAGACGGTGGATACAAAGGATTTTCTGCACTAGGTTAGTAGTCAGTAAAACAGGATCCGACTAGGTACAGGTGATAGTTAAGGTTCTTGCACATCGAGCCTTTTCTTCCTGAGGTAGAAATGATTAACGGGCAAGGAGTTCATGGCATACCCTCTCAAGAGAACTATTCATGTATTGATGCCCATGCAGAAGAGAGCAAGACACACAGGGTAGACCGATGGCTTTTTGGAGACACGGCAGTAGAGATGTGAGCAATTCATCCCACAGGATAGGAGACGGGATGGTGAATACTGCTCCCACCGATACGGCGGTGCAAGCGTATAACGTAAAAAGTTTATCTTGTTCTGTCTTGATTCTTGAATAGCTAAGTGGATTTATTCACGACTGAGAGTAACTATCGAAGTGCGTATCACGGAAGAGCTGTGCATGGTATCAGGGAGTATTTTTATCGACAACGCGGATTCTGTTCTGCTGGAGTACATAATGAATACTGGAGATGATCCTAACAACACTGGTAATTAAATCTATGTTCAGTTTGGCACTTGGCCATCTCAGTGGCTTTGCCTAACCTTCTCCCAAGCGCAATTTGCGTTTGAATGAAGCTTCAAGCATATCAGCAAACCGCGGGGTCTGTGTATAGGATCTGGACTTTGTTGTAGAGTTACTACTTGTAGCTGTTGATACGACCGAGTTCGTTCTCGCAGTCTCATCTAATGATTGAAGTCAGTGGTTTGTATCAACGGATGAAAGCACGCGGGGTTGACTGACATTGGATGAAGACTCTGCAGTGTCAAACTCCTCTTATCTCGTCGCTGGTAGGCTCCTGCTGGTCCAGAGGCTGTATGGCTTGACCCATTACAGCTGGGAGGCCACTATGGGAGTGGCCATGATGACGTTCAACAAGCAACAGTCTAGGGTGACTGCCCACTTGGAGCCGAAGCTCGGCGATGGAAGTTTGTGGCAATAACAGGTCTGCGATGCCCTTGTGTGTTCTGAGTAGCACGAACACTGGAATGACGGACTTGACGGACTTGACGGCGACTTCTTTATCCGAGAGGTCCGGATAATCTTGTTAAACTCCGTCGTGATGGGAATAGAGCATTGCAGTTGTTGCTCTTCAATGAGGAATACCAAGTGACGATGTCGCACATGTCGACTAAAGATGGGTTGGGAACTTGTTGGATTTGATCGAAAGTGAAAGTGAAAATCTGAGGACTTAGTAGCTGGGATACGATATGTTGGATTCTTGGTGGCTGACTTATTTTCGGTAGGTAAATATGGCCGGTGTGGTGATGGGAACTGTGTTGAGGGCTGAGGCATCAAGAGTCAATCGTTCTTACCACTGACGATATTTCGTACAAACAAATCCCATGAGTGGGTCCGCACTTTCTGGTCAAATCAAATCTGACTGCGATCACTGATGTGAGATAATGGTCAGTGCCTTGAATGTCAGGGCAGCTGTAGATAAGTGGCCGAGAGAACAATGGAGTTCCCCGTACTCCGTAGAGTGCTTTGTTTCGCAGATAACGACTATTGTCCACGGCTTGCATAGAACAAAATGAGCTGGCCATGTAATCTTGATTCTGAAATCCAGAACAGAAACCTTGTTAGCGAACATATTCACGTACCATAGTAGATATATAGTCACCGTCTTGTATGCCCATGACTTCGCTCATCTTTCACCTACAAGGACAACTCGTTCAACAGCAACCAAATCAACAAAATAATCTCTTTTAATTCAAGCCATCATCAAGGTAAGTTGAATCACGATGGGCAAGTATAACAAAAACAAGCAGACTCGTTCCCAAGACGCCAAAAACACCAGCCGCAACTCACCTCCGAGACAAGTTGCCAGGAGATCAAATCATGTTGTCACTCTGACTAGACGGGATGAAGAATGCCGTTTCATTCTCGATATTCTCACAAGCTACTTCGCACCCTTCGAAATTCCAAGGTTCACCAATCTCATCGAGCATCGCCCTTGGCGTGAGAATGGTATCTACACTACACACTCAGCGGAACCTATCCTTCCTGATATCTGGGATGGCCTCACTGTACGTATTGTAAAGTTTGATCAGGAAAGACTCGTGCAAGTTTACCTCGCTATTGCAGGATCACTCAACAACGCAGTCTCGATACCCTCAGCCGAGTCGCTTCGTGTGGTGCCTTACGAGTATATCATGGACATGGGTGTGAGGGTAAGTGTACAGATCGAGGACTCAGTTCATGGACAATGGCTGGCTGCTTGCATGATGGAACTTGGTAAGTCAATTGCAGGTCAGGAACAGGGTGTTGGTGGTAATGCTAGGGATGCAGATATGATGGGTATATACTGAAAGCTGACAAGGGGTTTGGAGTTGGGAACGGTACTACATAAAACACTGAGATAAAGCTGGTCTTTATAAATTGGATCCGTAATATGTGATTATATACATGAGTCTAGATTATCTGAGTAAACTGTATGTCTGTCTTTCTTAAAAGTTAATATCATGCTCGTTGATTTGAACCGGCTCAGACCTGATAATAAAACCCTTCCACGATGAGGCGTCCTAGCTTATTCATGGTTCGAACAATACGCCTGAGTAGGCAAATGGTAGACAGAGAATCTGTGAGAACGAGCTAGAAAGCGCCGGTTCATTGTGCAGCTCAGCCATCCTGCTGCAAACAAAGGTCCAAATGAACACCAAATAAACGGGGCGAGCAACCACAACCCACCCAACACCATCTTCTAGAATGCTCATGACCATCATCTATTCTTTGTATTCATCCATCGTGACTCCATATTCATCCATCCTGTCGCATTTTCCGTAGTCGTTCCTCCGCAGCCCTCGCTCTCCTTTCACGCTCCAACCGCATCCTCATCTCAGGCGTCAGCCCCCTTGCCTCGGCCTCTCTCTTCTCCTGCGGCGTTTGCTTGAGCCCCGCCGCCAAGATATTTCCCTTTTGCTTTCGTCCTTCAGGAACCTTGGGCCCTTCGTTCTGCAGTCTCTCCTCTTCAGCACGCCGGCGCTCGGCCTCCTTATCACTAGCCTCTTTCTTCTCCCGCTCCTCACGTTTATCAGCTTCGGTCTTTGTCATGGCAGGCGGCACCTTGGCATCATCCCAAGCCCACTTGGCTTCTCCAAGTTCAGAACGGGCAACGCGGAAGGCATCGCGCGTTGAACGTTCGCCGGCGAGTTCAAAGGAGGTTTTGCCCTCGTTGTTCTTTATGGTGGGATCTGCGCCGCCGCGGACCAAAAGACCTAGTACTAACGGTGCAGCATTCTGGGCAGCGGCAAGGTGAAGTGGCCGTGGTGCGTGGTGGTTCTGCTCCACGGGCTGAAACTCAAAATCGGCAGTGATATTGTTGTTCTTGAGGTAGGTGAGTAGCGCGGGGACTTTTGATCTTCGCACAAATGCTTGGAGCTGGGACGTATGGAGCAGAGCCGTCTCTTCCTCTTCTGACAGTTTAGGTTTCGAGGGCTTCGTGGTTGTCTTTGTTGGGTTTGCTGACTCTGTATCCTTCTTAACTTCCTGTACAGGCTCGATCTCGCGGACTTTGAGCCGTGTCAGCTCGATGAATGACCGCATGAGTTCATTCTGCGTCGCTCGTCGTGTGCTGAAAGGGAATCCTCGCAGTCGAGTGTCGTTGGGCTTCAAGACCTGTCCGTCATAAGGGCCAAACAACGTTCTCCGATTCGTCATTCCAGTCGCTCTAACGAAGACCAGCTCTGATGTGTCGATGAGGGCCTTCCAGTCTTGGAGTAGGTTTCTTACATCCTCCACCAGGGCTTGTTCGTTATATCGTCGTATACCCGCACCAGCCGAGTGTGCGGCGCCTTTCGCGTTGTCGTTGGCTGACTGGGAACCACCCTGCTTTCGTCGCGTTGTGTATCGATGGAAGGTCTTGTGAGCCAGCACAGTCGCTTCTCGGTTCATGGTCATTCCGTTCTTGTTGGGCCGCGGGGCAAGAGACACAACCATGGCAGCAAAATGACCACCTCCGATCATACAGAGAAAGATGTGAGGGCCCTTGTAGGCAATCTCTGGCAGTGCGCCGTCTTTCAGGTTCTTGGGGATTGAGATGGCTTCAACCTGCTTCTTCCTCAAAACCTCTACCAGGTCTTGATTTCTTTGCTCGTCGCCTGTCAAGATGGCGCGATACATTCCGAAATAGGTCTTTTCTGGGAGCACAGGAGAGCTGAACCAGAGCAGAGGTGCCTTGCCGCGGCCTGCCTGACCTGCAGTGTCTTCATCTTCGCCGCCTTCTTTGTCGGCCAACTTTGCCTGCTTCTTCAGGAGTGCAGTGAGCGTTGATTCTTGCCGGCCATCGTCCTCTTCTTCCTCCGACTCGTCTGAATCAGAGCCTGACAATGATTCGTCTAGATTTCCAACCAACTTCTCGAACTCTGCCTCGGACACAGCTTTTTGACTCCGCAACTTCTGCTTGAGGTTGTAATGGTGCAAATCGGACTTGAGATGTCCGCGCTGGTCGATCACTGTCGTGAACGCGAGGCCACAGAGAGAGCAAGCTTGTGTTCCGACAAGGTTGGTATCTGACGATGAGGGACTCTTCGGAGGGGACGAGTTCGCAGAATCGGCGGCGGCTTCAGCTTCGGCATCGACATCTGACTTGAGCGACAGATTGTTCAAAACTTCGGTGGGCAAATCGTACACTTTACGAGATCGTGCGTCAGTACGTTTGCGACTTCTGGACATGTCGATCTATGGCGGGGAGGGTTTTAGGACACCAACTTACCGTACAGCGGCCGCCGAAGATAATCTTCATTTGCCTTGACCATGGTGATTGATTTCTTCTGGTTTGCTGCGTTTAGAGAGCCTGGCGGAGGAATGGAAGTGAACCTCAGTTGGCGGCTTTGTCGAGATACTTGAACTTTTCACGTCTATCTACGGCGATGCGTCATAGCGATCCATACGCGCTGACGGACACCCCCACCAAAGCTTGAGTCAACCGGCCAGCAAAAGCTCCATTTCCCCCCCACAGCCACAGGGCAGCCATAGCGGCCGTTGCACCGCCTCAGGCCTCACAGTTCTGGCACTGTGATGGGAGTGGGTACATTAATGGACCACACGTGAGGATCCTGTTGTCTCATTGGTTCGCCGACCACTTTCCCATCAGAACCCTAAAGCCACCCCTCTCCCACACCGGGTTTAATGGGCAATTGCACTTGCATTCATTGATCGCATTCTCCTCCTCCTTCGCAACCTCATCGCATTCTAATCTGCATCCGCAACATTCTTCAATTGCAATTGTCTTCTGCATCCGCATATCGCATCACAATTCTCTTTACAGTCAATAAGCTTGCATTCGCAGTCAACAACTCTTCTATCACTTCATTGTTCTTTGCAATCAATCGCAACTATTCTCAACAATGTCTTATTACTACACTGAACCCGTTTCACTTGTTAACCTTCCCCCTGGCTCTGCCGCCCACCCCCTTCCCGCTGTCTATCCCCAACCCGACCCCAATCTTCAATTCAACGAGCCCTTCAACGAACTCGTGCGCATCTTGCGCTTGCACCGCCACGGGCGGGCTCGTCGCAGGGCAGCTCGCAGGGCAGAACGAGTTGGTCGCGAGCGGGGAAACCAGGCACAAGTCAATCAGCTCGACCAGATGAACTCTTCCCTCTTTCATCTGTCGCGAGATCCCTCCAGTCTGCCTGCAGTAGTTCTGCAACGCCAGAAAATGATCGAGGATATGGCCAATGCTCGCCCAGATCCAACCCGCTTCTCACCCGCACCAAATTTGACCCTACAGCAAATTCGCCAGTTGGTGGATTTTGTCAAGTCCTCTCCCCATGCCCGTCGCATGCCTTTTGACCAGATCCCCGCTGCCCTTGGACTGGACTGCCCTGAGCGCACCATTACCCTTGCCCTCGCCCGAAATGGGTTCAAGTCGTACCCCGCCATCGTCCGACCCCGCATTGACGAGACCACCCGCCAGGCCCGTCTCCACTTCGCTACCACGCACGTCCAGTGGACTGTCGAGCAGTGGAAAAATGTCCTCTTCACTGGCGACATGCGACTTTACATTGACCAGCCCCGCGAAGCCATGGTCACTCGCGAAGCCGACGAGAGCCTTCACCCTGATTGCATCAACCACCTTCCTCACTCCCCCGCTGATAGCCAAACCAACATGCTGTTCATCGCTCACTTCTCAGGTGCTACTGGCAAAGGTCCCTTCATCCTGTGGAACACTCTCATGGACTGTCTTCATGGTAATCTCACCCAAGAAAACTACTTCCGAGTCTGCTACCCTTCATTCGAAAAATGGCTTGACCAACAGCGTCCCACTGCTCTCTTTGCTCAGCGACCTGACCGCGAGATGGCCTTCTACTCCGGTGTCGCTTACAGAGATGAAGTCCAAGGACGACACATGACCGTCCTGTCTCTCCCTCCTGCCTCCCCCGATCTCAACCCTCTCACTGAGATCTTTAACCACATCCAGGCTGCTGTCCACACTGACAGAACCAACCCCCGCGAATATTACGATTGCGAGGAGACTCACATTGCTAGACTTGCCCGACAGACTTGGAAGAGCATCTCCGATGACTACGTCCGCGAGCTTATGGAAAGCATGACCGACCGGTGCCAGGCCGTCATTGACGCCGACGGCCTGTACACTCGCTTCTAATCCTGATCCGTAGTTAGGTTACGACTGACGAGCATACGAAGTGACGAGTCACTACGACGTCCATGGTGACGATTAAAGAAAACAAAACTCCAAAAAAACTTCAAAATAATTTACAAAAAAAAGGTTGACGAAACGAGATGATAACGAAAACCGGCGATGACGATAAAGATGACGACCACGAGAGATACCCAGAGGACTTGCTATAAGGTTGCTCAGTTGATGGCGGCACGAACAAGGAACGAGGAACGAGAAACGAGTTTAATGCTGTATGATAATAATTTGCTTGAATTTATTGCTATAAAAAGACCAATCCCTTGATCTATCGTAATGGTGTTGTGACTGTAAAAGTGCCATGCACTCGCTCACTGCCCGTGATATCATCGTCATGGTGTTGAAGCTCTCCACCCAAGCTACGGAGCTCTCCAGAAGCTTACCCCGCACCTCTCACATCAGTGGCCTAGCCTGTCTTGCTTGTCCCATCCTAGCCCACTGCACTCAAGGTGCCAGGCTCTAAAACTTGGCACGCGAGCTTAAGCTTTGGCGCTGATGCTATCGCCGCACCTTATCTTGAGTTTCTTGCATCCTTGTCCCTGTCCAACCAATACCGGACATCGTCAACGTCACTGCACATCACTTTTTCAGCTGTAAATAACACATCGTCCCCTTGTATCCTTGTTTTTCAGTTGCGTCAGCGGATGGCCCTTGCCATACAGCGAATCAAGAAAATTGATCAATCCCCGCCTAACTTGCTCTTGTTTGTGATGCGTTGCGTAACTGTTGTTATATAAAGGACGTCGACCGCTCCTTTGTCTGCTTTTCCATCTTGCATTCATCATCATACATCAAACTAATTAATTCAATTTTTCAAATCACTACGTCAAACCACTCATCATCATGGATTTCGTCAAGAACCTCACCGGCGGCAACAACAACAACAATGCCAACGCCAACGACCCCACCCAGCAAGCTGCTCCTGAGTCTGGCGGTCTGATGGGCAAGCTCGACGGTATGGCAGGTGGCGGTGCCAAGGGCGAGCAGAACGAGGACGGTCTTGACAAGGGTAATTATCTCCCCATACATCACTCTCTTTGTACTGTACTAATGCATTCTTGGCAGCTGTCGATTTTGTCCAGGAGAAGTTCCTCGGTGGAGGCAACCAGAGCAACGAGAGCGCCGCTGAGCAGGCCAAGGACGAGGCCATCTCCGATGCCATCCGCGACCAGTACAAGACCGCCACAGGCAACGAGTTCTTCGTCGCGGACAAGGACAAGAAGTTTGGAGCTTAAACTGTTACGTGGAAGATGCTGGGAGCTCTGTCGAGGAGCAACACCCGACAATGTATAATTAGATAATGACGATACCTCAATGATCACGAAACCAACTGAATTCTGATTTAATTTCTCTTGTTCTATTATTGTGAAAATCTACTGGTCTATGTAACCGCCGACCAGTCTTTCTCTCACCATAGCAAGTTCCCATGTGCGATCATACATTGAGCATCCTTCTTTCTATGTTCCCGGTAAATTATTTGTGCAGTAAAAGCAAACTTCAGGAACTAGAAGTTCTAGTTCAAATCCGAGTCCGAATCGTCCAGAACCTGAACGGACTCACGACCCAGCAGTCGGAGCGCCTTCTTTCGCATGGTGACAACGGTTTCCAGATGATCCAATGCGAGAGGTACATTTTCGCTGTGAGCCAGAATTAGAGCCGTCTTGACGGCACTCTTGATCTGTCGACCGTTCAGGCGCGCTTTGGCCAACTTGGCTATCGCCTTGTTGTCGTTAGCCAGGCTCGATTCCTCTCTGACCAGGAAGTTCTGCCAGATCTTGGCTCGAGAATCGGGGTGGAGATCCTTGAAGACAATGGTGATGTCGATTCGCGACTCAAAGGCAGGGTCAATCGCAGGGAAGCGGTTCGTGGTGAGGATCATGACACCCTTGTAGTACTCCAGAAGTCGGAGGAAAACTAAACGATGATGTTAGCTGGAGCTGTTGTTGGCACACTGAGGTTACAGCTTACTTGAAGTCATCTCGTTCTGCAGGAGGTTGTTACTGGAACGCGTTTCGAGGAAGACGTCTGCCTCATCGAGCAGGAGAATGGCATCCCAACGTGCACAACGTTCCAAAGCTACCCTAAGACGGCTCTCGAGGACAGCGGTATCATTGCCAAGGTCGGAAGCATCGAGACGGTAGAGAGGACGCTTCAGGTTCTCAGAAACTGTGACTGTGTTAGCAATGAACACTGTTGAAGATCATGGAGGTGACAAACCAGATTCAGCTGTCAGTGTCTTTCCAGTACCGGGAGGACCACACAAGAGCAGGATGAGTCCCTTGCCTATGAAGGATGTCAGCTTGATTTCGCAAGAGAATGTGAAGAAGCAAACCTTTTCCGTGTATAAAGTCGTCAAACTCTCTGAGGTCTCCGCTCTTTGTAGCACCCACGAATCCAAGCAAGAGCCGCTTCTCCCCAGCGTCGAGGACAAGTTTATCAAAGGCTTTAGTATTCCACTCGATATTAATCAGATCATTGACTTCGACGTTACCTGCGGCAAAGGTGATTAGTATCCCGAATGAAAGACTTTGTGCAACTGGAACTTACACCACACTTTCTTCTCAAGTGAGAAGCATTTCAGGACAGAAACAGCAAGCAAGCACTGCCAATCAGAAAGATTTAGTAGAGCCCCTCCACCATCTTTCTCGTCGTCGAGATCTTCATAGCCCTCGGCATCTTTGTAAGCCGCACCATCGGAACTGTTCTTCTTGATGCTCTTTGAGTCACTGATCTTCTTGAAGATGTAACGGTCGACATGTTCTTCAAGGCCTTGCAGCTTGTAGTAGCCTGCCTCATCTACGATGACTCGTCCCTCTGGCTGTGTGGCTGTTAGTGCTCATACTCATAGGGATTTTCGTAAAATCGTACCACTTGAGTTGGTAGACGAGGACCCTTGGCATAGGTTCTTGTTTGCGCCGCATCTTCGTCCCAGGCGTTAAAAAGCTGGTAGTTCATGGTCAGCATATCTGCATATATATGATGTATCTCAAATCTTACCCCATTGTGAGATGACCAGGCTCCTGAGGATTCTTCAGGCTGACACATTGGAGCGTTGCCGACATGAACGCGCAAAAATTGACCCTTAACCAGTTGTTCCCATTTGCGGCCACGCTTGATCAGGCCTGATTTGATGGCTTTGCCAGTCCTCTTGGAACAAGCTGAAAATGGGCGAACGTTGAGATCAGAGAGACGACGGCGTCCGTGATAGTAGTCGACAAACCATTCGCTCACAACCCCGCCATACTCAATCCCATTCGACTTGACTTGATGCACAGTCATTCTGCCAGACTCGTTGTACGTGTGGGAAATGCCAGCGGCCAGGGGCTGGGTGCAGAGAAACAGTTGGCCAGGCTGGTAAACAAACTCAAGGTCGCTGAAAGTGGCAGATCCAGTTTGTTTGATCAGCTTGACACGCCGGAAGGTGTCTTGGAGCTCATGCTTGAGCATCTCTACAAAGAGATTCACCAGCTTCTGGGTTTCGGTGCCCTTGTTGTCGACAGCCACCTTGCAGAGCTTCTCCCAGCGGTGAATCAGAGGGAGAAAAGGCTTCTTGAACTCTAGGGATTCACCGCACCAGGATCTGTCGCGGTAATCTGCGAGTACCTCGCAAAGAGCGGATTTTAGAACGGGACTGTGGACCCAGATGTTTCGCATCTCCCAAGTTCTGTCGGCACATGGGTAGTGACCGCAGACGACGGCGTAGATATCTCGAAGCTTTCTGTTTCTACGAGCGGTGTCCTGATCTTGGCCGTAGGGTTTACTATCGAGCCATAGCTCTACATGGCCCTGGTTGTTGACCTTGGCGAATGAATTCTTGATCTCGCAGACCTCGCCGACGGTGCCGATTTCTTCTAAATGTGGAGGTCAGTATGAGAGATGGTCAATGTAGGAGATGTAGAGTTACCTTCGGCAGTACCGTAGACGTCAGTCCATGCTTTCTCGTGGTACTCAGAGCGGTCACCCCAGGTGTGCCCGTCACTCCAGCTCATATTGACTGGTCAGTGACGATGATGGTAGAGGAGAGGTGATGTGGGATGATGTTGGAGGAGAAGATAAGTGCGGTCAAAGAAAAGAGTTGAGAGTTGCCAAGTTTGTGGGTTTCTGCTTAGGTAGGATGGAACAGGCAGATTGTTGTTAGGGGGGACAAAGCGTAGGAGGTGCAGTGGCAGTTGCAAGCAGATGCCTAACAGTGAACAAGATTGTAGCACACTTCAGGTTTGTGAATAAACAATGCACTAAAGGGAGCCTAAGGTAGACTTCTATTGATTCGAGCAAGCAAGGTATGAACAATAATGGAGTTTTTGAAGGAGTTACTCGGGTGAATAGATAGACATATGACATTCATCAGCGTGATACAATATGCTGGGGTCGATTCTATAGCTACTACTGGCGTATCACTGCTGCAACATGTGTATTTAGATAGTCGGCGATCTAGAATATTAGGATTCCATGCATTACTGCTTAGGGGTAAAAGAGAGAGAAAAAGTCAGAGTAGCTTACGCGCAAAAAAGGTGAATGGGATATATGATAGTGACAACTCCCACGATTCTCCGTTCAGTGTAACCTCACAAACATCAACAGCCATTAGTTTGACGAGACACATCAATCATTACACGAGTGTGCAAGTCAAAGATCTATTCAATAGAATTGATTGGGCAGGTATGTATTCCACAGCTATTTGCCGTGAAGTTGTTACGTTTTGTTACAAATCCCTTGGCTCAACCAAACAGTCGAGATTGTTTAAGGGAGAAGTCTTTCGATTTTCTAGAATATCCTTTGCAGTTCAAGAACATAGGAACTGCCTGATGGAGAAGCTGCCGGACCAATGTAATGGAGCTTTGGTTACAATGGCGCTCACGGTCTGCCAGCTGGAGGTGAGTTGAAACATTACCGAACATAGCAATTCGGAATACACATCAAGTGCCTCACTGTGGTCTAAACTCCGAATGGATATTACAACGTTAATCTCATTATCATCTAAGATCATCGTAACTAATTTGCATATTTTCTACTTAATATAATCCCAAACCTATCCTTATTCTATAGGTACCTTAGTGTCCACCTCCACTGTCAGTCATACACCGATCAACAAGTGGAGCCTCCACTGCAGCATGGATGATATTGACTGACAACAGGCATCACTACCTAGGTAGGTAAGCACTGAAGCACTGCTTATTTTGGTACGTGGGTAATTGTTCATTGGCCCGTTGTAATATTTTGTTGCTGATCCACGCTGTTAGTAGGTACTAGGTAGGTAGCAGGTAGCTCTGGCCTAAAGCTCTCGGCGACTTCCCAATTCGTCACGCCGTGATCCTTCTTTCCTTCGCCGCCTATCCGATTCTGCTCTCCACTCAACCTCCAGCTCTTACTTAAGACGTCGACTCTCACATATTGAAACTTGAATAATCAACTAAATCAACATAAAAAAAAACCACAATCAACAAGCATGCCTCGCCGTGACGAATCAAAGATAGCGGAAAATCTCCGCCAAACAGAAAGCGCCAAAAAGAGAAAGTATGCCATCCCTCAGTTCACAAAAGCTTTGCGTCGTGCGGACCGCTTCCAGCCAGCATGGGACGCTATAGGAGGAGCGTCTGGCCTGGCCAGCACAATGGCTGAGTTCAGCATTGCAGATTTGCGCGAGCTTTGCAAACGTCTTGGGCGCACCGCTTCAGCTCCGCAGGTACAACCTCAGAGACGCGCAGCTCTTGATGAGCTTGTTACGATACTCTACCAAGGCCAAGAAGATGACAGGCCCTTGAGCCGCTTCTATCAGGATATCGTTCCTGGATGCAGTGTCGAATTGGTGCAGAGGTTCGAGAAGGAGAAAAACATAAAGTGGACTTTGCCACAAGGCAGACGTATGCTTCTCGGCCATCGGGAGCAGCATGAGGCCAAGTTCCTTGATGAGATCTTCTCTGAGAGCAAGCAGCTCACCTTTTACCAGCAGAGGAGGTTATTCCGTGGTAACATCGCCTTTACTGAGAAGATCTTGGCAACACTTCTTCTTTTCCCTCACGATGACAAAATCCACATCCCGTTCGACTTGATCGACGAAGTGGTAATGCCGTTACTCAAGCGCCACTGCAAGAGCAAATACGACGACGACACTCGCAACAGATATCTGGATCTTGTGCTTCGGTGTGTTTGGAGGCACAAAACGCAACTTGCGCCTCGGCTTTCTCTCGAACAAGGTGGTCTGCTTCAGTATGTGGTTGATCGATGGGGTGATGCGCCAAAGGGTAGCGAGAGCAAGCGAAAGATTGAGGCTTACCTTGTACAAACCATCGAGTTATCCACAATAGCGAAGATGCCTTACAGCTTTGAAGATGTTCGCAAAACAGTCTGTGTCTCTCGGAGATTATCGCACGAAGAAAAATTTGACTTCTTCCGCCTCTTGCTTCTACATACCAGTCAATACCAAATGGATATCGAGAGTGACTCAGAGCAGGATATTGCCCAGCTTAAGCGATTCCCCCGTCAAGCTTGGCCATCCAATCTATTCTTCTATATGGATCACAAAAGGTCTTTGCGACTGTTCGAGAAGCTGGATAAATTATTTCCTCGGAACGAATTTCTTGCTGTCGGTGGTAGTGGCGGGACTATACTAGCACAGACACAAGGCCACATCAAACACAGCTCCTTTGGCGACGTTGAGATTGTTAGAGCATTGCTTATTCGCAAGTCCAAGACCCAAAATGAGCACCCAGGATGGTACGAGCGTACCCGAGAGCTTATCAACGAGAGAAGGACCAATGCTCAACAGTCACGCGAGGCCGTGGAACGCGCTTACTGGGCCAAGAGCGCGCTGCACCTTTGCGTGGCTTTTGGAGACCTTGAGACACTGAACGACACCGTTATCTGGTCTCGGCGCTTCATTGCGGGCCCTTCAACAAGTTCGACATTGTTCAGGAAAGAGGTGTTCAAGACAAGAGAAATCGAAGCTCTCTTGGGTGCTATACCAGATAGAGATGTTGGCTCGCCTGAGGCTGTGGTTTCGTTCACCGCAACGTTGGCGAAGAAAGATATTGAGCTTGCGAACCAAATTCTCATTAATATTATTGAGATGGTCACAGTGGCCATGAGGGAGCCCGGATTTAGACCTGGAGATTGGACTTGGATCTTCCACCTCGTCAAATCTGTTGCCGACCATCGTATGGGTTGGTTGGATGTTTTCTTCAATAATCTCACGAAATGCTCCAAATCTGACCGCGAAAAATGTGAAAGAGAATTGATGGAGACCATCTGGAAGCCAACAACCGATGTTCTTATCCAGGCGGGAGCTACCGTCAGCTATCCAACCCTGGAGGCCATGCGCGGCAACTCGTCCTTTAACACTCTAATGTCCGGCAACTCTATGAAAGGTATCTATGTCTACCAGATGCTTTCAAAAACACCTTTGTCGGCTCCGCTGCTGGCAGAGCTAGCCCGGTTTCTGATCGATCAAATGAGAGTACGACTAGGTTCCGAAGCTATGAAGGTGGAAATGAAAAGCATTGTCTCCATCGTCGATTGTCTGGCCGCCAGTGACCAGCCTTCCTTGGCATGCCCTTTCATTCGGGACTTGGTCTTAGGCGATGAGGGCGCCCAAGAGAGTTCTTCGTGGCATCGTCATCTTCTCAGCCTGGGCTTCCTATCGGTTCTCCCTGCCAAGGCCGCTAAGGAAGTTTTGTATACTATGGCCAGTGCTATGAAGGAGAAGATGAGAGAGCAGAATCAGAATACAGACTCTAGAGAAAAGGCAGATATAACTACGGGAGGAACTGAGGAAGATGCTTCAAAGGAGTCCATCAAGCCTCAAGGGCCGTCTATCAAAGTCACCACTGTCAAAATGCTTGCTCAACTTTTACAACACAATCTCTTTATGGCACCTCCCTCGTCCTGCGATATCCTTACTGGACTTCTTGCCGAGGCACGGCATATCGACATCCGTATTACCATCACAAACAGTCTTTTCGCCGTTATGGAAGATTCAACCTGTCCTTCTGCTCTACGCCAACGTATTCTTGATGCATTGGAGGAGTATATCGTCCCTGCCGTCGCCCAGCTCAACGAACGTCGTGGCCTTACTGAGTCTGACTGGGCCGAGGCCGCAGCCAGCAACGCATCGCCCCCTTCTGTAGGCGAGGAAACCCCACTATACCAGTTGTTAACCCATAAGCTCCTCCACGGGAATCTGAACGAAGAAGATAAGGCTCGGTTGGCGCAGCTTGTCATGGGCTCGTTGGAGCAATCCGCTGCCAATAATGCTCGCTGGATGAAACTCTTCTTGGCCAAGAACAACTTTTCTCTAGACGAGGATGAGGAACTACCACACCTACCTGTGCATATCAAACTATTTCCTGAACTTTTCCGGCGGCATATGCATTACATGCCTACATCAGTCTTCAACATGATCCGCTCCGCCTGTCTTATCAACATCGATCCAACTCCTGGGATAAAGCGCATTACAAAGATGATCCGAGAAGACCGGGACCTCGTCAATTCAAAAGCTGGTAAACACTGGCTTTCTCAATTCGGGGAAAATGGGCACGATTCGCTCCAGTTCGGTGTCTTACAAGCTGCCCAGACGTTGCACAAACGTCCCTCCGCGAGGAATTCCAAGTTGGCAGAAAACGGCATTACTGTGCAGATGCTTCAGTCTTTCGTGGTCGAGTTTGCAGAGAAACTGCTCAAAATCGGCCAGCCAGAAATCTTAAACAAGCTGGTCGAGAGGCTACGCTCAGGGTACCTGCAGGATCGGGAGACTTGGAATTACTGGCACGAGAATGGTATACCCACCATTAAGCAGATCATCTCCAAGACAGAAGAGCTTCAAGTACGCATAAACAACAAAGAAGTCGAGCCTCGTCTGCTTCCTAGTGTATTCCAACTGAGTCTCAGTACCCTTCCCACTCCCATAGCCGATTCAACGGCTGCAGAAAAGGATGTTTACGTTCGGGAGGTTTACAAGTTCGTTATAGCACTGGCAGACCGCCAGAGCCGCCCATACCATGTCGATTTCGAGAAGCTCAAAGAGGAATTCAACAGCTGGAACTCAGCTCGGCCGTTGGCTCGTTGCGCTTTGAGGTTGGCCGAAGTGCAGGCATATGATCTCAAGTCGGCACAACAGCCAACTCTCACGGATTACCTATGCTGGGAGCTGGTGGAGCATATGTTGGCCAAAGCCTCTGATCCAAAGGACGATCACGTCGCTAAAGCAGTGGCACAGTTGGTAAGGGACTGGGTGAACTGTGAGGATGGTGCAATGAGTGCGATGGGGACTATGTTCAAGAAAAAGTCTCAATACCGGAAGGACAGATTTTGGGATCAAGAGGAATAAGAAAACGGCTAAGATGCGAACGATATTTCCCTTATCAACAGAAGCCAGGTCCTTGTTCAAAAGTACATACACGATATTATGGCAACGTATTCGGTGACGTTATGAGTCCTTCAATGACTGGACGATTGCAATTCATTACGTTGCAGTGATAATTTAAGCTAGAATAGTACTATACATCATGTGGGTTCCCACTCTCGCATCTACCATATCGCCACACCAATGAATATAGATTTCTTGAACAATACAACATCTGTAGTCCCTTTATAGCCATTCCATCAACCGTGAGAACATAATCAACAGAAAGGCAATGATCCGTATCTCGGGATCGGGAGAGGTGAGGAGTCCGGAAGCAAATGTTAGTAAAATAAGGAATAGAAGGAAACGACCCGAGAACAAAGTATCGATCGCGTCATTTGAATTTACGAACGACATATCGGACACGGTCAGTCCCGAGGGAACGTCTGCTCGGGCGAACGATGGCGTGGAGGTAGTGCTAGATGCCGCAGATATGTCTTTCTGGTCATCAAGTCCAGATGTCTCTGTCTTCTCGGCTTCTTGGCTGTTCTGTCGCTTTACCTCATCATCAGCCATAGCACGTGCCTTCACTTGAGAAGGCGATGAGTACATGGATGGACCATCCGTTGGCTAGACTGTGATGACCCTTGCTTCGGTGCTCTCAACCTGAGTAGGCACAATGACCGTGATCACATGAGGCCCTTGATTGTGACCTCCGGCAATGTTGGCATCAGTGGTTTGAGGGGAAGTCGGTTGCGTAGGGCCACCTTGAGGCTGGGCCGAAGCTGTGGGCCCAGCTGGAGCAGGCTGTATAGGTACTGGTGCTGCTCCCGGTGGTTGAGGGCTGAAATCGCCTTGCCCATTCGATCCGCTATTGTTATCGCTTGCTTTGTTTGGGTCATCTGATCCGGAGCCGTCGTGATCGTCTGATTGATAAGGTGGAGCACTGGGCTGTCCATCACCTGAACCGTCTCCAGACCCATTCGGGGCTTGACCTTCTGGAGAGCTCGAGGGTGGGAGAGCAGGTAGAGAAGGGTTTTCTGGACTCGAAGGACCACCGTTGTTTGGTAAAGCACCTTGATTAGGGGAGTCAGGTTTGTTCCCTTGATCTGAGTTGTCCCCGGGGCAAGGGCCATGTGCTCCATCATAAGGAACACCATTTCCTGAAGGCGGGGAAGATGGTGGTACAGCCGGAGGTGCTGGCTGAGGAGGTGCTGGCTGAGGAGGTGCTGGCTGAGGAGGTGCTGGCTGAGGAGGTGCTGGCTGAGGAGGTGCTGGCTGAGGAGGTGCTGGCTGAGGAGGTGCTGGCTGAGGAGGTGCTGGCTGAGGAGGTGCTGGCTGAGGAGGTGCTGGCTGAGGAGGTGCTGGCTGAGGAGGTGCTGGCTGAGGAGGTGCTGGCTGAGGAGGTGCTGGCTGAGGAGGTGCTGGCTGAAGAGGTGGAGGGGGAGGGCCAGCTGGTGCGGGAGCTGGTGCAGGAGCTGGGGGTCCATTGGGCGGTTGACTCTGACCATCGCACGCTGGGTCGTTGACATAGACCGAACAATCGACTGGGCCGCCCGAACCCGCAGGTGAAGCCTCGGTAGGACCGTTTCCTGGGGATGCAGCATCATGTCCTGGCGGAGGGTTGTCGTCACAATTTTCTGCCGGACCCCCAGCCGCCCCCTGCCCAGCTACGCCGTTATCTGAAGGGGGGCTCGATGGTGCAGGAGCGGGCTGGGGTTGAGGTTGAGGCCGTCCACCTTGGTCGGGTTGGGACTGAGGCTGTCCGTTGCTGTTACTAGGCTGTGACGGACCACTGTTCGGGCTACCTTCGTCGCAATCGGCGTCAGGGCCCGAGCTGCCTGCTCCGTTGTTACTGCCGGAGTTGCCATTGCCTCCAGAACTGCTGCCAGTTGACGGGTTTGTCCCAGCATTGGGGTTGCCGTTCCCATATCCTGAGTTGCCACCGCCTGATACCGGCTGGCCAGCAGAAGAAGGGGAGGGTTCTGGGAGAGAAAGGGTAAGAACACCGTCAGAACCGGCCTTGCAATCAACTGAAAGACTGAAGCGACTTTCAAATCCGAAGCTGGCAGTATCGGAGCGAGCGACAAGGGGGGAGAGGCTCGTGTGGTGGAGCTCAACGGGGAGGAGGTTGCTAATGAAAGCACCTTGATTGTAGCATGTAGAGATGGCATGTGTCAAGGCTTGACCATAATGATCAGTACAAGAACTGGCCAGACACAGGAAGAGTTCCTAGGACATGGTTAGTTGACCCTTGGCACAACTGGAAATCACTTACTCGTTGAATGGCAATGTTGTCGCAGAGAGCCTCCATGGTAGAGATGTCATGGTAGTGCATAAGATCGCGAGAGCAAGCAGTAGCACATTCTACGTTACTTCATCAGCCAAGCCTTAGCAAGGAACCGATACTCTTACCTGGTGTAGATGTATCTTGGCTATGTGCCCAGTAAACAAAGCTCGGCAAAAGCAAGCTAGCAAGTGGCGGAGACCGCATAGCTGCGTCAAAAGCAAACTGTTATCGTGGGAGAAAGTGTGAAGCAAGTGTGCTGATTTAAACGACAGGTCCAAAAACGAGTGAGTGTCGAGGAAAGGGTTCCAAAAAGAGAGCAAAAAGCGTTCCAAAAACGAGCCTGTGAGCTGAAGGTGAAGACGGATGATGATGAGAGTAAAAGGATCGAGGGGGCGGAGGTTGAGAAGTAGGTAGGGTTAGGATTCATGATATTCGAGAGGGAAGGTGCAGTTTGATGGTAGGGCTGCTGTTCAAGTGAAGCGCCTTCCGCCCCAAGGTGACAAAACGGAGAGGGCAGGTAAGAGGATGCATCGAGAAGGTCAGCGAATCTTCACAGATCAAGCCTGGACATACAGTCCGAGAAGCTTCATTAGTAGGAAAAAGCTCAAGAACGTATCAGCATTTCTAGGTAAGGGTATCGCATCTAATAGAACAACAAAGCCAGCGGCTTCTTTTCGTCGCCATATCTCTCCTTCAAATCGGGCCTCGACAAGAAACGGGCAAGAGGCATCATCGTGTCCTTCATGTCCAGGACGCCGCGCTTCTTTTGGTCGATATGGGAGGCATCAACGACTAAACGCTTCAGGTGTTCAAGGGAGAGTGCGCCTGCATATGTTAGTTCATGTTGGTCGCTTCCGGGCAGGGGCGAAGACTCGACTTACCATTGTCGATGAGATCCATAAGTCGGGCAGGTGTGCCGACGCAGATTCCAGTCCTGTGCTTCTCGAGGAATTTGACCTGCTCTTCCACCTTCATGTGCTTGGCAAACTACGCAGTGAATGTTAGCGACGTGGTCTTTAATGAATTCGTCAGGCCAAACTTACCAGCTTCGCAATTGAATTATCCTTGCTTTGAAATTTTCGCATCGACCTGCTACCGTTAGTTGCCTGCCCGTCCCAGCGCATCATCGCAACGTACCTGACAACATCCGCAGCTCTCAAACCCGCGCCTGCAACAATGAGGGTATGAGGGGCGCCCTTCTTCTTGGCCGACTTCTTCAACAGCTCAGGGTCCTCTGTGATGCTTTCCAAGAATTCGGGAAACTTGTCCAGGGTTCTTGACTCCTGCCATGAAGTGGTGTCTTGAATGGCGTTGGCTGGATACTTGTGAGTAAATCTCCACGAAAAATGGCAATAGGTGAGGTAAGTGAGTCCTACCTGGTACAGTCATATCGGAAATCTCAACAGCACTCAATTCGGTGCCGAAACGTCCCAATTTCTGGGCCAGATGATCAGCCAAGAGCTGGTTGTCCATCTTGTTGAAGAGCGTGTTGAGGCCAAGCTCAGTATCGAGGAGTTCATCGTCTGGAGCGTTCGCCTTTCTCTTCTTGCTCTTCTTCGGCTTAGGCTGAGCAGGAGTATCCTCCGCTTGTCTTTTCTTAGTAGTCGACATGATGGCAGTTGTGGGTTTGTTATGAATGGATGTTGTTTGGTCATTCCGCTTAAGATTTCTCAAGTGTCAAAGCAAGAAATTTTGCGACGTACAGTGCTAATACCGATCATGGCTTTGAGTTGTCCGCTAAGATGGGTGGCTACACTGTGTCTGGCACAGTATCTCCTGGGCAGCCAGATCCACCAGGCATGATGAAGTACGCCTCATGAGTTCTTCGCAGCATTTCCAGATACAATATGGAGTGCAAACAGGCATCCTGTATAAAGAAAAAGTCATATCCTTTTCTTTATTAAGCTACAGGTATTTCGTGTACGTTGAATTGAGAAGCAGATTACATATTCGTGGTTTTCTTTTTGTCGCTGTCTCTTGTGATAGATCTTAAGAAGGAATTTGCAGTCTTCCAGCAGGATTCTGGATTGCCATCGCACCAGGAGCCAATTCACATATTTAAGCATTTAAATTTAGGCACTTATACAAGTTATCTCAAAAGCAAGACCTCGTCTCAAGAGGTTATTTATTGTCCCTATAATTAAGATGAACGCAGACTCAGTATCCTCATTGGAACACTAATCCGTGGGCTCTTTAGTCCCGAACGCCCAATACTTGCGCCTAATAATGTTACGAAAAAGATGAAATACACGGCGTCGCTTGCAGCAATGCAGTCTAAAAGATACTGTTGACAATGTTTCCTCCGATGGTGGCACCGGCACCAAAGATAGCAGCGTTACCAAGCTTCTTACCAAACTTCTTGCCGTACTCGTTCACCTTGTTGTCCTTGCCTTCGCCCTCTTGTCCCGGCTGTCCTGAGCCCTCGGCGACAGCCATGGGCGGCACATGCGCGTTATAGGGGTTCTGCTGGGGAGGCGGGCCTTGGGGGTATCCATACTGCGGCTGTGGGATGGGCGCAACGGGCTTCTTGGTCTCTTGGTCAACAAGCACGTAGTTGCGCGGGAAGATACCCTCCTGGGCCGTGCGCTCGTTGCGGCCCATCCACCAATCCTGGTTCATGTATTCGTACACGGCGATGCGGTCGTCCTTCTCGAAGGAAAGATCACGGCCGTCGGAGGCGGCGTAGCGGTAGAGGGCGCGGGCGTGGGCGACCGTGGGCTTCACGTTGCGTGTGGGGAGACCGGGAGGAGGGGTCTGGTCGTAGGCTGGCGGCGCGGGTGAGGCTGAGGTTGACTTGACTTTGAGGTCCTCGAAGGCCTTGGTGGGAGGTACGTGGGCGCTTGGGGCGGTAGATGCGGCCTTGGCAGCGGTGTTGTTGTTCTTGTTGCCGGTGGCGGTTCGAAGAGGGCCAGAGAGGGGGGACTCGTCAGGGAGAGCAGTGCTGATGGTATCGTAGACGGAATCGTCAATCACGCCTCGCTCCAGGAGGTTCTCGAGTTCCTTTACAGTGTCAGCTGAGTTGTGATCGCAGGCGGCTGGGAGTACAGAATGGTTCTGTTGAGAAATAGGATATCGGGAATAGGATGCTACTTACATTCTTGATGTTGCGAAGCGACCGGTTCACTTCCATAATAGTCTGGCGATCAGCAGCCATGATTGCAAATGTTGCGCCCGAAGGGTCCGGACTAGAACTGCGGGTATAAATGTAGGGGTCGAAATAGGTCGATATCGCAGATAAAGAGCGATATGGCAGTTTCGATGATAGGTTTGCGATATGACAAAGGTTCGGTAACGACAGATGTCAGATTGAAGTTGAGTGAAAGGTGAAAGAGGAGAGTGTTTCGGGTTCTTACCAAAGCTTCCCAAAGGCTCGGAATTCGGCCAAGCCAAGCAGCCAAGTCGAATCCCTACCAAAATAAAGCGGGCATTGAGGCGGTGTTGCCCCTCGCCGAACCCGATCCAATCACGAGATTTTGGTGGTTCGTAACCGTTGTATGCGGTGCAACTCAGGCGCCTTTTACGCGTACTACATTCAATAACTCACTATGAGATCACATCACAATGTCAGGTAATTGGCTGTAGGTTTTGTTCATCTTTGAGTCTGTGTGACTCTTGTATTTGGTTGTTCATTTTAGGCGTGATATGTTCATTCTATCCAAACCATGGCCTTCTTTGGGCTTTGCGATTAAATATGCATCCTCCACCTCTTTCGTTCAATAGCCAATCCTTTATTGCACAAACTTGCTGCTCTCAACAGTGTACAGATCAACATACTCATCAACAGGGGTAGACTCGAGCTTCTTGGCGTCCAAGTTGAGCTCCACCAACTCCTTGACGCGGGCCTCGGGGTAGTGAGGGCCAAGGTGGCGCTTGTACTTCTCCAGGATAACGGGCTTGGCCTCGTCGCGGCGGAGACGGTGGCCGAGAGGAGCCTCAACAGCGACCTCGTCGAGGACGGTGCCGTCGTTGAGCTCGACGGTGAGGGCGTTGGAGATGGTGCGGAGCTTGGGGTCATGGTAATCCTTAGTGTACTGAGGATCCTCAACACACTTGATCTTCTGTCGGAGAGACTCGACCAGAGGAGAGGTGGCAGCCTCACCACCATCGGTGTAATCGGTGGCCTCGAGACGGCCGAAGACGAGCATAGTGGCGCACATGTACTGAATGCAGTGGTCACGGTCGGCGAAGTTGTCCATGGGCTTGAACTGCTTGTCGATAATGCGGATGCAAGCCTCGTGAGTTCGGCAGGTGATGGACTTGATGTCAGCAGCAGACTTGCCCTGAGACTTGAGAAGGTGGTGAATCTTCTCAGAAGCCTCAACAGCGGTCTGAGAGTGGAACTCAGCTGTGATGTGTTAGAAAGTTCCCTCTCACATTAATTGTAGTGGTGTAGACTTACCAGGGTAGGAGACCTTGAAGAGAACGTTCTCCATGACATAGCTGCCGTAGGGGCGCTGGAACTCGAACTTCTGGCCCTTGAACAGAACATCGTAGAAACCCCAGACGGGAGCAGACAGAACGGTGGGAACACCCTGCTCGCCCTTCAGGACCTTGAGAGCCAGGTTGACGGCGCGCTGGCAAGCGTCACCGGCAGCCCACGACTTTCGGGACATGGTGTTGGGGGTGTGGCGGTATGTTCGCAGAGACTGGCCATCAACCCAAGCCTGGGTAACAGCGTCGGCAATCTGCTTCTCGTTGAGGCCGAGCATCTTGGAGACGACGGCGGTAGAGGCAACCTTGACGAGGACAACGTGGTCAAGACCGACCTTGTTGTAGGAGTTGAGGAGAGCCAAGCAGCCCTGGATCTCGTGAGCCTTGATCATGGCCTCGAGGATATCCTTGACAACAAAGGTCTTGCCGCCGGCGAGGTTACCGCCAGCCTTGTTGGTACGGTTGATCCAGTCAGCGACAGCGAGGATGGCGCCCAGGTTGTCAGAGGGGTGACCCCACTCAGCAGCGAGCCAGCAATCGTTGAAGTCGAGCCATCGGATCATGGCACCGATGTTGAAGGCGGCGTTGACGGGGTCAAGCTGGAAGGGAGTTCCAGGGACCTTGGGGCCGTTAGGGACAACAGTGCCAGGGACGATAGGGCCGAGGAGCTTAGAGCACTCCTTGAACCTCAGACCCTCAAGACCGCAGCCGAGGGTGTCTAGGAGGATCCATCGAGCAGTGTCGAACTGTTGAATTACGAATTAGCAATGGATCATCGCAATTGAACGCCAATTGAATTTCTCGTGATAGTTCCTCTGGTGTTGAAGTGGGTGAAGCTTCGAGGCGGGGTATATTGCGGGGTGCAAAATCGAGGCCTCGGCAGCACTTGATTGGAACTGGAATTGGACAATACTCACAGCAAGCTCAGAGTCAATGGTCTTGTTGGCGACATAGTCGGCAATGTCCTTGATCTCAGGATCGTATTCGCGCTGGGTGGAAGACATGTCGGGAGCTCCAGAACGTCTAGCAGCAGATGTTGAAAAGGCGCCGTGAGAAGCGGGAAGAGAAGAGCGAGCGGCGCCGAGTGCTGAGCGGGCCACGAGAGGGGCGGCAACACGAAGACCCCGGGGAGACTGGAAGCGCAACTGCTTGGTGGCCGTTCGGAGGGTCCGGTTAACGGCAGACATTGCTAGGGAGAATGCCTTTTTTGGTTGTTCTTCTTCTTTACGCGGTGACGAAGAAGAAGAAGAGGGGGGTCAATTGGTGGAGGAGGAGGATGTTGATAGAAGGGGGGTATCACAATGCAGGAGAAGAAAGAAAAGAAAAAATGAACAAGATTAACAACCTCAAGCAGGGTCTAATATCCTGGAGACCTTTTTGGCTTTCTTGTCTTGGAGAAACTTGATAGTTAGGGATTCATATTTATTACGCTCGGCTGTTGATCTCAGTTTGCCGTAGCTTACCGCGCAGCTACCCTCGGCTAGCCGCCGGTCAGAAGTGAATGTGAAAATGGGGTTTGTTCAAACTGTGCTTACACCCCTAATTCAAGTACTTAAGTACAGTGCGTACAGTGTCATTCTCCAACACCAACACTAAAAATCTCCAGTGTGTCAAGAGGGTCTTTCAGTGAGGGGGAACTTCATCACCCTCTTATTGACCAATCGCTATCCTAGATGGTTATCATTTTGTTGCATTGACCTCCAATAATACTAATTGGAGAGTCTGTGCTATTCAGTCGGTGAATAGATGGATGGTATCTGTAGACATTGAAATGATCAATACAGTATCTCAATTCCTTGATTCCAAATCATGGAGTTCAGGTAGCAGGCATTGAGCATGGCCAATATGTTATTCAGAGTCAATATTGATATTCAATAAACCAAAGGGCGGGGTGGCATGGCTACGAACATGAGCATCAATTTTAGAATTTATTCGTTTATTCGACTTTATATACAATACTCAGAATCCATTGGCATAGATTACAATGACTGTGACTGGTTCCATGTCGTACATTATCAATTGATCGAGTTACCATCAAGCATAAAGCATTCAGTATTCTTCTCTTCTCTTCATTCAAATGTTTGTCTTTCGTTGATTCCCCATGTCTACCCCAGGTTCCCCTCGCCCAAAATCCAAAATCTGGGGTCAGGTTCCCCACGCTCCGTCGTCGGACAAGATGCGCGGACATACGACGGAGCGTCCGACACACTCCGACCGAGGATATCATTAAACAAGGCGAACGCTTGTCATCTCGATGTATCGGCAACCGAAGGGTACTGATGGCCTTGTTTCTCGTTGTTTCAAGCGTGGCTGAGGTAGAAAGCCAATGTTGTCGAAAGGCGTCCAGAGATATGTCTGCATAGCATCAATGACGAAATCCGCACTGAAGGGATATAGCAGAGTCTCAGTGTAAGACAATGGGCAATCCTATTGGTGGCCCTATCGCTATGTCTCGCGTCCAATTGAGCTTTGTACCTGAGCCAACCGCAGACGGGCATTTCGCGATCTCGATCAAAGAGATATATGACGAATGAATAGCTTACATGTGTTGAATTAGAAATTGACCAGAGACATATGCATGTTGCTGATTGCAGAAATTCGGCTGCATGAGAGGAAACGAATATGTTTTCGCTGGCAATATTTCAATATCTGATGTTTGATAGACTCGTTGTTATTTGAAATACAACTGTGATCGTCTGGCATAATTAATTGGTTGATCCCAAGAATACCTAGGTAAAGTAATGCTAAACATAACTGCGCTCTCAGCGTAGTCATAACCCTCTTCTCCTGGCTTCGAGCTCATTGATTTAATTCCCATGATGCCTCCCTTACATGCAAATAAGCAAGCGAACGTGCCCCCTACGTCAATTTTGCTATTCGCGAGGCCGAGTGGTTGCAGATGGCTGTTTTTTAAATCTCGATGCCATGACATCGTAGCTTCATGAGACCACGGTGCTTTGGATGTTTGTGAATGTGACGGCGAGCGTTACACAGCATAATCATCGTCATACCTCAATGTCCCATAGGAACTAGTGACTTGGTCTCGATCATATTGTTTAGATATTCACAAAAATATGTTAGGGATCGTACAAGGCGCTGAAGAATCGTGAGGGTTGGATTTCGATAGATATAGGGTATGCACATTTTAAGGTTACAAAATTCGCGATAAGATCAACCAAGATTCCCCATTCCAAACTCCCATCAAACAGATCGCAAAACAATTCCCCTATCATGATATCATCAATAAAGATTGTAAACCATTATATAATCGAACCCTGATCTTCAACCGAACGTGCAATGACTTCACCATAATTTGACGTGCGCAATAAGCGACGATCGCACGCCCTCTAATTATTATGGGTTGCTGAGTGTCGTCATGAACGATGTCATGTTCCTGACTTTTAAAAATCCTAGGAGAGCGCATCGAGATTCATGAGAGAATCCGCGATTAACGAAAAGAAGGGACAGGAACACATCTGGCGGCTACGATTGAGGTAGGGGCCAAAGGAATCGTCATTACTGCATAGCTTTCAACCTGATTTGGAATACATTTTAAACAATTGAAGGCTGAGTCTCGAGACAACAAGTCTTATCAATGCAAGGTGTTGCGATATTGAGTGAGTGCCTGCAAGCCTTTGACAATTGAATATGTTGTGTAACTTATCCAGTGTCACGACTGGCCTTGGTAGAATAACGGCAGAGGTCCAGACCACAGATGGCTGTGATCTGCTCTTGACTCAATTAAACTGACCATCGTAATTAGCATGGGCTTACTGCAGACAATCATCTAGCCGACGTTGATAGACATGAGACATGCATGTTGCTGAGACTGGAGGATAGACCGGATAATAGGCTATTATAATTGATGAAAACTTGCTTGGCAGAGGTTTGGATGGAACATCAGGCTGAGGGTATACATATCCGTCTGACAAGAAGAAATGCGCAGGTAAAAGAACGGAAGTCAATGTAAGACAAGTTACGGATAGCTGTTTTGGCATTGGCTGGTTGGATGTTCACGATGGTTACAGTTTCATCAAGCCTAAAACCCACTACAGAAACCCCAGTAAACGGCAAATCCCGCTCAGTCACAGCGTGCGTGGTGCAGGCTGGGCTGCCAGTAGGAGGCCAGGTACTGTTTTATGAGGCCCCGATCTCCGGGAACGCACGTTGTCGACGGATATCGAGGGAAACCGGGGTGAGGGAATGGTAAAAACCGCGGATTCCCATGTCGGCAGAGCAAAAAGAAAGGAAAAAACCAACATCAGGTCAGCCCATTCATTTCGGAGGGAATCCGCCAATACTTTGACTGGGCTTGATTATGAACCCCGGTAAAACGGGTCTGGGCTTGACAGGAGACAGGAGACACGATCTAGAACCCCTTGTTCGCGATGGGCGTGTGCTAGCACCCTACATGCAGATCTGAGAACGGATGATAGTGACAGGATTTGTGTTTTATTCATCAAGGAGTTTTGAGTAGGTGGTTTGGGTATCCGTAGTTTTGGTGAAGCGTCTACAACTCTAACCAGCTATGGGATCAGTTTGAGAACTTATCAAGAAACAATTGAAGCCATTGCCAGGCACTAATGCTCTAGCTGCTGTTTTTTCAGCTTTGCAAGGTCGTGATGTCATTGATACGCTACGCTTGGCCTGTTGGACCCTGATTTCCCATCTTGAGAGAGGGGACCCTCACCTCACCTCACCTCTCGATCACTGTCAAACCTTAGCCATCCACGATCACCAACAACCCGCAGTGCGCAAATATACGCCACAGAAAACTGACAGCCTGATTTCTACGAGGCCCCTTTTATGTCTCAGAGGAGGACAAAGTAAGCAAAGCAAAGCAGTTCAGTGTAACGGTGCACGCACACAGAGGCTACACGCCCCCAAGCGATGAAGGAGATGGACGATGGGGGCATGTCGATAGCCGTGAAGCTGCATCGCATCTCAATCGCTGGCGCAACACACAGATCACGCTGTGCACTTGCACGGGGGGTTTGACAAGTGAGGCGGAGAGAATTGACAGATCAGGTAGTCTACCAGGGACAGGCGGAGGTGAGGCTCGAACAAGTCCGGGGATAATAGTCAACCGTTTGACGTTCAGGGCGAAGAGGCAGAGAAGATCGATGAATACAGACATGATTGACATTTCTATAAATATTAAATATGAGGCGGCTGCTAATGTCGAGATGTCGAATGGTGAATGGCGAATGTGCCCATGTCAATCATCCAAGAACCAGAAGGATCAACGACTGTTAGACTGTGCCTGGATGAGACAGCAGCGCCGAGCCTGGTCGGACACGCCCTGGAGGCCCCTGTAAACGAGTTGGGAAGCCCAATGCAAGAGTGCGCGTCGTCCCGCCCTCCACTAACTCCATGGCACCTGTAGGCTGTAACCTCCCTCTAATGGGCCTTCTGACTTCTACCATGTCTCACGATGATGGTGGTGGTGGTCTTTTTTGGGTTGCATTTTTACGCTCCAAGCAAAAAGAAAATATTATTAAATCGTCTACGAATAAGAGAGTAGTTACGTAGTACTTGAATAAAAAAGCCAATGACACATTAAACTTTCAAAGACCCTCCCCTGTCAAAACTGCCTGCCCTTCCCCCCCCCCCCCCCCCCCCCCCCCCCCAAAGGTTGCACCCCCCCAATTCGCTTGTAAGCTTTAACCCCTGTAGGCTAGAGCTCCCGCGTCTGGCTCGATCTAGAGGTTCATTGCAGAGGCATGGGAATCGTAAATCGTCCACCATCGTCAAAAAGTCCAGCACCGAAAAAACTCCCATTACAACAGGAATCCCAAATCATCATCATCATGGCGTTGCCGCAACCGGGGGGTCGATCAGGGTCCAGATGTTGGTTCTTTGTGTGTGTGGCTTTTTCTTTTCTCTTTCTTTCTTTTCTTTCTAGTTCTTCTTTTACTCTCTAATCTGTCCATACTTGGTTTCGTGGTACTATTTGTGTTATGGGATAATCGACACCACATCTCGGAACTTACCAGACCACCCACGTTATTTTCTCTATCTTCTATGATGCTTCTGGGTTTCTTGGCCTGAACAAATCGGAGACTTATTAGTGTATCGATCACTACATCTGCAGGTCCTCGACCACAAAACCCGCCGTTGCATCTCCATTCGAACTACCTGTAGTCTTAGTACCTACCTATATTGTCATCGTCATCAACTGCACTGCACGCACTGCACCGCATTCTACTCTCTCGTTCTCTCTTTTCTTTCTCTCCCCGGTTACACATTCCCCTCCTCTTTACTGCAGTTGGTTTGCAGTTACTTATTTCGTTGTCTTGCCTTGTCTTGTCTCAGCCATCAAGTTCAGCTGGGGTATCCGAATAAAGAGTCAACATCTTTTCGATCCTGCGTCTACAGTACTTGGATGCCATCATCATATACCCACTATCAAACTACAGTACCAATTCACACGCTAGCCTTCCCGCCTAGCTTCCTCTCTCTCCCAAGGGTCCTGCTGCAGGCCGATATATACACCCCTGTGGGCTACGTCCAGATCGACTCAACGACGTTGCTTTACGGTCTGCCTCCTCAGGAACCGTTGGAGCCTCTGGACTAAGCAAATCAAAAGTAAGGCTAAGATCAGCGAGATCCATGATCTATTCGACTTCCATATACATACAAGCTGCTTCCCCGTCTGAGCATCCTTAGCATTGCCCTCCCATTCACTTACTCATTATATACCACTTGACCCCCCTACGAGTTTCTTCTCTACCTAGAGTTACCAGACTCGTTTGCATTTGAGAAGTTCCTCTTCTAATTTAACCTTCTTTCGGCTCCGCCTTTGATCCACTGATCTGTTCATCTTGTCACATCATCCAAAAGTGAGGCGCCTAAACCCTCGTCGACACACACCGTCGACACCCACCGACGACACCCCCAATATAGCTGCTGTACCGTACAGGGCCCAACCACACAACCTCACCCACGTCTATAAACGGAACTACTCACTCAGTGGTCCAAATATCAAGCCCTCATCCCAACCAAAGGTCCAAAATATAGACCAATCCCGCACAACCTGCATATCGGAAGATATCTGACACCCGACCCCCCTCTAAAGATCTCCCCCTTCGGTTCCTAGGACTAGGACCCTAACAATACACCAAAAACACCCCATCGACGCCTCATTGTACAACACGACAAACACTCCAGCATCTTTACACCATGGCTGGGAATAAACTCCTTGTTTATCTGCTTCGACGCGACCTCAGGGCCACCGACAACCCTGTGCTTCACCACCTGGCAACTTCTGACCATGGCTTCACTCACCTCCTGCCCATCTATGTTCTCCCTCCTCACCAGATCGAAACCTCAGGCTTCCTCGCCGAGGGCCAGAGCTCCCCCTACCCCCCAGCTCGAAGTCAGGTCGGTCGCTTCTGGAGATGTGGCCCGGCTCGAGCAAAGTTCCAAGCCGAGTCCATCTGGGATGTGAAGAAGAATCTCGAAAACATCAGCAGCGGCATGCTTGTCCGTATCGGAAACTTCGATGATGTCTTGAAGCATGTGGTCAAGTCCTTGCACGACAACCAGCAATCGGTCGACTCAGTTTGGATGACCGAGGAAGTATCAAAAGAAGAAATTGATGACCAGAAAGCTGTTGAGTCTGTATGCTCTGAGAAGAACATCAACTTCAAGCTATGGCGGGACGACAAATACTACATCGACGAGTGAGTCTACTAAACATCTGCCCCCTGCCAATAGTGCTTCGACTCTGGACCTCGCTAACACTCGTACCAGCCGTGACACTCGCTTGAGCAGCCCCAAGGAGCTTCCAGATGTTTTCACCACCTACCGCAAGACCCAAGAACCTCTACGTGAGCGCCCTCGCTCACCCCTCCCTCGCCCACAGGCCGGATCGTTGCCTTCTTTCCCTTCATCATGGGCCCCTTCTCAGCAATCTCCTTTCCAGATCCCTGAAACCTACAAAGAGTTCGAACGACGTCTTCTGGAACCTATTGACAACATGGTACCAGACCCCCCTGCCTACCCCGAGGACGGCAAGTCTTCACATCCATTCGAGGGCGGTGAAAGTCCTGCTTGGGATCGTCTGTACCACCTCATCAAGTCAGGTGCCATGACTACCTACCAGGAAACTCGTAACGGTCTCCTCGGAACCGACTACAGTACCAAGCTCTCAGCATACCTAGCTCTTGGATCTATCTCGGCTCGCTCAATTCACGATGAACTTGTCAAGTTTGAGGATGGTTCAGACCAGTCCTATGCTCGAGCTAGAGGATTTGGTAAGGGCGAGAACGAAGGCACAAAGGCTGTGAGGTTTGAACTTCTCTGGAGAGACTACATGCGGCTATGTACCATGAAGTTTGGCACTCGTCTCTTCAAGCTTGACGGCTTCAAGGGAGCTAGCGGCAAGTACGACAAGAAGTGGAAGACTGCGTGGAAGAAGGAGGCGGACAGCGATCAAGATCCCTCACCTGAAGATCTTAACGAAATCATCAACAGGTTCCTTCGAGGCACGACTGGTATGGGTTTGATCGATGCGTCACAACGAGAACTTTACCACACCGGCTACACTTCCAATCGAGCCCGACAGAACGTCGCCAGCTTCTTTGCCAAGCATCTCGGCATCGATTGGCGTTACGGAGCAGAATGGTACGAGGCTATGCTAGTCGACTACGACGTGTCTTCGAACTGGGCAAACTGGCAGTACGTGGCAGGTGTCGGAAACGACCCCCGTGGAGATGCCCGTATCTTCAACCCCGTTAAGCAAGCCTTCGACTATGATAACAACGGTGCTTATGTTCGAACTTGGGTACCCGAAGTCAAGTACATTGAGAAACTGGAAAACGTTTTTCAAGTCTGGACGACCGATGAGGACGAGCTTGCCAAGTATGATATCACTGACGATATCATGGTGACTCACCCAATCAAGAAGATTGACTTCCAGGTCGACCGCAAACCACGTGGTCCTCGTCGTCCTTATCGATGGAGACGAGGCGCTGGACGCGGTGGCCGTCGAGGTGGAGGTCCTGGAAACGGTCAAGGAAATGGCTCGAACGATTTCAGCGAGTCTCGTCGATCTTATCACAACGGTCCTCCCTCCCCAGAGAGTGACCGTCAGTTCTACAACGGAAGCGAGACACAGTACATGCAGCACAACGGCCAACCACAGGGCCAGCCAAGGAATAATTGGGCTCCTAGAGGGAACCAAAACATGTCATGGCGAGGCAACTCTAATGGACACGGTCCCAGTAGCCATGGGCCTCCACCTGGACGAGGAGGCCATATCGCCCCTTTCCATGGTAACGGCTTCCCACGTGGATACAGCACCAATGTGTACAGCGTACCACCTCCAAGACAGTACATGCCAAACCCATCATACCCGCCTCAGCAGTACCCTCATCATGCCTATCACCACCAACTTCCTCCTCATATTGGACCCCATGCCTAGCAGCCTCTCGGTCTTTACCCCATATACCCCTAGTACCACGAAGTCTCAGCCCTGGAACCAGTCATTTGCAATATCTTTCTCAGGATCTAAGGAATTAAATAGAGAAAAGGAGTGCTTGGATATGTATGTTTCGGTCAAAACTGTTTGTTTTTATTTGTTGGATCATGGAGTCCAGGGATAGTGGCACACGATACCTGAATCTTGGACACAGCTTGACGCTTCAGTCAATAGAATGGTTAATTTTGTAACATGTATTTATAAGAAACACAACAGGAACTGTGCCTTCAGGATACTTACGATGGATACATAAGATATCACCACCATTTGCTTCACATGTACATGATTTGTAACTGGTACATCTGAGTGACCTTGAGTTAGGACGAAACGCTGCTACCATTATCACTATCCCGAGCCACTATAATGTCTCGTTCCACGGCCTCCACGACTGTTTCTCCCAAGTCGGCATACACCTCACCTGCTCCGGCGGTTCAAACACCCAATCGATGGCAACATCTTCCCGATCCTCAACTATATCCGACACATAGCCCTTGAGCTTCTTTATATCCGCCGCCTTCTCATCCGAATACTCCAGATTCACACTTGGGACAACTGCTATCTTGCGATATCCCCTATGCCACATATCCTTACAAAACAGCTGCGGTTCTCCCTGGAAGCATTCCCCTTTATCGCCGTGTACATCCCTAAATCGAAGTCCGTGGAGCAGAGGAGCTGCTGTGAACGCCGTGGCTCCGTTCCAGCATGCAAAGACTTGGAAGGGTTGCTGTGCTCTATATCGAGATTGTGTCTCGGGGGCGTTCCAGAAGAGGTTCCATGCTGAGTTCCAGTTGCCGTCTGAACCGACTTCGAAGAAGGAATCGCCTACTATGGTTCGTGCAATCCAGATGTCGTAGAAAGTAGGATCCGGCCCGACGTAGGTCCAGTCCATGGCGCAGGTCATATCTGCATTGAGACTACGTCGCTGAAGGGCGAGTTCAAGCAGATCTTCTGCGCAGGCTGAGACATCGTTTATGAAAAGAACGGTAGTATCTTCTGTGACTTTGACCTGTTCTTTATACAGCGGCGTGAGTGCCAGATTGCGAAGTCGGGCGAGTTTGCGTATCCGGGCGTTGCCTTTGGCAGGATTGATACTGGAGCTGTTATAGAAATAGATCAAGCCCAAGTCTTCCAAGAATGGTTGTAGAGAGGAGAGTATGTCAGAAGTGCCATCGGGGGAGTTTCCTTCAACTATTGATAGAGCGCAGCGCTGAGGTCCGAGGAAACGAACGGCTTCGATGATGCTGCCTATGAGACGGGGGAGTATATCGATACAGTTACGCAAGTTAAGAGCGAAGAAGTAATCAATTTGGTGGCCTTGTGTTTCTTGGTCCTTTTGCGAGAGTTGTAGAGACTTGTAGCGGTTGGTGTTGAGAACAGGGCACTCTAAACGTGGGAGGGCTGTTGATGATGTGTTGAGGATGGCTGAGATATAAGGCGAAATGCGCTCAGCTGATAGTATAGTTCCTGAATATCATTAGCAAACTGGTTTACGAGCGGTATTAAGGGCTTATTCTTACCATTGGTGATTGACGGAGTTGGAAGAGAGGCTGAAATTGGACTGGGAAGAGCAGAACTACTACTACTCTGCTCAATCTTGGCTCTCGTTGTAGTGGCTATTACTGATGATGTCGAAGATGTTAGCAACTCATCAGTCTGCACCTCCTCATGCGTTATAGGTGCATAATTAGATTTCCAAGTCAAACGTTCTCGCCCGAGGTATAAACTCGTCACAACGAGCAAGAAGCAAAAGACCGCCAGCAACGGCGCCGTAAACTTGCGATGCATGATTTGGATATACAACACTCTCAACTCATGGCTGCCATACAGAATTATGAGAAGGAAAAGAAAGGAGATTAGGCAGAGTAAAGAGAAATCAATTCAGTGACAACCAACAACCACTCCGCTTAGAATATACAACGACAGGGATCAGTCCTGGGTTTGTACACATTTTTGGGTTCTGTAAGCGCCCAACTTGAGGTGATGACATCCCTGCCAGTTTGATCTTCCCGAGAAGTGCTGGCGATGATCTGCAAGGCTGATACTATCATTAGTATGTGAAGTGACATGTATCTTTTATATAACTGATTTCATTATCTGAAATGATTTTGTTATTGAACGTGACTTTGAGCTTTAACAACAGAACTGAAAACCCCAGTAAATTGATTAATGTCGATCTGCTCCCTGACATGGTATTTGAGGACTTGGTGCCGCATGTTGGTTGTTAGTTGTTGCTTGTAGCCCACTCTTAATGCTACGTATGATATGACAATCAACGACCAACAACCAACAACCAACAGTCAACCCGAGTCAGTCGATCAAAGTCAACATCAAACAATATCTTCACGGCTGTAACCAGATCAACTGTCGATGTAGATGTTATGCACTAGCTCTTTGTTTCTGCATCGCTAAACCTGTGCAACGGCAATGTCATCTTGCACAGTTCCTCGAGTCTTAGATAGCCACGCCCATCACCGCCAACGTGCATGATGGGAAGTAATCAGTTAATATACCTAATGCAATGTCATAAAATACTAAGACGGAACTTAAACAAGGCAATGGCCCAATGAGAGAGTCTCAATCCATGCGCCCCAAACTGTCGGGCCCAGCATGGGCAGACTGAGCCAACAACTTATACCCATGTAAGAAGAGTCCTGGAAAGTATGAGGCAGAGTACCTAAGACTCGGGTCGTGACGGAGGAATAGGGAGTTTCTGTAGCCCCTTAATGCCTTCGTTGTGAATTGCATGCCTCAGTTTCCTCCCAGTTCCGCACCAGTTTTGATATCATCCACTGGTTCACACAACACCATGAGGTCTCTCGCTATTACCTATCTACTTGTCCTCTCTCAAGTATGCCCGTCTATAAGCTTCGCCTTCAGAGCGGTATTTCCTCCCGTAACCTCAGCCCCTTTCCCGGCACAACCCAGCAATAACATTGAGCAACGGGCCATCAGTACAGAACTCTCGACATGCGGCTATCTAAATGGTGACCCGGGCAAGAAAAGGACTGCAGACTCAGGGTATAACTGTCGTGTCGATACTAAGAACGGACTATGGGGGTTCTGTCCTACAACAGTCCTTACCGCTTCGGATTGCGGGTTGGCTGGGAGTTGTGTAGATAGTCACGACTGCTCTGACGGATGTGGCATGACTGACAGTGAGGACTTAACTACGTTTACCTGGTATGCTACTTAAAACGACTCGCCCCCAATTTCAAGAACTGACTGAATAATAGCGGCCGCAAATCCTTTTGCTCTATGGCCCTCTTGACCTTCGGCGTTGACCAGACATATTCTTATATCGCCTGTGGCACCAAAGCGGCTACTGACCATTACTACATAACTCCAACCATGAGTGTGACAACAACGTCCGAGTCCACAGCGTCCGAGTCTACAGAATCCACTACATCACAAACACAGACATCATCAGCTGACCCCAGCAAGACGACATCGAGCAACACTGGGACTGCACCGACTACTTCCGTAGAAGTAAGCAGCACTTCTTCAGACAAGGGTCCTCCTGAAGGCTCTTCAAACAATCTCGGCCCTATCATCGGAGGGGTCATTGGGGGACTGGTGGTCATCTGTGGCACCATAATCACCGCCATTTTTCTGCTTCGAAGAAACCGTAGGAAAGACGAGGAAGGGGATAGAACGGAATTGCATAACTCTAAGAATTCCCCCCCGTTTGGTTTACTGAGCCAAGTTAAGGAACCACAGGAGTTGGATGGTTCGAACATACAGGAGATGCCGGCAAATGATCATAATATTCGTCGCGGTCCAATAGAGTTGGCTGCCTGAGAAAATCATAGAACGAATAGATGCAGTAGATCAAAGATACAAAGCCACCATATCCTAACAGCAAATGATCAATGGACCCAATAAACATGTCAACTCCAAGTATGAAAAGCGCTCAGTGTGCCTCCTTCAAACCAATAAAGCATAAATACAAGAACGATTAAGAAACCAAGTGTGATCTAAAAAGGGCTCATTCAAGATCATCTACCATGCGTTTTAAAAGAATCCTGCCACCGTGTTGCTATCCTTTTGTCCAATCCATATTCGCCTCATCCAAAATGATTCAGGTCAACGCAGCCTCTAATGCTAACAGTCGTTGGAGGTGCGATTTCGTTTAACACAAGCTTCATGTCTTCGTTTCTGTCATAATCGTCCCATTAAACAAGTGGCAAATCTCCACATGACAGGATGTAAATGATATATAAATGGGTGTTTTGCGTAAAAGTGTACTCAAACGGGAGTCCAATCCTTCAGCCATGGGTGAGTCTGCTTCAATTTCGGAATGACAGCATTGCTGAGGCTTCGCTCTCCAATGATATTACCCAAGGAGTGGTTGATCATCTGTAGAGTAGCACGGCGAGAAGGCTCAAAGGCAACAGGAAGAGCGATGGTTGAGGGAAGTGGAGAAAGATCGTTAGGAGTAGTGAGGAGGTCGAGGTTGTCTGGAACGCTCGAATCGAATCGGTTGGTCTCTTTGCGATAGCCAGAATGGTTGGAAGATTGGAAAGATGCATCGTCTCTAGACCACCAGGTCCAATGGCGGTACTCACGGTGGTGACCGCGCTCAAGCCAAAGATAAAGGTCAGGTTCGACGGCTTCTTTGGAGACCATTCCAAATGGGCGCCAGCCATAAAATAGTGGCCAAGGGTCGCGGAGAGTGAGGGTGTGTCGATGTTGTAATAGGGCAGTGCGGGGAATGGGTGTTGTGAGATCGTCGTAGGTAACAAGACTGACATCGTCCTGATATGATTGAGGTGCTCCCGTCCATGCTGCAGTAACGATATCTGGACGGGACATGGTATCGTAAGAGCATCCCTCATCAAGAGTAGTAAGATAGTTCTGGATGAAATCTAAAATTTTGGAGTTGCCAAGCAGAAAGAGGCCATGCCACCACATGGCAACGCGAGGACGCCGCAGAAGAAAGATCTTGATGAGCATCTCAAAATCGCTATGGTTGAAGGCCGGTTGGATTACGCTGCCAATGGCAGCCAACCATGGGCTAACAAGATTACATTGGATTTCAGGTTGCCAGAATATACTCCAGAGTACTGGCCCAAGAGCATATGGATGCATGCTCAGCGTCATGTAGTAGCGTGCTTCCTCCGTATATCGACGAATATCAGCTGTTTGGTCAGCATCCAAAGGGGTGGTCTTTCGAGGCGTCAGAGATGGCCTAGGAAGGTGTGGCCTCAGCTTAGCCATGCGATAGAATGGGATTGCGAGGGTTGCAAGGAAGGCAGCCTTGATGGGTGACAAGGGGCTTGGATCTTTAGATCGGCAGGGTTCGTGGCCAATACCGAACAGGTTACAAAACTCGATGAGAAGTTCAGTAGCCTCTGCCGGAGTTGGGGGCTCCGCATCGGTGTCAATCGAGACCGGGCCTCCAGTAGCAACGACGAACTGCACATCATCTGTAAATTGTGCATCCCATGGCGAATATGCACCCTCTTGATCATCAGCGGCCCATCCTGATCGTGACGCCAAAATCGCACAAAGCCAATGCACGAGACGCAGGGAGGTTCCTGGAGGGAGGTGGACCAGGATCTGGTTTGGGGTCAGATTCCCAACCATGTTAATCGGGACAGGGTGGAGACAGGAGTCGGTGAAGTGGATCTTTCTTTTCTGGAGTTGCAGCAGCCGGGTGGAGAGGATGTAGGACCAGCATAGAGTCAAGATTGCAAGGCCTTGCGGGGCATTGGGTGCATCTGCCGTGCCAGTTGGATTACCATAATGGCATGCGCTCGGGTCTGAAGTAATGAGGCATTCGATGGGGGATGGATAGGCAAGCCGGAAATATTTGGTGGTGCCGGTAACGTTGTTGAGGTCGAAATCCTCTCCGGCCCGGGTGTCAGGTTCGGGATCCGGGACGAGCCAGGTGGGGGCTCCGGCCAGGACGCCTTGAGCCGGGACTGACTCTGGGAGCGGCGGCATATCTTGAAGCATAACTGAAGGATCGAGTCCCGAGGGAAACGTGCCTCTTGGTAGAGCCAAGGCTTGGCTAACAAGTTGCTGCCATGTATGGCGTCCGTTGTTGAACACCCGACGTACATCGAGTTGTTTTGGAATCAAGGGGTCATCCACGTCGTCGGGGACAGCGAGGATATGCTGCTCGCTCACAGTCGATGATGACTTGGACGGGGAACAGAACGGGTCCGGGGCGGTAGAAGCAGCAGTTGACTCGGTAATTTGAGAGGTATGGGTTTCCGCGCCACCATTTGAATAAGCACTTGCATCTTCAGGTTGAGGGACGATGGCGGCTTCGGAGAGGCCTGTAACAACTGTAGAACTCCAGGCAAAGGGGCGTTTGAAAGAATTGTCCAGCTCATAGTCTCCGTTCATGACCCAGGACCGGACGTGGTCCATTCCTAGGTCCCACGTTATTTGCATTGTGAGGAAAAGGAGCTAAGCTTCTTATGAGTGACCAACTAGTCGGTATAAGTGTGCAAGGGGATGAACGAAGGCCAGTTGTTACAAGACCGTGGGGTATCCCGAACAAGAGATGACGAAGGAGGTAAGGAAGATAGAGGTGGCAGGATAGGCGAGGAAAAGAAGGAAAAGAAGAGATGCAGAAATGTGAGAGATTCAAGTAGGATATGAGAGGTACGGGCATTAAAAGAACAGGGGAAGAGTATAAAAGAAAAACGGCTGAAGACTTCGGGTGGTCACCAACCCTGGGAGCACGTTGTGTATAAGAAGCAAGTAAAGATGCAACGAGTTCAACTGGAGTCAAGAGCGCAGAATTTCGGGACAGGGCGGGTATGGCTTAGACTATTGATACACGGCGGGCCTCATCTCCCGTGCTGTTGCTTGTACTCGCAAGCTGGACCTTGTTATAGTTGTCTGAGCCTTGACATCTGTTGTCTGTGACTCCATGCCATGGCAGTGTCATTCCTTGACCATGTACGAAGTATAGGCAGAACAGATTGGTGCTGGTACCAACGCTGGTTGGATACAGAACGGTGAGAATGGATTCAGCTGGTTCAGCTGGGGGTGTAAAGATAGTGACGGCATAGCCGAGTCAGGGCAGAGTAGAAGGAATCCAACCATTTAAGAGGATAAGAGTGGAAGAGTGACTGGAGAAAGAGGGTCAGAAGGCATCAAAGACAAGACACGGGAGCCTGCAGCAAAATGTCATGTCGATGACAAAAGGATCCCTGTCGGATCTTGGTTTTGGCAGCATTTCTGCGACAGGAAAACACAGCAAAAAGCGGACGTTGCATGTATTAAGAAAAGCAACTTCAGGTGGTGCTGGTTCTGATTCTGGTTCTGGTTGCAGCAACTAACTTTAGGGCAGAAGGGGGAAACAAGGGTGTCACCAAGACAGGGAGCATAGTGCCATGAGGCGTATCCATACTCCGTACAATAACCACGAAGCGGAGCCAAAGCCGGAATCGAAGCGGAGATGGCGGAGACGAAATCGACGGGAAGAGATTTGGAATTTTGACGCTGAAGAAAAAAAAAAAAAAAGAAAGAAAAAAGACGGAATGAGGGTAAAGAAACAGTAAAGACTGAAACCAAGGTGAGATTATAGAGTTGAGTGGGTATCAGTTGGTAATGGAGGATGACGGTTTAGACGGGGTCGAGTGGAGGATGGGGCATTCGACACGGGGCAGGGACAAGGGACCTGTTGACAGTTGACAAGGATAGCGCCTTCCTGTTCACTTTTGTTTCTTTTCTTTTTCCTTTTCCTTCCCCTCCAAGTCCGGTAGGTAGCAAAATAACCGGCACACTGAAGCTCTTTTCCCATGGAAAGTAAGTACAGAGACAAAATAAACTCGTCATATTTATAAAGATCCTTAACTAAACTTTTCTGCCACCTGGGCCTGGTATGCGGGTTTTATTACGACCTACCTGCTGCCCTAAGCGTCCTACCTCTACCTAATTACCTCTACCTCTATCCATACAGATAGCACTCTATCTCTTTAACCGGCATAAGACTACAATAAGGTCACGACAGGGGTCTAAAGCCAATCAAAATTAGTATAACTTAAGGTATATCTTTATATACCTAATTTAATATATAATAAAAATACTAATAACTTACTATATTATAAATAGCTATATTATATTCTTTATAGCTATATTAAGTCTATAACTACCGTTAATTTCTTAATATTAACTATAAATAACCTCCTTTTTTATTTCTTTTTTTAAAAGGTTATAACTACCCTTACTTATAGTCTTTATAAACTAGGTAGGTAAAGTTTTTACCTTTATTAATATAATTAATATCTCTTTATAAGTAAATTTACTATACTTTAAGATCCTTATTATTTTTTTCTTTTTTTATATAATATCTCTTTTTTATATTACTATTAATACTATATTTATTAAAAATAGTATTATAAATAGTCTCTTTTTAGTCTTAAAATATATTATAGGGCTTTTAATAAGGCTATTAGGTTTTTTTTTATAAAATAAAACTATTTATAAATATAATATTAAAAAGAAAAGATTAAAATAATACCTATTAAAGGCTATATTAAAAATAATATTAATATAAAGTATAAAATCTTATTTAATTACTATAATTTATATAATTTATTTTATTATTATATTAAATAATAATAATAAAAATAGGAATTATTTTAGCCTAATCTCTATTAAAGACCTTTTTTAGGTATTATATCTTTACCTTTATATCTTTTTTAATAGGTAATTTCCTTTCTTTTAATATATAATTAAGAGGGGCTTTATTATATATAATTATAAAAAAAAGGATTATAAAGCTATCCTTTTAAGTAACTTAAAAGACCTAAAGGGAAAGAAAAAAAAAATTAATAAGGAAATATAAATAAAGCTATTTATACCTATTTATTTATTATTAAGATTAGATATACCTTATTATATATTAAAGGCTAGCTATTAAAAAGCTTTTTAGTCTTTTTAATTTACTTTATTATAATAATAATATTATAATTAGGGTATATTATATTTATAGCCTTATAACTAAGTTATTAAAAAAGATAAAAAAATTACAGTAAGGAAAAAAGGTTATTTATAAAGATATAATATATTATTATTATTAACCTTTATAATAAGTAAATTATAATACTTTATATATTATTAAAAAAAGTCTTAATTTATAGCTTTCTTTTTTTACTATATAGCTTTAATATTTTTAACTTAATTATTATAGCTATAATTAATAATACCTTTATATATTAAAGCTATTATAAAAAGTAGCCTTATTATATAATAACCTAGACTTTAAAGCCTATTAATATAGGCTTTTCCTTAATAAGTATTATTTATTTTAATCTATTTATAAAAAGGATTATATACTTATCTATAATTAAATTAATCCTTAAAAAATAAAGCTTAATAAATACCTTTTATATATAATTAGATTACTTTTTAATTACTTAAAAGGTCTTTAAAAGATCTTTTTTATTACTTATATTAAGATTAATATAATTAAAAGTATAAAAATACTATATAATTAGCTTAAACTTTTATAATAATATAAACTTTATAAATAAATAAAAGGGGTATTAATCTCCTAGGCTAGGGGCCTTTTAATAGTCTTTAAGGAATATTTTTTTATAAATTCCTAGGTAAATAAGAATATTAAGTTATATATAAGCTATTATAATAAAGATACCTTTTTAAGTCTATAAGTATAAATAATTAAAAATAAAGGTATTTTAGCTATTAATAATACTATTTTTAATATAAAAAAAAGCCTAGTTATTAATATATCTAACCTATAACTATATAAAGAAAATAGGTATAAAAAGCTAGAATAATTTAAGTAATTACTAAGGTAAAGGGTTAATTTAAAAATTATAATTTTTTATCTTAAAAGGTTAAAAATTATTATTATAACCCTTTTTAGGCAGAAGGTTAGGTATATAAATAAGGTTATTAATAATTACCTAAAAAGGCAGACTATTAAAGCTATAATTATTTATAAAATTATATATCTCTTAAAAGCTTATTATTTTAATTAAGACTTATTATAATTAATTTATATAAGGATTTTAATAATTTTAATAATATTAAAAGAAAAAGCTATCTAACGGGAACTTTATATACCCTATAGGTACCTATAAAAAAGCGGGGTATATAATATCTTACAGTCTTATACCGGTCAAAGAGATAAGCACTCCACGTAACTGTCAGTTACGGCGTAGGGTAACATCTCGTGCAAATAGGCTCTCTGTTAGCGGAACTCTTTGCTTTTTAATCGTTGAATGCGGCCGTTAACAGTCCACGCTTGAGGGCCCTTTTGACGCTTGATTATGATTCCACTGACTGACTTACTTGACTCGTCAGTTCAGTCACCGACTCTTAGCAGTTGAATCGACCCATCTATCTATCATTAGGGCCGGCTATTTCGTTTCAAGGATATTATCCTTGAAAGTTAGAACTTCGGAATAAGTGAAGGGATACCACAACCCTCGACCTTTCAGCTGGGTCAATATGCACCATCTCCAGTGGCACGGCCTGGCATGCCTGGCAGTGCCTCAAAGCTGCAGATGGCCTCGGCTCTAATCATGATGTGGATGATCATGAGGGTCCGAGAGCCTCCATGTTGGTTGCACAGCGGCTGATGGACGTCCGCACATTTCACTGTTGACTCAGCATACCATACTCCCTACTCTGCATGCAACGCATTAGTATCAGCATCAGCGGCCAGCATCATCTGCATCTGCAAATGCAGCGCTAGGACTGGGGTACCTCTGCCGTAGCGTTGCAGCGCGGGATCTGGAGTTGGCAAACCAATGCCTTAATGGGCATTTGATGTTGGGTGTTAGTGATAGGTGCGTGATGGCTCCTGAACATCTCTCTCACCCATCCGATCAACACCCCATGGACCAAGTGCCCGGCTGGCAGTCTTACCTGAGACAAATTCATGTACGTGTGTACATAACATATAACATACGTGCAGCGTGCATTAGTAAATACTGCTAGCCTATCTGGTGAGTTACGTGTGTGAGACTCTATGGCAAAGAGAGGGAAATAAGTGCAAAAAGAAACGTTAAGTTGTAGTGTTGGACAGTCACAGTCGGACAGGGAAAAAGAAAGCATAGTCCCTAGGCCCGGAAGTGTGCTTTGACCCTGGGGTTCACGATGATCATATCCGTACTTGAGGGAGTAAAAGAAAAAGGCTTGATTTTGGAAGAAGAAAGCCCAAAAACCGTTTGACATGTTTAAGGGTAGTATGACATGGTAAAATAACTAATACGGAATAAATAAAAATAATAAACGTGGTTACCTATTTTTATCCACGATCCGGCAGTCTCAAAGGAATCTCGGCCTCTCCCGCGCTCCCTAAAACTTAGCTTCCCTGTCTATTGGGACAGGTTTGAACTATCACATCCACCTCAACATTACGGATACGTCGAATCCTACTCTGTTCTCACCTCTCACTTTTTCTGCACGTTCTGGCACGCGCAGGTCGATCACTCTTGATACTCCCGACACTCCCAATCGCAAACGCAGCCTCAACTGCAAACCCCATTACGATATCCGTACGTTGCAGGCTGATTAGTTACGGTACGGCACGCCGCACGCCGCCGATACAGCACAAGCAGCGGTACCCTTCCGAGACAATTACCGTACTAGGCTTAGTCGACCCGGAACATTTTCCTTGCCTCAGAAAAAAATCCCATCACTTTCTTGAGCTGTCGATCAAAGCAAGCAAACAACAGCCCGCATCGCACGATTCTTTCGGTCATATTATTTACCACCCGGCATTTGATCGCCCGGTAAGTTTGCTCCATCATGCGATTGTTTGTTTCTTTTCCAAGCCACATGTTTTACTTTGCGACGTGGCACAAGACAACTGACCTTTTGACGACGGCAGATTCTGCATCCTGCAGCCCTCCACGTTTCCTTTTTCCACAGCAAACCGCAATCGCCTACAATGAAGAGCAAGCGCGCAACAGAGGCCACCGAGGTCGTCGACAAGCCTGACGTCTCCATCGACGCTGAGGCACCCGCTAAGAAGCGCAAGCGCAACGAGGATGATGGCGCCGATCTGAAGAAGGCTAAGAAGGAGAAGCGAGACAAGAAGTTCAAGAAGGAGTCGCGCAAGGAGCGCAAGGATAAGCGCAAGGATCTCCAGAACCTTCCCGAACAAGACGACGAGGAAGAGCCGGCCGAGGATGCTACAATGGCCGGTACTGAGGACAAGCCTGCGGAGGCGCCTGTAGATGCTGAAAAGGCTGCGAAGAAGGAAAAGAAGAAGAAGGAGAAGAAGGAGAAGGCAAAGAGCGAAGAGACACCAAAGAAAGAAGACGCCAGCGCCGAAGCTGAGACCAAGGAGGAACCCAAGAAGAGCAAGAAGGACAAGAAGAAGCAAAACAAGTCCGCCAACGACGAACCTGTGGCCGGCGCCGAAGCGGATGCCGATGCAGCTGGTACGACCGCAGAGGGCAAAGCAGACCGTCATATTGTCTTTGTCGGAAACCTGCCTTTCACCGCCACCGCCGAAACCATTAAAGCCCACTTTGCCTCTCTCAACCCCGTTGGAGTTCGCTGCATGAGCGATCCCAAGGACTCCAAGCCCTGCCGTGGCTTTGCCTTTGTCGAGTTCGAGAAGGTCTGGCATATGCGAACATGTCTCGATAAGTTCCACCACTCCGAGTTCACGGACGGTACCTCGTACCCACGTCGCATAAATGTCGAGTTGACGTAAGTTATTCCCGTATACGTGCCTTGTATTACTTATCCGATAAACCACACTACCCTTATCACTTCACACCCTTTTCCCCGCAACCTTCGTCTTCATTCCCACCACAGATCGATCTGTACAAACCCCCATGAGTTGCTAGTCTCGTCTTGACTCAAGCCCAACGACACCTGACCCTCATCCCCAAGAGTGTCAATTTCGCGACACTAGAAAATGACGCTAACAATTATGCAACAGTGCCGGCGGAGGCGGAAAGACAAAGAAGCGCCAGGACAAGATCAAGGAGAAGAACCAGAAGCTCAACGAAAACCGCACCAAGAGAATTGAGCGCGAGAAGATAGCAAAGGATGAGAACAAGGGCAGCGGCGACACTCGCCAGGCGGGCGCGGATGGCATCCATCCTAGTCGCCGTGCACACGTTCCTGGCAATGCCAGATAGACTCGGATTATCTGGAAACGCCCTCGTCGGATGATTACGATGTCGAAGAGACGTAGTTCACTGGATGTGTTTAATGATTATATCGGGGTCGGATATACAAAAGTTGGACGTGCATTTACGAGATGGAAAGTGAGCGAGATACCCAAAGGGATTGGTTCATTGGCCTTAGAAGCAAAGGTAGAAATCGAACAATGGATTAATTACAATTCCTATAAGCACTGCTCGGCTTCTTTCATCGAGACTCGTATTTCAAATGAATGAGGATATACGTTTCCACGTACTCTATGAGCTGAAGTTCTCATATCTGACTTATTACTTAAGTTGAATACTTGCATTATCCAGCAAGAACTTATGTTTTAAGTGGCATAATCCCTCTCATAGTATAAACAAACAGATTTCCAGTTTCACAATCAAGTAAGCAAGGTCTTCTCAGCAAGAAGTATCACAACCATGAGGAACAAACTCGGATGGTCAAAGTGCAACCCGGTTCTTGTATTACTGGCAAAATCGGTATAAACTCCGCGAGGAGGCCACAGCATGAGATGTGAGTAAGTAGAGGAAAACAGAAAAAAACAATGTCAACGGTCGGAAAACCACATAACCGTAGATAGAGAAACCCAAAAGTCATTCATGAACCGCCTCGCAAATAAAAACCATCGTCATATGCAGTTGCTGCCTTCGCATGATTGCTGCGCAGGTAATGATCTGGGGGACAGATATCGGACTTGGATAAATAAGGGGCAACAGCCCAGCCCAGTCCAGCCATTCGCCCCAGCCGCTTCCAGGGATATCCGTCAAGAGCCGCCGTCTTGTATCGCCGAATGCTTCTGAAACATTCGCCCAAAACCCTTCATGTCGTTTCGCGCCGTCCGGACGCTTTCGTTGAGAAAATCAATCGCGCACATCGTGTACGCGTGGGAATCGCGTTCATTAGATGGATATCTACAGGATGCAGCACTTGTTCTTCTTTTGCTTTGAAGGTGTGGGTCGAGGGTTGAGAACAGCTCTGGGAAAGAGTTAGATGACGCGCGCTACATCACAACACAACATGCTGAGGCTTACCTAATGGCCTCATCAAAGACGCTCTTCAGGTTCCTTTGCGTCAGAGCAGAACACTCGAGGTACTTGTAGGCCTTGATCTCCTTGGCGCAAGACAGCGCCTGCTCGTATGATACGGGTTCCATGCGCTTCTGTCGAAGTGACTCGAGGGTAGAAGCGTCCTCTCGAAGATCGAGCTTGGTTCCGACAAGAATGATGGGAATGTTGGGCGCATGATGGTCGATTTCGGGGTACCACTAGAAGGTGTCAGCAAAGTCGACATGATGTGGCGATGGTGGCTGCCAATATACCTTAGCCTTGACGTTGTCAAACGAAGGAGGGCTGACGATGGAGAAGCAGATCAGAAAGACGTCGGTCTGGGGGTATGAAAGAGGTCGCAGTCTGTCGTAATCCTCCTGACCAGCAGTATCCCAGAGACCTAGGCTGATGGGCTTGCCATCGACCATAACACTCGCTGAGTAGTTGTCGAAGACAGTAGGAATGTATTCGCCGGGGAAGGCATTTGTGGTGTAGGAAATGAGTAGACAAGTCTGGATGCACCGTCAGTGTGAGCTCCTTGTTCTGATGGCCATCGCATTTCAAGCGACGTCCTAATTGTTCGACGTACCTTTCCAACAGCACCATCACCAGTCACCACACACTGTAGCAGCGGTCAGTCAGCCATCCATGCATTGCGTCAGGTAACCCAACGGCTCGACAAACCTTCAATGATTGCACACCAGGCTGGGCCATTGTTGCGATTGGATATGAGTAAAATCGGGAGGATTGGGTATAGAGTTGACGAGGTTATCGAAGCGCAGAAAGTCGTCAAGGGGCGGATGGGGATGGTCAAAGCGACAACTGTTGTGTCTGTTCGTAGATGTACAGTAATGTAGAGCGCAGAGAGAGGGGCACGCACGGGAAGGACTCGACGCCGGATAACGGAACAGGTGCGACGATGACGATAGGGATAGCGATGCGACGAGCGGCGACAAGACTCAAATGGATTTTCAGGTGAGTTTCACAGCTGCATAAAAAGATAGGTCAGAGAAGAAACTTGACACAAAACCGAGGTGTAGTTCACGCGTTTTGTGCCGCAGAAGGTGAGGCCACAGGAGGAGGTTCAATGATGGGAGCCGATCCACCTCTATCAGTGGACTAGACTGGACTAGACGCCCCCAAGCTCAGGCAGGACCACGAGAGAGGCGCCCAGGATAAGGGCAGAGCATGGAGCATGGGGGGGACTGGCCACCAGTAGCAGCCTCTAGCAGCGGTAGCCACCTCCGGTGGTAGGGTGGGTGGCACCTCAGGTTGGTGTTGGGGCCTGCTAAAGTCCCCTGCTAATAGCAATAAGCCAAGACCTAGCCTTGCCGACTGACTTGTCTGTTGGGATAGCAGAGAAGGCAAGGCAAGGAGTCGCTGGCTCACAGGTGCTCATTCAAGAGCTCTGGGCGCTTTTGGAGTGGGGAGACGCAAGGGCTCAAAGCCAACCAGGCATCACAGACATGAATCGGGGTAGAAGGGAGCTCACCTATAGTATTGCAATATCTCTTGATGGTAAGGGCCGTTCTGAGTGGCTGTCTTGGCTGAGATTGAGTCTCGGCTGTGGCTGGGGAATGACTTTGGAGGTATTGGATTGGATGTGAAGTGAGGGAGAGGAATAGAAATAATGGTGTTGTTATGACGATTAAAACGTGGGATAAATGCCTTGGACCTGGAATATGGTGTTATTCAAGCGACAACAGCGGTGATGTCCCTAAAGCGACGCGGCGCGGCTATTGGAAAGTGCAGGTGGTGGCTGTTGTGGATGCGAATGCAGGCTGAAGGTGAAGGTGACGGGAAGAAGGGTGGAAGGTTGCCAGAGAAAGATGGAGGGTGAAATGCAGTGCAACAGGCCCTCACTTGTTTTTCTGGGTAAGGTGGTCGGGCGATTATCAACGGGAGGCGGGGATTAAAGAATTTAGTTAGCTGGGCGTTTATTTGTATTTAACTATTTGGCTCATATCAAAACGACGAGGGTTATGGTCTTAAAGCGCGAGCTTGCAGAATAATACACGAAGAGGTTCCTAGTAGAATGGTTTAGGTCTTTAGATGATAAAGATTTCTAAACAACCCTGAACTATAATCTACAGCAACCAATATCGCCAGCGCTTTGTTTCAAGAGAAACATGCACTATGGTGTTTGAAGCAAGGATATCATTAAAGAGGCTGGAGATAAAGGTTGTGAGACCAGGGATGCATGCTCAAAGCCAAAGGTATCAACCTCCACCCAGCGCTTAGACCCTGGTCTGAGTTCAAACTGGAAGCTCAACACTACCGCAAGAATATTAACCCCAAATTTGAACTCCTTTCTAACGGATTTAACAAGGATCGATAGCTCAGTGGTACGAGCGAGGGATTGCAGATCCCTAGGTCGCGTGTTCGATCCACGCTCGGTCCTCATATCCTTTCTTTTGCCTCTTTTTGCGATTATGCTTGGTGATCCTATCTTCTTACATGGGTGTGATCCTCTTGTCTCCCCTCATTCTCACTAACCGTACTTCGCACTCCGTAAGCCGTCAGCGTATTTATCGTAAATTTTTCAGGTCGATTCTTTGATTTTGCCATCTTTCTTTTATATCCTTGACCAAGTTCTTTGTGGTGAGTATGTCTTTCACGATACCTGTGACCGGCATCAGTACTGATAATTCCATAGCGTCTCATCAACACAACAAAATGGCTTCAGGGCTCTTTTCCGACTTCTCCCCATGGCATATTCCTGCCATGTTTATAGGGACTGCGTTCACCTTGGGCGGTCTTCTTCCGTTTAGAGCCCCAGCTCGTGCTATGCGCGAATATGGACTACCTGAAGGCATTGTCAGATCGGAACCAGCGCAGACGGCATTTGCCATATATGGCTCTCGCGTATCCGCCTATGGTCTTGCTCTATGGACTTTCTACCTACGTCGCGAGTATCATGTTGTAGATACGTTGCTGAGCATGCTCTTTTGGTGGGGTGTTGCTGACCTCTGGGTCTGCTTGAAAGCGGGTGCTCCAAGGACAGGCGCCTGGAGGTTTATCAGCAGTGTCCTTTTAGGAGGCTGGGGTTACTTTGGATATACTGCTAAGGGATCTTTGTAGATCATTTCCCCAGCTTCTTCTGCTTTGAAAACGGGGTTGGTTTATGTCTATGCTGAAGTAAGTAGGGTGGTGCGTTCAGCTACCTAGGCTAGTAGTTTCTCGAGCTTGCATACTTCTGGTCTACAACAGGCTTTCTTATTAACTCCATACAATGATATCCAATATCTATTGAGAGCGATATAGTAAACCACTTTATTGAATTCTTCAAATGATCAGACTTCCTGTGATAGTTTACTTTACATTGATGAACGAACGTAATACCGTGATGTGGCCCGTGCACTCCCGCAGCTCCCCTCGTCGCGTTTAGTCCCAACTTGTCGCGTTCCCACTTGAACTAACATCCGTCATGGACATGGATCAACAGCATCAACATCTCAAATAAACGATTCACTAAAACTCTGCACTCGATTCCCGCCCAACTCACTTGAAACTCCGATGGACCGTAACTTTAGCGACGCCGAGACACCATCCGCGAGTTGAGCATCTCCAACTCCACTACGGCGCATCTAAATAAACACCATAACCATGTCAAGTCCCATATCACCGCCGACAAAGGCTTTCTCACAGCAAACGCCATCGCGAACTCCTTCACGGACTCCAAATCGCCGCGCGGTCAGTGCTGAGCCCTACTCTGCGCGCGCCTCCATTCACACACCTCTCGATCGTACTGGCGCCCGCGATCTGCGCGCATCTCTCCGCCGTGGCACTCCTGCATCTGCTGGCCGATCCAATGCGCCAACTCCTCATGCCAAAGCCGCCCGCCGGTTGCTTGATCAGCGTCGAACTGCAATCTTCACACCTGGAAAGAAGCGCAGACAGAGTCTGTTGCAACAGAGAGAAACACCCTTGGATGTCCTGCGAAACCTCAGTCGAGCACTAGCACCTAAGAGCCAGCCTATCATATCCTCATCCTCGTCATCACCGGGGAACAAACGGAGTGTATCGCCAGAACAGCAGGAGCAAAGTAATTTGTACGACGACGACGAAGATGATGACGACGACGAGTTCCTCACTAGGCGGCCAAGACTTTCCTTGCCCATGGACGATGAAGATGCTTCTAGTATGAGCTCGGACTTGCCCCCGCCACGGTTGTCGCAGCAGTTTGAGGAGGACTATACGACACATTCGATCGAAATGCCCCGAAGATTTGCGAATGACTCTCGATTATCTCGAGGGAGTCCTGGAAGCCAACGCATGAGCGACTATTTCGATAATGAACCTACGGAGGACGACATTGGCCAACATTCGGATTTCTTTCCGGGTCTCTTGGAAGACATTCAAGCAAGACCTGTCCAAGATGATGATACTCTGGAACCGTAAGATACGCATAATTCCAATCGTATCTCTGATGCTAACGTCTGAACAGGATTGAAGCAGACCAAACCCGGGGAATGATCGAGGGTAGAGGGAGTGACTTCAATTTTGAGATGCCTGAAGGACTAGATGAACAAACTGTCTTTCAGATGTCTGACCCAGCTGATGACATTCAACCAACATCCCCCATCGTTGATCAGTCGGTTGCAGAAGCCAGAGCTGCAGAAGCCCAGGAACCTGGCCCGGACGTAGCGTTCGACTCTGACTCTGATGTTGGAGGAGCAGACTTTGGTATGGATGGCTGGGATCACAACGATGGGGGCGTTGACGACCACAGCTCAATAAATGAAGAGCTACAGCCAGTAACAGAGCCGACAGTTACGGCAGGAGTGCGTCACATGCCAGCTGACGACAGACTACCGCGCGGCCTAAAAGCAAACAAGAAGCGAAAGCGAATCTCACAACATGGCATTGAATACCCGGGACTGCCTCCGGCTTTTGTAAAGCGGGTGGCGCAAACAGCTCTCCAATCGTCGGGTCTAAGTAACCAGCGTCTCTCGGCAGAAACACTGGATGCTCTCATCCAATCTTCTGAATGGTTCTTTGAGCAACTAGGTGATGATTTAGGAGCCTACGCAGATCACGCCAAACGCAAGACTATTGAAGAGAGCGACGTCTTCACGCTTATGAAAAGGTAAGTCGAGCCATTGAGCTATCAGCTCCGTATTTGGTTGTATCCAGACAGTCTAATATTGTACAGGCAGCGTCAGATAGGTCCGCGTTCCTCTATGTTCTCGTTGGCGCAGAAGCACCTCCCGAGAGAACTCCTCCAGGAATTGAGGATGCCAGTTCCACAACCAGCCAAACAACGCAAGGCTAGGCGTGTGTCGGATCAGAACGACGAAGCAGATGTTGCAGAGTATACATGAGTTTTACATGGTTTATGATGTGATTCGTTTTACAGTTTACAGGCCCCTTGAACGGGCCACACGACGAGCAACGTCGTTTGCGGGCTTCTTGACTACCATCCAAAGCATGATGGATGTTGCGAAGCAAAGACCGTACCTAAAGTCGAAAGTCAGGACATCGACCTGAGTTGACAGAGATAGAAAAATGCGGCAACTTACCAGGTAAAGATATACTGGGCGTGGTTGTTTCGCAGGTTGACCTCTGGAGCGCGGCCGTAGGGAATACCACGGGCCTCGTAGTCAACCATTTGCATGTATTCGGGTTCTGGTATCGTTAGTAAAGATATTATGAGAGATGAGGATCATGAGGATATACATACCCTTCGTAGCCTCGACCCAGACAGGCTGGCTGCCTGTCAACTCAGCCATCTGCTTCACATCCGGGAAATAAAACATGCCCTTCTGCGGCTGGTTGTCAGGCGTAAACATGTTCTTCTTCCACGGCTCTCTCAGGAGTCCTTCCACTGTGACCTCACCCGTTGGCAACCCATCAGGCCTTGTCCTCTTATCCCTATGCTTCTTGTCGATCCAACCCCTATTCACCAAAATTGTCGTGCCGTTCTCACGCTCTAAAGGTGTGACAACCATGTATCCATCCGTACCATCGCGCATTCGCGGTCCGATCAACATCTCCTGGTCATGTCGGAAATGGCCCGTTGCCAACACGCGGCGATAGTCAAAGTCGTGAATAGCATCGGGATCAATGGTAGGTGGGAGGGGTAAAGGATCGCGGATGAGACGGTCTTCAAATTTGGCAATAAGTTCGGACTTCCAGCCTAGACGCTGGACCTGCCATGTTCCAAGGATAAAGGCTGTGATTGGGATGAAAGCTACCAAAATCAGCACCAAGTCATTCAATTAGTCACTAGGGTATCTTACCAAGGACAAGTAAGCCAGGACCATGGCGTTTTCCTACCCGCACAAGCTGAGGCGGTCCATCAAGAATAGAGACGAATTCTGGGTCGTCGGCCGAGGGCTGCTTCTTGCGACGGAAGAAGGAGAATGTGAATGGTCTCCTTGGCGGCGCATTCGTGAGTCTTGTGCAGCGAGAGATCTGTCTTGAGGCGCGCAGACTGCGCAGGAGAGTCTGTGGCGCATTCATTGTGTTTGGTAGCGCATCGAGGTTGAAGCTTGAGGTTGTGAGGTTTGAAGTAGTGATAGCTTTGGTCATGATGTCGATTGTAGTGGGACGAGGACCCACTCCGGCATACCCTGGACTCGAACTATGGCTTAAATTGGGGAATAGTTTTAACGACGATCGATTATATTTGGTCTCTAAACTTCAAAGACAAGATTTAGCCGAATACGTGAGAGAGATTTGTTAACAGTTAACCCCAAATGTTCTGCGGATAATACTTTCATGCCCCCCACGATCAGCTGGACTGGTTTCACAGGAAGCTTAGCAAACACCAAGTCATGAGTATTTTTGCATCAATACCATGTGGTAAGTGCGTTTCAAAGAGCGATTGGCAATGCTGAATTGGAATGTATAGCTTCATGATCCTATGTAAGACTCAAAGACTCGATTAGATATGGTTTGAGATGTGGTTGTTACACTGGGGTCAACTCCAGCCCTATGCTTATACCCGGCTCACGTCTGCGAGCTCTGTCCAAGCCAATGGTTTAGGCTTGCAATCAGTCATCGCTATATTTGTTCAAAATGAAAGGCCAGTTCACAATCATTCAGAAGAATGTATTACGTCAAAATCTGAGACATTCTGTCGACATTTGGCCTAGCCAAAGCCAGGATTACTCCCTGAACCCATGGTTCGGACGAGTCGGCCGACGTGTCCAAACCTGACTCCAGCATCATCATCAACAACACAACGTCTCCAATAGTGTTTTGCGTACGAAGTACAGAATTATCATGGAACCCCAGAATAAACGCATGCGTCTCGGTACGAGAAGCTGCACCGAGTGTCGACGTCGAAAAACAGGATGTGTTTTTGATGAACGCCATGATGAATGTCGCCAATGCATAGCGCACTCACTGGTCTGCCAGTCGCAAAATGCATCGTCACCACCACTGGAAGACAAGGATCTGATAATACAGGACCTGACCCAGTTTGTCGGCCAAGTCGAGTCGCGAATGATCAACATGCAGGCTGCAATTGATACACTGAGTCACAAACTCGATTCGCAGGCCAAACACAATGGCGTTGTTAAAGATGATGAGCCTCCCCAGCGCGAGACAGACACACAGCTCAGAACACCACCGATATTGGAGTACTACAGATGTAGGGAAAAGAACCTCAAAACACAGAACCGTCCAGAGCCACCAGATCCAGAGCTCAGCTTAGCAGTTGACGACATTCTACCCAACCGACCAACTTTGGTGAAAATTCTTGGGTATACTGCGGAATTCTGGCTGACATGGCCTCTTACAACAAAGAAACCGTCGCATGCAATCAGATCAAGAGGCATTCTATCTCATGTCTCAACGGATGACTTTGTTGAATTACTCGAAAGCGTCGACTCTGCGGTGTCTTTTATTGATCTGTCACTTCGATCAGTAGACTTTGGTGTTGTCTCAAGATGTATGGTCTGGCTCTGCCTTTGCTATCATCAACTGCCAAAGAATTTCAGCGATGCCCACACGAACTTGCCATTCTGTTCCGAGGAGAAAATCAAGACATATCTTCGCCAAGTCGAAATCTTTTACCAAGAGAGAGCAGTACCAGTTTGCAAACTCTCGTTCATTGAAGCGCTAGCTCTTCGATCCGAGCTTTTCCTTGCCATGGGCCGTCCCAGCAAAGCATGGCAGAGCACTCGAGCTGCTGTCGATTCTGCCATTCTGCTGGGGATCCACCTTCATCGCAGATCTGACCGCGAACAAGAAGTATGGGAAACCCTCTGGATACAGGATAGACGTATATCCCTATTTCTTGGACTACCATATTCTGTCCCTGAACATCTCACTTATGACTTTGCGATAGGACGGAACTCGACAAAGGAGGGATATGTCCTCCGAAAGCTTGCCACAATATCTGGACACATCAGTGATCGAGACATGCTAGCAGGACTTGCCCATTACTCTGCCACAGAGCGACTTATTGAAGAGATGAAGGAGCTTAACGACCTGATACCAAGTCAATGGGGCACCAAATGTGATTTTGAGTCGGCTTCTTCGTTCGCCGACGCTTTTCTCCATGGCACCATCAAGCTTTCATACTTCTTTACCAAGCAGAGGGTGCACCTACCGTTTGCGCAACTCTCAGACAAGGATAACAGAAAGAAAGACAACAGGATGGCTGGCTTTGCCGCAGCTGAAGGAGCAATCGCCACTTACCAAACAATGCGGTCTTTGCAAACCACCCCATCAAAGAACGAATTCTTGGACTTTCAGGGTTTCAGTGCAGCCCTTATACTTTGTTCTGACTTGCTTTCAGAAACGTCGAGCTCTCGCTCGTTAAAAAAACATCAAGAACGCTGGAAAGCGGTCATGGATTTGACGAAAACGATGAGAAGAATGAGCGAGATGCTAGACTGCGCTGTGGCTAAACAAGCTACCGACGTGCTTGAGAAGCTCGAAGCAGCATGTAACGGGTCATCTGCTGACTCTGAACCATACGCAGTAACCATACCGTACTTTGGGAAAATGAAGATTTTCTCACTTGCTCCGAAGGCACTTCGTGATGTACCCCAAAGTCAGGGCTCAGAGAACGATAAGCTGTACATTGAGCTGGTAACTAATGCGTTTACATACCCTTGTTCGAAGCAGTGCCTGACGGAGGCGGAGATGCTGGAGGATTGGATTGCGGACTTTCCGCATGACTTTACATGGTATTGGACGGGTCTATATGAGATCTAGGGACGGAATGTAAGTCAGGTTTACTTGTGGGTGCGGAATCCTTCGTTGAATGGAGGTATATGGTGCTGGTATACTAGTACCTGGTGTATAGAAGGTGTTGACAGGAACACTGAGACCATGGGATATAACATGATATATCATCTTTTCTTCAGTGGTTTCATCTACGTGGAGACGACACATCCAACATAGTAGCACGCATCCCATCACTTCCACCCCCAGTTTCCATCGCCGCCATCATCTTCCTCATCGCCGTCCCATCTCCGCCTCCCGGCGCACGGCCACACACTGCCTCGCCCAGCATACGCAGCTGCATGGGAAATCGCGGATCCCCATAGTGGTCGATGACCTCCTGCTTGCTCGTTCTCTTCCTCAGGTCCTGCCATTGAGCCGCATCCATTCCGAAATCTTCACACTCCTTTTGCTTCTCCAGAGTCCACCATGAAGGAAGCAGTCCTCTTTGGGCTGAGACTTTGCCCAGAAAACGCTTAAATGCTCCTAGTCCGTCTGCGGCGCCGCCATAGAGACCGTCCTGATCCGCCTCGCCTTCCAGGTTGTACATGTCATCCGCGCGGAGGCGGTAGGCGTCGATGAGGAGACGATATACATCCTTCTCTGTGCGGTTGTGCAGATATGTGCCCCTGTCCAGATGAGTAAAGGGGTCGGGAACACCCGAGTCGAGGCCCCTCGGAGGGGATACGCTTAATGCTTCGACGTCATGGACGATATTTCTGGCAGATGAAGAAGCTGCTTGTATAGCGCAGATCTTCTTGTGGGCTTTCCAATCGGCCTTTTGACATTCTCGAGAGCAGTATTGTGTGGTTGAGCATTTGGTGCAACGCTTCAGAGTAACTGCAGGTTCGGTCTTTTGACATGTGTTACATGCGGCCATCGTTTAAAAGAGTTCAAGTTGGTGGTAGGATGAAGTATGTTGTGATGATCAAAAGGAGATATCATCAACCTCATCTTCTTTGAGGGCGGAAGCACTCACGATGCGTTGGTTGTGATGTCGGTGGCTGAAAGGCTTACGCCCTAAGACACCCCCTGCCGAAACATGATCAGATCATATATATGCATCCGAGTATTTGTACTGTACGTTAGCAAATATTTTTATATTGTTTGTGCTTGAAGCTGTGGTGCGGTATAGCTTGTTGAGTGTCAACTATGGTGTTAGGTACCAATCACGCAGACTTATTATCTGGAAGCGTGTCCCTGCATAAGTTAGTTTCGCAAACCCATACCGAAAGGAGTATTAGATGGCCGTGCTTTTCTATATCACACCACATGCATGTGATTATTAGTCCTTCGGATTCCCGTAATTCCGGCCTGTTCGAACCTTAATTGATGCCTGCTGCTGTCTATCACGGCTTTTAGGCATTTCTTGGGTTGGGAATAGTAATGCTGACAGCGGTGGAGACTTGAAGGGTTTCCTCTGTTTTTGTCTCCAAACTCCACACTGTTTGTAGTACTGACTCATAAATTCCATCGTATAGGTGTGATGTGTTTGTCGAGGGTGCAGGGTTCGCTCCGGGCCGTAACAGTTGTGGCAGTGAACTTACCCTCACTTACACAAGCTACGGGAGTCGAGAACCCCCCCATCCTATAGGCAACATTTGCGAATGGCATGATGAACGAGGTGCATGAACCCTTATGCACCCGTTATGCAGTGGCCTTCAACTTCTGACTCGGGACAGAGCCGGCTGTGATTGATGCGGCAGAGCTCATGGAAGAGCAGCCCGGGATGTCATTTTGAAACTCTCAAGAGGGGACCGGTGTAGGAGGGTTCACATCGAGGAGGAGCTGGACTATCTTATAGACTTATCAGTGGTAGAACACCTCTGGCCGAGTCCATTCTGAGTTACCTCCGTGGGCCCGGCAGAGGACGAGATGCCGGAGTGTCAGTATGGTGTAGGTTCCTTGGCAAGTCGAAGAACCCTTCTTCTGCATCTCATCCCTGTACGTGTTGTCGGATTGGGCGGGCTGCATGATGTATGTCATGACTCAGCGCGAACTACGACGCAACGGCTCAGAGGGAAGACTTTGCTTTCCGGCATCGCAAGTCAAGCATACGGCCCGCCCGAATTATGGTCAAATCCGGGCCGATCGGCTAATACCATAGACTCCAATATGGCAATACTTACAACAGCATATGCAAACTTGGATGTTGCTCATCTCCCTCCGAAGTAATATAGATAAAGGCTTTCCAAATCCTGCAAACAATTAGAGATGCGGCTTTTCCCTACGAGCAATGTATCAGATCATGCCAAGAGTCTTGCTGGCCAACATGCTGCAAATAACTTCAAATCTTGCTTACCACCTGAATAGTGTTTTTGAATGCCCGCCCTGCAGAATGAGTCGAGTGTCGGCTCTAGAATTTCGCGCAGCTTAACCAGAGCGGGTGCAATAAAATATTGTCTTTTTACTCGGATGAGTAGGGTATGGCGTCAGAAGATATGATACGGACAGCTGGATTCCTTGTGTTCGAGACGTTGTGCTTCGTTGGGCCTAAACCGTCAAAGAACGTTATGGGAGCCGAACGTGAAGACACGTGATACCGAAGTATGTGAATACTTCCTTCCCAGGAGAATTGCACAATAAGCTCTCTTAAGTAACAAAGCAGTTTAGGTAGTATGTAAAGCCAAGCAAAAACTATGCTGGCCCGACTTCAGATCAGTGTTGAATCAGCACTCGTTGACTTTTGAATAGAGAAGTATATGGCTGGCATTTTGAAGACCTTAGTAACTAAAAACTTGACCGAAGAAGAAAAAATGAATTCTTATAAAAGGATTGGTTCATCACCATCGTTTTGCCCCCCTTCTCAATCTATGAGCCACGCAGTTGCGACGAGACTTAGGGGTTTTTATGGTGAGTCACAGTGTGTGTAAGTTGAGAGCAAATTTTCTATGAGAACATTATCCATATTATCTTCTCAAGCTATCGCCTTTCTTTCATACGTCAACGTTGAACCAGAGCTACAGGGGGAGGCATGTAGATCTGGGCAGCGGTGCTCTTGGAAATGTTAGAGCAACACTTCTTATAATTCAAGCGTCGGAATAATAGCTCCAGCTCCTAGGCTTCATATTATTTATTTAGAGCCGGCTCTTAGATAATTATGACAGCAATTCTATTGTTTTCGTCACCATAGACGCAATCTGCTGCCACCTCCGCCGTAATAGCTCACGCTGGCTACTCGATCCGCCCTCTATTTCATCAATATCGCTGCTCGTCTTTTCGACAATCTCCAAAAACTCTTTCAACGCAGTCAACAATAGGTCATCTACTTCAGCCTGTGACGAACGTCCGTCATCTTCGGCATCGAAGAACCTCTGCCACTGTCTCGGCGTACAGCATAGCATGCGTAGAGCAACTTGAGTGCGATGACACCCCCGAGTCTGGTCATCGAGGACGTACCGGCCTAGAAAATTAATGCTTTTAAGGTCCGCGCGTTGTGTCTTGTTGAGCTTTGGTAGGATCACCTCGTCTAGATACACCTCGTCCCAGCGATTCGTGTCCAGAATGAAACCGTACTCGGTAAGGAGAAAGTCATTTGAGTGAGGACCATACGAGAGGTATACTTCCTCGCCCTGGCGATAGACCCGATCTGTTTGGATGCTGTTTCCAAGCGCGGAGTATGCGAGTGTGCATCCCTGATCAGCGTGGTTAAAAAGATCGGCTGTTGGCATGCAAACCAGCCGGTCAGCATGAGCGTAGCCCTTCATCTTAGGCATACTGTTGTAAAAAGTTCTTGTGTTTACAAGTAACCAAGCGTACAGATATTCATCCCTGGTCAGTTTCGGAAATGCTTTGAGGACAATCTCGCACTCGCGCCGGAATGTTGTGGTTTGGTTGTCCAAGAGATCCTTGGCTCGTTTGGGGAGAAGAGCTTGGAGTTCACTCGGCCACATCATAGGCATACCGCCTTCTAGATCCTCCCGAGTTGGAAGGACAGTTCTCCATATAGCAAAGTCGTCACTATCATCTAAAGCTATCTCGACAGCCAAGATGCCGTGAACTGAGACGCCGTGGAGAGGTTCAGAGATGTGCTTTGGGACAGTGTCAATGGTACGGAGTGCTTTTGTTGGCACACTCAATATTGTCTCATTTGCCTAGTAGCGTGTTAGAGTTTTTCATAAAGAAAGGTCGTATTGCTCACTCTGATGTCGCGAGTTGCAATAATACCAATACCTCGACCAGGGAGAATTCGAGGTTCAATGCCCTTTAACTTGACGCCTTTTCCTTCTGCCCAAGGCAGGAATGCAGGGTCAATGAGCATTTTAGTATGTTCAGTTATGCAGTTTACACCAGTTTGGAGGATGTATGAGGATTATTAGGAAAGAAAAATGGCATATTTCTTGACTCATACTATTGATTCATGCTGTGTTAGCTTGTTTGCAAAGTTTCTACTAGATGGCGAGCTTAAGATGGCTGAGTCAGCCCTGAAGTCCGAGATTCGGCGCAGATGCATGCGTGAGATGCAATGTAAAGTCTAAAATAATAATAAAAACGGGTTGTTTATCTTAGTATAAGATCATATAAGGGTATCTGGGCTTAAAGAGTCTGCCATAAATTCTTAAAGTATATATCAGATTATATGAAGTATTAAGGAAGACTCTTGAAAGTTTCGCATACTACCTACTGTATGTTGCGATAAATAGGTACATTAAATTGACGGACAACACTTGCCCATATGGTAGAAATGGTTCGCAGACTCTCGAAATATCAAGATTTACCAGTGACTATTGAGGGGATTTATTGATCTTAATTGAAACCACTATCCAATAGTGAATATGGGGTATCTTGACAAGTCTATAATTAACCTTGTCCATCGTCTTCTCACCCGCATTTACGGAGTATAAGCGCTACAGCTGTGACCACGTGATGCCATGAGCGTCATAGCTCTCATAGGTAGGTACTCGGTACCTAGGCTGCCAGGCTTCACTCATGATGGCTGTTGGACAAGGCTTTGTTCACCCAGATATGATTAGAATTGATTCTAGTTGGTGACATTTCTTGCTTCATCTATATTTCGTCGACATAATTGGCTGCGAAAATTAATACCATCACCTTTCACTGATTTTACCGCATGACAAATGCTCAAGGGAGTAAGGCTATAAACATACCTAAGACAAGACACCTTTCACCTGAGGCCAACACGTCGCAGCTTTGTCTTACTCAAACACCATCTCAGCGACTTTAACTGAGATTCTTCGTCCTTGACCCAAAAACTCTCTACTCTTTTCCCTTCAATTTGGTTGCTATGTTTTACGAGGGAACTCTCCAGGACGGCATCTCAACCGCTGTCGGCCAGCAGAAGCTTGTTCTGTGCTTTGTAACAGGTATGCGTTTGTCGTCATGTTGACCCGCACCGCAACTCACATGCAACCCTTAGATGAGACCGATGAGAGCACGCAATGGGAAAATGAGTTCCTGGCCGATGAAACGGTATGATGATGAATACGCTGCAGGTCGTGTATAATCTGGGACTAATTTTGCGGTGTAGCTGAGCGACTTGCTCGATAAGCACGCTGTTGCTCTCCGCCTCAAGGCTGGGTCCGAGGAAGCCGGGTATCTAGCTCAGATCTTTCCCCTGCCACGGACTCCCACTATTGTTATTATCAAGAATGGAGATTTGAAGGAGTATATCACACCAGGAATTAGCAAGGAGGACTTCGTGCGGAGAGTTCAGACTGCTTTCAGCTCCATATCTGGAGCTGCAGCTGCAGCTCAACCAGCACCAGCACCAGCGCAACCCAGCCCACCACAGCCCCAGTCAGAGACCCCCGCAGCACCACAACAGAGCTCATCACCAACAGCGACCCATGCAGCGTCTGAGAATGTCCGTCGGATTTTAGCTGAGAGAGCTGCTAGACTGCAGATACAGAAGGAGGAGAACGAGCGCAAGGTCAAAGAGGAGCGCGCGAGGACAAAAGAGAAGGCCAAGGCTGAAGCTGAAGCTGGCATGAACACGGACAACGCGAGGGCTCACAAGGCAGCAGAGGCAGTCAAGAAGAAGAGACAGCAAGACCAAGATGAGAGAGCGCGGATCCTCAAGCGCATTGAAGATGATAAACTGGAGCGTCGCATGCGCGCTGAAGAGCGTGAGAGGCAGCGAAGTGACAGTCTCAAGGGCGGCGACGTCGCATCATCCTTGGTGAATGCGCCGCAGACAAAGCTTGCATCTTCGACCAAGACTGGTGGAATGACGGCTCTTCAAGTACGTCTCTTTGATGGATCAACGTTGAGATCACGCTTCAAGACGAATGCGCACCTTAAGGAGATTCGAAAGTGGGTGGATCAGAACAGAACCGATGGTACACAGCCGTACACATTCAAGCAGGTACTCACCCCTCTACCGAACAAGAACATCGACGAGACCGAGGAGGATAAGGCTGTTGGAGAGCTTGGCCTCTCCCCCTCGTCGACGCTGGTACTCATACCTGTCACCAAATTTACGACTGCCTACGACAACTCACAGGGTATTGTATCGAGGTTCATTGGTTTCATCCTGAGCATTTTCTCTTGGTTTCTGAGTCTATTTGGAGCTGGTCAAGAACGTACTGGACACCGAGAGTCTACAGAGGATGATACGCCAGTCAGTTCTCGGGAGCAGTCCCGAATTCGAGGTTTCCAAAACCAGAGGGACCAGCAAAGAGATCAGCAATTGTACAATGGAAATTCGGTAAGTCACAGCAACACATTCCGAATCATGACATCGCTAACATCGCAAAGTTGAACTTTGAGCCACGACCAGAAGAGGAGGAAAAGGACAATTGAAGGGGTTTCCCGTTTTGAGTGGGAGTGAGATCTTTTTTGTGTTGTATTATACAATTGGCAGTGCTGAGATGTAACAGTAGTGTTTCCCCCACCTGATTCTTATAAGCACGCACGCTGTCAGAGGATATATATCCCCGATGCTATTCCCTTTCCCATAATGATATCAAGTTTCCTTCTTCATTTCTCTTTATGTACCATGCCAGCCCATAAGATTACTGGCTGGAAGCGGCCTGGCAAGCCTTGAGCTGCTCAAGGTACCAGTTGCAGATCTGCATGTTTCCGTTGTTGTCGTCCATGCACTTTGTGAAGTTCTGGGCGACGCCGGCGCAGTTGTTCTGGTTCCAGGACTGCTCCTGGGGAGCGGCGGCCTGGACGGGAGCGGCAGCAGCGGGCTCGGAGGAGCCGCCGAACATACCACCGATGGCGTGGCCTACTGAGGAACCGATAGCGACACCGCTGAGAAGAAGTTAGCCACACTTGTTCGAAGTATAAGCTTGGTATGTGCTTTGAGGGTCTTCTGCCCCGCAGCGCATGAAGACCTCAAAAGACCAATTGTTGTGGATCGTCGGGGGAGGGATGCTTACGCAGCAGTGCTGGCCATCTGACCGAACAGTCCAGGGCCCTGAGAACCAGCAGCCTGAGGAGGAGGATGGGCACCGGAGGGAGTAGTAGCGGGAGGAGCAGCGTGGGTGGCGGCAGGGCGAGTCTGCTGGGGCTTAGGAGCCGAAGCAGCAGCGGTAGGGCGCGAAGGAGCGCGGCCGACGGATCGTTGACGAGGCATTGTGAATGTGGTTGTGGGGATTGTTGTAGAGGCTGGAGATTTGGTGATGGCGTTGAAGAGGGACAAAGTTCAAGATGTATTGTTATGAGGAGAAAGATCGGAAAGAAAGAATGCCGGGGACACGGATTTCGGAGGCGCAAAGACAAAACAGTTGACCAATCACGGGAGGCAAATTGCAACGAGGGACGGGGAAGATTGGCCAGTAGGGCCTCGGTAGACGCATCTCCCCCATATTCCCAGGGGCCCAAAGCTGTCCAGGACCTTACAAAACTCCGTTGACAGCCGCTGAGGGAACTTTTTAGTGGACACCTCCCTTAAATTGAGTCATGGGCTTGGTGAAGGCTACGACGATTACGACCGCATGATCTAAACGGAGATATCGGGTATTTCACTTCCGGATATAGCAATTGTCATAGTGTGAGTAAAACAGTCTTGCATCTTTATTCATAAGTGATACTCTAGAGCGGTCTGTTATACTGTATCAAAACCCTGTACTCCTTTTTCGTTACATATCTCATGGCATATCATCTACGGGGTGCATCTGCCCATGTATCGGGGATACAAGCAAGCGTCTCGCACAGTCCAAAGCTTGAGAAGCCACGCGAGGAATCTATATTGCATGTCAGTATAAGCCGAATCAACAGTGGAGAAAAAACTTACCGCTCAGCTCCCAGACCGTATCCTCCGTGAGGAGTAGATCCGTACTTGCGCTGGTCGGTGTACCAGAAGTATCCTGAGGGATCAATGCCCTCTCGCTTGTAACCAGCCATGAGCTCCTCGAAGTCCCAGATTCTCATGCTACCACCGACGATCTCACCAACTCCAGGCATCAGAACATCGACGGACTCAGTCACACGAGGGTCATCCTTGGCCTTTGACATGTAGAAAGACTTGATCTCGACGGGGAAATGGGTAAGGAAGATAGGGCGGTTGATCTCGTCAGTCATGAGACGCTCAGCAGCCTCGGCACTAATCCCTAGTTAGTTTGCGCATTTTGTGTATCTTGCGAATCACTTACATATCGTCGCCAAAGGTGTGGTCGTTGCCATCCTCGTTCTTAATGCCACGCTCTCGTAGCCAGTCAATGGCATCGGCGTATCGCATGCGCATGAACGGTTGAGCAGGCTTCTCGAAGTCGGGGTTGTACTTCTTGATGGCCTCAGCAGCAAGGGGGTTCTCGAGGGTCAGATCGATAACACGGCAAATGACGTGCTCAAGATGGTCAAGGAGGTTTTCGAAGGTGATAAAGTCCAACTCGGCCTCGACGTGGGTGTACTCAGAAAGCTACCCCACAGTTAGTTTCTACTTGCGCAAGGCAGGGCTTTTTAGATCTGCAAATTGGTAGGTACTTACATGTCGGCGGGTAAGAGATTTCTCGGCACGGAAAGACTTCTCAATGCAGTAGCAGTCACCAAGGACGGGCAAAACAGTCTCGAGGTAGAGCTGACTGGACTGGGTCAAGTATGAAGTCTCGCCATAGTAGTCGAACTTGAAAAGAGTGGAACCACCCTCGACCTGGGTCTGCACAAGAGCAGGAGGGCTGACCTTCTTGACTTGCAGCTCCTTGTAAACTGTGTGGAAAGCATCCTCGACGATATCGCGAACGAACATGACGGCGGCGGGCTTCTCGTGACGCAGAGTAAGGTGGCGGAGGTTCATGAGGGTGTTGGTATCACCATCGACGGGAACGCGGTTGGTGAAGGCATCGTCACCACTGGGGGCCTTGGCAATGATTCGGAAGTAATCCGCACGAAGCTCGCGGTTGAGAGGGGCGTGGGCACCGGCGGGAACCTCCCAGAGCTCACCAATGATCTCAAGAGATGTCTCTCGCGAAAGGGTAAGGGCATCGTAGGTCTTGGAGAGATCTCCAGAAAGGAGACACTGCATATAGTTGATACCGCGGCGCAGAGTCACAAAGATAAGACCACCTTGCTTGGCAACACGGTTAACGCGGCCTGAAACGGAGACACGCTTGACTCCCTCAGTAGGCTCGTCCTTGCTCTTTCGAAGGGTTCCAATCACAGAAGTATCGGTCTCCTGGAGGCTGATTGAGACAGGTGTGGGCAGAGCAGGGTCGTTGGTGATCTTGATCTTCTTAGCCTCCTCGAGGACAGCCAGACGAGCAGTCTCATCCTGGGCATCCTTCTCAGCTCGCTTGGCAGCAGCTTCTTGCTTCTTCTTCTGGCCAGCAGCGTAGGCAACGGCCTTCTTCAATGCCGACTTGGCAGCGGGCTTGTACTCTTCATCGTCCTTCTTCTTGACCTGGTACTCGGACTCGGCGCCGTGGCGGAAGTAGGCCTCGAGGAGAGACTTGTAGGGGGCGGACTCAGTGCCCTGGATCTCGGGGAGATCGCTTCCGGCTTCTTCGTCGATGTAGATGACCGCCATTATGGTGTTGTTGTGTTTTATATGCTTCTGCCGATGCGGAAACAGAAATCGAGGCCTTGGGTTGGAGGGGTTTGTAGTGCCCCGCGATTGCTCCCCTTGACTCACGTCCGATAATGATAATGGTGGGGTGAAAAATTGTTAGTCACTCCAAGTTTCGTCCTTATCTTTCCACCTATTAGTGCGATAAGAGCTTGACTATATCAAGAGTTACAATTGGAGGAAGATACAAGATGCGACAGAAGACGTTTACAGAGTGAGTTTGATCATTTATAATTCTTTTCTTATCTAAAGTTTGTTGGTGAACGGTCAATTGAGTCACAATTAATCGGCCTGGCAATCATGGCAATGAAGTCCGGTATGACACTAGCGAAGGAGGTCCGATGTAGGCTCTGTTTCTATTCGCATATAAAGTCAAGTAATAGGCGATGTCACAAGCATCGATAATCCTTTTCCAGTGAAGTTAGTCTCAGTCCCAAATCCCAAACGCCATGCCCCTGCTAAGTCAACTTCCCAGGAGGCCATACTACCCAGCCTCCAAGGATTAAATCCCTTCGTAGGGTTGCCTTACAACTATTTGGGGTATCACTGCGAGTATTCCTCCTGAGCAATGTTGTTCAAGTGTTTGCATCAAGATCCAAAAGGCACATTGCGCCACCAACGAAATTTTCCTCTTAGCACGTCGTGGCTAGAGCCTTTCAGTTCCTCGACTTGCCCTTCTTGGTTTTCTTCTGCTTCTTCTTGCTCTTATCTTTTCCTTCAGTAGAGCTTACTTGCGACGGGACAGGTGACTCTTCCGCTGGTCGCTTGCGGTTCTCAACAGACTTGAGCAGAGCCTTGGCTCGCTCTTCTGCGATCTTCTCAGCAAGCCTGTTGCTGATTGTCTTGTTATCGGACTGTTTGATGTATTAGCTTAAAAGTCTCTGCCATCTCGTAAGGGCTTCATACCAGATCTGCTTTCAAAATACGCGCCGCAGCCTCTTGGTTAACTGTCATAGAACGCGATTCTTCCGCGGGAGGAGCCTCAATGTTCTTGATTTTACCAAAGTATTGCTGAATTCGCTTGAGTTCAGTAAGAACAGCCTGGGTTTGTGTATCAGAGCCTTCCAGTTTCAATGAAGCTGTTGCGAGTTAGTGAATGTCCGCACTAAACGCCGAATGGCTGAATTCGCAAGATCGCATTGACTTACAGAAGAGAAGAGATTCAATCGCGTAAGCTGTTAACGAGAATAGCTTTGCCTTGTCCAATAGGGGCAACTCAGAGGCCATACCCTCAAGGTTACCGAGCAGAGGCTGCAGTGTCTCCTCGAGATCATCTAGCTGGTCGTCCAACCGGTCAAGATCCGGCGTGATATCCTTAACGTCTGTCATATTTGTGTTGTTGTCGCGAAAATATGAATATTTGGAGGCGTGAGGTTGAGATGTTCACGTCGTCGCATGAAAGACTTCGCACAGGCGCAGAACTTTTGGAGCCAGATTAGGACTAGTGGACTTTACATTCATGAAGAGAGTAGATGCAACTAAGCAGTTGTGTCTTATAGCGGGGCTTGGCTGAGACTCAACTGCAAAATGCGATTTCTTGCACAGTACTCTGTACCCAGGGTGTGATCGATCTCGACAAAATAAAGATCGGTTTAATTATCAGCATTGAATTACTATAAGTCCCCTAACATTACGGCTTTTTAGTGTGAAGATGCAGACCCTTCCTTCCATGCAACTTATACCGTCTCGCCGGATCTAGAGAATACCCAGAACGGTATTGGAGCAAGAAATTGACCAATAGCGGCAGCACTAAATTTCAGCGCTGATCCAACAAGTCCCTTGGTCCACAGCCAGCGTATAATTGGTCACAGTCTAATTCTAAACTCAAGGGAAAAAACGGACTCGCCTCTCGGAAGATCAATATTTTAACGCATCACTGACTTAATATCGGCATCACCACTCTTTCGATCCGACGCCCCTTCACGATTTCACGAGACGATAATACCGACAATTCATTTTGTACACGAACACCGAAATCTCAGTCGCATTCCCACTTGTCGAACCTCTATGCGCTTGTAGACTATATAGTCTCCTGCCCATTTAGCTACGAAGCCAACCTTTCTCGTCTACCGTTTAAACCACAGCCAAAGCGGCGATCCAGATGCAATCGCGGGCGACCGCTCAAATAGCCACAAAATCGGCACGATGGCTCCAATATAGCAACAGGGTCGGCTGCACGCGACTCTTCGCTTCTGCGGCGACACCAACACATCATAAGCAAAAAGAGGCTGTTCCTCCAGAGCTAGGTGGATTATCGTCATCGCGGCCATGGCAGAGTACCGGCGCTCAGGCTGGCTCGGTTACCCCTACGCCAACAAGCTCTTCGTCACAGTTTTCCATCCCCTCGGTAATCATCCCGGCCGAAGCAGCAAAATCTGGACCCGCACACAAAATCCATATTCTAGGCGAAGATGTGAGGTCGAGATTTATCGCCCACGCATTATGTAGTGTTTACGATTCAGTCGAAATGGTGCCGTTTCGCGATATGCCCCGGTCACGATATCGAAATGTGGAGGAACTTCAGCCAGAAAGAACGAGAAAGTCTGCATATGCCGAGAAGAATGCAGCCCTACACGATGAAAAGGAAGAGAGAGAATATGAAGTAGGAAAAAAAGACGACCGTTCACATATTGACGAACTTATTGTTACCGGCCGCGGTTTCGAGGCTGTCAAGGCGATCGCTTCAGTCAAAGACCGGGTTGATGATAAGACGTCGATTTGTCTTTTGAATGAGGGTATGGGAGTACTGGAGCAAGTCCGCGAACATATTCTCAATGGAACACAGCCCGAGCCAAATTTCTATCTGGGACATATGAGCCATTCCCTGGTCTTCAACCGAAACAGGGACTCTGTCAAACAATTGAAGGCTGGGCGAACGGTTCTAACCACGGCGGATGCGCTATTGGGCACACAGCAGAACCTCCATGCCTCCGCTGAGCCTCCCAGCATGATGCGATCGCTTAAAAAGGCCAAGCAACTTCAAACGACATACAGCACTTACGATAAATGGCTTCGGTTCAAGCTCCCCTCTATGATGTTCACGGCTGCTGTCGAACCTGTGTGCGTGCTTCTCGATTTGCCATACAAGGGCCTGATGAACAACCGATCAGCACAGAAGATGATAAACCTGCTGTTGGAAGAGATGGCCTTGGTGACGCAAAATTTGCCAGAAGTGCAGAACTCACCAGAGCTCATTGAGTTTCTCCGCGGGGAGGGTCTAAAGAAGTTCTGCTACCGCCGAATTACAGGAAAATCCAATGCCCCAAGTGATTTGCAGACGCGCATCAACAAGGGTCTACAGACGGATATGAACTACCAAAACGGATACTTCTTGAAACGAGCAAGGCTTCTTAACGTTAATACGCCTACGAATGAACTGATGGTGCAGATGGTCAAAGCAAGACGAAATGAGGCAATGGAGAAGAGAAATAATATCATACCGGTCGAGGAGGCATCAATGAGGAATATTAGAGAGAGGGTTCAGCGCAAAACAGGGAGTTACATTATGTAGAGTAGGGCATTAACGAATCATCCTTGGCGTTTTGGGGAGTAGCATCTGGAAGGTTGGATTACAGAGAGAGGAGCATTATAGTGTCAAAATTAAACATAACCAATGTTCCACAAGAGACCAGAGTTGAGATCTGAACATGACCATCATTAAAGTTGGAGTTGATGTTGAAAATGTGCTTACGTGATCAAATTAAGCTGCCCCTCCACCAAACAATATGCAGAGCAACCCCGCGACATACTACGTAGGACTGATCATCCGGTTTACAAAAGCGTTGACAACGCAACATATCAGAAATCATGGATGACTCAGAGCTAGATCAGGTAAGCCAAGGCTATAGCCATCATTTAGAGTCAGTCACTGACGTGGTTTGTAGATCCGAAAAGCTCGTCTAGAGCAGCTCAAGGCCCAAGGTGGCGGCGGCGGAGGAGGTGGTGGTTCTGGGCAGCAAGAACAGCAGCAGCGCCAGTGAGTTGCGCTTATCTTTTCTCATCTTGTAGCATCATACTGACCCCGTATAGACAACAGCAGCAAGACGACGCCCGCCAACACATCCTCCAGCAGATCCTTCACCCAGAAGCCGCCGACCGTCTAGGCCGCATCCGTCTCGTCAAGGAGGAGCGCGCCGCCGACATCGAGAACCGTCTAATCACGCTTGCGCAGAGCGGCCAGCTGCGACAAAAGGTCACCGAGGCGCAGCTCAAGGAGCTTCTGAACGCCATGTCGGAGAGCAAGGAGGAAGAGAAGATCGTCGTGAACAGGCGCAAGGCATGGGACGATGACGATGATTTGGACCTGTAAGAGATGCTTATGATACCATGGAGAGAAAGAGAAGCAAGGCAGGATTTTAGGCAGGGCCTGCTGTTGTGCTCTGAGTGAATGGAAGCAAAACGAATGTGATGGTGAACACTGCCTATTTAGGTAGGGCGAGTTCTTGGGATATGCTGATGATGGCAATCGAACTCTGCTCGCATGGTCACCAAGGTATACGAGCAATGTGTTTTGCGAGTGCATGGTGATATGCACCTTTAACTCAACATCAACGCCCAATTCGCAATTCTAGTCATCTAGCTTTCATACAGTAAAGTACAGATTTTACACCCAAACTCAGGCGAGTGCAGTGAGGGCAGGGTATCATAGACCATGCTCTCTCAGCTCTTTTAGCCTCTTCTTCTCCTCCTTCTCCCGTTTGCGAACGTCCCTCATATCGGGCGGTTGCTCAATGCCAAGCTCTTTTCTCAAATCATTCACGTCATCCTCCAATCTCTCTTCCCAGAACACATTAATAACCTCCTTGCCCCGCGCTCCGTTCTTAAGAGCCCAGGGTAAATATGTCGAGGCGAATCGCTGTCGCTCATTCTTCTTCATAGTCGCTGCCGCAAAGATGCTCAATCCTGTCATGGGAAGCAGTGTATTGGCGAACTCGAACGCCTTAAGGGCGACTTCGCCCTCGCGCACAATAGGTAGACCTGTCAGGGCGTGGTAGAAGTCATGACACTCGCGATAACGCTGCATGACGTATGCGCACTCCTCGTTGTCGATGTAGCGCACTGCGGACCGAGTGTCGGGGGAGACACCTTCGCGATCGAGCCAGCCGACATAGGCGCGGCCTACGGTGTTCTCTGGAAGCGCTCGTAGGGCATCAAGAGACAGGGTCTTGGAGGAGATTCTGGGTCGGGCTCGGAGGATACGGCGGCCTGTTGGGTCAGCGAGCATGGCGTCGCGAAGGCGGTAGATAAAGTAAGGCGTCGCTGTGGCTTCACCAGTAGCAGCAATGAGATCTCGGAACAATTAGCAACAGATCCTCGACGCACTACCAGTTATCATGAGACATACCATGTCGATAGGGGTTGAAAAAAGACATGACACTGGCTCCAATGGCTAAGCCAGCCCGCTCAACTCTTGTCAGAGGAACATGCCCAGGATAATTTGGTGGGGGGCGGTTCAAGCTGCTGAAGCTCCGCGTGGGAGAGGAGGAGCAAGATATGCAAGCGATGGCTCTAATTGAATTATTTCCATGGTGAGCGGATCTAATTGATCGCAGCTTCGGTAGCACGGTTTTCATCTTGACCGTTATCTCAAGTTGAAGTTTATGGTTCGATGTGTAGACATGGTGGTGTTGATCGATAAGCTAGTACCATGACTAAGCAAATTATCATGGTTCAAAAGTAGCGAATTAGAGCTGAAGGTCTTGGAGTGGAACTGGACAAACATTGAAGATGTAGGTAACTTTTGGAATTCGACATTGGGGTACATATCTGTTGTGATAAAAAGGAGTTGGTTTTTATTACTTAGGGTGCTGCACCTCTATAACAGCCAGTTGACCTTGATTGATTCACTAGGTACGTAACTATCTTGCGGAATGATTTGAATGTGTTTTGCTCAGATGATAAAAACGCCTAGGCCGGGCCCTCTCTTGGTGCGAATGCTGGGCGTGTCATCAACATTTCCATAGACCTGTGTGCAACCGAGCCCCAGTCCCTTTCCAAGCCTCATCTGGTGTTCTTTCCAGACGCCACTTGTCGCCAAGCTCTGAGGTGATTTCAAATCGGCTGCCCTCAAAGTTTGCTAAACTAGTGATCCGGGTGATGTCAACCCGGCACAGTTCTGGGCAAGACTCGGCCAAAAGTAGATGGCATACCTACTTGTTCGTTTTCGTATCTATGGAAGGCAGTATACTCGGTATATTTTGTCAATGTCTCCCACGTCCCTCCTTCCGTGACTAGATGCAGCGTTTTCAAAGAGTGTGGGAGGGCATCAGCCAGAACAATTTCTGACCCATCCTCGAAAGCATCCCTCGATATTGGTGGGTTACCAATGTTTCTTCTATTGATGCCAAGATGCTTCAAAGAACTAAGTTCTTTGAGAGTTCCCAAACATCCTAATATTGTTGGCCAGGTGCTGTGTGCCCCAAACTCCTCGACAGCCTTAGTTGAGAACAGGATCGTCTCTAGACACCCTCCAAGCTCTCTAAAGACATCTCCGAAATCCTTAGGAAGCGCAGAATATATGTAGAGGTCAATTGTGAGGTGTTTCAGGTTCTTGGACTGCGCCAAAATGTGACCGAGTGCAGATGGCTCAATTCGGCAATTGTGAAGCTCAAGTCTTGTTAAAAGGCTAGACACACTACCCCATCTCAGTTTCTCTGATTCGTCGAAAGGCCACGTAAAGTTTGTTAGACTCAGAGTCTTGAGTTTCGGAAGAAGTAAAACGCCGACGAACGCATCTATTGGGTAACCAGCTGATCTCGTGCGTATGTACAGCCGTAGCTCCTCGAGTTCGTGAAGGTATAGCGCTTTGGGTGTGGTATTCTCGACTGTGCCAGCGGGAATTTGCTGTTCTTTTCGGATTTCGAAGTCGCTGGGATGGAAGTCCCCATCCTCCCGAAGGGTGCCACTCAAAATCCATCGGATGATACACGAGTTCCGCATGTTAGGGGTAATTTCCAGGCTGAGAACTCGCACGCGCGGTGTCAAGAGCAAAATGCATGTTGTCATTGCTTGATTGTGACCATTTGCATAGAATATGGCTTTCTTGAGTTCAGGGGGCGCGGTGATGGCCGATGCTGCAGTCTTGAAAGACAATTCCATGAAAGCCATGGTCGTGTAATCGTAATCACCATCAACATCATGAAGACAAATCTGCCTTACGATTTGGACGAGCTGAGGGTTGAGTGTTAGGTCGGAAACTAGCTATATATATTCCTAGTTAACTCGCTATCAGAATGTTTACACGGACCGCATCTGCAAGATATCAGCTCCAGTTCATCTATCCATTTGATATGCTTCTTGGATCTGGCGTTCGCCGTTTTTGCTGACTTCAGGGGCTTCGTGGCGACATGTTCGATATCGAAAGTAAGTAACGCGCAAGAAAGAAGCAGGGCTGCCACTTTCACATTTAATGATACGTGTGAGAGCCTTCCTGACACTATATGTGCGTGAACAAAGCCTAAGGCAGATAGTACCTCCAGGAATCATTGTAGGACACTTACTTAGGTCTAGTACCGGGAGAACCAAATTATATACGAGGCCAATGCAGAGATTCGTGGTTGACACCTCCTCTTTATTCTTTCACTGTTAACTATCTCGTTCGGCCCGAGTAAGCTTCCAAGGATGTAGTTGTAGAACTTCATGGAATTAGTTCCAGTATCAGGAACTCTCTTGACCTTGGGTTTCAATCGTTCTGGGAAGGCATTTGGGTTCTAAATCTGTAAAGTCTAGTCAAACAAGTCATCATCTCTATCTCGCCTAAAGGAAGTAACGAACCCACACCAAACCTACTCTATCCTGCGGATCATTACAAGATGCATAATCCTCACCGAGTATGTAACTATCCCACCATGCCTGATAATTATAATGTCAGAAGAGAAGTGATCATGGGTGGTCCAGCCCTCTAAGGTCCGAGTGAACAGATCTTTCCGTCGACTTTCGCAACGATCAAACTCGATACGTTATAGTTTAGGAAATCTTCCGCTATCAATCAAATGCATCATTTCGTCTTCCAACTCGGAGACCTTTTCTTGCCACACTAACCCAACATCGTGTCGTTGTATACAGCAACGAAAACACTCCAAGGAGAGAGGCAAAACTTCCGCAATGGGCATTTTGTTTTCTTCGTGACCGCCAAGCACTTGCCTCTCGATTTCGAGGTATGTCAGGCGCTCCAGCTGTCGAAGAGATCCGATCTTGCCTACAATCGCATACGCACTGCTGTTGAAACCGGACAGAGCGAGCTTGACAAGGTTATGTCCGAAATCTCTCAAGGCATCCCCATACATGTCCAAATCTATACTCACCCTATATCTTCCCTGGCTGGGGAAGCGGTCTAAGAGAGAGAGAAATAGCTCGCCCAGATTCTTGCAGCAACGTAGTGCGTGCTTCAAGAAGGGCCCATCAAGCACACATTGCTCAAATTTCATCCTGTACAGCATGGACTCGTGGCCCTGGGCCCAAATATCCTCGTCGTCACCCTCAATGCAAAAGCCGCGGGTCAAATGAAGCCTCTTCATCCTGGGATGGAGTAGCAATTCTCTTATCGCGCGGGTGGAATCCGTTTCTTGAAGGGGACAAAGCCAGCTTACTTCTTCCAAACGCGCAAGATGGTTTGCGATAGCTGTGCGAGTCATCCATGGATCCTCCCGAGTCTCAACTATCTCTGTGCCCAAGATCCAAGAAAGTGGTTCGTTAGTTGGTCCAAGATTGTGGCATAGGTATTTGAGCCTTGGCATCAGGCCCAGTAGCAGCAACGAAACAACCGTAGAGCAAGGTACTCCGCTCCTTACTGCACCCTCCAGCATTGTTCTAAGGCGTGTTGGAATCCTAGAAGATGCGATCGTCCGTTCCAAGTAAGGCCTCATACTCTCATTTAGTCCGAGAAATGTTCTTTCGGATAGTTGGAATTCACGAACAGCAAGACCCAAGTCAGGACGCTCGACGAGCGTGCGGACTAGCTTCATAGCCCAGCTCGGCACCTCGGCCGTCAACGGAGTGACAGACGAGATGGTCCAGTAAAGAGCAGGCTGAGCTAGTCTATTGAATTCCCTGCATACTAAACATGCAGATATGAGCGTGTGGTATAAGATGGGGTTTCGTGTGCTCTCACGGGGGGGAATAAGATGTGAAAAGATCTCGATCCAGAGGTCTCTGGGAAGTGACAGCATCTTGGTTGCTAAAGATGAAACTCATATTAGTATGACATGGATTTGGCTTTATCATTTATCCAGCTTACAATGTGGTTATCGCTGTTTTCTGTATGGGTGGGAGTACGGAAAGGGGCATTGAGTTGGGAAGAGTTCTAAAAAGAATGGAGACTGATTCTGGTCTGTGAATAGTTATATACTTGTGAGATCTTATCACAGTGTCCTTACCTTTAGGCTTATCTTTATATGAATCATGGATAAACTTTGGTTGAAAACTGAAAACTGAATCCTGTAGAGTGGCAGAAAGTTTACTCTACAAGCATCGGACGTTGGGCTTTCAGGCCTGGTACCGTGCCTGTCCTAGACCGGTCATATTTGTCGTCGGTTTTTTTTAACAGCAGTAGCAGAAGAGCAAGTTTTCCAACCGCTACAGAGTTTTTAAGCAGATGAATTCTGGTGGTATGCGATGCGTCAGGTTCAAAGAATCGACGTGGTGCCCAAATGTGGGCGATGGTGTACGTGTCTCAAGGCAGTGCTGCCACTCCGTCCCCGTTCAAAAGGAAGCTTTCGTGGGAAACTCTCGAAATCGAAATATACTTAAGAATTCATCGATTGAAGTTACTCGGATGTAAAAAGTAATAAAATAAAATAAATAAAAAGGAACTTCGAGTTCTTATCTACATGATGTTAGAAGGCAGCCCTGTCTAGCCTTCCCAATTCGACGTGGAGTTCAGCGTGCTTCGCCGAGATTTCAATCACGCGATAAAAGGGGTAGCCATATAAATGTCTACTAATGTAGTAGGCTCCCAGATTCTCTGAGGTTTAATTTCTTGTCGCCAAAATAGGAGAGTAGACAAATCATGTGCCTAAGTTGAGAGCGCGCCTCACTGGTTTTCAAGGACTCGCCGTTACCCAATCAATAGCACAAGGCTAAGAGTAAGGCAGATAAGGTTAAACCTTCTTAGAGAAAATACTTTGTCACCAGATTGCCTCTAAGACTTAGTAATCTTCGAGTTTGTCATAGCATTGAAAGGCCTGAGCGCCATGCGTGGTGGGAGGTGAACAACCTACCTATTCAGGGGGAGAACCCAGAGACCTGGATATTCGGAATTGGTCTTCCCAGACCAAACAAATGGTATTTCTGTCTAAATTCAATCACTCTTAATTCATGGACTGTGCCTATAAAAATGATTTAAAACTCCCGCGGTCCCATAGTTACAATGAATATCACTTATACATGAAAGGAACCAAAGCACATATATTGAAGTAAAAGCTGTAGGAGGTTTACTTGAACAATCATTACTTCGAATTCTTCGTGAGGCTATATGCCTCCACTTTCCTGGCATTCTTCCACTAAGGGCACTTGTTGTTATGCTTCAGCGACCAGCTCCATCCACATTCGCCACACACCTCCAAATGTTCCTGCTTCATACATCGATGTTTCGCAGTCTTCCTTCATACAGGGCTATTACTGTTAATTCATGTCACTCTCCAACTGGGGTTGGGGTCTTAAGTACCAGTGGTGAGTCTTGCTATCATCGTTGCCGTGTTCCAACATGCTGGTCGATTGAGCTTAATATTTCCCGATTGGACAGGATTTTTGCCTTGCCCATGGGAACAATTCAGGTGATTTTGTTAGAACTTGAACCGAAAGGCATATTCTCAGATATCTAAATGTCTTATTTATACACAACCTCGTTGTCTAGATAGTGTCGGGTTGTGTTCAGCTAGCTTGAGAGACAGTATCGCACAATCAATACTCAGTCACACTTCCTACTTAATGCTCCTGTTTGCTATTCAGGCTCCCTTTCAAGTAGCCTGTGAGGGAGTAGTAGGTGGACAAATTAAGACTTTCAGTGTGTTCTGCAGATATTTCCAGCTTTTTTGGTCATACTCGTTCTCTCCAATCTTGTACAGAACCCTGATAGCATCGTTCCTGTTCTCGATCCCAAGGGCAACCTCAACAAATTTGCGGCAAATGTCCATCCTGTTCGTGGAGTCAAGCATCGCAATCCAGACTGCTTCGGCAACGTGAGAGGTCTCGGTGAGTTTCCAGTCTCCGTTCCACGAGAGAGCCTTGCCTAGTCCCTTGTTGTAATGCGCTCGATAGCGTTGCAGAGTCTCTGGGGAATCCTCATACTCTTGTTCAAATGGCCAGCCATACATCAAAGGATCCCAGTCTCTGGTGATCCACCCAGGATATGAAGCATACCCAAGGTGTGGCGGCATGGTCCGACAAAGGTCCCAGTCGATGATTCCGGTCACGTTACCTTTATCGTCCACTAGGATGTTCTGAGAGTCGAAGTCGGGTGGGCAGAGAACAAAGCGAGAATAGGAGTCGAGATCTGGCGAATTTTGAATGAGAGTCTCGAGTATTTTGTTTTGCGCTCGACTCCATGTACTGTCCCTCGCATCTTTGAATCGCATGTTGCATGCAAGAAATTCCATTGTTGAGAAGTAGGTGCGGTCGGCTGTGACCTGAATGCTGCCATCGTCCTTCACAAGCCAGTGATAGATCGGGCCAAGAGAGAGAGACCCATCTTGTGCTGCCGTTATGGAACCGATCTTATCAAAACTGATAGATGAGAACTGGGCCATGATGTTTGACAAACTTGACAGAATGTTGAGGCGCAGTTCCTCGCGAGCTTCTGTGCCATTTGACTGATCAAACCAAACATGTGACGCAGTCTCCCCTGGTAGAAAAGCCATGCAGATGAATGGGGCATCAATTTCATTGTTGATGGTTGGGTCCCAGTCGTAAATCTCGGGAACAGGAGCTTGGGTTTTCTGTCGAACGAGACGCATTACCGCAACTTGTGATGCGAGGGCGTCTGCCGCTGTCTTTGTCACTCCGGCCCCCCAGCCTGTAGCAGGAACTCGTATCACGAGTTTGAGGGTGTCCAGCTCAATAATATGAACGATGTTGTACGAGCCAGAGACACGCTTGACGAGTTTTGCATTGTTTGTGGAAACACGAAGCACTTTACTACCAATGCGGGAGGCGATGGCGATGAGATGGTCTTCTGGGATTGTAGCAAGAGGGCCAAAGACTTCCGCGTCGAGCTCTGAGCCATTGTTTGAACTTATATCCGATGGCATTGACATTTTGACGACGTGAGTGAGATTCAATCCCAAAATGATGCTTTCTGTTGATGATAGAGAAGAAAGGAATACCAGGCACTAATGTGAGGTTAGAGGTTGCGTTGATGTCTGTTGGGTCTAGAAGTACTTATAGATGAATGGAGTCAATGGATCACCGCCTGCTTGGTGCAGTTCTAGCGCGAATAACTCTGAATATATAGCAAATATGCGCCGTGTTCACATCTGGCTATATTCTTTGTGCGTTGGCTAAATCTCAGGCTGGCCACTGAACAGGACATGGCTTGTATCACGTTCTCAAGCATAGATCCATGTTTGCTTCCAACTTAGCCTTGACTTTAGTATCGGTAGCATATCCTAGCCAAAAAAGGAACATACAAGGAAGATTTTGATGATTTGAACGATCACCAACCTGAAGTGAAGCTGGCTTTGAGGTCTGCTGGTGAGCGGAGAATATTGATGCCTGTTATAGTTACAGATCATCTCCCCTTCATGCAGGCAACCTGGAAATGCTTGAGATATTGAAGAGTTAAAGATACGGTACTTTGCCTTGATTCGGCGAATTTATGCCATAGGCTCATCTTACAAGTGAGGATACAAAGATCTTCTTGCTGGGCAAAACTGCCTATAGACCATTGAAGTAACAAGAGAAAGAAGTGGCAGGGTTAAACAGATCCTACCTATCCTGAAAACTTGGCTTGGTTCCGATAAGGCAAGAACTTCATACATTGACAAGTCCATGGCTCGGCACGCTTGCTGTGAGGGAAGAAAACGTAGATACCCTGAGAGGGATAACACCCGCGGCATGATATGGAGATCAACTCAACAGGCTTAAGGGGTTGCTGGGGCAAAAGTAACCTGACTCCCATCCATCAGGCAAAATTCCATACATTAAATGCCTATCGTTCTCCCTTCGCATGGTTAGGTGCCTAAGGTACCTACGCATCAGTGGATTCACTCCTCATTTGAGTCGCCCTCGTTGATACCTACTGCTGGTACTGTCATGTCACCACAAGGCAGGCACATTCACTGGCCTCCGTCGCCTGCCTAGATCAACGCAACTACCCACCTACCTTGAAATAAGGTGCAAGTCAAATGGCCTCTTACAAATCCAACATCACCATCAACTACAATATCACCAATACATGAGACTCTCGCGAACAAAACACTAGGTTCCAGGCCCGTCATGGAGAGAGATCAGAATCGCAACACCACAGCCGAAGATGCCATTCGCCTCGAGAACGGCGAGGCTCATCCCCTTCGCGAAAATCAAGTCCACAGCGGAAAGTATTTCGAGTTGCTCAAAATTCGCCGACAACTTCCAGTGTCATCAAAACGACAAGAATTTCTCGATGTATATCACCGGAACCAAGTGAGCATATTTTTTCTACGTTTCAGAAACTTCAACACTAATCCACAAAGGTCATCGTCTTGTCGGGCGAGACAGGGTCTGGTAAAACTACGCAGATACCTCAGTTCGTCTTGTTTGATGAACTTGCATCCACGAGCTTGATCGTCTGTACCCAGCCCCGGAGAATCGCTGCCATTTCAGTAGCTAAACGGGTTGCTGATGAGTTGGACGTCAAATTGGGTGAAGAGGTTGGATACCAGGTTCGCTTCGACAAACGTAATAAACGCGTCAAAACCCGTCTGAGCTACATGACCGATGGAATGCTATTACAGCTTGTAAAAAGCGATCTTCACATCAAGAAATACGTGGGTACTTACTGGAAAGTACCTGGATAGCACTGACGTCTCCTGAAGGGATGTGTTATCGTCGACGAAGTGCATGAACGCACATTACCAACAGACCTCCTTTTGGCCTTGCTAAAACGCGCCTTGCCTCATCGCCCTGATCTGAAGGTCATCGTTATGTCGGCTACAGCTAATGCAAACAAATTTCTCAACTACTTCGGCCAAGGAAGTCAATTCACAATACCTGGACGCTTGTTTCCTATCGATATCCGGTACCTCCAAGAAGCCATTCCCGATTACGCATATGTTGCTCTACACACGGCAAAACACATCCACGAGACTTCCGCAGATGGCGATATCCTCCTCTTTATGCCGTCTGTCAGTGAAATAGAAGATGCATGTGTCCAACTGCGAGGGGCTACAAAGGGTCTCGAGGTCCTGCCCCTATACTCCCAATTATCCAGGGCTGAGCAGGATAAGGTGTTTACGCGGTCTTCACATCGTCGATGTATCATTTCTACCAACATCGCAGAGGCAAGTGTGACTATCGATGGTGTTGTATATGTTATTGGTACGTCCGTGGCCCCTAACAGCAGCTGTTTCAATATCAGCCTTGCATTCGACAACTGATCAAGATTGCCAGATCCCGGTCTAGCAAAAGAGTCTCGATACAATCCCCGAATCGGTCTAGAGAGCATCTTTACTGCACCCATCTCACAGGCGTCGGCTCAGCAAAGGGCCGGTCGAGCTGGCCGCATGGGGCCAGGCGTGTGTTATCGTCTTTACACAAAGGACGACTTTGACAAGATCCTTCTTCCCACAACACCTCCATCGATCTTGTTAAACAACCTTTCTGATTTTGTCCTACAGCTTAAAGCTATGGGTATTTCTGATATTGAAAACCTCGACTTCCTCGACAAACCCGATCCTGAGGTCTTCTTCCGTGCTCTAGAAGACCTGCTCGCAATGTAATGCCACTGGGAACAAGCCCTTCTCAGTCCATCATACTAACTCATCCATAGGGATTACTTGGACAATAATGCAGAGATCACCTCGAAAGGCAGAATGGCCGCAAGTCTCCCGGTTCATCCAGTTTGGTACAACGCCATCGCGATGGCACACGAGCTAGGCTGCAGCCAGGAGATGTTAACTATTGCAGCCATCCAAAGCAACCAACATCCTATATTTCTACGTCCTCAGTCCTCCAAATCTGCCGCTGATCTAGCTCATCAGCGTTTCGCATGCCCTGTTTCTGATCACATTACTCAGCTCAACGCTGTACATGCCTATCTCCAGACTGAATCCCAGTCTATTCACCCTTCTGGTTCCGGAGTCGATATAAATATGCGGGAGTGGTGCTCGGATGCTTTTATTAGCATGAGTGCTGTTGAAGAGGTTAAACTTATCCGCAAGCAACTACGTAAATCCTTCGCCGATTTATTCAAAGAGGACCCGAAGGCCGGCAATTTGAAAAGCCCTGAGTACGACATCAATATTCGCAAAGCGCTCGCGTGGGCATTTTCTCATCAGGTGGCTTTCAGTGGTGGTGGGGACGATCTCTATAGAGTTCTTCACTTCAATTGGCACGCGGGCATACATCCCGATCGCAGCCTTCTAGGGATCAATCATCAGTGGGTCATCTACAACAGCTTTGTCGATATCTTTCAACAGCACCTCACAACAGTCACAGCTATCGAACCTGAGTGGATCATGGTCAGTAACTCCTTCTACTAACCTTGGCATGCCTGTATACTGACGAAACTCAAGGGTTCCAACAGTTTTCAAGAGTCGAGCTGGCGAATAAAAGAAAAAGAAGGAGATGCTGTGTACAGGATGCCACTTGCCAAAGCAGCGTTTGACGAGGCTTGTGACAATTATCGCAATTCCCATGATTTTAATATCACCTGAGCGACAAGTGACGAATATTTGAGTTCTTTGATGTTCAAATAGGGGTTAAAATAACCCCATTCGCATTTAATGTTCATACGAGGCTATGTTGGAAGGTTTCTCACACAGGCATTTTCGTGGGTGAATAGAAAATATAGCAATTGACAGCGGCAAATAATATCAAATGAATGTTGTTTATTAACGCCAGTATTCCACGTTGACTCTGATCTTGGTTCAATTTCAACCTCACAGTGACTTGAACTGAGCTGCCCGAATCCCAGTGCACTGATCAGAAATGTTCACAAAAGTAATTGAAAAAGAACAATCCACAGGCGAACGTCTTAAGGGTGCGGAAAAAGGAATGAGAGAGAAACGTATGAAGAGATTGCAGTATAAAGCTGGATATTAAAATCCAGCTCGCCTTGTAAGGTCATGGAACAACCCCCTGACCTTCTCAAGCCTTCTCGAATAGAGCAGGTACTGTTGCATTCTTCTCCCTCTTCTTCTTTTTATCCTCCTTCTTTGTTGACTTATTCAGCCTCTTCCACATCGAGCCAAGACGTCTCGGTCTTTTCAACGATTGTATTTCGTTGCAAGATGTAGGGATGACATACATTTCATCCTCGTTCTCGGACCTGAAAAGGGCGATTGCGCCGTTTGACCTTTGCCATTCCTGTTCTTTGACCATGGACTTGCTGACCTATACATACATCAGCTCTGGCTACGTAACTGCAACCCGTATCCGGCGAAAGCTCTTACCTGTCGCCCAAATTGCTGCCATTCGCGAAAGCGATCGAATTCTCCCCATCCCAGGCCTACGCCTCTTGGGCGATCGTACCGCACAGTGTGGCTACGAGAAGTTGCTGATAGGAGTTCGGGGTCCATATTGGAGAGAGAGGTGAATGTTGGGGCGTGAGAAATGATAGCCCGTTTCTGGTCATCAGGCCCAAGCAAACGGCCGGGTTGCCAGTAGAGCTCTGGTGCCTCTTCTGAGTCTTCCAACTCGAGCTCACCCCGAGCCCCCTCATGTGTTATCTTCTGCTGGGTGAGCGAGATGGCTCCGGCAGGTTTCTCCTCTCCAGGGAATACTTTGATGGCCAAGCCAGATGCTTTGATTCCGCGTGGGAAAAGGGAGGCTGTGCTCATGGCAGGAGAATCAATTGGCTCCGTTTCGTCCAACTTTTTGATCTTTCGCGTGTGGGAACCACTCGGTTTATCTGCGTGAGTCCATTGCTTCTAGCCAAGGCGTTCACACAGGGCGAGTTGCGCCAGAGGAACTTTCTCGAACTCCTTTCCCCCGTCAATTTTCTGGACGTAAGTGAAGAGTTCTCCTGTTGGATGATTACTAGCTACCAGTGGGCGTAGTGTTTGGCGTCCATCAGGAAGTGTCATGACCATAGGTCGATTGATAACACCAATGTTATAGTATTTGGCTTCCGCTGATGCCATTGCAGTCATGAAATCCTCATGGTACTGCTTGGTGTCGTTCTCGCTGTGTTCCCATGTGTTGGGCAATGGGGCAAAGGCGCTATCTGGTGATTTGCCTGTATCCATCAAAGGTTCAGGGGATCTCATGATTGTTGGCACTGAAATTGAGGCAACACCCAGACTTGAAGGCGGAAGGGCAATGTAAGCCTGCTCCGAAACCACTGGCTGAGATCTCTTGACTTTTTTCTTAGTCCTTCTCGGTGCACGTGGAATTCGTACATGTTGAATGCGAGCTCGTTTCTTCCAGTCGTTAGTATCTACCATCCGTAGATCACCTGCCCGAGACATGAACACTCACAGAGATAGGGCAAACTGGACCAGTCCTTATGCTCACGCCTTGTACAAACTTGCGGTTGAGGCAAGACCTTGCGTTGTTGGCCTCGTCCCCGGATTCGAAATCAACACGGCACCAGCCTTCATATGGTCCTTCAACCTCTGTTTCTGGCCAGTGGACTTCCGCAGAGAAGCCATGCTCGCGCAGCAAATCTTCGATGTCTGATTTGCTCGCGCTGCTGCTGATGTCCCAGATGCGAATACAAAATCCTTGCCCATCGGGGTCGTTGTATTCTTTGCGGTATCGCTTCCCACGTGCCATGTTCACGATCTGTAGGCGTTTGTCGAAAGGGGAGAGGAGTGGTGTTGTTTGGGTTGGGAAAATCGATTGTGGGGGTAGAGATTCGGATGTGTTGATTTGGCGAATTTATTGTGAAAAGGGAGTGTTTATTTGGGTGTGCGCTCTTTGGCTCCGTTCCCATAATGGCTATATTTTACGTGTTGCCTCTCTGCTTTGATCATCACCTGCCATCACTGCCAGCCTGGGTTGCTTTATATAAGCAGATGCTCAAGTTCCCACTGCGCATACCAAGACTTGTCTCGGCTCGTAAATGACAGTCAACTAACTTTCTTTAGTCTTTTATCTTGGCAGGTTGGAGTTCCCATAATCATAGCTGGTTATGGTGCTGAGTTGTTGGCTTCCCTGGCCCTGCTCGATGCAGCCCTCTTGGGCTTCTACATAACTAGATCGAAATATGAGGATCTGATTTTTGAGAATGGCCATATCTCGGTTTCTACGCGACAGACTTTGCGTACGTCAAGAGGCTGTTGTTGCAGAAGTAGAAACAAGCACTGAGGGTATTTGATACTTGGCTGTTATGACATGAATTTGTTAACAAGGCTCACCGCCAAAGGAGATATCATGTTTCTGATTCCCAATCACAATAATTATCAATCTGGCCATGTCGATCTCGTTTCTACCAGTACAAACATTCGACAAACATAGTGCCAACATAAGTCAGTCGGTCGTAATAGGGGTTACCTGAACAAAGTCACTGGACTCGCAAAACTTAAACAAAACGCTCTGTTGACGCCAGTGCCTAGCCTTAGATCCATGATTCTATGATACACATGGGCAGTTGCATATCCCATTTTCCTCGACCCTTTCACTAAATAACATACTTGTTTGGGTCCGCAACCTTTCCTAGACTCATCCCGAGCCTGGAGGTAGAACAAAATATCGCAACCAAGTCAAACTCTCACCTCTGCGGCGCTTTACTCTCATGTAGCTTTAATTGAGACGTTGAAAACGCACGGCGCATTGAATCAACGCCGGGGTACTATTCTGGTCGTGGTCTCTTTGCTCCGTGAGGGTTACCCCAATCGCCGCCGCCGCCTTGGTTCTGGTTGAAGCCAAAACCAGGGTTGAAATTAGGAGGCATGCCTTGAAAGCCTGCAAGATGTTAAAACTGTACTCTCAGAGTCTCACTTCTCGAGTATTGGATATGATCACTTACCAGGCATGCCGTTGGGGCCCATCATGCCCATGCCCATGTTTCCGGGCATACCCATAGGCATTCCACCCATAGGGTTCATACCCATCATGCCTCCTCGGCCTCCTCGCATACCACCAGGTCCTCCTCGCATGCCGCCTCCCATCATGCCACCCCGGTTGTTGAAGCCAAAGTTGCCTCCGCCACCACCCATAGGGTTGTTGTACCCACCGCCCATGTTGTTGTTAAAGCCACCCATGTTGTTATTGTTGTTGAAGTTGCGGTTGTAGTTGGTTGGGTTCATGCCACCACGATTGTAGCCGCCCCTTCCTCGGAAGCCACCACCAAAGTTACCACCCATGTTGTTTCCACGGTTGTTGTACGGAACTGGTGGCGCATGGCTCTGGTCCTTGCCTCGAGCTGGCGCATCCTTTGGGAGGGTCTTGAAAGGGTTGATGCTGGGGTTCCAGTAGGCTAACGTGACCTTTTTCGGGATACCTTGACCCTCAGCTACGACCTGCTCGATGCAGTGTTTCGTAGCTGTTGACGCTTGAGGCGAATAGAATTCAATGTAAACTTGTCTGCAGATACGGTCAGCCGTCTTTGTCTCGGTGCTCGGTCGTCTAGACTCTATACCCCTTGCTTTTGCCATTGACTTTGTGCTCGCTAAACGTTATGTCCTTGATCTCGTCTTCGCAATCGGCTTCGCGCGCCCACTGTCGAATGTCGTCATCGGTGTTCCACCAATTTAACTCCGATACCATCAAAGAAGTTGTAGCAGCTTGATCCACTGGTCGACCGTCCTCATCCTGCTTTCTCTTAATTCCTTGTTGAGAGCCACCGAGGGCTTGGCTGGATTCACGGCGTTGGTCTGCGTGGGAGTCTTGAGTGTGGTGCTCGTCCATATTCTGGTCATCGTGGCTATCTTGTCGGTGCTCATCTTGGTGAGACTCATGGTTGTTGTTGTCGCTCTGCTGGCCGTCTTGCTGCTGGTCATTGCCTGCATCGCCGTAAATATCGATCTCGAAATCTTCTTCGGCCATTTTAGCTGACTTAGTGCACCGTGCACAGATTAATGCCGAGTAGAAGAAGTCTGGAGAGAAACTGAAATGATATGATCAAATGTGATAATTAGGCTGCGAGTTACAAGAGTTTGGCCTCGGGTCTTTACACATAAGTAATCAGCCATTGAACTTCCCATCGCTATCAAGCACCGACCCCAAGGCACAGATGCCCCGTATACAGGAAAGAAACAAGATGAACTGGACTGGAAGCTTGCAATACGTACACTCCTCGTAACAAGACTGGGGCCCTAGTATAGGTATAGCCTCCTGATAAGATGGTCCTTGACTCAAAAGATGCGATCTGAGGACGAAGCTCTGTGCTTGCAATCCTCACTGTCTAGCTCCTGATATACCCCGAGCAACGCTCAGATACAGATGGGGAGCAATGGAATAGAGGATGCCGTCAGCCCGATCAACCTCCTTCTTTCCTATCCTTCTGTTTAGCGATCGAATACAGTCGGATCGTTCGCCAGAGATCGTCTGAACTACAGAGTATCTGTCCACGTGAGAGTTTGGATAATCAGCCAGTAGGGTCGATCGGTTCGAGCTAGGTTGAGTTTCGTCACTGATTCGGATCAGGCTCTAGCGACTTTCACCAAGCTCTGTCGCGAAGCAAACAAGCCAGTAGATCGATCAAAGTACTAGGTCAATAAGCGATAAAGTACTTTGAACCACTAACGGTTAGTGTCGCGATAAGTAGAGCAGAAGAAATAAAATATGGAAGAAAGATGGCGGATGACGGAAGATGTAGAAGAGAGCTTCACGCTTTCTTTTCTGGGGAAGAGCTTCGCAAGCAAAAGCACTGCAACTCGCGGAAGTTGGCGTCTACCTTAGCTAGCGTCTTCGCGTCTGGGGGAAAGGTCAGCTAGGTATCCGTAGGTCAGGCACGGAAACACCTTCTCCACATGCAACTTGGCTCCACCAGCTGCCAGGTCCCCAGGGCCTGGATCATCTCTCGGCCCGGGCTATCCAGCAATTGGACGTTGCGGCCAGGGCGGGCTGTGGAAATCTGGCCTTGCCCCCAATTGGAAATTAGGTAAGGCAATTTGTTAACACGTCGCATAGAGAGAGGAGAGGCCAGAGAGCTGTCCAGTCCAGTCCAGTAGCTAGGGATCACCAAAAAGAAGTCCCCTTTAACTTCAACCTTATCCTCGACCTCAACTCTCCTTTCTTCAACCCACCCCCCGCGACACCGACTCAATTCGACGACTTCTCATCCGCGATACCATCTTCGTTCTTTCTCGCCACGTACTTTTAATATCTCTCACCTTATACTCCCACCACAACCACATACAAAATGTCCGACCAGGTTCAAGAGATCCTCGAGGTTCCCTCCGAGTTCGTCAGAGATGGTGTTCAATTCGTTCGACGATGCACCAAGCGTACGTTGACTATGGCGCATTTAACTTTTGCTTCTCTTGCTAACAAGCTACTCTGCAGCTGACCAGAAGGAGTTCCTGAAGCTTTGCCAGGCTGTTGGCGTCGGTTTCCTCATCATGGGCGCCGTTGGCTACGTTGTCAAGCTGGGTACGATCTCCACTTACCTCTCCACACACCCTGCAACCTCTAACAGAATTACAGTGCACATTCCCCTCAACCACGCTCTTGTGGGTAGTGCATAAACGATCAGACGATCAGCCGATGAAGAGAATCTGGATGGTGGCGACTTGGTTATCCAAAAACCCGCACGGCGGGAACGAGGGCGATCATACAACTTTCTTGCTGCGAGTACGGTCAATGGGGCGGAGTTAATGGAATTATGGTGGGCACGCGACACACTTCTACGCTGGAGTTCCACCGAACGCCACGAGGATGGGAAAGGAAGATGTGCTTTCACGTCCAAGGTGCTGACTACATGGGATTGAGAAATATCCTTTACGATGAAGCCGGCTAAGGTGATCAATTGTACAAATATACTAATGCTATTTCTGCAATCTTGACTACTCCATCCCATATGTCGAATTATGATATACCTCAGGCTGTTCCTTGAGCACGTCGTTAACGCTGTGGCCCAGTGGCGGCTCTCCCTCGTCCTCGATATTCTCATTAAACGAATGCAGAGTACAGGTTCCACGTGCCATATTGTAACCATTCCAAGCGGAAGCTGTCAAGGGTGTTAGCTCAAGTTCGAGATAGACATGTGAATAACGTACCAACGAGAAGAGGAGCAGTAGGGTGCCAGCTCGCATCTCGAACACAAGTGCCCCAGTTGCCTGGGTCATCGAAATGGTAGAAGCGATGTCGATTATCCATCTGTCGTGTGCGCATTGTTGCTTTCTTGACATCCACTACTCCAGCCAAGCTTGCATCCATATTCCAGATGTACACTTTACCATCAGTGCTTCCCGAGTAAACATATCTTGAATTGGTTGACGCCGGAGGTGAAAAGTGACAACGAATAAGAGTTCGAAGCACCTTGTGACCTCGGAAAGTAACAAGTGAGTTATCGTGGGGATGGACGTCCCAGTCCTCGTCATCATAAACGCCACCTCGGTAATCGAAACCGCTGGTGCTCACAGTCCGGGTGGGGTCGAGCTCGGTATATCGATCAGTCGACATGGCCATTCGAAGGTCCCAAAGCTTCATGCTCTGGTCCTTGCCGTTACTGAGGATATATCGACCGTCGCCCTTGCTGTCGATGTAAGTCAGACCCTCAATGTGACCGACGAAAGCGCCAGCTTCTCGGTTATCACCCATGCTTCGTCGATCCCAAACCTTGATCGTCGTATCGTCGGAACCTGAGTAAAGAATGTGCGGTGACATCTTGTCTGCGAAACAAACAGCATTGACATCATCCTGGTGACCCCGGACATGGTGTAAGACTGTTCGTGACTCGATATCATATACAACGATTGAAGCTGCACTTGTTCCAGCCACTAGCTCTCGTCCATCGCCTGAGAATCGAACAGACCAGATACCAAAGCCACGTCGTCCGTGCCACCCTTGCCGAGGAGGACCATCATCCAGATCCAGTGTATAAGGGTCTCCGGTATCGTTTGGATCTGTCGGGGCTATCGAGACCATGGTCTGAATGGAAGTATAAGCAAGCCATTTGTTGTCAGGGCTCAGAGATGCATCTGTGAGTGTCCACTGTCCCCAGGGGTATGCGACTGTCTTGTAGTGCTTCCAATCATATGGACTAGAGGTGTCGTACATTCGGACTTTGAAGTCTTGTGAGCAGGCGAAAAAGAAGTTGCCATCATCAGAGAATTGGCCGGAGTATACTGGGTCGTCGAAATGAACAATCTTTTCCGCTCTCGTTTGTGGTAGTAAGCTCTGAATTAGGCGTCAGCTAAACAAATTCTCAACAGTCAGGTCGTAGCATCTCATACCTGGTTAATGAGAGCATTATTCCGTGACCGGTCCTCCCGGTTTCCCAGCGCCAACTCCCGCTCCAGCATCCTCGTGGCAAGACGCTTCTTGGCTCTGAAGTTGTAGTCATTCGCACCAAACACTCCTGATCGCATAAGTTTCATGCCCTGTTCACTGGGAATTTGAGGGAAACGGTTCGGGTCCTTGGGTGTTCGACGTCTCCTATAAGGCCAGTGCAGAAACTCTTCGTCGTCGCCAGGGTTGTCCTGGAATAAAACACTGGTGAGGTCCGGGTTTTGCATCAGGGCCACGAGTTGTCTTCTTGTTAATAGTCCAGTTCTGGCACCAGCTATTCAATCCTCATGTGTCAGTTATATATTTCCATATCGATGAAGTTGTGGCGAGACTTACTCCGCACTATATCCAAAAGACGTTGCGCACCATCCTCTCCCTCAATTACCTCGTCCTCTTCGTCTTCATCACCGTCTTCTACAAGGACTTCAAATTGAATACCGCCATCAGCATCTAGGCGATACGCTCCAGAACAATAGTAGACGAATTGAGTGGCATTGGGACTTACCTTGGAAAGCATCTTCGTCATCATCTTCATCGGGCTCATCCTCGAAATCAGGATCTTCCTCTTCATCTTCATCTTCCTCGTCGTCCTCTGCATGATAGTACCACACTGGCCCTGGTGAGGATTCGCCTGCACTTTCATTGGGGTTCTCTTGGTCATTTTGGCTCTCAGAATGGGGCTGTGAGCTCCTCTCTCCCTCAAGAGGAGCCATGTTTGCTTTGGGTGAGATTTCGCAAACCGCAGATCCGAATGATACAAGATAAAGAGTGCTTGCTAAGCACGACGGCTGGGAGGGGCGATACGGTGAAGGTAGTTATTCGGTGTTATCGGGATGATAATAATCAGATAATTCACAGGATATATGGAGATTTCGGATGAGATGATAGTTCACAACGGTCACAAATTGCTGATAAAATGTCAATGATGCGATGAGCTCGATGCTTTGAGGTGTCGTTGGGTGAAGTTAATGGGGAGCTCCCGGAGCTTGTGACGACATCGCCGGAGATAAGATAAGGCCCGATACGCTACCCTGGACTTCCGGTCTGGGATGGTAACACATTCCCTCATAGTTATTGTATGAAGCATGAGATGACTATCAGATAATTGATATCTGGCATGATTTAAATTTTATCTCTTTTAGCCAACTGACCCTAGATCAGTACTATATGTCATTCATCGAGTTGTCCAGAATATAGATGACATTGAGAAGAAATCCACTTTCAAATTTCTTGACCGTCATCATTTGGTGTAAGTGTGCAAATTGAGACATGACATGGCGAAGAACCGTAGTAAATAGCATAGCCCAAGGCATTGGAATTGTGACCACATTGAGATTGTAGGACGATGGTCTTACATACAAACTGAAAGTAAAATCGAGACCAGAATGGTTACTAAGACATCGTTCAGCCGTTATCTCCCACGGCAGTATCGAGATGCAAACTTTAATATCAACCGCTTGTAATCCAAATATAGCTACCTCGTCTAGTCGATCAGCCGGGAACTTTCTCTTGCCATTTAGCCCCCTAAACAAAGCCTGGCTCAGTTTTATGTAGTCTGGCCAGAGCATCAACCTATCCATTGTCCTGAATTTGAGCATCGTCTTCAGGAAGAACGCCGTTGAAGTAACCTGCCACTAACCTATGTCTAGCTTCTCGTATAAGATCCGCCATAATCGATAGTTGTCTAGTTTGTCCAGGCCGTTTCGAAAACTTAGTGGGCAGTTAGTCGAGATGTACGTTGACAGGTCTTAGCTGTGTCTCGTCTAGCAGAGCGGGAACAAGGACGTCACGACAGAAGAGCATTCCTAGGTACCTTAACGACTTGGACACTTGACTCTCCACTGCGGTCCCGGGCTAGAACTAGTAAATTTATATTTTGGTAGAAACATCATGTTGCGAAGAGATGGCCTCAGCTATTTAGATCCTCCTCACTTGAGTACCATGACTGACGAATTTAGGAAAATTTCAAGATGATATCAGCCTTCTATAAGCCAAGAATACGAGAGGAGATAACTCCTGTCTGCTCTATCGAAAACGTCTTCTCTGCGTCTATGTTCCAAGAAACAACTGCGCGGTCAGGGTCCAAATTTCTGCCGACATCCGATACTTGGCAGCTTGGACTGGAGATTTCAATGGAGATCTAAGATTCTTCTGGTGGAACAAATTGGTGCCACGATTTCAAAACGGGTGAAGTATCCGTACTAGGAGGGAGGCCTTTTGCCAAGATCATGAGACTCGTTATTAATCACAGTCGCCCTGAGGAGCACTGTCAGGAATTTGCTTTTGCCATGTAGCAAATTAACGAGTGGTGTTGTTTTTGAGAATTGTTAACGAGCGACCCCTGTTTGGCGGCATGGAAAAGTCACAATGGCCCCTGAAGCTTTGGTAAAAATACTTGGCCATTAGGCAGACTTGGGCTTAGCGTGGCTCGGCTGGGGCCACGTCGCCGTAGATGAGACCCTTGTAGCCATTATTTTAGGCCTAGCCTTCGCTGGGGGACTGCAGCTGTTGGGAAGGGAGAGTCCCGTCTCCTTGTTCTATACGGAGCGGATCTCCCATTTTTGATTTGCCCCTATGTAATGGAAATCTAGGCCAAACCAAACCAATCCAGATCATCCAATTCAATATCAAACCTCGACCCTCATTCCAGTTTCAACTTATCAACTCCTTTTTGTCTCTGAAATCGAAGCAACCAAGTCAGCGTCTAGCTTGATCTTTGCACGTTGCTCACTTTTGTAGGAGATTTGCTCTGCCTTCTTTGGTGTCAGTCAGCATCAGCATCAGATCGTCACTCCCTCGTCGTCTCCGCAAAGTCTATTCTACCTACGTTACACGCGACCAACCGTCACAACGCAGACGGCTACAAACTTAGGCATCGATCAGCCGGTTCATACAACATCTTGAACGTCCCTACCACTTGCGGCTGCGACGCCGACAGGTTTTGCGACCACCCACCGTCCTCTCTATCCTGCTACAACTCAATAAGAACGATTACCGCTGCCCATCATGAAGATTCGAACCAAGCACTCGTCTTTGATCCTCCTTCTCCTACCCGCCGTAGCGAGCGCGCTCTCCTCTCACGACATTGCAGACCTACCTGCCCCTGTCGCAACAATCCCAGAACAAACCGAAGTCCTCCCTGAGGCCGGCGTGAAGCGTCATGATATTCCTACAAGAGATGCCCCAGTCGATGGCAAGGATGGAAAGCCTCACCACGGACCGTTCATCGACACAGATGATCATAGAAAGATAGCCCCTGTGGTTCCCGATGCTGGATCTAATGCTGCAGCTGGCCCCGGAGCTGGCACCGATACTGTTCCCGTTGCTCGTAACGAAGCTGAGGCTGGAGCTGGAGCTGGAGCCGCAGCCAAGGCCGACCCCAACACAGAATCTCTCCCTGCGTTGAAGGGTCGACCCAACGACCCGACAATTGTTGATGGCGAAAAGATCCCAGAAAGCAACGATGGTGTTATGTTCGACACCAACCGAGCCCATCCTCAAGAAGGCACTACTGGCACCGAGGGTGGCGTGACTGAGCGGTACAAGGCCCGAAAGCTTGAAGAGGATCTTGCAGGCGAGGAGACCTTCAGGAAACCCTCACCACCTAAGGAGGCGCCCCCACTGCCACATAGTGAAGAGGAGAAGATTCGTGCTTCTGGAGACAAGGCCGTTGTGCCTGATGCTGAGGCTGGCAGTGGAAAGACAGAAGATGTGGTGCCCAAGCCTGCTAAGCCTGTCGTTGGCAATGACGAAGATCATGATTATACTGCTGGATTAGAGGTGAGTGACAATCGCTGTTAATTCCATCCCAGCATAAAGGCTAACAACTACGTAGAAACCAGCTGACCTTCCTGACCGACCTATTGGACAAAACAAACCTGTGCAGGATTCTGCAAAGACTGAACCCGTCGATTTGAGCCGGGGAACTACACACGATGCACACCACGATGAAGAGAGCATCATTCAACCATTCCACTCCTTTATACTATCCTTCACCATGATCCTGGTCTCCGAGGTTGGAGACAAGACCTTCCTGGTTGCGGCTCTCATGGCCATGAAGCATGACCGTATGGTTGTCTTCACTGCTGCCTTTGGTGCTCTTCTTGTCATGACTGTTCTCTCAGCCGTTTTGGGCCACGCTGTCCCTACTTTGATCCCCAAGCGTGTGACCAGTTTCCTCGCTGCGGGCCTCTTCTTTGTGTTTGGCGCCAAGCTCATGCGGGAGGGTATGCAGATGGATCCCAACGAGGGCGTCTCTGCTGAAATGCACGAGGTCGAACAGGAGCTTGCAGAGAAGGAGAAAGAAATGGGCCGTAAGCGAGGCAACTCTGTCTCCGCACACACTCTTGAGATGGGTATGAATGGCAACGGTAACGGCAATGGCCGAAGGTCTCGACCCAGCAACCGCCTCATGTCGCCTCCTCGATCACCTTCTCAGTCTCCTGTACGAGATGACCGCTCTGGTTCAGGTGCTGTTTCCAGCGCTGTACAGGGTGCTACAAACCTCTGCTCTCTGCTGCTCAGCCCTGCTTGGGTTCAGACCTTTATCATGACCTTCCTTGGCGAGTGGGGTGACCGAAGTCAGATTGCTACTATTGCCATGGCTGCTGGTCAGGACTACTGGTGGGTGACACTCGGTGCTACCTGTGGCCATGCTATTTGCACTGGTGTTGCTGTTATCGGCGGTCGAGCAATTGCAGGCCGTGTTAGTCTGAAAGTTGGTAAGTTTACATCTCGTAACTATTCTCGAAATCTAGAAACTAACATCCTCCAGTCACTGTCGGCGGTGCCACTGCTTTCCTCATCTTCGGCGTTATCTACCTCCTGGAGTCTCTTTACAGCTAGAGGTGCTATTCACAAATGCCAAAATTTCTTTTCTCTCTTATAGACTATGGTTCACGCAACTGTCGTTATTTGAGACTATTTGCCTATTACTTGACGCCTACCTCGTTGTAATATCTAACGACCTGTCTCTTTTTCAAACAAACACATAAAGGGACCAACATTCCCTGGCGTATTCTGCTGGGACTACATCTTTTGTACAATTATTGCGGCTGAGACTATCTCAGACTCTTTCGGTTCAGCGCACACTGAACCCCTTTGCCAGGACGTGGCTTGAAGGATGGATAAAGGAATGGAAAATAGGAAAACAGATGCAAGGGCGACAGTGCAGAAAGGGGGTGGTAACTGTTCGTCTGTTGTGTATGAAGTAGAGGGAGTTACATGCGAGAAGCTGGGCGGAACGAAAAGGGACGAGCTATGTAAACCGTTATGAGCCTTATAGGGGCATACCTCAGGCCTGTTGGCGATGAAGTATTAATGTACGATGAAGCATTGCAAGACAATATTGGTGCGCTTTGTGCAAGAAACTGATCATTTGGCTTATATGTATTGACTGTGAGCGTCATCGACTGAAGGCTTGTCAGCGATGCTGCCCCGTTGTAAGACACGACATTTGAATCACAGCAAATCACTCTATCCCTTGCCATTCATTAACATTTGCCAAAGGTATATCCACCGTCCTTCCTCAACCAGCGAGCAGACTTGAGCACCCTTTCAAATCCATCTTGAGCCTCCCTTTTCGTTCATCTGACCACATCGGCAACTCAAACACAACTCGGACAACTATCTCGGATAGAAGCAGGCAAGACCCTACTCTCGATACGTTCGGCAACTTCGACAAATCTTCCCCTTCCGCGACCCCATGTTTTTTGAAAGACTCCTTTGGTCTTCCTCCCCCTTCCACAAGCACAAAACAATAAAAACAACATAGTGAGAAATAGATAAAAAAGCAAGAAACAAAACAAAGGTACTGCATACCCTCCAAGGGATAGCCCGTCTCCTAAATCTTCAAGGTCGGGCATACATATGTGGTATCTGACAGTCATCTTCAAACATCTTGATGGCGTACTCTCACAGATCGTTACTGAATCAAACAAGTTCTCGCGACATGTAACATTGGACTGGTGTTTTCGAGATTTCTATGCTGGAAAAGACTCGCTTCCTTCGAACGTTATCTTTCGTCATTCGTAATCTACCCCATTATATCAGGGAGTTTTGGGGTATCGTAGTCTGACGCTTAATCCTCATCCTCTTCGTTAATTGGGGCGGGTGTTCGTCGCTCCGTACGCCTCTTGGGTCGTCGATGTCGCGAGCTGCTGATGTTGCTCGCTGAATCGTCAGGCATAATGTCGACATCGTCGAATGCCCAGTCTTCGTCGCTGCCTGGTTCACGATCGTCGTCCCCAGCCCAAGCTGGGCGTTCGTAGCCTGATGCCTGCGAGTTGCCAGAGTTGGGGCCTGACAGAACATCAATACGACGGCGATTTTGCAAGTTTTGCATCAATCCGGCACCTCGTTGGCGTAGCGCATTGCGGACCACTTCAGCCTTTTTGTGTAATTTCTCGAAGGCATCTTCCAGGGTCTCCATGCCCTTGTAGATTTCTCGCTCAATCTCTGCAATGGCAGCCATTTCCATCTCCTCATCGTTCGAAACAGCCTGTCGGGATCCAGGGATCCCAGTAGTGTTGACGCTAACAAATGAGGCCGGTGTCGTGCCTCTTGAGTAAACCGAGAATGGAGTTGTGTTTCTCGAGCTAAACGAAGAAGAAGCTCGGGGCCCAGGGCTCATCGTTCGCGTATTGTAATAAGCACTGGCAGGGGTAGGACCCCGCGACTCAGAATGAGGTGTATGTGACACATCGTCATCAGCTCCAGACCAGAGGAAGCCATCGAATCGACCAGAAGTGAGAATCTCCCATTCCGAATTGTTAATGTTGGAAAGTGCAACCAGTAGGTCGTGAGTATGTGGGTTCTTGACCAAGTACGTAGCCGACTCGGCATCTCGTGGTGCCTGAGACAGTCTGTAAAGCCGCTGTAGTGCAAGGCCAGTCTTGATGAGCAAGTCTGTTCGAGGTCGATGTCCTGGCGTGGGAGCACGAACAGATGACCGCAACTCCTTCGAGCCGGTCATAATAGCGTTGAAGTAAGGGCGGTCCTCAGCTTCAAGGTTCGTAAGGATAGCAAAAGACAAAGTCTCATCGTCAACGTCCTGAGGAGGTGGCACTGGGGTTTCTCCAGTGTTGGATAGCCATCGGTCGACAGCAGTTCGGACCTTCTTCGACTGACGAAGGTAGTGCTCTCTAAACTCCTCCGCAATATCTGGATCTAGTTGGACGGGTGATGCAGGTCGAGGAGGTACATCACCGGAGATTTCGGCAGCCTTGGTGCCGACTTCGGCAAGATCGAAAGGAGGCCATTGCGGGAGTTCAATGCGGCCACTCACCCACTCCAAAACATCGCCCCAGTTGAGGCCATCATGAATTTCGTGAGGGTTATCGCACATAATACAAGTGCAGCCATGAGGAGGTAGGTCGCGAGAGAAGACGTTCTCGAGGCGGTCTAGCAACCTACGAGCCACGGAACGATGGCCAGTAGCGACAGCAATTGAGCCCTGCTTACCGAGTACTGTGTTGTACTGGTCGAGCAGGTTATGAAATGGAGCAAATAGGGTGTCCGTACCGACCATAGGAGGGTTAGAAGGGCGTGTGCCGTTTTGGCGAGGCAGCACAGAGAGAAAGTTTTTAGGGGCTGTATAAGCTAGACCACCGTTTTGAAGCAAATAGTCCACACGCGGCATATCATGCACGTCGAGCGCAGGCGGCGGGGGTGGAGGTGGAGGAGCAATACCAAAAGCGGATGCAGGCGTCGCCGTTTTTGAATGCAAGTTTGAGTCAATGTCTTGAACGTCGACAACGGAAGGGGTCTCGCGTTTGGTATCGGGGTATCCGTGAGGGAAAGGAGCCTGGGTTGGTGTCCTGGGAGATGAATCTTGAGCGCTTGAAGGAGAGGAGGCGCCATCTACCTCATACTTTCTGCGACTTCGGGTAGAGGAAGTTCGATGTACTGAGCGATGGGAGGAACTAGATGTTCGCGAATCAGAGCGGCGAAGCTTGTCTCCAGGACGAATCGCTGAGGATTTGACATAGGTAGCTTGGCTCGAGGATCCAGACCGGCGACTAACTCGGGAGCGTTCCTCGTGTCGTGATGCTGATCGTGAGTGACCGGAATGTCTCGACTTTGGCTTATCGAGAACAGATTCTTCGGTCTGATATTCTTCTGTTGGTGTCCGAACTCGAGGGGTTCCACTTCTGGGTGTTTCAACCTTTGGTGTTTCTTCTTCGGCAGGTTCCTCTCTCAAAGGCTCATCTGGCGTCGTCTCATACACAGTAGGCTCTTCGGCATCCTTGTCCGCATCCAAGTCAGTTCGGGGTGGACTAGGTGGCGCATCCGGCTTGCTGGTATCGGATCCCTTGCGAGATTTCGACGGCTCAGAAGCCGCAACATCTGTGGGTTCAGGAGTAGGGGGGCCGGGGCTATGCTGAGGAGGCAATGCTAAAGAATCGCGACTAACGATAGCCTCCTTACTGTGTGCCTTGCTGAAAGATGGGTAAGGCCTTTGAATGCGCTCAGATAGAAAGGAAGTGGCTGCTGTGGACGTTCTAGCCATGTCCGAGCTGGCCAAATCGCTGGTCGAGGCTGTGCGGTGATGGCGGCGCTGATGCTCATCGCTGTCCCTTTCCTTGCGGTGACGATGGCGACGACTGGATGTGTGAGAAATAGTATCGCTGCCCTCGCTGAGCTTGCTTCTAGAAGGTCGTGAGGTGCGATGTCGGCGACGCTCGGGGTCCTTATCCTTTTCTCGATCATGATCTCGGTCGCGGTCTTTGCGGTCCTTTCGTTCGGATTTTGAGCGGCGTATCTTTTCTTGCGATCGCTCATCGGCGGGGACGTCGATGTCTTGGTCCTTGGAGGACATGGTGGACCATGAAGCTGTGGTGAGAGTATCTTATGTGGGTGTTATTTCGTGGTTAATATCGCTGTCGTCGATAATTCCAAGAAGGGCTCAAGAAAGCGGTCAAGAATAGTGGGCGCAAAAGAGGGAGTCGACAGTGATATCCCGTGGAATGTCAGAATAAAAAAAGGGAAGATGATGCAGAGTGAGATTCGGGCTCTCGAGAAAGAATGATAGTATGTTGGGCAATCCTGGATAGCGAAGCAAAGCAATGTCGTGGAGAGGGGAGGGTTGTACTGTAGAAGGTGAGGTGAGTCGCAATTGGCATTGAAGGGAAGCTAAGCGCAGTGTCAGGCTCGGCTTGGTTGGTTCCTTCCCTGCAGCCAGTGCAGCCCAGAGTCTCAGGTCAGGTTCCGGTCTGAATCAGGCACTAAGGCAGGAGAGAAGGAACCCCTCGAGACGTGGACTTTTCTTTCCACCTTCCTATTCTTCACCGTTAGAAGCACGGTCGATAATATGATTCAAGCCATTAATTCAATATTTCCTGATTTAGAGTCGCCTATTTAGCTCACCAGCCCGCGATTTAGGAGTTCGTTTAATAGAGGATCGGGGAGCTTGGACTTCCATTGGCAAGGGATTTAACGGTGATCAGCCAACAGTGACACTCACTGTATTTCGTAGGTACCGACCGGTACACCCTTGTAGGATTCTTCAAAGATGATGTCAACTCCTGGGCTTTAATAACTCCCATGAAACAAGTTACAATCACAAGCAATCATCGCCCGTTTCTATAATAATCCGTCACCAAACCAACACGGCCACCACGCATACGCAATCTTTTTTATAGCACAGCCTCGAATGCTAATTGACGCTCCCGTGTATCTTCCCGTGTATCTTCCCGTCTCCCGTGTCCCCAAACTCTTGTGGAGCCCGCCTTAGGTTTGTTCAACAAAGCCAAAAGCCGGGCGGGACACATCCAGTAAAGAGATTTACAGGGGACGAGACGGGAGGTTGGAGCCTGGGCATTGGCTGACGACCAACCACCTTCAACGGCTTAACCGCCTGCGACCCCCTGGTAGAAGGATATGGAAGCCGTCATTAAGGCATGAGAATATTCGATAACTGCTCCAAAGCTAAGATCATGTTCTCGAAGTGCAAAATCATGCTAAAATTCAAGCATGACTCAGGAAAATATCATCTTTTTAAGACTGACTGCCACTGCCACGCACAGCATTCTCCATCTTACCGACCCATATTCTCTGCTTAGCGGTGCTGCCCAATATTTCAGCCATAAAGCACATCCAATGATTGATTAAGCGCGCATGCTGTCACGAGATACTCCAGACATCCATTCAGAGCCAAACACAACTGACAGCCATCCCACTATCAACCGTGATAGGTTGCCGAACTTGCATGCACACGTACCACTTGCATATTCGCTTGTGCTTCTGAAAATAGTTTCATCGTTCTCTTCATTCATTGTATCGACCCTAGTCTATTCCGATACGTCTTCGTTGTCTAAGTGTTCCAGCGATGTCATGTAGTGCACCACGGTTGCGCTTCTTTTTTCCCAATCCAGCTCATTCAAATTAACGCCAATTCCGTTTATCACTTGCGCAGTTATTTGCAAAGGTTTTGTAGAGCGACACACCCCCCACGCAAATCGTCTCAGTGGGTAGGTTGATGTAGCTTGCGGGTATCTCCCTCGGTTGATTCCCGAGATAATTCATCAAAAAACCGTCATTTACAGGCGGTCGAGAAGACCGTTGCTCTCGAGGAGCAGAACAATCTGGTGCACAATGGAGCGGACGTTCTGCTTCTCAAGGTCGACAACAAGATCGGGCTTGGCGGGAGCCTCGTAAGGGTCGTCGACACCAGTGAAGTTCTTGATGTCACCGTTGCGAGCGGCACTGTAGACGCCCTTGCGGTCGGTCTTCTCACAGTACTCGAGGGAAGTAGCGACGTGAACCAGGAAGAAGGGGCCGGACTTCTCGACGAGCTCGCGGGCAGACTTGCGGGCATCCTCGAAAGGAGCAATGGGGGCGGCGATGACAGCGGCACCAGCCTTGGTCAGCTCAGAGGCGACGAAAGCAATGCGCTGAATGTTAAGGTCGCGGTCCTTGCGGGTGAAACCAAGCTCGGGGGAGAGCTCGTGTCGCACGTTCTCACCGAGAAGCATAGAGACGGGACGACCACCACCCTGGTTGAGAGTAGCCTGGAGAGCACGAGCGATCTGGTCCTTTCCGCTGTTCTGGTAACCAGTCATGAAGACTGTGAAACCCTTCTCGGCAGGGAGAGGGTTCTCCTCACGGAGGACCTTGACGACCTCAGGGTAGGAGAACCACTCGGGGATCTCCTTGCCGGTGCGGAGACGGTGGCGGAGCTCAGTGCCGGAGATGTTGAGGGTGCGGGTGTTCTCGGGGATCTCGTTAATGGGGAGGTACTCGTCAGAGTCGGGGAGGTAAATCATGGCCTGGAACTCGACCATCTTGATACCAAGCTCCTCCTGGTGCTCCTGGACGAGGACCTGAGCATCATAAGGACCGTAGTGATCCTTGCCCTGCTTGTTCTTACCGGGACCGGCGTGGTCACGACCAACGATGAAGTGGGTAGCACCGTGGTTCTTTCGGATAATGGCGTGCCAGAGAGCCTCACGGGGACCACCCATGCGCATAGCAAGGGGAAGGAGGGCGAGGGCGGCCATGCCGTTGGGGTATCGGGGCAGGAGAGCCTTGTAGACACGGACACGGGTGAAGTGGTCAATGTCACCAGGCTTGGTGAGACCGACGACGGGCTGGATGAGGACGTTGGCCTGCTGAGAGCGGGCGGCGCGGACCGTCAACTCACGGTGAGCACGGTGCATGGGGTTTCGGGTCTGGAAAGCAACGACCTTTTCCCAGCCGAGCTTGTTGAAGTGAGCGCGGAGCTCAGTGGGGGTGACTAGTTGGTCATGTTAGTATCGAGATGCGTTTTGTAGTGTCTGTCATCACTTACATCGGAGGTCGAGGAAGTCGTAGTGCTCGAGCTTGTTGATAGCCTCAAGCTTACCGCCAACGTAGAACTCCTTAGCGGTGTCGAAGAGGTACTTGACACCGGGGTGAGTGTCATCGTCGCTGCCAAAGACCTTCTTGGCCTCGTTGACCCTGTAGATAAACCCGTATTAGCTACCAATGGCCTAGTGTGCGCCGAGTTCTTGAGATGACCTACTTGTCAGGTTGGTAGATATCCTCGACAGTCAGGATGGCGAGGTTTCGGTCGTCACGGAAGTCGCGGAGTGTGATGCGAGCACCGTTCTTGATTCCGAGCTGGTCGATCTCAGCCTGGTTGACATCGAGGTTGATGGGCATGGAGAAGAGGGCGCCATCAGCGAGACGGTTGTTCTCAACAACGCTGGAAAACTCTGTTAGCTCATGAAACAAGCAAACACATGATATTGTAGTTCAACTTACCCATTGAAGTCTTTCTCGGTCATGAAACCTATCGAATGACTGGTCAATTGCTGTTCTCACCCACACTCATGATGAAAGGGTTGCCCGTCGCAAAGTGCACCGGGGTCGGCGATGCGGGGGTGGGGCACCGCCGTTATCGCCGCTCCGTGCGCCATCATCACAGCGGGGGAAACCCAATCGTCACGGATTAGAAGAGGCTGCGCATACCTTCAAGAGGAGAAAAGCCACCATTAAGGATAAGCTCAAGATCGCAAAGGTGTCGCTCGCTGAGGGTAAGAGCAGGAAGCTGCTGAGCCTCAGACTCAAGCTCGGCCTGGCGAGGCAGGTCGCGGGCGAAAAGGTCCTTTAGGACGCCACCATGGGGAGAGTTGGCCATTGTGATGTGAGGGTTTGTGGTGTTTTAGGAGGACGAATTAAAGATTCAAGAACCGAAGCGAATAGAGTCTCGGGGAGTTTGTAAATAGAGAAAACCGAAGTCAGAGCACGCAATCGTGGGGGTCAACGATTGCACAGGTGTTACTCGGTAGAAGACGAACAAGAACAGAGGACGAGAAGAACGAGTAGGATAAGAACGTGCAAAGGAGCAGGAATTGCTTTGATTTTAAATCATGTCCGCAGCGGGAAACAGAAAAGTACCTTCTCGATCCTCATCTTCATCCAGCAAATCCACATCCACATCCACATCCACCTCATGTTTCTTACATCCACCCTGTCAAGATTAGTCCCCCTCTCCCCTTGTTCCTAGCTCCAGCAATGTTTACTGGGGTTGACTGGATGGGCAAGGAGGGGTGCAGCAAGAACAAGTACACAGCGAGTAAGAGAAAAAGAAAATTGCGTGTCCATGGGCAAAACGGACGAAATCGGCCCAGAGCATCCAATTGTCGCCTTCTGAAGGGGCTGCCAGAGCATTGCATCAACCACGCCCAGCACTCTCACGGGCCTCACCGTCAAAAAGAGGAAAAAACAACGGGGTTGCGGTTTTTAGCTCTCAATGACGTGCTCGGGACTTGAGGCTTATACATGCCGCCGACGACCCACGAGGCCAATCAAACACAACATGGCCGGGCAGGGCGGCACTAGGTCCTCGGAGCATCGCTCTCGGGCGGCTTTAGGGGGGTTCATGATGAGATTCTACTCCAGATTCTATGATCTCCGAGGATGTTTGTTGATATTTTGGCCATCAACCGCTTATTGCGTCGTGAAACACCGGTGTTGCTGGCGTGGCGGTTGAGACAGGTTGGAAACGTGCCAGCGCCTACAGAGCATCGTCAATTATTAAGCGGAATTTACATGCATAACATGGATTGGCATTTTCCAATTCGAACCGCCATGGCCGGTTCCTGTGAATGTACCTTGAAAACGGCAAGCTGCAGCTGCAGTAGGCCAGTAGGGGCCCTCTCTAGTCCCCCGGTCTACGAATGCATCTGCATCTTCGTATCCATATTGGTTACAATGGCGAAGAATCGAATAATAAAGCATCCATTTCCACGGTCATGTTCCATGGCACAACAACCCAATGGATACATCCACAAGTAATCCACGTTCTATATCCATACCCATATTTATCTCTATACGTAACTTTGTGGAAGGCTTGTCCTCTTGAGGTTCAAGATCTAACTCCCCGCGAATTCGATTTCTAGTCCACACTCTCATGACTTCTCCATCTTCCTCTCCAGATTTTCAACCGCCTCTCTACCGCGATTCAATCTATAGATCTACAAATACTTTTCCGGGCATAACTCTTCATAGCCTTGTATGTATCTCCATGAAAAGCACTTACTGGGGGGTGTATCCGCTCGATGGGGCGTGAGGTGTCCCGAGTCAATGCGGTTGTCGGGCGATCGCCCGGAAGAGGCGAGAAAAAAAAAAGAGAAAATGAATGCCCTTTAACTTCCCCCTCAGTCATGATGGATGAAGAATCTTTATCTTAGTAATCACGCAATCCTGTGACGTTGATACGACACTTTTTTTCCACCTTGACTGATCGACACGACCGCCTACAAGTAAATATCTTTAATTTGGACATTGATTTTTCCGATGTTTGCTCTCCAAGGCAAAATGCGCTTACTTTACGTTGGGCTGTAACTTGCTGGCCATCTGTTGCATCAATTTGGTTTGACCAAGACCAAGTACGCATTGTCCTTGGTAAGTTGTAACACCCCTCGCGATGTGCTTGACCAGATGCAAGAAGTTATTGCATCAGCCGTCTGTTTTTATCTTCCAGAAACTTTCAGTTCGAGAGATCTCCACCTCATCTTTATAGCTGGGTGCTGAACATTCAAGGCTGGCTACCCTGCAATGGTCTACGGTAAAGACAGTGCTTGTCCTGGAAACAAAAGACAACTTGACCGTAGTTTCGAGGAGATAGTTTCAGACAGTGATAACAAGACCTGTCCATGTTTCGATGTTAGAACTAGGCGGAAATTGTAGCCACCAACTTACCTCATAATGCAACATTTAGACGCAATCTGGCGCCAAGACCTCGTCTCACGATCCGGCCCCATTGATACACCCGCATTTATGTGGATGAGGAAGCCAAGAATCATTGCCACGGGGTTGAACCCGCTGCCGACGGTCCGAAAGCTGGTTCAGCCGAAAGAACGGAGTACATTGTTGGATAAATATAACGCAGACTTGCTAAGACTCTGCCAGTGATACTCTGTGTTGGTGACCAGATCATCGTCTCAATTTGGCAGAAGTCTGGCCTCCAGCCATTGCTCCGCAAAAGATGGCTGGCGGTAGAACATGTAGAGAGCTATTTTGATCTAGTAACTCACATGATAGCGCCCCTACTTGTATTAGCATGATTCTTGATTGTATTAATACGATAAAAAAATGATCAAAATTTGGTTGTTAAATACCGTGAATACAGAAATATGGCCGTTGAATGGAACAGCACGCGATGCGACGTTGACCCTACCTTACGCAGATTCTAGAACAATACCAATTTGGATGAACCTATTTTTTTAGTATCAATAAGATGGTAATCGGGCACTCTTGAAGAACCAACTGTCCTGCGTGCAGCACGCACTACAGGTATTATTACCTGGGTACATTGATTCACTGAACTTGCGACGATAGTGGCCGCTATGATTAACGTTAGGTACCAGTGCCCATCGTGTCCTTCCATGTACAGAGTATTCATAGATTTCCCCAATTAGAAGGCATCTTTTGGCTCCTCCCTCCCTGCCAAGTTTGAGCAGTCTGTCGGAATCTTTCAAAGCCCGACACGTGGAAAGGCCAATTCCCCGCCTCTCACTTTTTTATTTTGGGGAAGAGCTGCTAGCCAATCGATACAAGCCAACTCCCCGATGGTGACGCGGAAAGCGGGTGAGAGCAAACACAACCTTGTGGCATGCCTCAGTCGTGTCGTATTTCGAGGTACCTGCTCCAAGGGAGCTTTTCTCTACTGAACAAAGCAGCATAATAATAACTTATACTCCATATCCGTAGAGGCACTCAAGATAAAAATTCAGAAAACTCGCGAGTAGTGATCAAATTTGAGCAGGGCCAGCTTATCAGTCGCCATTGTTCTAGACCATGTCGCAAAGAAATAAGAGACCCGAAACCGACAAGTGCGCTTTCGCAAATGGAAAGGTGCGCGTATTTGGTACCTTCAACACGCAGTAGTAAGGTTTGCGATTGCCCACTCCAAGTTTAGATGCTTGCCCAGAAAATAGAAAATGTGGTTGGATCAACGCTTCCAAGATCTAATCCCAACCTTCCTTGTTTCTGGTCGCTGACCGCTGACTGCTCCGTACCGTACCGTACGCTTGCTCAATCAACTTCCGCTACCGTTCATCCTCTTGCCATTTTGAATTAACCAAATAACCCTTCTTGCTCTTTCAATCTGCTGTGAAGTGTGAACATTGCCGACGACTCCGACTCCGACTCCCCCTAATTAAAACCCCTGCAGCTGCCATCCCGCCAACCTTAAATTCCGTCGCGAAGTTGCCGATCTTTCCATAGTGGCTTCTCCAGGCCACTGCGCCACTATTGTGTCTTGGGTGGTTACACATACGTCAAGCAAACACGAGATTTTGCATTGGCACAAAGAGCACCAAGCTTTAATCTCCCGCGACTCATCTTCTCCGCCCTCTTCTACTCTGACGAAGCTTCGTATGCTCGACCATCGATAAAACACTGCTTACGCTCTTCGACGAACCCCTTTCCGCCGATATAGCCGCTTGCGACATTGACGAAATACGCCCCGAGAACATCGAATGTCTGAGATCTGCATTTCCTGATCTCCATGCCCGAAACGATCGAATCTTCAACTCTGGACTTTTCCACCACGCTACATCCTTCACTCGCCTGTCCGAGATCACATCCGATCCCTTAGAGAGTGACGGTCGTATCGTAAATACTGCCCTGGCGGGCTTGCCCGCCTTCCGCCCCTTCCGACCCCTTATCGCACTTGATCGTCAAAATGGTCGCAATTCAACGATCCTTTGCGGCATTGTCCTGCCTCCTGCCCGCCTTGAGCGTCATTCCCACGGTATTCGCTCAAGACAAGGTCTTTATAGAAGGAACTGGTGATGATGGAGTTTTTCACGACCGCCTCGACGTCAGCCGGACCCCTTCACTGTATACCGGCGACTTCGATGACTGCTTGAACGATGGTAGTCTGTTCAACGTGACCGGCTTCGACACGGCCTATTACTCGGATAATCTTACAGTGTCATTTCATTTGTATGGAAGTTCCAATATCCGCCAGGAAAATGTTATGAGTATGTTCGCAATCTATTCACGTCATGCTCAAGCAATCTAACCACCTCCCAGTGCATCTTGTTATAGAAGTCTATGGCGAAGAACGCTTCAACAAAACTTACGACCCCTGCGCGGCCAACGTTACAAGCCTTTGCCCACTCAAGGCCGGAGAACCCATTGAGGCATACATCACTACTTCGATTTCAGCCGACGACCTTCGCGGCATCCCGTCAATCGCGTTGAATATTCCTGACCTAGAGGGATTTTCCCGCCTACGAATCTTTGCCAACTCAACACAGACGGAAATCGGGTGCTTTCAGGCTACCATGAGCAATGGGAGGACGTTCTCGCAGCAAAAGATCGTCGGAACGGTGTTGGGCATTTTTACCGTGTTTGCGGTTTTTGCCTCATTTGCAACTGCCATCTACGGCGTTCAAATTCCTCACATAAGAATGCACTACGCTCATTCATTTTCGGTCTTGATCATTTTCGAGACTTTCCAGTCCATATTCTTCTCAGGAGCTCTGTCCGTCAACTGGCCTGCCCTTCTCCCCGCCTGGTGGAGCAACTTCGCCTGGACTGTGGGCATGTTTGCAAGCGAGAGCATGATTGAAGCCATTAGTCCATTCGCCGGTGTCTCTGGAAATGCCAGCCAAGTTGGCTCTGCCGGATCAGTTCCTATTAACAACGGCGGTGGCCTTGCACAACAGATCTTTGGTCGAAGCCTGACAAGTCGAGCTGTTCCTCAGCTGGTAGAAGCTTATCATTCACTTACCCGTCGCAATAATTTCGACCCGAACAACCCGTATGACTACAGCTGGGCAGGAGAGCCTCGCAACCCTGGAATGCCACTCCCGGGCGACTACTCGGGGTTTCCAGGTGTGTTGTCTGTCATGGGAATCCCCCGAAATGACGCATTCATCATCGGCCTTATCTGGTTTCTTGTTGTCCTTGCCGGTGTCGCTCTCTTTGTTGTGTCTTGTAAACTCATACTTGATCTGTGTTTTAAAGCCAAGTTGATCAAGTCAGATGGCTTCGACTTTTTCCGCTCCCACTGGCTCGGTTATTTGGTCGCAGGCTTGCTGCGGACGCTGTTTATTGGGTTCTTCGTCATGACCACTCTGGCAATGTTCCAGTTTTCGATCAAAGCTCCTCCGGGGCCGACTGCGATTGCTGCCATTGTATTCGTCATGTTTATGGGGTTTGCTGGCCTCACAGCGTATGCCTGCTCGACAAGATTGCGTGAGGGCAAGTATGAGGTGGTGTCCGACACCCTCCGTCTTGAACAAGGAAAGATTCTCAAGAAAGTACCGTTTGTTGCCACAACTCTAGAGAGCTCCATCGGCGAGGAGGAGCAGGCGCAGAAACCTCGTCTCTTCGCAAGCCTCCCGATTCGACGTATCAGGTTTGTTGACAAGGACCCTGAACGACCCAAGGTTCACCAAGACGAGCCGTACATCAAGCACTTTGGATGGCTCTCGGCACGGTATCGACTCACTCGATGGTGGTTCTTTGCGGTTTACTTGGCATACCAGTTTATTCGAGCATGTTTTCTTGGCGGAGGTCGGGCGAGCCCCTTGGCGCAAGTTTATGGTCTCTTCGTTTTTGAAGTTTTTGCTTTGGTGATCATTATCAAACTGAAGCCCTTCGAGGGGTCACGCAACACGACGGCGGCGATCTGGTTACTGTCGATTTCCAAAATCATCACCACTGGCCTCTCCATCGCATTTCTGAGACCCCTGAACCTCAGCCGCGTTGCAGCGACAGCTATTGGCATGATTATTCTTGTAGTACAGTCCTTCTTGGCTGCAGCAATTTTGGTCCTGATAATTCTTGGCATGATATCAACCTGGATGTCACTGTCTCGCAACCGCGAAAACCTCCCTGAGAAGGTTGACGATCTGCGTGTGCGATATTTCGAACACATGGAGAACAGGGCAGGTACATCAAAGCCGGAGGAAAGCGAAGTGGACGAACTTGAGGAGCTGTCCAAGTCGATATTCAGCGTCAGCAACGTGAAACGCAACACCCAGAGCAACGCATTCCCAACACTGGAAGGCTCAAGCTCCCAAGTTTCATCTCATCCAGCGCACCCACTCAATCGACGCAACAGGGCAAACAGCGGTGGCTCCCGTTATTCGGCCAACAGTCTGCCTCGAAGTGGGCGTGCCCATCGTCCTTCATGGACTGCAAATGACTTTGCTGAGTGGGATGCGGATATGAATAGAGGAGACGTGTCTCGAGTCAGCCGCATGCGAAGCAGCTCTTTGCGGGTGCAGTCATCGAGGTACTCGGGTGGGCGGCCACCAATGACACCTACACGTGAATCTGCAGAATTCTCTCGGACTAGTACCAATACTATGAGCTCGGAGGATAAGGACGCTATCGCGCAGGGGAAGATTGAAGAGACCCCTGCAGCTACTGCTACACCGAAAAGGAGGAAGAGAGCAGTGAGTTGGGCAGACCAGAGCTCTATATGCGAAGAGCCAGCCAACGAGATCCAGAAAGAAGACGACAAGCCGTTAGAGAAGATCGACTCGACCGACGGCCGCAATGAAGAGGCCAAGCCAAAGCCCGAACAATAATTGCCGTATTTCTGTTGTGGAGGCTCTTGATTTTGTTGTGCAAGAAGACAGATGGGCTTTCTTGCACTTGGACCTGGAATTTTATTACGACCCTGATGTTTTGCATTTACCCAGATTCCCCATCTCCCCAGTCAGCAAAAGGTTAGCTGCTGGGCGTTGAACGTATGCATTTTGTAAATATCAAGCAAGTTGCCGTCTTCCTGTCGGGACAGGAAGCGGATTGCGAATTCTTTTCGTTGGATTATATTGAGATGCGACATGAACACACAAAAGACTATAGAGGATCTGGTCAACAATGATGCCTGGAGTTTCGCATTTGGGGATCTCGGACTGAGAACAAACACAGGATATTTATCTAGATAGTTAATTACATTATTTTATGATTCAAACGCCCTGGTTTTAGAGAGAAGTCTCAGGCGACGGAATGTCTTGACTAATCTTATTCTTAACCATATGTTGGTAGAGTCATAGATGAACAGCTGGCCTCATTCCGCAAGTCAAAAGCTGCGAGAAGACTTTTATATAGGAATCATCGTAGAATGAATGGCTTGGCTTTTGTGTTTCTCTTGGTATCCTTGCAATAAAAATAGTTTGCAACTCCAGGCTTTAGGTTCCCGTCTATCGTAACGCATGTCTGAAGCACATAGATGAATTGATTATAGAAACGTCTCTATTCTGATACATCCTTAGCATTTGAGGGTTAATTACTGGTATATGGTTATCTTTAATACAACTTGTAAACGCGAAGTAACTATAAACCCCGCGATGCTTTCGTTCGACCATTTTCGAAACAAACAGCATCGGTTCACTCCTCGAGGCATCAAACAAGAGCGCTATTTCGATGTAAAGCTTTATTGACTGTCTTCGCCCTTCATGCTACAAACGCCGTGTTAATAGCTGAAATGCTCAAGGAAGCGTTTGAGTCTCTACAGCTTGTTCCTTCTTTCTATGCACCTTTACTCTTTGGAGACCATCACGACTGAGAATTCCTTCCTCACACTCATCAAAAACTTCATCAAGATCACACTTCATTAGAATCTAAGCTTTCTCCAATATAGCCCAATCATTCTCATCACTATCCACGATGGCTAACAGCAACAATCATCACGACAAGCCCCTGAGCGACGAAGTCCGCGAGGACGTCCGCCGCATGACAGTCGGTCTCACCAACCAGGCTACCATCGAGACCCTCTCGCGCGCTGGGATGGTGGCTAAAAATAAGAGAGAGAACTCCCAGGCCCATCGCATGCAGGCTATTGCTCGTGCTGAAGCTGCCAAGAAGGAGCAGGCTGCTAAGAAGACGGCCAAGGGTGACGAGAAGACGACCGATAGCGGCGACCATGCCAAGGATGGAGGCATCGAACCTAACAAGGGTAATGGCCAGAAGCAGATCTAAACCGCCCTGAAGATGTGAAACTCGATCGTCTGGGGAACCTTTTGAGCTTTTACATGGGCTCTCTGCAGGGTAAGATATCACCATCTGCTCATCAGCACTTCATTATCACCCCAGCATAAACACTAACAGTATCTCAGAGACACTCTTTGCAAGACAACATTTCAACAAGCCAGACATAGAAACCAACCGGACCGAAGACCACGAGTCTCAAATTCACGCGCATATAACGGGCCCGAGAGGAACTACGATTGTACACCGCACGAAGGATCGCAACGATGAGACTCCGAGGGGGCGTGGCTCACGAACTACGACTCAGAACCGGGATTTCGCTCTTTTTTGGTCCTTTCTTTATCCTTTGTCTTACTAGGGCATAGCAGAGCATGGCGTGGCGAAGAAAAAGGTTCTCGCGTTTCTTTTTTTCTTTTTTCTGCAACGGTTACGGTAGCATGCATAGCATCAGCTTGGGACAGTGTCAGTCGACTCAGCAGAAAGCAACAATAGCCTGCAGCACTCCGTACAATATAATGCAAAAGAAAAACTCACTTACGAATCTCGCGTCTCCTCAAAGACGGACGATATTGTGAATAGGGAATATCCATGTAAACATGCATTAGCGTGAGACAACACAGCTCAACTATCAGCACAGAATCCATTCACAGACAGTGCACTCTTGACTTCTGCAAGTCAGATCATGGTTATTTTAAAATATCGTCAGATCATCTGTCTATTCCAAAACAAACAAAAGGCAGTCTCCCGAAACTTGACTCAAATACAGGTGGGCCGTGGAACAAAGTGCAGAATATTTGATTCCTTTTTAGCTGGCTGCAGCAACAACAGAACCAACAGCAATAACCTAGATCTGTCTCACCCCAGAAAAGTACTGTATTAATTAGTTGATTTCATTGATCGACATTGTGCCCCGCAGGCATACATACATAAGCGCTTTGATGCTGTGACCTACCGTATGTATGTATGCTACCGTGCCACTGACTGGGGGGAATGCACAGGCATGAATGCGAGCACAGCGGGTTGCAGCGCGGATATAATAAAAATATCTATCCGTTTAAGTCAGGGAGACGGCGGTGATAATCTCTCTCAGACTCAGAGGCTCAAGCTCTCAAGTATCGACGGAATACGGAGTAGCACATAATTAATTAGCCATTTGAGTGATTGAGCTGCCAGGGGACCCATGTCAGACCAACCGAATCCTGCCGTGCATACATCTTGGCACCAGCATAGCATCTCTTTGGTGTAAGATGGAGATGGAACCCCCATGTCAAACTGTGAGAAGCCTAGCTTGCAGTCTTGCACCCAGAAAAAGCAACCAAACAGGGGAAACTGCATTCTCATCCAAGGATCGTGTACTTATAGCGACTAGATGACTTGCTTATGACGCGATTTCATCTTGTCAGACTCAGAACATCACGCTCATCTCATCTCATCTCATCTCATCTCACTTCAAGTTCTAGACTAGATCCTTCTGCATCCGTGATCCGATCTCAGTATCGTACGGTTGCTGTAAGCGAGGTCCGTCGATCGACCAAGCATGCATGAGATCAAGATTAGGACGTCGGCCGACTCCCCGTAGATCAAAGTAGACCAGTATCTTCAAACAACTGACATGAGACAAGTCCACTCATCACTCGATCCTTTTCTCCGATCTCACTACGTAGATATGCCGAGGGTCTTGCTGTCCCCTGTCCCTCCATTGCACATCGGAGTGGCTGCAGTTCGATCGAGAACAGATTAGAGCGAGCCCTGGGAGGCCCAAGCTGTTGAGATAGTGTTCATTGCCCGAACGGACTCTGCCGCGTCACTTCATGATTTTTCGGATGCCTGCTCTCAACTTAAGAAGCCGCTCGGTTGTCTGCGTGTAGCATACCCTTTCTGATCTTCTATGAGCAGGGGTGGGCATCCTTTTGGTCTGGCACCTGACAGAGGATGTGCAGAACCAGGTGCTTCGGTTGTCTGCATCTGTTCATACTCCATGTCTTATAGCGTGCATGATTGCGCCCTGCACTTCGAGTGTCGAGAATCTAGCCCGACACCGTTATTGTACTGTTAGCACTACTCTCTTGCAGATTAAGTTACTTCTTATGACAATAACAGTACGGAGTATCTTATCTCCAGCAGATGGCTCCTTACGTCTTTCCTTAGTCGACACTTGACACCGAGGAAAAAGCAATATCGCGAGTCTTGCCAGGGGCGCTGGAGGTCTAAAATAACTTCAAGCGACCTTTTGGGAGATCGACATACTTTAGACCCTCAGAAAAGCCAAATCATAACATGTTTGATTCTGTTGGACCCCGTTGGCCTCATTACTCCCGACTCCGGTATGTTAGAGACGCGGAAAGAAGACTAAGGGGCGTAGCAAGGTGACAAGGCAGAAGTGGCGGCGCCATAGATCAACAATTGAAGCCTCCGGCAGTGAAGCTAATGCCAATTCCCGTCTGACTGGAAAGATGGCCTGCAAGGGTGGACAGCAATCATTCGCACCTCGAAAGCTGTAAGTCTGAAGCTGAAACTCGAGGCAACATATGCAAGGCCAAGACAAGCTTGCTCTCTTTCCTGAACATCTGCGACTCAGGACAGAGACTTCTCTAGGGAAGACATGCAAGAGAATCTGGCAAATTCTGACACGTATAGGTAGATCTGGTCTTCCCATATTGCGTTGTAGACTTGCCCTAGAGCATAGAGCGTTGCTATTACTTGATGGGTCCAACTTCTAGTCACTTGGTATGAAAACCTGCTTTTCGTCAGTTCCATCTGACACTTGTTCCTATATCTTTTATTCCAATACCGTAATCAGTTGTACCTATTCTTCAAATCTTTGACCACACACTTCTTCGCAACCGAACCAGTCACATGCTTCACATCACCAATGCCAAGAGTTGCTGAAAGGATCGCTTGTCATGTCACAATACCAGTTTCGCATGCTCTTCGAATACCCTCATCTGGGTCAGAACGTGGTATCCGAATCGCCCCCAACCTTCAATGCTGCCACTGAGCTTGACGAAGGCCCTATTCTAGGCCTGGACCCAGAAGCTTTCCCTTATGGCAGCACTTCGGATACTGATATGGATGATGAATGTGAACCAGAAGATGACGAGTCTGAAATTGACTATCACCGGCACAGGGGCACGCAAGAGCCCTGGCATCCACACGCTCTGCGCTTCCTCACTCAACTACCCCAAAATGATACTGAATGGTCCCGGTATCTATCCTGCAACGAAGACGTTCGATCCTTATGCCATCGTCTCAAAATACCTTCCTTATATCCAGGGTTTCAGGCACATCTTGACTGGTCACGTCTCTTCGATCAGTGTACCTGGCATCTTGCGGATGCCTGTCACGATCCTCCTCTCGCCTCTCTGTTCTCCCTTGTCTTTGTGGCAACATGCCATGTTGCACTTTCTGATGGCTGTCCACATGAGACCGTCTTCAGTGGGCTAAGAGCTTGTCTAAGGCAGTGTGGGGTCGCAGACGAAGAATTGACAAAACCCATGTTGGATAGAGTGAGAGAAGGGGTTGTCACAGGAATTGGAATATTAGAAGAGTATACTATAATGGTTGGCTGTCGTGCAAACGAGATTCCTTTGCATGGTAAGTTTGAGAGATCCCGACGCCCCAATACTAGAAATGTGCCCCTAATGCTTCCCCAGTACAAGACTGCCTGCAGATATTCCAGCGTTGCAATTCTGTCTGCGTTACTTCCATCAAAAATAACATTCCATTGATATATCGACCGACAACTCCCCTCCAGTCTGAATGCCTGGAGATACCGGCTCTGGTATATGACCTGCTTGGGGGGCGACACTCCAAGTGGGAGTAAGGTCTGCCCCATGTCCCGTTGGCTTTGACCCCATAACTGAGTAGTGTTATAGGTACCAGGTTATCTGCCAGATTCTGTGCCCCAGGGGGACTTCTGGGATACTAGGATATAATAACGTTGATATGACCGACGTGATGGAGTTCAATGAACGGGATGATGGCGACGTTCGTGATAGAGACCTGGAGATCGGGTTGACTTTGATGACTAATATCGTCAATAATTAGAAACTGCTGCGCTCGTAAAGGCAGCTAAAAGCGAGGAAAACTGCTCCTTCAACATAAATGTCCGTTTTTGATGCCTATCTTCAAGTTGACTTCACCAGACTCGATATTCCGGGCAAGGGGCTGTTCGGAACAGGATGTAAATGAACCGAACACTCCCGGTCCCTCGAAGCTCAAACCCCATCTCGTGTAGGTGAATGACCGTTCGGGGATCCCAGTTGTGTGAGATGACAGAATTACTTCCTCCGCGGGGAATTAGATCAATCTGCGCGCTGCCATTACTCAAAGGTACGAGTAATGCGGTGGAGTTTTCACCTGGCCACAGAGCACTGCCTTTCTGCAGTCGGAATGCTTCAGATCGAAAATGTGGTCTGCTGAGATCTGTGATGACAAGACCGCAGCTGGTAGCCCATCGTGTGAGAGGTCCGTTCTGTCATACTTGGTCAAATGCTACTCATTCGAGTGCGGACACTCAACGTACCATGCCTCGTATCACTTCTTCACTAAGTTCTTCGCATAACTTGTCTAAGCCATATGAACCCAATCTTGATTGCTTCTGTCCTGGTGTCGAAGTAAGCACCTCGACGATTGCTTTCTCCTGAAGAGTCTTGATCTGGTCGTCAAAGCGGTAGATCTCATATCGAGCTTCGTCTGCCATAATTGTGGGATGCAGGATGGAATAATCGTCGTGTCGAGCAAAGTGCAAGGCTTAAATTAAAGACCAAATGAACAACAGAAACAGGCCTTGCTCGGGGACGTAACTTCTGCAATGAAGCATCAATGATATACGGAACTGTGGTCAGCAGGCACGGTATGTCTTATACTCCAAATGTGATGAGTAACGGTAGTATTGGGTGGCCAAGTATGCAAACGCTGGGTTACTGTTGTCGAAAGCAGTGTTTGCTTCTACATGGGTATTCCCGACACATAAGCTGCAGAGCGGCAAGGCGCCTGGGGTAAGACCGGCCAGTATACCGGCTTGATACTGTGTATCCGACATGGAGGGTTCCCTTGATAAGCATTGCATTGCATTGCATTAGCCCATCGTTTGCGAATTCCACGCTCCGGCAGTCCGGACCCATGGGCCGTAAGACCAAATTGTCTCAGACAGATTCAGCGGGAATAAGAGAGGGCCACTTGGCGGGCGGATGCCTGCAGATAGATAATTATAACGTCAACGTTGTTGGTGGAAGGAGACTCCTGCTGCTTTGATTCGCTCAGCAATGTGACCGGGGTATTGGGATGTTTGCTACCAGATCCTGGCTCATACATGCATGAGCACTGATCAGCGAGGATTGAGCTGCAGTTAACCGTAGAAAATGGGACCAACCTGGAGTCATGTCCTAGTCCAAACCTGACATGAAAACGAGGGACACAGGTTCGTTACAGTCTGAGAAAGCCACGTCAAATACGTCAAGCTGTTTCATTCTCATGGTATCCCGCCGACATATTCTCATGAACAAGCAAATCTCAAAAGCGCAGCGAGTTTTGCAGATATTGATGAATGTCCTTGGGAGCAAATGACAAGGCATGAAGCGACGATGAAATTCGAAATGAAATAGATGATGATCCAAGTGACAGCTCATTCTTTCTTGCTCAGCACACCTTTTCGAGTTACCTCGTGCAAAAACCTCCTCAGAGCCTGACAGTCCAAGTTCCATATCAAGACGCGGCTGCAGTACCCCATGCATGAGCGCACGAAACCGTCACATTTCCGAACTAATGTGGCCAGGTTCTTCCGAGTGTATGACGAGAGCAATGCTGTATGGTAAACATTAGGAAAGCAGCGTTTGTATCACTGACCCCAGTCTTGCCCAAGACCATGCGGCTATTGGATGCCACAAATGCATATGAAATGCTGAGAGACTTGACTGACAATATTTTTTGAGACGGTAGTTGGTTCATTTGGTCTTTTGGGCGATCATCTGCCGCACCTTTTCAGCTCCATGCGTACTGTACAGTACTGGAAATGAGGCCGCAAGTGCAGGTTCATCTCGTTTAAAGGTTGACGGCGGTTGGTAGGGCAATGTAAGTAAGTTCAAGCCAGGGGTTCTCAATGACCTCTAGGAATCGACTTGAGCAGCTTGACAACATTGTCGTAGTAGCCATGTACACCCCCATACTTCTGCACTATGCCATCTATATCGACCTCTTCGATCTCCTTTGTATTCTTTCGACCCACTAATCCTGTGTTCCTGGTACTAGGAATCCTTAACATCTCTGTCTCGAGATCCCATCCGCAATCCTCCGCAATGTGTGTAACCCAATCAACCAACGATGCAAACATACTCCTTGACTTGGTCCTGTCGCGCGGTGGAGGGGCTCGCCATCTGTCGCCCTTAAGATTGTGGCTGCAACACGGGATCATGATGAAGGGACATTGAGAGATAGCGGCGATTATGGGTGTCCAAGGAGTGAGCTCATCGGCGTGATTGGAGATAACGAATGTACCCTTGGGGAAAATTCCGTCGTGAATATCTTCCGGGCTTATTGCTTCCGTTTCTCCATCATCAGTCTGTTTAGGAACGACACTCGGAAGTAAGAGCAGTTGCTGAAGAGACATCCCAGAGGGTGAGCCTGGAAACGGCGAGTTGTACTGGGACCATGATTTACGCTCGCGAGCGTCGAAGCCCCAACCAGCATAGCCTTCGAGCCTCAGGATATGAACCAATAATCCGTTCCCGCAACCAATATCCACAAAGCCGGGAAAATTCCCATCCTGATACATTTCCGCCCATAGCTCAATGAGAAACGCTGCTATGCCCAGGTCTTCGAATACATGCTTTGTTGGATCTGTCGTCTCGAGCCACGACTGCACCAGAGTCCGCCCGTGTTTATTCTTCAGTTCAGAGTACCTATCCTGGAACTTTTCCCTAGGAACGATAAGATCGTGATGAACTCTCTTCACATATCCTTCAGCCTTGCCATGCCCGTGCTTGTGTATGGTTTGAAGGAGATGGTAAGCGATTCTCCCCAATTTGACATCGTCAGCCTCATCTACTCCTGATTCTGAATTGAAAAGCAGGAAATGAACAGATGTAGTGCCTGTATTCGTCGCTGTATCCCATTCGTGAAGCTGACTGATGCCTCGAACTTTTGGGTGGTAAAATGGCAAGTCCGCCGCAGAGGATGCATGCGGCACATATACAACAAGAGACTTTATTAGAGCAACTTCTCCGTCAGTTTCTTGACCCCCTGGGCTATGCGAACGATAAAATGAACATGTCTGATTTAATGAAGCATCACGAAGCGTGTTTCGAGGTATCAGTCGGCGCACTATCGTTCTGTGACGGCTGAACTCTTCGAAATCCTGAATCAGAGGGCGCTCCTCCATGATACCAGCGGCTTCCGAAGCAGGGTTATGGCTGTCATCATCATAGAGGACATCTGCACGGAATAACCATTTGGAGTTGAGATTTGGGTTCTCCACAAGATTAAGCATAATCTCGTCAAAATACTGAGTCTCAAACGTGCAGGCATGGCGACACATGGGTCTCCAGCTGGCCTCGGCGCGGCGTTGGCGGATCACGGGCGGTGATCCCGGAGGAAGGTCCTCGGGCTCAAAGGGGGGCCTCTTTTGATTCTGCATCTTGAATGAAGAGCCCAGAACGGAAGCTCTGCCGACAAGACCAGAGATGCAGGCTGGGGCTGAGGGGTGGTGAGAATGTTGAAAAGTCGTAAGACACTGTCTTTGGTGCGAGAGGTTTCAAGTCGCCGTCGGAGCATGCAACCGTCACTTCCGTGATGATGAATGCCGCCGCAATGCACCTGAGCTCGATCCTGCGTGAATAGCTCCCGAAAGATAGTAACAAAACGTGAATGGTGCGAGTGTATATTCAGAATCTCCCTCCAAATCAGGCTAGCAGGGCCAAGGTAGCTGAAGCCCTGTCTACAAGAACCTTGGAAATCTCGGCTGCGGGAAGCGAAGTGAGATGCGATGGTTCGATCCGGGGTCCAGGAACTGGATGAAACACCCGTCGATGATGACGAAATAGAGGGCACCGATTTCTGTTATTAAAGCGGGCGGTCGAGACTAGGGCTCGCCCCTGGCCAGTATACCGGAGGGTATCCGTACCATGGACGGTAATTCCCAGATGTAAGTGGACATTTTCATGCTTCAAGTGATGGGAATTTGGTGTTGTATGTTAGCCGCTGATAGCTTACGGTAGGTGGGAAATCGTGAATGGCCTTGTCTTTATTCGGTTCTCATCGTACTCTAGCTGGGCTGTCAAACCCCACGGAAGGTGCCCTCTGCACTAACTTTCTTCAGTCTGAAACCACCACCACTCGAGGCAGGCACTTCCCACCCTTCCAACGTGGATCTGTTCGGCTTGGGCCATAATAATTTCCTCAATCTGATATTTGGTGTTCTTCAAACATTCAGCAATATTCTTATCTGTCCACCTCACGGAACACCTCAAATGTTGTGACTGTCGTGGCAAACTGACTGAGAAGATATTACCTGACCTGCACCTACGGAATACTTTTTCAGCTCCACACTTGAACCAAAGTCCCAGATAACTAGGTAGCAAATATCACACAGTTTGCTGACCGCAAGGACTGCGCCATTGTGCATCACACAAAAGCAACAATACCACGATGTTTGCGAGTCATCGTCCTCTACAGCCCCTGTTCAACTGAGAACTGCGGCGTTGTCGCCTGTCGCCTGTCGCTGCAAGTCACCCTCCCTTCGCTTGTGACGCGCAGCACCGGGCCACATCCGGGCATCAGAAAGTCTGGTTCCCGGTGGTCATAGGACTGAAAGTAATCATAGAGGGTGAATCCTTTCAGAACATGGCGATGCACATGCAAAGCGAAAGGTTTTGTACTTCCGTGCTCAGTGATGGATGGTATGAATACCACCCGCCACAGTTACCAACGCACCCGTCCAGATCGTACAGTACGTAGCCTGGCGTCCGGGCTTTAGCTTGGCAGAAGGCCTCGCCCCTGGATGCGATAGATGAGATCTTCTTGTTAACGTTAAGACATCTGCCGCTTTCGACGGACTTCCCGAAATAAGGCAAGCACTAATGGCGGCTGGGCCCTTTGCATGGACCAGTATTCTATCAGCATGAGCCCTGCCTGCCCAGCAAGGGAACAAAAAGGGCAAGATGAACTATAACAATAGTATCCGTATATTGGACGTCACAGCCGTCTGGATATTTTTGTCTGCTGATCACGAATAGTCAGGCTTTCGCATATCTGGAGGCTTTTCAAGTTTCAACCTGTTCCTGGAGAAGATCCGACAACATGAATTGCCATTCAAAGCGTAGCTACTATTACATCTATGGATGAACAGAACAGAACAGAAAGAGGCTACTTTGGTTCATGAACGAATCAGGTCAAGTTTTTAAGAAAGTTAGAGTATATGCTTATGACTCCATACACTTACGGATACAGACTTCTCCAATCAACTACGGATGTGATATACGGATATCCAGTCAGACGAAGCGTGAGGCCAAGGCTAAGAACGTTAAACCCAGTAACAAAGTGTATCATAGGTAGTAGGTACCTAGGTAGTCGTCAAACAACTCGGGTGACATATATGAAATATCTATACTGATACATTGTGAGTAATGTGCTGATTTTGTTAACACAACTTCCTGTTATACCGCCTTACCACGGTGTGATTCAAGCCAAAAAGCCCCGTTCATGGATGACAGTGGATGGATACCGAATTCATCTCACAAGGCTTTCTGCCTGACTCATTAGGCCAACATAATCGTTAGCACAACTCCTACTCCGTGCTCCCTCCCGCCTCCCACCAAAAACGCAGCCCAAAGCCTAAAACCCACTTACTCATCTTTGCCCCTCCCCCTTCTGCCAACTCTCTTTCTTCTCCCTACAACGTCACCAACACAAATACCCGCAAACATCTCCAAGACTTTGCACCTCGCAAGCCTTCGTCGCAAGACTCTTTCGCTCACCTTACGCATACCTACAATCTCGATACCCATACAGCGAGGCGCTATCTTAGCCAGCGGTCGCTGAAAACACTCATCCCTTTACAAAACCCATTTCCCAAGGTCACCCCAGTACCTCCGAGTTTATGTCCATCGAAAATCTCAAGACCTACGGTAAGCTCTCGTCGCGGCTCTCGACATTTGTCTTCCACTTCAACCTTGAACTTTGCCAGCATGCAGCTTCGTGGCCTTCGGATATTGAACTGCCGTATCTCGTCACGTACCTGCATTTGTTGCCGCCAAGCCACATGCTGATCTCCACACCTCTCATCACAATCAACGCAACCTTGATGAACCTATAACTAATTACGATACCTATTAGACCCCTTCGCCGAAGCCGACGAGGATACCGGAGAAACCAAGCAGACGCAGAATTACATTCATATACGCATTCAGCGTAAGTCACCGCTCAAGCTCCCCCAGCCACTGTCGCATTGGGAATGCTACCACACCGCAACCTCACATAGGATTGCTGTGTGATCGTGAATCCTTTTGACTCAAGGCACCCGGCAACACTACTCTGGCGTACACTACTGACACATCTTCAGAGCGTAATGGACGTAAGACTTTGACCACTGTTCAGGGTCTCCCCAAGAAATTTGACCAGAAGAAGATTCTTAAGGTCATCAAGAAGAAGTTTGGTAAGTGCGATGCGCAGCAGTTTTCGACAAGCAAACTAACATGAACCAGCCTGCAATGGCACCATCGTCAACGACTCCGAGATGGGAGAGGTGATCCAACTCCAGGGTGATCAGCGTAAAGATGTTCAGGAATTTCTCATCGACAAGAAGGAAGGCCTCGAGCTAGATGCCAAGACCATCAAGGTCCACGGTTTCTAAAGCTCTGCATGCCCCGTCGTCCTGTCAGTCGCCGTTCCCGGGCGTCTTGACGTAGAGGGACAGGGACGCATGGCCTCTCCGGCTTGTGCCTTATCCGGGCGTGTTCTCTTGCTCTCGCAACAGACACACCGAGGCTCGGCTCCGATTACTCTAGGACGACGGGCATCCACTCAGGGCGAGTTTTACTCCTGGTGGCTTTTTTGGAAGAGTATTTATTCTATGCTGCGCGTTCTGCAGCGGGTGTGTGATGACTTTTCGGCATCCACCTCGCTCACGTGCACGAGGACGAGGCTACGGGCAAAGCATCTGTTTATCAAACATGGCTTGCCAGTCGGTCGTTAGTCAGATATGTCTACATGGGCAAGCCCCGCAGTAGTCTCAGGCAAATACACTGTCGATTCCGAATCCGGATGTGTCCAACATGATGTAAATTGTTTTTAATCTTGATTTTGGTGTACCTGACGTCAGGTCCCACCCGTAAGGCACAATGGCGCAGCCCGTCGGCTCATTTCACCCAAACCCTTGAAGCTCTGTAGCGGTAGATATAGTGCTGTAAGAGCTTAATAGCAACATGCGGCCAAAGTGAAAATCAGACTGAACAGCCCAAAAAGGGCAGGATATTCGGGGTTGATAAATAGAGATCGCTGAATATGTTTCGTCAAAAAAGCCAGTTACTCACTGCTTCTTGTTCATATTGACAAGTTGTAGACCAAGATCCGTTATGGACGCACGAACACAGCTATCCACGGCTGTCCTACAAGCCATCGTGCTGCTCGATGCTCCCCCTCGCCTGAGCTCTCGCCTGAGCAACAACACGCGATACCTCGTCCCATACACGCTGCGCCCTTGCTGCAATCGGCATCTGGGGATATTCGGGCGTGAACTGGTGCATGTGTGCCAACAAAGTCACCATGCTGAAGAAGCTGGCTATCGAGAAAACATTAATCGACGTTGACGTTTCCTTGCGGATGTTGATCTTCTGGTGCGTGATGTGGTACAACACGGTGAGTGTCTGCGGCACGGTAGTCAGTGGCTGTTAGTGCAGTGCTGCGGCGTGCACCATCCATTTGTGTCGCGTGTGCGGGGGAGGAGACCGAGGGACGTACAGTGGCTATGCCAATCCAGCCTGGGAGGAGGAGGCGAGGGTCTTCAAATCCGCCGGCCAGAGAAAGGAAGGTTGAAGTGAGGTATGCATTGCATATGTTTGTTGTGAGAAGTCGGACCATGGTTGCTTGAGGAGTGTAATTGATGAGCCTGTGGATTTGGTTAACTTGGTCTTGTGTCGCGAGACCAGTCTAGCTGGGGCTTGTATAGAAAAGGAAGCACAACGTACCATCTCGACATGAGACAATCCGTGAAGAAAAAGGATAGATATCCCGAGGCGAAACACTAACAAACGCCCAACATATCAGCACAACTTCTTCCCAAGCTTCAATTTCCATGGTTTGGCCAGGACATGTTCCTAACGCACCCATATCGTTCCAAGGCCAGTCTCAGTCAAGGTATATCGCGTGTCTGCCTCGTAACTCATAGCCACAGATCCTCCTGTCGTCGAGGGTACGACGAACACCACCTCCGGTCCTGGGACCACCCGCATGAGCAGCTGAAGCGCAGAGGGCAGTCCCCACCACAGCGCTGGCAGGATGGAGATGAGCCTCAGGACGAAGAGCCACGGATGCCATGGTGTGGGGACATTGAGGACGACGGCGACGCGGGGTTGGAGGAGAGAAGGATGGACGGGACCATCGAGTTCTGGAGGAGCTATCGTCGTCGTGGGCGGCGGCGGAGGAGGAGGATATTTGTTCGATTTCGGAGTCACGGGCGCAAGCGGCTGTGGAAGATGGCCTGTGGAAGAGCCCCGACGAACGGGGGGAGGATTGCCCATCTCACATCTACTGATTTAGGCCATTTGAAGCAATTGATAGAATAATTGTGTGAGATAACTAAAGAAACTGGAATGGGAGAGAAGAAAGAGAGAGAGGAAATAAAGTGGACGTAAGGGGGGGGTATCAGGTAAGGTGGTAGAATAGGTAGGTAGGTAAGTACTTAGGTAGGCAGCTGTTGGTGATGGCGTCAAAGGAGGAGGGACAAGCAGACAAGCTACCTGACCTTGCTCACTGCACTCAGATTGAAGTGACAGGGGTCGTGGGGAAACTGTGCCAAGGTTCCCATTCAATTCTTGCCAAGTGGGAACACAGGGCCTTGTGGACGTGGCTAGTGGAAGCTCAATCACGCTCATGGGTTAGGGTTAAATGTTAAATCAAATGGTACAGTAGGTACTAGGTACCTAAGCATCCATGCTGCAGGGAGATACAGAATACATTAACGATTGATCAAATCTCGTAGCAAATTACCCCCAATATGAACGTATTTCAGAGCTTATAAACCTTTCCACTACGATCGTCATATCGAATAGGCAAAGATCGATGGCGTTACATTCAAAAACGCTCACAAATTGTAAAAGCAACTTTTCATAAGCTTGACCAACTCCAGATAATACCCACCATGCCACGTACATCCAAGCAACCCCAAACTCCTCCAGACCCTTGACAGATTGCACACAGAAAGGAAGCAGAATGTCCAGTAATAAAGAGTAGACAATATGCCTCATTGTCTCACTTCGGGGCCATTGTGGACACCATGTCTTGACCTTTTTGGGGGCAAGTTGTCGTTATTTCGGGTAGCTTCAGCCGGGATACTGTCGAGGCGCGAACGCTTTTTGCTTTCGTTCCGGTATAATCTGACAGGTATGTCTACCAACTCGGCAGGAGAGGGGCCCGAGTACAAATTCCGTTTACCACTCTCATTGTTGTCGGTCTCCGTGAGCACATCATCATCAAAGATCGGGTGCTCTGTTGAACATGGCAGCCCCAACTCCTTTTCGATCAAGAGCATCTGTTGCCACACCCATCGCAGAAGTATTTGATGTCGTCGGGCTCCCCTTCTTGCCTCTCGGTATGTATTTGTAGTCCTCTTATATTCCTTGATCATGTCCTTTCGGTGCTGGAAGAGATCGAACGCTTTGATTGCAGAGTCGAGTTCGGCCTGTGCCTCGAACAGTTTCCGTTGAGCTAAAGGTCTCTTCATCGATGGATTCAGGAGGTCCCGTTCGGCTAACAAGATATTTGAGCTGCCCACCTCGACAGCCTGTCTCAGATTTTCCCTCTTGTGGTCGTCTGCGGACATGTACTCATCGTCTTCGATTTGATCCCGGGTTTCATGCGACCTCAACACCTTGGAGTCGTTAAGGGTCTGCCAGGCGCTTTTGTATTGTTGGTGATACCGTTTATACCACGAATATGTTTCGCATTCTGAGAGTTCGAAGCACAAATACTCGAGCCACTGTGATAGCGGATCCTGATCAGTCGAATCTTGCTTTATATGAAGTGGCGTTTTGATCGAGTGATCAGAAAGGCACTTGGTGCATCGCACTCGGTATTCTTCGAAAGTGTCCGAGTTCCGCCTTACTCTTAGCTGATAACGACGAAACTGGTTCCACCTTTCCAATTGGCGTTCGAACAACATCCATTCTTCCTTCTGTGGTCCACTCGGGTCTTGTTTCCAGTACTCAAGCAGTTCGGTGTAATTTGCTGGATCCTTCGCAACTTGGTCTATGAGCTCGCGAGAATACCAAGGGCGCCCTCCAGCTTTGGTAAGTGAGTCGTGAAATGACTTCTCACATTCAATGCCAGCGGTGTGTTTTTCTCCAGACGGCATGACGGCTTTCATCTGAGGGACTGGGGAGATTCTACCCGTACTTGCAAGAGTAGTGGTGGATTCAAAATCTGGATTCCACCACGGCAGCATATCCATGCAGCTGCTGGATTTGTCAACTGGGCGTACGACACTGGAGATTTCTGGTAAATGGTCACAGTAGAGAACCCTGCAGCATCATCATCAGCATATGAGCAAGACAAATGGAGAGGTGAGAGGTTGAGATGGGGTTACCCGTACTGTAGGTCGTTTCTCATCCAACGGGTGACCTTGTCATGACTTTGAGTCTCCAGGAATCTAATCGCGGTGTTAGTCGAGTGCTGGATAGAAGGACATCAGGTATAGGCCCACAGTTTCTTCTCGTTATGATGTTGCTGAACATCATCTTCAGACCACTTCACGGCCTTGAAGACTGGGTCCATGGATTGGTCCATGGATTTGATGACGGGTGTGGACGTAGTTGGGCGGTTTGCCCAATTGTGACTCTATGGCTTTCGTTTTTGTTTGTTCGAATGGTCTATTTGTTGCCAGAAAGAGTAGAGTGAGGTTGAGAGAAGATGTGCTCCTATGCTGTATGATAAGGAACTGTGGTGGACGAGAGAGGTTGCAGGTCGGTGAATGCGTCACTGTGAGACAATGAGAGAACAAGACAAGGAAGGACAAAGTCGGGACGGATCGTGAGTGAGGTTGAGCCTCCTTCTAATGGCAATGGCCTAATGGCCCAAAGAGCCTTGATTTGATCTTTCCCTTCCCTTTCATTTCAGGCCCAAGTAGGGAAGTTGCATGTCAAGTTGCACGCACGCACCTGCCCGGGCTATGTGCTTTATGCTTGGCTGTCGCAGGTTCTGATTTAATGGATGGAAAGCGCGGCCCAAGGACCATCGGCCCCTGTATCGTGGGAGGCCCGGAAGCACCTTCCATGATCCGCGAACAAATACGTACCCACGATTAGCGCCGGCCAACTCCAATTGGTAGCTCCGACAGAGCGTTTTGGCATCTGCCATTGCCTAGTCCCTAATAAGCATAGGGCATGGCTCATTCTTCTAAGGGATCCATCGATCCATGCTGCCCGCTGTGGGGAAGAAGCTGCCCTGGAAGTCACTGTTGTCAACACTTAACCAGTGCTGCGGGTTAAGCGCCAAAAGTATTGGACACTTCCAACATTAGGTCAGGCGAACCTGTCAATTTCTTAGCCTCAAACCAGACAGACAAACAAGCAAACAAACGTCGTCCTCATTTCTTTGTGGCATGGGCATTGGCAGGATGATGGAGTACCTTATCATCAACATGATCCTGGTCTATACGTATCTGCCCTTCCATATGTCTGCCCCACGCAACCATAAAGAGCATGCAGCTCATCGACGTTACATGCCTCCAAGTCTTGTCCTCGTGCCCTGCGCAGCTAATGCAGTTTAGCAATAAGCTGGACTACTACCTACGTAGTTAGAAGTGAAGAGGGGAGTTCTCTAGGTAGGGAGCGTTTGGCCTTGAATAACTCAAACTAATGACCTCACTTGATGGATCTGTTCTCCCTTATCTCGTATTGTCTGCTTGATCTGCTAATCTGCTCTGGTCTGTTCTCTTAGGTGATCTCATAAAGTGGGAACCATAGCGGCCCTCGGGCCTCGCCGTCAGATATATCGAAGCGCCGTATCCTCATAATAATTACCGAATTCATGCCGGCATTGCTTTTTACCTCCAATTGGCCCCCTCATTTCAAACCCAGCTTTAGTTTTGGGGAAAGGTTACTAATAATGCCGAACGTTGGATCCGTTTGTTTATTAGCTGCGTCCCCACCTTGTAAGCATGATCAATTTCACATGTAAAGGTATCAATAGTTTTGGGTACGCAACTATTGACTTCTCGTTGTAAAATTGACATGAATTCTGATCAGATAGAAGAAAGACCAGAGATATGTCAGAAACGACTACTCAGTTCCGACCTTTATCTGTAACAAAACCTTTGTTCAAGGCGATTACCCTGGAGCTCTTGAAACTTCGTGCGGTTCAGTTCATACGCAAGTCCGTTTGTCTCTCGGCCGATAGACTTCTGACCCGAGCCACTTAAAGTAACTTTTTGGGCCAAGTACTTAATAAAAACTTTGCTTTTGTTGTCGAACAAAACCATGTATGCTGCTGTAAATCGCATGAGCTTTGCTCATACAGGAAGTCAAGTCGGTTCGTTGATGAGCGTCGAGCCTCATGGTAACTCCCTGGGCCGAAACGGAGTAAATTTCGGAGTCATGAACTTGGGTTTGGCTGTAGCAGAGCCATGTTATTGGGTTCTCGTCCAGGATTCGATATCGACTCGTAGTTCACGATGGGAGTTTGAAAACGGAAGCGACTAGTGAATCGTTTTGTGATCAGCCATAATGAGCAAAATTTCAAAGCTGGCAAGACAGGTCACCAGAATGGAGATCTTTAAACGAAGACGTACATTGTGTGTATTGTTGAGTTAAACGGAAGCCTTTCGGCAAGACTAAGAAGACGATCTAGATCCTATTGTGTAGATTTCTTGACGTATTCGCAGTATGGCTCGTGCTAAACAGAACATCATGCCACGTTCCTGTACCAAGATACTGATACTTCCAGGTTGTCGAAGAGAATTGTCCTCAATGCGTATTCGACTGGGTTGATTTGATGAAACACTCGAGTAGTCTTTGGGAAGTGACTTCTGTATTCAAGTACTGGCGGTCGGTTGACTAACAAAATAGAGATTAGAAGATATTTGTGATTAAGGCAAAGACGTAGCGTCCCACAACATGATCTTTTCCAGCTTAAGATGAAGAAAGAATAAATTACTCAACTGAATGGTAGCAGAAAATTAGATAAACGAAGACAAAGACGTCAAGCCTACTTGAAAAAGGTTCCAGCCAGACTGCAAGAACAGATTCTTCTGAACCTTTTAGCCCCTTTCCTTGTTTCGTTCGACGGGCCTTTGAACTGTCATTCTATATCATTGGATTTCAGTTTCTTGGCACATTGCGCTTCGTGATCGAGGCAGGGAATTTCTTGCTGTAGCTTTGTTTCTCTCTCCAGTTCGGCCGTGGGCGGTCAAAGTTGGATCTGTACAGCCGCCATCAGCTTTGATTCGCCGTTGGGTATCCAATTACTATAGCTCATAGCTGAGTCTGGTGGTTTGGGTAGACGTGAATAGTATCGTAACCCATAAATTCTCTTCAATAAAGAAATATGTTACGTGTAAGTCGATTTTCACCACGAAGTTCCCTGTATCTCAACTGACCTTGCCGTAATCAAATAAGACGGACTTGCAGCCCCAAGGACCGATACGATATGAGAGAGTAAACAAGATGACCGGTGTCTTCAGATGATCTGGATAAGTCTTGATTTGGAATCGTGCTCTCTTTCGATCAGGTAACGGGGAAAGACGTCCTGGACCTTTTTCGAGTTCTTGTACATATCTGTGCTTTCCAATAGCTTCAAAATACAACGAGACTGGCTCAAGGCTCTCTGTAGTATGTAGCTCGCCTTGAAGCTGTAAAGGTAGACCAAGACTCTGGATCCTTGGGGTCGGTCTAATCGGCGGGGGGTTTTAAGAGATTGGATGGCTGTTCGACAATGCTCTCTCGAAGGGGCAGGTATAGTTAGATGGACGTGTCCCTAGAAATAACGGTTAGCATTGGAAACATATAAAACCTCTGATCGGCATCACACTTAAGAGCCAGACCGCCACCAAAACCCAAATGGTCAAGCCGTGAACTCGTCGCTGGTTCACAGCACATTCTCAATGAGTTCGTACTGGCCGATTCGAGGATCACATGGGGTTTATGATGAGCTTCTTACCAAATCAGCCAGTCCAGCCCGACAAAACGTTTGGTATCTTTCAACTTACAGGCCAGAGAATGAGGGGTTCTTTCCGCCCCTAAACATTCAATTGGCCGGATATGAAACTGATTTTGTGTTTAGTAACTGCCAGTAGTCCGAATCAGCAATGTAAGCCACCACTTTGATTGTTGGCTGACTGGCGGCGAATAGCTTAAGGTGGGCTATCTAGGAACTAATCTGATCTTTTGATTTCTCAGACAGCAATCCTGAATGGCTTATATCTAATGTGGCTGGCCCCAGCAGTGGTCCTTGCAGGGGTTTTTATGCCATTGAGAAATAGAGTTGTGGCTGATATGATGGGCAACCTTATTGGATTTGAGATACTGTTGCTTTTCGGTCTGTGTAGAGACCTCTATTGTTGATATTTCTGTGGATTTGATTGGGACAGATGGATCTCTTTTTTTGAAGGTGCTACCAGACTCAATGTAAATATCTAATGTGGCATCATAAAATGTAGTGATGGATCTTTCGACTGTATCAGGCATTGATTCGTAGATTCTAGTTCAGGAAAGACAGGATAGGCTCGTATTTGTCAGTACCACATTTCTAAGGGGAAGAACAACTGTTAGTCAACATACAGGATGAGAGAGCAGAACGTAAGGCAATGTCATTACCTACAGGATCTATCAAAGTAGCCAGCCCCTGAGTGATACTGATGGTGTTGCCAAGAATCTGTAATTCTGAGACAAAGAATCAAAGGCTAGAGCTCTAGGGGCTTGTACCAAAAGCAGAAAAAGAGTTGAGAACAGTATGAACGCTCTGAAGTACCAATTCCTGCCTTGGTGTGCGATCCTGTGTGGTTGAGGGCTCTGAAAGACCTGTTCATCGCCATGACAGATTGGAAACTGACCTGGAGTGCTTCGAAGAGAATTTTAATGAGTAAGAGGCTTGATAGACGGTAAGAAGAGGATCTAGAGGTCTTTTAAAAGTTGAAATGAAGCTTGAAGCCCCCCTTAATACCATTGGATCTTGCTCTCGAGCTGTGTGAGCTTCAACCCCGTTGACCGGCAGTATGCTCCTGGACGCCTCCCTGGGTCTGAACTCGAGGGAAAGATAGTACCGTATTCCTAACCACGTAGAAGCCTGTAAAGACCAATCTTCATTGTTTGTGATCTTCGTCGTTGAACAAGTTGCTACTTGGATTCTGGGAAAGCGATCACCGTTCTGAGGATCTCCAGGCCATTCAAGATGCTTGTTGGACCTGAGCACTTGTGAGTGCTTCTTTTCCAGAGAGACGCTACTTCCTAGCATGAGTTGTAAGCTGTTGGTGGATGTTCCTCTTGGCTGGTGGTTGATGCTGGTTCGAGAGACCTCGTGAGGCTTTGTGACGGTATTTGGTTCTAGTGTCTTGCGTACAGGCACTATCAGGGACTTCTATACCATCAAAGGTCAGCCAAAGTAGATAGAAGAGAAACTTGATGGGTGAGATAATTGTGGAGGGTGCCTGCAGTGCTGATGTGTTGTAACGTACCTGGAGCTGGTTGGGTGTCGTTCACGATCTATCGCCAACTTGAAAAATATTCGACAGAAAAGACACGAGCAAGTCGAAATGATAGAACAAAAGGGTCTGAATACCATCATAAGTATATTTGGAAGGGTGTCAAGGGTGTCATCCACTGTCATTGCTGGGGTCGTAGCGGTGGAAACCTGGGGAAGCACTGTAGAATGACAAAACTGGAGGAATGGGTCCAGCATCGATATTTTTACGGGATTAACAAAACAACTCACCACAGCAATCCAATCATCTTGCTTCAAATTCTGTTTCAGTACAAAGTTGCAGTGTCGAGATTACAGAAAGTTATTGACGAGTGTTTGCTGTTTGCTGTTTCTGTTTGCAAACAGGACATTCTTTTGTTCTACGTTTGTACTTTGACCTCATTGATCCAGATACTCGTTTGATAATGCACAACTGCTGGAGATATGTAAGTCCTAACGGCGCCAATGACGCTCTCCTGGGGGAACTGTTTTCTTTTATAGTTGATATATGCCTGGAGGCACGAACTGATCGCACCTGTATCCGTCGAGGCGTATACCAATTGTAGGGCGGTGAGTCCGAGCCCTAGTGGCTCAGTGCCCATGAGGACGCTCTACGGGGGGTTTCGTTTCTACGATGTAGTTGGTGCTAGCCTGTAAGGTATGGGTGAAGTTGCCGCACCTATCTACGTCGTGACACAAGATTATCATGGATTCTTTAAACGCTGTCACTACTTTGGAAAGGCACCAAACTACATCAATGACAGTAGGATAATCTTCTAGACTATTCATAATCGTATCTCCACAACTTGCATCGTCATCAGAGCTTTTCTTATAGGCCCTGAGCGTTGCGTTGTGGTGATTATTTATAGCTAGCTGCCCTGATATAGTGAGTCTGGATTCTGCCAGTTCCTTTCCTTTTTTCTTTACCCCTGGATGGATGTTATGTTTCAGCTTCTTCACTCCAACTCCCACTCCCACTCCCACTCCCACTCCCACTCCCACTACCTTTTCGATTCTCTTCTCCATCTCCGCTTTCTTCATCTCCCACCCCCTTTCCCATCTCAACACCACCCTTTTCCCACACCCTCAACTCTACCCTCATCTACCCTCGATCACCGTCGAGCATCCAACAACACTTCATCTTTTCAAAAGCTTTCACCCCTGATCAGATCTTGTTTCCCCCAAAGAACCCTTTCATTCCCACTCGCGAGAGATTCTCGTGTGGTGGGCGCTCGTTGCTGCTCCCTTGGTTCTTCGTGTCGTCTCACGAGAGGATCACGAGCTTCATCTTCACTGCTAAAAACTATAGAACCTAGGCCAAGATATTCACGCCCTTCTAGCGAGTTCTCTCGTTCTTTGAACCTTCTTGGTCACTAGACGACCTCCCCTTGTATCATTCGCTCTCCAGACCATCATCTAAACATCACAGAGAGACCAAACTCCAAGGTAAGCCATCACCCCCCTCCCTTCTCTCATCTTGGCATCTTCTCATTCTTCTCCTCCTCATCTTCATTGCTATGAAACTGACGTCGCCTTGTTGCGGCTCGCTAGACACTCGTTTCACTCCAGTGACACCATCAACATGTCGTCTCTCGAGTATCGTCGCCCGCACGATGCTGAAACTGCGCGGCGTGCACTCCGAAAATCCTCATCAGCTCTTCATCTTCACGATACATCTTCTGAACTTGAATCTGAATATGAAAGCTCTCCTGAAGGCAAGTGGTTTCGTTCTCTCTTTTCTTCTTGTTTCTCCCCCACGCCCTAGTCGGGCATTCTGTTGATTTTCACGGATGAACCATTGTTTCTTTCCAGCATTTTATTACTCCTGTATCCTCAGAATGTCCCTGTTTGTTCTTTCAAAAAGTGCGAGTTCTATTTTGTCGTGCAAATTTGACTGTTGCTTTCTTTGGTGCGGCCCTTCGTGGAGAACGACAGCCCCTTTACTCCTCTTCTCGCGAAAAAAGAACAACACTCGAGGATATCTGCTCGTTAAGCTTTAATTTTAACTCTTCTTCTTGCGTCGGAGGAAAATTACGAGCTAACACATTCTAGACCAGCCTTCTCGCCCCCTCAAAAGCGTAAAGAGGTGAGTTCCATTTCGAGGACGCCCTCTAGGCGAGGCATACTGACAGAGATTTCTAGTCTCCCGACTCTCCCTAAAAACATCTACCAAGAGAGCGTCAAACGACACTGGGGGTTTGTTGGCTACTTGTGATTTCGTTTGTACATAGCGGCTTACAATTCCAGGTCTCCTGTTTCTGAGTCAGATGACCCCTTGGACCAGTTCGTTGTTCAGACCGACGAACTCAACATTCAGGAAGCTAAACCTGAGGGACGAGTTATGACCCAGAATGAAGCTGGGAAAGCTGTCCCCAATCAACCTAAAATTTTCGACGCTCAGGCTGTGTATCCTGGAGATGCCTGCCTCTTCGTAGCGAAGTGAGTGGCTCATCTGTTCTTCTGGCCATGCTGGCGCTGACTTTGATACCAGCCTACCTCACCAGTATGATGACTTGACCATCAAAGAAGTGCTGGACAAAGTCTTTGGGCATTATGGCACTGCCTATGTCAAGGTAAAGCGGGATCGAAAGCACATGCCTTTCGCCTTTGTTCAGTACACGGTGAGTTAAGAAATCAGCCAATCTTATCTTATGATTTGACCAAGCTGATTCTCTAAGGACTCCAAATCGGCAGGTATTGCTCTGGACCTGTGCCGAGGGGCGAACATTCTGGGCCGACCGTGTCGCACCGAGAGATGCAGCGGAAACAGTAAGCATTTTACTGACGGTACTAAACATGATCTATATTCTGACTACACTATAGTGACTTACATCATCTTCCGTGACAACAACCAACTGCCTCAGCATGATGAAGCTCGTGCCGTTCTCGAGAAATTTGGCGAGATTGCTAAGATTGAGCGTTTGGAGGAACGTATTCAAATGCTCATGGGTGTCCCAGAATCTCTCCTGGTTCACTTTAAAAAGTTCGACCCACGACGGGATGTGATCAAAGTATGTCCAACAATCGACAATACCAGTAGCATCTAATTGACATAACCACAGGGAACCAAAGGCTTGCTAGGCCACATTGTTTTGGCCTACGATGCAAAGTTGTACGAAGAGCGTCCTGACAGCCTGACAGAGCCGCATGACAAAGATCGTCGTTCAATCTTCTTTGGTGGTCTACCCGCTAATGCAGATGACACATTTGTTCACACCCTGACATCTTTGTGTGGTCATGTTCTCTCCATTGACATCAGAAGTAATGCGGACAAGAATGGTGGTAGTAAGTAACTCAAGCTCATAGACTTGACCCCCTGACTAACTTTGTTGCTGCCAATGTGTATGCATTCGTCGAGTTTAAAGATTCTACTTCCCCTGACGACGCTGTGCGCCAATTCGTGAGTTATAGACTTTAGCCTAGTTGTTTGCCGCCTACTAATTGGTTCTTGAAGAACGGTCGCTGTATTCAGGGTCACCATATGCGAGTTGAGAGAAAGCGAACTCAACTTAACGAAGACTCCCGAATGTTTCCATCTCCTCTCCGGCCCACGCCACCTCTACGCCCTCATCGTCGTGGCGTCTCCATGAACTCGACTCCTAGCAAGCATAGCCGCCAGCAATCGATCTTTGGACTTTCCCCCGAATCCCGAGATCGGTTCTACAAGGCCGACTCGGAGTACCAGTACAAGAAGTTCATGGGAAGCCAGAAACCCCTGTCTCCTTTAAGGGGGTTCAAGACCACACCCCATGGATTGGAGGAATTTACTCCTATTCAGTCACCCGAAAAGGATGGAAGCGGTGCAGCCTCCGGAAACATGGTACACTTCTCATCTTCTCTAGCATTCTCATCACCAGCACATATCATTTCTCCCGCTGCGTCATCCCCCATCCAGGGTCAACAACCTGTGCCGGACTCAGACCCTGTCGTGTCTCCTAACCTGTCATTTGCTGATCGCATGGCGGATGGCGGACGCCCCGTCTCATTTGCCTTCTCACCAGCCGCGGGACATGCTGCAGATAGATGCGAGGACGCCATCGACAACAAGACCGGAGACGGTAAGAAGGGCCACCAGCGTGCTACTTCTATGTTTACTCGCAACACCTTTGACATGACTCCCTCTGGCTTTGAGGTCTCTGAGAGTGACGAGTCGAGTAGCTGGAAGCCCAGTGGGAGTTCCCAAGATGAGGAGGTCCTCAAGGAGAAGGAGGCCAAAATTCGAGGCCGTCTCCGCCGCCGCTATCTGTCCGAGGAAAACTTGAGACGTAACCAACTATGCCAGGAGAAGCTCCTGCGAGTGCCTCGTTATGAAGGCAACCTCAGGTCTGTCAGTACTGACGCGAAGTCTCAGAAGTCCGTTGGATCATCAAAGATATCACGCAAGAGCGATGCAACCGAGCGTCCCCCTAAAGGTCAGTTAGTTGCTTCTTCTCAAGAGGTTGTGTACAACCAGCAGCCGGCACAACACCCTCAAATGGTTCCGCAGTATCCCCCTTCCATGCCTGCCCACCCTGCAAACTACAGTGGTATGCCAATGCAGCCGGTTGCACCCAGCGGGTTTGTCTACATGGGCATTCCCAACGGACCAGGTGCTCAGTCTCATGAGCCCATTCCTATGTATCAAGCTCATGCTCAGGGACACTATCAAACTCCTCTTCAAGGCCAGTCTCAAGCTCTCGCTCAAGGTCAGTATCCGGTCTCTCAAGGTCAGTATCCGGTCCCTCAAGGTCAGTATCCGGTCCCTGCCCAAGGACAATATCCCGTTCCAGGTCAGGTCCCATATCAAGAGTCGCCTCATGTGCCTCCCCAAGGCCAATACCCCGTTCCCGTTCAAATTGCATACCAAGAGTCGAATCAGATGTACCAAAATCATCTTCAGGTCCCCCAACAAGGCCATCAGCAGGCATTCCATGGGTTCGGCCCTGCATATCCAGAAAATCGCCAGGTTCAGTTCCAAAGCCCACCCCAGCCGGGCTACACCCGTCGTGTCGTTTCGTACACTCAACAGCCTGAGCCCATGCAGTACCCAGGCTCATCTCAGCAGCTTCAGAATCAGCGCAGCCGTGACAATATGTCCTACTCTGGTCACGCCACTCCTCGTGGACATGGTTCAACTCCTCGAGGCCGCACTTACAACACTCCACAGGGCCAGTCTTTTCACACTCCTCGTGGTCGAGGTTCGTCTTCTCGAGGTCATGGTTTCACCACTCCTCGCGGGCGTTCCCTGACACCTCGTGATCCCCCCGAGAGTGCTCACCAGCAACGACAGAACCTTGAAGCAAGCCGTTACGATCGTTACAACGACCAGGGGTACCAACTAGGACCATCGCAGTAATTGCAACAAAGCCTAGCGAGTATACCGATGGCGTCGGAACCCGACTTACCGTTGACTGAAAGGTTCTACTCTTCCGCCATGATTTCGTTTTTCCTGACATGAAGTTTCATTCCCTCATCCGTTTTGTTTCCTTCAACATGCGCTTCGATTTGCAAGTGCGAAGGCATATACACGCACATTCGCCTACGCTTATCCATTCCAGATCTATTTCAGTATCGCTCTATAAGCCTAGCAGCCTAGGCTCACTCACCATTTCCGATGCTCGACCTAGTTTATCTCGACATCTTCTTCCTTGATCTTTGCAGTTTCCCCTTCAATCGCATTTCGGCTCATTTTGCTTTCACCAACGAGCCAGTTTCCCCCAGTCACAACACAGCACATTTCACAGCCTTTCAACAACATCAATACTATTCACAGCACAGCACATACATCAGCAGCATGCAAGGCATGCCTCCCCCCCAGCACAGACAGATTTATAAGGAGACAATGGCTTGGATGCCTTCAGACAGAACAGATCTTCAACACATACAGCATGGGTTGGCAAGACTGGATTTTCGATGGGTACCAGGTCGGGTCGGACGAGAGACGAGTTGTCTCTGCGGTTATCTCCTTAGTGTATGGATTTGTATACGTTCTTTCGTTCATTGCCATAAAACCCCCCAGAAAAGCACAAAAAAATATAAAAAGGGACTTTGTCCCAGAAAGAGGAGTAATCCCACCAAAAAAAACTTCCTGTTCCTTGCACCTTGCTATGTGAATGACTGAGTGAATGTGATGATATTAACGAGAGGAGCAAAAGGGCCGAAAGTTGCCACATGATATGATGCGCCTCAGGTATATTGAACTGGGTTGTTGTCGGCCGATCATTTATCGTGGGTCAGCCATCAATCACATCAGGCGGTTTATAACGGGTAACGCTCGCTGACCCCCACTGAAAAGACCTGGAACCCGCCTAGCCCGCGAACTCATTCGCTAAGCATTCTTCTTACAGTTAATTTAGCGGTAGAACGTTACTGCATCGGGCGTAGGAGCTATCTGCTATTTCTATGCTAACGCCAAATAATCAGTTCAGTTCAGTTCAGCCCAGGCGAGACTTTTATTGCCTTCAGCGGCAGTTTTTCTCCCTCTCTTTCTTTCCTCTCACCCTCAACCGACGTTATTCATCAAATAACAACACAGACGCGTCTTGTTCAAACCCTCACGCAATGGGCTTCCCATCTTATTCGGCGTCAAACGCCATCATCTACGTCACTTATGGCGCTTTTCTGTTCGTGGTCCGATCTCGCTGAATACTACCCCTAGCAGTTAAAACTGACCATGGAAATAGTATCATGGGGACTGGTGTTGCCTGGAAGATGAGAAATCAGTCCAAGGCTGATTTCCTTTCCGGTAACGGAACGCAGACGGGTAAGAAACTCCCAACTTTGAACATGTTTTTGTCTTGAAAGATGATGAGATGCATTTCTCTTCTCATACATGGCTCATGCCTCATCCATTCTCTTGGATCACCAGCTAACTTAACCATCTCAACAGCCCTCCCTCTGGCCCTGAACTTCATCGCCTCCGGTGAGTAGAGCCAGCAGAGAGCTCTTGCTATACTATAGCGAACCGGAGCGGTAGCAAACGCAACATGTCAGCAAAAACTTGCACAATCAACAAGACCAAGAACACGGTTGTGAGAACTCAACGAGTTCCAATCTGTAACTTCTTGGCCGAGTATATCAGTCAAGAATGAACGAGCAGGTTCGTATATTGAAACAAAAGGATCTTCTTCCTCTTTCCCCCTTACCTCCCCGAGTTTGCTCTCTAGAACCTGTTGCTACTAAACCTTCTTCCAGCTCAGTTGAGAATGTTCGCATATTCACTCCTCTGAGCTGGGACTACTCAAACCTGCTCCAGAGAGACAGTCTCGGGAGGCTGGGGGGAGAGGATGCGGCTCACTACGGGCGCTGAGTTGACGTATTGTCTGGATCCACCCTCGGAGCACATTTGCTATTGCTATTGCTATATGCAGATAGATATGTTTCTGCTCCGGGGAGACCCTGATGTGCGGCGACGAAGCTGAGATTGTACCGTAAATACTCGATCAAGTTAATGCTTGCGTGGGAAAAGTGTTGCCGCTCCAATTCCATCCTCTCCTCCCCCTTCCAACGTTGGAATTGACAAACTGACTCTTGTAGCTCTTGGTTCCGGCATTCTTTTCTCGTATCCCGAGCTGGCGACCATTTCTGGTGTGCAGGGCATGATGGTCTACGCTCTTGCGTCGTCTCTGCCCATGCTCATCTTTGGATATCTTGGTCCTATCATCCGGCGACGATGCCCCGAGGGTTTCGTCCTCACGGAGTGGACTCGTCAACGATACGGCATCATCACCATGCTGTATCTGAGCTTCATGTCGCTCGTTACCTTGTTCCTGTACATGGTTGGTGAGTTGTCGGCTATCGGACAGGTCGTTCAAGCTTTGACTGGCCTTGACCCTCTGCCCATCATGATCGTTCAGTGTGTAATCACGACCATTTATACTTGTAAGCCGCCTCCTTTGCACTCATGGATCCGATTCTAACTATGCATAGCTCTTGGCGGATTCAGAATCTCCTTTCTTACCGATATCGTTCAGGGTACCATGGTTATTGGTCTTGTCATCATCGCCGCCATCACCATCGGTGTCAAGACTGAGATCCAACGCCCTCTCATCGACGAATCCGGTCTTACCAAGCCGAACCTGCTTGGCTGGCAGCTTCTGTACATCCTCCCTGTTGCTGTTCTGACCAACGACTTCTTCCTTTCGTCATTCTGGCTGCGAACCTTTGCCTCCAAGACGGACAAGGACCTTCGAATTGGCACCACCATTGCTACCATCGTCATCTTGTGCATCCTTACGCTTGTTGGCTCTACTGGTCTTATCGCGATTTGGTCTGGAGCCTTGTCACTCGAAGACAACGCCGCTGGCTCTGGCTCGGTAGCCTTCTTCATCCTCCTTGAGACCCTCCCCAGTTGGGTCGTCGGTATCGTTCTCGTTATGGTGGTCACCCTGAGCACAGCTGCCTTCGATAGTCTCCAGTCCGCCATGGTGTCCTCTGGATCCAACGACCTGTTCCGGAACAAGCTCAACATATGGTACTGCCGTGCCATCGTCGTCCTCATCATCATCCCCGTTATCGTCATTGCCCTCAAGGCGCCATCGGTTCTTCAGATCTGGCTCATCACCGATCTTATCTCTGCCGCCACCATCCCAGTTCTCGTCGTTGGTCTCATTGACAAGTTCTACTGGTGGCGCGGCTTTGAGGTAGTCGTAGGTGGTCTTGGCGGTATTCTGACCGTCTTCATCTTTGGCTGTGTCTACTACGGCAACGCCCAGGAGGCTGGTGAGCTTCTCCTCGTGCAGAAGGGTCTGTACGGGAACGACTGGAGTGCCTTTGGCGCTTTCGTTGCCGCACCTGTTGGAAGTCTTCTCTGGGGCTGTGGTGCTCTCGTCCTCCGCATTACTTTCCAGTATGTGTCTGCCAAGGTCCGCGGACACCGCTTCGACGCTCTGGACCGTCCTCTGAACCTTCGTCCTGCTAGTAGCAATGACGATGTTCCTTCAGAAAACCTTGTTTCTCAGAGCCCGGGCAAGTTCTTTTAGATGGACACAACAGATGCCGTTGGATTCTGTTTCATCACAATTTGGTGCGCAGTTGGGAGGATGTGGTGCAGTGTTGATCCCATAGTGAGGATGGGAGGTTTGCCAAAAGTTACTCAATTTGTTCGTATCTTCTAAATACATAACAGCTTTCTTAGCTGGATATATCAACTCGTTCTTATTCAATGTTATTTACTCTCCTCAGCCTTGATAGAGTCGAGTCGTATTATCATATAAGCCTGCGAGCCGGGCTTAAACCATAACTGTCAAAGGCGCCACTTGATGTAGACGAAAACTATTACTTGTTGGATGGATGAAGTGACCCCTTCAACCCTTTATAGAGGTCTGTCTTCTACTAAGGTATATCCGAGACAGATTCTACATCTCACTTCATAATCCCAAATGGTCATGACTTCAAGAATAGCTTTCATCCCATGCTCTTCCCTCAGGGGGGAATAAAACACAGGAAGTGAATTTCACTGGATACTAGACATTTCTAGATGGGATATCTACCATAATATAGTGATAAGAATATAAAGATAGATTTAATATTCTTTGAAGGGAATTTTTAGTAATACTTATGATATGTTTTGATAAGTAAAATGATTTTATCTGGCCCTACTCAATTGAAGACATCTTGGTGGCAGACTCACAGCCCATGTTTTCTTTCACCCTTAGTCTCCCATCAGTCGATTGTATTTAAAGGGTGTTGGAACTACTGGTTCCTCGTTTAATACAACTAATCAGCCTGTTGTCCCAGCGCTGCCATAAGGTACCAGAGACGTGTGTTCACCTGACTACTCCAGCTTGTTGTCAGGTTATCTCCAAGGAGCGCGTCCATATCGCCACCATCCTCGAATCGGGTGAGGTCAATCAAGATGACTGTCATTCCCCCACCTAGAGAATCCAAAATATGTGAGCTCAAGGTGAAGATAATGGATGATGAAGGCTGACTTGCCCTGTTTGCAAAAGCGTTACAAATAAATCACTACTATCCAGAATTGAATCGGAGAAGTACTTTGCAGACGTCCGTTCGCCGGCCCCAATGCTATTCTATGATACAGATATGCTCATCGTACAATACACACTCTCATGTTACATTTCCCTCCTTTTTATCCTCCCAGTACATTCCATTCTTTATGACCTCTATTTCGTTGATTTCGTAGGTCCCTTCCACCCAGCACGCTGAGCTTGCTCTCTCATGAGCCACTCCTGCTCCTCATTGAACGCCTCAAGCGTCGTAGCAGGGACAGTTCCCCATATACGCCATGGGCTGGACAAGAATGTCTTCTCGTTGACCTGCCTTGACAGCACCACGTACTCCATCTTGTCTTGCACTTTTGTGCTACCGGGGATAAGCTCGCCGGTGGTCTTCTTGAATTTCGCAACTCGTTGTGTTGAGGCGATTGCTATAACGGCTTGCTGTGTGCTGTTGTCCTTATCGTGAGGGTTGATGTTATGGACCTGGTGCGCTAACACGCGAGGGTATAGCAATGTCTTGTTAAGCTTGACAAGCTCGAATGTGACACGCTCAGCAGGGTTTCGACGGTCAATAGCGGCAGTGAGTTTCTTGCTGAACTGGCCGAGGCATAGATCGTTGATGGTGGCCTTGTCACCAGCAGCAAAGGCCTCGAGCATCTCCATGTACATGTTCTTCGCTGTGGGCGCAATTGTGCCGCGGCCGATCTTCCATTTGGGTCGGGTTGTCCAGCCGGGCATGGACTTGAGCTTGAACTGAAGGAGAGACATGTATTCAATTCCCCATGAGCGAAGTCGGTACCATGAGTAGTTGAGGAAATTGGAGACGCCGGAGGGGTATCGAGATAACGGTAGGGCGACGAATGTGCCTATTTACATCGTTAGCTTCCATTGTCTATTCATTCCCATACTATATTGCCTCGATTGGCGCATATGGAAGTCCCGAATCCTGTATATCCCCCTCCATCATCACTCACCAGGAAACAATGGACCACCACCAAACTTGAAGTACTCTTCATTCGCCTTCTTCTGCATCGCAGACATGGACTGGGTATCTGTCTTCTTGGCATCCTTCATGGCCGCCCTTTGCATCTCCCGCAACATCTTTCCCTTGGAGGGCATCGAGATATAACGACATTGCACCCTTGTCGCTCCGAGAACACTTCGGCGCAGAACAGCTGGGCGCAAGGCCAGTGCTGAGGAAGACATAATCGGCCGTTTTTTGTGCTTTCTAGACCGAGACTATAGTGAAGTGAGAAAGGTACAAAGTACGATACGTATTGAGAAAGACACCCGGTGGTTACCGGCGGCGCAGGGTCATTATCGAGCTGAAGCTGGCTTCGGCGATCATCTGCTTCCGCCGTTGAAGAATTTCATGGGTTCTGGGCTGATGACGGATCAAACATGCCCCGATCCCCGCTGCACAGGGCAGCGGGTGCCAAGGTGGGGTAGTTGGGAAACAAAACAACGGATGTGAAGTATATCACAGATTGGGATAATAGTAATATGGAACATATAAATCATAAAGGTATGTTTGAGTGAGATTTATAGAATAGTTTGGTTGGATGGTAGTTTTATTTATACTCTCATATTCGGCAAGAATCATCTTCGTAGTATGGCTGGCGGTTCATCCCCTAGCTCCCAGGTGGAACTAATTTACACAGGCTAGACAGGTGTAAATCAACGTCGGCAGACGCAGAGCCGCAACTCTACGGCGACATCATAACCTGACAGCCTCATCACGACTAGAGGCTCGATACTGTTGCCAAGACTATTACTGCGTTCGAATCTCATGTCATTCGGTTCTCGGTGAGCCAATTGGGCTCCGTGAAAAAGCTTGCGACAGCTTAAATCCTCCACATCATCCATCTGACGAGCAAAGCTGCCCATCATGAGAGTCACACAAACGCTCCTCTCGAGGAACTTCTTTGGCCGGAGCATGGAAGAGCTCAAGAGGCGCACACAAATAGGTAAGTTTACCAGTTTGTACTCGGAGATCTGGAGCTAATCGTCGCAGCTGTGACCTTCGAGGCCATCAAAGGCGCTACAGAACCGAAGCCGCTGTACGACTTCAGCAACCCCGATAGCGTTCGCGATTGCATCGTCATGTCCGACAAGTCAATAGACGGTTTCTCAGAAAGCAATTTTGAGTTCCAAAAGTCTCCGGACTCCCACAACAACCCTCAGATACCCTCTGCCTTCGCCCGCTTCTACGGCAGCATCTCTACTCGCCTCCCCGTTGATCGCCCCAATATTCAACGTACAGGCTTCGCCGGCTTCCGATCCCCTGATCCAAAGCCCACCATCTTTGGCCGTTCCATGTGGGACATCGATCCATTCATCTACCTCGCTCTGCGCGTCAAATCCGACGGCCGCAGTTACTTCGTCAACTTGCAAACTGAGAGTGTTGAGCCTTCAGATCTACACCAGCACCGATTATTCCCAAAACGGGCCGGACAATGGGAAACGGTGCTGATCAAATGGAACGATTTTGTTAGAACGAACCACGGTTTTGTGGTGGAACCACAGACTGAGATGCTACGGCAGAAGGTTTTGAGTGTAGGTGTGGGATTGACGGATCGTGTTGATGGCCCGTTCGAATTGTGTATCGAGAAAGTCTGGGCTACCAACGATCCAAGTGAAGCCGAGACAGCAGAGGAACCTCAGGTCGAGGCTGTTCCGGATGGGGGCCAGTTAAGGAACAAAAAGGGCGAAAAGGTGCGGTGGTGAATATCAAATACTAGATGATGTCGATGGGACAAGGTCCACTGTGTGTGTATTTATAGATCTTGATGCCCTGGGATAAAAGTATCCTTGGATGTCGGCTGACGCATAATCCATTTTTGTACAAATAAAGGTATAATGAACTCCCATGTTCTGTTCCCCTTCATGTCCGTCACCATCGTCAATCATTATCCGCCAATGCTGAGGGTTTCAGCAGTCTTCCGTAGTGATACATACGCCGCGGCGTAATCTGCTGCCAGGACTAAATCCCCCGTTAGTTTCATGATCATTGCCTTCTTTGCCATCATTTGGCATTGCATGTTGATGTCTTCAACGGCCGAGTAGTGGTCGAATGACTTCTGTACGGCGGCGAGAGCTTTCGTCATATATTCTACACGCCTAGACGACTTGGGCTCGCAAGCACCAGCGAGACCCATGTGGGCATCCGCGAGATAACAGTAGAGCTGCGCTGTTAGGCTCGCAGTCTCGCACTCCAGTGAACGTGGTATAACAGCCAAGAGAAGTTGTGAGGCAGGCTCAAACTCGGCCAGAGAGATGAGAATATTTGAGAGAGATCCGATAGCTTGCCAAAGGCAAGGGATGAGGCGAGCTCCCCATGAGATGCTTGCTGCTCGCATAACTGTGGTGAAAGCTCTCTGTGGCCGGCCAGACTTGTCAAGAAGGGAGGCCTTGAGAAGTAGAAGCTTAACACGGAGAACCACATCCTTCTTCTCATCTTGTAGCTCTGACATCATACTATCGACTTTGGCAAAGGCAGCTTGGAGATCTCCACGACGAGTAAGATAATCGATATGAAGAGTGTCCACGAGAAATGCCATGTCAGGTTCAAGATCATCCATCTTGGATTGAAGAATTTGAGACAGTAGTCGTTCGGCTCCCTCCAAGTTGTTGTGGTGCAGATCCCTCTTCAACTTAACAACTCCGCGGTACTTGTGCCAGTATTGGCTAGGCTTCCAGGACCTGAGGGAGTTCTCCTCCAGCTCTTCCAATTTGCTCAACGCATCATCGTATCGGCCACGGGACGCAAGCAAGAGCGCGAGTCGGCAGGTAAGCTTTAGCTCGTCATCAAAGACGGCATTTCGAGCATGGCATTTGAGAAAGACCTCGCAAGTGGCTGACGATAGTGTCGACAGCCCAAGCCGATCCCACAAAGCTGAAGTTAGGGAAAGGTGAGAGCCAAACATGTTTTTCATGTTTCTCTCAACGATGATGTGTGAGCTCCGGACCACAGACTCAAATGCTGTAGCCACACTATCACCATTGAGCAGTGTAAGCTTGGCTTCGCTGAGGAGAACCGAACTCCACAATGTCCACATGCCTGTTTCCTTGGCCTTCACTCGCAAGAAGGCCAGGCTCTCCTTGCCGGTACCAAGCATGCTGTTAGATTCCAGGCTCTGGACGAGATCAGGGTGTGCGCGGCCAAAGTGAAAGAGCCAATTCAAGGCGAAGTTGAGGCAGGTCATGTCTCGATTCTCACGTGCTGTCGACACTGTTTCGAGCATGGCCGCCACAGCTTCTTTGTGGCAGCCAAAGTCCGCTTGTAGGACAGCAAGGTTCATAAGAGCATATTGGTAGAACAGTCGGTCTCTATTCTGCATGGTATAGTCAAAATATCGATGAAGGTAGTCGAATGCAGTGGGATAGTCTCCGGCTCTCCATGAGTCAAGGAATCTGCGAGTTGTTAGCTGTCGGCCGCAGGGGGTACCGGTGTAAGGCACATACTTGAGGTAGTGTGTCAGGCTGGGGATGAGGTAGCTGTCGTTGAGAAGATCGTGGAATTGGTGGCGGATCTCCAGCGGTATTCTGTTTCCAAATTCTAACTTTGTCAGCAGTCTTTCCCATGAGGCCACAAGAACCACGTACTCTGCATCTGCTCGATCTGGAACTCAAGCAGGCTTTCAACATCATCCATGCTCACGGGGAGTGAGCCGCTCTGATCCCCTGTGAGCATGTCACCATAAGCAACAGAGGCCAGGTTCATGACACTCTGATGGTCCCAGTCCTCTTGCTCTCCCATCAAGAGGACATTGTCAAAGCTTAGTCGACCAAAGCCCGGGATCTTGCGCTTTAGATAAGAGGCGGTTGGTTGACGATATCGTACAAAGTGCTTCCAGAGCTCTGTGCAGTCGTGAAAACGTAAACGCTGGTACTCCAGCCGTGCTCTGCGCACAAAGGTTCCGAATGGCGAGTTCGCTGAAAGCTTGATGCCTTCGTCTTCTTCCGCCGGTTGACCTAACTCGGCCAATCTCTTTCGCTCCTCTTTAGTCTTGGCCAACATGCCTGACAGGTTGTCAAAGAATTTATGTAGCGCATCAAGAGAGTTGATTTCCCAGAGTTTTCCAAGGAACTGGTCCCATAATCTCCGACCAGGCATGCCCATCAAGAAGGGATAACTCCCGAGAAGCTTCTCAAAATCTTTGATACTGATAACAAGGCTAACAGTTCGTTCTGCCTTGCTCCATCGTTCAGATTGATCGGCAGACATTTTAGTAGTAGTGTGATCCATAAGGTGAGAAGTGATAAAGGACAACACAGGGAGAATGGCATCACTCGGCACCGCTCCTTCAACGTAGAGCTCTACAAGAGCGAGAAGGCCAATTTTGGCCGGGTTGAGATATCGAGCCATCTTTTGTCGTCATTTATCAGATTAATTATTGAGAGTGGAGTTGTAAAGAGAAGAAGCGATTGATGTAGTGAAGTGAGGCAGGAGAGGTCCAAGTGCCAGCGCCGTTCTATTTGGCAACAAGACGCGCCTACCCAAAAGTTAACGGAGGTTCGCACTTGCCGAATATGATCAGCGCTACCTTGTTTACTGATTACGTATTCCTCCCATCAGTGTTTAGATAATCTCTCAGCAAATGAGGGCATCAACAGCTATGCCTCCTGTGGCTGGCGCAGCTGCATGTGGTGTTGTGGTGCTGGTAGTTGTTGTTTGGCCGGGGCTTCTTCGGAAAATCCCGGTCAACATTGGCGACTAAGGTGGGATGACACAATCTCAGATTGTGGGGATGCATCACGACGTCAAAGGGCAGATTCAGTAAATAACTTAGATTTTGGTCATGATTCGTTTGATTCAATTACATTTTATACGTCGTTCCAAGATCAGAAAAAATAATCAGAAGACAGCGGCTCAATAACGAAGTGACTAGTGCAAGAAGGTATTGGCGAAGAGTGACGGAAGATTGATGACAATGACTTCAGAACATGCCAGACAATACTCAAACTAGAGGATGCAAGTCTATGCTTAAATGATCGAAGCAAATCTTGAACGGGAGTTCAGAACGAGAGTAGAACAAAGGCAAAAAGACTGGCCGACAAACATGAAGCACCGCTCATATCAAGCAAGTACCACGTTTTACATTACAAAACACACTCACTGTCCGTAGGTCAGAGTTTCAATGATCAGTCAATTCGAGTCTAGGAAACATGTACAAGGTATCTCCAGAGGGAGTAGTCCATGAAGGAGTAGTCCGACAATTGTCCAACGCATGAGCTGTCAGCAGGTCATACTTAAGAGGCCTTGTCCTTGTTGTGGTAGTTGACCTCATCGTTCCAGCTGTATAAAGTTAGTAAACGGTCCTGAAAGTCCTTGAACGAGCGATCTTTGAGCGCATGGGTGCAAAAGCTGGCGTCCAAGCTTCTTGAAGCTCTCTTAAAGCAACTCAAGCTCTTTCGTTCAGTACAACGTCACAACTTACAAGAGAGTCTACCATTATGTTAGTAACGTGCAACTGAACCATACAACTCATCCAAGACTCACCTTGTCTCCGTTACCCCACTGGTAGTTCTTGGAACGGATGTTCTGGTAGGGGTACTCGGTGCGCTCCTCCAGAGGAGGCATGTGGCTCCAGTGCTCCCAATGCTCGTTCCAGAGCCAGTAGGCGTTGGCACCAGCGGCGATAAGGCAGGGGGCGACACCGCTTCGATATTGTTAGCCTTTGCTATCCCATTGCATCACCACAATCTCATCGTGTCCAACTTCCGACAGTCCGGAATCAAGGCCGGGTTCGTAATTCGCTCAAGGGTTCGGGTTCGGACGTACTAAAGAGAGATCTTCTTCCAGAGCTCTGTTCATCGTCAGTAATCACGCCCAATGCCTCCAATTGACCCCATTTCGGCGTCATCGGCGCTTCGACTCACCAGTGGTACCGGTAGCGTGCTCCTTGATGTGCTGGCGCTCCTTGATGAACTCGTTCTCGGTGGTGCTGGCGAAGCGGCGCTGGAGGGGAGCGCGAAGCTGCGCAGTGGCGCGCGTGGCAGCGCGGGTGAATCGGACGGCGGACATGGTGGACGTTGTTGTTCGCTTTGACGGTTGATGAGTCCAGGCAAGTTTGTGATCAGGTCATTCTTGGACGAGCTCGGTTAGAACCGCCAATCAAAGTTGCCTCAATTGTAAGGTGTCAGTTTTCCCCGGCCGATGACCTCAGACACGTGATCTCGTGCTGCCGGCGCGCTGTTAGACTTGCAACACCACGCGGTGGGGCTCTACGTCGTTGTAGTGATCGCGACGTCGTAGATTGACTGTTTTCTTGTAAACCAGCTACCACCAGCAATCAGCGAAGCGTATGCTTTTTTCTTCTTTATCTGACTCGTGCCCAAGACTTTTAACCTCAACGGCTCCTCCTTCATTCTTCTATTTGTCCACACACGCAATCCATTGCTGATTTCGCCGCCCTTCAACTCATGATCTCAAGATCATCACCATCCCGTGATGAGACGTGAGGCGCTCATAATACCCAATTCCGACCTCTTATAACACTTCTCACTTTTGAAACTTACAACACATAATCTGCAAACATGGTGTTTCGGCTTATCACCTGGAACGGTGAGTCCAGCCGAACCTTTCTTGGCACTAGCACTAACATCTTCTGCAGTCAACGGCATCAGGTTCGTGATTCACAACACCACAACACTAAACTCATCCTAACTGTGGGTCATCACAGGAACCCTTTTGGTTATCAGCCTTGGAGAGAAAAGAGAACCTTCCAAGTCAGCTCCTTCATCCTACAACCTACATCTGACAACCTCACTCACCCTTACGCAGGCTATGTTCGATATCCTTGAAGCAGACATTGTTGTTATGCAAGAGGCCAAGATACAACAAAAGGATCTTCACGATGACATGGTCCTCGTCCCTGGATGGGATGTCTTCTTCAGCTTGCCCAAGCATAAGAAAGGTACTGCGAGCCACGAACCCTTCCTTGCATTGGGAAGTAACATCTAACTCCCCCTTCAGGTTACTCTGGTGTCGCCATCTACACTCGAAATTCATCGTGCGCCCCAATAAGAGCTGAAGAAGGCATCACTGGCATCTTGACACCTCCAAAGTCTACAATCAGATACCGAGACCTCCCTGAAGACCAGCAAATTGGTGGCTATCCTCGACCTGACCAGCTTGACGGAATTGTTGATGAGGCAACACTTGACTCTGAAGGTCGTTGCGTTGTTCTCGAGTTCCCTGGTTTCGTGCTCCTCGGAGTGTACAGTCCCGTAAACCGCGATGAGACTCGTGACGACTTTCGCATTGGCTTCTTCAAAGCACTCGACGCCAGGATACGGAACCTGATCGCTGCAGGCAAGCAGGTCATTCTCACTGGCGACTTAAACGTTGTTGGCTCCGCACTTGACTCTACCAGTGTTTCGGAGACACTACGTAGAGGCGAAGTTGATCTTAGCGACTGGTTGAACTCCCCTGTGCGGCGCGTCTTCAATCATCTCGTGTTTGACGGGGACGTAGTAGGCCAGAGAGATCAAGGCCGTGAAACACCTGTTCTCTGGGATTTGTGTCGCTGCTTTCACCCTGAGCGAGCTGGCATGAACACATGCTGGGACACCAAACGAAACACACGACCTGCCAACAACGGCAGCCGGATCGACTACGTTCTATGTAGCGATGGCATCAAGAGCTGGTTCAACTTCTCCAACATTCAGGAGGGCTTAATGGGATCCGATCATTGCCCAGTCTTTGCGACCTTCTCAGATAAGGTGACAGTGGGAGATGAAGAACGTGCCTTGATGGAAATGGTGAACCCCCCTGACATGGTCCAGGGGGAGGGGCGTCTTCGAGATTGGAGCACAAAGGATCTGCTTCCTTTGTCTGCAAAGCTAATTCCAGAGTTCGACCGCCGGCGGAGCATCCGCGACATGTTCACAAAGAAAGCAACCCCAGCCGTCCCTCCACCAGAATCTACGAACACGGACACGCCTGCAGAGTTCTCAATGAACGGAAATAGCAGCACACAAGCCTCAACATCGAAATCGGACGAGACTTCATGGTCACAAGCCAGCACTACATCTACGTCAAGATTAAGTGAGACCGTCAGCCCCGCCAAACCCTCCATGTCTCAATTGAACACCAAGAGAACTGTGCCAGCCGCAGACACAACGAGCCGATCGTTCAAAAGGTCCAAGTCTTCAACAAGCGCGAGCGGCAACAAGAGTAAAGCTGCAACAGGCCAACGAACATTGCAGGGATTCTTCAAGCCAAAAGCGCCAACAGCCCAAGATGGCAAGCTAGAAGCTGCGGCGGCAAGTTCTACGCCCCCTCTGACAAAGAAACCGACAGCAACAGCAAAAGTGTCGGCTAGTCCGCAGCAACCATCGAATACCCCGCTTGCGACGCTTCCAGAAGGATCACAACCAACGCTCTCCCTGCGCGGCAACGACTCCGACACTTCCGACAGGGTGTTCGACCCCATCGAAGCCAAAGAGTCGTGGTCCAAGCTGCTGGGGAAGAGGGTTGCACCAAGATGCGAACACAGCGAGCCCTGCATCAGTCTCACTACCAGGAAGCCAGGAGTCAACTGTGGTACGTTATACAGCGGCGGCTGATTCCAACGTGCATGCGGTGGCGTTACCGTTACACAACCCCACGGTCGCAACGTCGGTTGCTAATGCAAAGTCAAACTTTGAAAGCTAATCTTGATACCTGACAGGTCGATCGTTCTACATTTGCCCGCGACCGTTGGGGCCGTCGGGAGAGAAGGAGAAGAACTCGGAGTGGCGGTGTGGTACGTTCATCTGGAGCAGCGATTGGACTGGCTCTTGATGTGAGCTCTACAACTCGGATAGCATCTTGTTGGAGATACTGTATATACCTATGTACTGGCGTTGGAATTGAGCGATGGCTTTGAACATAATGCTGGACTACAAAACCCCGATGCTGACAGCTTGCTGTCAAGCTAGGCAAAATAAGTGTCTTCTTCTAAGTAGCTCTTGGTCTTTCTTTCACTCATTTACATCTTCTTCCTCTTCTGCTTCTTGATCTCTCTCTTGGCCTCCCTCTTTGTCTTACTGGGTTTCTTAAGGTTATCTTCAATCTTGGAGGAGGGGATTTCACAATACAGGCAATAGGCTTGAACGAAATATAACTAGCAATTGATCTCGATTGAATCTCCACTCTAGGAAAGCGCAATACGCTCTCGATGTGCTAACTAAGTATCCACCTAGCTAACCATATGTACCATGATGCAAACCCCCATCAATCGAGACCAAGTAAATGGTCATCAATCATCATTCTCCCAAGTCGTTCTTCCTCCATCTAAGAATTGTCAGATATTGTTTTGTTATACGAGGAGATCACAAACTTACCATTATCGTCCGAAGACTACGCTTAAGACCTCAAAGCTGGCTCGTGCTTGTTGCTGGGATGGGTATCAATGGGATGGCAGTCCATTTAGATAACGTTCTGCTGAGCGGCAGGAGCGACAGCGGCAGCGGCAATCTGGTTAACCGCGAACTGAGTAGCGGTAGCAGCAATGGTGGCAGCAGGGTTGCTCAGGGGAGTGTTGCGGCGACGTCGATCAGAGGGGCGACGAGGACGGTACTGGTAATCCGGGTACATTCGGCGATGTTCTTCCTTGACAATATCTGCCTTCTGCTTGTAGAGAAGGCGGATCTCGGTTTTCTCCATGTTCCAGGTTCGGCCAAGAATCATAGCTAAAGGGAAGTCAGTAATGCACGATGGATTCTCACAAATTACTCACAGATTTGGTTGTTGGTCAGAGCAGGGCGCTCCTTCTTGATCTTTTGGTGGCGCTCCTTGCGGTAGATGATGTAGGCGTTGGGAGGTCGTGGAATCTTGGCACGCTTGGGAGCATGATCAGGACGCTGCATGTAGATAGCCTCAGGAGCGCCTGGAACAACGATGAGCATTCCGCCATCCTTCATGATGTCGCGGGGAGCTCCGAGGTAGTAGCACTCGTCCTTGTTGTTGCGGGCGTAGAGAACAGGCTCGCCAAATTCGGCCCTATTGGAAAAGATTGTAAGTAATCATGAGTTGAGAACTTCATAACATAGTAACTAACATGAACAGGTTGGCGAGGGCGGTCTTTGCGCCGATATCCATATCCTCATAGATCTGAGTAGGAACGATGATAAACTTGCGTTTTTCTTCGGCACTCTTGGGAGCAAGGCACTGAAAGACGCTGTCGATATGCTCGGCAGACCACATAGTGCTGAAGGTAACAGGAGTGCCGTCTCCAGCTGGGATCAAGACAAGGGTGGTCATGGTGATGATGATTAACCTCAGTTGATCTTGCTGATGTTCTTGGAGATGAGAGAAGGTTTCTTGAAATAGTGAGAAGAAGAAACTCCGAATGGTTGTTGGGGTGAGGGGTGAGGAAGAGAAGAAAGAAAAGCAAATCAGTATCCTCGCTGGAATTTTGTAGGCAGTGCTCTGCAAACGCCTACCTATACAAACAAACGCCGCCTTTAGGTGGTTTTATTGATGCACGGCAGTGGGGTATCGCTTTTGGCAGGCTCCACAATGTACGTATCTTTTCAGGGATTCTCCTGAGATTCACCTCTCCCACCCCTCATCGCTGTATGCATCATGGTCTGTGCGTTTATCCCGCCTGCAGGTGGCAGGCACTGTGTGAGATGATATGTCGGGATCTAAGGGCTACCGGTCCAACAGTGCTTGGAAGGCATACCTCAGAAATAAAGACTTTAAGCAACATTTTTGATCCAAGCCGAATTCTTGGCAACGGTATCTTTCTTATTTATCTAAAAATATGAGCGAATTTTCTGTGATATGGGAAAGGGTTTTGGCCGATGTATATTGCTCTCCTGGATGTGTCTACTGGAAAGATCATATTAAATAATCTGCTTGTATGATTTCATCTGCGAACTACTACTACGGAACTAATTTGAGTCTTCGATTCCATACTCGCTCTGACAGAGTTCTTATAACTTTGAATTATGAGGGACAAGACTGTGACTTTCTAATCGAACAAGACTTGACCTTGGTTTTGCTATTAATGTTTCAAAGAAATTTCTCCAAGTGTCTGAATTGGCGGAAGAAGAGAAAACCACCTCAAACTTGTGCCACTCATTCCTTAACAGCGGTTAGATACGCTCAAACTTTAGTTCTCTGCAGTCCGTAAGTCACAAGGTAGGTCTTGACAGTAAGGTAACAAGAGGAGTATAGATTACGTCCAAAATATAATATATGACTTCGAATCCCATCTCTATTTTGCCTTTAGATCCTATTGTATGCAACAGAACTATTCTGGGAGGAGAAAGGACACTCTCTCGTATGAACACGAAAAGACATATTGATCCTATTATTGTACTACTCAGAAGTGTCCAACGACCTCGCAACCTCCGGAATCAATCTGATGTGATAAACATCTTACTATTCGGGAACATGAAAGCAAGAAAACTATCCTTTGAAATAACTCATAACGATTATTGATTTGAGTCAAAACATGGTATGGTGTGTCCCCAGATGTTCTGTTAGTTAAGAATGTTGGACATCTGCAAGTTTCAAAAACACCATCCAGTACTCCCAGCCTCAATATCGAGAGCATGCGTTTTTGAGGCATGAGTAAACTAAAGATCTTCAAAGATCTTGTGATCTCTTTGAAGTGTCCACGAGAGTTCTAAAAACCAAAACCTGACTAACGTGCTTATCAACGTTGGTGTGATGCTAACAGCAGTGCCAAGCCCTGGCAGCGTTCAACCCATTAGCCCAGTTGTGACGTTGGCGTTGTTTATGGGCGTGAAATTTGTAAAGCCCCCACCGCACACCCAACCCATAGCTATCGTTGGAACTTCTCTTTCCTTTCTCCCACCCACCAAACATTCTTCTCCTGACCTCTACATCGTCACACTTTATCAAGCCATACTCCTCTTGAGCCTCCTTCTTTCGATTTTCTCTGTCTTCACCCATCACGAACATGGCGTCTCAGTCTCAGTCTCGGCCTCAGGAACCCCCACCGTTGCCAACCAGTGCCTCGGAACACGATATTCGTGCTGTCTTAACTGGGGAGGCTTTGAGTCACCTGGAGCCGTGTCCTGGTGGTGAGTGGAAATTCTTCTCTCAGAATGAAGATTCTATCGTCGTCGTGTATACCATGCCCGACGGCACTGAGGTCATGAGAACCATCGTTGATATGGCCGTCACTCCTGAAGCTGCCACGCATATTTGTTGGCAATACCTTCACAGCCCTAACGCAGGTAAGCGCTCACATTTTCTCATCCAACTCCGATATCCCAAGTAACACAGAAAACTTTACAGGCTTCAACCCAGGAGCATCGATTCAAAACTATACTCCCAACCTCTCACCTGAGTACCACTCATACGTGATGCAATTGAATCAGCAGTTTGCAGACTTGAACAATGCGTGGCAGTCACACACCGTTGTCCCGCAAAGTCTCGTTATGCCAGGCCCAACCAATGCGCAGCTTTCAAACTCTGGCCAGATCCCCACTCAAGCTCCTGGTCAAGCTCAACCTCTTACTCAGTTCCAGGCGTCCAACGCCTCCCTGACGATGCCCATGGGACCGTTTCAGAACATGCAGCCAATGAACGTTGCTCCAAATGGGTTTGGAAATGTTGCTGGTAAGCATGTCTACTATGCTCAAGAGTCCAAAGCTAACATTTCAGTAGCGTTTCAGAATGGAAATGTCGCTGCTGCGAATGGCAACTTGTTCCCTCCTCAAAACGACAATGATGAAGCAGTCAATCCCGAATCTGCATGGGGTCCCTTCAATCAGCAAGCCTAATTGCGCATCTTCCTGTGAGAAGCACCTTGTTTTGAAGCAGAGCTCTACGGATTTGACTCAAGTCTCTAACTTCAATTTCCCCCAGGCTCTAGCTTTGGATACCGGCATTATTGACGTATCCAGTGCATGGTCCGTCGACAGGCTCCTGGTTGGTCAGAAGATTCAAGATGCGATAGGTAATACTCCCTTCTTTTTCTTTCATCCTTTTTTTTCTTTCCCCCTTAGAAGATCAAGTCATACTAACGTGTGAAAAGCTGCCAGGAAAGCCTTACAGAAGCCTGCTGAAGGCGAGTACCGGGTGTACCCCAACAACATTTGAGTGCGAATGATGCAGACGGGCGATTTCAAGATGGATGTGGACACGGATATGGACATGGACATGGACATGGAAATGGAAATGGAAATGGAACTACTTGAAATAATACCCGATTGTCGAGGGCATTTACGTGAGACTGGGAAGGTCTCCTTGGGCAGGTTGCTTAACTACGAGATAGTTTAATGATGGTTTACGGGATACTGGTGGCAGACTTTGAACTTTGAACTTTGAACTTTGAACTTTGACGTGACGTTGGAATTGTGTTTGGCATGGCCCACAGTAACTAGTATTGGTGGACAGCTAAGATGATTGGCCACTAACCTGACCACTTGGTGCGATCGCCAAGATCAGAGCTGAGAGGACACAACCCTGTTCGAAGTGGTCTTAATCCTAATCTAAAGCTGACCAAAATTTACTGGCATATACGAATTCTTTTGAGAAATTTAAACATATTCACACCAAGTTGGAAATAAACTGCTGCGTAAGAACATTTATTGTTATCAGGTACTATTATACACTGTTACCCAGCAACCAATGACTTGCAAACGCTGGGGAATACACTGGTTGACACTGTCTGTCGACTAACCGTTTTCGACGGACCCACTACGATCCGCAGTGGTATGCCACTGCAGCACGCCCCTGGGGGTATCGATATTGAGACGGGACCCAGCACATCAAGAGCTTGACAGATTGGGACTTAGCGATGTGGATGTGGATGTTTTTGGTTCTGTAGGGCTGATGAGCTCCATGGAAGTGAAGGGATCACGGGCCAGCCGAGTAGCTGGAACGGGCGATAGTTGCGAGGTCAATATCTACGGATACAAATTGTCGACAAGTTTATATAATGATTCACTGTTGAATGCAATGGTAAGTAATTCAGTGTTGAAAAGTGACGGTAAATGATTCAGCGCTGAAAGATGGTAAATGATTCAGTGTTGTCAAATCCTCTACCCAATACCCAAGCAGCCAAGTGATTCAAGTTGCCAAATCCTCCGGCCCTGGCACTGTATGGATACGCAGTGACCGGGTTGAACATTTAACGTTTTGATACTTTGACGGCTACGGTTAACGCTTGAGGCTACAGAATACGCTTGCGGTTACGCCTGCGGGTAGTGTGTAGACTGCCCGTAGACTGTAGACTAGACTACAGACTGCACGGATAGTCCGCTTCAACTTGTGCCTTGTCTCGCGTCTTTTCTCGCGTCGCGATACAAGAAAAAGGGTCATTCAGTCCATCCCATGCCCAGGCCCTAAGTTAGACCCTAGATCCTAGACCCTACCTAGACCATCAAACTCAAGACTCCAGACTCCAACATTCACGATCGCGGCCATGCCTCACTAAAAACACAGCCAACATCCTTTCCCGCAAGCCATGCCATCAACTTTATCACGCCCGTAGACGATGCGATTGGCCGTCTGTCGACACACTAGCATTTAGATCAAGTCTGGTCAAGATGTTTCAACACCAATATCGATGAGGGCATCAATCTCGGCTTCGTCTCTTAGACAAGAACCCGGGCATGCCAAGACACGCACCGCGCTATCGCCGTGCAGTTCCTCTGGGGGCTTGCAGCTTGCCCTGCAATTTGCAAGATTGTGTCACCGGCCTACGGATAACCCTGGACGCTTCGTGATGGATGGTGATGGTGACAGTGACGAGTCATATTGCTTTTTTTCCCCTCCAAAGCCAGGTATCCTGCATGGTGCAAACCAGTATTCTCGGGGTGTTGAGAGATTGCCATGCTGTGCCCATCGTTCGAATGGAAGGGCAACTACTAACTAACTCATCAACTAACTATCTTAGCTTGGATGCCAAGGTAGCTTTACAGAATTTCACGGTCCCGCGGCCCCGAAGTGTTGTGCTGCAACTCTAACTCTCGTACGAATCGCAATGGACCAACATCCGCCTCCCCGGTTTCTCCGCACCAGAATCGAGAATCGAGAATCGCCAAGCAATCAATTCCAGCTACCGAAAAAGCAAAAAGCAAAAAGAAACCTCCAAAACAGGCATCCACCAGAGAGAACCAGGAATTCGGATAGAGCACACTTCTCGGTTGACTACACCCGATCCCATCTAGTACAGAACTAACGTTAAGCCCCCATGCCAAAATCCAGAATCCTCAACGCTGAATCACTTACGTACCTTAATCGTGGGTGATTCACTGTTGCCAAATTCTCCGCCCACCCGTCGCTGGCTACGAGCATCAAGACACTGTACGGAGTACGTGGGGATTGTGGAAACACACAAGACATCCTTGATCGTGGAGTAGGGACAAGGGACCAGGGACCGGGTTATCAAGGGAGACAGCAGACTTGGCTGCCCCCAGCGATCTTGATGTTACATACGAGGGTTGAAACTTCGTATGTGAGGGATCAAACAGATTTGAGTGATGAATAAGCCATTATACTAATATTTGTGTTAAATAGGAACGAATAAGTTCTCCCAATTGAAACACCGCATCCCATGTTTTCCTTCGCTGCCTGAATCGGTGAAAACTGTCAAGTCGACTTCAGAGACATCCAATATGGCCAAACCGATACGAACAGCCAGGACCACGAAAGTCATCCAGCAAGCGCAAATCTGAGTCCACTAGGGGGTGTCGAAACACCTGACCAACTGGCTGACATGATTGAAAGAAAAGATCTGGCAAAGTGCTGGCTTGGTTTCATGCAATTATCTAAGTTGAGTAATTCTGTCGCCTAAATCTAAAGCGGCCCAAGTTGTCTGGCACACTCAGTGTCCCCTTTACTCTTCCTGGTATGAGATCTTCCGCATCTCGCCCAAACGATGACGAGCCGAAGCCAACGCGTTTTCCAATTGGAGGATCTCGACCTGTTTGTTGGTGGCGTTCGTTAGTCCTTGATCTTAAAACACGAGAGGAACTTAAACTAAGCCTTGCCGGATATAGTAACCGTTGTGTGCTCGCACAGGCCCGGGAATGAACTGAACCGTGACGTGAAGGGAGGGGCTGGAACTGGGTGGGATGGTGGTGGATGGGATAAGGGGGATGTGATAGGAGGATATGACAGTTGGCAGGGACAGGGAGAGGAGAGGCAGAGGGAAGGGGTTGCCAAAAAAAACGACAAAGAGACTGTTGCTAAACTTACTTGCTGTTCCATCTCCCGCACCTTGAACTCGTGCGTTCCAAGCTTGGAGTAGTCCACCTGGTCTTCCTCTTGGCTGCGCTCCTTGATCAAGCTCTGCACCTGGCGCACCAACGACCGACACGCCGCACCCACAGCCTTGCTGGCCTGCTCCAGCTTCTCTTGGCTCTTGGACATGAACCCTGCCTTGACTCTGCTGGCGGCCACGAGCTGCGCCGTGGAGGCAGCCACATCGTTCGATGCCACGATAAGCTGTTCTGGACTGTTACGTCCGGAGATGACGCCGTCTGCTGTCTCGATCAGAGTGTTGGTCGACGAAGCCACAGCCTTGGCAGCAGAAATGAGACCCTCTGTCCATCGGTTGTTCTTCTTGTAGAACGCTGTTCGCGACGTCGATCCGCGCCCAGCCTGCACGATCTCCTGCTGTGTCACTGTGGCCGCCTGGATCAGTTGCGTAATGGCGTTGGTGATCGCCGTCGCCGCATCCAGGATCGAATCGTTCACCTTGAGCTCATAGGTTGAGTAGCCATCACGGGGTTTGTTCCTGAGTTTGGCCAGTCGTGCAGCAGCCGCCGCGATTGCGTCCGCGGCCTTGCTCAGCTCCGAGTCGACGAGGTCGCCCAAGTCGCCCTTCTTGTTGACGAGCTTGCCGAAGCCAGGGGCGAACGACTCGACCAGCTTGTTGAGCTTCTGAAGGTTCATCTGAACGTCGTTGTTGCTGTTGATCACCACATCGGTCTTTTGCAGGGGGTCCATGCCCTCAAGTCGAAAGCTCTGGAGACCTCGGAGGAACTGCACTGCTGAGATGGCTGGTTGACGGGTTCCGTTCATGAGGGAATCAGTCTTCTTGTCGTCTGTAGCTAGGCGTGTAAGACCCTTGGTGTTGCTGCACACGTCGGCAATGGCACCAGAGAAGACGTTGATAGCCTTGATAAGGTCGGAGTGCGACGCATTAGGTCCATCCGCAATGAAGTTGTTGAACGATGTAGCGAACTCCATAGCACTGGCTGAGGCCTTCTCGATCTGTGATAGCACGTATGAAGGTGAAGCATTCTGGTTGCCGGCCTGCATGCTAGAGTCCAACTCGTAGAGCGCATCATCCACACGCGCAACACCCGCCTGAAGAACCGAGTCAATAATGTCGTTGATCTTATCGAGGTTCGACATGATCAAGGCATCGATCTGGCCATCCAAAGCATGGTCAGTATCACCCTGGTTCATCTTCAGCTCGTTGAGCTCAATGAGGGTCTGATCCATGCCCGCCTTGTACACCTCAAGCTCCTCCTCCTTGTCCCGGAGAAGCTGCTCAAGGTCAGAGCTGCCATCTCGGAGGTTCATATGAGCGTCCTCCAACTGGCGCGACTTGTTGCGCAGGGCCTCTTCAAGGTCCGCCATCTCACGGTTGTACTTGGAGAGCATGGTCGAAAGCTCGTTGCCCTTGCTGCGCTCCATGTTGTCGGCCTTCTCCTGTGCCAAGCGAAGTTCCCGCCTGAGCTTCTCGACCTCATCCTTGCTGCTGCCGCTCGCGCGGTCCTTGTCGTGAAGGGCACGGTCACGCTCGCGGATCATGTCAGCCAACTCGAGGTTCTTGGTCTTGATTTCACGCTCAAGCTTCTCTCGTCGGTCAATGGCCTCCTGTGCGCTGGCTGCCTTGAGTTGAACAGCCTTGAACTTCTGAAGGAGATCGAGATGCTCGTGTCGCAGCTGAGAGTATAGCTTCGCCAATGCCTCGTATTTCGTCCTCCATGTGTTGACCTGCTCCTGAAGAGCCCGGATCTGGTCGTCCTTGCTGTTCATCTGCTGGCCGAGACTGTTCTGGATATGCGACAGCTCACCCTCCAAAGCCTTGACTCGCTGGTCGTATTGCTGAAGCATCAGCTGGTCACGCTCGTACTGTGCCCGCGCATTGAGGTTCTCCCGTTCAAGCTCGGCAAGGCGTCCCTGAGTCTGCCATTGGGCCTGTTGCGCCATAAGTGCCTCCTGCTCTCGTTGTTGCTGCTCCATCAGCTGTTGTTGCTGTTGCTCAAACTCACGCTGTGCTTGAAGCTGCGCCTGCTGCTGGGCCATAAGAGATTGCTGTTGCTGTTGCTCCAGAATACGCTGCTGCTCTTCGTACTCTCGGTTTTGACGGTCCAACTCGCTCTTCCAGAACTCGTTCATCTCATCAGGGGCTTCATTTTTGGGCTCTGGCGGGGGAGACGGCTTTCGCTCGATCTCCTGCTTTGGTCGCGCCGGGAGCGCGGGGGCGTCATCGTCCTCGGCCAAGAGGTTTGGAGGGTCTTGAGGAAGCTTGGGGATGGTAATAAGACTGGTGAGATATCGAAGGTTGGAGCACTCATAATAGAACTTGACCAAACGATAATGCTGTGCGTTGTAACGCTCTCGGAGGGGCTCGAGAGCGTCATCGTCGCCAGTCGCTTTGAGAATGTCAGTTATAAAGATCATAAGGAGTAAGGGGTAAATCACTAACTTGAGTGCATTGCGCGCAACATGCTAGTGATGAACTTGTAAATTCCGTAACTCTCTTGGACAAGAGGTACAAGTGCCGCAATGCGACACTCGTTGTTCCCCACATTGCGGAAGTGAGAGAAGATCAGCTTCTGGAATTGTTCAATCTTGTCCTGCAGAACCATAAGATCGCTGATGGTCTCGTAACCTTCGTTAGGGTCGTTGATGGCTTTCAAGCTGAGATACTCCTCGTATTCAAAGGTTCCGTTGAACTCGGGGTGTTGGTGGTGGAACGAGAGCTTCGCCAGCAGGTAGTAAACGTATTCGCGGATTAGGGGCGCATAACCGCGCATACCCTCACCTCCTCCACCCATACCGCGGTTCAAGCTATCGATCCAGGCGCGGTTTGCCATTGCCTCTTTCAGGGCGCTGGGGTGACCTTCCTGGAGGACCTTGTGGACTGTAATGAGGGCCTTGAACGTCTGGACTTCGTCGGCGAGGATGGGTTGACTGTTGATACGGTCAATCAGCGGGAGTTGTCATGATGAGGACACATGAGACCTACACCTTAATGCCAGACCAGAAGGCGGCAGACGACCGATGGTCCCACGTATAGACGATACATGCTCGAACATGCTTGCGCTTTGGTGAGATCTCTTCGGCGTTCGTAGCTTTCTTAATGTTGATGGCGAGCTCTTGATCGGTTCTGCGCAAGACGATGGAGTCAGCTTGATGTATATGCGGCGCGGCAGAGAATCACGGACTTGGTATGCTCGGTACCGCGCACAGCAGCCATATTTGAATTGGTAGCGGATAAGCTCCGCGATGCTATTGTTCGATAGGAAGTAGCGATGTTTTGCGTAGGGAGAGTTCGTCGTGAGCTTCGACAATGCTATAGCAACCCCTGGAAATCACGAGACAATTTCCCCGTCGGGTCCGGCGCCGCGCAATCTAAGGGAAACGAGGCAGAGAGGAAATTCGAGGATGCGGTTAAAGAGAGAGGAGAGCCAAGGCAGCGACTGTTCTGAGGATGCCACTGTAGATCGATAATTCGCTGTCGTCGTCAGCCTTGACAAATCTCGGGCGACTCTTGGGCGTAGTTCGTCTTGGCCGCGATTCGATGCCGTAGCTTTCAGTGGCTGGGCCGCAAAAGCCAGGAGGGGAGCGTCATACGGGGTACGTATTCTTGTTTTGTGGGGCATTTGATGTCTGTTGAAGATGAGCTTCATTATCCGTAGGTAGACAGTACTGGATTTAATAATCAGCATTCACAGTATTCAATTTCTATGTGAAGCAATTGATAATGGCATTACATATTAGTCTAAAGGCCGTGATTTGGCTTATATGTGTATTGCTATGTAAAGCTCCCTCAAACTCGGACGAGTTGTCAGTGCTTGAGAAGCTGTTACAAGGTCTTGATCTTCTCAAATCAAGGAAAAGACAAGTGTCGTAAAAACAGGATCATGCTGAACAGCACCAACGGGCTCCAGCAATATGCAAATATATACCCGGTTTAGTAACTGTGAGTTTATGAGTTATTTACGGCACCATTGTCAGTAGTTTATAGGCCAATCTTGGCTGGTTGAACTCATGATTGATGTCGAGAGGTACAGGGTAGTTCGAACCAACTTTACTTACATGCAATGGCTCTCTAGCCTAAATGTCTTTTCCAGTCATGAGAGGATGCTTCTTCCATCGGAGGACAAAAAATATACCCCCTAGGTGCATTTGGCAGTTTTTATAAAAAGGTACATTAAATGACATGTGTTTGGGTGTCATATGGGAACGGACCGTGTCAAGGATTCAGAGTCAATCCATACTGTTGAGCCACAATTAGTTCAGTATCAAGACACCAAACTAAAACGTTTATCTAACTACTGAGCGAAAGACATGATCAATCGAGTAGAAGTTCGCAACTAGCACCCTATCGTTCCCCTTGGGATATACCAAAGTCACACGGCACAAAAACTCCACTTCCACAGCAGTTTTGTACGAATCACTTGGGACAAATATGGAGGAAGCATCGGTTCATTTATACGCCGAGCAGGCTCTGAGCCTGTCACATTGACTAAGCACAGTTCACCAGAGGTATCTTCAAATACAAAGATGAGGAATGCTTCAAACGATGTCTTTTTTGGTCTCATTCCCTATGGACATCAAAATGCCGGCCCTTGCCATGCACAGTTTCTTTCCCATCCGGACGCAATACCCCAAATAAAAAGAAGCAAGCACCACCAAACCCCGCAGATATCTTTTCTTTTAGATCGTGGTCTCGTAAGCGAGAGGGGTAACAGTCATGGGAGGGTTGTCGGCGAGAGACAGTGTGTGAGCCTCACGAGGTCCAACGGGCTGACGCTTGACCTGAACAACGGTGCCGCTGGCCTTGGCCTCACGCTTGGCCTCGGCGTTAGCCTTGACTCGGCGGAGGAAGTCCTCGCGAGATCGGGACTGCGAGATGTGCTCGATTCGGACGTTGATTCGCTTCTCGATGTATCGGTGCTTGACCTGCTTGTAGATGATGACACCGACAGCGGACTTGGTGACGTTGTAGATGACACCAGTCTTTCCGTGGTAGACCTTGAAGGGCATACTGCAATCGTTGTTAGCCCTCCTGTTGCTTTTTCCCACACAAGATTCCTCCATAGCGCCCAAGTTTCCGCAATTTCGCGTGTTTTGTCGCATGTGGAAAAAGGGTTCTGCTTACCCCTTCTGGACGGCACCGTTCGCCTTGATATCGACGATATCACCAACCTTGTACTGTCGAAGGTAGGTGTTCAGGGCGATCATACCCTTCTTGCGGAAGTCCCGGCTGAAGGCATACTAAAAATTCACATCGTCAGTCTCATGGCCGACATGGTCGAATTTCGCAATCTCGTGGAATCGCTGGTTGAACATACGCGGGTGCCCGCTCTCTTTCCGTATGAGTGACCCATCTCGAATGTTGATCTGCCGGTCGCGGAAGGGTTGGGTTAGTAGTCGTGGGTTGAAAGAGATGGTGGTGAAATCCGTCGCTTTGGTGGTATCTAGATTTCACACGGAGTTGTGGGCAAACGGCTCGTAGGACTTTCAATTATTCCGAGAATTTTTTTCAGGGCAGGAGCATGTGGGTGGGGGTCAACCCGCACCTGCCATCGTTAGGGTTTTTTCTGCCTCCAACTCCCGCCCTTGCCGCACACTTTCCCTTTTTTTGAGAGACAAGTGCGAAGTTGTGAACTCCCGCAGAACACGAGCAAGTCAAGTCAAGTGAGTGCCTCCACGAGAACCTCATCAACCTTCATCAATTAACAGAGTCTTCAGGATGCCTCCCCGCGCCCACTCCAAGACCTCCCGTGTCCCTCGACGACCTTTCGAGTCTGCCCGACTGTCAGTATCACCGGCCACTGAACAAGAGCTTGCCTCTGTTTAAGTCGATTGTGAATGAAGACTGACCGATAACAATAGTGACTCTGAGTTGAAGCTCGTCGGCGAGTATGGCCTGCGCAATAAGCGTGAGGTCTGGCGAGTCGGTCTGACTCTGTCCAAGATCCGTCGTGCTGCCCGGTAAGTCTGAATATTTGGCACTTTTTGTGTGCGCTGATCTGGAGTGTTCCTAACAACCGTTGCAGTCAGCTTCTTACCCTCGACGAGAAGGACCCCAAGCGTCTCTTCGAAGGCAATGCCCTCATTCGCCGTCTGGTCCGCGTCGGTGTCCTTGACGAGTCCCGCATGAAGCTCGATTACGTCCTGGCCCTGAAGATCGAGGATTTCCTTGAGCGCCGTCTCCAGACCTGTGTCTGGAAGCTCGGTCTTGCCAAGTCTATCCACCACGCCCGTGTCCTGATCCGCCAGCGTCACATCCGAGTCGGCAAGCAGATCGTCAACGTTCCTTCTTTCATCGTCCGTCTCGACTCCCAGAAGCACATCGACTTCGCTCTTACCTCGCCCTTCGGTGGTGGCCGTCCCGGCCGTGTCCGCAGAAAGAAGGCCAAGGCCGCCGAGGGCGGTGAGGGTGGCGAGGACGAGGAGGACGAGGAGTAAATGTAACCCAAAATGCAAAAGCGGTTCTCCCTGTCTAGGGCTCTTGGTGATGGGATACCATTCATGGGAAGGGGATTCTCTTCATAGCTTGCGGCGTTGGCCAGAGGATAAAAATGGAATGATTTCGCCGGATAACGACAAACAAAATATCTCCGGTGTCACCTCAACTGTGTATATGAATCTCATGAAACATGAATCCAATCACGACATCCTTCAATCGCTTTTTCTTGCTGTTGATACTCCAATGACATTGAACTGTTGCTGTGACCTTTCCTGTATGTGATAGATGTATGTAATCAAGTAAAACAAATGCATCGCTATGTTAAAAGCTCATCCTTACCCAACATCTTCGCCATTGGATCATTCGTCACTGTCCGTTTCTTCCTGTACTCGTCCATCTCCTCTTCTGTCACTCCATTCATCATTTCCTCCCTTGTCCGCTTGCGCGGCTTCTCTTCTTCTTTGTTCTTCTCAGCATCTTCTGCCTCTTCAGTCTCTTCCTCCGTGTCTTTAACCAAATTGGCACCACTGCGTTGACGCTCAGCTGCTTCCCAAGCCAGCTTGCCCTCGTCTCCAGTGCAGTAGCTGTTCTTGATGAACGAATGACAACAAGCATAACCCCATTTGAAGTTAGACCACCAGCTTCCCCATACAGAAGCATGGTTGTTGATGAGAACGTCCTCAGCATATTTGGACTTGGCCTCCTTCTTGGGTGCACCCTTGATCAAACCAGCTTCATCGTACTCGACAAATGTCTCCGACTCAGTAACAGCAAGGTTACGTAAAGCAGCTGGCATAGCCTTTTGGTCTCCGCCATATTTGTCGAGAAGTAGCTTCTCACGCTCTGCACGTTTTGCTTCTGCCTCTTCTCTCTCCTTCTTCCGGTAGAACTCTCCTGCTGTTGGGTTTGCTTGCAGATGTTGAGTTGTATCGCCAGACTTCTCTTGCGCTTCCCATGCGTATCGCTGGGCATTCTCAAATGCGCCGGCATCACCAGATGATCGCATGAATCCTTCTTCTGCAAAGACGTCCGCTGCCTTGTCTGCTGTTGCTCCAGCATCGACCAGTGACCGGGTCTTGGGGTCGTATTTGGCGGATTCTAGGTCGAGATTCAGTAGATACTTGGCAGTATCTTCTCTTATTCGTAGTTGTCGAGTTGCTGTGCTCTGATGCTTGCTCATGTCATTCTCTTCCGCATACTTGTCGCCTTCGTCTGCTTCCTCGTCGCCGTTTTCGCCCTTGGTGGCCTGTTTGCGCAGCTCCTCCATCTGGTTGAAGTCGTCCACCACATTGCGGTACTCCTTCGCATCGTAGCCATTCCAGCGATCGCGTTTGGCGTCCCAACCCATATTGACGTCTTGGATAACCTCATCGGCCTGAATATCCCTGCCTGTCCACTTTGCGCCCTTTGCTCTTGGTCGACTCAAGCAGTCTTTCTTCTTGTGTGTCATGGCGCCGCAGTTTTCACAAGCGCCTTTCCGGTACTTGGTAGCCGCTGGGCCAGCCTTTCTGCCGCGGTCGTACCATTGTGACTTCTCGTCTTTCTCCTCACGGCGCTGATGCTTGAGGTAATCATTTTCCTCGCCTTCTTCGCCAGCGTAGAATGGTCGTTTACTGATGAAAGATGGGATATAGATGTTCTCCTCCTTCGAAGCGGCGCCAGCTCCGGTGCCTGACGGTGGCGGTTTCGGTGGTGGTGGAGGCATGGTGAGTGGTATCGGGGAGTATTTTCCTGTTGTAAAGATGTAATGACACTGCGATAGCAATAAGGGGAGGTAACTGCATGAAATACAGGCCTGCAGTCGATGTCTGCTCAGTCGCAGATCGCGAAAGCTTAAAGTGGAAAGTTGTTTAGATAAGCAGTCTTATCGACACGTGATTGCGCGTGTCTCCTTGTGGCTGGTAGGCAAAGCGCGTCTAGTAGGATTGACCAAACACCCTTGATGTGAAAGAATTTATTGCAAACTAATCCTTTAAACATTGTTCGGTTTCTGGGTCTTCTGAAAAAAATCTTCATTGAGCCCCTGATGGATTCGAATTTTGCAGAATATGGACTTGTTCCGGATCAGAATCAACTGTATCGACCACTATCAAGCGACGCCAACACTATATGACCCCCAGCTTCGCAACGATATTCGCCCTTCCCAGATCTCCAAGGGCCCTAAAGTCCCTGTAGTTCGCGTTTTTGGAGCCACTGAAACGGGACAAAAAGTATGCGCTCACATCCATGGCGCGTTCCCGTACTTATATGTGGAATACGAAGGAGGCTTATCGCCTGATGAAGGTCTGTTAAGCCACAATCTTTAATGAGTAGAAAATGCTGATATTTATAGTCGGTGCTTATATATATCGTTTTCATCTGTCTATTGATCATGCGTTGGCTGTCAGCTATCGCCGAGACCAGAAGAACGACAATGCAAAGTTCGTGGCAAGGATTACTCTTGTCAAGGGTATTCCCTTCTATGGCTTTCATGTGGGGTATCGTTTCTTCTTGAAGATTTACATGTTTAACCCTGTCGTTATGACGAGGTTGGCAGATCTGCTTCAACAAGGTGTTATTATGAAGCACAAGTTTCAGCCGTACGAAGCACACCTTCAATACCTCCTCCAGTTCATGACAGACTTTAACTTGTATGGCTGTGACTACTTGGAATCATCAAGTACTGGCTTTCGTTCTCCCGTTCCTGAATACGATGAAGAATCGAATTATTCGCACTTGTGGCATAGCCAGTCTATACCAGGGGAGGACATTACCGACGAGACCACACTTCCCCGCAACAGCCACTGTTCAATTGAAGTGGACATTTGCGTACAGGACATTATCAATCGAAAAAAGATCAAGGAACGACCACTTCATCATGACTTTGTAGAGCGGACTAATCCTCTCCCGGAAGATATGAAGCTTGTATACAGTATGGCTGGACTGTGGAAGGACGAGACCAAGAGGCGCAAACGAAAAATGCAAAATCCTGGCAAAGGAAGCAGTCCGTTCCCGCCGGAAGTCCTCGTATCAATGTCAGCCAATATTCGAGACTCACAGCCGCAGGGATGGCTTCATGAGGAAGAATTTCGTACCGAGATTCAAAATCTCATCTCCGCGGAGAAGGTTGCCACCGATTCGGAGGAGCTCACCTTTGAGACCTTTGCGAAGCCTCATCCGTACGAGGAACATGTCAGAACTACACTAGAATCTGTTGAGGATCTCTTTCCATCGAAACTCGCACCAGCCTTGGGATTGCCATCTGGAGTACAAGCCAATCAGGATTTGGCAAGTAGCATCATTGTTGATGAGCATAAAGGGCGTCAAGTTGGAGAGGAGCACGATGACTTCTTCCCTGATGATTCGGACGAGGAAGCCATCGCGAACCTTGTAGCAATGGAGAAGGCTACCGCAAAAGGTTCTCGTCGTTCTACAAACCAATTGCCAGAAGAGGACATTGAGCAAGCTGCAGCACTCGATCTCGAATTTGATGAATTTGACGAGAATCTACCTTGGACGTCGATCGCTGGAGTTTGCCAAAGTGGACTTGCTTCTGGCAAGCTACCTAATATTCCTTTAAGCAGAGAATTACTTGATTTTGCAGAGAACGAAGGGTTAATCGGACGGGCAGCAAAGGCACCAGCGCTTACCTCGTCAAGTTCGGCGCAGCTCAAGCGACCGTTGACTGATATAGCATCACTCCAAACATCTAAAAAGAAGCCCCGTCTCGACGAGCTGTCGATGATGGATGACAATGAAATGGACTTAGTTCCCATCCCTTCGACAGACCTGAACAAGCATTCTACTCCTTCATTCAGGGGGCCCTCTATCCTCAAAGTTCACTCGTCCATCAACAATAACGGTTCCATATTGAAAGGAGTTACTGGTTCTCACCAAAAGCTGAACTTCCCTACAGTTAAGGACCAAAACGACCCAAACACAAAACTACGTCTTAGCCAAATGAGTCAGAAATCCGCTTCACAACAGACTGACGATGGCCGTCATACCAAGCACGTTTCGTTTGATCCAAGCAGCTTTCTGCCTGTTGAAGCATGTCCGACTCAGGTGACTTTATCATCATCTCTCATATCATCCGGCGCGTACGAAGAAGAGAACGACACTCAGCAGTCCAAGATACAGCGAGCTATGGGTAGGTTCGCCAATACCCAAGTACACTTGCTATCTTCCCTCCCTCCCTCTGCGGCCTCTGTGGTATCTTCTCTGAAAGACCATATGATTCCTGATGTTATTTACCAGGATGCACATTACAGCAAGGAGAAAGATGTTCCTGGACGAACGCGCGAATACGCTGGGAAAGAGTTCCGATTAGGAGGCAATACTCTACCTTTTCTCCCAGAGTTTGATCCAACAGCAACATCGCCAGCCAGTCACGGGCTTAAATACGAAACTACCGACAAGGCTGTCGCTGACCTGCAATATGAGCGACAGGGAAAGAAGTGCTCGTTAAGAAGCTGGGAGTTTGCAAGTCTACCACCTACATATCGCGAAGTCGAAGATTGGTGGTATGAGAAAGAACGCAAAGCTAATGCGCCTGAGGGGTCCAAATTACCATCGACTCCAAGGCACTTTAATTCTCAAATTGAAGGACCAACACCAAAGAACAGGCATGGCTTCAAGTACACGCCAGGGAAGAAATCAACAAGCGTACAGCACGAGGTCCAATACATGAGCACGATGAGCTTGGAGGTACATGTGAACACAAGAGGGAAATTCGTGCCGAATCCTGAAGAAGATGAGGTCCAGTGCGTTTTCTGGGCAATCAAGTCTGATGGGAGTACTTCTGATAGTCAAGAGTCAGCAAGCGCTCTGCAAACAGGCATTTTGTTATTGTCTCATGATGCTGAATTCACCCAGCGTATCCAACGCCAGACAACTGCCGAGGTCATTGAGGAAACATCTGAATTGGATCTCATGGTTCGGATGGTGGAAATTGTGAGAAACCATGATCCTGATATCTTGACAGGGTATGAAGTTCATGGCAGTTCGTGGGGCTACCTGATTGAAAGAGCACGGCTGAAATACGACTACAACCTTTGCGATGAGTTTTCCCGCATGAAAACCGAATCGCATGGTAGGTTCGGCAAAGAAAACGATCGATGGGGGTTCAATACCACATCGACGATTCGAGTGACTGGTCGCCACATGGTCAATATCTGGAGAGCAATGAGAGGAGAGTTGAATCTTCTTCAATACACGATGGAGAATGTTGTGTGGCATTTGCTTCACCGACGAATCCCTCATTACTCTTGGAATTATCTAACGAGCTGGTATAAGAGCGGCAAACATCGAGAACTCGGCAGAATGCTGAGGTACTATCAGAACCGTACAAAACTCGACATTGAGATCCTGGACGCCAACGAACTGATCGCTAGAACTAGCGAACAGGCACGGCTTCTTGGTGTGGACTTCTTCTCGGTCTTTTCACGAGGATCGCAATTTAAAGTCGAGTCGATCATGTTCAGGATTGCCAAGCCGGAGAACTTTCTTCTTGTATCACCCAGTCGCAAGCAAGTTGGTGGTCAGAATGCTCTGGAGTGTTTACCACTTGTCTTGGAGCCACAGAGCGCCTTTTATAATAGCCCCCTCTTGGTTCTTGACTTTCAAAGTCTGTACCCGAGTGTCATGATTGCCTACAATTATTGCTACTCGACCTTCTTGGGACGGGTCACGAACTGGAGGAACATGAACAAGATGGGTTTTACCGAGTATAAGCGACAGCAAGGCCTTCTTGAGCTGTTGAAGGATTACATCAACATTGCTCCAAACGGCATGATGTATGCAAAGACGGAAATCCGCAAGTCACTACTCGCCAAGATGCTAACCGAGATTCTCGAAACCCGTGTCATGGTCAAGAGTGGTATGAAGCAAGATAAGGACGATAAAACTCTACAGCAGCTCTTGAATAACCGACAGCTTGCTCTCAAATTGCTCGCCAACGTTACTTATGGCTATACCTCTGCATCGTTCTCTGGTCGTATGCCATGCTCTGAGATTGCGGACAGCATCGTGCAAACCGGCAGGGAGACTCTCGAAAGAGCGATCGCTTATATCCACTCAGTCGAGAAATGGGGTGCAGAAGTTGTCTACGGCGACACTGACAGTCTGTTCATCTCTCTGAAAGGCAGGTCAAAAGATGAGGCATTCGATATTGGCAATGAGATCTCAAAAGCAATTACCGAGATGAACCCCCAGCCAATCAAGCTCAAGTTCGAGAAGGTCTACCATCCTTGTGTTCTCCTCGCCAAGAAGCGATATGTCGGTTATAAATACGAAAGTAAAGATCAGGTGAAGCCCGATTTCGACGCCAAGGGAATCGAGACTGTCCGTCGTGACGGTACGCCTGCCGAACAAAAGATCGAGGAGAAGGCTCTTCGCCTCCTGTTCGAGACAGCCGATCTCAGCCAAGTCAAGGATTACTTCCAGAAGCAATGTCAAAAGATCATGCGAAACAACGTTTCGGTCCAGGACTTTTGCTTCGCCAAGGAAGTCCGTCTGGGTACATATTCTGACAAGGGTGCGCCACCTGCAGGAGCTCTCATCAGCACCAAACGCATGCTTCAGGACGCGCGTGCAGAACCACAATATGGCGAGAGAGTTCCCTACGTGGTCATTACTGGTGCTCCAGGGGCGCGACTCATCGATCGATGCGTGGCGCCTGAGGAACTGCTTAGCAACCCACACTGGCAGCTCGATGCGGAGTATTATATTTCCAAGAATCTGATTCCCCCTCTCGAGCGAATCTTTAATCTTGTAGGTGCGAACGTTCGGCAGTGGTATGACGAGATGCCAAAGGTGCAGCGTATTCACCACGCAACCTCTCTCGGAAACAAGAAGACGACACTCGAGTCATATATGAAGTCCAAGCACTGCCTTGTATGTGGTGTCAAGTACTCCCAGGACGACAATCCCCTTTGTCTGGCCTGCCGCACGAACATTCCCTCATCGATACTCTCACTTCAGACGCGGCTGACATCCGAGGAACGCCGACTGCAAGAAGTGCTTTCACTCTGTCGAAGCTGCTCCGGTGTTGCACCCGTTGAAGATGTCCAGTGCGACAGCAAAGACTGTCCTGTGTTTTGGACACGTATGAGGCAGGCCAGCAAGACCAGAGGAGAGCGGAATGCCAGCCAGCCTGTAATACAGTCACTGGTGGAGGAAGTTGAGAAATTGTCACTGGATTGGTGAATCTGGAGGGTTGGATTAACGGTTATGTATTACGTATGAGGATGGTATTTTGTTTTGCATAGCATTGCGCGGCGCATTGGAGAGTTTGACTTGGGACAGTATCGACTTACCTACAGATAGGTAGAGGTAGGTAGGCAGGGACACAGCCAGACTGAAATAAACTACTACCCTAGAAACAATGTAATTTTGTATACTTTATAACACTTACTATCGGCTGGTCATTTCTCATTGACTTCGTGTTTTATTTGTTGCTTCTAGGAAAATATACTGGGACTATCGATTTCTGATAAACGCGTGCACTTCTGTTCACTTGATCCTGCCCGAAAACTGTCGATGCATTAGGCTAAGAAGAATGACTACGTGTTAACAATTTGAGGAAATCAAACAAGTTATGAGCAATAACATAGTGGATGATTCAACAGATGCATGACAAAACTGAAAGGAGTCCGAAGGTCAAATCACATGCAATATGCTGTATTGTTTAACAATTCCTTATCGCCCTGTGTCATACCAGACTGGACCGTTTCCCTAATATCTACTGATGAATGTATCCTTCAACTCCTGTTGCTCCAGACTCAGGTCTTCCTTTCTGCCTGTGAAACCACTGTACCCAGCATTTTCCGCAACAACTGGACTTTTCCCATTTCCGCTTGACAAATCCTCAACCTAAAGCCGCTTTCCTTCACACATTGGGTATTCAAACACAGTTCCCCCTCCAATGCTCCAAGCTTGTATAAACGATTCCAAATGAGCTTGCCTTCCTGTCATAAGCTCGTAAACGCGTCACTGTTCACCGCTGTACGTCCATGGTGCTGCAGAAACTTAAAATCCTTCAAAACAACGCAAAAAGGTCTAGTAAGCAACCTCCGGTACTCCTATTCTATAAAATGTGTATCCTATTTATCCCCTGTCCCGCAAAATCACATATGCGCTCGCTTGCCGGTAAACCTGATTGGAAACCCAACCCGAGTGAAAAGCGATGTGTAAATTCGGCAGACGTGTAAATCGTGACGTGTTTTCAAGGGCGTTCAATAAGCTTTCAACGCCAAAATAATATCATCATCGTGAGAGGCGTCAATGGGACAAAGGTGAGGAAGGATTCGAATTCGATCCTGAACATGACTCTGATGTTGGTGGACCACGAGGTCGTTCTGGCGCGTTCAATGACTGATCTGTTAATCGACGACATCTCATTGCGGGCAGAGCAGAAATCGAGCTCCTGGCTCGGCCCTTGGCCGATTCTCCGGTGTCCTCCTACATGGCACCAAAAGGGGCACCGAAATTTGATGTGCTCTTGAGTTTCAACGGAACGTCCGCTTCAATCGCCTTTCCACCACCCTCGCCATCGCTGTGGCCGGTTTCCGCTTTGGCATCAGCAGATCCATCGCCACCAACTGGTCCGACGGATTTAGGTCCAACTGCCGGAATATTCAAGCTGGAAGGGCCGGCAATGGATTCCATCTCATCAGTCTGCATGACAGCGGGGAGCGAGTTAAGTCCTTGGCTGATTGGTTCCAATTTCTTGTGAACCTCTTCCCAAAACAACTCGTCCTTGGCCGGCATATTTCTGAGCATGAGCGGCCCCTTCAATGGCTTATCACCATCACTGGGTTCCATCAACGCATCCAGTGCATTTGGGTCCAAATCTTCTGCACATGAGACGAACGACACCTTAGAGTCGCGCCTGTCTGATTGCACTGGCACAGTGAGAGTATCTCTAGGTTCTCCTTCTGTGGCGGCTGTGCCAAGATTGAGAACTGATTCAACGGTTGGCGTGGCACCTTCTCCCACAATAGAGGCTGGATCGGTCGGATTGACTTTGGGGAACAGTGACAAGGAGTGGTTGGGTGTGTGGCCCGCGTGCATTGTCAGACGGCGAGACTCGACAGCAGAGAGGGCCTGTAGCGTATACTCCTTGGACGAGCCACGCACATTTAGCGGGCGTCGTGATTGCTCCGGGCTTTGTGCAGCAGGGCCAGGAGGAGACGTCACCGGGGATGTTGGGTTCTCAGAAGGAGACGCACTGGCGGCGAATGTGGGCTTCTGGACCGCAGTAGCCTTTAGTGGGATACCTTCCAACTTAGGGTCGATCTCTTGCACATCAATGACTGGTACAGGCGTGGCTACATCCTCAATGGGTGACGGTAAGAAGTCTTTGGCGATTGGGTTCTGCGTCTGCATTCTGGGATCGAGGGGGACAAAAGGTGATGATTCGGGTTGCGTTGTGGGAGACACGCGAGCACTGCTTGATGAGAAATGAGGTCGACGAGACGCACCATCGAGACCCGGGGGAAGAAATGACGCATCAGTCATGGAAATCCCGGCTGGGATGGTCGGGTTTTGTGCCCTTGACGTGAGTCGCCCTGGTGGAGCAGGAAAATAGGAATTATCCAAGGAACCCTCACCGCTTCCGCCTCTCTGACTCGCGAGAGGTGATACCACGCCTGTAACTTGGATGCTCTGCGCAGTCATGGCCTTCAGCGCACTGTTTTCACCTTCAAGCCGATGAACGCGTTCCTTGAGTTCTTCAATTTCTCGGGCCATGACCTCCTTCTCAACCTCCCAGGTGTCTCGAACCTCGTCCATGATGAGTCGCTCTTCTTGATATACTTCTTCAACACGTCGTCGATTGGCTTCGAGGTGGTTCCGCTCTGCTTCCCAAGCTTCACGGATTGATTGGTTCTGCTGCACGAGGCGTTGAACCACGTGCAGCGAGGATTGAGTTGCAGCCACGGCGTCTGCAGAAACAGACCTTGAAAGTGATGCTCCAGCAAGTCCAGATGATGACGAAACGGTGGGAAGAGGAGCTGTTGACGAAGCCGGGAAGCGGTATTCGGGAGCGGGAGGTGGACCTCCGTGAGTCGGAGATACTGTCGCAGGACGGACGTCAAAAGTATTAAAAGAGTCGGCCTGTTGCGGATAAGGCCGGTAATTGGGCGGAACAGACTGGGCTGCTCGTAAGGACTCTAGTGAGAGAGGAGACGAATCGTTGGGCTGGAATGATAGAGTGCTCGCAGGAGGGATTCGGCCACGTTGAAATTGACTCTGATTATAATCTTGGTTATGTTGTTGACATGGGTCAAGATAGTGCTGTGGATATTGATGACGAAGAGTTCCGGCTCGAGGGTACGAGTTGGGCGGAGATGGGATATTGGAGGTGTTGTGGTACGGGAGGTGATTATTGAGGGAAAGAGAGTCGTAGCCGCCCGATGGCATAAAAGCATCGGGCATGAGCCTCGTAGCCATAATCATGGAAGGCTCGTTGAAGGTTGGTAGCGCGTGGAATAAGTCGGAGGGCAGTCGGGGATCGAGTTTTCGCTAGCAAGGCATAGAGCGTTTGGAGTTGTTCTAGGCGGTTTCTTTAAAAATGGGTAAAAGTACGGGTGGCGGTTGCCAATTGTCGTTGAAATCGTCGAGGTCCAGGTAAGTGGTGAACGGTGAATGAATTCGAGTCTGGAGAGATCAGGGAAAGGGTGATGAGAGGAACTGAGCTGTTGATCCTCTTCTATCTCCTTTTGCTTTGCTAACGAGGGCGAGTGAGACCAACTCCGAGACAAAAAATCAAGGGATATTGGGCAAGGTCGATATCTGAAGTATGACGCAAATTGGACCCGCCAAGCGCAAGACACAGGGACCCTTTATCTTGAAAAAGGTTGTAGTGGATGTGGGAAGGTTATGTGCGGGTACGTCCAAAGGCAGGTATGCTGTGCAATGAATGACAAGATCGAATATTGTGAGCAGGCGCGATGTGATGTTGGTTAGGAAATAATAAGGAAAGCAAGAGGTGGAGAGATGGGAAGTTGATATGGAATAATTGACTAGACTATGGATGGAAATGAGTCAAACGAGGCAAGAGCAATTTAGAAAAGACGGTGACATTTGATGATTCGTTCCTGCGCCAAAAACCAAGTCCGGGTCGGTACCTGCCACGCCTGCCACACCAAAAGTTTGTGATGGAGCCGTGGTTGCTGCCCGGGCGCCGGGGAGGGGGGAGGGCAGGTGGATCAGAATATAATCTGCACACCAAGGCACTCTGAGCACCCTGCGATATAGATGTCGACAAAATTTCTGCGTCGCTCTTATGCCAAATTTGCACCAAGTATTTCTGTCAGTCTTGACACGCGGGTCACATTCTAACCCCCCTTGGGGGGAAGGAGGTGCTCGTGCCGCGAAAAGACCAGGGAATGGAAGGTAAAAGAAGGTGTGGAGAGGTACGACCTACTCAGGCGCCTTGTCGGTAATAAGATGCTCTCTAGCGAACGCCTTAGCAGCACATGATTGGGCATTGGGGCACCTGGCAGCTCGCCTTACAGCGTCGGGCCTGCTGTGACCCCCTGTAAACCAATGCATGTCCAATTTGGCTGAATACCTCCCCCAGATTCCCTCAAATCCTCCTCCGCGAGCTGGAATGGCTGGAAATGGGATCTAGCACCTACCAAGACGGGAGGACAGTTCCTCAATTGGATTGTGTCTTGCAGTTATATTTCGGTGTTACACAGCATAAGTCGTGATTCGATGTTGGACGACACAGTGCAGTTTGTGGCGATATTGCCTTGGGCTGAGTCGTTTAGGATGGTTTTGTTTGATTTTCAGCATTCCACTGTCTCAGCTTCCGGAAAAGGACCCCCTCACCTTTGCTTCTTTCATAGAGACTGCTCTGGCTTTGATACTTTGTTAAGAGACGGGGCGTTGCGGCAGAGACCGGACCGGCGGGAGGATCAACGGGGATACGGACGATGAACTAGCTTCTGTTATTCCAGCATCATATTGATATCACGGTGATAGAAATCAGAGTGGTATCAGGCTCTGACGCTCTGCTCTGTCTGATGCAGGTATTGCACTTTCTTCGGCGGTCTCTCTGCGGCCATCCCTCGGAGATTCATGCTAGACGCTCCTCTTGGCTGATGTGTCGTTCAAACAGGGGCAGGGGGTTGGTTTAATGCAGTGGAAGCTCAGAAGACCCTTTGTACATGGATTGACCTCACCTGTCGGGTTGATCCTTCGGCAGTGTTACAGCTGTTTGAAACGGGAGACGGGAGAAGAAGAAGGGATATTCGACATCTCGATATCATGACTGGATTTTGACAACAGCCTCGCACATCACTCCCTTGAAGCTGTGCATGTGCCTGTCAAGGTCACATCCTGGCCTCAGATCATCATCGATATTGGCCACTGGATCTACATGATTGGCAGTCAGACAGACACCAGAACACCCAAAAGGGCCAAAACACCATTCGGAACGCCCCCAATCTTTCCCACTGCAGGGGCAACCTCCACTGCGGTTCGGCCCCTTCTCAATGTTCTAGCTTGGGTTGGTTGATATCTAGAATCTTTTGATTGGGTCTTTGCTGTCAATATTTGCCACTCAGGTACACACTTTACAACCCAGACCAGATTTGGACGAAATAGGTCTTTTCAGTGACTATTTGGTGACGCTATGGAAATCGAGGTAAAGTCAATTTTCCTTAGGTCTGCTTTTGTGCGTTTCTTATCTATAGTAGAGACTTTTCCATACGAATACTTGAAGATGGCCAATGTATCATGTCACACTAACCAAAATCTTAGACGCCCGAAACAACTCGCCCATTTATTTCTCCACCTTGGGGCCGAACCTAGGTACTGTACAACACATCCGTTCACCGTTGTACACCTCACACCGCGCAATATCTACAAGTTACCCGCTCGCCGCTATGTTATCTTAGAGCCTCAAGAGTCAGAGGTGAGGTTTGCTGGCAACGCATTGCAGCCCAGCCGAGCCTAGTCTCGTCTCGTCCAGGTCAACCCCTCCCTTTCTCTTCTCTCACCTTTTGTTCCGGTCAAATTCTACAGTCAGAGTCAGAGTTGGATTCAACTCTGCCATGTGGCTGGCTGCCTTTGGCCTCTGGGAATGTGGAGGCGCCGCGCAAGCTAAATCATCCCAATCGCCCGAATAGGGACGAACTGGTCCCTGATCTAGATCGCTAAGCTCTGCTCTCGATCTTGGCCTGCTTCACATGTCAGTGTTTGTCTGACCTAACCCTGTGCCTGGGATCTATTTGTGGATTGGTGGCCACGTTGATGTTGGGTAACTTAAGCCTAGCCGTGCGAGACATATGGTTTCTTACATCGTGGAGAGGCTTTGATGCATGCCATTCATGCTACAGATGCCAGTTTCACGGTCAGCGGCCGCTGTCGTGAACTGATGAGTCCCTGACTAACGACAAGGATGTCTCTAGAGCCCTCCAAGCCCAGCTTATTACAGTCAATTTGGAATTCCAAAGGCCCCAGAATGAAGCACGGAGGGTTCTATGACGATATCAAGTAACTGATGATAATAACGGTCGATCATATGACTCGTGTCATTGAGTTGATACATCAATTGTTTGAGACAGTGAGCGCCCGTATCCGTACTTTTAACAAAATATGGTGCTGGGCACACATTCATACAACCATCAATCCTGCCGAGAATACGGTAAACCGTTCCGTCGGAATCACGGGTTAATGGCCGTGACGAGCAGATGAACTGATCATCAATGCCCAGGCTGCACTACGCAGATCGATTCATGTAAGAAGCGCAGTGGTTATTTATTGGAAGTAGTCTGATTGGTTTGGTTGTCAAAGAAGGGTGTATGTTGTTTTGGCCATTTATTCATGGTGCAAGCAAGAGGATCTACAAGGTCTACATAACAAAGTTGTGACAAAAGACCATGGACAGGTGTAAAACAGAAATGTTAAAGCAAAACACCACCAGCGCCGATTCTCCTGATATAGTCATTCCCAATACACTGTTCCGTTCATATTTGTTTGTTTCTCTTTTGGCACAGTTTCGTTTAAGGCATTCACTTAGACACCCATTGTAAAATCGTGCTCGATACCAGGTGTCACACTGGCCATGAACTAAAAGCACATTAGCAAATTGTCAATCTTTAGACGAGATGGGATGAACATACCTTGAGGAAGACAACCAAATATTGATCCACTCGGATAGCAACCTCATGATCGTCAATCTCGGCCTCCTGCACCTCCTCCCACTCATCCTTGTCAGCCGCCTCCTGGGCGCCCTTGACATCAAGCTTTCCAATCTCGTCAACTAGACCTTCCATGCCCGATGGCGCTTGGCTGCTGCTGGCGTTGCCGGCGCGAAGCTTCTCGCGGCGTAGACGGAGAGCGGCATCGGCACGGTCGAGTAGTGTCTTCATAACTGAAGCATGCTTGCAGGGGTGCACGGAGGCCATCTTGATGTTGTTTGCGAAGAAGGGGAAGTCTTCGAGGGTCACTGTCTTGTCCTTGTAGTCGCCAACGATATCCTCTGTCATGTCGGTGGGTGGCAGAGGTTGGCCGTTGGCGAGATAGCCTGAGAGATACAGGCGGGGTGTTCGGTAGTAGGGTGAGTACATGATATACAGGGTGTATGTTCGGTGGCCGCTGATTAAATCGTTAGCATATCTTCCTGCGGCGTGCTTGGTACACTGCATACCTGTTCTTGGAGTCGGCGCCTGTGTCTCGAATGATGGCTTCATCATCGTCCTCGTCCTCCATATCAGGAATCTCATCATCCTCCACAACCTCTCTATCGCCGACATTTCCGGAGTCGTCCACCGTTCTCACTTCCTTAACCTTGAGCGGCTGCGAACTAGACAGTCCACCGGTCCTCAACCAACCATCCTCATCATCGCCAGTAGCGCCCTTGAAGTCATCACCGTCGTTGACAAGAGCCTCCTCGTGTCCTGCATCGCCGGCAAAGTCGTCGTTCAAACGGCGGTGGCAGGGTACGTTGCGTGTGACGAGGAACTGCTTGCCGGGGGGAAGATGGCTGACTCGGCGCTCAGGAGAATCGGCGTCGCCCCACGACCACGTAGGGAACTTGTAGACGAGGTAGTCGCCGGCGGCAAGGAACTCCTCGGGTGTGATTTGACCGGTTTGGCGGAAGGTTGACTTGTGAGATACGGGGGTGTAGCGATCCCGGAGGGTGTTGACTGTTGAGTAGATGTAGTTCATGATGGCTTCGATAGCTTCGGTTCGGGTTGTTTCGTTAGAAGGATAGTGTTTTGTTCTTGAGGTTTAAAAGAACTAGATTAGCAGAGAGATAGATAAGCAGTTGTAGCGTTGGGTATGCGGGGTTGAGGTTGTGTGTACAAGCTTCAAGAGTGCATATTAGAGGGGACAAGCAAGTGAATGAGAGAAGTTTGTAGTGTTTCCGTTATCTTTCCGTCACGTCTGCCTGAGAAAAGAGGGAGGATGACTGATGCTAAAGAAGTACCTGAGTAATAGAAGTCCTTAAACGTTCAACGGTCACTGCTGAGGCGATCACATGAAGGTGGAGGAGTGCATGCCTGGACCCCTCATTGGCTGTGACGTGGGTGACAGCCAGTAAGAAGGTCTGGAGCTCTTGTGGAGTGGGTCTGGGCTGTCCTCAAGATGCACGTCATTTTGGAGACGCTTTGTTCACGCGTTTCCTTATGAGCCTCTCTCGGGCGGATGAGAACAAGTCTGGTGGTCGAATCACGAGAGTGGGAGACTTATTGAATATGAGTGAATGATATGCAGGTTGTAAGCAACGAAAAGTATAGAACGAGGCTTGTTATACTATCAATTTGGTCTCCCATCATATAGAGTATATACCATGCAATATGTTCCCAGCTCTTTTAACGTGTGTATACAGATTAATCTAGTATTCTTTCTATTTCGTAGTATGGTATCTGTTCACCTTCGCCATGCCTCAAATGCAAGTTTATAAACTTCCCACTCCATCACTGCTCCTCTCTCGCCGCCTCCTCTTCAGCCTTTTTCTTCCTCTCTTCACGCTCCTTTTTCTTCTCTAATAGCTTCTTCAGCTTCTTCGACGAGTTAAACACTCCGTTCGTACTAGCACCACATGATGCGCAGGTTGGGTCCTTTCGGTATCTCTTCAGCGCACATGGCTCGCAGAAGTAGTGCCCACACCTCGTCACAATAGGCTCCCTATATGACTCCTGGCAGATGATGCATGCAAACGGGATCTTCTCTAACATTGCTATCTCCGCCTCGTCCTCTGCGACCTTTGCCGGCTGGTCACGGTTCGCGCTCGCTATGATGGTGCCGCCTAGGTTCTTCTTGCCCTTTGTGACTTCCTCCCACTCCTTGTCGAGCTGCCAGCCTTGTTTGACGTCTGTTCGATCGTGGAGGTAGATGCAAGAATCTCCAAAACCACAGTTTCCGGTCTTTTTGTAATCTTTGCAGATATCAGGCTTGAAATCCATAACTGTAATGGTTCGGATATTTGTAGGCGCCTTGACAGGGCCTTTTGCTCGGTTCGGCGCATCGGGGTTCTTCTGGATGAATGTTGACCGGTTGGCGAGTCCCTTGTATGTTCCATCTGGTTGCGAATCCTTTGCGACAGCTCTCGTTGAGCCTAAAAGGTTTTTGGCCGAAAGGTCATCCTTGGATTCTTCCTCGTACCAGTTGCTGTGCTTGGTCGCATCGTTGGTGCTTGTGATGGGTACATTGCGATCCGCCGAGTAAATCGTTGCCGAAAGATCCTTTCTCCCCGTGGCCACGTCCTTAGAAGAAGCTGTAACGGTAGCGGTCTTCTTGCGCCGCTTGACGCGCTGTCCAGACTCGTCTTCTGATGATGAGTAGTCGCTATCGTCGCTATCGGCGGGAGGTGGCGTCGCAGGACGTTTTCGAATGTTCGCTTTGCCCTTTGCGCCGCGCTTCTTAAATACCGCGATGGGTGCTTGTGGTTCTGTGATTGAATCGGCCATGTTTTTGAATTTTGATGGTCGGTTTCTGATTGACGGGTGTGATTTATAAAGTGCGATTGTTCAAGATTGAAAATCAAACTTTCTTGACTTTCTGATGGAGGGATCTAGAAATGGTCATGTGACTGCGCGTAGCTTTGGTGTAAGTGGCAAGCAAAACACTTTCATAGCGCATATTTCTTGCTTAAAGTAATTGTACTCATCTTACGGCATATTTATAATTGCCATTATACGAAGAGTACGCTGTAACACGGTGTTGCTTTCTTTGACACTCAAATTCGTTGGCGAGGTGGTCGTTCAACGACTTTCTACCTGAGTCCCGAACCGCTTTAGGCGTTGATGACTGGTGATTGACCTGAATTGAGGAACTTCCTAGGGAAGGGATGCGGCATATGGGATCTCGACTCACATAGCAAGATATCGTCTTGGTGACCAAATTGTTTCCAAACTCAGGCTTTCCAGAGCTATGCCCATACTAACAGATCGTTCATGGATGAACAGAACTTCGTCCATTGAGAGGTTACCATACATAAGATCTGGTATTAATATCCCGTCGAAACGCCAACCAAGAACCCTAAACATAAAAACGCCAGCCCGGTATTACTTCTATGACATTATCCAGGGTGGCCGTCTCGCCATGATCCTATGAACAAATGCTCAACAAGAATACTTGGGTCTCCCTTCTTATGAGTGTTCTCTTGAGGTAGCCATCCAAAGCTGTCCTTCGGAAGAACTAGCACATCACCTATCAAACGTGGTTCTGTGAGTCTATCCAATTCGTCGCCATTGTGCTCCTCGCCCGACTTCTCCTTGAAGTAGTCCATGAGAACTTTGGTGAAAGCAAATGGCCCCGTAGTCGACATGACATCTTGAAAAGAAACCACTTCATTAGGCTGCTTAGAGGCAAGAAGATTTCCAAGGTCTTTAGTCACTTGTTCAACAAGTGTCTTGATGGCTGGATGGTTTGGCTTGGCCAATACTGAGTACTGGCATAGTTGCACGGAGTATGGAGAGCCGGGCCATATGGGTTGTTTGTGATGGTCGTTTTCTATTCCAACGACCAGATTCACCAAGCCTTGATACTTCTTTGGTATCCATTTAGACACAGGTTGGTGTGGATAGGTGTCGATATCCGCCCATACACCACCTTCACGCAACAATATGAGGTATCGCAAGAAATCGGCTTTGAGAATTGGGTCCTGGAGGCTTGTGAAGACATCTGATATGTTGGCATCGAAGCGGTCCCGAACATATGCGTTATTGTTCGCATCGGTAATGCGCTCGTACCGCCAACCAGGGTTAATATTGCGCCATTGATGTGGGAAGCCAACTGTCCGATCTGTAGGATCTTCTGAGTCATCCTTCCAGCTCTGCCAGATCTTATGAGGGAAAGGTTCATGTTTTGGTGCAGCCGACTTCGTTGAACTGGCATCTTCTGTAGAGGAACTGGTTCCTATTCATCTGGTCAGTTTTTGAGCCTGTCTACAGGCAGATTGGTCGAAAACCGACGACTTATACCATTGTCATATGCATAGTTGCCGACTAATAGCATGAAAATCACAACAACTGCGAGAAGAATAAAAACATATTTCCTGTGCGCGAGTGTCGGTACAATCATCTTATTCAAGCGGGCTTCTTTACTTGAAGAGAGATGTAAAAAAGCGCAAACCATTTCGAAGGGATATTCAATAAAAATTGTCTCAGTCCTGCTGTCCTTTAATCATCACCCGGGCAGGGCAGTCTAAGCGCCGCAACGTCGGGACCCTTGACTCCGGGTGGGGCCGAAGTTGCATTGTCCTCCCGCCCCGTGTCGGGCAAACATGCACTTACAACCAATTACCGATACTCTTTTAGCGCCCGAAACTGAGTTATCATCAACTTTAGATATCTTCAAGGGTCAACCAACAAGCTTCTCAAAAATCACGACATTCACTGATTTTGAACTCACGACCAACACAATATCTATTTTCACCAGAGTTGGTTATTGGCTTAATGCTGGTCATCCGTAGTTTCTCGGAACAGTTTGTTGGATCATGAAGAACCCATGTTTGCTCAGGTGGCGCTACACGTACGGCTTGCAGTCTTGCCCTCTAATTCCAATGCATCCCTCATGTTCTGCTATTCTTCCTACTGAGTACTCCTCTGGTCTTTGGTCTTCGGTTTTCTTCCTGCGTGATATACATATCTCTCCCTCTTTATTTCGCTGTGCGATTCGTCCACCATGATGGCAAGGCTCATCTTTCTGTTGGTCTTTCTATTTTCATTGCAAACATGTCTTGCTGCCAATAAGTGTTACTATCCTAATGGAATTGAGGCTGACGACTCTCCTTGCGACCCTGATGCGAAGGAGAGTGTCTGCTGTTCAGGAGGGTTAGGCACAGTCTGTCTATCGAATAAGCTATGTATAGGTGCTGACGGAAACACCATGCGAGGCTCTTGTACAGATAAGAACTGGGCATCTCCCGAGTGTGCAATGTTCTGTCTTGGTAAGTAACGGTTGCTTCGTAGCTTCTCGTGGTTGTACTGACACCCGCCAGGCGCGGATAGAGGAGGAACGGACTTGATTTCGTGCTCAAACGTTACAAACAGCGATACCTCGTATTGTTGCGACCACAATCCAAACTGCTGCAACAGCGGTGTCGGCAGATTCAACGTCCTCCCGTCGAACCCGGAAGTTTGGGCGACATGGAACCGAAAGGCAACTCAATATGCCGTTGTTGGCACGATTTTTAAGGACGAATCTACCTCTACTAAAGCGTCGGCTACTACGACAATCATATCATCGGCTACATATACTACATCTGCATCTGTCACCTCGGCAAGCGAGACATCAATGTCTTCCAGTTCTATGCCGAAAACAACAGAGCCGTCCGAGGCACCTTCGGGACTTTCTACAGGCGCAAAGGCAGGGATCGGGGCTGGCATCGGTGTTGGGGCCGTCCTGGCTGTGGCTGTGATACTTCTTCTTTGGAATATGCGTAGGACTCGGAGGGCTCGAGAGAGTGAGAAACAACCACCTGTGTACTACAAACCAACTATGAGTGCTTCTTGGCAACAATCCCATCACGTGCATGATCCCAAGGAGCTCCAATCTCGGCCCCCTCAGGAACTCGACGGACATCAGTGCCAGGCTTACAACGTACGGGCTGAGCTGCCAGCATATAGTTAATTGTTTTGAGCGGCAAATTCATATTGTTCTCGATAGCCGCTTACCTCTGGTGGGTTCCGAAAATAGAAAGTCAATAGTTTAGATTGCAGAAAACCAGAGTTCAAATAAGGATTTATGTGATATGTAAAGGCTCTGGCACAGACCCGCAGCTTGATGGATGATCACTGAAAACGATGTCCAAGAGCTCGAAACAACCTCATCGATATTCCGGACTGTCGGCAGAGGCGAATCAACCTGAGCACTAGAAATGCAGCACTTATTAATACCAAGCCCTAAACAACCATGCGAACTAAAAATGAATGCACACCCATGGGTAAGCATGTAAGTTGGCAATGAGAGCTGACGCCACAGCCTACCCTGTAGATGTAGTAGAAGTTGAGTTGTCTTAGTCGACGTTGGCATTACTTCTAGATACAGCAATGCATACGAACCGGCAGGAACATGTACATGACGCCATGAGCGAGACCTCGAACTCTCCATTGCTGATGCCGTTTTGGTTCATTGACTATCGCCATCTTTCATGTGTTTACTCAACGTATCGTTTCAAAAACAAAAGACACGTACACCACTAGACACTCTGATGACAACCTGAAGTTGAATAGTAGCCAAAACCCCCTTACCCCTACATGATACATACTGCACATGAACTATGATTCCTCCAGGAAAGACCGAAAGACGACAGTCCAAGCAGTGCATGGAAGCGATATGAGATGTGAGGGGCAGTGAGGCTTGTGTCTGACGTGTCTGTGGAGGAGTTGGAAGATGAAGCTGCAATTGGCCAAGCCAGTAAAGATAGCTTACTACGTAGTACACACCAATGCATCTCGTATCGACCAGACGGAGCCGAGAATTGGGACATTGACGAGATTCGATTCATTGCGGGCAAAAAGAAAAACCTTGGACTCTTAGCCTTTGGCTATTTTACGTGTTGTGTTTATTTTTGGACGCGGTCTGGATCGATCGCGGGCAGCCCCAAAAGCAGATCCGATTAAACTCTCGCATCGCATCATTTCATGTCACCAAAAGCCGCAAAAGCAATGGATGAAAGCCAAAGAGAGAGCTTGAGCTTGCTGTACTAAAACATCCAGACCAGGTTCATCATGGAAGCTAAATGCTAAGCGTAATTGGGCGGGCGGAGATCCCTGGTCAAGCATAAACTTGGCAAAGAAATGAGATGAATGAGGGTGTTTATGCGAGCCTTCTTATTTTTACTTTTATCTAAATGTATTTAATTTTGTGCGCATCTGATGATGACGGCATGACCTGGTAGATCAATGATCAAAGATCGTACCGGATTGATACGAGTGTCATGCTGTCGACTTATCTAACTAATATCTATCTATGCATCAGAAGGTCAACATCACGAACCGCGTTGTGTTGTTTGTTTACTTTCTCCCCTTCTAGGCTAATAGAACATCACTACTGCATGCACATGCAAGTTAATCATGCTCTATCGTCTGCATAAACCCCGCAGCCCTACACCCAGATGGCACTTCTAGAGTAGTAATGCGAACTGAGCTCATGGCTGCAGAGACAAAGCAAGAAAACAAGGTTGTTGCCTACAATTGAGTTTGACACGGGTGAAAGAGTTTATACCTAGTCTACCGAAGGAGCATCATGTAGACTGGAGAGAGAACGGCGGCTCTGGTTAGCGGCATGCCTTGAACGCCTCGGAAGACGCGCTGGAAGCTTAGCCTATGATAGGAGGTGCTACGCCATGAGAAGCCCAACGGCGACTAACGACTTGGTAGAAAGATAATCGTATCTGTTTATGGAGTACAACAACATGATGGGAAACTCTAGAAAGTGCCCCGCGAGCGCCTCAAGGTTGAGGGTAGGGTTTGTAACTTCAGCAGGGGATCCCTTGAGCCTATCATGCCTTATGTGAAGTCATTAAACAAACCGCATGCGGGGAGTGAGTGAGGGGAGATGTCAATGTCGGCACGTAGTACGTCCGTGAAGTTGAAAGTTGCACTTGTGATACAGCCATTCGTTCATCAAGGAAGACGACACGGCATACCTAGGATAATTACAGACAGTCAGAGCTGGGATGAGGATAGCGGGTGGCGCACAGTAGCATTGTAAATCAAATGGAGCCAATTAGCGCATCCTTGTACAACCCCTTCTGGAAGCTTGGTTCACCGGCCCCTCCTAATGGATGGAATTGCAGTAGACAGAGAATTTGATAGGTACTCAGACAAGCTGACAAGAAGCAACAAGGCCATGATGCGTCGTGTAAACATGGCATGAAAGTAAACAAACCTGAAGTGCATTAGTCAATTGTTGTTCCTGAACTACAGAGAACTACTGCAGGTAAGTTAGTAGGTTAGCTAAGTACCTATACTGAGTCGATATGGCGGTGTCGTTCAAAGGCCCGTCCCACTCTCCACGTTCCACCGTAGACTCCACGTTCATCCCAACCAAAACCAGACGCTCAAGCAGTGGAGGACCAAAGAAATCTGCAGCCAACAGTCAGCAGGCCAGCAGCCAGATCCCCTTGTGCATCTCGGCAGGCGACTCGACGCAGGTACAGAGTACAGCAGGGGACAGGGGATAGTGGGCAGTGGACACAGGGGACGAGGGAAATCATCACGTACCGTGCAGGAAGCATGCCTGGAATAGTAACATTTGCATCCGTACAGTAGATTCATGGCCTGCAAATCCCCATTTACAGCTCATCATTCCATAAACGCACAGCCTACGAACTGGGGCCTGTTCCCTGCTCGAGTCCGTCATCGTGAAGACCCAGATAGGGCAAAAAAGAGAAGAAAGAGGAGAAAGAAGAAAGAAAGAGCGGGAATCAGTGTCCTCAGCTTCACTTCGACCCTGGCTTAGCCTCTTGTCGCGTATTGCTGCTCCCCCGTCAAACTCCATAGACTCTCCTTACCTTGTCTCGCGTGTTAGGTTGACTTGCCTTAACTGACGGAGTGCCATTACTTGTCCCCAATCCGTCCTGATTTTCTCCTCTCTCGTCTTCGACCTTTTCCTTTTCCTCTCATCCTCGTAATTACTAACCCAACAGCAAAACCATCGATATCGACGGGCGATAGGCGACTTGCCCCCCGAAGGAACGGAATAAAGGGACCGGCGCGTCTAATCCAGCATCTCGGATACCCTCTACCCAATCACTCGGCATAGTCGTCCCCCTTTCGATACTGTCCTTTCCTACGACTCTAGGTCGCCGTCACGGGGCCATCCATTCTTTAAAGGACAATCGACTTTCTGAGAGCTTTGCTCTGTAGCAACAACTCAACACTTTATCTTGGGTTCCAGTTTCTTCTTTTCAGGGATTGCTGGTCAAGATTCAATTGCTGCAGACTTCTCTCCTTCACCTAGTGCATCTGCATAGTTCCGACTTTCTCTATACTATACTATACGGTTTTCCCTTCTTTCTCCTGCGTCGCATTTCAGCCAACCTCGGTCCTTTTTACAAGGGCATTCCAATTCCTCACGAAACCTCAAACGTCACCGGCCGGCCGCCCTTGAAATCAGTCGATCCACCCCAGTCCTCTGTGGAATTAAAAAGAGACTTTCTTCTCAGAGCGGACTCCACCAGAAGGACAGGTACCACGCCAGCGCCTCTCTCTCTCTCGTCGCGTCGCTTTGAGTCTGGACTCAACTCAATTCAACTCCAACTCTTCTCTCCTTCGTCCTTTCTTTTTCGCAGCAACTTTGTCGGTCGACCGCTCACGTCATTGCCGGGAAACCCTGTCTACGCCTTCTTTGTTGCCGTTAACTTGGTTGCATTGGTGATAGAACGCCCCTACAGTAGTACAAGTGTTTTCGGCCGTTGAAGCTTTCTTCAGGAATCAGGTGCGATAATTCCACTCGGGAATGAGCAATAAGGTTATTGTCGCATAATTTCTTGGGGATACATTCCAGCCTCCCAAAGAACCCAGGACCTCCAAATACCTCACTATCCCACGACCTGGCCTGGCCTGCGCTCCGAAACTTGCGACGCTTGACAAACAGGGGTTAATCCACTAATTACTGGTCCACTCGCCCTAGTACAACCCACTTCACTGTGTTGTGCAGTGCCTGTGCTTGTGCTTGTGCGTGTGCGTACCTGACTAATACTGTACGGTACAGTCGCTGGCGCGCATTCAATTCGACAGGTGTGTCAATAATTAGACACTCTCACCCACACATTCTGGGCATTTCTAGTCGCATTTTCTCTCGACATCTGGCGGTACCTGAAGTTGCTCCTTTCTGCGCTTCACCACACTCATTCTCTGATCTCCTTTTACCATCGACGAATTATTCTTCCACCGTTTGGACGCGTCTTTTAGTCCACTCTTCTTTTTTCCCGTTACTATAATTGTCTTTCTCTTTCTCTCTGTTTTTGTGGGAATTGTATTTGTTTTTCCTCGCAGCCGGGTCTGCTCTCTTTACAGTAGCTCCAATCTTACGGAATCTCTCCCTGCAGTGCTTTACTGCAATCTGACTGGTCTGCGGCACACGCCAGCTCTAATCAATCACCAATCACCAGTCACTGAGGTGGTACTGGTACCGGTACTTTAGCAGAGGTACCCCATCTTTCACGTTTCAACAAACACAACACAACACGACACGTTCGGAATACTCAACACACTACAAACACAGAGCTATCTCCCTGCGACGGGCCTGCTACGTCGTCCGTCTGCGTATCTTGATGGTTTCAAGGCGTGATTGAGGAAATTTTCCTTTCCCCTCGGAAGAGGGCCACTTTGCTCTGCAATCATGGCTTCTTCACTGGCTTCCGACAAGCCAAGCTTGCCCGCACCTGGCGCAAAGCAATACGACCCATTCGTCACCAACACACCTGAAGCCGCACCAACATCCGCGCCAGCTCAACACCGATATTCCAACTACGACCTGGACTTTTTCATCACAGGCCCTTCTTCGCCAGAATCTGCGAAGCGGGCTCTCACAGCTCATTTACAGGAGACGGAGCGTCGCCTCGCAGAGGCAGGGAAACTGGGTAATGCCCTCGTGGCCCAGCGCAAAGAACTCACCGATCAGCTCAAGGAGATTGAGAAAGTGAACAATGAGGAAGAATTGTCACAGGAGCTTCGCGAGCGAATGGTTGGAATCGAGAAGGAGTTTAACACACTAACTCGCGAGTCCGCCCGAAACTTGTTACCTAAACAGAGGGTTCCCAGCAACGAGGCGAACCCCAACTCCCCATTTGCGCCCGAGACGAAAGCTGGCAGATTAGTATGTTGCTTTCACATCCTGATCCCTAATGGCGACAGCCCACTAACATTGTTTTCTCCAGCGATCCGTCAGCCCGTCCAAATTCGAGAGCCAAGCAACAGGATCACCGACCAAGCTCACCGTCCCGAATCGCAAGATCCGCAATCAGCCTTCAAACCGAGTTCACGATATCGAGTTCGCCGCCGAAATCAGCACTTCTCTCATTGCTCAGGTCCGCAACCTTCAAGGTGTACTGGCCGAGCGAGATGAAGAGAACAAAGACCTCAAGGCCGACAAGGCTAGGCTTGAGCTTGAATCCGAGGGATTTCAGCAGCGCTTCAAGTCTCTCGATGAGAGTGAGAATCGTTATAAGGAGGAAAACTGGAATCTTGAGACAAAGCTGCAGGAGCTTAGTTCTCAACACAGAGAGGCATTGGACCGCGAGAAGAAGCTCACTCAATCCCTCAATATCATCAAGACAGAGAAGGTTACAGTGCAGCGAGAGCTTGATGAAGTCAGAGTGAACCACGCACGCCTGATTGACCAACATGCCGCCGCTGTCAAGCAACACGACATTGAGCTTGGTACCGTCAAACGCAACATTGCCATGGCGGAGGGTGAACGTGCTGCCATGCAACGCAGGATCGATGATCTCACTGGCCAGAACCAAGAGCTAGCCAGGGCTTTCGCATCCCAGCGTCGAACCGTCACAGAACTTGAGCCCAACATCCGCACTAGCGACGAAGATGTTGATTCTTCTGCCGACCACCTTACACCTGAGCATTCACCTCCCGTTTCTCCTATCAAGGGCACACCTCGCCATGCCATGCTTGAGACCGAGACTATGAAGTCGTCTCTCCACCACGCCCAACGAACGATTCAGAGCCAGCGAGGTCTGTTGCACCGTGAGAAGACCGAGAAGCTTGAGCTCCGACGCATCATTCAGGACCTTCGCGATGATCTTGAGAAGGCACGAAGTGATGGAGTTGAACCCAAGCCTACCCGACGATCCCGCGCCAAGGAGACCAAGGACTTTAAGAAGCCTCCTCGCCTGCTTGGATCTTTCCGTTCCAGCAGACAAGAGGTTATCGTCGATGACCAAGAGTGGGAAGATCAGAGTGAGATCTCGCCTCGAACTTCTGTCTCTCCTACGAACACCAGGAAGGCTTTGAGCAACAGCAGCCACACTATTCTCCCAAGTATTGAATCCGCCGATCCTACGGATACTGAGCAGTTCGATACCGCTAATGAAGGTGGCGAATCTGCTTTCGAGACTGCCAACGATGAGCGTGCTACTGAGACTGAGGACTTCCAGACTGGCAACGAGGAGATGTCAGGAAGCGATGACACTGAGACTGAGGGCACCACCCGAGGCTTCGGTAACCTCAACGCCCCACGGTTGACTACTGGTTTCCCTCGTCACAGCAGTAGCCTCTCATTGCACAGCACTGCATCCACATCGGGTGAGGAAGATGACGTTATTTCCATCAACACCCCCTCTGGTACTATCCGGTCTCAGAGGAGTAGCCGCTTCCGCATGAGCCGTAGCATCTTCAACCGCTCAAGACAAGTTAGTGAAGAGCCCAATTTCCAGGGCAGCCCCGGTAGCTTCGCAAGCAGCCGTGATGGAACTCCTCAGGGTGGCCAGAGCCTATTCGCCGAGCTTCAGGACTTCGACGGTAGTGACGACGATTCCGCTGGCCCTGGCACGCCTAGTCGTATGCGTGCTCGTTCTATGACTCCTGGTTCTATCCGCCGTGCCTCTTCGCCTCGCCCTGCAGTACCTCCCATCCCCAAGGTTATCATGGTCGATAGTGGTGTGATGACAGAGCCCGTCAAGATCGTACCTAGACTCACAGCGTTCGATACTACCCAGATGATCACCACCGGCGTGATGACGGATGATGGAGAGGAGCACTATGCTGAGTCTCCTGTTAGTGTTGTGACTGCCAATCGACCCGGTTCCATGCAGTCCGCCATTGGATCATATGGCCAACGAGCGCCTGCTTCTTGGCCAATCGACGAACTCCCTGAGTCCCGTCCAACTTCTATGATCTACAGCGATGCTGGTGCTCAGCACGACCCCGACATGGAGCAAAAGCTGGCTCAGTTCCCGGCTCCTCCTTCCATGCTACCTCCGATTTTGCCCCCTACCTTGTCCATGTCCTCCATTGCATCTGAGGTTGTTGAGCCTAGGGAAGAGATTGAGGTGCCCCAAGTTCCTGCGGCCCTGAGCTTCACACCTCTGTCCAACCAGAGCGTTGAGCCTCTTGCTGAGCCTGAGACTCCTCCTCCTGCTCTTAGCCTTTCGTTGATTAAGGCTGAAGACCTTACTCCCCGAGCGGAGCCCGAGGCTCCTCTGCCAGACCTGACCATGACTTCGATCATCTCTGAACATCTTGAGCCTCGTGCTGAGCCTATTATCCCTCCTCCTGCTCTTGCTTTGTCTGCCATCGCCGCTGAGCACTTGGAACCGCTTGCCGAGCCTGAGATTCCTCTTCCCGAGCTTAGCATGTCTGGTATTGTGGCACACAGCCTGGAGCCTAAGGCCGAGCCTCTGGCTGATCTGTCCCTGACGGAGATTGCCACGGAGCAAGTCGAGCCCATTGCTGAGCCTGAGATTCCCGCTCCTGCTCTGTGCCTCTCCACTATCACGGCGGAATCTGTTGATCCTATTGCCTCTCCACCCGTGGAGCCTGTCATGTTTATGGCACCACCTCCCGCTCTCTCCATGTCTTCAATCCTTGGCGAATATGTTGAGCCCATCGCCCAGAAGAACCCAGAGCTTACCATCTCTGGCATCAAAGGTGAAGCCGTCGAGCCGATCTTCGAGCCTGCCATTCCGGCTCCTGAGCTTCTTATGTCTACCATTCGAAGTGAGCATGTTGAACCAATTGCGGAACCCGAGGCCGAGTCTGCCATGCGCTCTGTTGTCGCTCCTGTCCCCGCCCTGCCCCTGGCCGCTACGCTGACCTTGTCTTCCATTCGGGGAGAGGATGTCGAGCCCGTTGCTACCAGAGCACCAAAGCTTGCCATGTCTACCATCTTCGGCGAGGGTGTTGAGCCTATTGTCGAGCCTGTGGCCGAGCCTGTTGTGGCCGAGCTCAGCATCTCATCTATCCAGGGCGAACAGGTTGAACCAGTTGTTGAACTGGCTGTCGTGCCCGAGCTTTCCATGTCTGCTATCCAGGGCCAGTATGTTCAGCCAACTGAGCTGCCTGCTCCTGATCTGGCTCTGTCTTCCATTGCTGTCCAGTCCGTCGAACCAATCAGCAAGCCAGAGAAGGTCGCTCCTCTGCCATCCCTCAACCTGTCAACTATCTATGCTGAGGGTTGCGAACCAAGGGAGGAACTCCCACCCACCCCAACCACCCTCGTGTTTTCTGATCTGTCAACACAGAACGTGGAGCCTGTGTCTCAGCCTGCGCCGCCTCTGGCTTTGTCTGGCATCACCTCTGAGAACGTGAAGCCCGTGCTTGAAACCATCCCCGCGCCGCCAACTCTGGTCATGTCATCGATCTCCGCTGAAGGAGTTGAGCCTGTCAGCCCTGTTCAGAAGACACTCACACTGCCCTCTTTCGGATTCTCATCCATCGAGTCTGTTGAAACTCTGCCCATGTCTCCCCGAACCCCTAAGCGAGATGGCTTTATTCTTCCTCGCGACATGAACTCGCCTTTCATGGAGCGAGATGTCCCCCAGACACCTGAGCACCAGACTGCTGGAGCCCTTAGCCGGGACGTTGACCAAGGGTCATCGCCTTTCATGGTCGAGGACGTGAACAGCCAGTCACCTAGCGATGCTTCCGAGCCTGCCACGCCCGATTCCCAGCGACCTTTCGACAAGCCTGTTGTTGTCATGAACGACCAGGGTGCGCAGACATCTCTCACTGCTGATGTCATCGACGCTATGTTCAAGGCTCGTGCTCTGCCTGCTTTTGGTCTCGACAAGAACTTCATTGCGAGCCCTGGAACTCCCGGAACCACTGGCACGACTGGTACTGTCAGAATCCGCCGATCACGAGAGATGTTTGAGAGTCCTATTCGACAGGAACGCGATGCCGACGACGTGTTCGATATCAGCCCCATGCGCCGTCCTGATAGCTCTAGGAGTGGCAAGGCATCCATTCAAGACGCTCCTCCTCTGCCACCCAACCATCGCCAGGTGATCGAGGCTGCACGATCACACTCCTCTCACGGAATCCAGAGCAGCATGGCACCACCTGCTTGGCCAGCTTCCGTCCTCAAGCAGAGACCCACCACCCCCGGAAATGGAACCTCCGAGGTCTCAACAGCTCGTGCCACGCCTACGGCTCGTACTACTCGCAACCCTGTTAGCTACGGTGAGCTTGGGAGACAATCACCGGCTAAGATGTCCCGAAGATCGTCTGTTTCCTCGTTTGTTTCAGAGCTTGACACCCGATTCAACATCCGTCCTGGCGAAATGGGCATGGATCCTTCCGGGTTTGGACCTAACACGGATCCCCGCATGATTCAGGCTATCACCCAGACCATGATCGGTGAGTATCTGTGGAAGTACACCCGCAAGACCGGCCGTGGAGAGATCTCTGAGAACCGACACCGTCGTTACTTCTGGGTCCACCCATATACCAGGACTCTGTACTGGAGCGACCGAGATCCTTCTGCTGCCGGCCGTACTGAGTTGAAGGCCAAGAGTGTTCCTATCGAGGCTGTGCGTGTCGTTACCGACGATAACCCTAACCCTCCAGGACTCCACCGTAAGAGCTTGGTTATCATTTCACCTGGCAGAACCATCAAGTTCACCTGCACCACTGGACAGCGACACGAGACATGGTTCAACGCGCTCTCATATCTCCTTCTCCGCACTAACAATGAACAAGCTAATGTCGAGGATATTGCGGAGAACTTCACACGCGAGGACGTGGACGAATTCAACCCCCAGTTTGGTCAACGCCCAGCCAACGGAACACGATCTAGAGCGCCCCCTTCTCTGTCGTCCTACAACTCCCGCACAACCCGCAATGAGTCGCCTGCTGTTGGCATGTCCATGAACATCCCGACTTTGACGCCCAAGGGTCACCCACAGCGTCCTGGCACGCTAAGCAAACTGAGCGGTTACTGGAAGGGCAGCCAGCTGTCTGGCACTTTCTCTACCCTACGTGGTCGTGGTGTTAGTGCTCAGGATGTCAACATTTACGAAGCCAGCGAGGCACATGATAGTGCTGAGGATGTGAGGGAGATCATTGAGCGGCAGGATAGGGACGCTGACCGTCTCGAGAATGTCCGCGCATGCTGCGATGGTAAGCTGGATTAATTCTAAAGAGGTTTACTAGCACTAACAACATCCTAGGCAAACACGATGTCGGAACTCTTCACCTTACCTCTAAGCAAGGCCGTCATGGTAGTACCCATACGCACGCACATCCTGCTCGTACACAATCTCATGCTACCATGTCTTCTGTACGCTCTCGAGTTTAAGCAGAAACAGCAGAGATGCCTACCTGTACACATACACAGACATTCTATTTCCTGTAGATCACCTTTTAACTATTACACCGTTGTATGGAAAACTCCAACTATTACGACCGACCTCCTTACGGACTTTCACGATACTTATGATTTTCTTGACTTTTCTTGCCTCGCATCCTTGACAAATGGAACCTGGAGCATGGTACCCAAAAGACTATAATCACCTACTACACTACAGCCTTTCTTTGGCTACGACCAACCACACTTTTCCTTAACTTGTCATTCTCTCTTTATAATACTACACGCACTCGCACTTAGATCTTGCGATCGAGATTATAATCGACGCAGATGGAAAAACACCCAAAAATAAGCAACAGCACAGCATAGCACCACACCGCACCACTGCATTTTTAGCCAACACATTATTTGTTTGAAGAGACTTCTCTCGACGGGATCAGCATATAGGATGCTGGGATGGACCAACAGGAGTTTTTGTCTTTTGTACAAAACAGGTGTTGCCGTGTATAGCACGCCCTGACATGTACTGATCGATGTAATGTTCTCGAAGCTGTGGTCAGGAGAGCAGAAGAGGCTTGCAAATAGACATTATGTGTACGGAGATAGTTCTTAGGCGAGGGGTATTGATGACTGAATGATATTTTGTATCAAATAACTGACTATGTACTTGCCTGTGAGGCTTGAGAAGTTTTTTGTACGTAGCTGCTGAGGACAGATTTTTACGAGACGAGACCTTGTGATGCCTCCAGGTTTTGAGTTTCAGGCCTGTACATGTGAGTGTGTAATGGCAGCAATAATCTCCAATACTAAAATCGTATGGTTCTATTAGATCTTTAACATAAATATTTATTAAAGGTCTTGTACTCTGTAATTCCTATCGATTTCGCATCTCATTATTACCCAAACATTACGGGGGTATCCAGGCCTTGGCCATGAAAGGACTAGTATTTTGATGGGCGATCATTTACTCCGTACTCCGTACTCCGTAGTCTACCTAGAGTACCTAGACTATCGCGATCAAGTTCCGTACTTCTGGACTTGTGCAGCCCAGAATATGATGTCGCACCCACTGTTATACTTGTACAGGCCTTACGAGAACAACAATATTTGATCGTATGTTGTTAATCAATACCTAGGTAGTGAACGATTAATCAACGACCTGTGACCGAAATTACCACCGGGCATCCTTAGACCCGCTGAGGCTCCTTCAGTGCCGTCGAACGGTGGGGGGGATGCCTGCCAGCCAGTGGATTCATCACATGACGTATGTAGCCCATCAGCTTCCAGAGCAGAGGTTCCTTTAGCGCTCTAGCGGTGTCACTTACACTCACTTGACCAGCCTATCAACTAACTCCGCGTATAATCATTCCGCCTTCCCCAACCAAGAAACGACATCGTCAACTTCAACTTTTCCTCCCTTCAAGAAACACCAAAAGCAAGCTCCCTCGACCTCGTCCGATGCGTCTTTCTCGCTGTGTTGTCTAGCTACCGAAGAGTCGAGGCTGCAGTGCCCCTCTTGTGCACAAAGCTCTCTCCTCTCTTGTGAGCCTCTGTGGCTCCGGGCTTCGGAGTCATGGCTACGCTCACTTCTCTTCTCGTGGCATATGTGCTTGGCGGATTGACCTTTATACCCTTGGTTGTTGTGTCTATCCTTGCCTTTATCTTCTACACCTCTCCCATTCTCGACGATGCCGCGAACGAACCCAAATACAGCCCTATCGTCGACAAGGTCGATGATACAACCGCCCTCGATGCCGCTAAGCGGTCGCACAAGAAGGACAACCGCGCGCACGAAAACGACCTCGATGTAGCCGCCGGCTTTTTTGCCGTCTGCAGAGAGTACACGCCAATGGGTATCAACGCAAAGCCTATCGAGCGCTCGACGCCTGTGGGCTCTGCAACCGTGGCCCCTTCGAGCCCCAGCGTCTATCAGACCATGTATCGGAGCATCTTTGAGAGGAAGCCCACCCCGGGGCCCATGGATAACAACAGCAGTAGTACGAGTCAAAGGCCCAAGAATGCGGGCAATGTCTTTTACGTGGTCTTGAGGTTTGTGCAGCTTATCCCATGCCTCCACGTCCCTTCGCTGACCCTGACCCGCATACAGACATGGCCACCTTATGTTATTCGATGATGAAGAGCAAGTCGAAGTTAGACATGTTGTTTCTCTAGCATACCATGAAATCAGTATTTACTCGGGCGGCGATGTCACACCAGAAGGTGAACTCTTTATCAAGCGGAATGCGATCTGTCTTTCCCGAAAACAACCCGGCACCGAATTAGGTCTTGAGAGTCCTATGTCGAAACCATTCTTCCTCTTCTCCGAGAACTGTTCAGCCAAGGAAGATTTTTACTTTGCCCTGCTCAAAAACCAAGAGCAGAGCTATGGAGTGGATGGTCAAGTGCCCAAGCCCTTACACTTTGATGTTAAGAACATCATCTCCCTGGTTCAGAAGCTTCACTCGACAGAAGAGAATGTTCATTCGAGGTGGGTGAATGCGTTACTGGGAAGGGTGTTTTTAGGGGTCAACAAGACCAAAGACATTGAAGCCTTCATCCGCGAGAAACTCACAAAAAAGATATCTCGTGTTAAAAGACCGTCCTTTCTTACCAATATTACCATCAACGGAATTGATACTGGCGAGGCAGCTCCTTACTTCACGAACCTGAAGCTCAGGGATCTTACCGTCGAAGGAGAATGTGTTGTTGAGGCCGATGTCAAGTACTCAGGAAATGCTCGTATCGAGATCGCAGCCACAGCCAAGATTGACCTTGGAGCCAGGTTCAAAGCGCGGGAGGTCAACCTTGTTCTTGCAGCTGTGCTCAAAAGAGCTGAAGGTCATATGCTGTTCAAGATCAAGCCACCTCCCAGCAACCGAATTTGGGTCACTTTTCAAAGTATGCCTAAGATGGAAATGGATATCGAACCCATCGTTAGTGCGAGACAAATCACTTACACAGTCATTCTGCGTCAGATTGAGAACCGTATCAAGGAAGTCATTGCAGAGACTGTTGTGCTGCCATTCTGGGACGACATGCCATTCTTCAAGACAGAGCACAAGCAGTGGCGAGGTGGCATCTTTGAAGGTGACAACGCCACAGTCCCGACTGATGATGCAGAAAGCATAGTGGCAGCGGCAGGAGATGTTGGAGCTGTCAGTCAGATGGACGCAGCCCCGGATGTATCAGAAGAGACGCGGCCTTTGGAGAAGAGTTACACAATCCCCGTCATGGAATCTGCACCGCCGCCAACAGGCCTCTTTGGACGCAGACTTAGCAGGGCAGGCACCAATCCTCAAGCTTCTGCATCATCTACCAGTGTTGACTCCAAGGGACCGAGCGCGAGTCCCGTCTTGAGGCCCAAGATTTCCAAGACGTCTCTTGAGCCTGTCGTGGGCACCGATGAAGCCCATGCTGACATCTTTAAGCCGTCCACTTCACCACCTGATCATGCAACCAACTACATGGCAGCCCTACATTCGCGCTCACACGACGCTTCTCCTCGGCCGCCCACAGCTACAGATGCTCCGCTGGAATCATCTTCTGCCTCTCAACGGTCCAGTCGGTCTTCACGCTCTTCCTCATCAGCGAACGAAGCTTTGAATAGTGGCGTGACGGACGAGTCGCAGAAGACACCAGTTCCAATAGGGCGACGTAACACGACCTCTTCTACTGGCTCAGGGTCCTATACAGATGAAAGGCCCGGTTCCTCGACCGCTTCCATGAGGGAGTCCATAAAGAGCCAGACAGGTTCGCTGGGAAGGACTTTCTTTACACGACGTGAGCACCCGGAAATACCTACGCATGAAGAAGAGCAGGAAGAATCGAATTACGATGAGAGTTCTCAAGATCAACATCAGAACCAGGGACAGAATTTGAACCATAGGCAGACTACACTGGCAGCCGTCTCCAACGCAGCATTGCAGGCCAAACAATGGGGATGGAATGCCTACCAGCGACACAAGGAGGCACGAAGGCAGGCTGAGCAGGCAGGCCATCTCGATCTCACTCAACCAATGGGTCGAGGTCAACCGCTGCCTCCTCCTGGAACACCTCTTCCTAAGCCCACGAACGGCATGACGCGGATAGCACCTCCGATAGGAGGTGGTCTTACGAGGAAGCCAGTCCCTCAGTCTGCTGTCCACAACTCTGCCGACTCACTCGAGACTCATAACGAGCATCACCAAGAGCAGCACCGAGAGCAGCATGAACACGAGCATGAGCACCAGGGCCATGGCGACTACCGTCCCCCATTGCCTCAGCGCGGACGCCGTAGGCAGAGCCATGCGCCTGAGCCAGATAACGGACAGAACATACTCGTCGTTGCTGCTCCGCAAGACTCTCAGCCTGCTACGCCATCGGCAGAGGATTCTTCGAATCATCAGATATGGGCGTCGAGTGATGAGCAAACCGTGACAGACAGCGGAACCTCGCATCCTCCCTCGGTTCTGACTAACGAATCATCTCTAATGCAGGAGGACAACAAACCACCTAGCGATAGAGAAACACCACCCGCCGTACCAGCAGTTGCCGATGATGACGAGGACTTCTCTGGATGGATGGACAATGAGCCCTTAGATATGGAGATCAATGACCCTGTGCAGCCTCCTGCCCAGGAAGTCAAGTAACAACACTACTAACAAAGAAAGAGGGAGGATCAGGCGTTTTTGGACTAAGCAGGATTGGGTCGACAAATAGTCCCTGATGGAGCAAACTCCCTTCTAACTTGTTTTTCTATTCCTTTTTATCGTTGGATTGGCGTTAGTGGATGGTGAACGGGGCCTTGGTTAAGTTTAAGGGATTACTTTAGATAGATCTTGTGAACTGAGTAGTAATCAAACACTGTCTATTGTCCTTAGTGAGAGTTTAGTGTGATCCAATGAGCCTAAATGTCGTTCGTGGGCAACGGTCGGGATTTAATCATTCAACTGATACATCATAGCATGTTCTTCATGATACGGTGGATGCAGGACAGTATCCAGTCACAATTCCGGCGCGTTCTGTATGTGTGTGTATTTCTAAAATTCAACTGATAACATCTCTTCAAACTACCAACGGACATTGAGGAACGGCCTCAAGATGCGTTAGATCGTATGCTAAAGACATCACTCAAGCAAACGTTTGTGCCGGGAGTAACACTTGCATGCCTAAGTTGCCGACTTCCATTCCTTGTCGGTATGGGAGACAGCCGAGTATAGGAACGGCTGCTGCACGTGTATAAGATCGTCAAACTCACCTGCACCATTCGCCGAAGAATTCTCGTCAACAAGCCCCACGTGTTAGTCAAGACGACGATAAGTCGTGGATGATCACGGAAGACATGCTGAAAGAGACCTCTAATGATAAAACACGATGGCAAACGCACCGTGAGGACGCCATAGCCGCGAGCTGGAATGGAAGTTGTTTGTACATATGACGTTGGATCCTATCAGAAAGTAGGACTCATATGTTGGATGCTTAACAAACAACCGCATGATGTGTTCAGTCCATGGACAGGCGAGGTAATACTATTGTCTCGTTCAGTTCGACTGTTGCATCTGATATTGCCACCGTATCACTGGGACGGACATGTCACATATCAAAGTAACGTTATCAAACAAGCTCGCCTTCGTACCGAGCGAGTGTTTCATATGTCTTTGTGTGTATCGTATATCAGTCTGTGCTGGTAGAATAAGCACAAAAGACAATGACGTCCGCGTACGGCATCAGTTGCTTACCCGGGCTTTCCAGGCTGCGGGACAATCAGGTGGACAGCAGCAGCAGCAGCATGTATCTGTATCTACCACCAGACCAACCCCCAAACAGTAGATATACCCTTGGTTCTTGGATACGGACAAGCGGGAGAAAGTACTGTAATCGTGAGAGCGGAAGGGCCAACTCTGTCCACACTCAATTCGACTGGGCACCCAATAGGAAATAACCAGTGAGGGCAACGTTCCGCGCCGTTTTGCTGATTGGGTGGCGTCTCAGCTCAACTCAGCTCACGGCATGATACAAAATCATACTGTGTAGCACCCATCAACAGTCTCTGTATGTAAAGGGTGCGCAGGGACCGATTTGAGACTCATGCTTGCCCGCCACTGATGCACCCCAGGATGCAGACAGAACCTGGCACTGTAATACCAAATAGCAGAGCCAGGCAGACTCCATCATCAGTTGTTTTAGCTGGGGCCGCAGATTTGGAGGATCAAACGGAGACTTCTCCGCCAAGAATATGGGGTACATGGCGGGGGAAAACGGAAATGGCTTGATCATCCACAGTTTTCCACCTTTAGTAAAGTTAAATAACCTTTGACGATGCATCCTTCTCATTCAAGAGTTGACGTTTTGCAGATGTTGCACTCCCTCCAGCAGTTTTGGTCTGCTTTGAGGGCTAGACCGCGTAGCCAAGAAAAGCCAAGACTTGAACTCTTGAGCTGCGCCGTTGGAGAATGCGCGTTGCTGTTGAATCGAGGCAGAGCTTGTTTCCCTCGCCTAGAATAGCACAGCACAGCACAGCGGCAGCGAAGTCTCGGCTGTGGCCTCTTGGCAACGGATGCCCCTCATCAGTTAAAGTAGCAGTAACCTTATTAGATAAAGCTTGTGTGCGCGGCCAAGCCGACGCCAAAAGAGTACATATGGAAAAGATGCATGGAAGAAGTGACAGAGGTTGCCCATGAAAGAATAGCTCGCCTTAACTCGTCTTTTGCTCGGCGATCGTTAGATTGTCCAATCCCGTCGTTGGACCCTTGGGAGCCGAGATGCTCAATAACATCATCCCACCCCCTCACCAATTACAAGTTGGGTAAAACCCAATGCCCGGTGACATACATCGTGCACCGTTTTCAACTGTCACTCGTCATTGAACTCAATGCCGTAACCTCTCTCGATATAGCTTCCTCGAGTCTAAACGGTAGTGTCATGTTACTGTAACCGCAACCGTAACCCCACATCTCATGATGAGACGATACGTAAGTAGGGTGTTGGAAGGATGACACTTGCTTTACCATGGCATGGCATTGGCAAACGACAGGTGCGCTTATTCAAAGAGATCGCCCAGTCAAGAAACACTGAACACATCAGGCATGATGATATTGTATGCTGAGACGCGTGATGCCGCTATAACCTGAATTGGTCCTTGCTGTCCATCAGGAGCGAGGACACAGGCAATTGTGGTGGGTTTGCATGATATCCAGGCTGTTGGGTTCAATTCAATGAACACACTTACCAGTTATGGCAAGCCAGATTCGAAAGATACCCGCTGAAAGCCGCTCTGGCGGTTCTGCATTTGTATCTTGTGGTGAGGCATTTTCTGTCCCTCGACTCTCAAGCGGAGCCATCGCACCGCAACTACCGTACCTAATACCTGCATATGTCCTCCCATTATGACCTGGTTAGCTGTCCTTACCAGGTCCTTGCAGCGGGTCTTGAGTCTGGAACATCGTGGGCGTTGGCATGACAGCTTTCGCCAAGCGCTGGCGCAGGCAAGAGTTGCTCATTCTGTCTGCACTCTGGGAGAGTGAATGATTATGGCCTGAGAGCTTGCAATTAGCCTGTCATGGACCTTGTCCACCTGATGTAGCGAGCGGCTCTTTCATTCAACTAATCTCATCTGATATTCGAATGAGTCTTTACAGGGCTGAGTTGTTGTCGTTTACTAACGCCCAAAACGTGAGGATTCGCTGCATGCAAGGCATTGAAACAACGCCATCTCCAGTGCAGCTGGTCGCAAGGTAGGATGTTACCGTTGCCAACCGAAAAAGATATGTCTTCATCGAAATTCGACATCAGTTCAAGCACGTAAAGGTTATGGTGTAGCCGTGGGCAAACCGACGAATAACCACAGACGCACACTCCCTCCCAGTATCAATTGAGGTTCATGTTCGGGCCTTCCGCTTATCAGCTATTATCTCTTGCCATCACAAGCTTCGAACCTAGAGCCACGAGCCGTACCTTAGTTTCCATTTAACTTTCGTGCGTCAAGAACATAGCTTGCCTTGGACTTTGCCGTCTTTGGTGTAGCACGCTTCACGCAAAAAGTGAGATCAAAGAAGGTGTGGGCAGATCCGGCATCTGTCTAGATCTTGAGGCTGCCCACCCCAACCATCTGAAGCTAGTTATCTTCAAGGTGTTGTGATGTTCAAATCAACCGACATGATAAACCCTTAGGCCCATGTAAGGCTTATCCGCCACTGCTCGATAGTTGCAAAAATTTCTCTCTCAGATGCATAGAGATTTGCGGATCAACGGGTCAAGATAGTAATGTCTACCCGGTCTGAAAGCCGTCGCTCTCTCGGGACCCCCCAGACATGCAACTGCAGACCTGATTGGCAACTCTTCTTGACACATTCTTTCTTTTTCAAGTTGATTGGACCGTGAATAGCATGATAAGTTCATGCCTCCGATGAATGTGATGGTGCCATGTCTTGCATCTCAACGGTAACTCGTCCTGACACCTGGTACCTGGTTACAAAAGAATTGCAGCCGGCCCGGATATCGCACCGACATGTTCTTTACCGTCTGTTGCAAGACCAGAGGTCACGAGGTAAAGGCCGGATCGCGAAAACAGTCTATGTTAGCTTGTAGGTGGATGTCTGTTTCTTGGAAATCAGTCTGCTTGTGCAAGTGATAGCAGTGGAGCAAATACCGGAGCAAATCGCTCAATGTCTTGAAAATGGAGCAATTGAGTGTGGGGGAGAATTTGAGCTCCGGCCTGGTGGTTTATTGTGTCGACGTGTCGCTTGTGAGTCCTGTGCCGTCACAACTGACGTCTTTGCGCTCTCCACAACATGTGAAGCTGTTTTACTCAAGCCTAGACGACCCAAATCATGTGCTCTGTTTGAGGGATATCTTCTTTAAACATGCGTGGTGCTGACTCACGAAGACTCAGGATGTGGCCGACATCGAAGCTGTGAGAGAAACGACCGTGTCACTCCATCCCGTGAGCAGGCCATTTGGTCGTTTGGTATTTGATAAACTTGCAGCCAGACCTAGACCATGAGTGCTACCGGGCCGATGGAACTGTGGTCATGCTTCTGTCATCGGCCTCTAATTGGAAATCGAAAATGGACTGCCCAATCCATCAATACCCTGGCGCACGTTTCGCTTGGCGAGTTGAGTTGTTTGACTCTCCTTGGGCTTGACATTTGACCCTTGTTAGAACTATAAAATGATTTGCGAAGCACGTCCGGCAGATCATCATCAAGTCTCAGGTGAAGCCTCAGGAAGGCCGAATTAAACAATCGACCATGAATGGTGAGGCAGTGTCCCGTCTCAACCTAAGTTCTGCCAAGCACCTCCGGCACTTGAATTTTAAATGCGATATTAAACCCCACGGGAGTCTATAATATGGCCGTGCGTCTGTTGACTCAAATGAGTTTGATTGACGATGGAGAAGTCTGGAGACCTGACTCGGTAGCCTCACGGTCGATTCAATTGGTTCCCCCGTGTCGAACAACAATACCAAGACATTAGTTTTTGTCCGTCAAGGCATCAAAATTATCTCTTCCGCTATCGGGCACGGGCCGAAAGAAAGTTTGATTGAAACAACTGTCGATCTTTTGCTGTACAATTCAACGTGCACTCGACTTTGTTTCTTAGACGCGAATGCCTGACGGCCAAGGCAGGCTCGAAGAAAGACACTGTCCAA